ATTAATCCTCTTATTATTTCATGTTAAAGTTATATAACTTATTATTAATCTTTATAGTTGCTTTAATTATTTTGGCCAAGGTGTCTGGTTGTTCTTGCTAAATAATCTTTTCTTAGATCTCTATCTTAAGTCCTTTTTTAAATTGTGAGATGTAAGTATTATTATCCCAGTCTAGATAATTAATAACTTATTAAAATTCTGAAATATACGCAGATACTAATCCTATTTACTTAAATTATTATAACTTTTATTTAATATTCTGTACTGCATCAATGTCTCTGAATATCTATTTAAGATACTGTTTAAATCTGGTATAACTAATAAAAAGTTATTTTATATTATTATCCTAATTATTTATTAACTTTTCTTATTACTTGCGGATGTATGGTTTGAATTAATTAAATACTGTTCTAATAAGATAAATAGATATAAAAAAGATCTTGTTTTTCTTATTCTTGAGCTTTTCTTGTTTATGTTAAGGTATAAGTCTAACTGGGTCAAGAAAGCCCTGAGCTTTGCTTATTTACTGTTAAATAGCTTAAATAATCAGATTTTAACAGATTTAACTGATAAGTGATCTTTGAGTAACTAGTTCTTTTGTTTTAAGACAGTGATGCTTTCTTATAGCTGACCAATCATGTCTATCAGTTCCTTAGTTGTCAAGCCCTGCTGCTGAGGCGCTCGCGATGTGTTCAATATAATTAATATAATGACTAGTTATTACTGAGTAACACTCGTACTAACTGATACTTAATATATCAAATCCTAGAATCGCTTCTTCCTGTTCCTGTTAGCTTAGCTCCCGTTCTGATATATATCTTGTAAACTGAATTAAAGATAGTCAGGTTATTGACTATCTAAAGATGACTTAATCTGAATAGAAGAAGAGAAGTAAGGCTAGATAGTGCCGTGTAGCTATCTATAAGTAAGTACAGATAAGTATTATTACTAAGCTTTACTAAAATGTAGGTTACTTAAAGATAATATGAATTAAACATGAAGAACAGAACTAGCTAAGTACATGAAAGAGTGTCCTTATATTCTATCCTTTGTCATGGCGTCGCCATAATATGTCATGTCGCCAATATGTTATATTATAACACTGCCATGTCCTGTTATAGCACTGCTATGTCCTGTCATAGCACTGCCATGTTATAGCGTGTCGGTGACATGTCCGTCGTGGTCACGTGTTGTGTAACCGTCCCGGTTTGTAGGTTGCTCTGATCAGGATTCTACTTGATAAGAGTCCTTGCCTTCCGGACGTGGCCTTCTGCCTAACGTATCCGCCTTACTAGTTCGTTCAGCTAGCAGGGGTCTGTAACACAATACTATTAACAGACAGGTTAAAGTTTGCCCAGAAAAAAGGAGAACTAACTAACTAAGTCAGACTAGAATTATCTGATATAGTGGCAAGCTGAGCAGTATTATACTTGTCAGCTAGATACTCCAGCTCCTGGAGATCCTCAGTGCTTGAAGAATCCTTATTATCTAGCAGATTTAACATATTCAAGTTGTGATCTAATATCTGACTACCATAATTCTTAAGAAATTTTTGATATTTTTATAAATATTTTATTTTCATAAATAACTGCTCAATCTACTCTTCAGTCTCTTCAATCTCTTGAGCTATCTTTTCTTTATTATATTAAAGTTTATCCTACTCGAAATCACTGTGAAAATGTTTTTTATACTTACAGCCACAACAAATGCAGGCCACATAATTTCAGCTCTTAGAATCCATAAAGCAAGAAAGACTGTGGAAATCACACCAGGTGTAAGAGAATTTGACCTGAATACTGCTGTGAATGATTCAGTTAGTCTAGTAATAACACTCCTTGTAGTGATTACACGGAGACATGATGATCTATCCTGGAAGAGAAAGGAACTGAAGGACTTAGATTAACACATACGGGGACACGCATCTTTATATTCTTGAGGATAAGAATCTTGAAGTAAGAAAGGTGGTGTTACAGATCCCTGCTAGCTGAATAACTAGTAAGGCGGGTATATCAGGCAGAAGGCTACACCCGGATGGATGACTACTCTTATCAGATAAAGTCCTGAGCTGAGTCATCATGTGTTATATATCATATAACCATGGTATATAGATAAGCATATGGTATATAATATATTATCATGGTCTATAACTATTAAACGGGTATATGGTAGACCCGATGGTATATAGAATAATATATAAGGAATAAGATATATAAAAACACTTCTTCATATACTTAGCTAGTTCTATTCTTCATGCTTAATATAATCATCTTTAAGTAACCCTATGTTTAGAAACTTAGTAACAATACTCATCCATACTTACTTACGGATAGCTGCGTGGCACTATCTGGCCTTACTTCTCTTTTCTAGTTTAGGACCAGTCACCTTTTAGATAGTCATCAGTCTGACTTACCTTGATTCAGTTCGAAGGTACGTATTGGAACGGAAGCTAAGTTAACAGGAACAGGAGAAGCGATCCTAGGGTTTGACACACTCGTACTGACTGGTGCTTAATATATCAAATCTTAGAATTGCTTCTTTCTGTTTCTGTTAGCTTAGCTTCACTGATATATATATCTTTAAACTGAATTAAGACAGTGTCAGATTAATGATTATCTAAGAGCAACTGATCATAAATAAGAAAAGAGAAGTAAGGCTAGATAGTACCGCGCAGCTATCTGTAAATAAGTATAGAAAAGTATTATTATTAAGCTTCTAAATATATGATTACTTAAAAATGATTATATTAAGCATGAAGAACAGAACTAACTAAATATATAAAAGAGTGTCTTTATATATCCTATCCTCTGTATATTGTTATTATAATATATTATACTATTAATATATTATCTCATATTACTGCTATATCTCATTGTAGCGCTGACATGTTATAGCTTGTTAATAACATGTTTATTATAGTCACGTGATATGCAGCCATTCTAGGTGTTGTGATGGTAGTTCTCAATAATAGTTCGGTCTCACCCGTGCGCTGCTCTTATCAGTGCTTTCTGCCTGACGAATCCGCCTTACTAGTCGTTCAACTAGCAGGGGTCTGTAACACTATTCTAAATAATATCTGTTTAAAAAACATGTTCACAAGCTTGTGAAAAGGCCTCTAAGAAATCAAGCTTATTGTTACGAACCCCTGCTAGCTGAACGGACTAGTGAGGCGGACTTATTAGGCAGAAGGCCACGTCCGGAAAAGCAAGGACTCTTATCAAGTAAAATCCTAATACAAGTAGTCTACAACCAGGACAGTTACACAACACATGACCACAACGGACATGTCACCGACATGTTATAACATGGCAGCGCTATGACAGGACATGGCAGCACTATAACAGAACATAGCAGCGCTATAACAGGACATGCCAGCAACATAATATATCATGGCGACGCCATGACGAAGGATAGGATATAAGAACACTCTTTCACGTACTTAGCTAGTTCTGTTCTTCGTGCTCAATACAACTGTCTTTAAGTAACTATACATTTTAGTAAAGCTTAATAACAACACTTATCCGCACTTACTTACAGATAGCTACGCGGCACTATCTAGCCTTACTTCTCTTCTTCTGTTCAGGACCAGTTGCCATTAGATAGTCATCAGTCTGACTTACCTCGATTCAGTTCGAAGGTACGTATTGGAACGGAAGCTAAGCTAACAGGAACAGGGAGAAGCGATCCTAGGGTTTGACACTTATTTATATAATTAATTCTTAAGCATGCCTGCTTCTCTATCAAGCTGCCGTACGCCCGCTTTAGAGGTGAAAAGCAGCCAATATTTAGAGACTGTAGTAGATGTGATAAATATATAAATATATAGATAGAAATAATATCATTCTTACTATATGTTTAATCAAACTAAGATATTAAATAACTACTATAGCCGTCAAGAATAAGAAGACAATATCTGCCAGTTATACAATTAGTAATAAGAATAACGAGATTTTGAAGCCAGTAAAGACCTATCTTATCTATAGTCCATCTGTTAGGATTAATCTCAATCCTACTATCACGTGGGAGTTTGATATCTTGATACCAACCCTCTATATAGACCTTACCTTTAAAGATCATATATAGAGGAAGCGCCCAACTAATAGAGTTAATATACTTAAGTAAAGTAACCTATTCTTGATTATCTAGCTATACAAGAGAGGTCTTTCTATAATAGTTAGCTCTAGTAACTACTTAAGCAGTAGTTACTAAGCCCATAGCAAAGCCAGTTTTATCAAAATTATAGATATCTTCCTGTGTGATCCCGTGTTATATTATCATGATTTATATACAGTTAAACTATTCTTATATAATCTTAGGATCTTTATATTTAGTACTTTGATAATCATAACATCAAGTATAGCAAGTTTTCAAACAATCTTATTATCTAATAAAGTTAGTGACCCAGTTCTCTTTAACTGATTGAACTGGGGTAGTATCACATTGAGTAAGTAGAATATTGGCCATTTTTCATATATAGAACGGTTAGGGAGGGGCTCTATATTAATCTAACACTAGAATTCATTATATAAGTAATTCCTCTTTATTTTGAGTCAATTTATGACTATTAGCGCGTGTTTCTGAGCGTGAAGATATACCGCGTAATCGTCTGCGAAGGGTTGTTTCAGAGACATTATATATACAAGCTGCTTCATGAATACTAGAGATTTCTGATTTTTTAAAGCAGAAACAGCTAGTACAGCTCTACCCTCTTTCTCAGCTAAATTTCTTGAATTTTGACGCGCTTTTGGAGGCATGGTTGGTGGTTGATTTGAGCGAGATTTTTAGTCGCGTATAAAATGCGAGAGGTGCGCCGCTCGCTTATGAAATACGTTAAATAACGTACGAAGTATGTATAAGCATAAATTATACTGTCTACATATAACTATAGTGTATCTCGTGACTGCTGACTGATGGGAATGCCAAGAAACCCGTGTTCCCGATGTCATGCCGTTTCGGGCTGTTGTGCCTCTCCACTTGTTTCTTTCTCTTCCTTCTTCCATCCCATCTTCTTCTTTTTTTTGCTCCTCCTCTCTCCCTGCTGCTTCTTCCTCCAGTCGTACTAATCTCTCATATCTCCGGCCCAGCAATCATGGCTTCCCTCTCCCACTTTGTCAACTTCTCCCAGCCGTCTCTCCAATGTACGTGGATCCCCCATTCTTTCTCCCCGCATGTGATTCTCAACTCCCATCTCTTCTCCAGGGGCCGCGCTGGCCATTGCTTTCAACCCCATCTTCTGGAAGTAAGTGCCTCAACTCGATCTGTCCGGTACGATCACCTCTGTGACTAACCGATCTTCTATCCAGCATCGTCGCCCGTGCTGGTTGGTCCTACCCACCCTCCCCTCATCCATGACCAGGCCCACAACTTCTGCCTGGGTCCACCTATCCACCCGTCTTCGGTATAAAAGGCTTATGGCACCCCCTGTCATCTTGTTCTGTAGAGTATCGGAGTCACTTCTTGACTCGTATATTCGGTAATGCCTATTACGGCTGCTACTTCCTCGCCATCACCATCTTCAGCCTGGGAATCCTGCGAGACCATATCTACCAAGTGGCCCTGGAAGATCAACCCTACTATGCCCCGGTGCACCAACCGATTCTTGGCGGCTTCCTTTTCGCCGTTGGCTCTGTCCTCGTTCTATTCAGCATGTATGCCCTCGGAGTAACCGGCACCTACCTTGGAGACTATTTCGGTATTCTGATGGATTCCCCCGTCACCGGATTCCCCTTCAATGTCACCGGGTCCCCCATGTACTGGGGAAGCACTCTGAACTTCTTGGGAGTTGCTCTCTATCGGGGCAAGGTGGCGGGCGTCTTCCTGACGGCCGAGGTCTTCATTCTGTACTGGTTCGCTCTTCAGTGGGAAGAGTAAGTGCCCGATCTTCTTTCCCTCTGTCCACAATGGTCATGGGTACCCTTGCAACTGAAGCCTATACCCACATGTTCCAAGCCCCAACGCAAAAAGTCATGGACATGGTACCCCACTAACCCCGGCCTGGTAGTCCCTTCACGGCGGAAATCTACGCCAAGCGGGAACGTGAGCGCGCCAAATCGAAGCAGGGCGGCAAAAGCTTGTAAGCCTAGGCCCATCGGCATTTTGGAGGGTCTGGGCACGTACTCTACTTCAACCCTCCTGCAATGCAATGCAGACCAATTTGCCTGCGGGAGCGGAACTTGGACCTTCAACTCCCACGCCATTCCTGCCAGTCATTGAGTGAAAACACAGACCTCCCCCCAGCCCTAGGATCTAGGTAGGTAGGTGTTATGGTAATGAAATTCGAAGCCTAGCAGAGGATACACTCGGTCTTCAACAATGATCTGCTAGTCCACCAGTCAGTCGAGAGAAAGGAAAGAGAAAGAACAAGAGTGTGATGGGCAGGTAAGCAGTATCTGGCCATGCAAGTCAAGCGAAAGGGGGAATTGCTTGTAGATAACTAGGAGGAGAAAACCACCATTTCTATCACCTTTCATGTAGCAGGAACAACGGGTATCATTTGCTACGCTTGTGTAGTTCTGCGATGATCACCAGTTATCATAACCCACACCGTATCCCAGAGGGAGTTGTAAAGCAGCTAATTCACTAGGCAAATCCAATCAAATACCATCGTATAATTGTCGCGGATAGCCAAATGACACCGGATTCCCTCAACCAAACCGCCAACTCCACGCTATGGATTTTCAAGAGTGGAAGTGATGCGTACGTACACCTGGCACCAGCGCCGTCCGAGCTACAAACGAGCAAAGGTATATAGTACGCCTGCCAACTTCCAAGGCTCGGTCTATGCCCGGCGACCTCTGCCTCTCTTGTTCGCTGTCCGGCTTTCCTCCACCGTCTCAATTTCGTCTTCGTCGGCACCCTTTTTTAGATCCTCCCCTTCCGCCAGCCCCCATCTCTGCCGGTCATACCAATCTTCCCCATCGCTCAGCTCGCCGACGTGGCCCTCCGCCTTGCACCACTCTAGCACGTCATCTTTCATCCGACAGGCTCGAAGGAGAGACTCCAGCATGTGCTCGAACCCACGGACAGTCTCCTCCTGTTTCTGGACATAGGACCAAAGCAGTCGACGTGTATCTTCTGCTTCATTGGGCGGGAGACCGAAGTTTGCATCTGGCCGGATCGAGTCCGGTATAAGGAAAAGCGGATGTGGTATTGGGAGACTCCCTAGAGTGTCGTCAGATGGGGACGGAGAGAGTGACCCGAGTTCTTCCTCCTGCTGTGGATTCGCTGCGTTGGCCTGGGCCCGCGTTGTCATTCGCCGGGGTGGCTCGGGTGATGATCCGTCTTGCATTTCTGCATCTCTGTCCGTCTCATCTGCCTGGATATTGTCTCGGCGGTCGGGGTCGGCATGCGCATTGCCCTGGACGGCAGAACCTCCGGGTCCTTTTCCATCTCTGTCCAGGGTGCCGTCTGAGTCCGACATCCGATCCTCATCAACTTTGTTGTTTGCTATATTGCTTCCGTTGACTTGCGGTTCCAGGTTGGTTGTCTCCGAGTGATGCGGCAGGTCGCCAACTGGTGTATCAACTTCTTCAGATTTGGGCTCTCGGGTCTGTTCAAGCGCATTCGAAACAAGGTCTTTGGGTATCGTTTCCTGCTCATGAGCATCGGCCATCTCAACGTCCTTTTCCGCCGCAGATTGGCTTCGGATATCCTCATTCTGCGTGGCCCGGGACAACTTTGCATCTCCTGTCACTAACGACGCACCTTGTGTGCCGTTCTTCTGAGCAGCAGGCGCCCCTGACGCCAAATTACTGGCAGTCCCGTTGGGCTTATACTGACTCACCGATGAGCTACGTGTAGTACTAGCCATCCGGGGCTCAAAGATCGATCGATCTTCAGACGTTTCAACCGCTCCCGATGGCATCCAGGAACTGTCGCCCAGAAACTGCCGGTGTAGATTTCTTGCCCGCCATAACAATGCTCTTTCCTGACGTAGCTTGGCTTCAATAGCCTGTGTCATGTGTAGCAGAGCCTTCGAAGTATAAGCGTGTGATAGAGAAGGATGAGTGGGGAGTTCGGACGGATGTTTCAGAGGGCACAAGAAATCTGGTTGCAGTAGATTCATTAGTAGGACACCTCTGATATCCAGCAGATAATGGACAAAAGGCCTCACTTTCTAGCGCGATTTCCGAAAATGGATTTTCTTCCGCCGCAGCGGCATCGGCCTCGGAGTCTTCATCATCCTCGTCCAGCTCATCCCCTTCCGAATCATAGCGCACAGGATTAGGCTGGAGTATATAACGCGTATATCCAGCATGTTCAATTTTCTGTGAATGGATACGTCCCACTAACCGTCAGTCGTCTTCAGTGCACATGCTTCATCACCGTCGTCGACCAGTAGCCCAGGGAAGAGATGAGGGGCTGCGGGGGTGAAGCCAACCTGTTTGTAAAGTTTCTCGGGGTGAATATAGCCCAGTGCACCCTCCCGGACAAAATTAGAGTTTGCGCGTAGCTTGTTGCCCCGGTTTGTTGGTTGACTGATCGGTTCATCGGGTCCGGAGTCTAACAAGAGCAACAGTCAGAGAGAAAGTCGAAGTAAGCAAGATGAACACGAGATCGGACGGACAGTCATTCTCCTTGCGGAGGGCTCTTTTAATGCCAACAATTGTGTCGGCAATCAGGGCCGCCTGCGCCGCCATGGCTAGTAGGATTGTAGTGAACGGACGACGGCAGAGGCAGCCAACGTGATAGCGACAGAAGTAGCCGAAAGAACGAGAACGGCCACCAGCGGTCGGACGAGGCAAACGGAAGGGTGGGGGGAGGGGGTTTGACAAGAGAGACTGACACCATACGGAGGAAGGGCCGCGGGGGAGAAGGAGCGAGACGAGAAGGGGGGGGGGGAGAAGGGAAGAAACGAGGGCAAGGAAGGAAGGGGAGGGAAGTCGAACGGGCGCAACTCTTCCTCTGCAGCCGCAGGCTCTCTACGGATTGGGACCAGCTGCGGGCGCCGTCCCGATCGCCGCCGCTAGGCCGCTTCGGGCAGCGCGTGGATAAAGGGCTCGGCACGTGATGGATACCAAGTATCTACAATATGTAATTCATTGTTGCAATATACTACCTCCTCGGTTAATCCTCCGCATCAACCCAGACTAATATCCCTTTCTTATCCGATCGCATCTCCTCCGTCGGAAGTACCCGCAGCGTCTTGTTGAAGTACGTATCCACCACAACGAGCTGGGGTTGGATCCACAAGCCTCGTTTGGACGCCAGCAAGTTATACCGGACCGTTTGCCGGCTCAAGGGCACCAACTGGACCACCATCGTCTTCGGCCCACTGAACGCGAAATTCTCACTGGCTTCCATGTTCAAATTGAAAGTCAGAAAGTGCATCGACGGGTTCTCTAGCGTGTAGTCAAGATGGATCAACCCGGACAGCGTATTGGAGGCCTTGGCCGAGGCGAGCACCCGAGGCTCACCGGCCGGAATAACAAAGCGGGGGATAGCAAGCGTGGATGCGGTGACGGCGGAACCGTTAGTGAGCGGGCCATCATCGGCTGCACTCCGCCTCCACTGGATTTCTAGGGCGAGGTTCAAGGCTGTGGATCGGCGGTCACCCAGTATCTCCTTCTGGACATCGACGATGAAGTTCGACTCGCGAAGCTCTTCCGGATGGATCTCCACCACCTCGGGGTTGATGGCCTCCTCCGGCCCGATGAGGCTGGAGGCTGCGCCGCTGAGCCCGAGCAACGTCAATGACATCTTCTCGATAACCAGAGGTTCCAACGCAAAAGAGACAACCTTGGAGTTGAGACACCATCTCTGTTGCAAACCCCCGGGTCTGGATTCCTCCCCATTCGTGAGCAAATCGTCTTCCACGGTGAAGAAATCCGGCCAGGACTGAGGATGAATGCGTGGGAGAAATTCGTAATTAGCCTCGAACGGCCGGGTGATGGTTAAGCCAACACGCATGGTTGCGATGATAGGCGTCTGGGTATCAGAGATTAGGTTGTATACAGTGGATATTTCTAGCTCGTAATTCGAAGCATCATTGGTGTCTGTGACCACAATCAATAGCTCTTGATGAGAGGAGCGCTCCATCACGCCTATAATCCGTTTGATGTAATGAGAGACGCCTTCAGTTGGGGTGCTTTCCCCAGAAGCGTGCATCTCCGAGGAACTCTCCTCATCGAACCATCGGATCTTGGCCGCTGACTCGGGACGACCGAAAAGTCTAGTCTCAGCGGAAACATCTGCAGCTTCGTCTTCTTCGTTATGAATGCCAACCCGGAGGACAATTTGTTCGTTCGTGTAGTATGTGCCCCGGAGATTTAGTAGCTCTATCCGTATCTTTGGCGGTTTGGGCAGTATCTTGCACCGGACAGTATCACGGCCTTTACCCACGCGTCGTCGGCTTGGGCCCTTCGTGGTCTGTTGCCACCAATATGACTGAGATTGGGTCAGATCAGTTATAGCGCTGGCAAGATCAAACTTTTCTTCTTCAACTGTTAGAGTTATCGATGCAACGCGCGACTCCCCGGCTTCTCTAGGAATACATGTAATGTCATACACCTTCGTCTGGGAAGGCCCGAGAGTCAGATCGGCAACCCCAGTCAAGGCCGCCAGCCCACTGGTGGGTGATTGAAGAGACGATGGATCTTCTGCTATGGTAGGATCACGTAGAGATGGCGACAGTATTGTGCAAGGGACAGTTTGGTCAGCATCCAGGTTGTGATCAGCTTGAAGTCTTATTGAGCGAAGGCAACCCTCGAAAATGACTTTAACCTCGGAGAACCTGATGGGGCTTGCTGATGGCTGGGCGCACGAGGATATCACGAGTTGGCCCTTCAACGACTCGCCAACATTCCCTTCTGGTCTTTGGAATACGAAAGATGCCGTGACTGGAACTCGGGAAACTGTAAGCATATGGATGTCACAGGAGGCTTTGGTGGCAACTTGCCGCTAGATGTTATATCCTCCGCGCGCATGACAACCGATGGCTTGGGCTTTACCAAAGGAACGCTCTCAAGGCTGCTGTGGAGGTCGTAAGGCCACTCAGGCCGCGGTGGAAATACTGATAAAGGATAAGTGGTTAGATGTGGGGTCATGTGGGGTATTTGAATCACAGTGGTCAAGCAATAGGACACAACTCGAAACAAGAAAATCCTCACCCTTGTGTAGCAGTTCCCAATCAACCCGCAGAACCATATCGCTGTCGTGTACTCGCAAGGCACATTCCCGCAAGGCCCAGCCGAATTGTGCCATGAGCTGCCACCAGCCCGAGCGCCGCCACGACAAGGTTGGCCACAGTGGGTGAAGAATTTCATAGGCCTCCGACCATGAGCCTAGACGCATGTGTTCTTCTGCAATCTCCAAGCAAAGACTCTCTGCTTTCCGAGTTTGGTCTCTCTTAGAGAACTCCTCGAGTGCCGCTTTCAGCGCATCTAATCTCATCAATGAGTGATTGAAACCCCTCGCTCCTGGCTGGGGTGCTTCAACATGGGGCTCAGGCACCAGGTAGGTGTCATACAAGTAAGACTTATTTGCGATCTGTGAAGCAGGGGACTGCCCGGGAGATAATCGATCATCCTCCGGGATTTGCTCCGCCAGAATTCGACGATACTTGGTGTGTTGTGCCGATCGATAAAACCAATATCCCTCGTGGTGAAGCTGTTCCCACGGAATGTACGCGTCTGGCGTCGATATAGACTTGTCGCGTGGGACGAAGATGGAGTATTGCTCTTGGAACTGATCCTGGGGGATACCCAGCGAGGTGAAGTGTGGGATACCGGCTTGACGGACTAGTTGAGCCATTACCATTGACCATCTGGCTTCCCAGGCTTCCCAGCCATAGTTTTTGGTGCCTTTGCCTCGACGATCGATGATGTCTTTTGAGCGGTTTCGATGACCCGCCCAAGACCGCACCGCGAGAGTTGTTTGTCCCGTCAGCAGCAAGCAGCGAACGATGCGTACGGCCAACGCGTCACCTAAAAGACGTGCATCATTGAATCTAGGGTTCCAGCCAGCTATGTATTCGAATACCTCTTGTCCGAATAAAGTCTCGTATGCGCTTTCGTAATTTCTCAATGCTGCATCTATTTCTTGGCGGAATTCCGCAAAAATTCCCAGTTTGAATTCGTATCGGACATTCCACCCCTGAGTCGACAAGGTCTGGGAGGTTCCACTTGTCGGCGGCGCTGTCGGCGGCGGAATGGTGCCTCGGTTTCGTTTGCGCCTGGCGTGCTTTGAAAGATCCCGGTAGTATTCCATCACCGATGGCTGAAGAAGAGACAACAGTGATGTTGCAAACTCCTTCAGTTCCACCGAAGTCGCATCGGATGGAAGGAGAAAGATGGATTTCTGATCTAGGTTGGTTGCCCTCCGGATGCTTGCCATTCTGTCCTCGGCATCCCCAACATAGTTGCCTGTGCTCTCCTCCGACAGGAGGACAACTATAGACCGAGTCTTGTAGGTAGAAGAGACCCATTCCTTCTTCAGCTCATTTATTTCTATCTTGAGTTGGTTGTCGCGCAGCGAGCTCATATTAGGGTCGAAGCAAAAGGGGAAGAAGTTGATTACTGCCGCAGGAACGAGGTCCTGGTGCTTCGTGACCCATAGAGGGCTAAGCAGGCCATCCGGGAAAGTTGGCGAGCTCGGCGTCAGCGGAGATATAGGCGAATGAAGAACAAAGGATGTTCCACGCGATATGTCACTGTCTTGTCCGGCCGTTGGGCTCGTCGGGGTAGATACGGGTGGGGGATCGGCTTTGCGCGGGGGGAGACTGTAGGACTAGACGGGCTGTCAGTGGAAATGCACGCGAGCCTGGGAGTAAGGGAATATATGGAGGCCGGATGGGGTCTAGCAGAGGAAGCCAGCGCGTCGTACGAGTATCACACTTTGTCTGTGGGCTCGGGTGGGCTATTTGTTTGTCTCCGGTGTCAAGGTGCAGCGGAGAAGGGGGGAATGGTTTTGGCAACCAACATGCATCGACTTACCCGTCCAACACTCTTGATTTTGTACTTGAACTTTGATGGATTCTCATATGCGTCATCCCTCAGGTCCCATGGGACACGGGAAGCGTCCTCTTCTAGGAGCACACGCCGTAATTCCCCCGCGACTGGGCCGCTCAAGGACGGGAAATCCGAGTATATCTTCACGCCCTTCTCCCGGAGGAGAGGATAGTCGGCCCGCACACCTTGCAGGTCATCGTCTGAGTTTGCCTCAAGACCGGAGAGCAAAATAAATGGAAGGTTGTGGGTGACATAGTCTTCCGGATAGGCGTCCATTGCGGACACAAGCTGCTTCGTGGTGCTGTCGGTCACCGCATCTCTGGCTGGATCGAGCAAGGCGTCTTCAACGGCCACCACGGGGTGACTAGTCTGATAATATCTAGCTTGCAAGGCAATGTATAAGGTTCCGTGCTTGATTCGAGTGCACTGTGGAGAAATATTCCTTTCGCTGTTTGCGATCGCGGGATTCCACCTGGATCAACATTCAAGTCGGACTGTCGGAGACGATTTGATGGTCCGTTTCGGTTACTATCGCCGAAACATGCCAAGCCTGTCTGTACCTGTCAGGCATCATCGGAACTTCAACCATCCCACGCCATGCCTTTTCTCGTGAGAACATTTCACTGTGGTCAGTCTGATTCCTTTTCATTGAAGACGTTGGATTTCAGCTGGTCTGGTTGTGTGGGACCTTTGGTGTCACAGAACCTTGCATGTCTATCTCATAGCTACTTGGGCCTGCCACGGTGAAGTCAAGATATATAATTGGTTCAACCAAATTCCCCAGGAGCTCAGTAGTAGCGAAAATGAAAACATGCACGAAGCTTTTACGTCTACTGCCGGTTCGAGTCCGGTTCTAAAGTGCTGGAGACCTCCCCTCCGCCTCCAAGCAGATTTAGATGGTTACTCCACTTCGTACTGAATTGAGTTTGACAACCTCAGTCTCTGCAGTCTCCAGACACCAGCGATATGATCATTACAGTATCTGTGCATTTGGCGCCCGAGTCAGAGTTCAGACATGGTCAGATGGACCTCTAGCTGCTTTAGGCGAGGCATGTGTGGCAGTGGATCCGCTTGAACTTGCGGATAATTCTGCGGTTTTTGCCAGTCCAGTCATTATTATTCATCGTCTGCTTTGTGTACATCTTTGGTAGGTAGATCAAGTGCGATATAACTGATATTTATATTCAGATGGACCGTACCTGGCTACTGTGTATTCGCACCATGACGCCATAGCATGCAGTCCGAATGCAAAACGCCCATCCAGATCATGGTCCTAACGACCTTGCATATCGTTCCCGGATGGGCGATCATCAGTATGGTTGGATCATAAGGAATTTGGGACTTAGGAGGCGGCAAAGTCCGCCCCAGGCTCACGGAACCATTGACCCTCATTTCGATCTCAGCCAGCCTGTGGTCCGGTGGGGAATTGGAGGGCGGAAGCCTCCATCCAGTCCCTGGCGATTTCGTCGCTTCCGTGGACAAAGGACAAGCTAATACAGAAGCATTGAACACATGCCACATTGGTATTGGGTAAATTAACATAGATTATCTAGGTTAGGGTGAGCCTGGTGGGACACTCATCGCCATCATCAGCATTATCAGTATATAATCCTAGTTCGCTCACTCTTACTCCCTTGATTACGACCAGGGGTTCTGTCCTATCCAATGTACAGTGCGGCCATGTTGAAAGTTGAAACATACCGGATCAACCATAGAAGGGAGCCAGGTTCCCCTGGATAGGCATGATGATATACTCCGTACGGAGTACAGTAAAAGAAACCTGCCACACCCTTAAAATTTGGATCTGCGAACTGTGCGGAGGATGAAATGGCGTATTCAATTGGAATTGAGGAGTGGAGGTCATGCAGGGACACTAACACCGGGCGGGGACCTGGCCGGGCAAATGACAGTGCAGAATCGCCCTCGGATTTCTCTTAGTCGTGAATTAATCTAGTAGTTCTCTCTTTCCTGTCTTGCCGTCCGCAAAGCATCAGGTGAGGGAACAAACGAAGCAGAGGGCGCTGCTGGTTGCGGAAGGAGGACCGGGGACACTTCTGGGCAGTGATTTTCTTTTCTTCATCTCAATGGCTTTGGACCAATTCTATTGATCTTCCTCTTTCTCCTTTCTTTCCCCATCCCCCGATCCTCCTGCCCCTCCATCCATCCCTCGTCGTCCTCTCTTTTTCTTTTTTTTGGTACTTCCCTCTATCGTACTTCCGTTCTTGCCTTTCCTGGGCTTCCCCCTTTCCTATTACGATTTAATGCGATAATTACCTTATCCACTCCTTTCACCAATTCCTCCCCATCTCCTCGCGCCCTGCCGCATACCTACAAACAAGCAGTCTCAAGTTCTTCAACTCCCCCTCTCCCCTCGGATCGGCAACCCCCCCTCCCTCTCCGTTAGGGTCTCGCTTCTAGACAATCACGTTCGGCAAGGGGGCTTACTTGCAGAGCGCAGGGGCTTTGATAGGACCACCCTGGATCTTCCAGCCTGCATTCTGACTGGCACATGCGCCAAGCGCCCGCAGTCTATTGATTATTGCCGTTAAGCTACTGAGCTTGCAGACGCTATCTTGCGTTCTCACTGGATCATGCAAGCGCGCACTACGCTCGACCACATATATCGTCGGTGACTGTCTCCTGACTCTGGCCGGGGTGAAGTCTTTTGGACCGTCATCTTCCCTGTCGATGGCCGCCATGGATCGCGTGGAGGATCCTCTGGCGTCAAAGGTTGATGCCCCTTTTCAGCCCTCCCCTCTGGTCCCCCGGCATCACAAGTCCATTCCTTCGCGCTCACATCCCACTGACCCTTCGACAACGGTCGACCCGGCCTCTCCCGAAGTTATCTCCTCTCTGATCTCGTCACTCTCTACGATCTCGGTGCCCCTCCAGTCTCATTTCGACAACGTTCCGCGCATTGGTTCGGAGACGGCCCCTTCTGCGCCTGTGTACATCCTTTCAGGTCAACATTTCAGCCCCGACCAACATCAACTCAGCGAACATGGTTTTGGAGTGAGCAACAGGGCGCGCCAAGCGTCCGAGGAGGCATTACAGACCCCCTTCCTGCATCCAGATGATGCGGCTGCTCCTCCTGTCATTCGCATGGCACGGGCGCCTCCATCCCCCAAATCCAAAGCGACTCTCGACCCCCCTTTGTCACCAGGAAGGCCAACATCTAGGGGCTCGTATACATCATCTAAAGCGGCCTATGAAGACTCTGCCTTTGGTACAATCACAACGGAACCAGGGCCTCGAGTCTCGACTGCTAACAGTGTCGCATCCTCGGGCTCCAGAAAAAGCCTGAGAAACCAATTTAACCTGCTCAAAAGGCCGTCCCGCGAGTTTTGCGGTGATAAGGATAGGCCGACTGACCGGCTGCGCAAGACTAGTAGTTTTAACGACGGTCTGAGACACAATATACCGCGCAGTCGTGCCAGTATACGCTCATTGTGTTCTATGGCCGACGTCGCCGAGGAGACACGCCCAGTACGTTCAGCCACCGAGCCCACCAGAGAAGCAACATTTAGCAGACCATCCAGTAAGGAACGCCACTCCTTGCAAAACGCTCGCGACAGTGCGCCGAACACGCCCGGCGGCATCGGCAGCGGACGGATTATTCCCGCCCGGGAGTCATCTTTACGGCACAGCTTCTATTCCAGCCCAAAGCATCGCAGATCCGCCCGTCATAGTCGGTACTCGTCAACAAGTAGCAGGGAAATGAAGATGGACAGCGCAGTGTCAGCCATGGGCAACGAGGCCGAACAGGTAACAAAAAGGATTCAAGAGTTGAAAGACCAACAACAAAAGATAAAGAGCGAATTAGAGATAGATGATACCCCAGACAAGCCTTCTAAATTTGCACCCGTCGCACCTGTTCGGCAGCCGCAACAGATCAGGGACAGCGGCGAATCTATTGGCCATGGGCAGGTGGCCCGCCAAGGAGATTGCGCTTTCGACGAAAGCGCGCCGGCCCCGGCAGTCATGACGGGCAAGAGCCGCTTCATTACTCGTAACGACCCTCCGCTGGCCTCCAAGTTTACCAATACATTGCCGCAGTCTTTGGATAAGTTAGACCCGCTCGCCCGCTATAGGGGACCTTTGGAGCAATCAGCTCCAGCTCTATCTCACAGGCGCTCTCCGTCTGATTCCGCTGCTCCTGTCTCGACTGGGGAGGATCGCCCCTCAAGTGCCGATTCCATTGACCTTGCGGTCTACGACTACATATTATCCCCAAAGCTTACCCAGAGGGTATCCCATCCCACATCAGGCCGTGCAATTGCGTTCTCGGAGGTAGGGGACCCTAAAGGTTATGTGGTACTATGTTGTCTTGGCATGGGCCTAACAAGATATTTGATGGCGTTCTATGATGAACTGGCACGGTCCCTGCGCCTTCGGCTCATCACATTGGATCGTCCAGGCGTGGGCGAGAGTGGGCCATATGTGGATGAGCCGGGAACTCCTCTCAATTGGCCTGGTGAGTATCATCTGTCTGATATGTTGTCATGCATTTGTTTATGGATCAACTGACGATATTCCAGACGATGTTGCGATTGTGTGTAACCACCTTAAAGTGACCAAGTTCTCGATAATGGCGCACTCTGCAGGTGCAATCTACGCGTTGGCCACGGCATTAAGGATTCCACAACATATCCGGGGTCGTATTCATTTGTTGGCTCCGTGGATCCCGCCTTCTCAGCTCTCTAGCATTGGATCACAAAAGGCCCCCGTCCCCACCAATGCCGTCCCATACTCGCAGCGTATACTTCGAGCACTCCCAACGTCTATACTCAAGGTGGCTAATTCGAGCTTCATGAGCGCGACTAGTGCAAGCCTTACGTCCAGTCTACCCAAGTCTCCTCGACGAGCTAAACGAAAAGCGATGCTGAAGGACACCTCCGGATCCACTGGTCCTGAAGCTAAGGGCACGCAACGACTCACTTCCAAGGTCTATCAGCAAGGAGCGGACTTTAAGGCCCTTGAGGGTCTGAAGGCACCGGATATTTCTGTAGGGGAGAGTTATCACAGGGCCGCTGAGCCGACAAAGAGTGAGGTCTTGCTTGCCTCGTCCCAAGAACGCGAACGCCAGACGGATTACGACAATCGACTTACCCATAAGATTTGGGAGCTGGCTACTACAAATGCGAATCCAGCGGTGGATTTGCTGGTTTGTTTAGAGCGTCGCCAGCCGATTGGATTCCGATACGTGGATATCACTCGAAATGTTGTTATTCACCATGGAAGTCGAGACACCCGTGTCCCTGTTGACAATGTCCGATGGTTGGGCCAAACGATGCGGCGTTGTGAGGTCCGAGTTCTGGAAGGAGAGGGCCATGGGCTGATGGCTTCTGCGGCAGTGATGGGCAATGTTCTAATGGAGATTGCCAAAGAGTGGGATGATTGGATGATTGTGGTCCAGGGCAAGCGTAGAGCAACCGTGGGGACACGTACAGGAATTGCAGTTCAAGCATCATGAATGCTGAAGATACAGTGAGTGCTGGGTGTTGCTCGCCCGGAACCCCTTTAGGAAGCGAGGAGAAGAATAAGAAGGAGGAAAAGAAGAAAAGAAGAGGGGAGTGACGGAGATGTCAGTCATTGAATAGATCCCCATGGGATCAGTTTCGAATGCTATGCGAATGGCTCAGCTGTATCGCTGCAGGTTTTGCGGTTCTTCGCTGCAGCTCTTCCCTCTAGCAGGGCATCCTACCCCCCCAGATCTTCAGAATCGCAGCTGTGAGCGGGCTGCGTCCATATGCCCCTGCATGCCACTATCAAGACTTGAAGCCTTGTTTTTTTTTTCTCTCTCTCTTTTGATCATGATACCATCCGTTTACAGCTACATACCCCGGTCATAGCATATATATATATAGACATTTGATAATTTAATCCATAATAAATTCCGAATCAACCATCGGCAGTATTGCAGTGTGTTGGCCGGGGCACCGAAGTACTAGTGCTCCGTGCTCCGTACGGAGTACCATACGGAGATATCGTTCGTTCCGCCCGACCCTCGCTGCCCCCACTCCTTACTACTCTTGTGGCCTCTACCTAGGAGCGCCCCATTCTTGCCCTGGGTTGTTTTGGAACCTTGCCCCGAAGGTCTCCTCTAAACCCCCGGTCTTTCCCCCTTCTTATATATCTCCGGCTTTGTACAAAGGTTGTAGGTTGCTTGCTCGCCCAATGTCCAGCCATTCTTGGTATTGGAGCTGCACCTATGACCTGTCGGCTCAACCAGCCTACTCTTGAACCACCCTAACTGATGCGCAAAGCTGCCATTGGCTCGCAAACCACCCGACGGTTCATAATAATCGTTACTACGACTCTGAGAAATTTCAGTGAAATCGCTCTTGTTCTGCGTCCTCCATCGAACAACGTGTCCCCTGTCAAAGATGCTTTCGCAGCGGCGCATTAGGCTTCTGACCATTGCCGTGCTGGTGATGGTCCTGATGGCCTTTTACTATTCGGTACGTCTCCTCTGGGCTGGTTTTCTTTGAATGGATACAATGGCTGATGCATTGCATGCCTTCCATCCAGAGTGAAGCACGGAGTGTCCAGAACCAACAATTCTATCGGTCGACCGTGGCGGCAATGGAAGCTCGAAAGCAGGCCAAGGAAGCGGGGACCCCAGCAAACATCCCGGCACCGAAAGAACAGACCATTCAGAATCCAATTAAGGAAGAGATGAAGCCTGTAGGGAACAACGACCGGGAAGAACCAGCCATTCCCAAGGCCAACGGTGCGGAAGAAATGGAAGAGATCCCAATCGCGGGCCGGACGAAGATGACGATACCCAAAAACCGAAATGATCTGGAGAAAGAGAATTCAGAACAGGCTCATGCCCAAGAGCCTGAGAGAGATGACCACGCGGCCGCGGTTGCTGAGTTGAATGGGATATTGAAACGAGCACCAAGTACGACGTTCATCATTTCTTCCGCGTTTGGAACTACTCACCCCGTGGGGATACCTGCTGACCATATACCTCCGCATCCAGTTATTGTCTTTTCGAAGTCCTACTGCCCGCATAGCGCCCGAGCGAAGTCCATCCTCTTAGACAAATACTCCATTGTCCCTGCGCCTTTCGTTGTGGAACTGGACCAGCATGAACTGGGTCGACCACTGCAGACATTGCTGGGAGAGAATACCGGCCGTCACACCGTCCCTAATGTGTTGGTGAATGGGAACAGCATAGGAGGAGGGGATGATGTGACAGCCCTCGACCAGAGGGACGAATTGGCGTCAACATTGAAAAGCTTGGGGGGCAAGTGGGTCCAGGAGGTCCGTCGCAAAGAATGAAGCCACTAGATAGTATGCAGATAGATAGACCTCATGACAGAGTGACCTGGATGTCTATGGCCAGAGTGACCGAGACATTGAGGGCTCGGTTTCCCGGCCATCATGCCAGTCATCGAAACCCTGGTCTCTTGTCAGTGGCACCCAATGGTTGGGCTGATCTCCAAAGGGGGACGTTGGCTCCGAGCAAATGGGATTACATGGGAGATGGGATTTGGGACGGGGGAGGGGGGAGGGGGTTTCTCAGACCATAATAGTACTACGTTGTATAATATTTAATCATCATGCATGTGATATTCTAGGATGAGACCCCTGCCACCATACTGCGAAGAGGGTGATTGTATGGAGATAACACCATCTAGATAGTAGTACGTTGCATGCTTCTACATAGTGGGACTTCCCATGGCATGGCAGGTGAGTAATGAGACTTCAAGACCACCGATGAGAATGAGGATGAGTGTAATAATACCTAGGTTATATTATTACTCTGTAGTATTATTAGTATTATGATGATTATTATTACTATTCTAATTATAATTAATATCATGAAAACCATGGGAGAAATAATACAAAGCCCGGGTCGAGACTATACCCAAAATGGGCAGCCCTAGGAAGACGGAACTAAACTGGATTGGGTCGTAAGCGACGCACAACCCGTGATTTTCGCTCCACCACTCCTCGACTGCGGTTTGCCTTGTCGAATTTCGATCCTTTCGACGACCGACCGCTCGACGATATCGACAATTCCCCCTCGGACACACCACAGCCCACGCAGTCAAGATGCGGTACATTTACTCCGAGGAACGGCTGCCCATCCCCGAGAATGGTGAGCATTCGATTTTCCCCGAGCGTCGTCGCTCTGTTCGCTGGTTGGAGGTGGAGGGAATCTGGATGGAGGGACAGGCATGCATCGAGGAGTTGGGGATGTAGGGATTGGGACGAGCGATGCGCCCGCTTCAGCTGGCGATCGCTGACAACAGAGATGCTTCTGATGCCTGTCCCGGTGCTTTTTACTGCACTGCGATCCAGTTTTGGTGATGTGGAGAGAACTCAGGACTGATTCGAATTTCCTCATACAGTGAAGGTTCACATTCGCTCGCGCATTGTGACCGTTGAGGGACCCCGAGGTATGCAAAAAATTCCACCATGCAACACCCCCGTCTTTCAACGAATTGGAGCAATTCGTTGTTTCGGACGTCGTGGCCCATCGCCTGGGCAATGTGCCCGGGTTTACTTGTATCCAGCGACACTAACATGGGCGTTTTCCCTACCGTTCAGGCAAGCTCGTCAAGGACCTCTCCCACATCGCTGTTACCTTCGGCCGCCCCGAGAAGAATGTCATCTCCATTGAGATGCACCACGGTGTCCGCAAGGGAATCGCTTCCCTTCGTACCGTCCGTACCCTCATCAACAACCTGATCATCGGTGTTACCAAGGGCTTCAAGTACAAGATGCGCTACGTCTACGCTCACTTTCCCATCAACGTGAACATTGAGAAGAACTCCGAGACCGGCCTCTACGACGTCGAGATCAGGTATGCCGAACTCACCCATCGCACGGATCGGAAGCTGGGGCTTGAAGCGGGTCGGAATGGGCATCATCTCTGCTCGGACTTGGGCTTCTTGACTCATGGTGGCAGGTCAATATTATGAAGGAGAAGACACTTACTGATGGGTATTGCGTTTGAACAGAAACTTCTTGGGTGAGAAGTACGTCCGCCGTGTGACCGCCCAGCCTGGCGTTGAGGTCATTACCTCCCCCAACGTCAAGGACGAGCTCCAGCTCTCCGGTAACTCCCTGGAGGGTGTCTCCCAGAGTGCTGCCGACATCCAGCAGATCTGCAGAGTCCGCAACAAGGATATCCGTAAGGTAAGCAGAACTTTGTGGTGTCCCCCACTAGTGCGACAGCTGCTGACGCGGGTTGCGCGGAACAGTTCCTTGACGGTCTGTACGTGTCGGAGCGGGGTAACATTGTCGAGGAGTAAACGGTGGTTGTCCGCCCTGGTGGGTAGTGAAGGATGTCTGGAGAATCTCTTTTTCGCCTACTTGCATAGGGAAGCAACGCGGAATTTAAAACCAAAATCATGGAATTCAAATGCCCCTTTACGTGTCCACGGGTCGGGATGGCTCTGTTCCTCCACCGGGGAGAGAGTGGTGTGTAGACAAAGAAAGAAAAGGTCGGATTTTTTTTTTCTCTTGTGGCGAACAATTCAATATCCGCTTGTCGTTCTTCCACTGCTTCGTCGGAGGTGTAGTGTAGGGATCCGTTCGTGTTCATGTTCGCGGAGGTATTGCGGGGAACCACCGTTGCGATCATGTCATCCATCATCCATCATCCATCATCCATCATCCATCCATCCTCCAGCCTATTCATCGTCTCTCCCGACTCACCCATGCATTGTCCATCGGTTCCTTCTTGCCCCCCCTCAATCCCCCACACCCGATTTTTCTTTTTTCAAAACAAAGAAAAACAAAAAACATTTGTCCTTGGTCGTGAAGGTAGCTTGCATGCTGTTCACGATCTCCGGAGTCCGGCGAGCATGTGAATGGTACTGCCCCTCGTCATGTGCCAATGCTCTTCTTGAACCAACGCCCCGGCCTAGAAATCCTCGGTTATACCTCAGTCGCCATGGAGACTTGGGTGACCCTCTGCGGGCTTTTCGCCGCGGTCCTTGGTATGATTTTCGACGTGGCGCGGTTCTGGAAAGAAGTACGTTGTCCTATTGAAGCTAGTAGCTGGATAGGTAGCTAATGCCGCCTGTCGTTCAGCGATTAATCTCCTGGTGGAAATCCAAGTCTCCTCAGAAGCAACTGCAACATGCTCTGGCTACAGCGCTCACCTTTGAAGAATGGGAAGAGGCTGCCTTCGAGCTCGATGAGCTCCTTAGCATGGACCTATGGTAAGCTCGCCAAAGGTCCTGCATCGAACACTTGGCCTCGTTTTTGACCACCTGGAGTAGGCGCCAGAACCATACTAGCCGGCATTACGACTACCGGCTGATTGTAGGTAGAATGGAGGCTCTTATGAACGCTCGAGCGGATGAGGATATCCTGAACCTAGTTAATCTCCTTCGGTCTGGGTTACTTCGCAATCTCGGCAACATTACCTCCCCCAAGATGTTTCTGCACGCCTATGCCGGCACCAAACTTCTCATCGATGACTATATCACGCAGGTTGCCCTCTCTATTCAGCAAGTCACGACCCTTCAGACTGTCCCGGCCCACGACAGTGGGTTCACCTCGCAAGCAAAGCTGGAACTTCTGCACGATACCCGGCAGGCGTTCGGGAGGACGACCTTACTCTTACAAGGCGGGTCCATCTTTGGGCTCTGTCATCTCGGAGTGGTAAAGGCTCTCCATTTGCGTGGCCTCCTGCCAAGAATCATCACCGGAACAGCGACTGGGGCACTCATCGCGGCCCTGGTGGGTGTTCATACTGAGGATGAACTGCTCACGTTCCTGGACAGCGACGGTATCGACTTGAGCGCCTTCGATCGCCGGCGGAGGATGAAGACCCCTGGCGAAGACAGCTGGTGGCTGCCGTCTGATCTCGGAGACCGTTGGCTGGGGACTCTATTACGGCGAATCAAGCGATTTATTCAGAAAGGCTACTTCTTCGATGCGGAGGTCTTAGAAGAATGCGTGCGCGCCAATCTTGGTGACCTGACCTTTGAAGAAGCTTATGCCCGGTCCAAGCGCATCCTGAACATCACGGTTGCTACATCGAACAAAAATGCGACCCCGAATCTCTTGAACTACTTGACTGCACCAAATGTGGTATGTGGCCTTGTACGCTCTCATCCCTCGTGAACTAACATGGCTCCTAGTTAATCTGGTCCGCCGCTGTAGCTTCCAATGCCTCCAACAACTCGCTTTACCAGCCAGTTACAATATACTGCAAAGATGAAACCGGCTCGATTGTGCCTTGGCCGCATTCTCGGGATGCGACCTTTCAATCCTGGCGTCACGTCCACTACAACGACGGAGAATCACCACTGGCCCGAATTGCCGAGCTATTCAATGTCAATCATTTTATCGTATCGCAGGCCCGGCCATACCTTGTCCCGTTTCTGCGGTCGGACTTGAACCTGCTAGATCGGCGCCCAACAGGCCAGTGGAATATCACTCGGTCGCTGGTGCGTCTCATCATAGCGGAGGTCCGCCACCGTCTTCGTCAACTGGATTACATGGGTCTACTCCCGACCGCCCTCGCACGGCTCCTCATCGAAGAGACCATCCCTGGACCCAACCTGACCCTCGTGCCCGATCTCTCCTTGATGGACTTCACCAAACTCTTTCAGAACCCAAGCAAAGAGAGTCTTGCCCACTGGTCCCTCAAGGGGGAACGGGGCGTCTGGCCCGCTGTCAGCGCGCTGAAAGTTCGCTGCGTCATTGAGATCGAGCTCGACAAGGGCTATCAGAATGTCCGCCGCCGCCGACCAGCAGGGGAAACGTCAACCGCGCCGCGTCGCGTACCTAACGAGGGACTCCCGCGCCGACGCCGAGGATACAGTATTGACTACGGAAGAGATGCGATCAACTTCTCGGGCAGTTTAGATTGCCAAGATGATTCCAATTACTGAGTTGTTTATGCTCGTGCGCAGGCCACGCCCTTCTTGCTCATGCTCAATAAGTATAACTATGGTTACTTAATTCCTGGATAAGGATTTACCATTCCCTAGCTTATTTCTCTTCTTCTTCTTCCTCGTACTTCCCCCCTCTTCCCTCTAATATTCCATCATCTATTGACTGTGATCATCAATCCCCACAAGTGTCACAAAGGTATAGTTATGCGCTGCCAACTTGCCTGAGGTCTCCTTGTTATCTAATTGATAATGCATATGCATCGATGAACCTGTTAATCAATCAACCCACCATGAGTTGGATTTTTAGTTATAACTATGGAGATTCATTCTCTCTGATTCGAGATGTGAATAAATGAACTACAAATTAATCAATAAAGAAGCACTGCGTTGACTATGCAGCTGAAGTCGCTAACCGCTATGGATACCTTATAGAAACTGGTATCAAGAAAGGGAAGATATATACCGGGTGGATGATCTAAGTTGAACTTTGTATAACTCACTGGAATACTAAATGTTGGGTAGGAGAGTATAATGGGTTTCTTACTTGAGCAAGTTGAGAGCTGTGCCTCATGGGGCGTTCGTCAGGACAGAGGATGTCACTTCTCAACAACTTTGTCTGCAATTTTTTTCTCTGCTTTTCAACCCAAGGAGTTGGCCATGAAGTCAATTGCACATCGGATAGCAGTGAATATCGCTCACACGATTCCTCTTCAAGTAGTGTCCTGTATAATAGTAGATAAGAGAATGCTATATAAATCACATATACTCATGACACTGATACTCCAGCCCGGACTAAGACCGAGCGATCCACCGTCATAAAGCAGCTATGTAAATCACGAATTGTCGTATTGATCACATGAAGTCATGATAGCTCGATTGATTCCGGCGGACCCTTGAAGGCTACAGCGCGGTTAGCTGTGAGAGAACATAAAGGTTTTATATGGGACGGGGTAGACGTACACTTCCGCGCATACACAGCGTACCAGAACGCCGAGATAACCATGAACCCTACGAAGACAACAGAGCCGTAGTTCATAGAAACTCGATCGACAGGCAATGAGGTCGGCATGCTGAAAAGAACCAGCTCGAAAGCGATCCAACACAAGGCGATGATATTGACGATCGGCCCGAGGATGGGTCCGCAGGTCCATGGCGCATGGGACACCTCGCGACGGCCGCTGAAAAGGCTCAATGCGATGGGAATAGCGTAAGAGGCCGCCAGGGCGATGACACCGACCGAGACGAAGGCCGTGAAGGCGCTGCTGCTGCCGAGGTTAATGAGCCCTAGGAGCATCTGAATGACGGTCCCAAAAGCCAAAGACCAGACGGGTACACCGATGTCTGGGTCCACGCGCGACCAGAGTCGTGAGAGAGGAATAGCATCATCTCGAGCGACGGCCCAGGTGGCTCGTGAGGCGGCGACGGTAATGCTGATGCTGGCGAAGAAAGTGATCATTAGTACAAGGATGGTGAGGGCGAGACCACCGCCGGGGCTGCCCACAACCAGATGGAAGATATATGGAAGGGCCTGGCCAATGGGGGCCTGGATGATATCTTCCATTGGGGGTAGGGTGAAGCAGATGGGGAGTATGAAAAATAGCCCAGCGATGCCGCCCACGGGAACGCAGAGGCTGATCGCCCGTGGGACCTTCACGGCTGGCTTGCTGCATTCCTCCGCCATGGACGAAATCATGCCAACAGCCGAGAAGGTGTATGCGGCCGGGAGAAGTCCGATAAAGAAAGTGAAGCCGGACCAGCCCGAGAAACTGGAGTCGTAGTGGCCCAACGCATAGGCAGCACCGTGCCTGCCCGCGCCTGCTTTGACGGAAAGCGCAACGAGGATGACCAGGATCGTCAGCAGGGTCCAGGTGGCGCATATGATATCCACCTGGGGTAGGTATCGGTTACCGAAAGTGCAGATAAGGAACGTTCCCAGGCAGATGGCGTAGAAGATCAGCAGAAGCTGCCAGTTAGCAATTGTCCATCCTGGATGGAACATTGAGATCGAGGCCGAGACCATCGACGCGAAACCGAAATTGACAGACAGGGTGATGGTCCAGTTGCCAATCAACCAGACCCAGCCGGTGACAAAGGACACGGCAGCTTTGGAGCTCCCTGCGATTTGGAAAGACCAGTAATAGGGCCCGGCTGAGGTGGGATACCGGGACACAAGCTCGGCCAGCGAGAGGGCAATGCACTCGCAGAAGACGCCAACCACGAGCCAACCGACGAAGATGGACAATGGGCCTCCGCCGTAGATGGCACTGAGCAGAGGGCCCCCTTCCCCAAAGGGAATCGCGGCAATGGCCAGCGTCTGGAAGAGGAGTGTGATGACCGAGCGGTTGCGACGCAGCTCCGACTTGTATCCCAAGGCCTCGAGTCCTTCCAGCTCGTGTTCGTCCCCCGGTTGGGATGCCTGTGCGACCTTCGCCTGCGTGGTGCCGTGAGGCCCCGCCAGTCCGTCATTTACCACGGTGTCCATGGTGAAAATTGGCATGGGCAGCGACGCTAACGAGGACTGCCCAACTGAAGCGGGGAAGGTGCAAGATCTGATGAGAGTGGCATTCGTCTGCGGGATATACATGCCCTTGCCTGTTGCCCCTGGGCTGCATGCCCGGATTCGGTCACACACACCCTTGCAGGCCTGCATTAGATGTGACATTGGCCATGTGACACAGCAGACAATATACGAAGTCATTAGTGACAATCAGGCATCATGTTCCTGCATGCACACTGGGTGAGCACCCTTGCATGGCGCGTCATGCGGGATAAGGGCTAAGTAAGGATGACGGCCGAGACACGAGACACAAGCTGAGAACCCAACAGATCGAGGGCCATTATGAAATCCAACCAAGGACAGCCAATGCAGGTACAACCTACAATCCTCTGCAGGGAGGCAGCAGACATGGTTCCCGGTAGGGCTGGTCGCCCGGATGTGCGGGCTGGACAGGTCAGACAAGTTGGACGATTAGAAATAGGGTTGAGCTCACACTCAGTGGTGGCATACAATCCAAAGAGATGCCCCGTCATGGAAAAACGCATCAAGGCAAAGACCTTGCGACAATGCATAAGGGATAGAGAACGAGTTCAAAAAGCTGTAGAGGTCAAAGGCTAATGATCAAGCTTGAGAAGCACCAACTGGAGCCGATGGGCATGATCTGAGAGCTAAGAGACGACGAACGGAGCTGATGAATGGGGACAATTGCATTAGGGAATCCAGATAACAGATTGTATATGACACACAAATGGATATATCCTACACAACCACAGGACAATGCCGGCAGTTCCAAAACAACAAGAGTGGCCGAGTCTCACCTAGATTTCGCACCATGCTGAGATTACTATTAGCGGTCACGATCGGTACGACCAACGAATCCCGCCAGTGTCTACTACAGGGCTGCACTGTGAGGACGCGCCGACTGGCGAGATGGAGGCCGAAGGGACCGAGGTCGTAGGGAGCGGGAGCGTGAATTAGGGCGAGAATCGGCTTCTGATGGCACATACGCCAATGCAGGAACTACACCCGAGGTTAGTGAACGAACATCAAGCAGAGATGCACAATGAACCTACTGCTGAACGCATAGCCGTCAGTCGCCGCCTCTCGATCTTGTGGGTTGATTTCCACTCGTATGGTTACGTCCAGCCCTCCTGGCATGTCACTGCTGCTGCTGAATCCATCGGCGGCAGGGTGACTGGAGCCGGCGTTCGCTTCGCCTTTGTGGAGTGGGGAGTGTCCGTCCATGGGGATGGGGAACGCGGCAATATCACCCTGAGTCGCTGAGGCGTTACCGTTGGACACGGGCGTGTCAATCTCGGTGATACAGGCATAGTTTCGCGATGGCATTGTTACCTTGTTCCAGGAAGCACTCTTCTCCTGCCCACCCGGCTGGCGGTCAAAGAAGTCCATCAGCGTCTCATCGGTAGATGAGTCCATATGGTGGAGCTTATTTCGCCGCGCGAGGAGGTTTGCGACGGCCTTCGGCGGCGGTTTGTTGGTGATCGCACTGCTAATGACATTGACCATGTACCGCGGGTCGTGCTCGCTGGGAATGCGAAGGCTGGGATTCGAATAGAACCGTCCGATGGCTGCCAAGTGTACGTCTCCACCCAGGATCGTCACACGCACCGAATGAATCTTAGAAAAGTCTTGGAGACGCTGGATAAAGATCCGTCGTTCCTTCTTATGCTGACGAGCTGTGTAGTGGTCATCCAGGTCATCCAACAGATCCACCTGGCCGTCAAACTGGTTGAACAAACCACCGGCAAAACCAAACCGTTTGTTCAGCAGGCGGATGGGGGCAATGATGGGAGAGCTGAGGATGTTCTCGAGCCACGCAAGGCGGGGATAAGCGATTGGGACGCCCAGGAGCACAATAAGGTGTTTGATATCCCCGTTAGCCGCCGCCACTTCGCTTTCCAGCCGAGAAAAGATAAGATCGTATGTGTCTGGGTAGTTCACCTGGTGACGGGTACGCTCGGTACGAGCATCAACGCCAATGAAGGCCATCCGCTTGCCGAGGCGCATGTACAGGTTCCTGCTCTTCTCTTCCACATAGGGCCCAGGTCGCTTCCCGACGATCCAGCTATCATCTTCCTGTTGCTCGTCCAGGACGAATGTGTTTTCCAGCTGCCGTGGATCTGCGCCTGCAGTCCCGTTGACGGCGTGCATGGTCTGTGGAGCATCTGTGGTGAAGGTCGACTTTGGCGGCGCAATATGATGCTGGAAGAGGCAGTAATACTTGAAAGCAACGCCGCCAATGCCCCGGAAAACGGAGCAACGCATGAAGTGGTCGGTGTAGGAACCAAAACCATCGATGATATCATGATCGTCCCATATATTGATCTGGGGAATCCGTCCGTTTGCTGCCTTGAATGGCTCGGTAGAGTACCATCGAATATAATTTGCGTAGTAGTATTCATCGCATCGGGCGCGCAGGTCATTGTCAAAGTCGTGCGCGCGCCTTGTGTGAGGATTAGAGATGGAAGTCCACTCCTTCAGCGGTCCATCTACCCGGATGCCGTCGTTGTAGAGTTGATCACCGCCACCGATCATGGCATGGAAGGGTTTCTGGGCATGTACTCGCAAGACATCATTCCACAGATTAGGTCCAACCCATGCATTCATGTCGGTGCCGACTGAAAAGCCGTTGCAGGAGTGGAACATGAGGCGCATGGACTGATTTACGGAAGAGACGGTGAAGTCCCACGGCGAGTAAACCTCGTTGCCCTCTGCATATCGAAATCCAGGAATGAAGTATTCCCAGCGCGCTTCATAACTCTCGAGGGGGAGGGCAAGGGAGAAGCGCCAGAAGGCTTTCTGGGGATCCTCGTATAGACGAACACCGTCAACGGCGACAGCAGCGTCGTTGGAGTGGGCTCCATTACCGGCTCCATTGCCTCCGACAGGACCAGCCTGGCGCAGGAGGAGCCGTGGCTGACTTTGTCCTGGCTGGATAACAATCAAGACGCTTCCACGCCAGATGGAGGAAGATGGGTTCACATCCATGTTCTTAAAATTGATGAGAGGGCCACAGATCACATCCACCTGCGCATGGAGGTCGGGCGGCTGGCCGTTCGTGACCGCGGCCGGAGCATTTTCTGGAGGGGTCAGTCACAACCCCCCAAGTAGTATGGTCCATGATAGAGCTGAGGGGATGCCGGGGAGGAGGGGGAAGGGATGGGTCGAGGGAGGTGGTGCAATTTTTGCAAAGACTGAGGAGAGGACTTACCGGGAAGAGCCATGCTGGAGTGAGAGAGAGATCACGGGCAGCCAGAAGAAGAGGTACAACAACCACAAAATTACCGAAAATGAGTACGTACGGCTTATTCAAACTCAAGAAATTATAAAATAAGAAAGAAACAAGTAGAAATCAAGAGAAAGGATAGCAAATGAAAAAAAAAGGAACTTGAAATGGAGACGTAACTACTAGTAAGGGTATCGAACAGCCAAAATCGAAAAGATGAACTAGGAAGGAAGGGAGGTCGGAGAAGGAAGGAAGGAGTTGGTTGTTGGGAAGGAGCGACGGGATACAGCCAATGGTTATAATCGACCAACCGCCAAAGGAAGGCTGGCTTGGTGCACCTGAATAAAGCGAATGAGAGAGAAGGAGCAAGGTTCTGGGCAGGCTCCAACAAATAACGATAGGAACAAACAGGTTCAAGCGACGGTCGCACGGAGAAGGGAAGATCGGACCGCGTCCAGAGGGAGGGGACGGAGTAGGGCTGCAGGGCTGAGATGGGCAAAAAGAGCGACGAACAACGAACGATGAGGAAGGATTATTATTGATGACGAGACTAGGCCTGCTTGCATGCAGTGACCTTCGTACCTAGGTACTATTAGATAGTACCTCAAAAATCAAAATGGTCCAGTACTTAGGTAGTCTTTCTAAATAATGGCACCAATTCTCCGACAGGTTAGCGATCTTGGCAGCAGCCGCCCTCAGGGGTGAGTATTCGTATATCGACGTAATAATGCAAATAAAACCTATCCAAGTATTCCAGTAGGCAGTAGGTAAGTAGTAGACACTACTAGGTACCACTACCTACCTATCTACCTGGTCCCAGCCAGTTGACCCGAGGACACCCGCCCATCCCTCTTCCCTTGGCTCATCTCATGAGCTGCCTTTTGATTGGACAGGAGGTGGACTGGGTGATGATGGCCAGAGATAGCGGGGCATTTGAATCCCAGAATTGGCCAATGACCAGCAGCCAGAATTTCTCGGTGGGGCAATTTATGACTTCAGCCCCATAGCCAAGCCACAGGCAGCAACACGAGCATTGCGGCTAATCCCGATAGGTGGGAGGCGGTGCAGCATGCTGTGGCTGACTGGCTGGCGGGTGGGCTTGGCGGTGGATCGTAATCATCCGATGGTACCTACATAGGTAGATAGTACATAGGAACTCCATACATATCTACTAGTACTATCTACTAGGTATGCAGATAACGTATTTGGTAAGCGAGCCGGCCATGTAAGCGAGCAGGCCGGTATGCCTCCCATATCGGAATTTTGATTTACATACAAAATTTGCAGTATATTAAAGCCTTTATATAGCTGTTTAAACGCTGGAATCAAGCCTCCTAGATGGGCATCTTGTACGTATATGTCCAAGGACTCCACACGCGCTGCAACGAGGTGGTGCCCGGCGGCGTGGTTGGTCATCTCCAGGCCCTGCATCACCGGCTGCTTCCTCCAAGGCCTGGACATTTGCAAAGACCTCACGGGCTTCCTGAATGGCTTCACCATTCAGGCCGTTCATTTGATGTTGATTTCGCTTCTGCTTTGCTTCCTTCCTCTCCACGGCCATACGGAGTTGGTGGTTCTCATGTTCCAGGAGAACCGCTCGGTTCAACGCCACCTCTGCGCCTTTAACAATATACGATAAAGCCGTTTGCATAGGTGAAGCCGGAGAATCAGAACGTCGAAGCAATTCAGATATCGCCGATTCATGTCTTTTAAATTGCTTCAAATTCATAGGCGTTTTGGTGATACTTGAAGTAGTGCCTTGGCTACTTGGACGGCTCTCCTCCCTGTAGAAGATAAGGTTATCTAGAACCTTGCTTGGATCAAAAGGAACAATTCCCGAGGCCCGAAAGGCACTTTGTATGTTCATGGATCTGAAGGCTTGAACATGGGCTTCTGGATATACATCAAGGAAGTCAATCTTGTCAATATGGTGATATCCAGTTCGTATAAGGTCCTCAATCCGGCGGCTGTACGCTTGCTTTAACGGTGAGAATACAGCTATATCCAATGGCTGACAAAGATGAGAAGAATTGGCCGGCATGCACACTGGAATAACATTATTCTCACGGCATATATCGTCGAACTGAGGCGTTAAATGAGAGTCATGTCCGTCAAGGATTAAGAGGCTATATTGGCCAGTTCTCCGGTCCTTGATATAGGGAATAAAGTGCTCTTTAAGCCAGTGTTCACCGATTTCTCGATTGGTCCATCCATTTGGTGATATAGCGATACGCCATGAAGAGGGTAGACTGCCTTCATACCATGCCTGAATATGCGTCTTGGCCTTCAATATCAAGTATGCTGGCAAGGCCCATCCAGCGGCGTTGATACACTCGATTGAGGTTACCCATTCGCGGTTTCCAGGCTGTATAAAGAAAGGTCTTCCTTGGCAGGATGAACGTGTCACTACCTTGGCTGTAGCCACCAAGCCCATGGCGAAGCCGGTTTCATCAAAGTTGTAGATATCTGCATCTGCAATTCCGTACGTAGCGACGGCAGTTTGAACACGTTGAAACCAGGCCTGAATAACGTCAGGATTCTCGCAGTTGGCACGCTTGTAGTTGATTTGACGCGTAAATCGACTCTTTAAAGAATTATGCCGAGCAATGAAGTTATACACCCATTTTTCGCCCACTGAGGAAGTCGGTTTTTGACTGCGTTTCTGCATCAAAATTGATGCCATATCACGTATTTGAAAGTGCCTTGGTGAAGCGCCACGTTGATCCAGTAATACAATCCATTTAATAAGTGATTCCTCCTCCGAAGGAGTTAGTTTATGGCAGTTGGCACGTGTCTCTTTGCGAAAGGTGACTCCCTTAAGGCGTTCCTGGAGAGTTGAACGCGGAATATTGAAAACTAACGCAGCTTTGCGAATTGAAGAAATTTGACCTTTCTGTATAGCCTCAATTGCAAGGCAAAGCCTGCCTTCTTGTTCCACTAATTCTTTTGATGATTTAGGCATTTTTGGTGGAGAAATTGATGTCTGAATACACTCAGTTTCATAGACGTGGTGGTGGTGGTTGAGGTGGTTGGGGTGGCCGGCTCGCTTACGTGGCCGGCTCGCTTACCAAATACGTTATGCGTTATTAGTCATCCCTACTGACATCTCGAGGGGTGGCTTTTGCAGGAAGTAAATGGATGTGCTCAACCACGTGATAGAAGGATGTATTTCCCTCTCCGACCAACGAGTCTAAGATTGGGTTTCCGATAAGATTCCATTACAGTATTGTTTTTCACATGATTCCACATGGTCGACATTGTTCGACATTAATCAAATAACCATTTTGTCAATATTTCTTCTACTCCTTTTCTTTTCGAAGTAGCCCAAATCTCTTAAAGCCTACTGGTTTGCTGATCCAAGACCCATCCGTACAACTGTCAAGAGATCAAGAGGCCAAGTTCCTACTCCAACGGCATAGTGCAGCAAGTCCTGCCATGTGAAGAAGAGTAACCGGACTCCAACAATACACCAGGATGGTTTATCAGATCGTTTCAAAGAGATCCCAAACGTCCCACGGTCAGAAAGATTGCGGACGAAAGTCTAGATTTCGTTGCTTCCAACGCACTGCAAGAGCTATCCAGCCAAGTTCACCCCAGAAATCAAAGCCGGGCCTGGGAAGACGTCCCTGTCCATCAGCTTAGTTACTTAGCTTCTCGTTCGCATGGGTTACAGTCGGCGCAACCATACCTTTGTCTATGGGTGTCTACACCATACTATGTTTCATCTCTGTCAAAATAGTTCCCAACTGACCACGAATGCTGAAATTGTCGAGTTCCGGATGTGCCTGCCACAGGTCTGACATCCGCCTTAAGAGCACCGGCACTGGGTCCTCGTGGGATTCAGTAGCTTCGAGGAAGTTGCTTTCTTCAGTCGAGGAGGAGAGGATTCCCGGATATGTAGGGATCCAGTCATTCTGGGGTTGAGTCCCAGATGGGGGAGGCGAAGTAGCCCGTGGAGTCTTAGGAGAAGGCAACATACTCGAAGACAGTGCCAATTTCGACCTTTCAACTATTTCTCTGAACGTGGCACTGGGGGACATGGGGGTCGTGCCCTTTTTAGGCCTGATAAAGACGTCCTGCAAGCTCTGTTCGCGACACTCCTTTCGTCGCCCTTCATACTGTCGGCGAAGTCTTTTGGCAATGTCCAGGTCCGGTGCACGCCCCTTGTCCTCTTTCGTGTCATCGTTCGTAGGCATGCAGAGAGCCATCAGGTGATCAATGTTTCGGTTCTTGGTTTTCTCGCATCGTTCCTGCTGTTCAGTATAGCCCTTCCGAACGTGTTCCCAGAACCTGGCTGAGGCACAGGCTAGAATTCCACGGCACTCTTTTTCGTACCGTTTGAAGTCTTGTATGAGATTCTCGGTCCTTGACACATGTCGTCGAATAAGCGGCTCTGTCATATCCAAGATCCACAGACAGAAGCTTATTACAATGACAAGCTCCATCCCAGGATCCTCGCTGGCTTCCGCAATCTCCCAGCTACCCACGGCATACTTGCCCTTGCTGAGAATGCCAACACCCGGATCCAGCTGACAGTCATCGACGCATTGCCTGAGGGTGTCATGCAAGGCTTTGATTTGCACTTCGTACCTGTTGAAGCCTTCATTCCACACGCACCAGACGTCGTCAATGTAGTCAGGGAACCACCCGAATTGGCGGACGAACAGATTCCCCGTATCAAAATCGAAGCCCAAGATATAGGCCTCTATGGCAGGAGAAGCGGGGTTTCTAATGACAGGCAAGCAGTTGAACAGCATGATGGGATCCCTATCTTGGCCGACACCGTTTGGAAAATATGTTCGTAGATCCGATAACTGATCGTAAAGGCAGGGACGACACTCTTCGCCATCAAACAGGAGCATACTGTTCCGTCTCAAGTGATCATTTATGCCTCTCTCGTTGTGGGCGAGATACAAGTGGTAGTCAATCCTATTCAATCCAAACCAGGTCAAAACATAAGCTGGAGGCTCGATATCTCGGCGTTCATCAATATCTGGACCAATATCTGGGATTTCATCCATAGATGTCCCGTGAGAATCGTCTGATGCTGCTGAAGCCGTTTCGAGATATTCGACAGCATGCCCGGGCGTCTCTGACAAGTCTGCCTGGATAGAGCTCGGGTTATGGTCCAAGGCCTTACCGTCTGAGAGGGCCTGGTCGGATTCCTCGAGGTATGAAGCAGAACTGTCGAGCTCTAGCTCCTGTTGATCCAATATGGATCCTTTGCAGCTCTTCACCAGTTTCAAGATAAGGGAGGGGGTCTCGACTTTAGGGTCAGCAAGGAGCATGGCTGGCATGTCGGCCTGGATAGGCAAAGATTCGGAGCACGCGAGAACTGGTTGTTCAACAGTCACGACGCAGCCACAAATTCAAAGGCTGTATCTGCAGAATATAAATGGTTGAGGGTATTCACAGGAGCAACGGAGAACCAGGGGTCAAGGTCAATAAACCGAGAGGAACAGCCAAGATGGATGAAAGGATCTGAGATCCTGGTGGAAGAAAGAGAGGGGGCAAAGTTAGGGAGGGCGCATTGTAACACTCTCACGCGCGAGCGAGGTGCCATTCACTGGCGTGCTCGACTGGGTCTCGCCGATTCCTCCCGACTACTGACCCGTCTACAGAGGAAATTTCTTGCTAGTCAGTGGATAGGGCATGATTCTTTTCGGACCAGGGAGTATGGAATTGATACTAGGGTGATGCGGCCATCCGCGAAAGATTGAGGAGAGAGGAAATATATATACATATATAGCATGCTTTCCAGCGGTTAAATCTAAAATTACAGATCAGCCGAGTCAGGGTATACTTGACTCTAGTCCCGGCTGATAGGCGATGAACTCAACCCTTGAAAGACCGCCACGTGAACCAATGATTAGCCTCGCGGGGGGTTCTCTCGATCTCCTTGCTCCGGTATAAAGCCCAGGTGATTCCTGTGAAGTATCCGCCCAGATGACACCAATGATCGATTTTGGGTGGGTTGCGGAGTCGGCGTCGCAGGACCAGAGAGAGGATATCGATGGAGACCACTGTGGCGATAATGGCCCATCCGGGGGCAGAGAGGACCTTCTTCCAATCATCCGGGAGGAAGGAGGCTTGGAGGTTTTGGCTATTCGAGGGTCAGTGAGCTGGTTCCCCGATGAATTCGACCGGGAGGGAAGGGGGTTCGTACTCTGCGTGAAGTGTGCAGTAGGCTGCTAGGAGGCCGGAGAGGGCTCCACTGAGGCCGAGAGCGGTGACAGTCCATTGTGCTTGGAGGCAGTGGACTGCCACGGTTGAGAAAGAGCCGACAACGCCCGAGGCTAAGAAGAGGGAGAGAAATTCGCCTCGGCCGATTTCATCGTGCACTGCGGTGGGAGGATGCGAGTCAGTCCGGAGCCTGGACAGGAAGGAGTCGGAGATATTGGGACACACTCACATCGGGGCGCGATCGCCGCGAAACACAGCATGTTCGTAAACAGATGCATGGGGTACTGATGGCTAAAGATACTGCCGACGAGTCTGAAGGGGGGATTAGGGTTGGCGACGACGTTGATGAAGTAGCGGTTGAGGAGTCTCCAGGCTGGAGGGAACCACCATAGACCGAAGATGCCGACATTGATGCCCATGATGGCCAGGGTCGTTGCAGCGGATCGAGGGATATTGGGCCACATCCGGTCAGCGTTGGCGGGAGGCTCATAGTACATGGTGAAGGCATAGCAAAGCCCCAGGGTCAGGAACATAAAGACAAGCGAGGGAAGAAGCTGGCGACTCTGTTCAGGATGTAGTTAGCCCAACGCCCTCCTCCCGATACAGGAGGACCCTACCATTGTGAGCTTGCTAATGTCCAGATCCAAGTCCTGAGCGGCCAAGTAGTTTTTCTGGACCCATGCCAGAACAGGGCGCTGCCGGGGGTCTGCAAGTTGCCGATCTACACGCATGAAGTCGGTCAGCACAAACACGCTACTAAGCAGGAGTCCATTTTCTCTTACCTTTCGGGGCAATTTCCATGGCAGTCTTCTCATCCACATTCTGGAGGGCAAGACTATTCGTCTCCAGCGAGCGCTTGAGCCTCTCGTCGTGGTGCTGCCCCCCCTGTAGCCATTCCTGGCGTTTCCTTTCCTGCTCGGCCAAGAGCCACGCCTCGTTCTTCTCCCGGAAGTCTTGCAGGACACTTCTGCCGGAAGGATCATTTGACTGGCCCAGCTCGGCCCCGTACGAACCACTCTGCGGCTTATACCGATTTGTATCCATCGCTTCCTCTTCATCCATTTCGCGGTGGACCCGGGCTAAGATCATGGCATCCTCATCCATCGGATACTTCGTGCGGAGATACACCAGCGCTGCCTCGAGACTGTGCGGGGGTATGGAGCGGTGGATATCGGCGGGTAGTTTTAGGTCGAGGGTGCCTTGAAGACGCCGGCCATGTAGAACGGCCAAGGCCCGGTTTCCCATAGCAGGGGATATTTTTGAGCGGGCTCCAAAGATGGATTTGAGTTCAGCGGCGGAGAATGGTTGGGAGCGAGGACTGACGCCATGTTCCACTGGGGGAGCCTGCCGGGAGCGGAGGGAGCTGGACCTGTTGAATGAGCGGACGGGGATCGAGAGAGAGCCGGGGGACGGTTTGGAAGAGCGAGATGCAAGAAGCAGCGGACTTGACCAGGAGCCCAGAAGGCGCCTGGAGAGGCTATCCGGACGCCATGGGAGAGCAGAAGGTGTGGAGAGACGCTGGGCGGAGCGCAGCGGTGATGAAGTGACGGGGAGGAGCCAGCTCGAGGCTCGGAGCCCCGGGCAAGGAATGCGCCGGGCTACGCCGAACGCATTGTTCATCTCCTGCAACTGGGGGGTTGAGGACCTTGCTACAACGGCAATGATGAAGAATCACGGCGTCGGGGACGATGTAATGAGGCCCAGGCCATGGTCCAGGAACCAAATCGATGGAGGGTCATCACGTGGTGATAAGCCTTCCTCACGCCGATAAGCCACAATCATCCATCGATGCTTCATCCATCATGGTTGATCAATGATCATCACGATTCCACCAGCCCATCCAATCTTGCCAGCCATGTCCAGCGAATCCCTCCCCATCGCCCCTGCCGCCTTCACCGAGGCCATCAAGGAGCTCCCCCTCCCCGTGCTCTACGCCAAGGTCTCCGAGATCCGCAACTCGATCGCGCACCTGCACCGCTCCAACCAGGAGCTGCGAACCTTCATCGCCGAGTCCTGCGAATCCGAAACCGACAAGCGAGAACTAGAAGGATACATCGTCGAGAATGAAGGTGTCGCCGTCTCTATGACGAAGAGAATTGACCTGCTCAAGGCGGAGGTCGAAAGTCGCGGTCAGCAGTGGATCGAACTGGACGAGAAGGAGAGAGGGGAACAGAACGGAAATTCAGCGCCGTCGCCCTCCCAGGCTGCTAATGGAACGGCGGAAGATTCAGAGGCTACAGCGCAGCGGGGTTCGCCCAACCCCGCATCGACGGAAAATTCTGGAGATGCACAGGCGGGCCAAGACGAAGAGGGTGTCTACCTTTGATGCGCATTCTTGTTACTCATATCTTGGAAATTCGAGACAAGCAAGGTACAGCGGAACTTGAGTAGGATCGCCTACTGCGGCTCTGCATGAGGGACGGGACTCCGATATGTTGTGCTACTAGTCAACCTGCTGTGGAGGTAGGGTTCTGCTACCATTCGTCCAGCCACTCCATCAGCAGTCAACTTTATCTACTCGATACGGTCAAGGCGCGTCGCGCCGGTGGTGGTATTCCTCAAGGCATCATGTCATGCATGCTAGTCGAAACGGGCCCTCCCGAGCTATCTCTATGGTCTACTCTATGGGACCGGGCTCTCTGTTGTATTGTTCATAATCTCAGTTTGGCTGAACAGTGCCATCTTCACATCAGGCTAGTTCCAGAAAATTCAACAACCCCTCGTCCAGCCAGCATGCACCATGTTAATCTAGGCTACAGTAATCGCATAGTTGGTGGGGGATTGCCACATGATATGCAAGAGTGACAGAAAGAAGATATTCACCGCATGCTAAATGCTTTAACGCCAACTTTGTGTCATATAATCCATGGGCTCCATGTAGAAGGCAAGACACCAAGAAATGGCGATCATAGGAACGAGTATGGCCGCCTAATCCGATAGTGAGTTCCAACGCCAGGTCAGACAACTTCTTGCTGGTGAAAGAATAATATGTTCGGCTACACTCTAGCTCAGCTAGAGGCTTGCTGCTGGCCCCAGTGGCCTCCTGACAGGGCCTCTGGAGGAATGCGCTGCTGCTTGATGAACAGGTCGATGAGTGGTTGCATCGGCTCCATCTCTTTGTCGGAGACGAGCTTGTAGTACTTGGCCACCGTGACGAAGTGGACGAAGCACATGTTGAGGATGTCGTGCTTGTTGATGTGCCAGAAAGGGTTTAGCCAGTGCGCATGGTACAGATGGGCGTAGCAACGGAACATCTGCTTCATGATGCCCTGGCAGTCTTTGTAGAACGTCTGCGGGAAGCCGCTAGACTTGCCAATCCACTCCTCCCCAGAGGTAGCGCTGGGGCCTCCCGCTTCATTCAGCGCAAAGGTATCCGGCATGCCCGTTACCTTTTCCGTAGGAAACATGACCGGGTCATGAATCTTGCTGACGATCCATTTCTCGACACGGTTGATGAACTTGGGGGCCGAGATCTTGGCGGCACGGCCGTCCACCAGCCAGGTGTATGTCAGACTATAGAGCAACAGACGTTAGGAACATTGACGCAAGAATACCGAGCGCGGACAAAGAGAGAGAGAGCGATCGACTTACCGGCCAGCCGACATGGTGGGGCAAGTGTTCTCGTTACAGATCGGCAGTCCAGTGAGGCTATTGACCTCTTGAATCACCTGAAGCATGCCGTGGAGCAGGCGATATTGTTCGACAACTGCAAGAAGCAAACGATCAGCACCAGGGGGCTTTTCCAAACGGAGGAGGTTGCAAGTCCGCTTACTCTGATGGGCCAGCCATTCACCCAGCTCCACGTTCTTGGGACAAGCACACAATGTCAAGAAATTGCCCTTCACATTGAGGGGGGCATATTTCTCTTGGAAGAAATACTTGGGAGCATCGGGGTCGTACGTGGCGGAGGTGTCGACGGAGAGACTCGAGGTGAGCGATGGAGAGTTGGGCACATGGCCGGCCGTGGGGATCTGAGGGGTCGGCGACGGGACCGGACTTCCATTGTTCATCTTCGCGTTGTTGTTGTTATTGTTGTTGTTCTTGTTGTTATTGCCTCTGCCAAACCCTTGGCGGCTGGAAAGGGAATCGAGTCGCAAGTCAGTTCTAGCTGGTTCAAAAGAATATGTGGGGAGGGGGGAGAGGCGAAAAGGAGAGCGCCAGGAGGTGAGGTGCTGAAACAAAGGACAGCACGGTGCTCATGGCCACAGATTCAGGGGCATCATTCTTTGTGCGCCCCGGCATGCAGCAGCACTGGTCCACCGGCGCCGAGATGCAAGAGTTAAGGGCCAGGTAGGAAGATGCATAGTTGAGAGAACAGGAGAGAGAAGGGGGGGGTAAAGGGAAGGAGGGGAACCACATACACACTCTGAAAGAAAGTCGCCATGATGAATGAACTAACACGTGCGCGGAAGACTGACTAATCTGGCGATAAGAAGAGGGGAAGGAAGGAAGGAAGGAAGGGGGTTCGAAGGGGAGAAAACGGGCGACGAAGGTAGGCGAGGGGATTAATGAGGAATGAGGAGGAGGAATAATGACTTTGGGGATAATAGTTCAGTTAGTTAGTCCCGAGTTACTAAGTCAGTCTCCCCCCGATCTGGGCCTTAATCAGTAATAATAATTAATGGGCGTTTCGGCTTTGCTCTTTCGGTCTGGCCCGTGGAGCTGCCCGCTGGCCCTAGCCCGCTTCGGGCCCGGACCGGATCATCTGGTCTCCCGCCCGAGAGTGTCTCTCTTCCCCAAGACATTAAAGACATTCTTATTCGCAATCCATACAATGTTCCTCCAGGTCGGAATTTGATATTACCCTTCCCCGGCCATTCTTCGCCTCCCCCCTACCACTTGTTCCTTCGCATTTCCTATCAGGCTCTTTTTCTCCCCTCCTCTCGGAAGGTTCTGTTGACGACAATCTCCCGACACCCCTCAAAACCAAAAGTTGTCCCTCTTAGCAGCAACGACCTTCATCGGCTGAATTGTGCGCACCCCGTCCGAGCTCCCTCGCCTTCAAATCCAATGTCGTCGTCAGATGAGGATATCGTCCGTCGCCCTGGGCGTGGCACAGGTGCCGCTCAACCAGGGAGCCCATCTGCTAGCGAACACAGCGAGGTCCCAGCGCGCAGCCAAAGTCCCATTGGCTCAGACGCGGGCAACGTGAACGGTTACGACGATGCGGACCTGTTTGGCTCGGACGCCTCCGATGGAGGGTTTGGCGATGATAATGAGTATAGTCATCCATCCCTTCTTGTGGCATGACATCCACTGACCTGTCCAAAGTCGACCCCAACGGAGACTCGACGACGAGGAACTCGATTCGGGAGATGACGTGGATCGCAACGATCGCGTGGGAGAACCCATGGATTACGAAGGGGGCGCAGACTATGAGGAGACGGTGAATATCATGGACCTGGGCCTAAGTCGGGCGCCGGAGCCAGTGACTTCTAATGGTGAGGTATGTTTCAAATATCTACCGACTCAGTTATTCTCTGGTTCACCGTTGGCATTCTAGGTATACACGATACCGGTCCCCCATTTTCTGTCCATCGAAACGGAGGAGTTCAACCCGGAGACCTATGTTGCGCCTCCATTTGCGACGGCGGCCACGTCTCTCTGCTGGCGCCATGATCCCGAGGACGAATCGCTCCTGCAGTCGAATGCTCGAATTATCCGCTGGGAGGATGGTTCCATGACCCTGCAGTTAGCATCCGCGCCGAAAGAGCAATACCGGATCTCGACCAAGCCATTGGCACCTCTCAGCAAGTCCGGCGAGTATGATACCAAGCTAGATTCGCACGTGTACCTCGGAGCAGCCGCAGAAGCCTCCTCGGTGTTCCGACTCACCTCCCACCTCACCCATGGACTTACGGTTTACCCTACGACCATGGAAACTGACGATGCAGTGCAGCGTCTGCAGGAATCGCTCGCTGCGGCCACCCGTGGTGCCAAGAAAACACTGGATGGATCGGCACCTGTTATTGAAGTGAAGGAAGATCCCGAACTTGCCAAACGGCAGGCGGAGATGGCGGAACGCGAGAAATTGAAGGCCGCTCGTCGCCGCCAGCAGCTACAAGACCGCGAGCTGGATCGCGGCCGTCGCCACGGGTTCCCCCATCGCACCGGAGGTGCTGGCCTTACCGTGGGTGGATTGGAAGATGACGACGGCCTACTGACGACCCGTGCGAAGAAGCCTCGCAAGCCTAACCGCCGGGGCGAGATTTACACGGATGACGAAGAAGAGTATGACCGCCGCGGCCGGACTCGGGAGGATGAGTACGACGAAGATGACGGTTTCCTGGTTGGCAGTGATGAAGAACCGGAAATCGTCGACGATGACGATGAAGAGGATGTTCTGGAAGATGACGATATGGACGCCGAAGGCGACGAAGAAGACATCCCGCCCGCGAGACCCAGACAGAAACGAGCCTCTCCCGAGGCTGAGAGGGGCACTCCCCCAACCCGGAAGAAGAACCGCTATATTGTGGACGATGACGACGAAGAGTGATTGGCTCTGCTGTCCCTCGTGTCCCTCGCGGTCCTATAAACCTTGACTTCCTATGCTAATGACATGTAACTGTACCATCCATTTTTGGGAGTCATCATCGGCGCATGAAAGGTCGTTCCCACCTCCAATGTTATACTTTGATATCAGGACTCTACGGCAGAAATACTTGACCGGGCGATTTGCGAATATGTACATACGGTGCAGGTAGATCAGCCTTGATCGTGAGAGCGAATGCTAATATCACAAGGGTAAGGACACTCAAAAGGTAGAGAGGTAAGAGTATAATCGTCGTGAATCGTGAGGTGAGGGCCGCCGATCGACCTAGAAAGGAAAGCGGTATTGCATGCCTCCGAGGACATAGCCACGGAACCCGATAACCAGCAACGCCGATTCCCCATTATTTGGCCCGAAATAGTAAGTGGCCATCGAGTCTACGTAGAATCCGGAGTGTCCGGGTAATCGCATGGCTCGAAATTGAATTTGGCGATGACATCGCGCGCACTTCGGATAATGCGCATACAGAGCGCATCCCGCTCGTGGCACGATTCCTCCTCTGATGAAGAGCCTAGTTCAGGCACAGGAAGATGGCGCTCCTCGACTGGCAGTGGATGTGATTGATGCCACCGTCGTTGACGTGCTTCCATTTCTTCAATGAGAGCAAGGAGACTGGCGGTGTCTGAGCACACGGGCAGACCAGCCGGGTCATATGGTCCTCCGATAACACCGTGTCGCACGGTTTGCCGCAGCCAGTCCTTCCAGCCTTCCATGGGATCCGATGAGCTATCGATTGTCGCTGCATAGGTAGGCGGTGTCGCCTGTCGGCCAAGATCCATGGCATTGGCTTTGGAAACCCGTAGCCAGGTATCGGCGATGACTGTTAACAGGGTCCCCGTGAAGGTGACGTTTTGCATGCCTGTCGTGAAGCGCATCGGACATATTTGACAGCGGATAACTGCCTGGGCAGTCCTAGCCCCAATATATAAGGAACACAGGGTATTGTGGGAGACTGGGAACGGCGCAAGGGAAGAAAGGTGGCTGAGACATAGGTATAGACAGGAGAGACAGGGGCATTGGCGGTCGGACGAATCCGAGTCCGGGGAGGAGGTAGGAGGGAACTGCATCTGGGACAAGTCGGGCGGTGGTGTGAATAGATTGGCGGATGACGAGGATACATCGGAGAAATCGGGCCAAGGGCTAACTGTCGTAGGGATTGTGTCTATGGGCTTGTTGAGGAAAAATTGCCCCGCGTGGTTGTCGTTGCCATCTGCAAAGAAAGTATGAGGACTGGGTTGCGATGTGCAGTTGGACGGCGTGTTCTCGGTTGTTCCAAAGGTTGATGATCCGAGGGAGGTCAAGTCTGAATCGTTGGTCCATGGCCCATTGTATGGTAGGCCAAAGGAAGGTAGATCGTCGTTGTCTTCTCGCACCCGTTTCTTGGGAGGGCGTCCCATCTGTTTCTGTACTGAATAGTGGCAAGGGAGGCCTTGTTTGACGCAGCGAGTGCAGCCGGTTGGCTCCCCCGAGCATTTCAGCTTGCGACTTCCTAGAAAAGGAGGCCACGATTAGCTCCCACCAGCATCGAGCTCATCCGGACACGACAGCAACATACTACACTCGTCACACGCCGCATGTCTCTTCGCCGACCGCGCCATGGCGGTGGCGGCATCGCTATGTGCCGCATTGTTCTCAAATGCCGGAGGGGGTTGACTGGGCTCGGAGTAAAGCTGCTGATGCATCATGATGCAGAACTCGAGGGGCTCAGCACCAGGAGGGGCGGAGGGAGAGAGGCAAAGAAGAATCAAGTATAATTAAGTATAATATAAATAGAATCACTGGATCGGGATCGATAAGTTATCTGCCTGAGGCCTGGGAGGGGAATCGATAAGCAAGGCGGTGTGTCACGTGAGCGGTCGGGAGGCCGCAAGGCTCCGCCGCAGCAAAAAAAAAAGTCGAAAAAGTTCAGCTTCGAGTTCTTCCAGAGGTGCTTCTCGACAAGGAAAAGGTACGCCGCCATGAATGCCTCAAAGCTTTCGAAGAAGCGCAAGGCTGTCACCAGAGACGTCGAGGAGGAGGCAGGTGTCTTCTCTGGGGACGAATTGAACGTGGGCGACATCAACGGCGCGCTTTCCGACAACGCCAACGAGCTGTCGAGTGACGAGGAGGATTCGGAGGTCGAACTGATCGATGATTTTAGTGATGAGGAGAACGATGATGAGGAGGAGGAACTGGACAGCGATGAGATTCCCTCGGACGGAGAGGAGCCTCTGAATAAGAAGGCCGGCACCCCCGCTGCGGACCTGGAAGTACCTACGAACGACGAAAGCTCGAGCGAGGAGGAGGCCGAAGTGAACTTCCGTATCGAAAAGGATGCCAATGGCAATGACCGTTACATCTATGATGAGATTAACCCGGACGACAATTCCGACTACTCTGACATCGAAGAGAACGCCAACACAATCGGTAACATCCCGTTGAGCTTCTACGACCAGTATCCCCATATTGGCTACGATATCAATGGAAAGAAGATCATGCGTCCCGCCAAGGGTGAGGCCCTGGATGCCTTGCTCGACAGCATTGAGATCCCCAAGGGTTTCACCGGCTTGACTGATCCCTCGACCGGAAAGCCTCTGGAGCTGAGCCAGGATGAACTCGAGCTGTTGCGCAAGGTGCAGATGAACGAAATCCCCGCCGAGGGCTACGACCCGTACGAGCCATTGATGGAATGGTTCAGTAACAAGCAGGAAGTCATGCCCCTCAGTGCTGCCCCGGAACCCAAACGTCGATTCGTTCCGTCCAAGCACGAAGCCAAGCGGGTCATGAAGATCGTGAAGGCGATCAGAGAAGGCCGCATTCTGCCTTACAAGCCCCCGTCAGAGGAGAAGGAGGAGAGCCTCGATCTCGTCAGCTTTGACCTGTGGGCCGACGAGGCCGAGCGGCCTGATCACCCCATGCACATTCCTGCCCCCAAACTTCCCCCGCCCGGCTACGAGGAGAGTTACCACCCTCCTCCCGAGTATCTTCCCAACAACAAGGAGCGCAAGGCTTGGGAGGAAGCCGATCCCGAGGACCGGGAGCAAGAATATCTTCCCACCGACTTTGGCTCTCTTCGCAAGGTTCCTGGTTACGGGGAGTTTGTCAAGGAGAAGTTCGAACGTTGCTTGGATCTCTACTTGGCCCCTAGAGTGCGCCGGAGCAAGCTGAACATTGATCCCGAGAGTCTCCTTCCCAAGCTGCCTAGCCCCGAGGAATTGAAGCCGTTCCCGTCTGTCTGCGCGACGGTGTTCCGGGGACACAAGGGCCGTGTTCGTTCCCTTGCTGTTGACCCCACTGGCGTGTGGCTTGCGACTGGTGGCGATGACGGCACGGTTCGCGTTTGGGAATTGCTCACCGGTCGCCAGTTGTATAGCGTCAAGGTGGGTGAAGAGGACGCTGTGAACGTAGTCCGCTGGAGGCCTGGCAAGGACGCTGTTGTTCTGGCTGCCGCTGCGGGCGATGATCTCTTCCTCATCGTGCCCCCGATCCTCGATCCCGAGCTCGAGCAAGCCAGCTTGGAACTCATGGATGCCGGCTGGGGATACGCCGCCTCGAAACCTACCCCCAAGGCCTCGGAAGAAAAGAAGACCACTCCTCCCCAGTGGGTGCGCCCATCGCCCGCTCTCGCCGACTCCGGCGTGTGCGCCGTCATCCCCCTTCGCTATGTGGCCAAGTCTATCTCGTGGCATCGCCGCGGTGACTACTTTGTCACCGTCTGCCCGGGCTCTTCAACCCCGGCTTCCATGGCCATTGCTATCCACACCGTCTCCAAGCACTTGACTCAGTACCCCTTCAGCCGGCGTATCAAGGGTGGTGGCCCGCCTCAGACTGCGCACTTCCATCCCTCGAAGCCCATCCTTTTTGTCGCTAACCAACGCACCGTTCGTGCCTACGATCTCTCGCGCCAACTCCTCGTCAAGATCGTTCAGCCCGGTGCCCGCTGGATCTCTTCCTTCGACATCCACCCGACCTCCTCCACCGCCTCTGGCGGAGACAACCTCATTGTCGGATCCTACGACCGCCGTCTGTTGTGGCACGATCTTGAGCTTTCCCAGCGTCCCTACAAGACACTCCGTTACCACCGCAAGGCTATTCGCGCGGTCAAGTTCCACCCCAGCGGCCGCTACCCTCTGTTCGCCGACGCCAGTGACGATGGCTCTCTCCAGATCTTCCACGGCAGCGTCACAGGCGACATGCTCAGCAACGCCAGCATCGTCCCTCTCAAGGTCCTCAAGGGCCACAAGATCACCGGCGAGCTCGGAGTGTTGGACCTCGACTGGCACCCGCGCGAAGCCTGGTGTGTCAGTGCCGGTGCGGACGGAACCTGCCGGTTATGGATGTAATTACACGTCGACTTGCAAGCGTATATTATCCGTCGTCCCTGTTCTCACAGCCGTCCTTGTATCCTGGTCCATCTACGTGGGAGGCGTTTTGGTGTGCATCCTTTAGAGTTTCTGATATCCATCCATACAAAAAGTTCACTCCTCACTTGACCTCCTATCCCCAGTAGACCACCATTATCAATGCCTCTACATCCTGTACCTGATCGTTAATCAGTCCAGCATCAAGCACTCATCTATCCACCTACCCAAAAAGCAGTTTACGATGCACCCTATATCTATGCACAGGAAACCCACCAAGAAAAAGTCGAAGATGTTATAGTATTGTATTTACATGACCCCACCACTCCAATCCCTGCGCAACTTCTCATACTTCTTTAAATCCGTCACACTGGGTCTAATAAATGCCTTGGCGGCAACGAAGTCCTCGAATTTGATGGTATCGCGTCTCTTGATAGCCGAGTAACCGGCGCGACGAAGCAAGCTACCCAGATCGGCACCACTGAAGCCCTCGCACTCCTCGGCCAGACGGTGAAGGTCCTCGTTGAATTCGATGGGCAGATTGCGGACGATGGTTTGCAGGATCTCAACGCGCTCGAGGGGACTGGGCAGGTTGACGAAGAGGAGGGTTTCGAGACGGCCAGGACGGAGCATGGCGGGGTCGATGATATCGGGGCGATTGGTGGCGGCGATAACATAGATGCCCTGGCGACTGCTGCCGAGGCCGTCGAGTTCGGTGAGGAGGGTGTTGACGACGCGGGCAGAGGCCTCGGAGAGAGTGTCGTCGCGACGGGGAACGAGGGCGTCAAGTTCATCGAAGAAGATGACGCAGGGGACGGAGGAGCGGGCACGGACGAAGACCTGGCGGACGGCGCGTTCGGATTCACCAACGAATTTGTTGAGGAGTTCGGGACCCTTGACGCTGATGAAATTGGCGCGGGACTCGTTGGCCACGGCTTTGGCCAGGAGGGTTTTACCACAACCTGGGGGACCCCAGAGGAGGACGCCGGTAGGGGCAGTGATACCAACGTTGGCGTACACTTCGGGGTTCTTGATGGGCTCGACGATGGCCGTGGCCAATTCGTCGCGGATACCGCCCAGTGCACCGATGTCGGCCCATGTGGTGTCGGGGATGGTGGCGAAGCCTTCACGCTTGGAGGAGGGTTGGATCTTTGGGAGGGCCGTGAAGAAGTCGCCGTTGGAAACCAGCACCGTTTGCGTTTCGTCGCCAATAGGCGTTTCTTTGGCGTGGGCGATGAGCTGGCGCAATTCCTTGACCTTGGGGCTGATGTCGTCCTGACCCTCGATCTCCATTTCCTCGCCGCTGTTGGCCTTGAGGAGCTCGAGATATCGCTTGATGGCGGCAGAGCCGGCGGTTGCGACGAGGTCGTTGAGATCTGCTCCCACGAAGCCGGGGGTTCGCTTCGCCAGGGTTTTGAAGTCAAGGTCGTCGGCGAGACGCAGCTTGCGGGTCAAGGCGCGCAGGATCTGCTCGCGGACTGGCTCAGATGGCACGGTCATGTTGATTTCCTTGTCGAACCGGCCTCCTCGACGCAGAGCTGCGTCCAGGCTATCGGGCCGGTTGGTGGCTGCGAGGACGATGACGGGCTTTCCGTCCGTCTTCTCGAGAGCCAGGTCATCCATGCAGGTCAGAAGTTGGGCGACAATTCTCTTTTCCATTTCTCGTTGGGCGCTTTCACGCTTGGGGGTGATGGCGTCGATTTCGTCGATGAATATGAGGCAGGGAGCGATTCTCTTAGCCTCTTCGAAGTACTCTCGGAGAGCCTTCTCGGATTCTCCCGACATTCCGGAAATGACAGATGGAGCGGATATGGAGATGAAGGGGACGCCCAGCTCGGCTGCGAATGCATTCGCAATCATGGTTTTACCGCAACCTGGCGGACCATGTAACAGGACACCCCGGGGAGGTTGGACGTTGGACGACATGTAGACTTGCGGGCGGGTCATGGGCAGGATGACGAGATCTCCAAGCTCCTGGACCACATCGTCCAAACCACCCAGATCGGCAAGACTGACATGAGTGGGAGGAGAGCGGTCGACTGCGGCATCGGCCTTGCGCCTCTTGGAGGACTGTGACTCACCGCCGTGGTGTCGTTTCTTCGTGGATGTGGACGTCGCCGGCAGTGCTGTAGTCTCGGCGGTGTTCGAATCGCTCTGTTTCGACGGCTTAGTGGCGGTGCCTGTGTTCCACATGCCAACCAGGCTCTTGTTAAGGCTGTTGGACTCCTGCTCCCGTCAGTACCGTCCGATTGCCAGCCAGATATAAGCCGCTTTCAAGGTGGGCATCCCGCGAAGCAGAACGTATGTTCCATACCGGAGGTGCCGGTTGTTCCTCCAGCCCTTCAAAGTCGCCGTCTATCGAGTCGTCCTCATCTTCCCCGAGTACTCCCACTACTCGCTCGATGCTGTCCTCGAGGATCCTCTTGGGCTTCCTGTTTAAGCTGGAATTGGACCGCTTGATGGTATCGTAGATCCCGGAGACCGATAGGCGGAATTGGTCATTCTCCGCATTGTCATCTATAATTTTGCGCACGATCTGGTAGATCTGTGAAGGGTGGGTTAGCGAACATATACATCGACATGGGCCACGCGACTATCTCGCTGCTCTTACATCCTTGTCGAGGCCCTGCCTCAGCGTCGGTCTGCCCCCACGGCGCATCTTGACCAATGCAGGGACTGGAATGGTATAAATGTAGAATCTGGCAGCTTGATAACGACGAGCGCAGGCAATCTTTCCCACAATTTTAGAACGCCGGAGAATCAATCTCCCGGCGGAGAGGCCCATAATACCGGCAGTTTCGCAAGCGGTCTAGCCCCCCCCCCCCCCATTGGGCCCACGGCCGTAATTATTACGATAACGGGGACCGGCGCTGATACCGGCGCTGATACCGACGCACGTCATCTGTCTTCAGGTTGATCTCTCCCTATGCTCCGTGATCGACCCAACATGCCCTGATAATGGGGAACACCAACAGCTCTCATAAGATCTCCGCGCAGGACCGGTAGGCTATTCCATATCCCTGCCTTGTCACCCGCTCCATCAGCGCCGTCCTGCATGGGTCCCTCACCCGTCAACCTATCCCCGGCCGACCAACTAACCGCAAATCCCCAGGGCAATCCTCGATCTCAAGAACCAGCGCGACAAGCTCCATCAGTACCAGAAGCGGATTACAGTTCTTACGGACCGCGAAACTGCAATCGCGAAAGATTGTCTTGCCCGGAATGACCGCAAGCGCGCCCTGCTCGCCCTGCGCCGCAAAAAGTACCAGGAGTCGCTCTTGGATAAGACCGATAAGCAACTCGAGCAGCTGGAGCAGCTTACGGGACAGATCGAATTTGCACTCGTGCAGAAAGATGTCCTTTTCGGCCTGCAGCAGGGCACCAAGGTCTTGCAGACCATCAACAAGGAAATGGGCGGCCTTGAAGGGGTAGAGAAACTAATGGGCGAGACGGAGGAGGCGAGAGCCTATCAGGAGGTAAGAATGCGTGATAGACAGTTGGATAGGCTTGATATGCTGATGAGGTGGTGGCTTTGCAGGAAATCAGCGAGATGCTCGCTGGGCGTTTGTCCACTCAAGATGAAGACGAAGTTGAGGAGGAACTGGAGGCGTTGCAACGGGATACACAGGGCCCAGTTGTCCTGCCCAATGCGCCTAGCTCTACACTCCCAGAGCAGGCAGAGGGCGAGGCGTTCAAGGAAGACGAACAAGTTGCGGAAGAAGCAGACGCCGCGGTTGAGGAGCGAGTTGCGATTCCTGCTTGATACTGACGCATACATACGATGCTCCCATACGGGAGGCTATTCCATTCGCAAACGTTGGCATTTGTGGCGTTGGTGGTTTCTAGGGATTCCAAAGTATAGCATTGTTAGATTTTCTGCTATTCGAACGCAAGTAACTAGACAGCTGAACATGGATTGGCGCGCGTTATCTCAGTAGAGTCCAGCCCCATAACCAAGCGAGGGGTTGCCGCTGCTGCTAATCCCCCGCCGTCTTTGGGATCTGGTCTTCTTAGAGTGGTTGGACCAGCATGCGAGTGCCTACGATCGAGTATCGCCAACCACACAACGATCCCATAAGACTCTTGCTCTCACAGTATTCTGCTGCCTACACCATTCACCCCCTGGATCGCGACATGATCATTTGGATTGGCGGCTGCCTCATAGAGGAAACTGATGGGCTCCCTATTCAAAGCCATGAACTGTCCCTTGAAGCCAATGTAGCCAACCTTGGTTATGTCTTCTTCGCCGTCGCTCCAGTTGTCCTCGAAGAACAAAGTGACGGAAGTGGTAGCGTTCCAGTGCGCACGATTTAGCGGCAACTCGAAGACATCCGCTCCAGGTACCGGCTGCGGAATATCAACCTTTTGCGTAGGCTTGAGTTCCGAGGCCGTTGCAAAGTCCAGGTCGTCCCGGTTCTTGAACAGCTTCAGCGTCTTGGGGGCGGACGATGTAGGGGCGGTGTAGATGAGGAGAGAGTGAACATTGACTTGACCGGTGAACCTGAAATTATTAAGATGGTCATTAGTTTGGGGGGTGGGCGCGTTGAACGGAAGAGAATGGTGAGTTATACGCGACGTGAAGGAGACGAGGGGATGAGGGGCATTTGGCGGGGTAAAACCACCACCACCACCAGAGAGTTGTCCGAAGATCATTAAACACCACAATAAAAAGGAGATATAACTTACGGGATATGCATCAACAGCTGTTCGTCGGCGTCGCTCTCTAGCTCCGGTTCATCGTTCAGTCTTTCGGACCATGTCTTTTGCACAATCGCTGCGCCCGACTTAGGGGTTGCCTCTGCAGCTCCGATCAGCATCACTTGTAAAGACTTAGCAGAGAAGATCTTTTCTCGCCTACCGTTCAATGTAGTGATCGAATCAAATTGGATTTGGGAGTAGAGAAGAGACTGGATGGCGGGAGTGATGTCGTTGGAATGATCATGGCCATCTTCTCCATGGCAATGTCCGCCGTGTTCGTGGTGATGATGATGATGGCCCGACATCTTTCGAAGGATTGTCCCCGGGGAGATGCTGGGCTTATTTGGTTGGATCCCTGACTTATGAGCAATTTAAAGGTTGAGATGAAACATGAGTCCAGGTGGTGGTGGTGGTGGGTGCGTTAAAGAGCGCCGGTCGTGCTGGTGGGAGAGCGACAGAGCGACGAACCTCCCAACCCTGGCAACCGAGCCCTTTTTCTTTTTCTTTTTCTTTTCCTTTTTTTGTTTTTGCCATCGCTCTACTCATGACCTTTTGCCTCTCTCGAGCTTGCATTTCCCCTGACCTCTTCTTACCCGCTGGCATAATTGGCATGGATGGTTCTACGTCAATGACTACAAAGGAAGATATGCATAGCCTAGTATATCAGGATATCACTCTAGAGAGCAACGCCGGTAGGTATAGTACAGAGAGCTTGTCAATGTCATCAGTGAGAATTACTAGGAAGCTCACATTGTATTCATCCCATAAATCGCGTTCCATGGCGAATCAAATCAATGGACTTGGTAATAGTTCGGGGCGTATTCCAGGAGATAGTTCTTTTCGATCTTGGTGATGTCGCGGATGAAGGTCTTCTCGCCGGTTTGCATTATCTCATGGAAGATGACCCAGTCGGCTTTTCGATTCTGCATAACAGTCAGCGAATGATCTTATGCATAGCACAGGGAATCCGGATTCATAACATACAAACATCAACGAGCTGGGATGAGCATGGAGAGTCAGGCCTCCGCTCACGGTCTTGAACGTCCCGTCGGGCTGCATCTTTGCAGCATGTGCAAAATAGCCCATAGTAAGACACCTTCGAATCTGTTCTGGGAGATTGCTTGGGTCCTCTTGCCTGGGCCGAGCGGAAAGGGTTTCGTCGACCTGGATCCCAAGGCGCTCAAGGTACCGCTTGAGCTGGCCCCTTACGCTCACAGCCCGCTGAAGAGATCGGTAGTTTAAGAGGTTGTCCCGACACCATTTGGAATCCTTCTTCCCCTTGGTGACAAATGCCTGGTAAACGTTAAGATACGTTAAATGGTCGCCTTCTTCGACAGCGAACTTCCTGCGGTGGCTCTCGGATGATTTCCTATCACCCTCATGCTGAACCCATACGGATCCCTGAAGGCTCACCATGGCTGCGATTGACAGAATCTCGCTCAGGCAGTTGAAAGACGGCGCCGAAAGAAGCACCTTCGCCATCATGGGGTCGACTGCCAGCTCCGCCATTCGCATACCCTGGGGTTTGGTGAGCTTGGCATAATCGTCAATTGCCCCCAGCGAATACAGAAGTTCGAAGGCGCGGATAACCAGCTCTGTGGGGGGGGAAGTCAAAAAGTCGAACCTGACGATATTGTCGATGCCGAGAGCCTTAAGCTGCATGATAACGGGTGCTAGGTTGGATCGCTGAATCTCTGGGACGGTAGCTTCAGGGAGCTCTTCATATGCTTGCTGATTATAGAGGCGGAAACACTTCCCAGGTTTGGTTCGGCCAGCTCGACCTGCACGCTGGACGGCTGCTGCCTTGGAGATTGGCACTGCTGTCAGGGTTTCTATACCCGTGTTGGGATTATAAGCCCTAAGCTTCGCAAAACCACAATCGACAACATACACGATCCCGTTTATAGTAACAGAAGCCTCGGCGATGTTTGTCGACACGATGACCTTACGTGTATTCTCTGGCGCTGGTTCAAAAACGTACATTTGTTGATCCGTTGTGAGGCCAGAATAGAGCGGCAGCGGCAGGATGGCATGCGCCTTGGGATGCAGAGTCGCAGCCCGTTCGGCAATCAACTGGACCGTAGTATCGATTTCCTCCCGGCCAGTCAAGAACACTAGAATATCGCCTTCTGCCTCTTGTAGGTGAATGTCGAACACGGTTTTGACCGCACGTTGGACGTACTCTTCTGCAGGAGACTCGAGGAAGAGCATGTCCACCGGATACATGCGACCTTCCAGGCTGATGATTCTTCCCACCTTCCCACCAATTTCACCGGACTCCGCCTTGCTGTCGAATTCCTCGCCGGCAAAGAATCGCAGAAAGTCTTCGGCCTGTAAGGTTGCACTACTGACCACGATCCTAAGCTCCGGTCGTCTTTTCAGGATCTTCTTAAGGATCCCCAAGAGGATGTCGGTACTGAGAGATCTTTCATGAGCTTCGTCCACCATTATTACGGAATACCGTGACAGCAGAGGATCTACGAGGGCCTCTCTAAGTAACATTCCATCTGTTAAGAATTTAATTCTTGTTGAAGCCGAAGTCAGGTCCTCAAAACGGATTGAGTAGCCCACCTCTTCGCCGAGCTTGCAACGCATTTCTTCAGCTACCCTAGCTGCCACAGTGGTAGCTGCCACCCGACGCGGCTGTAGTGCATCAGCTTCATCTGCTGCCCCGAGGTTGGGCTGGGAAACAGGAGACAGGGAAGGGAATTACCTGCGTCACGGCGATGGCTTTTCCGTCTGCACACCATCCTGCTTGGTCAAGATACTGGGGTAGCTGTGTTGTTTTCCCACTTCCTGTCTGTCCGACAACGATGGTCACGGGATATGTTTCGGCTAGATACAATAAGCTCTGTCTGTGCCTTGCAATTGGAAGCAATGCGGCCGGCTTGTATAGAGACGGGATGAAGCTGGCTGAGAGATCCAACTCGGAAGTCATTTTGATTGGGTCGAGCGAGGAGTGTATTAAGAGTGCGCTGGCAGACCTGATCTGAACATGTCGATATCAGCATGCACCGAAAATCCCTGCGTCAGAAGCGAAAGCCTTCCACTGCCCGAAAGACAGAAAGGCATCTCGTTATTATTATTGTTTGGCCGGCCGGGATGCCGGGGCACATACGGCATTGCTTACCTAATCTCCGGTGCCATCACGTGGCGCAACGTCACTCCGCGGGCATCGGAAGGGGGCTGAGATCGCGAGCTCCAATCGCATCACCCCCGTCTTGCTTTCTGCCTGTTGGGCAAATTCTCCCATTGCATAAATACTTTCGGAGCCTGCGCGATCTTGGCATACTGGTCGATCTCCCAACCCACACTCTTGCGAGGCTCGTTCATCGCCAGAGTCGTTCTCACGATGTCAGAAGAAGACAAGAATGTAGGTGGTTCTTCCTCTATATCCGCCGGTTACCCCATGCCACCCACTCACTCGAAGCCAGACTACCAACAAACTTCCGGTTGGGCCCCTCAGCCCCAAACCAGAGTCGCCAACTACTGCGCGCCCGCTGGATTTTGATGATGAGCCTCAGGAGACAGGCGTCATTTCAGCCTCGTCTACAGCTCCTGCTCAGCAGGGCGCTGCGGAAGCTGCCCCGCCAAAGCCACCCCGCCCATTGAGCCCCCGGCAACAGGCCGAGAACACCCTTAGGGAAGCATTTCCATCTATCGAAGCATCAGTGATTAAGGCAGTCTTGGTGGCAAGCAACTGGGACGTGGAACGATCTTTCCATGCTTTGCTTAGTACGTGCGGGAGTGAATCGGAGGTACTGTCGGGCGGCATCACTAACAAGCCCCTTTAGGCATGACGGACCCGACTGCTGCCGAACGCGATGCGCCTCCCCCGAAGCCACCACGCCCAACCGCTGCGCAGAGGCAGCTGGAGGCGGATGAGCTGTATGCTCGTCAACTGGCCGAACACTACAACCGTCGTGCGCCGCAACCCCGTTGGGAAAACGAACATCCACAGCAGCGGCCGCGAAGTGGAAGTGACATGTCTGACGAAAGAGAATACAGTTTCTTTGATGGTTTGTGGTCTGGATAACATGATTGTCTGTCCCAGATGCTGACCGATGGCCTGTCTAGATGATCTCCCCGTAATCCGTGAGAATATCCGCAAAGGATTCCTAGATACCCAGACGAAAGTCAACTCATGGGTCCAGAACCTGAAGAAGCGGCTTGATGGTGAATCACCAGAGTCCGAACCCTCTGCCCAGGGCCACCCCGAAGAAAGCTACGGTAGACCCAGACGAAGCGGGGACCTAGGGCGCCGTAGCGGTGATCGTGAGCGCTACGATGCCGACCACCGCATTCTGAATGACGACTTCTCTGCGCTTGAGCTGAGAGATACAGAAGGTGTGTCGGCTTTAGTGCTTTCTTTTTATACCGACCATTTCGACTAACCTGCATATATAGCCCCTCCTGCGCGACCCCCACGACCGCTTGCCAACCCCAACCTGTTCAAACCCTCCTCACCTTCCCCCGACAGACGCAAGGTCTCCTTCCAGGAGGGCCCGCCAGCCGAGATTGACAATTTGTACGATGCCTCTGAACCCGTCAGGCGCGCCCCTCATACAACAGGAAAATCAAGCAAGTGGCAGCCCCTGTCAACCGTTGAACCCTCCCCTGTCGGGGAGCACGATCCATTCAGTCTAGGTGACAGCGAGGATGAGAAGGAAAAGGAGACCAAGGCCAAGGACCATACCACGACCGAGGCGGCGGCCGGAGAGGCGTCACAAGACAGCAATAAGGCAGAGAGCGCTGGCAAGTCATAGTGCTGGCTCGATCACTTGATTATCCTTAATTTTTTTTATTACCCCCCACCTGACACATCCCGTTCATCCTTAACACATACTGCTACTTGTACTCTGCATACCATTACCTTACCAAAGCCTCAGGCTGACGTTAAAGATACCAAAGACTGCAATTGGGCGATCACAGACCATGGTAGTCAATTCGAACTGACTGACGAACATCTGACGAACATAACCACAATCAAGTAGACCTTCCCTGTAAGGTCCTCTCTGCTCCGTAATAAAGCCGGAATTGCAAGATTCAATCAAAGACGGGTATCACTAGTAAACCACATGCACCCAAAAGCAAAAAGAGACCAGACACCTCCAAGGCAGAAACACCAGAGATACTCCGTATTACCTTTGCAATCATTCCGGCAAGGTCTGCTGGTCATTCACGAACCCTCGCGAAGTCATGGCCGCCTCTTTCCGGAGATCTTTGATCACGGCCTAATCCGACATCAACCCCACGAGGCCTCATAGCAAGATAAGAGGGGGAGGAACATGATAGAGCATCAGAAACTTACCGCGAGAGCATCCGGATTGACTCCATTCTCGATCAGCGACACGCAAAGAGAGAGCTCCGTGCGGTCTAGGTTGGTGTTCTAGATGGGCCGGAGGCATCAATCAATGTGTCAGATGAGACGGCAAACCGAGTAAGCAAGCAGGCATATACCTGAATGGGGTGCTTAAACGCCATTCATAAGAATGATACTGAGGCGGGGAGGAGGGGGGAAGGAAGAACTTTCACGTACAAGAAGGGTGGAGATCTCGTGAAGAATGTCAATTACTTCGCGGGCGGCCTGTCGTTTGTCGTCGGCTTGGGAGGGCATTTTTCGGGAGAGAGGTTGTCTTTGTCTTTGTTTTCGTCTTGATTTATTTCTATTTTTAATTTTTTTTTTCGAAGGAGGAGGTGGGGGGGGTGGTTGAAACACTGGGTAGAATACTGGGAGTACGCTGTATAAGACTTTGACTAGGTTAGATATTAGAGAGAGAAGTTGGTTGTTGTAGTTGGATGATAGATGTTGGATTCCCGGTAGGTCTGTAATCTGCCGTATGTCACGCTCTGCTGTATTGGACTAGGCCCGAGTGAGACATCGTGCTATGATTGGTTCGGGCCATCCATCTTCCCGGTCACCGTACTGAGTTTCTTCTCCAACTGGAAGGATGGAAGTATTCCGAGCAAGCTGAGCCTGAGACCAACTACACCATTGCTTGCAAGCAATTGGATCATCACACGAGATTGGGTATCTGCTACAAGCCTAAAAGCCTACAAGACGGTGAGGGGTAATTTATTTACCACCACAGTGCCGCATTTCCGGTGGCACCCGCCCTGTCCCTCCCATCTTCAAACGATCTTGGATGTAGATCCTGGAGGGGCTCGCAGGAATGCCGGCTGACCTGACCATCTCAGACATCCATTCCTTACCAAAAGACCAAGCACTCGAAATTCTTGCCGAGATTCAACGCGTCGAGAAAAAGACGTTCCCCACTAATGAGGCATTCGGGTTCGGTGAGGAACTCTGGCGCAAGAAGCCCAACACCAGGGTCCTGTATGTGACCCGTGCGGTTCCAGATGCTCGCCCAACCCTGCTGGCCTATGCCGTCTATGTCCGCCAGAAGGGAGTAGCCCTGCTGCACAAGGTTTGTGTGGGAGAAGCCTATCGCCGTCAGGGCGTCGGGATGCACCTCATGAATTATCTTCGTGTTCGGCTGCAAAGGGAGGGATGCCAGCACGTTCAACTATGGGTCGACAAAGCCAGATCTCCCGCGCGGTCCCTATATGCCCGCAATGGCTTCAAGGAGCGCGAGCAAATCCTGGACTACTATGCGCCAGGGCGCACTGGGATCAAAATGATCCTCGATCTCTAGTGGGGGCCCTTGACCCGCCCTGTCGCCTAACTGAGCATGGCCCTCGGCCCCTCGATAGGACTGTCTCCCACTCCCCTCATGCAATGGAAGGGACCACGAGACTTTTTTTTCTGGTACCGAACATAGGGTGTCGGTGCCTGTCAAATATCCCTTAAGCCTTCGGGGAATACGAAGCCGCCTAGAGGGGTTGGGATGGCTATGCTCCTACGCTCCTGCAGGTCATCCCTTGCAGGGGCGTGCATTCGCAACGTGAGCTTCAACACTCGCGCCGCGAACCACCTATCTCGGATCATTCCCATACTTTAGTGACGTCAAACATATCCAGGTATGGCTCTGTTGAAGGGGCCACACGCTTCGCGCCTCTCCTGTGCCCAATTGGCCCTTGGGCGCGGATGCCCTTGGGAAAGTCCTTGCCCTAAGGGCAGGATGATTCCAATGATTTTGCTCCCCCAGCTGTCATTCCTCTCTTCGCTGCCTCTCTCTCACACAACTTAGCAGAGTATATCGGGCTGTGCTCGGATGATATCTCTGAAAGTTCTATAGGAACGTGTTTCCAGCGCGTTGTTTGAATATTTGCCAGGAGATATGGCGCTCTTTGCGTTGGTTCTCCTCAGCATCCTGGTGACAGTTGATGCAGTTCTTCAAACCAGCTACCCCGTTAATGCACAGCTTCCTCCCGTGGCCCGGGTTTCGCAGCCATTCGAGTTCGTCTTCTCCCAAGGCACGTTCGCCGGCAGCAACGCCAATACACAATACTCGCTTTCCAACGCGCCATCATGGCTCAAACTAGACAGCCAAAGCCGTACATTGTCTGGAACACCTCAAAAAGACGATCAAGGATCACCGACATTCGATCTCGTGGCATCAGATAATGCAGGGTCAGTGAACATGGGGGTCACTTTGATAGTAACGACCGACGACGGACCGAAACCAGGAAAGCCATTACTTCCACAGCTCGAAGAGATGGGGCCCACGTCGGCTCCGGACACCATCATCATACATACCGGCGAATCGTTCTCGTTATCCTTCGACCCTGACACATTCACCAACACACGCCCCTCAACCGCCTATTACGGGACATCTCCAGACAACGCCCCACTGCCATCATGGGTTGTATTCGATTCAGCCTCACTCAGCTTTTCAGGTTCGACGCCGAACAGTGGTCCTCAAACATTCAGCTTCAATATCGTTGCTTCGGACGTGACTGGGTTCAGTGCAGCCACGATGACCTTTGAAATGGCAATCAGTCCACACATCTTGGCGTTCAATCGGAGCACTCAGACATTCTTCGTCTCCAGGGGACAGCAGTTCACCAGCCCGCAATTCGCAAGCAATTTAACCTTGGATGGACATGATGTAACGAAGGATGACTTGGTTAATATCCAGGTGGATTCGCCGGATTGGTTGTCGCTGGACAATGAAACCATTTCTCTGATTGGCACCCCCCCTGCAAATGCAACCGACAACAATGTCACTGTTAGCGTGACAGATGAATTCCAAGACGTGGCGACACTTATTATCAGCTTACAGTTTACTCAGTTTTTCCATGACGACACGGATGAAGCCGATGCCATTATTGGGGGTTTCTTTGTGTTTGTCTTTGACAGCTCGGTCTTGACCAATGATTCTGTCCAGGTAGATGTGGATTTAGGGCAAGACGTCCCTTGGCTTCATTACAATCGTGACAACAAGACTCTCTACGGACAGGTTCCCTCCGATATCAGCCCGGAAAGTTATCATATCAACCTGACAGCCCGGGAGGGTACCGCAGAGGACACTCGCCAGTTCACCATCAAGACAGTGGCAGGAGGGACCACAGACGGGCACAACACGACCAGCTCTACAGAACCTAGTCAACAGGATACAATTCGTGGAGGCCAGGCCGGGATCATTGCTATCGCCGTCGTCGTTCCCTTTGTTTTTATAAGCACCGTCCTACTTCTGTTCTGCTGCTGGCGTCACAAACGTAAGGCGGCCGCAGCAAGCCCCGAGGACGGGCAGCCACCCGAGAAAACACCACCACCACGGCCAGAGCGCTGTGATGTCTCACTTAGTCAACCTTTCGAAGAGACCACTCATGGCGAGCCCCCGAAGATACTCAGAATCCCTTCACCATCATCCGAACCTCCAAAGTTGGAGCTACCTTTATGGAATGAAAGCCCTCTAAACGATAGTGAACAGGTTCCCGAAGCAGCTGACAAGGAAAATACCTTCTCAGATTCCACATTTGACTGGGGGTTCGCTCCCCTGAAAGAGTCTGCGCCAGAAGAGAACAAACCAGTAGAAGATACGCCCGCACAGCCGAAGCGCTTATCGTTCCAGAACAGTCCTCCCTTACACAGACGAACCACCACTAATTCCCGGAGACGAGAGCCACTTCGGCAGATCCAGCCCAGGAGATCCCTAAAGCGGAATTCGACGGCGTCTCGATCACGGAGGTATTCCAAGCGGTCGAGCGGCATTTCGACGGTTGCTTCCGGGCTCCCAATCCGGCTCAGTGGTGCTGGCCATGGAGCCGGTGGATTTGGGCCTCCGGGGCACGGGGTGGTCCGTCTCTCCTGGCAAAATACGCAGGCTTCGTTCCAGAGCGACGAGAGCGACGTGGGAAACCTCGCGCCGCTGTTTCCTCGACCGCCACCTCGGACTAGGGAGAGCGGGGACTTTTCAAGGCGACTGAGCCTTCGCACAGTAGAGCCTGACGCTCTGACAATCTCGGAGACCGACTCGTTGGAGGCATTTGTCCACAGCCGCGCGAAGAGCCGGAACTCTTCGAACCCGCTGTTCGCCGGTCAATTCGGTCGCCGTGCATCGGCAGGCCGGGCTCTAGAACGCGCCCGCAGCATAGTGAGTCGGACAGAGACGTTGGCCAGTTCCAATTATGTCGACGAATCTCGGCTCTCGACCCAGGAGCGTCCGTGGTCAACAGCCATGTCTGCATCCATATACACGGACGACAATCGCCAGTCGGCTTATCTGCATAGCCTGTCAGAAGAATCCGCCGACATGCTCCCTCCCCGCCCTGTGAGCAAATTGCCCAGTCAATCGAGTTTGGCTCAAAATTACTCAGACGCGATCGCACCTCTTCCTCGGTTCTACAGTGAAATGAGTTTGGATGGCAAGAAACCGATGGAAGGACTTGTTTTTGGTAAGGAAAATGATCCGCCCACTGAGCGGCAGATCGGGGAGAGCAGTCGACCTTGGTATCAGACCGGGTTCTACACGCAGGGCGACATGGCTGGTGCCGGACAATCCCTACGGCGAAGCCCCTCTCTTTACTCCCTTCCTCACGACCCCAACTCACGCCGGGTGAGCTCGAACCGAGCGGGAGAGCGCGGCTGGGATGAGCAACCGGGCAGCCAAAGAGAGCCGATGGCAAGCTTGAGAAACGAAATGGGTTTCTTGTAAGTTTGTTTGTTTGTTTTTTTTGGGGGGGAGGGGGAACGAGATAATGCTTGGTCTTTCTGTTCATATTTGATTGGGGTTCCTTCGAAAAGTGTTCGGCGAGCGTGATATCCATGGACTCTGACGGGTTCCTCTGAATTGCTTTCTTTATTTATCCATGGGCCGTTGGACGGTTCCGTGTCTAGTGTCTAGTGTCTAGTGTCTAGTGTCGTGTCCAGTTAATACCTCCATTCTATTGGGCCGATGTTATCGGTCTTGCTTACGGCGCTGTCGGTCAATGCACAACAATGCAACCCTCGTACTCCAAACTCCGTACCTACCTAGTAGATACCTATCGGGCATCGGAGAAGGCCCATGTGTCACCGACGGATCCTTTCGGTTTCAGCGCCTTAGGATACGAGGGTTTGCGAACCCCCTGGCTGCGCAATCGTTAGTTCGTTTAGCGTCATTTGGACCTGAGGCTGAACGAAGCCCATTCTTCTTATCAGTATTGATGAAATAAGCGCCATTTCGTTTATCACCAGCTCAGTCCCGGGGGCTTGGGATTCTTTTTGTCCATCCTTTGCCCTCGGTCTTTTATTATGGCTATTGCTTCCCCTCAACCAGAGCCGCCGTCTGAGACAACCTCTCTCTTAGCTGAGCACGATGAACACCCTGTGCAGAGGAAGAGTGCTACCCGTAGAGCACATCGGGTCTTGCTGTATGCGTGCCTCATAGCGGTCACTCTGGATTTTGGCAACTATCTCTCCGTTGCTCCCCAACTCCAGGCATTCGAGTCGATCATCTGTCAGCGCTTGCATCCTGAGCTCTTTGCTTACACCCCCGGCGGGGGTCTTCCTTTGGTCGCTTCTCCATCTTGTAAGTCTGCTGATGTGCAGGGAGACCTAGCATTGCTCAAAGGCTGGATGAACACATTTGACCAGCTTCCGGGCATCATCCTGGCGCTTCCATATGGTCTCATGGCAGATCGAATTGGTCGCAAGCCAGTCCTGGCTATGAGTCTGCTTGGGATTGTCATGGAGGAGATTGCTATTCGGCTCATCTGTAAGTGGAACTGATACGGCGAGCTGGTGAGAACACTAATTCCAACATTCTAGGCTGGTACCATACCACCATACCGCCACAAGCAATCTGGTTCGCGCCGTTGTTCCAGATCATTGGTGGCGGTTCTCAGATAACCAACTCTGTAGCTTGGACGATCATCGCAGATGTCTTCCCGGTAGAGAAGCGGTATTGCTGCCTAGCCAGTCTTTGTGTCCCTTCCCACTGACCATAGAACCCTATAGTTCAGTTGCATATTTCATTCTGTCGGGGGCTATTCTGCTGTCCGAAATTGTCGCAATTCCACTAAGTGCCTGGATCATGTCCTCGAGCGTTTGGATACCATGGATGCTGGGGTTAGCCTGCGAGATCGGGGGTGCGCTGATTGTTCTCTTGTTGCCAGAGACCAAACCGAAGTCAGCTGAAAATCCCGTGAGTGATGTCGAGTCTGAAACAGCGGACCGCCCTGAGGGCTCATCGGCGTTTGCATGGTCGAGCATTGTACGCTTTGCTCGCTCGCAGATCACCGAGCTGAAAGACTTTGTTTGCGAGCATCCGAGCTCCCTCGTCGTCTTTCTTGCATTTTTCATGTCTAGCTATGGAATCGTAGCTGTTCCTTTCATGCTCCAATATGTCTCCCGGCGCTTTTCGTGGAGCTTGGCAGAGGTACGATTGCCCCATGTGTGAAGTATTTGGGTTCATATGCTGACATGGTTTCAAGGCAAGCCTGCTTATTTCCGTCAAAGGTGTACTTAATTGCTTGGCTTTGGTGTTCATCCTCCCTATGGTTTCAAAGCTTCTCGGGAGGTATTTCACCCCCGTGAAGCGAGACCACAGGATTGTACTCGGCAGCGCATGTATCTTGGTTGCCGGATTTGGCTTCATGTCTCTTGCGTCCCACCCGGCACTATTTGCAGTGGGAGTTGCCTTGATTGCTCTTGGATGGGGATACTACGCTGCCCTGCGCAGCGTCAGCAGTGCACTGGTTGGTCAATCGCACATTGGACTCCTCAATACAACCATGGCGCTCGCCCAGAGTGTTGGGCTTATGGTGTCCGGGCCTCTACTTGCTGGGCTGTTCCGGGCAGGATTGGCCTGGGAAGGGATTTGGATGGGTCTGCCATGGATGTTCGGGGTTGTGCTATACGTGGCAGCTGGCCTGGCAGTTTATTGTCTCCATATCCCAAGCTAGTCGGCGAAGGTCGAGGCGTATCTGCTGTTAACCGCTGTCAGTATCACCTCTAGCCAGATGGGTTGGCAAACGACAGGCTTAGCTAGTCAAGGAGAGAGAACAGGCAGAGGCGTGGCTCCTGTGACTCTAGTCTCTACCAATCCAGAACGGACTTTCTGATCATTGTGTTATAAACCCTGCCCGAATAGCTGGATCCCGGGAGAGTTGATGCCCCCGACGGTTGACAATAGCAGGGGATGGGATCGCTACTCGGCCAGGAAGGAGGGAAGTCTGATGGGGGAAGGCACGACCATGCCTGGCACATGACCTCCAGCCGTCGAGATTCTGAAATAGATAGTAGGTACCTCAAACTCCTCAGGGTTCCGTTTCATCTAATGCCCATGCCGACCTCTTCAAGCTCCTAGGCAGTTACGAAACTAGGCAACCCTGATCCCTTGCGGGAGCTAACCTTAAGTCTTAAAGCAAGGTGTAGGTAGACTTTCTATAGATTTTACGGCTTCTGGACCGATGTAAATAGGCGGTGGTACCTATCTAGGACGTATTCCGGACCGGTTTAGTTTGCATGTATGAACACGTACCCGGATGCATGGGTCTGATCTGTAGCCAAATTCCACACTCCTGGGAATGATATATTTAGTAAAGTATACCCCCGGTACTCCGTGCCTCCCTCTCGCCCGTTCTAGGTCGGATATCCCTAACGTCAATTCGACGACGTGCTGGGTCAGGTGAGGCCCGTAGCACGGACGCCATTGCTGAAAGACAACATGGAGCTAGATACGGGCTCAGCTCCGCCATGGGCTCTTCCGTTGGGAGGCTGCATGTTATCGCCTGTCGAGGAATCAGGGGAGGCAGGGAGGTACATGGCGAGTACTTGGTCAGCCGACGCCAAGGGATTTTCGTCATTGTCGATTCACTGCCGGTTCCAGAGGCACGCGACTGGCACTGCGGGCAGCCTCCGGCTCTTCCCTTTTCAGGCCTACCGCCTGCCCAGACGGACCATTGACCGTACGGTATAGTGTAGGTACCGGGAGAGTACCTTACCTTTGCCGCCTGGCTAACTTACCACCTCCCAGCAGAAGTGGAGGTACACTGGGAGTACATGCTCACTCTGCCTGCGGCTGACGCCCTTGGGGGATTATTATGATGATTGATGCCCATTATTGTGCAGAAAATCTCTGCCCCTTCCTGTGACACCACCCCTCCTAACGTCTGTGTGTTATCATAATAATTTTGGAATTGTCCGTATATTGGCGCCTTTCTTCCCACGTCTCACCCAATAATCCAGAGCTATCGTCATCGTTGAATCGGGTCCCCACTCTCCCCATTGATAGGTGCTACCTACCACCACCAGCCTCTGAGCCAGTGAGCCAGCCTACTTTACTTACCTACTATCTGCTAGTGCTAGTAGTAACCCGTACTCCGGATACTCCAGGCTGGGTTATTGATTCCTCTTGGGTTTTCTGCTGGGCCCAGTCCCGCTCGCCGCCTCCCGAACAGTCATTCTGCCCTTGCCCTCAATCCAACCTAATCTTCCCTTCCACCTGATCTGCTGGCTCTTCCTCTCCCCTCCCCTCCGTCTCCCCCCCTCAAAGATCCTCTGGCCTTAACTTCCTTCCTGCTCCTCCCCCTCCGTGGTGTATGTTTGTAACGGACCTTCTGTCTGCGTGAACAGTTAATTGCGATCCACTAGAAATCATGGGTCAGACCTTGTCCGAGCCCGTCGTCGATAAGGTGAGTGAAAATGAGCACGCCGTTTGCCTGGTCTTTGATCTTCCCCCACACTGCAAACCACATCTTACGCCATTCCAATCTCGCACCATCCGCACTGCCATTCCATTCCATTCCTTGCCCTGCCCTCCCCGCATGGTGTTTCAATTTTTATTTTGTCCAGCGTGAACCACTGTCCCGTCCGCGGGTCTCTCCTGTGTTCATTTTATCACTTCTCTTTGTGTCGGAGGGGCTGCAGCGTGGTGATCTCCCCCCCTGCGGGGTCCCTCCACAGAATGATGAAATTTTTCCTGCACGCGATTTCGGGCGGATGACCTGTCACCATTCCATTGTGTTCCGGACCTCTCGCTCTTTCCTGCAACCTCACTAACCAAATCGGGTGACACCTAGGCTTCCGCTGAGGGTCAAGATGAATGCTGTATATACGGTGTTTCGGCCATGCAGGGCTGGCGAATCAGCATGGAGGATGCTCATGCATCTGTGCTAGACCTACAAGCCAGATTTGCGGACCAGAACGAAAAACCAACCGATCCTGACAAACGACTTGCTTTCTTTGGTGTATATGACGGGCACGGTGGAGACAAAGTAGCTTTATTTGCCGGGGAAAATGTCCACAAAATCGTCGCGAAGCAGGAATCTTTCGCCAAGGGCGATATCGAACAGGCCCTCAAGGATGGCTTCCTCGCTACCGACCGGGCTATTTTGGAAGGTTCGTGAGCGCTATGCTATTATCGGAGTCCGGGCAACCTCTCCATCCGCCCCTCCCCTTTCATTCTCGTCTTGTCCCTCCGTAGTAGCAACGGACTGACCCGACTAGACCCGAAGTATGAAGAGGAAGTGTCTGGCTGCACCGCAGCTGTCAGCGTCATCTCAAAGCACAAGATCTGGGTGGTACGTATTCGGCTTGTGAAGAATAGGCGACATTTGTCCGACATGTTTACTAACTGGCTCTAGGCCAATGCCGGTGATTCTCGCTCCGTCCTCGGTGTCAAGGGCCGCGCAAAGCCTCTCTCGTTTGATCACAAGCCTCAGAATGAAGGTAAATAAGCTCCTGTATATTGGCTCAAACCCAGCCGGGATGGTGCTGACAGCAACAATAGGCGAGAAGGCTCGTATTAGCGCTGCCGGTGGCTTCGTTGACTTTGGCCGTGTCAATGGTAACCTGGCTTTGTCGCGAGCCATTGGAGACTTTGAATTCAAGAAGAGCCCCGAGCTGTCCCCTGAGCAACAAATCGTTACTGCTTATCCCGATGTTACGGTACATGACCTCAGTGATGATGACGAGTTCCTCGTGATTGCCTGTGATGGTAAGTCTCTATGATCGGCGCAGTTTGCTTCAAGGTCACTAATTGGGAGTACAGGTATCTGGGATTGCCAGTCCTCTCAGTCCGTGGTGGAGTTCGTTCGCCGCGGCATTGCCGCAAAGCAGGATCTCTATCGGATCTGTGAGAACATGATGGACAACTGCCTGGCCTCCAACAGCGAAACCGGCGGCGTTGGTTGCGACAACATGACGATGATCATCATCGGACTTCTGAACGGTAGGACCAAGGAGGAGTGGTACAACCAGATAGCTGAGCGCGTGGCGAACGGCGACGGCCCTTGCGCTCCGCCCGAGTACGGCAAGTCTCTCGAGGATCCCACGGCCTCCAATCCCAATCCCTACTGACTGAACGGGGGGTGCAGCTGAGTTCCGCGGCCCCGGTATCCGTAATCAATTTGAGGAGAACCCGGATGACTTTGACATGGAGAACGACCGTGCGCGTGGCTTCAGCGTCCGCTCGGGCCGCATCATCCTCCTGGGGGACGGCACTGAATTGATTCCGGAGCAGAACGATGACGAACTCTTTGACCAGGCTGAGGAAGACCAGGACCTTGCCAATCAGGTGCGCCGTGACTCTCCCGATGCGGCTCGGAATGAACGGGAGGGGACTCCTGGGCCACAATCCAAGGACACCCCCCGGGCGGATGCGGCTGAGATCTCGGAGTCGCCGTCCACCACCGCGGAGGGTTCTGGAACGCCGCAAAAGCCTACGAGTTCGTAGTCATGATGGATCTCTTGCATTTCTCCCTAATATCTCTTTTCTTTTTCCCCTTTTTTATTTTGGTTCTTTGAAAACCATCCTCGTGTGATTCTACGACCGCCGTTTCACTTTCCCTTACATTTCCGCGCTCTTCCTTCTTCCTCGCCCCTTCTGAGGCGCCAGGCTTCCATCCATTCAGCCAGCCAGCCAGCCCATCCATCTATTACCCTCCTGAATCCTTTTGAAAGGCCCGGTGGTTGCAGGGGAGGCGGACTACGTCGCGAGGGTTTGTCTCTAGTCACTCGCGATTTCGGCATTAGTTGCGGGGCAGATGCATGGGATCTGGTCGGAGGGTTTTGTTATGTTTTCCATTTTATGCAGAGCCGCGAGCGGCAGGCCTCACGAGAGTACGTCTGTTTCATGCCATGAACAAGATACCGCACAAAACGCACTGTTGATGAACGATGATATCTCCATGATTGTCCGATTTCTTTGCTTCTCCCGCTTCCATCACCACCGTGACCATCTCGGCCGTACCTGGGGGGAGAACCGACGGCTCTGGGATGGCGTAACCAGCCGGTCATGTCGGAAGAGGACCCGGCGGTGCCTGTTCGAATGCTTCAGCCATGGCGTTTCTGGACGAGTGATGAAAGCGGGCCATGTATGTCGAAGCCTTTCATATCGTATGCATATAGAAACGTTGGCTGTGCCGGTGTAAGAGAGGGATCAACGCGAAGTGTAGAGTGTAGAGTGTATCGTCGAGTTCGGCCGAGCGATCGGATGGGGAGGGACCAGTGGATTGGTTGGGGGATGGGATAGTATAGTCCGTACATACCATACGGTACCCGGGACCCGTAGTGGAACCCCCGACCGTACACCGCAAGGATTCAGTAAGGTCAGTAAGGTACGCGGTACGGCCGCGGTATGAGTCGGCCTCTCTTCATAGTACGGAGAGTTAGTAGTACTGACTGAGTACTGACGGGCAGATTTTGAGCTCGTCGTGAGACTTACCTAGTCGTTCTTTAGTCGCTTCGCTTCTTCGATTGTCTCTCGATCGCCCGCCTGTCAAGGACCCTTTCTCTCCCACGCCTCCCCCTCCTCCCCCTTCTTCTCCTTCTCCTTCTTCTTCTTCCTCTTCCTCCTCCTCCTCCTCCCAGTCCCATGGTTTGTTGAGGGAATTCGCTCCCCTCTTGCCTTGGATCCATTCCCCGGCACCGCCCGTACTGCTCCTCCTCTCCCTCTCCCTCTCCCTGTCCCTCTCCCTCTGCTTTTCTGTCCTCTTGTCTTGTCTCACCTCGCGCCTCCTGATTCAATTCCCACCACTCGCTTCGATCTTTCTTCCGGTTTATCTTTCGCCGTTTAATCCCCCCGACAGCAGTCGAGCTGTGCTCCTCGGTCAGCCACCATGTCCTCTCCGCCGTCTTCAAAACGCAAGCGCAGCGGTTCCCAACATCTTCCCACCAATGTCGCCATTCCCTCGCCTGCAGAGCTCCTGCAGCCCTCCTCCCGCGACGCGTCCGGTGAGGAGGGCGATGAGTCCACCGGCTCTGCCATCCCCCTGCCCAGCAAGCACAAGAAACAGTCGTCCCTAGACGTCACCTCCGGCACAGTCCCGCCCCCCAAACGGGCCCGCAAGGCGTCCGTCAGTGAAACCCTCGTCCCAACATCCAACGGCGACCTGCCCGACGCACCATCGGCCGTCAGCAAGGAGGACCCTGGCGAGCCGTCCGAGACCACCGTCGCCAGCAGTGACATCGAGAGTCGGAGCAAGAGCCGGCCGGGATTGCAGGTGGACACATCAGAGCGGTTGATGCGGCCGCCAGACCGGGGTGGCATTCAAGATCCTGTAGGTTATCGCACTAACCCTCCTCCGACGGGGCGGCCGGTGCGCGTGTATGCAGATGGCGTGTTTGATTTGTTCCATGTAGGGTATGTGTCTTCCGTCAAGCTTGCCGATCTGCTGCTAACAAGGAGTGCTCAGTCACATGCGACAACTGGAGCAGGCCAAGAAAGCGTTCCCCGAGGTGTTTTTGATTGTGGGCGTAACCGGGGACGACGAAACACACAAGCGCAAGGGTCTGACGGTGTTGAGCGGTGCGGAACGTGCCGAGAGTCTTCGCCATTGCAAGTGGGTGGATGAGGTGGTTCCTGACTGTCCTTGGATCGTGACGCCGGAATTCATCGACGAGCATCAGATCGATTATGTGGCGCATGACGACCTGCCCTACGGCGCGGACGAGGGAGACGACATCTATGCCCCGATCAAGGCCCAAGGCAAGTTCTTGGTTACGCAGCGAACGGAGGGAGTGAGCACAACGGGAATCATCACCAGGTGAGTAGTGGTGGCTTTGGGAGACGAACGGCGGCTAACCCGAGGCCTCCAGAATTGTTCGCGACTACGACCGGTATATTTCCCGACAGTTCAAGCGCGGAGCGTCCCGCCAGGAACTGAACGTGTCCTGGATTAAGAAGAACGAGCTGGAGATTAAGCGACATGTGGCGGAGCTCCGGGACAGCATCCGGACCAACTGGACGACGACAGGCCAGGAGCTGGGCCGGGAGCTGCGACAGTTCTGGCAGAACAGCCGGCCCAACAGCCCGCTGTCGAGCGCGCGGAATAGCGTGGATCTAGGCAGCTCGCGCAGCGGGGTCACCAGTCCGGTGCTGGGCAGCAAGGCGCACGTTTCGCGGGTGGAGGCGCTGGGGCGTCCCGAGAGCACGATTGGCAACGGCCGGAACGAGCCCGACTTTGCGACGGGCTACAGCTTGGGGCTGATTGGGGGTGTTCGGGCATGGGTGAGTGCGCCGTGTGTTTTTTTTTTTTTTTGAGAAGGAGGAATTGACTAACCATGGCCCAGATGCGCAGTCGGCACTCTCTGGTGGGCAGCCGGGCGCCGTCCCCGACGAGCGAGGAAGACCACGAATCGGAGGTGGAGCGCAGCACGACGGAGGCGACGCCTCACTCTTAATCTAGGATGATGTACTGGTTGTAAGTTTAGAATCGATCATTCGGTACGAGTAATGGCTGGTTGGACCTCTTGGTTGGGGGGTTGGGGGGGATTTTGATGATGAAATTGATTGCTGGGATGTCTTGGATGGGTAAATTGCATGGGGATTGGGATGCATGCGATGGATTAATGTACAGCTAGATTGTTAGATGCATTCTGATTCGGGACGGGTGTGTGTAGTGTGTAGTGTGTAAGTCTATAACCAACAAGTCTATCTTGATCCACCACGGCAACCCTACATTCACGCCGCCAATATCGCCAACCTCGCCTTTCTCCCCCCATCATCATCCTCATCCTCATCCTCATCCTCCACTCCATCCCTCGCACGACAGACCACCCCCCTCAACCTCCCCCTCAACCCCTCCACATCCCTCACCAACCCCTGGGCCTCCAACACCCGCCTCGCAACCCGATCACATTTGACCATAACCCCAACTCGAACCGCTTCAACCCCCGCAGCTTCAACAACGGCTGCACCCAATTCTCCTCAATCCCAAACGGCACATTATGTCCCCCCGTCACCGTCATCCCCCCATTCCCATTCCCATTCCCACCACCACCACCACCACCACCAGCAAGATTCACCCCCACAAAACTCCCCAAATCCAACCCTAGCTTCAATTCCTCCAACCCTCTACACCGTCTCACCACCTCCCAGACCCCATTCCATAGAGCATCATTATGAGTATGCGTATACACCGAAAACGAATGTTCCTGGCCTGACAGCGGGGTCCAGATCGGCGTGTAGTGAATCGTCAACGAGCGGATATTATCTCTATTCAAAGGGGAGATCTGCCCCGTGAAGGAGAGGAACGTGTATAGATCGTCTGTGTCGAAGTGGAAGTTGCGGTAGAGCAGGGAGGAGGACTCGGTGTACATTGCTCGGCAGACGTGCAGGAGATTTGTTGTTTGGGGGGTAAGGGTATCGGGAAGGGAGGGGTTGGTGTGTGGGTAGAGTTTGGTAGTTGTGGGTTCTGTTGATTCTTTGGGAGTGTTGGGGTTGGAGGTTGGTGATTTGGGAGGGGATATGGATGTTGATGTTGCGTTTGTCGTTCCGGTGGTGGTGGTGGTGGTGGTAGGTGTAGTGCGCCATCTCGCCACCGTCGCTGGACAACATTGACGGTGTTTATCCAACGCACTGGGGTTGGTGCATCGCACGTGGCGGATCTTGTTCTTCACTTGCACGAGGTGGATGGTGGTGTCTTGGTCGAAGACGTGGGCGTAAATCATGAGTCGGATTTCCGGGGGGAGGCGTTGGAAGAAGGTGCTGGTGGGTTGGGAGGTGCTATCTGCTGATGGGATTGGGGTGGGTGCATTGGAGGAATAGGAGGAGGAGAAGGCATCTGGACTGCAGATTTGGCGGGTTTGAATCAATTCGCGGATGGTTTCGGGCCAGCGACGGCCACTGGGGTAGTAGTGGAAGAGGGAGTAGGGGTCGCGGACGAGCCAGGTGTCGAAGTGGCGCATTTTCTCTGTCTCTGTCCGTGTATGTGTATGTGTAGGCAGGGGTGGTGATGATGATGGGTGTTATCTATGAGTGCTTTGGGTGTTGTGATCTATAGATAAATGTCCGGTGTGTAGATCTAATCAGGTAGCAGTGTAGAATAGAAATGAAGGAATATAGGAGACTGTCTATAGAATTGAGATTGAAACAGAGAGAGAGAGAGAGAGAAAGAGAGAGAGACCTAGGCCCAGAGGCCATATATACGGAGGAGAGAAAGAACACAGCACCGCAAGTTATCCCACCCGAATGTTAATATCAAAAATAATAAATAATACCAATTAATATAAGAGATAATCCCAGTAACACTGATCCATATAAAAACGGCTTTTGTCTGGTGCAACCCTATGACGTGGTGGCGGCCAATCACATTTGCCAGGCTGCGAGGGGCCCTTCTTCGAAGGTTGGAACCGCCATGGTGACAGGCTTGGGGACAAGCATAGGATCAGAGTGCTCCGGAGGCTGTATCTAGATACTATGTAGTAGTAGTGGTTGTTGTAGTAGTAGCAGCTGGTAGGTGGTAGTGGTAGTGGTAGTGGGGCACCAGGAGAACACTCCACCGCAGCTACAAAGGATCTTGATCTCATCTTTGGTCCTTTGGATCCGTGGAAGCAGGCTCATAGCGTGCCTCGTCCCTAGGTACCTGAGACTCTGTTATCAGTCTGGAACCGGTTTGAGAGGCTGGAGACTGGACTCTGGAGAGACTCTGGAGAGACCCCGGATCGACGCCTCCACCCCATCCGACAGCTCGAGCCAGTCACAATTGCCGCTGTGCCCCCACCACCACCCACCCACCAATCACCACCAGCTGCTGCCATTGGGGGATGCCATTGGAGTGGAGCTCTCTGTGACCCATGCCGCATCGGGACTGGCGTCATTTACTAGCGCGTACAGGAAGGACGACCGCCTCACTTCAATGCACCATTTGCAACTTCCATTATCCAATCATCCAATCCATCCGTTCATTCACATCATCATTCATATTTCATGCGTTCCAGCCGTCTATATATATGCCATGCTATGCAATGCAAGCTTCCCCCCCCCCAGACAGACATGTGGCATCGCTCGACCGAGCTCCCCGCAGTCGGTCCATGCGTCCTGACGCCGTCGTGCCTCCTCCACGACGAGGCATGCTCATCAAATCCCTCAGATCGTCGTTGTGCGTTGCCTCATACGCTGATTCGTTGCCTTTCCCCGCCTTCCTCCAAGCCTTCGTCTGCAGCTGCAGTCCGGATGCCCTCCGCCCCCTCATTCTCCTGCTTCCCTTCGCTGGCGGCCCCCTTCGCGCCCTCGCGCGCTGTGGCCACATACATGGCGCTCACCAGGATCAGCACCGAGCCCGCCCAGCTCACCGCTGACAGCGAGCTACCCCAGACCGCACGGTCGTAAAACACCGCAAACAGCATCTGCGTGTACAACATAAAGGTGGCCCGCGACCCGGACGATGACGGCTTGGCTGGCTCCCCATCGCGCGACCCATAGTTCCGCTGGTCCCACTCCGCTGGGCCCTTTTGCTTCCGCGGCGGCGGTGCATACGACAGGCCTGCGGTGAGCAGGAACTGCAGCAAGAAGCCACTCACACCCAGGCCCAGGAGCAGCGTCCATTCCAGCATCGTGCCCGGGAGCTCCATTGGGATCGAGGGCACGAGCAGCATCGCCAGGGTGGCCACGACCGTCGTAAATGACGAGAAGTACGTGACCGAGACGAGCGGATGGCAGCGCTGTCCGATCATCCGGATCGTCGTGTAGGCGCACGAGGCGCCCAGCACCCCAACCAGGGCGACCACGATGGCCAGCACGTGGTGGTAGCTGTCGGTGGCGCCGGGCTTGTCACCTTGATCCGACTCGGGGTCGGCTCCCGCTCTCATGAACGGGAATGGGCGGGCGATGAGGATAACGCCCGCCAGAGAGACCAGGCCGGCCAGCTGCTGCTTGCGCGTGAAAGTCTCATTGGGGATCAACAGCGAGCAAGCATAGCAGCTGAGGATGGGCGCCAGGAAGGTCACCACGGTAGCCTCGGACAGAGGCAAATACTGAACGGAGTAGTAGAGTCCGTAGACACCGAAGAAGCCACCGCTGGCGCGCAGCATCAGGAGGGTGAAGACATCTCGCGTTCCGAACGGATGGGGAACTCGCGCATACCACATATAGAGGTAACTAGCGACGACAGTGATGGACATGCGAGCGAAGAGGATCTATACTAATCAGCCAGGCCCTACTATATCCCTCCAATCATCCTGCTCCTGTCCTTGAGCAGACACCAGAGACAAACGCACCTGGAACGGATTATACCCCTTGCCATCCCTCCCCTTAATCTCCAAAAATTGGGTCATGACATTCATCGACGCGCCAAAGAACATGGCACACATGACCAGAATCATCCCCTTCCCTTGTAACCAGACATCCTGAGCCGTCGTCCACCAAGATTGTTTAGGACTCATGGCAGCAGCACCAGCACCAGCACCAGCACCAGCAACAGGTTGCAAATTTGCAAGTAACGGAGTGTACTCATCCTGGCCGTCTTCCTGCGCCAGTCGCCTCTCTCCCGAGTTTAAACCCTGAGCATGAGCCTGTGCAGACGATTGGGGGACCGTGACGCAAGCGGCGTCTTGTGAATTCGAGGAAGCCATAGTTAAAGTACTTTAATTTAAGTATTGTTCTTTTTTGTTTTCAATCAATCATTCATCAATCATCAAACTCGTCAAGGAGGCACTCAACCCCACTCGATTGTGGATTGGAGTTACTTTCCAACAATCATTCATAAGGCTTACTTATTTATATTTTCTCCCTCGGAAAAAGAAAGGAATGCAAAAAATGGAGCCGCGATCAGCCGCCTGGTTTCTGACTAATCGGTTCCTAGTACGTACCTTGTGACCCCTTCAGCTCAGCGCTGGAAATATATCCGGGGTTTTAGGTATCGAAGTCAATGGAGTTGATTGGTTTGAGGGGTAGCTTTTTGCTTTTTTTTTTTCTTTTCTTTTCATGTAGGTGTTTGCCATGCTTGGTGGTGGTGGTGGTGGTTCCTTGGGAACATATACATGGTACGATGCATGTATTAGTATCACAGGGAGAGATCGCATGATGAACCTACACAGTGGTTAGTGGGAAGGATTACATATTTGAGCGGGAATTCCGCTAGAGGGGAAATACAGGATCTACTATCTATCTATCGAGTACTATCTAGTATTTGTTAAAATTTGGGCAGTTGGTTAGGATCTGCAGGTAAGCACTCAGCGTGGTATGTGGAGAATATGTATGCATGTGCTACCTACCCGAGCTGGGGATACAGCCAACCATCGAATATTATACTTGTAGTATGTAGGAGTACTCGGTAGACTACATGAAGGTAAATGTATCACCACCCTTCTCGCGTAACATATTGCCCACGCGCTTGCTCCCCACAATCCGCTCCAGCTTCAAGGCATCCCACTTGGAGAACAAGGCGCGCACGCCTCCCTCGGCCGCCTCGACCACCCCCGCTGGATCCAGTCCCAGGAACCCGACCAGCTCGCCATAGAACGTCGGGTTCTCCGGCACGCCGTACATGATGATGCGCTTTACCCCCCGGATCTGGTACCGCCGGAAGTGGTGCAGTCGCTCCGTGTACAGCAGCACTGACTGCCGCCCGTTCATGAAATGCGACCGCACTCGCGACGTCTCCCGCCCGTCAGTGTACTCCGAGATAGCTCCGAATGACACGTTGGTCGTCTGCGCCGATGTGGCAAGGTAGTTGCGCACCCGCACAAAGTCCAGGTACGACGGGATGAAGATCAGTGTGCCGCCTGCGCTGGACTTGCCGTGACCTGATGCAATGTCACGTACCAGCGACGAGAGTACTGTCGTGGTGAAGTGTTTGAACCGGGCATCGGGGTCTTTCGCCGGCGAGAGACAATCGAAGCGGGAAAACGTCTGCTTGACCGAGACCGGCAGCGGCACGTCGGCGATCGCCCCCGCGTGCGTCGGCGTCGCCTTGACTTTGCCCGAGGTGTTGTGCATCTGCGTCGAGAACACCGAGTTGATCTCGGGGGTGACAAACGACGCCAGCATGATCAGCTGCCGCACATACTGCGCGTTGTTGTCCAGGTACCACGTCCGCACGCGGCTGAAGTCACACCCGTGCGCCTCCCGGGGTTGCAGATTGAGGTGCTTAAGGATGTAGTCAATGTGGTCCCAGTTCTGCATGAGTAGCGCATCTGCGTGGTCGACAATCACCACCTCGATGGATGACAGGAAATCGTGGTCCCGTTTCTTCGCACTGCGAGGGGTTAGAGCGTGGTTTTGGATGACGGGTGGTGGACTTACTCTGCCTGGTCCATGATGGTGCGCAGGCCCAGGGGACTAGCCAGGATCATGTCGGAGGTGTAGAATTGCGCAAAGTACTTGACAGTCTTGCGGGTGAATTTGACGCCCAGGCGGAACATGTCGTCGTCGTTGCCACCGAACAGGTCGCGGAAATCGTCCGGCTTGCTCTCCCATGACTTGTCGTCGGCAGAAGAGAAGGTGTCGAGGAGACGCTTCTTGTTCTCCTGCTGCTCGGGCTGGAAGAACCGCGTGATGGACTCGACGGCCCGCACGCAGGCCTGCTTAGTCGGCAGCAGATAGAGCACCTTGGGTCGAGTAAAGCCCTGATCCCGCACATCGAGGTCGGCGTCTTGTTCCTTGGCCAAGCGGGCGTTGTTCTTCAGCACGCGATCGCGAGTCTTAAGCACGTGGTTGGTAGCGTGGAGAGCCAGAAGGTCGCGCATCTGGGCCGAGTTGGATGCAGTCCGGGCTCCATACAGGACGTCCTGGTAGCCGAAGATGTAGGGGGCGAGATGCTGGGCCTGTCCGCTGATTTCCGGGATGCTATTCGTTGCAGGCTCTTTCAGTTTCCGCTTGAGCTGTATCATATCTCCATCAGTCCCCATTGCGATAGATAGGTATCATCACCCTCACCTTGACGCTTGAGACATGCTTCATTGGAGGTAGCCAGGACGGTTCATCCCCAGTGTCGGGAACAGTGCGTACAAGCCGCAGCCCATCGGGGAGCTCTTTCTTGATATTCTTCCACTTGTTCTCCCCAATAGCCTTGATCTTCTGAGCGAGCTCGTCTTCTTTCGGGATCGTAAAGTGCGTGTCAAAGGGATCATTGTCTGATGAGTGTTAGCAGAGCCAAACAACAAGCCGGATCAACGGTCTTACCATCTTCATCATCGCTATCCCGTGCTTCAGCCTCTTCCTCTTGGTTCCCATTGTCCTCTTCATCCGAAGGCTCTTGTTGCTGTAGATCGTCCCCGCCGACCGCTTCCTCGTCCTCCGCCACAGGGTCCTCGCGAGCCACCTCAATGGTTTCGGGTTTCCCATGATCGACCTTTCTCTTCTTTCGGGCCGGGCCCTTGGAGTCGGTGGAGGTGTTCAGGAGTTGTAGCAGCTCGTTATACGGACGCCCCGCCTTCTGGTCGTCCTCTTCGTCGCTGGACGAACCGACGTCCATCGGTTCCTCCTCGGCAAACCCATCCTCCATACGCTCATCCACCGAGCTACCTTCACCCTCGGAGGAATCTGCCGACCTAAAGAGTTGGTCAGCTTGCATGTAAAGCCCGGCGCGGGAGGAGTACTGCTCACTCTATCTCGTCGACTCGAGACGCTTGAAAGCCGCCACGGCGGCGAACGGGGCCGCCTCTGGAGCCTCTTCCCCGACCTCCTCGGCCTCTGCCTCCTCTGCCTCTTGGAGGAGCCATTGATAGAGATAATAAAAGCAAATCGCAGCTGTGGTGCCGACCGTTCGAGGCAACTGGGCGGATTATTTTTTCGCGGCGTTGGGGAGCGGCTTATCTTATCTTAGCGCGAAATTCGCTTTGCGCACACACAATTTGAGCCTCGCAGCAGAACCTCCGCCGCAGCAGAGGCGGAAGATTTAATTAGAAGACCGACCCCAGAGAGCCACTCTCCCCCACGGCCAGGACGCGATCAACCCGAAGAGACCGTTCGACCTACTTCCCATCATGGCTGACACTGATTCCTTCCTTCACCTCGCTCGCCCCTTGGGCCCCGTGGCAGTGGGGACTGCACCGACTACCGCCCCTCTGAACGTTGTCATCCAACCCCAGGTACGTGTTGCATGGCTGGTCCTCATGACTCTACAAGCACGATCACGTTGCTGACCCATCTGGCTAGGCCCTCTTCTCGGTCCTGGACCATTCCCTCCGTCGCAACGCCGACCAGGAGCGTGTCATCGGTACTCTGTTGGGAACCAGATCCGAGGATGGAACCGAGGTGGAAATCCGCAGCACCTTCGCTGTCGGACACACGGAGACGACAGACCAGGTCGAGGTGGACATGGAATACCAGAAGCAGATGCTGGCTCTGCACCTGAAGGCCAACCCCAGGGAGGTGCTCGTCGGTTGGTACGCCACGTCGTCCGAGCTGAACACCTTTTCCGCCTTGATCCAGAACTTCTACAGCGGCCAGGGTGATGGCACATGGCCTCACCCTGCCGTCCACTTGACCGTGTCCACCGAGGCTGGCAAGGACATCGAGACCCGCGCCTACATTTCCGCCCCCGTCGGTGTGACCGCCGAGAGAGCCGCGGACAGCGCCGCATTCATCCCCGTTCCCTACGAGATCCGTTACGGCGAGGCCGAGAAGAGCGGTCTGGAGGCTATTGCTTCGGCCCGTGATGCTGAGGAGCGTGCCGCCAACATCTTCACCGACATCGAGGCTCTGGAGCGTGCGATCGAGGATGTGCTGGGCATGATTGACCGGGTTTCCCGCTATGTCGAGTCGGTCATTGACGAGGAGGCGCCTGCTTCGACGGCCATGGGCCAGTTCCTGCTCAACACCCTGGCCCTGGCGCCCAAGGTGGAGCCTGCTGATATTGAGCGTGACTTGTATGTGCCCTCTGCCCCGAACATTTCTGCGAACCCCACTAACCCATGCACAGCAACAACCACATCCAGGACGTTCTGGTCGTGTCCTACCTGGCCAACACCATCCGTACACAGATGGAGCTGTCCAACCGCCTAGCAACCGCCCAGCTGACTCTGGGAGGCGAGTCCGGCAACGCCGAGTCGGGAGGTCAGCGCGGCGGCCAGCGCGGCGGCAAAGGAGGCCGGGGCGGGCAACAGCGGACCCAAGAACGCAGTGGAGAGGAGGCTCGCGCGTAAGAGTGATATAGGGTTATTATAACGATACCTTTCCATTCTTCTTTAACATTTATTCATTGTGCAAATTCCTTTCTTTCATACTTCCCCCCCTTCTCTGTTTATTTGCAACAATCACCGTCCCCGCCATCTTACCTCTTGGAAATCTATCCAAAGCCCCGTCCCGTTGTCAGCCATGGTCATTTGGAGATATCCCTACCTACGATTCGGTCTGGTGTGGCATGGCAGGGCATAATAGCCATCTGCAAAAAGGAGCAAAAAGAAAAAAAACTGGGTGAAGGGAGAGATAAATCGAAAAACGAACAATCCGGTATGGAGTGGAATGGAAAAGAAGGAAAGAAAAGAAGCACGGCGTATGGGAGTCCATCTGGCTTTGTTCAGAGTGCTTGGAAATGGAAAATGGGAAAAGAGAAGAGATGATGACCTATGATTCTGTTGTCGTTGTTGTTGATGATGATGCTAGCAACTTTATCTACCTCTGTTGAGGGTTGAATCTGCTCTTGCCCCTCAGTTGATGATGTAACGTAGATTGGGAGCCCGAGTAATCATGTGTATGCAGATGGATGCGTTGGTTGAAGCCACTACAGTCTAGTTGAGGAGTTGGAGCATTCTTATCTCCTGCAGCTTAACCCTTTTGAGCAGGATGGATTCCTCGATAAGCTAAAAAGCATTAAACTGTCTATCTGTTTCGATAAACGCCCCCGATGCCGACCAGATAGTGGATATAATATATATTAGATGAAAGAAACCCTATCCCCAGTCCCCCAACGCCAGTTAAATGTAGATGAAAACGAAAGAACCAGCCACAAAGCACAAAGCATATGGCTCATCCCACGACCTTTCTCTTCTTCGGCATCGCATCCTCCGTGACATCCGAATCTCTTCTGGCGTTTTTCTTTCCTTTTCCCTTGCTCTTCTTTCCATCGACACTTTCACCAAGTTCCTCGAGGCCCTTCTTGCCGGCATCTTTCAAATTTCCAACCTGGTCGTCATTCTGATCGAACGCCTTTCGAGCTTCTTTCAACTCGCGCTCCATGCGCAACAATTCCTGAACACGACCCAGCTTGTTCGGGTCCCGACGAAGCGCGAAGCGGAAATCATCGACCTTGATCTTCTGTCGGCGGGAGTAACTCGCGTACTGCGCCGCGCCATGACACATTTCAAGGACAAAATCGGTGACGATTTCATCGAGGACGCGAACAGTTTCGGGGAGAGGTTCAGGGGAGAAAGAAGGGTGAGGGCTGGGGTCACCATAGGCAAGGAGTAGGAGACGGACTAACACAGCATCGTGCATGTTAGCAAACACAATACAGCCATATGGACTAGAAAAATTGCGTAGACGATCATGGAAATACATACGTTCAGATGCAAAGTTCATCTGGCCCTTGTGCCGGGCGGCACGGGCTCGAGGTTCAGCCATCCTCTTGGGCTTTTGGGAAGAGGCGTTCTCTTGGTCTGCGGCGACGGGTTCCGGAGTGAAGGCGGGACGATATCCGGCTCGGATTAGCGCTGTTTCTTGAGGGTTGAATGGCCAAGGAGGAGCGAGCTGACTCGAAACATGGCCAGTGCTAGGTTGACGGGGAGGGCCGGATGGAGCCCTGGACGTATGCTGCAACGGCAGAGGATAGGCAACCGACGGTTTTCGTGCTGAAGGAGCTGCGGCGGGATGACGGCCGGAGGTCACGGTGGGTAGGCGGTGAATGGGGATGCCGGATGACATCCTGGCAGAATGGCTGGTCTCTTGTTGCGATCTTGTTCAGTGCCACTCAAAAGTGCAGTGCTGGATTGTCCTGGTGTGCGAGCAAACAGAGCAAGAGAGGCCGTCAGCGACCGGAATCTACCAAGATGGTCAGTGAAAGGCTTCTGCCCACCTCCAAGCTGCTGGCCTGATATCATTAACCAGTGAGATATGCAGTCTGCCTTGTTCAATTTCCAGTCACTTCTCCTTGTGTTCCTGCTCATCATCTGCACAAGCACCTATGCACATTCGATGATGCCAGGAATCATGGACCGCAACCAGAGCGGGTAAGTGTTCTGGCGTTCAACTCTCATCGCCTAATTGACTTTCGATTGACCGGATCTGTAGCTTCTTTGGCATCTTCTGGAAGTGCGCTCGAATCGGCGAACGACTGAGTCCATATGTCAGTATATGCTGCGTGGTGATGGCCGTGAGTACCCCGATCATCTTGCAGGAAATAATGAGGTTATATCTTGGATACTGACGGCGATGATACTGCCAGGTCTCGATCTTCTTCGGCGGCTGATGGACTCGCCTTATCTTCTTACGGTCTCAGAATAGCATGGTCATTGTACCAGGCGGTGGCGTTACTGAAGCTTCTCTTTCCGCGTCTGTTTTTGTTGCAGGATCCCTCATGGTCATTGATCTGTATATCGTACACAAAGTCCCACACTATCCGGACACCAATGCTCGATAGGATTTTATCCGAAACCACCGTATTTACATGCCAGCGCTAGAGATGCAAGAAAAGATAAATAACACGGAAAACAGACGGAAGGGTATCTCATGCGTTGGCTTTCAGACGCTGCAGGCCTCGGTCGAGGAGCTGCTCATCTTCCAACTCATCTAGCTGTACAAGGGTAGGAGTGGGGATCCCATCTTCCACCTCATCCAGCTCCCGAAAAGCAGGGGCGAGCTGCTCATCGTCTGTCTCGTCCAGCTCCAGAGGGGTAGGAGCGGGCCGCCGAAAGCCCTCAGGTCTCAAGTGCGCGGATTTCAAGTCTAATTGTTCCATCGCAGCCCAGAGTTGTTCCGGCTCTCGAAGGTAGCTCAGACTCTTCATCGTATAAGCATCGGCGATGAAACCTTGAGCTTCCAGTTCCTTGATGGACTGCGCGACTCCCTGTGCGTCTTGTCGGGCCGCCAACCCCGCGATGATGACATTCCACGTACCCATGTCATACTTAATTCCGTGACTAGCCATCATGCCTTTCACCCTCTCACCCGCGAGTGGCTGTTTGTTCCAGATAAAGGCACTCAACAACAGCGTCCACGTCCGGACCGTTGGCCGGGTTTGGGTGATAGTTGCCTCGGGGCTGCCAGTATCGCCGCCACCCTCATTTGCGGAGCGGAGCATGTCTTCCATGACGCGACAAGCAGCTCGGAGCCCGTGAGGGTTCTTCCGATACGCAAGCATGAACTCGTTGTAGGTATGATCGGTTGCAGCGAGAGGGGCGATATCTTTATGGCCTTGGCTCACAAGTTCCCGGAACTTGAAATAAAGGCGGTCGACATTGGCCACCTGGATTTGGCATCGGAGCCAGGTCGCAATCATGAGATACAGGGCAATGGTAGAGGGAGGTGTCTTCTCGCCGCTTGTTGGAGGATTGTAATCGCGAGGTACTATCGAGAGATCCTGCAACGGCGTAATGTCATGCACTTCATGATATATTTTCAACAGAGAGTAGAAGATCTCGCGGCGGCTTGCCGTGGCATCAAAATTCTTCACGTTGAAAACAAAATGGGAATGGAAAAGCTTGCTCGCTATGTAAGGGTTCTTCTTGAGCTCCGGCCGTGCTTCGAGCTCCTCCATCAAGTGCGCAATCCGCTCTCGGTCTAGACGAGCGACTGCATCGTGTAGTAAAGACAAATAACTGTAGGAGTCGAGCTCGAAGCTTTCAGCCTTCATAAAGCGCAGCACGTCAAGACCTAACTGAGGATCCCCTGTCTTAAGAGCGTTGGACAGAACCACGTTCATCATGTCTCGATCTGGTTCGATCCCCATACTGATGAGCTTGGGGAGAATGCGAAAATTGCGCCCATCCGGATGGTCGACAACTGAGTCAAGTGTTAAGAACTTCGCGCAATGCCGGGCAACCATCAGATTCATGGGGGGTATATCCATTCTTGCAAACATGTACCTTGCGAGTTTCAGGGCCCAGAATGCGTTGTTAACGTCCCCGAATTCCATAAAGCGGTTCATAAAAGCAAGAAAAGTCTCGCCCTTCAACCTGTGTTTGCGCTTGGACACGTATGTCCAGGCGACGTAGACATGCTTGCGGTCTGCCATCCTTATGTAGAGACGCACACCTTTTTGCGGTACAAAAGCGACAGGCCAGCGGCTGGGATCCAAGCAAAACCTTATAACAGACCGAAAATCGTGGGGACCACTTCTCCATTGCTCCACCTCAGCACGATGCAGGTCTTCGAGATATATCAGGCAGTCCGCGACCATTGTAAAGGGCGGTCTGGTGTGGAAACTCCGACAAGTGGCAAAGAGGAAATCCAAAGTTAGCGCGGGAGAGTTCCGCAATAGCCACAGCGACAGTGGTGCCCAGTGGACTTCCTTTTGCACCTCGTTTAGAGAATTCCACTCTTCACAGAACTTTTCCAGGCCACCCTGTTTTAGGGTTTCAAGTAGGTGCGTATCGGTTTCGTCCAACGGAAAGTCGACAAATTCTTCCTCCACTTCTCTCCCATCCCATCTAGCCTGGTACAGCTCTCTGTTGGCCAATTTCCACTGTCGAATCTCCAATCCATTGTACAGATATGCTTTTGACCTTACAGCCAGATCATGGTTTTTCACTTCCTGGCCAAACCACAAGACCCGTGAGGGGTTGTCAAAAGTGAAGGTGTCTCGAATACGTCGCTCAAGTGTAATGGGCAAACCACGCGGATGGGCGTAATTCGCCCTCACCCCGGAAGACGGAGTATCATTGTTGAAGGCCGCTGATGACGTTAGTTTGCGAGCTCCAGTACATGGCGACACCAGCGAAAAGACCCCCCGCCTCATTGATATCTGACTGTGAAGCAAACCATTTCCTGCAGATCGGTCAATGGTTAAACCATGAACGGATGTGATATTGGAGGGATGTTGCCGTCTGTTTTCCGGGATATTCGTATAGCGGACGTTAAGCTGTTTCAGATCTCCCTGAGCAGCGTAAAGATCCTCCGACGGCGACGTATTCGAACGCGGTGCATTGTCGCGAAAGAGTGCAATGTCCTGAGCTCCTCTCCGTCGCCCGAGGCGGAGCCTGTGCTGCGGGACACCGGATGGCAATCCAACGCAGACGCGGGAACGCGAGAGTTTAGGTGGACAAACTAACATTCAGAACCAGGTTGTGTTCATTTCATAGCTTGGCAGGACTAGAAGGTTGCCAGAACAACTATCAGCGCGCGGGTTTGGGCCCGGGAAAGGAGGGAAGGAAGGTTGTTGAAGCCAATCTTTCTTTCTGCCGCCGGATTTTCCTCCGGCGCCGGTGTGGCTGGTGGGACCTGGCAGTGTGGCGCATCACCGCCTACTACGGAGTACTTCCTGTGTATCATCCACTGAGAGATTTCATTATTACTCTTGCACTTTACCCCTGTGGTTTCGGATTCTGGCGACCCTGAAACTATCTTTCCAAGACTCCCCGGCCTTTTTTGAGGGAAGACCCAACGATTATCCCCTGAGTCCAAGCCTCGTTCGGCACGAAGCTGGGAAAATCCTCTCCCCGCTCGATTTTTATACTCGATCTTCTTCCCCGCCGTCATGTCGTCCAATCATGCCTCGCTCGATGCGGCGGCGACAGAGCGCAAAGCTCGTCTCGCAAAGCTTGCTGCGTTGAAACGGAAACAGCCCGAGCCAGAGCCGGAGTCATCGACGGAAGCTCCTACCGCCGAGGACGAAAGAGAAGATGCTGCTTCCGATGTAACAAAGCAATACCTATCTGGGAGGAATTATGATGCAGAGACTCGGGGCCCGAAGCTGGGCTTCGACATGGCCCCCATAGATGGGCAAGTCACCGTGGAAACGCAGGCTGCCGAAATCGCAAAGGCCACCGCAGAGCAAGCCAAGAAGGACGAGGAGGGGGATCAGCCGATCGACCTTTTCAAGCTGCAGCCGAAAAAGCCGAATTGGGACTTGAAGCGGGACCTGGATGAGAAGATGAACATCCTCAATGTGAGGACACAGAATGCGGTTGCGAAGCTCGTTCGTCAGCGGATAGAGGATGCGCAGCGCGCAGCTCAAGCCAGGGGGCCGGGACCAAATGGAGATCAACCGGGAGAGGAAGTGGGCATTGAGGGTGACATGTTGGTTCAGGGCATCCACGTCCGCGAGAGGGAAGAAGAGGCGGCAAGAAAAGAACTGGAGGACGAGGAGACGGCATGATTTTGATACCCTAGAAAAAGATGGATAGTAGCGGTTGCGATTCGGTCTCATCTCTTTGCATCTTGCTTTTCAGGCGCTCACAGTCGAGGATTTGGGACAGTGTCGCAAGGCGTTGAGGATATTTGCATACGGATTTGGAAAATTACTTTCAATGCATTAGCCCGCCGTATGGTCTTACTATAGTACAGACCCCCGTTGATTAAACCTCGGGGAATCAACCTGCGTTGATGAGCCTCGAAAGAGGAAAACGCCTAACTCCCACACATCCCTGCCCAGTACTTTTTCTATTCAAAACACCAAGCCGAAGACACCTAATCGCCCAGATTCATGGCCTGCGTCAACGCAAGGCGCTTGCTATAAGGACTGAGACTCCGTTCCCGTCGCGGACGTCCCTGGCCGCTTCTATCACCGCCTGAATTGCTGGCATGGCTCTGCGAGGGACCCGAACGATTTGTATGATCCTTTGGGTCCGGATAGTTACTCTCAAGCAGCCTCTCCGGAGTCACCGACCGTCTCGTCCGTGTGATTCGATTTTGGTCAACGCTTCGACTTCGAGACCGATCCCGCCGTTCACGATCCCGCGACATGTGTCGGGGCCGACCTCGTTCCTCGGGACTGGATTCTCGACGCCTCCGCCGGGTGTTTCTGTCATCCTGCCACTCAGGCGACCGAGACCGGGGCCCTCTTTCTCCCGACGAATAAGAAACCGCCGAATTGTGGGAAGAGGCATCGCTATAGCGTCTCTTTCTCTGTCCGGAAGGGTGCGAGGAGACGGATCTCGTTCGATCATCGCTACTTCTTGTACCATAGTCTCCACGGCGAGGAGGGGATCGTGAGTGTGACCGACTGGTTGATATTGTCGCTACAGAGCTGGTGGAACTGGAGGATGCTGACCGAGCTCGTTTGGCCATCTGCGTACGGTTGTCTAGAGGGTCCGCCTCGTCGAGGTCTCTTTTGCGACCGCGTTCTTCCTCGCGCTTGGCGAGAATTTCGGTGGCTAGTCCTTTCCTGAGGGTGTCTTTAGCTAAATATCTTATCGACCTACAGATAAACAACGTACGTGCGCGAAGAGTCACTGGGGACGTCGGCCGAGAGTTGCGGCCGCAGCTTCGGGTTCTGCAACTGCTGCGTGCGCGAGGGACGAGACATGTACGGCCGCTCTTGAGCGGTGACGGTACATTCATAACTATAGTGTCGTGCTAGAACCGTCAGCGTGCATTGGGGGGGAAAGAGATCGAAATGGCAGGGACGTATCTCGTTTCAAGCATTTTTGACACAAGGTGCTGGGGGTTGCCTTGGTAGGGCCTCTGAGCCCGGGAGCATTTCGATAGCGATTCATGGAGCTGAAGACAATAGCTACCTGTCTGCAGAGCGAGAGCAAGAGAGCAGGATGCCCGCAGCCAGGATTTGCTAGATCTTTTGTTCTTTTGGCCTGGAGATGCCAACAGCCCAAACCCAAGCTCTTTCCCCCGCGGCTGTCGCAGGCAGTGTGTGGGCCGGACAGGCCTGGGCGAGCCGCGCGGCTGAGAGGCTAAACAGGTTAAGCGCGGGCGGCAGCCCACGAAGGAGGAGCAGACAAGCGAAACCCGCCCGATCGACTCAAGCGTTGCTCGTTCCTTCTCAGCCCAAAAGATCCAAAAAGCCGGTCCAGCATCGTCGGCTTTGCCTTACCCACTTACTCTCCGGCCTTAGTGGAAAGTCGAAGGCGCGCTTTCGTCACGACTCCCTCTTCAGCTTGGCTTTGGTTCGTGTCCCGATCACTCTTCAGGAGGAAGCCTCATTTCCCCCTCTTGAATCTTTTTTTCTAAACAAAAGAAAGACAAGAGTTCCATCCCCCTCCCTCCCCCCCCCCCGAACAAGCCATGAGCCAATCGTTCTGACCATCGTGTAAGAGCAGTCACCTCCCTTCCTCCCCCCCTTCCTCTGTCTCTGCGTGCCTGCATCGTCCCTGGGTCTGGCGGCTTCTCAGCCTGTCACCTCCAACCCCCCGCTTCTTCCACTGCACGCCTTGTTGGTGGCATTCCGACCGGATCTAACGTCGAAGCAGCTTTCCTTATGGCGAACTACGTTTTCCAGAGATGTACCGTCTTTCTTTTTGGGCTTGTGTGAAGTGGGATCTTTGAGTGGCTTTTGATCGATTCGAATCTCGGTTTCGTCCCCGTCAACATCTGAACGGTTGGACTACCGTCTCTCTCGTCGGGTTTTTCCCTTATCCAATCCGTCCGTATCCGATCGTTTTTCATACCCGCGGAAGGACCGCTAGAAGAGACCTCGACCTTCTGCTCAGCGAGTCAGGGAATAATGGCATCCAACAGTTCCACCAGAGACGACCATCGTCTTTCCTTTGCAAAGGTAGGTGTCGCGACGCGAATCGCCCGTCGAAGGGTTGTTCCTGCTGACCCGTTGGATCAGATTGCGGCCATGCCTCCACCATCAATCCCGGAAGCTCCCGTCTTACCTGACGAGGTGCACGGCTCACAGTCGGTCGACGGCCTCTCATGTTCCGAACAGCATGGCTCGGAACACGTCCCCTCCGACCAGGGAGCCTCGAGTAACGTCCGAGACGAGGCTGCCACTGTGGATCGAAACGTCGACTGTCTATCCCAGGCCGTGCATAACGTCCACATCGAAGAAAAAAAGTATCATGGCAGCCCTGTGTTCTCCGGTGAAGCCCCAGACAGCGGTTCTCTGAAACGGGAGACCTCATTTGAGGATGACCGTACCCACCTTTCGAACTCTTCGACCAAGCCCACGAGCTTCGATTCTAAGAGCATGGCATCGGTGACTACATTCGCAATGGACGAGAAAGATTCACTGCGTCCCGATGATAGTGCTAGCGTCCAAGCTGTGGATGAGGAGGAGTCCCTATCCGGGCCTGCCTCCGGTGCCCCGAACTCGTTGACAGGCTCAGAGTCGGGTGCCCGTGGTTTTCGGGACCTACAAAGACCGCGAGGAATACTGCAGCCTCCGGGCCCGATCTTTAATGATGGTATCCAGCGCACAAACGGTGCCGTTATTCCGGACACTGTCGCAAACAATTACGCCGTCCCGAATGCTGATGCTTTCCTAAATGGACGGCCTATCCATGGGTTCCCATCAGAGCCGGACGAGAAACTTCTTGAGGCTATGAAATCTCCCAAGGACCGTCTTCTGATACTTCAACTAGAGGAGAAAGTCCGACACTTTATACAAACTTCCAAGTGAGTCGGCACGGCGCATTACACACCCGCCCGTATTCAATTTTCTGATATTTTACTAGGGAGCATTCTTTGGAGCTGCCACCTTCAAACGCTTTTGGACGGCTCCTCGCGCATAAGCTGGGCGATTACTATCATTTGACCCACTTTGTTGACAACAACGTCACGTCTGTCAGACTTCACCGGACCCCGTTCTGTCGGCTGTAAGTCCACCATTGCCTTTGTCATATCTGCATGCGAAGGTCGGATCAACTGTTTGCTGATCTTGATAGGCCCACACCACTCTCGGTTCTGCACGCTGCGAGCAGCAGTACCCCGCCTCCAGCCATGCCTGCCATGAAAATCATGCGTCGTACTGATAGCGAACGACCCTCCACAGAAGGAAGCATTGCGGCAAGTTCCTCCGCTCCATCGAAGAATGGTTCAGAGGCCGGCGACAGTGGTGATGGGGAGCGCGGCGGTTCCTCCGCCGGCGCTACCCCGGCCAAAGACAGGCTGGCTTTGACCCGGGAGGAGCGAGAAGCCAAGTATCAGGAAGCTAGGGAGCGGATCTTCCGGGATTTTGCGGAGCCGAAGCCTTCTGAGAATGCGAATGGCGAGATCGGTGCCAATATGTCACGCTCGAGTTCGGCGAGCGGACGCAGAAAGGGACACAGGCAGAAAACTCCTCATGATGACAGTTTCGAAGCTCGGTCTCAATTCAACGCATATTATCCTGGGATGCACTACACCAATGGGACCATGCCTTACGGCATGGCTATGAACGATCCGTCTTTCCCCAACCAGCCTTGCATGGTTGGCCCGGGCGTGTCCCCGCCTACTATGGGCTATGGTCCTGGTGGCCAGACCGGTCCAATGTATTCCGGACCCATGAATATGAACGCTATGCCGCATTACTCGATGCCAGTATCGCCTCAGATGACCCCGAGCGGCCCGTGGCAGAATGGCCCTGTGCCGCAGCAGTCCCCTTATTCGGGATATGCGACCATTAACCAGTCGCCAGCGATGGCGTCCACCAAGTCCTCCCCTGCATTAAACAGCTATCCCATGCCCAACTCTGTTCAATATCCACCCAATCCCGGTTGGTCCACTCCACCTTATCCTGGCGGTTACCCACAGCCTTCACATCGCAATCCTCCTCCGTCTGCGTGGGCCAGCTATCAAACCCAGCCTCCTACACCCACCTCCTACCCCTATACGCAATATCCCGGGCAGCCGTTGAGTCCCGGAATGCAGAGCCACTCGGTCGCCCACCCCTTACCGGGAAGCTTTAATCGGTCACCTTTCAACCCTCAAACCCGTTCGTTTGTCCCCGGCAGCGCACCGTTAGCGAGGCACCCAAGCAAGGGCAGTCAGCATGGAATGAATCCGTACCCTGGCATTCAACCGGGGATTCAGCCTCAGTGGCCCGGATTTCAAGATGCCAACAACAAGCCTCAAGAAGCGTCTGGCTCGGTTGGGCATGGTCCGAGTCGCGGTGGTCCTTCGGGAGGTAGAGATTCCATTGCAAAGTGGGGGACACCGTCGCATCTTCCCCCCAAACCGCCACCATCCGAGGTTCCTTCGGACTTTGACTTGAAGCCGCGGAGTGGCCCTAACTCGACCCATCCTTACTCGGGCAACACGCTTCCCACCCCCAAGAACGGGCCGCTCGTCGTTTCGGGTGGTGCGACTCTCCCGAGGGTCAACTAGGGTTCTTCTCCCTCTGGCCATCTGGGGGGTGGAGGGTTGGTTGACTGCTGTTACAAAAGTACATATGCTTCCTTGTTGTCGTGGAGTGTCGCCAGGGGCAAGGTTCCTGACATGGCCGTTCTATCGCTGGCAGATTAGACACGGGGACGGATGCTGTCATTTGGCGTCATCCGTCGGAGCGAGAAATGACTTGATGAGCGGAATCTGGGTTTCATGTCCTGTCTGCGCCGGCTCACCCGTAGTGGTCGACGACTGGGATTTCGTGGGCGTTCGAGACTTGGTTGGAAACCTGAATTACTCATGTACTTTCAGCATTGCTATGTTTGCTAGATCTTGCTGGCTTGGGGGCGGGGAATAGTGCTTAGATAAATAAACTGTATGACTCCACTTCTTCGATAATGTCGACGATACTCGAGTAGGAGGGGGGAAACAGCTAGAATTACAATCATGATGGCCAACTGGATGGAAAAACGAAACACGGTGGTAAGATAATACAATAGACCCCTCTGCCCCCGGGGGGTACAGGCTCTTCTAGCAACCCCGACACATGCCTTTCCCCCCTCTATTGCTTCGCGGGCTTGGCGGGCTTCGCCTTGTCCTCCCGGCCATGACCCGTAATTTCTAAGCGCTTGATCTCGCGCTCCAGATCCGCCACGCCGCCTTTCCTGAACCGCGTCACCTTGTTGACATTCATGGTAGTGAGTTCATTGAGTGTCTCCAGTCCTTGCGACCGTTGTCTGGCGACCGTCCGTGCCGTCAACGCAAACCGCATATCTTTCGGCCCATCCACCAGTTCCAGGATGGCGCTGGCCGCTTGATCATCCTTCTTGGGCTCGACCCGGAGCACGCGGGTATAACCGCCTGGCCGTTCGGCGTAACGTTCGCGCAGAGGACCGAAGAGTTTGGGGAGGATCTCGTGTGGGGTCTAAATTAGCTGGGTTAGCTGCTAACTATCCTTCATTGCTTCTTCCCTCCATGCACATGTTGCGTCCTCGGGACAAGGTGCTCCATCTAAAGGTGTAATGCATACATAGAACGTTGACAATGCGCGTCTCCGACTAGCTTCGGAATTCTTCTTGCCCAGAGTGATCAGCTGCTCGGCTAGTCGTTGCGCCTCCTTCGCCTTGGCCCAGGTGGTTGTGATGGATTCGTGCTTGAAGAGAGAGGTCACCAGGTTACGGAGGAGAGCTTGACGATGAGACGACTTGCGGCTCAAGTGGCGGAATTTGGCTGCACCTCCGGCCATGGTGAATGTTTATGGGGATGGGGTGGAGGGTGGAGGGTGAAAGGTCGGGTTTGGTTTCGGGGTTATCGAAGGCCCAGGTGCTGGGGTGGTGGGCGGATGAGGTAGGTCAGTTCGGTCACGCCGTGGGAAGATTGAAAGGAGATGAATTGAATTGGATGGCCTGGCTGGGGGATCGGATCTTGGATCAGTTGTTGGCGTCGTCGTCGTCGAGGTCGAGAAAGCGATGGCCATCTGCAGCGGGAAAGATTCGATTCAGCCGCCGTAGCCAATCGGAGTGCGGCCTGGTCGGCCCCGATCCCGCCCCCTCGAAGAACTTCCATCACAACTGACACGATCGACTATCGACTATCGACTTCATCGGTTGCGGTGGCTCGTCTTTTCAAGGGTTCTTCGAATTGGGTGTACAGTGTGTTCCATAGAGTTGGAGAGATATTTGTCTATTTTATACCTGCTCTTTCTCGCAGTGGACTATCTAAACCATCAATCCAATTCATTTATCCTTCCAGATTGTCTTGTTCGCAAGGAAGGGCTTTGTTTCCCCCGCTTTTCACCTACCTACTACCCTGTCGACATACCAATCCCCCCTCTGGCCAAGATACCTCGTGGGATATCTCGACGCTTTTACAATAATCAAAATAAAAAAAAAACATAAAGACAGAATGGGCTTCTTCGCCGGCTTCGTATGTCCCACTGCCCCTCTCCCTCTCACTCTCACTCTCACTCTACCCAAGACAGAACAAAAGCTAACGCGCCCACAGTTCAGCGGTTTCGCCCTAACCACCTCAGTCCTGTACATCACTCTCCAAGTCCACAAGGCCAATCGCCTCGAGCAGCGCAATGCCATCCGCGAACAAACCCGGGCTTTGAACTGGATGACCTCGTCTACTGGCGCGTATGATCGTCGCCTACTACCCAGTGATGCCGAGCAAGAGGAGATGAAGAAACTACGGGAGTCGAAACCGCCCATGAAGGATTTCTTGAAGCAGCGGTGGAATCAGGAGGTGGAGACGTTGGCAAGGAAGGCGTATGAGAGTCGGTGGGAGGATGCGAGGGATACGGCTGTTGAGGGATGGAAGACGGTGGTTAGGTTGGTTAAGAAGGAGTAGGGGCTTTGATTTATGTGTGTGTGTGGTTTTGTTGGTTATATATGTGGATGAGATGAGGGGGTGCATACGATGTGGAATACGTTTCAGATACCCTTGTTTTGTTATTTGAATAGCGATAATGCTATACTTTTCTTTTTGCTGTTTGTTTGTTGGGCTTGACGGGTATGTATGTTCTGGGGCGCTCGATAGCGGTACTACTGATGTAGTCAGGTGGGCGTGCTTCAAGGCGAACAATGATGTACAAGATCTCAGACTCGACGGGGTTGCCTTGACCCTGCTAGTTGGCAGTCGGCTGTATACTGCATTGCCAAGATGTATACGCCCTCCCAGAAGGGTTCCATCCGCCAACATGCAGACCAGTTACCTCGCTCTATAGAGCGGCACACGGTTCCAATCATATGAACGCTGCCTTGGGCAAGCCAAGTCTCACCCAGTATCAGTCGTGGTCTGCGTCGTTGTACTCATGCTATCGGTGTCGCTCCAAATATCTTTGCTCTCCCTCTCAACCGCGCGCATAGCCTGAGCAACTTCCTCCAGCTTTGCCACAACATCCAGCACACCATTATTAACTCGATCAAAGTACCGATCATTCGCCTCACGTCTCTCCCGCGCAAGAAGGATATCCTTCTCTGTCTCTTCATCCAGGTTTCTAGAGGCCCCATCCTCCGCATTACCCGATTCCCCCGCACCAGCCGTACTGCGCGACGCCGGCCGCAAAGAGGCATTACTCTTTGCGACAGGGGCCCCCTTTGCCTCCACAACCTCATCGCCCGCCTCACTGCGCGCCCACGCCTGCGCGAGCTTCAGCTGTTTCGTGCGGAGGTCCTCCAACGCCTCGGAGTGCCTTTCTCCAAAGACATGTTCACCGGTTGCGGCACTCAATTCCACCTCCGACAATGCACTCTGCATCTCCTGCCATATTGCCTCGGAGCCGTCCACCTCCCCCTTGGACTGTTTTCGGCTGAGGAACGGCGACAGGGACCCCGGGGCATCTAGGCCCCGAGAGGAGCGATTCCGCTGTAGAGGCGGGCGCGGACTTGTTCCTGCCGTTGGGACAGCGGATACCGGGGGTGGTAGGGAGAGATTGGAGGCGTTGTGTGATGGTGGGCCTTGGAAGAGGACAGGCGGGGGAAGACGCTGGGCGCTGATCTTCCTGGTGTCCATTTTGGGATCCATTTTGGGATCCATTCTGAGAGGGGGGTCCATTTTTGTCTTCTCTTTTTGCTCCTTGTCAAACTGTAGAATTAAACATTAGATGAGTGGTGAATATGCAATGTTGAAGATGGAATGTAGTCAAGCAAGTAAGTCAAGTATAAACACAAACACATGACCGCATGGAAGCATGCCGATGCTTATCGTTATCAGCGGCGCGCCGGGGGGCGGAAGAAGGCGGAGGGGAAGAGGGAGGGAGGGAGGGGATGTTTCTCCGACGCCGAGTCCCGTGCCTCGCTTAGCGGCCGTTTAGGGCGAAGGCGCACAGCAGAACATTTTCGATCTAGTCGAGCGACCGCCGGCCGTGAAAGCGAACCCCCTTCGACTTTCGACAACCATCCCCCATCCAGCCAATTTATCCATCAGTTCGGTACGTATAGAGCCCACCCCCCTTATATTCGAAATTTCTCGATTGCGCGGATCCAGGAAGGGAAGAAGGAGGAAGGAGAAAAGACATACCCCCAATACCTAAATCACGGAGTCTCGTTACCCGCCCGCACGCCACCAACCTATCCGCAAAATCGAGGAAATAAGAAGAAGGAACCGTTTCTAACGCAATTTTTGCTCTTATCAGTTCACCGTCCTTCGAACATAATCCGACAAGATGGGTAAGGGACAGCCCCGTGGTTTGAACGCCGCCCGCAAGCTCGCGACCACCCGTCGTGAGAACCGCTGGGCCGATCTTCACTACAAGAAGCGCCTCCTCGGTACCGCCTACAAGTCCTCTCCCTTCGGAGGTGCCTCCCACGCCAAGGGTATCGTCCTCGAGAAGGTCGGTGTTGAGGCCAAGCAGCCCAACTCCGCCATTCGCAAGTGTGTCAAGGTCCAGCTCATCAAGAACGGCAAGAAGGTTACCGCTTTCGGTGGGTAATCCTTTTCTTTATCTTCCCCCCGGTTTTCAATGTGGAATGGAGTGCAGTGTTGGTGATATCAATGAAGAGGGGAGGAATATACATTGGATTCAGATGGGGGAACAAATGAATGAGGAACCTCGCTAACTATATGTTTAGTCCCCAACGATGGTTGCTTGAACTTCATCGATGAGAACGACGAGGTCCTCCTCGCCGGTTTCGGTCGTAAGGGCAAGGCCAAGGGTGATATTCCCGGTGTCCGTTTCAAGGTCGTCAAGGTCTCCGGTGTCGGTCTGCTCGCTCTCTGGAAGGAGAAGAAGGAGAAGCCCCGCTCTTAAATAACCCATCAAAGCGGAAATGATGATATTCGGGACAGGGGGCCCATTCCATGGAAGCTCGGGAGGCACAGTCTATGGTCTGGAATTGATGGTTCAGGACGGATGACCCTGCAAATACCCTTGCAGCTACTACGATTGATATATCCATAAAAGATGGCGCCATGATTTATTTCTTTGGGAGGGCCCTAAAATATCAAATCCTTCAAAAACACTACTTGTGGTGTCTGTAAATTCGGGTCTGTCGCACCAGACAGATCGGTAGTGATGTAAGCTACGGAGTACATGCTAGCTCTATCATATCGATAAGACGCTCCCATACAAATTCCCGGGTATCGTTGCGTTCCATTGTCAATGCCCTTACGCCTTTTATAACCGTACTTTTGCATGTCATGATGCAGCTATGTGCAATCCCATTGACTGTTTCACATTGGTCCATTGTCATCTCTGATCTTTGCGTCAAAGCAATCAGACGTTGATGTCCTCCTTGCGGTAGTGGTCCGAAACGATACGGTAAAGATAAGACGGCGCATGGCCTCCCCTGTAGTGAGATATCATGTCAGTTCCGCGGAGTCTACAGGCAAGGCAGGGGACTTACAGGTTAGTGATGTAAAGATCAATCAGTTCCGCCGGGACATAGTCGTACAGCGGGTTCTGCACGTCGATCTGATCCACCAAATCCCCGTCTTCGTAGCCGATCACCTTGCTGACGTCGCCATACTCGATCAACGAGTCGAAGTCGAAGGGATAGACCGGGCTGAGCTTGTAAACACCGCTCACGACCACCACTGGAGTCTGGTGCACCTTAGCCGCACGGGCGATAACCCGTGTGCCAGCCGCAGCCACCAATCCACCATTGGCGAGGACAGAGTGCGTGCCCAAAATAACCTTGTTGACACGGGACATAAGCGCGAAGACCGCGGAGTCGGGGATCAGGATCACGGTAATGCCCAGAGCAATCAAAGGCTTCTGGAAAGCCTCGGTGCTCAGGATGTCGTCGTCCTTGGGGGCCTGGCCGCTGACGGTGGCGTGAGTCGCTTCATGGTTGTTAGGATAAGACTCCGCATGGATCACAGTAAACTTCCGCTTGGCTGCAGCCTTCAGCAGGAATTTCTGGACGGTGGTCGAAGAGGTGTGTGTGAGAATAATTTCGTTGGAGTGGATGTGTTCGAGGGCATAGGCCGCAATCTGGTCGTCTACTTGGCCCAACTCATCGATAATTTCGTTGATTCCGTCGAGGACTTCGGCACGGATGTCCTTGTTGTGGCTGTGGCCCAGCAGCCGGCCGGGCGGGGAAGCGGAGGCCGGAGTACCAGGCAGAGAAGTCTCGGGCTCTGGGTGTGAGAGAAGACTGAACATAGAGATGGGTGTAGCCGACAGCGAGGTGAAGGGCTGTCTCGAAGATGACCGATCGGAGCCGTCATGGCGATAAGATAGAACTTCGGAGGGGTCTACGGATGGCGATGGTGGTTAGCTCACGCCATCCAGGTTCCATGCGCTATGAGTCAGTACTGACCATCCAAGGCACGAGGGGTCTGGGGTTGGCTCTCCGAGCCGGCTTCGCTCAGAGTGAAGTCCCCGTCTCTGTCGTCTTCCGCCTCGTCGCGGATCAATCCGAGCACACGTCTGACAATGTTGCCGACTACCATCTCCCGAGGCTGGGCCGCCATCACGCGCCTCCCGACATATTGGACCCGCTCGATCAATTTGTTTGCATCCGACGTCCGGCAGGCCGAGATGACACTGCGCAGGAGGTAGGCAGTCGCCGTGGCGCACGATCTAGAATGGCGAATCTGTCTGCGCTTCAAGAGCCTAGATGCGGGTCAGTATGGCGCACGAGCAGTTGCGACAAGAAGTGATATGACGCCGGGGACGCACGAGATCAGATCGTCAATGGATGTATCGATTGGATTGGTCTTCAAGGACTTGAGGAAGGACGCCAACCCAGGCGTCAGGGCCACAGAGTTGGATGGCATGGTCGCGATGATCGCTGAGAGGTCCCGTGTTGAGCTGATGAATAGTATTTGGGGTTTTAGCAAGCTTCAATGGCTTCCTGGACAGGCACCCACACTGTGAGAAGATGGAGGAGTCACGATGTCGCAAACGGGACATACCTTTAAGGATGACTAAGAAATCCCTCGGATTTGGACCGACAAGGTTTTCTAGCCGCAGCTCCAACTGGAGACTGATAAGATCCACGAGAGGGGAGGGAGTTGGGAGGGAGGGGGAGGAATGACGGGGGAGGAGGGGAGGGGGAAGAGGAGGAGGAGAAGATGATGGTGGGATGTGACGGAGGGAGAATTTGCCCGCTTTCTTCCTCAACTGCCGCTCGGCCCAACGTATCAGTACCATACGGCCAGTAAGCCGCCAGGCCGCCTCCTCAGGCTCTCCCCACACTTTCTCTGCTTCGCCCTTCGCCCTCAACCGACTTCCCATCCGGCTGCTGCTGCATCGGCTGCTGTCCGCCATCTCCTCCCCCTCCTGTTCCCTCCCTCCTCACCTCTCGCGAGGCCTACCTCTCGTCGCCTCCTAAACTCCGCTCGTTCGGGCCCTCCTTTCCGCCCGTTCCCTCTAGCGGATCAACCTGTCGTCATTCCGCCGTCGAGCAGGTCGGGGTAACGGTGATTCCGAAGCACGGGTTGTCGACTGGCGCATTGAGGTCCGTAGGCCCCGATGGCGTGGCTCGTCGCATCGTCGCATTCAGAAATGCTCCCGGATGCCCGTTCCATTGCCGGCCTCGAGTGCCTTGTACAAGTGATTGCTTGCTGACCCACGCTCCTTCTCCCTCTAGACACCTGCGCCAGCCCGGACACCCGTGGGCCGTGTGGGAAGATGAACTCGCTCAACATCCTCTCGTCTCGAGTCATTGGCCAGTCCTCCCTCCCAAGTCGAAGCCGCCAGCGTTCACGTTCTCAGGGAGACGTCTCTAGAGCGAGCGAGCCCGGCGACCTTGCGAAACTCCGGTCGTACAGCGAGGACAACTTTCACTCGGCCGAGGCCCCCGAGAAGGGCCATGACGCAGAGGACGTAGATTGCCATGAGATTACGTTTGACGAAAAATCACCACTGTTACGAAGCATTCACAAAGATGGTTCGTTTGCTACGAGAGGCACCTTAGGATTCGTTGGTCAGCGATTCTTTGATGCGATCGCTGAAACGATTAAGTTTATTCTATCCACGTTAGCCGCTCCTGGGTTTTATGTTGCTCAGTGCTTTCAAGACGAAGACGGTCATTACTCCCTCATGGCTCCAGTGAGAAAGCTGCGACGGTCCGTATCTACTCGCCCAAAATCAACTGGCACAACGACGACGGGCAGAGGTAGTCGACAAGCGGAAAGCAAGCGACGCACCGGTGCTTCACGAAGGGCAAAAAGTCATGTATCACGGGATTCCATCGCCTCAAGCACGTCCGAATCTGAAGGGGATCGGAGGGGCAGCAAGGGACTCAGCAGTGGTCGGTCTCGGCCCTCCAAAGCAACTCCAGAGCCGGTGCCAGATGAGACCGCTCCTCGACGTTCGATCCGGATCAAGCTCCATAGCGAAGAGGTTAAGCGACAGAGGCAACGTCGGTCCCAAAGCGCCGATCTCCGTCAGGCACCGGAAAATGGGGCTCAAGGGCCTCTCAATCTCGACAGCCTCAAATCTCCCACGTCTCCGTCTGTGCACCGCGTCACCAGGTACCCGCATTCCCCGGTACCTCCTCGCCCGCTGATTCCACCCCGTGTGCCGTCTTACACGGCCAACCTCCGCAGCCCTAAAAGTCCGCAAAAGACCCTGGTCCTTGACCTGGATGAGACTCTGATCCATTCACTGGCCAAGGGTGGCCGCATGTCTAGTGGCCACATGGTGGAGGTCAAGCTATCCACGCCGATGACGACCGCTCTCACACCCGGTGGACCGCCCACGACACTCGGCCCGCAGCATCCCATCTTATACTACGTACATAAGCGGCCGCATTGCGATGAGTTCTTGCGCAAGATCTGCAAGTGGTACAAGCTGGTCATATTCACGGCCAGTGTGCAAGAGTATGCCGATCCAGTCATTGACTGGCTTGAGCAAGAGCGGAAATACTTCCAGGCGCGGTATTACCGTCAACACTGTACCTTTCGGAACGGCGCCTATATCAAAGATCTCAGCTCGGTGGAGCCTGATTTGAGTAAGGTGATGATTCTGGACAACAGTCCTATGAGTTATATTTTTCACGAAGGTGCGTATCGACCTAGGCAGCTCTCACTATGCGTTGGTCGTTTCTAACGCCAGCGACAGATAATGCTATCCCGATCGAGGGTTGGATTAATGATCCAACAGATAATGGTTTGCTCCATCTCGTCCCCATGTTAGAAGCTTTGCAATATGTGACCGATGTGCGGGCATTCCTGGCCTTGCGTAGAGGAGAAGCGGAAGCTTGACCTGGCGGGGACGGGGGAGCCTTCGACAGACCATAGAAAAGAAAACCAAAAAAAAGAGAAGCACCGTTTGATGTTCACGGAAGCCTTATAATTCATTCATAGCTCAGCTCATGTAAAGACGAGGCTGCTGGAAAGCATGACGAGTGTCCAGCATATTACTTACTCCATACCCCTCTCTTGTTATCCTTACCACCCTACCGATTCTTGTAATTCCTTATATTCCTTCATCTTTCCTATCTTTATTCTGGTTCGTTTTCCCTGTCCATGTTTTTTTGTTGTCATTTGCCCCGAATGGAGTGTCACGAGTCAGGATCATCAGCTATTGCGCCCCCTCAAATATACTATACCTTCTGTCGGAAGACAGATTTACTCCCGTCTTGGATGAATCGTTTTGGTCTGCCTGCCTGCCTGCCTGCCAGTATTTCCCGGAAGCCGGAGATAGATCGCCGCCTCGCAAGAAGGAATTCCACCGTTCTCTTGATTTGGACTGTTCTCCATTCGCAATGCATACTCGGAATATAAGCATATAAGCTCAGATTTCAGGAAAATCATGATTCTCGATATTTCAACTCAACATGCGGGAAAGCATGACAAGAGGATGGAGAAGAAGAATCATGAAGACATAAAACGAACTAGACAACACGTACTTCGATCACATGACATACTAGAGCAGAAATTTTAAATCTGGTATAGTGCAGTGTTCACAGATGCTGCGTATCCATGATCTATTATTACTCTACATACTATGTAGAGTTAAAGTGACCGGTGTATATATTACCGAGGCACTATGTGTATCTTGATGGGCTTACCACGCACAATATTTCTATCGAGTGTGGTATGAAACTAGGAGTACGTAGAGGCTTGGATTGATTTAGAAGACTATTCCAATTAATCAGATATCTGAAAGCAACCCCTCTTGACATAGGAGTTCATCACCTAACATGACGAAGGATATAGTCTATAGTATTTAGGCCAAGTGGGGAGCAGGATTCGGCGGGAAATGATAACCCGATATGGTAATCTGTATCACTATCGGCGATATGTCCGAGATCGGGCTTTACTACGGAATGGATAGCTAGATAGTGTGACTCTAGGAGGGGTAAGGGCGTGCACGTTGTTTGATATTCATATTTTTATTTCATTTTTTGTATATTGATAGATCGTAATAGTAATTTATTTTGTGGTCATTAGATTCCCTTGGCTTGCTTCGCCTCCGAGACGGCTTCCTTCAAGGCGGCGATGGCCTTGTCGATATCCGAACGGTTGGGATCCGTGACGCTCACGCCCATGTGTCCGAATCGGATGTACTTGGTCGCAACCTGCTTGTGCAGACCCGCTGCAAAGATCACACCGCGCTTCAGCAGACCAGGCAGGACATCGGGGGGAGCCAGACCCTCCGGCAGCCAGATGGCCGTCATGGCGTGGGCCTGGTTCTCCCGCTTGGAAGCAACCTGCTCCAGGCCGAGTTCGGCAACGGCAGCCTTGACGCGCTCGGAGGCGTGAGCGTGGACGGCGAAGCGCTCGGCCATGGGGCGGGCGGTGATCTGGGAGAGGGTAGTGTGCAGAGCGTGGACGAGCTGGGTGGGAGGGGTAGCGAAGTAGGAGGGCTTGAAGTTTTCGTAGTTCTGCATGATGGGGAGCCAGTTGGCGATGGAGGAGTAGTAGGAGGACGGGGGCGTCTTGCGGGACTTGAAGGTATCGATGGCACGGCCAGACAGCATCAGGATACTGAGGCCGGGCGGGCAGCCGATGGCCTTCTGGCTGGCAGTGAGAACGACATCGAGATCCCACTCATCAAAGGCGACCTCCTCGCAACCGACACTGCAGACACCATCGACGACGACCAGGGTCTCGGGGCTGACGCGACGGACAATCTCGGCCACGCGCTTGATGTCGCTGAGCACACCGGTCGAGGTGTCAACGTGGGTGATGGTGATGAGCTTGTAGGGCTTCTCCTTGAGAGCCTGTTCGATTTCCTCGAAGGAGGGGCGTTCACCGATTGGGGCCTTGAGCTGGGTGGCATTGGCGCCGTAGGTCTCCAAGCAGGTAGCGAAGGAGTCGGCGAAGTAGCCAGTGTGCAGGACCAGGGCATTCTCGCCCTTCTCAATCAGGTTGGAGGCCACGATATCCCAACCTAGGGTGCCGCTACCAGAGATGACGAAGGGCTGAGCGGCTGGGTTGGTGGACTGGAAGAGCTTCCGGACCAAGGACAGGGTCTCTCCGAATGTCTTGACGAAACCGGGAGCGACATGGCTCTCACTAGAATCGAGAAGGTGTCAATGAGGGGGCAATGGAGGTAGTCAGGTGGGTAATTGAACTTACGCATAGTGAGCCATGGACTGGAGGACAGCATCATCGAACTCGATGGGCCCTGGGATCAACAGGGTGGGGTGAGGGGCTTGAGAGGACATTTTGGCGGCGGGGGATGGAGATGGAGAAGGAGGAGAGGGAGAGGAAGGAGAAGTAGGAGTGGCAGCTGTGCGATCGAGGGGTTTATATTCAATGTCGTCGGGAGGACGCGAATTCCTCTCGGTCGAGAAGGGGGTGTTAAGGTCCGGCAACGGGAGGCGCTGATCCAGGTGCCTGGAAATCAGGCTCAGGCGCTGCTGCGTCCGTTTGGCCGCCAGGGTTGCGACAGTTTCGGCTCTCGACGGAGAGCCTGCGGGGTAGACGAGGATAACGATAACTCTGTCGCTATGGAGGGGGGGGAACTACCATGGGTGCTCTCGGGGATCGCCGGGCCTGATCAAGTATACGCTTCCCAGCCTTAGCGCAAGGGTGGAATCCGGGTGATTCGATGCGACCCGACTTGAGGAGGGTGTGAGAGTGAGAAGGTGACGGGAATTGGTGAAAAAGAAGAGTATGGCGATGGTTTGGGCGGTTTCTCTCGCAATTGTTCAGAAAATCCCCCCTTTTTTTTCTTTTCCCCTTGCCTTCTATCGGCCGGAAGAGGCCATTGTCCCCAACGGGCGGAACCTTCCGTCCCACGATTTTCTCCGCGATCATCCTCGTCGCTTGACTCATACAAATGACATCCACATACTCCATATCCTTACTACCTATGCGGCTCCAAATACTGGCCTTATTGTTACATATATCTAGATCTAGATACAGTAGCTGGGTAGAAGCTACAGAGGTAATCCATGGCTCTGTCCGATGGAGATCCTAGTAGCCACAGACAGCCACAGCCGGCCCATTGACGAGTAGCATCCATGCCGGCAATCTCACTGAATCAACCCTCCGATTCCCAGATTGGTCCCCGTGACAATTCCAAGGAGTATTAACAGTCAGCGTGGCTGCATGTTCTTATCCATCGCTCAGGTCTGGCCAGGACAGAGTCAGGAAGGCATTCAGGGCTTTACAGCAATTGTGACTTCTTTCAAGGACGGATATTTCATGCGATCGGCTCCCAGCGGTCGGTCCGATGGCACATGAATCTCTCTGAGCTGACTTGGCCGACCATATCCTGGTCGCTTGCAGCGCCCACATGCTGTCATGGAGGGTTGTTGTTGGTGTTGGATCCAACCACGAACATTGGGGAGCCTTGGTTCTCCCAAAGTGGGTCTTTCCCAGCTGGCCGGGCTGACTACCTAGTATCTACCGGCCTTTGCTCGGTTCCTCCTTCAGTCACCAAAGCAAGACTATATATATGTATCCCTTCGATCCTCTGGCCTAGATCAATTAAACAGAAAACCTCTGCACCTCTTCTTGTCCCTCCAACCGAAAGTCATCATGGATCCCCAGCAAGTGAAACCCGCGGTGGTTTGTGTCTTGTAGGCTTTCTTCCCTCGAGCTGTCCATATTCCGAGACGTTCTCATACTAACCTCATATTAGCTGTGGCTCACAGGCGGGCAACTCCCCAAGCCATCTAGAAGCAGCTCGCACGCTTGCCCAAGAATTCCACATGCATAATGTGCAGCTTGTCTACGGTGGCGGCACTGTTGGAATTATGGGGGAGCTCGCGAAAACACTGGTATCATTAGCAGGGCCCAAATCAGTCCAGGGGATAATCCCCCAAGCTTTGGTGGAGGTTGAAGAAGGCTACAAGGACTCGGGCAGCAAGGAAGGCAAGGCGGCCGAGCGCATTGTGAACCAGTCCGTTCAGGAGTCCAACTTTGGCATGGTTACGGTTGTCCCCGATATGCACACTCGCAAGAAATTAATGGCCCAGAAAGTCCTGGAAGGCGGTCCTGGGTCTGGTTTCGTTGCACTAGCTGGAGGATTTGGCACCATGGAAGAGCTCATGGAAATGACAACCTGGAACCAGCTTGGGATTCACAAAGCGGGGATCGTCCTACTTAACATCAACGGTTACTGGAATGGACTGCTGCAATGGATCCAGACCTCTGTCCAAGAGGGTCTGGTGAGCTCCGAGAATGCCCGTATTGTCGCCGAAGCCACCAAGGTGGAGGATGTACTCAAGATGTTGAAAGACTATCAGATTAGCAGTGACCGGATGGCCTTGAACTGGGGCCAAGAATAATGGTCTGTTAAATGAGCCGTTGGTCGGCAATTTTTATACTCAACATGATACCGTGAAAGGCTTACGATCTCTTACATTTGGCCTATTTATGAGCACCTAGATTGCTATCAGGAGCATATAGGTAGATATAGTACTAGAACTATAGAAGATGCCTCCTGCCAAATGACCTCGAGGCTAATCCCAAAGGGACTGCAGGATAGGGCTTAGGGCAGTGCAAGCCAGGCATCAGCGCCAGGCATCAGCTTTCCCCGCGGAGCTCCATCGAGCCGGAGGAGCAACTGATAGTCATACGTAGCTTAATTTCCATCATCACTAGCCATCCCTCCGACAAAGCGCCCATTTGGAATGGGCCCTTAAGTTCTTGCTGCCTCTTCCAGGATGACTTCGCGCCTGGTCCTGGTCATTGGTGACCTCTTCATCCCCGACAGAGCCCCCGTAGGCCCCCGTGTCGCGTCTTCGCATCTTGATCTGTCTGCTGACTCCTAATCGCTAGGACCTCCCGGCCAAGGTGCGCACCATCACTCCCTTCATTCTGATCCTCCCCTCAGTGCTGCAGTCCCCCGTTCTCGATTGACACGAGCGCAGTTTCGGAAACTCCTGACGCCCGGCAAGATCGGCCAGATCCTCTGTCTCGGCAATCTCACCGATCGAAGCACTTTCGAGCTCCTCCGGCAGGTCGCCCCAGACTTGCAATTGGTCAAAGGAGACTTTGATGTCGACTCTCCCAACCTCCCTCTCTCCAAAGTCGTGACTCACGGTAGTCTTCGCATCGGCTTCACTCATGGCCACACCATCATCCCCCCCGGGGACGCCGATGCTCTGCTCATCGCTGCACGCCAGATGGATGTAGACATACTGCTGTGGGGCGGCACTCATCGTTTTGAAGCCTTCGAACTGGAAGGCAGGTTCTTTGTCAACCCGGGAAGTGCTACCGGAGCCATGAGCACGGGGTATTGGCCGGAAGGGGAGGAGCCGACCCCGAGTTTCTGTTTGATGGATGTACGTCGCGCTCCGCTACATGGGTTGCTGCAGTATACTAATGCTCTGCAGATCCAAGGCGATGTTCTGGTGTTATATGTTTACCAGTTGAAGACGGACGCCAATGGGGTTGAGACGGTCGCGGTCGAGAAAGTATCTTTCCGCAAGAACAATTTCCCATCTTCATGAGTTGACGCTTCTATAATTCCCCCTTGTACATACCATAGAACCAGGCACGATAATGATGTTCTTCAGATCAGTCTATGAGGATGTTTGTATTTGTTAATTGATTGATACTTGTGTACAACTGTTCTCCGCCAGGATGCTATCTATGATGCTATGTTGTTTATGAATAAATTACACTGCGTAGGGCAGTGCATATAATAAACATCCGTGATGTAGATGGTAATTTATCAACACTATTCCGTCTGTAAATATTACGTAGGTAGACCCAGGCTGTCAGCCATTCTTACGTGATACTTGGATGTTCCCACAGCACAAGGGAGAGAGAATAGCTTAAAGCCTCACTCTCGGAGAGGCACTCAGTGAATGGAAACCAACAAGTTAACCTCCAGAATCCACCTGCGTGCGCCAACATCACATCACCTGGGTTGGTTGGCCGAATCATGGGGCTTCTTGTTGTAGAGCGGTACCGACGGGAGTGGTCCAATGACAAACCTGCTAGGCCGGAAAGAGCAGCAGTGACTTCGGCGTCGATCAACGCAAGCATCACATTCGTTCATTTCTACCCCCTCCAGTCCCCCTATCACCTATCCTTACCTCTCCCTCCTTGCCCAGGCCCTGATTCGAACTTGGGTGCCTGTACCTTTTGACCCTCCCGGACCTTATATTTTCCCTGCAGATTTTCCCCCTCCGCCCGCTAGGCAAGGCCCGCGGAAGCTACCGTTGCCGCTCGAGCTTTCATTGCGACTCCGTTACTTGAAGGAAAACGCGACTGTCGCGAAATTTCTAATCATAATGGCTACGGAAGAGAATGAGATTAAGGACGAGCGCCTGGAACACCAGGAAGAGGCCGGTGACGATGAGGTAAGGTTCACTGCTTGCGCTGCTAGAGCCAAGGCCCCGAGCTTGATTCTGCGTTTTTACTTGCTTTTGCTTCATGATGATTTCCGCGAGATGCCCCGTACTGGATTGATCTAACATGCATCGCTTTTTTTTTACTCTTTAGGAGGAGATTGCGGCGATGAAGAAGCGAGTGGCCGAAATGGAATCCGAAGCCGCGAAGCTGCGCGAGATGCAAGCTACACTCGATCAGCAGTCGGAGAATCTGCGTGAGGACAAAGAGGAGATCGACGCTCGGAGTGTCTTCGTCGGTAACGTGGACTACGGTGCCTCCCCCGAGGAGATTCAGGCACATTTCCAAAGCTGCGGCTCAATAAACCGTGTCACTATCCTCTTGGACAAGTTTTCGGGTCAACCTAAGGGGTACGTTGCAGCGCATCCGCCAGTCAGGGGCTCATGTGCTGATCCGATCTACAGTTATGCCTATGTAGAATTCGCAGAACCCAGTTTGGTGGCTCAGGCCCTGGTCCTGAACGAGAGTGTCTTCCGCGGTCGGAACCTGAAGGTAGGTTGTTTGATTCAGGTCATGAGTTCGCGAAGTTGGGCTCTAACTCTCGATGCACAGGTCGTTCCCAAGCGTACTAACCTGCCCGGCATGGCCCGTGGTCGTGGACGAGGTGGATTCCGAGGCGGCCGGGGCTACCGTGGTGGCTTCACGCCCCGTGGAGGATATCGCGGTGGCTACCGTGGCCGGGGTCGCGGCTATGCGCCCTACTAAGGGCATTCCGTACGAGGCGACGAGGCGACGCGTGCCGGTGAAGTTTGGTGCATAGACTCGACAAAGAAGCGCGGCGGAGACGTCCGTTGGGACCGCTGGTCGGGGTCTTAAACGCACATATCTCTGATCTAAGACAACGTTCTCTGAAGTTATGGACTGGGTGTACTTTGTATGATAACAATCCGGCAATCTCGGATTGGGCCAGATGGGCGAAGCACTGAAGTCGCTTGTTTCTGTGGTGATTGTCATAAAGCCTACAGAGAATTGCTTACGATCAAAGCATCGGGGAGTTTAAAAGGACGGTCATTTGGGACAGCGTCTTGAAAACCGACATATTAATGGAATTGCTCTGGAATTGACTGAACGTATGCGGTGTACTAGGTCGTTAGTGTTAGATATGTAGGAGGAGTAACCTGGCCGCCGTAGTGAAATATAGGGATGGCGTCACATGGGCCCCAACCACCAATGACGAGGCAGCAGGGCCAGCCAGGACAGCCCTACACTATCGGCAAGGCCGGCATGAGGTGGTGCTGAAAGAGCTCGTAAGTGGAAAGACGTGCATTCCTTGACCGTCAGCCCTCGAGTCTAGAAGGGCGACCATGCGAGGCGCTGACGAGTTTATTCCCGGAGCGGAGCAGCAAAGAGGAATCAAAACGCTTTTTCTTGGGCATCGCCCCACCGTGCTGTGTAATCGGTCGTAATAGCGTGCCCGATACGTTGTCGGAACGGTTCATTGGCGAGTTATCTGTTTCTGAGAGGAGAGGAGAGGAGAGGAGAGGAGAGGCGAGGCGAGGAGGATAAGCTGGGAAAGGAGGGCAATTCCCCGTAGATTAGGAGAATCTCGCTGCCTTGGATAGGGAGGAAATTGAGGTGGTGGTGGTGGTAGTAGTACTAGTAGTGATAGTAATCTAGTACCTATTAAGATTGAAACCGACGCGGGGCTGCCTGCGTATTGGGCGGGATTCCGTTAGCCGCCCAAGCGATCGGAAGGAAATCCATCCTCCACTATTCCTAGTGAGTAGTGACTTCTAGGTCGGTGTCTTGTCTACTCTGTACGGGAGGAGTACATACTACTACTACTTGGACTTCTATCAGACTCCCTTCACGGTAACATCGGATCCCCTCCACGGCTCCACGGTTCATTCCTCCGGTAGCGGATCAGGTCAGTCCTAAAACCTCAGGATTTCCGAACAAATCCAGAGGACCAGCCGGACGATTCAGACGGCGTCGTCCTACCTAGCTAGTACCTACGGAGACTAGGACGAGTTGCCTACTGCTGCTAACTTGCTACTAGCTGCTTGACGTTTCCCAGTTCACCCCTCCCTCCTTTCCCTTTGCCACGATCTTTCCTCCCGACGCCCACCACATCGAACCTCATTTCTTCTGGATTGATTCTGGAGCCGTCTAGCACTGGCGACCTTCCCTTCTAGTATCTAGACTAGACTCTAGACTCTAGACTCTACCTACCTAGACTCGAGACCTTTTTTATTGCCCGCCCGAGACCAGCTCTGCAACTCCCGGGTGAACCCCTCGCGGCCGCGTGATTGGCTCCAGCGGCGCAACGTCAGGACTGACTGCCCTGCTCAGCCCCAACTGGAACGAGCCCGCGCCTCCTCCATCTCCATCCAGCCTTAGCCTTAGTCCGCCCGTTGGTTATCGTCAACCTCACTTTTATCGACTCCCCTTCCCGTGCCCCTTCCCCTCTCTCCACCCTCCTCCGTTCGCTTTCAAACCCCCTCCCCCCACGCCTTCTCCGTACGCAACTCTCCCGCTACTGCTCGGTGTCCGTGCCTGTCGACGGCGGTGGATGCGCACGCCGCGATTTACCTTTTGAGGCTTGCCCGGATCGGCCCTTTGCTGCACTCAGAGGCGCGTAACTGCCTGCCTGCCTGATCCCTCCCTCCAGGATGGGTTCCAACCTGCCACCGTATGTGCATGTCCTGGGTCCCTTGCGTGGGATCTGAAAAACCACGTCGTGTGTGCGTGGGCTGCTGACGGCGGATGCTAACCATCGATCGATCACCTCCAGACAACCAAATCTTCGGGTCACCAGTAAGACGCTCAATCCGTGGCGGATCCCGAGGGATCAGATGGAATACGGGTGATGGACCGAGACTGACTGGATTTGTTCGATAGTTATTGCGGCGGATGGGTTATACAAGCGAGATGTGTTCCGTATGTCCCGCACTGATCCTACACGCTGACCGACTGACTATCCGGGAGACTTCGAGCTGACGATTCTCCTACAGGGTTTCCAGATCCCTTCGCTGTGGCCACCGTCGGGGGTGAGCAAACCCACACGACGTCCGTGATCAAAAAGACGCTGAACCCCTACTGGAATGAAATGTTTGATCTGTAAGGACCCGACCCCGCTGGTTGCGTCTGCGGACTGAACTGATCCGGTTCATGCAGCCGAGTCAACGAAGACAGTATCCTCGCCATCCAGATATTCGACCAGAAGAAGTTCAAGAAGAAGGACCAGGGTTTCCTCGGTGTTATCAATGTGCGGATCGGAGATGTGATAGATCTACAGATGGGTGGCGACGGTGAGTGCATCGATGCGTTCTATTTCCACGCTCCGGACGTCATGAACTGACATTCGGCCTCGCCCGTTGATAGAAATGCTCACCCGAGATCTGAAGAAATCCAACGATAATCTTGTCGTGCACGGAAAGCTGATCATCAACCTGTCCACCAACCTCAGCGCACCCATCCCTAATCAGGCCAATGGCCTCCACCGCTCACATGCCCAGTCCTCGACCTCCAGTGGGCTCGTCCCGCAGGTCTCGTCTGCTTCGCACCCATCTGCCACACCCAGTCAAGCGGAACCGTCCGCCACTGCGTTGAATGCGTCTCTTCACCCGCAACGAGTGCCCTCAACCACCCGACCGACCAGCACCGTCGGCCCGGTAAATGGCGCCCCACCCCCTGCAAATGCCCCCCACGGCTCTCGCACCAATCTCAGCTCATTTGAGGACAGCCAGGGTCGCCTGCCAGCCGGCTGGGAGCGACGGGAGGATAACCTGGGACGGACCTACTATGTGGATCACAACACGCGGACCACCACCTGGACTCGGCCATCATCAAACTACAACGAGCAAACACAGCGCACGCAACGGGAGGCTAACATGCAGCTGGAGCGTCGCGCTCACCAGAGCCGGATGCTGCCGGAAGACCGCACGGGAGCCAACTCGCCGAACCTGCCCGAGAGCCAGCAGCAGCAGGCCCATACCCCGCCGGCCGGTGGCAGCGCTAGTGCTGTGTCCATGATGGCCACGGGAGCAACCACTGCAGGCACTGGTGAGCTCCCGCCCGGATGGGAACAACGGACGACGCCCGAGGGCCGGCCGTACTTCGTCGACCACAACACGCGGACGACGACGTGGGTCGATCCCCGGCGACAGCAGTACATTCGCATGTACGGGCACAATGCTAACGGCGGCAACACAACCATCCAGCAGCAGCCGGTGTCCCAACTGGGGCCTCTGCCTAGTGGATGGGAAATGCGCTTGACGAACACGGCTCGCGTGTACTTTGTGGACCACAACACCAAGACCACCACGTGGGATGATCCTCGGCTGCCATCGTCGCTAGACCAGGGCGTCCCGCAGTACAAGCGGGACTTCCGCCGCAAGCTGATTTACTTCCGGTCGCAGCCCGCGTTGCGGATCATGTCCGGACAGTGCCATGTCAAAGTGCGGCGTAACAACATCTTCGAGGACTCGTACGCCGAGATCATGCGGCAAAGCGCTTCGGATCTGAAGAAGCGCTTGATGATCAAGTTCGATGGCGAAGACGGTCTGGACTATGGTGGTCTCTCCCGGTAAGTATCCCACGGTTGAACGAGTGATTCCCAGCTAATGAGTCCAGTGAATTCTTCTTCCTTCTCTCCCACGAAATGTTTAACCCCTTCTATTGTCTTTTCGAGTATTCTGCACATGATAATTATACCCTGCAAATTAATCCCCATTCCGGCGTGAACCCGGAGCACCTGAACTACTTCAAGTTCATCGGACGCGTGGTCGGTCTGGCCATCTTCCACCGCCGCTTCCTCGACTCCTTCTTCATCGGAGCGTTCTACAAGATGATGCTGCGGAAGAAGGTCTCGCTGCAAGACATGGAGGGTGTCGACGAGGACCTGCACCGCAATTTGACTTGGACTTTGTATGTGTGATGTGCGATGAGTGGATTTTGATTCTAACGCCTGGCAGGGAGAACGACATCGAGGGCATCATTGAGCTCACCTTCTCGGTCGACGATGAGAAGTTTGGCGAGCGCACTACGGTCGATCTGAAGCCCGGGGGCCGGGACATCCCGGTTACTAATGAGAACAAGGGCGAATACGTGGAGTAAGTACGCTGCCACAGCTGGATGACATGCGCTGACAAATGGCAGATTGGTCACGGAGTGGAAGATTGTGAAGCGCGTGGAGGAGCAGTTCAATGCGTTCATGTCGGGTTTCAACGAGCTGATCCCGGCCGATTTGGTCAACGTATTCGACGAGCGCGAGCTGGAGCTACTGATCGGCGGTATCGCGGACATTGATGTGGATGACTGGAAGAAGCACACAGACTACCGTGGGTACCAGGAACAGGACGAGGTGATCCAGAACTTCTGGAAGATCGTCCGCACCTGGGATGCGGAGCAGAAGTCGCGCCTGCTGCAGTTCACCACCGGAACGTCTCGTATCCCGGTCAACGGATTCAAGGATCTGCAGGGCTCGGACGGACCAAGACGGTTCACGATTGAGAAGTCGGGCGATCCGATTGCGCTGCCCAAGTCGCATACATGGTATGTTTCCTGTCCATTACCTGTTGAATGACTGGCTAACTGTGGTAGCTTCAACCGCCTGGATCTGCCCCCCTACAAGACCCACGATGTTTTGGAGCACAAGCTGTCCATTGCCGTGGAGGAGACACTAGGATTTGGACAAGAGTAGAGACAGGTCAGAGTGGCCAGGCCGGCAATTGCATATGACCTCGATAATCCAGACGCAAGGCAAGAAGACATGGCATCCGTCCGGACGGCGTTGGCGCGCGCCGGATGACTTACGGACCAGGCGGATTGCCCGCGGCGGGCGCACCGCCGCTGATCCCTCGGAAACCCTCTTTTGTTGCCGATTTGTGTTGCTTTGGGGCGGCCATGGTGGGCGGGGGGGGGGAGGGATCTTTTGAGGTTGTTTTAGGAGGAGAATTGTATATAGTGTATTATTGCGGAGCACCTTGCCATTGGCGGGCAGTGACACTGGTGTACGGAGTAGCTTGATTCGTTTTTTGTGTTTCTCACTGCTCAGTACACCGACATGGTCTTAGGGTTAAGATTCGTCGGACCTCTCATATTGGCCCCCGCCTAGCTTCAATAATTCGCTCGGGGTGCAGGACTGGTGGCTGGTATAGTCTATGCAGGTGTTCATGGCCTATCTCTGCCATTTCCCTGGAGGAGTCTCACGAGTCTGTAGCCCGGCCTTGCTGGTCGAGATATAAGTAATTGTCCTTCCTGGTCGATTCTTTTTCCTCGTAGTTTCTCACTTCTCCCCTGCCATACCATACATATAATACCTTCATACACACATATACCTATATACAACTCCCAAGACATAGGAGAGAGAGAAAAAGAAAAGACAGACAAAATGTACATTCTCCATCTTCTTCACCTCCTCTTGACCATCACCCTTGCGACAGTCTCCATTGCAACCCCCACAGCAGCTGCCGCCGCTGCCGCAGATACAGCGCCAGCACCCACCAGCACCAGCGATAGCAGTAGTCCTTATGTGCAATGTGCGAAGAAGTATGTTCCCCTCTCTCCCTCCTCTTGGCCATTACCATATGTTCTATGCTGCATCCAGTCCCTACACCCTATGCCATATACTATACTCTCAATCCCACTACACCCGTATCCCTATCCCTATCACAGCCAAACATACTACCTACATACATACACATCAACACACTCCGATCCCAATCGACAACCCAAACCCATGAACCATGAACCAGAAGCTAATAAAGATTGACCAGCATCCTCGAAGCCTGCCTCGCCCAAATGAAACCCGAAATGGACAACTGTAGCCAAAACGACTGGTCGTGTCTCTGTACTCAGAGCAAGAATATGCTTACGTATGTTCCCCCCTTCTGTACCCTATTCCATACCCTAGTATCTATACCTTATCTACACCTTGTACTCTACCTACCTACCACCCTCCCTTCCTTCCTACTAGCCCCGCCCCCCACACCAAAAACAAACACTGATATACTGAATACACGACAATAGCTGCTACAACGACTGCCCCTCCGACCCCAACCACGTCGGTGCCGACCAACAAAAAATGGAATACTGTAACGCGGCGGAAGCCAACTCACTGTACTCGACCACGACGTCGTCGATGCACGTGAGTCGGACTACTGCTGCTGCTGCAACGACGAGCTCGACGGCGTCGACGAAGACGGCGGCTGCAAGTGCGGTTAAGTCTTCGGGGGCTGCGGCGCCGATGGTGGGGATGGGGATGGGGATGGGGATGGTGGTGGGGGTCTTGGTGGGGGTTTTGGGGGTTTAGGTTTAGGTTTGGGGTTATGTGGTGGTAGTGGTAGTGGTAGTGGTGGTGTGGGTTGTGGGTTGTGGATGGGTAGGGATCAGGGGAGGGAGGGTATTGTGGGATGATTGAGGGGATGTGAGGGGAATGGGATGGGGTAGGGTTAGACTGTATGTATAAGTTATGCGGTGGAAGTCATAATGTATAATGATGTGGTGATGGTATTGTGGTAAGAAATAAATGGTATATTGAAGAAATCACTTGGTAAACAACAACACATGGGTATCAATGCAAACGCAAACAACGCCTCACCATCGACTCAATCCGCTTTCGTCCCCGCCACGCGCCCACCACTACAGCCCCCGCTGTGAACGTCCCCACGAGCATCCATTGAAATGCCCGCTCCGAGAATACAAAGAACGAAGACCCAGAGTCATCGTCTTCCGCATCCTGCCTTATGTTAGTACGGTCCGGTCAGCCACTGCAGACACCACTTACCCATGGCCAGATCCCCTCAAACCCTCGCGTCACCCCCATCTTGTTGCCCTCGAGATCCACCGCCACGAGACGAAAGTACCCCTCGCCTATCAGGTCCACCTGCGTCTCGAATCCCTCCTTCGGCGTGTACTCGATGCTCTCGAAATCTGCCTCCACAGCGCTGGAATTGCTTGCCCGCTGAAGCACCCAGCCTGCGATGTCTGTCGCCCCGTTCCAGCTCACAAACGCCGTGTGACTGTCCTCGTCCACTGCCACGTCTGGCGGTACCCGTGGCCGGCCAACCCAGTGGAACTTCTGCGCCCGGTATGATTTGATCCATCCCAGCCAGAAGTATATGCGCGGCCCCCAGTGGAAGTCGCAGAGCACCTCGCCGTCCTCGGTGAACTCGGTGTATGCGGACGGCTTTCCCCAGCCGATGAACACATGGCCCGTCCGGGGGAGCACCTGCAGGTTACCCTGTGAGTGGCTGCTGAAGTAGCCGGGACTATCGTAGACATGCAGGGTGTTGGCTGTCCAATCGTCGAAGTTCAGTTCAATCATGAACCCCCGCGAGTGGTCTCGCGTGTTCAAGTGTTCGTGCGCCCCGTTGTCCAGCAAGCTGATGACCGTATCTGACTGCCAGCGTGCATCATGCTGCCAGGTGATACCTGTCGCCGACCCATCAGGTGAAATATCCTTGAATGTGTTGCGTTTTCCGCCCAGAACCCAAAGTATCTCGCCGTCCGGACTGATGCAAGTGACCGTGTGCATGTAGCGGGACGATACCAGGTAGTTTCCGTTTGAATGTTTGTCGATGCTGTTGATGTGGAAATAGTCGTAGGCGTCCTGTGCCGACGGCGAAGTGCCCTTCAAGTCGAGTGGGTAGTACGATTCCTCAATGTCGTAATAGTTGCTCGCTCGCCATTCAAAGATCAGCTCGCCTGTCTCGATGTCGATCTCCTGGAACAGCCCGTCGTAGATCCAGCCATTTTTCGGACCGTCCACAGCGGTGAGATCTGCCTCACAGATGTCGTAGATGGTCATGAGCGCGGTGTCCTCGTCGGTGATCTTGAATTCGTGCACATCGCCTGTGAGACCGTTGGCGGCGGATATAATATAGACGACGTCGTAAGAGGAGTTCAGCTATGGCCGTCAGCTTGGTTCATTGTCATGTGTGAGCCACCAACCATATAGTACTGGCCGATTCCTCGCGTGCCATCGTCCTCGCCCGCCCAAAACGTCAGGTAATCCTCGCCTCTGTAGTGCTGCACCTTGAGGTCCATGACTTGACCAAACTCCCGTTCGATCCAGACCAGATTGCCCTGGTTGTCGTAGACCAACGGCCCCGGCTCGGGGTAGGAATGGCCGCGCGGGCTAAGGAAGATGTATCCTTCTTCACATCGAGGATCCCATCGCATCACATTGACCTCCGGGGACTCCTGATCGAACGACTCATATTTCAGGGTCGGATGGGACCCGAGAAAGCCCAGTTCATACCAAAGGCTGCGCCAGGAGAAGGCCGTTGCCAGTATGGGCAGAAAGGCCCAGAAAACCAGCAACACGGCCATCTACCGCAGATATACTCCCTACGCAGTGTGAGGGGAATCAGTCGACAGGAGATGGCCAGCCTGCCGAGAGAAATTCGTGCATTGTGAAGGGGAAGGATGTGCTGGAGCTGCAAACGGAAGAGAAAGACGGCGTAAGAGGGTGGGACACAGCATGACGCGGATAGTCGCAAATCATGCCAAAACGACCCAACGAGCGACGGAGTAGTACATAGCCGGCCCCAGAAGTTCGTGGTGGATGCAACGCTAGACTGAGTCGGATGTCAGATTCGTATGCTTGCTCGGGGGCCAGCAATCAGCAGAGAAAGCAGGATAATTTGGCGAATCCGGATCCACTGTTGGCTGCACTAGTGGACTGAGCGTGGAGAACCACGCGGAGTCGCACACCAATGGCGTCGCCCAGAAGAGAGCATCCAGAGGGAGCGTCCCAGGGATTTCCGGCCGTCAGGCTGGGCAGCACACCGGACCGCGTACTCTCAACCTTATTCTGGCCGTTGCTTCATGCTTGAGCCTTGAGGGCGAGAGGCGATGGCATCGGGAGAGGCGAGGTTGCGTGAGAAATGTGAGGAGGCGAATCGATCGATCATTGGTCGGGAGGCGGAACTGGAAAAGACTGACGCGTGCGTCGGCTTGACAGTTGACAGCCCGAGAAGGAGTGGATGCAATAGGGATGAGGGATGAGGGTGGTGGGGATGCAGAGATGCAGAGAGTTAGTTGGTTGCAGTCTTGCAGAGGGAGAAGAGAGAAGAGAGAAGAGAGCCCAGTGGCCCGTGATCCATCCGATACGTCGTACGTACAGCCAGTGGTACGTATTCCTTCCGGACTCCGATAGATAGATGGTGATTACTCTCATTTCTTCGCCTGATGATCATCTCTAATCATATCCAAATTCCAACGACTTTATTGATATGGAGCTAGGCAGCATGAATCTTGATACGGTCCACTCTCCACCTCGATCTCATCCCCGGCTTAATCTCTTGCTCCTCCGTCTGCCAGTGCCATCCTCTCCTGGCTGCTCCAACGCTCTCTTCTCGCCCCTCTTCTCTGTCTTCTTCCCCTTATTCTGCTTCTCCTTATCATTCTCCTGCTTGTCCTTCTCCTTTCCCTCAAAGGATACCTGCTTATCATCGTCACCACCACTGCCACCACCACTACTCACCCCCTCCAACCCACGATACCTCACCACCAACGCCACCTTTTCCACCTCCAAACATGTTCCTTCTCCCAATAACCTCCGCAACCCCATCACCCCCTCCCACAACCCCCGATACTCCTTCACATCATATTTAACATTCAACTCCCCATTCACCCGTTTATAGATACCCCGTTGGACCCTCTCTTCCGCCTCTCCACCCATTCCAGGCGAGGATTCCCCCAAACACACCCACAAATACACATCATCACTATAAAACGGCACCCCCCCACTACCACCAGTACTAGTAGCCAGAGACAAAATCAACGACGCCGTAGCAACCCCCACGCCCCTCAACGGCTTCACCAGCATATCCAATGCATGTGCTGGGAATACCTCTTCCCCTTCTCCTAGTTTAGTAGTACTAGGAGTGTTATGAAGCGCCGCAAACGCCTCCCCCGTAACCTTCCGGACCAGGGGCTCGGGATTCGAGCGAATCAACCCCAGTAATGCGGGCCGGAAAATGCCGTGTTTCCTATCGTCAGTTGTTATTATTTTATCCCTTTGTAGAGTATAATCACAATCTGACATTAGGGGAAGAAAAAAGGGGGAAGGGACATACATCTTCCATTCCATTAATTTCACCAACTCATCTTTCTCTATATACCCACCTCCACCTCCAGATGTATCTTTAGCTCGAGCAGCCACTAAACCAGGCAAAATCTCATAGCGGAATCGATCCAGGGATAAGAATTCCTTCACTTCGGTTTGGATGTGGGTTTGTTGGTCCGCGGTGAGGAGTCCCGAGTCATTGGTCACTGGTGGTGGTTGTTTCGTCTTTGTCTTCTTGCCTGTGGATGAGGACGACTTGCGAGACAGGATCTTCTCGGTGGCTTTGTGGCGCGCGCGGGCTTCCACGGTGACCGGGTAGAGGGTAAGGAGGTCCTGAAAGGTGGATTTGGAGATGGACTGGGGGTTGAGATCCATGGTGGTGGGTGAGGAGGGGTTTCGTCTGCAGATGACTGTGACAAGGAAACTTTGTTGTGTCGAGATATCTATCTACTGAAGCTCCAACAAGCCTTATCGGAACCACGGACCGAGACAGGATTCGGTACACATGACATCTCATACAAACATATACATACATATCTGTAGCTGTAGCTGGCACCACTCTTTATTAATCAAATACAGGCGAGTCGTCTACTTAACATCATCATAAGACATCGCCGCGCTAAATTGCCAGTCCATGAGCAGCCGGCATCCCGGCCGCGGCGCAAAAATTCAGACCCGCAAGATCAAGTACCTGAAGTCTCATACAAAGAAGGAATGAAGGCACCCCATTACAGCTCCGGGACAATCAAAAGTACCAAGCAAAATCTATAGTGTTTATCGTCCCTCGCCGGGCCGCCGCGGACTCTCCTGCTTGCTTTTCGCGGGACTCGTGTCCGGACTGGCGAAGCTCACCCGCTTCTCATCCCGGCCGCGGCTCAAAGGCCCAATTGATGCTGACAGAACGCGATCCTTCTTCTTCGTACTGCCGCGCCGGAAGGACTTCGCCAGATGCGGACGCGGAGCCGCGCTCGTCATCCCCATGTCCGACTTGCCCTCTGGCGCTGCCGTCGATGCCGTGCTGTCCTCGTCGTCTTCTACATCGATATGACCAAAGTCCTCCGGATCGCCCGCTTCGGACGAGCTAGGCCCAGGGCTCTCCGAGTCTGAAGCCGCTTCATAGTCGTCATCATCGCTAACCAGACTCGGCGCTTGGTTCGACTCGACCGTGTTCGGACTGAGGTTGGACGAGCGTTCCTCCCGCAGCTCGTCTAGCTGGGTCGACCGGGAAGAGCAAGGCACGGGCCCATAGGAGGATGGATAGGGAGCCGGTTTGGTCGGGGTCAGTGACTCCAACGGAGGGGGTTTGTGAGTCGTCTTGTCGAGCCCCTTGCGGCTGCCGGGGCGTTGGGGCGCGGCCTGCGAGGCTGTTGTCCGCATCGGTTGCCTGCCCGCACGGACGGCAGCCGCCGTCTGCTCGTGACTCATCGCCGCCGGGGGTGGCACAGGCTCCAACTCTGACTCACCCTCGTCAGAAGAGTATTCGCCAAGATCAACGACGGTCTTCGCCTCCCCAACCAACCGGTCAAGGTCAAGGTCCACGCCCCGGGACTGCAAAAGAGATGACAGGTGAGGCGTGGCAGGAGAGCCCGTGAACGAATCACCCCAGCCACCAGTGGCAGCGCCCGACGGAGGACGGGCAGGTGCACGAGGAGTTTCCACCCCGGACGATGCCCGTTGGCTCAGGCCAGATCGCTTCCGGGGAGTGGCCTGGTCACCCGCGGCCTCAGATGCAGAGGACGGCGTTTTGGAGGGCTCAATCCCATGTGCAGACCGAATCAACGGGTGAACATAACCGGCTGTGGATGCACAGGAGATCTCATTCTTGCCACCAACAATGGCGCCAGCCTCATCGACTTCGACGGGCTCGCCGGACGCCACCGCCGCTGCATCATGGCTGGCGAAGTTCCGGTTATGCGCGATACGACAGTGATTGATGAAGCCCTGCGTGCTGGAGAAATTGTCCCGCCTGCAGTCCAGGCAGACGAGCTTCACCAGAACATTATCCGATTTTCGTCGAATAAGCATGGGCCCAGCCTTCTCCTTCGGTGGCGGGTAGCCGTTGGGCAGAGACTGAAGCTTCGCACCACCCGAGCCACGCTGCGGTCGCGTCTTGCCAGCCAAGTAACCTAGATCCCCTGAACTTCCGCGTGTCGTACGACCTTCCAGCAAAGGGTATCCGGCCAGAGGGGTGCCGGGATCGAGATCCCCGCCGTCGAACCGAGGATCAGAAAGTAGCCATCGGGTGTAGTGACGCGAATAAGGGCCCTCCATCACACCCCATGGTGCAGGAGATTGCGGCGCAGGCCCATTTTCAGGAGCCCATACCGCCGCGCCCGTACCGTTGCTGACAGATGGCGAATAGCCCGCCACGCACGATCCAGGGTATGGTATTTCGGCGCACCGACGGAGTTGCTCCAGTGCAACTTGGCATTTGGCGATCTCCTGATCGATCAGCCGCAACTCGTTGTGCTTCAACAACACCTCCAGGCTCAGTTGTGCTTCCAGTGTCTCGCGCAGCGTATCCGCGTCGATCTTCCGGGGGGTGATGTCCTGATTCGTAATTGGTGAGTCCGACGCGATCGCGCTTTGACCAGGTTGCGACGTATGCGACGACTCCGAGATTGGCTCGGCGCGACCGTCGCCCCCAGGTTCATGCGGCACGGTAATTGTGCTATTGACGGCTGGGGAGAAGCTTTGTTTAACGATGATGGGGCTAGAGGGCGTGTCATCCGCGCGTAGCTTAGTTGCGACCGGGGCATCTCGAGCGGAGGTGGGATCACTAGAATCAGAGCGCTTGCGCTTCAGCTGGGGTAATGGTAGACCCGCAAGACCAGGCGCAGCGCAGTGCGGCGAGGTCGCGAGCATTTTGAGCTCCTCGGCCATCACCTTGTTGCCCCCGATTGCAGAGGACCAAGGAAGCAACCGAAACATGCCATGCGAGGTAAGCGCGCAAGAATGTGAGGTGGTCGGATCTGCGCGATGCGAAGGTATGTGAAGGTATGCGACAGGGTTAGAGGCGCCACGTAAGAGGCACAGCACAGTCCAGATTTATGTGCCGCACAAGTCACCCATGCACCTGTGCATGCAAATGCGATCTAAATCCGGGGGAGCAAGATGGGGGAGGTGGAGTAAAGGGGAATAGGCAACGAGGGAATGAGGTTGCCGCCGATCGGTCAGACGTCGTTTGCGACCGGTTGACCCAGCAAGGAGGAAGGAAACACGGGGAGACCCCAACAAGAAACGACGGACACCCGAAGCCCCAACAGTGGAAGCATGCAACAAGGCTGCGCGATCGAGGAAGGTTATTGGATTAGGTCGGGAAGTTGGACGGGGATTGGGATTGGCCGGGGCAAGGGAGCGCACGATAGACAAGTAGTAGGTAGTAGTAGTAAAGTAAAGTATATGAATGATAACAAGTTACCGGCAGGCCAGGATGACCAAGAATGACTGGCGAGGCCTAATAACAAAGGGATAGGGAGGAATGAGAATGATCAGGGCCGGCGCGGAGTTGTAGGAGGCACTCCGTCCGGGAAGGATCTGGATGGAAGAATCCAACTATCCAGAACCCAGCAAGAACTCAGCGCTCAGAACTGAGAAGATCCTCCCCAGCCAGGTCACATGCACGCCGGGAAGGGGAGGAAAGCTGCCCGGATCCACGGCTAGGCAGTTCTTGTACGGCGTCGAGAGAGGCAACCTTTCCACGGACGGCCGGTTGGGCGGTGGCGTAATCTAATAATAATGACCAAGCGGTATCTAGTACCTACTATGTAGTAGGTAGGTAGTCGGTAGGTTGATAGTTGGGTAAGTAAAGACTGCACCCGGGGCTAAGAACAAGTAAGGTAGATAAGAGTTGAGCCCGACAGAGAGAGAGAGAGAGAGAGACAAAGTGAAAGAAAGAGAGGTAAGAAGGATGAAGAAGGAAGAAGGAAAATCGAGTTCCCAGTGGTGTGTGTTTGTTTGGGGCACCGTTGTAGTAATATTCAGTCAACTGGAGGGGAAATGCTGATAGAACGGTGATAATGGGCAGATTAATTAGGAACCCGATGGAGGAAAATGAAAAAGGTGTCCGACCAGGGACCAAACCGGTTTGAGAGGCAAAAAAAGGTTATTTGGGAAGATGAGGGAAGACGAAGGATTTGGGTGAGTGGAAAGGGCAAAGAAGTTGGGAGAAGAGGGAAGAACCCGGGATAACGGGGAGGTATCAAGGGAGGAGAGGTGGGAGGGGAAGTAGTAGGAGTAGCAGCAGCAGCAGCAGACAGGGCGGGCAGGCAGGCAGACGAGCAGAACCAAAGAAGGGAGACGAGAGACATGGTTGGTTAGTCATTACTACTGCTACTTATTATGTATTACTCTACGGGAGGGACTTTCTGAGCCATTCACAACCGGTCTGCAATACTGTCTGGTTTGGTCTCAGACGGGGGACTATTTATTGCACCGTTCTTTGCTTGCTTGCTGGGGAGGGCAGCGGGCGGATGACACGTCGAATCACTGCCTGATACTGCGGGTGGGTCCATGATGTGATGCCGGGCCTGGACTGGGCCATGGGTGGCCATGGATGGCCGGGGTACTGCCCGCGCTAAGAACTGCTCCAGCAGGGGTCTGCCGCCCGACAGAAGTACCGTACAGCTGGCGCCATACCCGTACTCGTACCTGTATGTATGGTTGCCCTGAGTCCCGTATCATTACACAGACCTGCAGGTTACCGTCTGTCGTCCCTTCCTGTTTGAAAGAATCCATACTTTGTTATCTGTAGATAGACTTTCTCTCTCTCGCTCTCTCTCTCTCTCCACCACCACCACCACAACCATCACCATCACCATCACTATCGCCATCAAGGCAACAACAATGCCAGATCAATAGGCAACCACACGCAGCCAATAATGCCTCCTCGCCCATCCGAGAAGTTCCATGGGTCCGTTCCTCAACCACCCGGGTTAAGGTTCACTACACATGGACATTGTTCCCTTTCCACTATCTCTCAACGCCGGGCTTGCTCGCCTGCCGTCCTGGCAGATCAGCCTGATCGGCGGTTGAGCACCTCTCGTTACATCATCCATTCGCGTCGCTCTCCTCCTATCATCTCCACCCTCCACAGAAGAGCTAGCGATTGAGTTCACCATGACTCCTTCATGGGGCTCTAGTTGCTTGGCCCCCCACCCCAGATGGCCCATTATGGATACCTGACGAGGGGTTCCGGAATTCAGACAGACTTTGCGACGAAATACCCTCATCAGGGTCCCGATAAGATTCCCGCTCGATAAGCGGGTATGTCGCTGGAACATATACCACCGCCGATGCACATTGCCCAAGGCCAACAGCTTCCAACGATCTGGATCAACATTCCGTATCACATTCCGTCGCGAGTTGCCGTAAGCTCAGACAGCTTTGAATGTCTCATATATGAAACGGCTGACGAGTCACTCACTTGGCTCTTTAAGCGGAGAGACACCCAAAGTGGTACATATTTCATCAGGAAGCGCACTGTCTGTTGAAGGGCAGGTTGGTGACAGGCCAGACCAGCTGGGACCCCCAGGATTTATAACCAGTGCCTAACGGGGCGATCATCATCCCCCATCGGGACTCCCGAGACTCTCACGACCTCATCGGGCGTCTTTCTCCCGAGGTATGGAATTCCCGAGTTCTTTCCAACGTGCGAGAGTCCTAGGAGCCCGCTGATCCTTTTAGAGGTGGGTGATTCGGCGCCCGATTGCGCAGGCAACGCTCTTGTGACGAGTGATTAAATTCTCATGAGCGGCGCTATTTCCCCACACCCCGCACCACGTTCCGACAGGGTCATGCGGCGGAAAGTCCACGACTGCAATTAATTTCCTAGGCCCGGTGAAGATGATCCTCCCGGTCAAATTTTCCGGTAGTCACTCTGTTATGGATCTCGCTCTTCGTATCGAATGACAACATGGGCTTGGTCTCACTGAGCTGCTCGGATGGCCCGGACTGTGTCTTGGCTTGTCCTGAGCTTCTTCTTGTCGAATGACTTGCTATTCCCACGCCGGAGGATCCTTCAGCTGGTCCTCAGTCAAAGGACCCTTAGTCGGAAAATCCAGATGCCCTCGGTATGGGACGAAGGCTATGTGCCGGCGGCACACCCATGTTTACGATATAAACCGAGCTGGATCTATTCCCTGGGGATGACCTTGTAGCACCAGGTCGATAGTATCTACTGCTGCCTTGCCCATTACTCTGAGCCTGTCATCAATGTACGGTCTACTAGGATTTCTCGCCGCGCTGGGCTGCGTCCCGCCAGCCCTTGCAGCCCCCTTGACCACTCCTCAGAAATCTGCTTACATTGACTGGCGGACCTTTCAAGCCAACGGTGTCAACCTTGGAGGATGGCTGGAGCAAGAGTCCACCATCGACAGTCATTTCTGGGCAACATACTCCGGCGGCGCATCGGACGAATGGGGACTCTGCATGCACCTGGGATCCCAGTGCGGTCCAGTACTTGAGCATCGATACGCAACTTGGATCACCAAGGAGGACATTGACAAGCTGGCTTCCGGCGGAGTCAGAATCCTTCGAATCCCCACCACCTATGCAGCCTGGCTCAAGGTTCCGGGGTCCCAGCTATACTCGGGGAACCAAACCGCCTACATCAAGGAAATCGCTGACTACGCGATCTCAACCTACGACATGCACATCATCATCGACACGCACTCCCTTCCCGGCGGCACAAACGGGCTCACCATTGGCGAAGCCACGGGCCACTGGGATTGGTTCTACAACGAGACAAACTTCAACTATTCTATGCAAGTGATCGAGAAGGTGATCGACTTCGTGCAGAAGTCCGACTCGCCGCAGTCCTATACCATCGAACCTATCAATGAGCCTGCTGACAATAACACGAATATGATTGTATTCGGTACACCAGTTGCACTCACAGACCACGGCGCAGCCTGGGTCCTCAAGTACATCAAGGCCGTGGTCCAAAAGGTGGCATCAGTGAACCCTAAGATCCCTGTTATGTTCCAGGGGAGCTTCAAGTACCCTCAATACTGGGAGGGCGATTTCCCCGCCGATACGAACCTCGTCTTCGACGTACACAACTACTACTTTGAGAACCGGCCTACCTCCTCGGCGAACCTGCCGGAGTTTCTGTACTCGGACGCACGCACCAAGTCCGGGAGTGGCAAGTTCCCAGTGTTTGTTGGGGAGTGGTCGATCCAGGCGACATATAACAATTCGTTTGCGCTGCGCAAGAGGAATGTCAATACGGGGCTGGCTGCGTTTGGGGAGTATACGCAGGGAAGTTCGTACTGGACGGCCAAGTACTCAGGGAACACGAGTGTGGATGGGCAGGGGGAGCAGCGTGATTATTGGAATTATGAGGCATTTATTGATGCTGGGTATTTTGAGTGATTGGCCTTGAGGTTGAATCAGAATGTACATATACCATGATGCTGACATCTGGAATGACTCTTGAGGTGAAACCTTGGATGGGTACTATTGATGACTTTACTTTTGCCAAGCCACAGTCTAGAATAAACAAAAACAGAAACAAGAAAGCGACGAACGTCCACGAATGCTCAACACAAACAAATGATGAAGAAGAAAAAAAGAATACAAATCATTCCCCCAACGACTCACCATCCATCCATCCCCTAGTTGACCACCTGAAGTCCAGTCTAATCCACCTTCATCTACATAACGAGATATCCACACCTCAATCAGTGACCAGCACTAATTCCCGCAAACCTCTTTCCCAGCCACCCCCCAAGAACCAACGACAATTCAAGAGAGGAATTTACTCCTCCCCGACCATCCTCAAAATAAAGTTGACAACGACCGCTGCCAACAACGCGAGAGCCAGAATCGTCGGTCCGAAGCGATCGTCAATCCCACTCTGTCCGCGTTTCCGAATACTCTGGGCGCGCCAGTGAAACGTGACCAGGGCGTAGATCATGGCCGCCATGGCGATGATGGTAAAGAGGCCGGCGGAGATGCGGCCAATGCGGTCACCGAAGTTGAGGAGACCGACGGCCAGACCGCCCAGGATGACGGTGAAGTTGAGCCAGGAGAGGAAGGTACGCTCGTTGGCGAAGAAGACTTTGGGTTCGACGCGCGTGGGGAGAGCAATGCGCTTGCCTGGGTTTGATGGGTCAGTTGGGGGTTTGGATTGGGACTGGGTATGGAAATGGGAATGGAGGTGGTAGGAAGGGGGAGGAGAGATTGTTGGGAGTAGGGATAGGAAGGAGGAGGAGGGAGGGGAAGAGAGGTACCTGGGGCGGTTTGGAGGAGAGGTTGGCTGGACATTTTGGTGAGGTGAGGTCGGGTGAGATGAGGTGAGATGTGCTGATAGTGAGAGATAAGACAATTTGGTAGTCTATGGGGTAGGTAGGAGGAGGTAGGAGGCAGAAGGTGTAGCTGTGTCCGATTGTTTTGTGGTGATGATCGGATTCCCAAAAGTGAGAGGAAGAGTGAGATGCGAGCGGGGAGAGAAAGAAAGAGAGAATTCTGCACGGCTCAATTGACGATGGGATGGGAAAAATAGCTCGCAGAGGATAAGTGAGTGGTGCTAACGGTTTCCAGGAGGAGGATTTAAGCTCGGTTTGATGTAATGCCATTGGCACCGCCCGGCGGTAAATAATGTACTAATCAATCGAGACGAGCTCCCCCCGCTGGGAAGCCCCCAAGCTTGCCCCCTTCCAGCTTAGTCCCGCGCGCCGGGGGGTTTTCTGCTGTTTCTTACCGCCGGGTAGCGCGCACGTGCCGCTTTCGATTGCTGTGATTCAGTGATTGACGGGGTTCGACCCACGGCGGATCATTGTTCAGCCGTGGTGCCGGTGACGGCGTCGATTGGTCTGGGGTACTATCGTACTAGTCGTGTGTACAGGTCTCTGTGTAGTAAGTAGTATCTAGTGTGTATTCCTTCGCTGCGTATCAAATGGGCTGGATCTACGATGCGTCGGAAATTATTTCCTGCAACAGTGCTTGCTGTCCAGGGCCGATTGTGTGGGCTGCCAGGAACCGTTTGCATGGCGGACCTGGCGCCTGCCTTCTTTCCTCGTGTCAGCCAGAGCCATGGGACTCTTATATTTCATGTCTTTACATCTCATATTAGGGAACGAGTCTGTGTAGGTGCTCCCTATATACTAAAATGACAGCTGCTTATTCTTGGCTCTTATTTACATCATAGTAGATAGCACGATTCTAGGGAAAGATGTGGATGTAGTCTTGGATATGGAAGGCTCCTCCTGCCTCTTGTCACCACCCTCCTGCAGGATCAGGTGATCTAGCTCACGTTTTGTTCCTGACTCTTCTTTCCTCATCTGCATCAAACCTCAGTCATCAGTCATTGATGTCGCTCATTGAATTGCATCGCATGTCATCGGTTTTCATCAAGTACCTGGCCCCCGAGTCTCATATGCGCCCTTATTACTCTGTTTATCTTGATATCTTGATGGCTGATGGCTGATGGCTTCATAGCTTAGTGCGCTGATACGCTGGGTCTCTTGACGAGACTAGCATGCCTCTGTCACCACCTGAAATCATCAATTGATCGATCCGGGTATGTTGTTGCTGTTCAAACAATCTCTGTTCAGAACTAGATTGGTGACTACAAGGGGTATTCCTTCATGCGATCTACTCGGTGTATTCCCCTCAGTCTACGGCTCTGGAGGCTTGCCTTCTTTATCCCCTGAGTCCAACTAGTCATCACAAAATCATCTAGATCTGTTCGGATTCCATCAAGGTTTCATTATCTTCTTCCTATACAATGGCGCTCTACAGGGTGTTTGCCGGGTTTGCTCATCAAGGTGTCCGTCTCGCATAGGCAGCCTTCGATGGATCTTGTGACAAGCAAGCAAGACTATCTATACAGAGCAACTCCCGATCTTGTCCTTTCTTCTTTCTTCTTCTATAGCCAATCTCGATCGGTTAACATTACCGGATCTATTACACATCTAACTCCATCATAGATTTTATCCTTCAAGGGAAGCTTACGACAATATGGTATCCAAGAAGGACAATATGATCGAGGAATCCCATGTGATTGACCCAAATGGCGAGGTGATGATTATCCTGCGAAACGCCAATGCTCCCTTTGCAGTTTACGGTACTCCTGAACAACTGAGAGCAGGTCAGACGAAAGATGACATTCATGAAGACGTTCGCATCCAGGTATCCGCAAAACACCTGATGCTTGCCTCTCCGGTGTTTGAGAAAGCATTGACCGGTCCTTGGAAGGAGGGTGTCAGTCTGGATATGAAGGGGTCAACAGAAATTAGTGCCGAAAACTGGGACACCGAGGCGCTATTGACTTTTCTTAGGGTTATACATTGCCAATTCCAATCTGTACCTCAGGAAATGAGTCTTGAGCTTCTGGCAAAAGTGGCCGTAATATCCGACTACTACGGATGCCAGGGTGCACTGAGATTCTTTTCCCGCGTTTGGGTCCAGGAGAAAATCATCCCCAGGAATTATTCTCGGGATTTGATCTTATGGCTATGGATCACCTGGTTCTTCGACTTGTCAGGTGAGTTTCATAATGCCACGTCGATTGCGATGTCGCAGTGTAGCGGCGAGATTCCCTCTCTCGGGCTTCCAATCCCACCCACAATCATAGGTGAGCATGCACACCCTTTACTGATGAGCTCCTGTCAAGATTGAGGATGATTACTGGAAGAAATACCCTCATAGTTGATATATTTCGGCTTTTCTGACAATATAATTACAGAGCACATGAACACGCTCAAAAAAGCCTCTCTCATGGAGATATGGTCCCTACTTGAAGGGGCCCGTGTACGACTTCTCCATGGCGAACATGGTTGCCATTTTGAGTGCCGTGCAATGCTGTATGGGGTTCTTTCAATGCACATGCATGACAACCAACTAGGTTGGCCAATTATCCTGGAGCAAAGCTACGAGAAAAGTGCACAAGCAATAGAATCAGTTAGGCGACCACGATGGCGGGAGCCATGTAACGACAGCGGCACTACGGCAAGCAACCGTCGCTTGCACAACTGTCCTGACTGCAATTTTACCCGCCTACTGGGTCATGTGGAGCAGAGTGTCGAAGGTCTCGATTTGGACACTTGACTCTCTCTATATCTCTCCCTGTGCGTGTGTATGTGTGTGTGCATGTGCCCGCAAAGCTTTGTTTATGACATAATGACATAGGATTAATGAGTTCTTAATACAATGCTTGGAAGTCGCGTCTCAGAGTGTACGGAATAGACATGTTTTGAACCTCTAGATTCGGACTTGGCATGGATCTCCGACTGATAAGGCGCTAATCCCATCCAGGAAACCAGCTAGTCCGATCTGGGACCGGAGGCTAGACCCCTTGCAGGCTAGCGGAAATTCTCCTCCGGCCAATCAGAGGCGGCACAGGATCAGCCATGATGCCAGTCAACGGCTTGCCCCCAAACATTCATTCTTCAACACCAGCCCGCTAACTGTTCTCTCACTCTTGTCGCACTCACCTCGATTGCTCCGCACATTCCAGCATAGCATAGCAAATTGAATTGAGTAAGTGAATCTTCCGGCCGTCATTCCCAGCAGTCAATGTTGTTTCATGTTGTTCGCCGGCCTCGGAGCCGCATTACCTCTCCTTCCCCCACAATCGCATCTTCAGCATCCCGTGGTTATCGTGCCCCCCCGACAAGCATCCCCTGGAACCAAGACCCGCGCGAACATCGCTAACTGCCAGCCTGCAAGTCTCGCAAAATACCCTCCACAACTACATCCGCGAATCCATCCACTCACAATGGCCGTCGACGTTGCTACCCCCTCTTCGGTGTGTCACCACCACCCCCGTGTCTTCGTACCTGGATAGTCCGCACCCCGGACGTCATCGACCCCTCTCGTCCAACCCGTCTCTATCTAGACGGAAATTCGCTATCACCTACTAACTCTTCCACTCACATAGCCCGTCCCGATCCCTGAATTGACCAAGATCGCCACCGAGGTGCGTTCACTCACCTACCTATCCCCACCAACACCAACAAACAACCAACCTCCCTCCCCAAACCCCTCCCCGCGACACAAACTCCTACAATAAGCTATTAACTTGACTCCCACAAAACAGGCCTGCGACACCTCCCTCAAAGAAGTGACCGAATACGAGCACACCAAAGTCGGCGAATGGAACTCCCAAATCATTGTACCTACCTCCACCCACCCACCCACATCCCCAACCCGACCTCTAACAAGGAAATAATTAGAACACCATCCTGAAATCCCTCATCACCGCCACCGCGCCCTCTAGTCCTTCTACCGCCCCTCCCTATCGCTTCACCGTGAACAGCACCATCGTGCAACAAGGTCTGATCGACAAGTCTGCTGCCGCCGACGGCGCAGCCAGCAACACCGGTAAGCGCGGGATGCACTCGGCGTCCGGAGCCTTCTGGGATGTCAACCGCGATGGCATGTGGACGTTCAAGTATCCAGGTGCGGAGGAGCGCGGGCTGGATGTTGTTGTTAGTGTGACGTGGTTTGCGTTGGGGTAGGCGAGAGTGTCGTTGGGGTTTGGGGGGTTTTCTATATAGAGTAATGAATGGAAGGGTGTTTATGAGATTCTTTTCTTTATTTTGGGTGTGTTTTTATGGTTGGGTTGGGTTGGGTTGGGCGGGGTGTCTACTAGTAGGTCTGGTGTTTGTGCTGGTGTTGGTAAATACGGAATTGATCTGTTCGTTGGTCACATTGTTGACAGACTATATATCTTCTTGCAGATCCCTTTGGGATACTTGAATCTCCTACAGAAAACGCAGTTGATGAACTTTATCTTGCATATACGGGATATCATACCTGGATAGCTCGCTAACATCCAAAGCACACAGTGGGAACTAAGCAAACCTGAACTCCAATGCCGAAGGCGACTCGCCTCTGTGCTCCAGCCCAAACCAGGCTCCATGCTGACCATTATCCCTGAACCGGAGAAAGAAAATGAAAACGACGAAAACTCCTGCCGCCAGGCAGCTTCCTCCGCTACCTCAACGTGGCTCGGAGTAATCATTCAGCGCTACGCAGACCGCCCCGCGGTGATGTCCACTGTACTGACGAATGATCTGGCCAGACGCCAGCTCCCATAATCGCGCATAGTGGTCGCTAGATACTGTGACGAGGTATGCGGAGTCGGCGGAGAAGGCACAGTCCCAGACCCACCGTTGGTGATTTGCAAGTGTGGTCTCCAGGAAGAGCGTTCCTGTTGTGGAGTCCATCGGGGGCCCGTCGGGTTGTACAGGGAAGGACTGCTGGGGCTCGTTATTCACGGGGGGTGTCACCCCTTGGAAGAGACTGAACGGGTTGACTTCAACTTCTGCGCCGTTGGGGGATATATGGTTCAGATGCTGTGGAGACTCTGGTGAGGAAGGCGTATCGCTCATCTCTGGTGAAGAGAGGGCTTTGGCCTTCGCTTTGGCGGCAGCCGTGGCGGCGGCAAGTTTGGCTGGCGGATAATCGAGGTCAAGGTTCCATACTTTGGCTGTGTGATCAGCGGAGCAGGTGGCAAGATGCTTGACATCGGGGGAGAGAAGAACGCGCGTGAGGTAGTCCTTATGCGCCTGGAAGGTACATATCGGAACGATGCGGGTTATTTCCGCATCTTGGATCATACGCCAGATATAGACGTTGCCCTAAGATAGACCATGCCAGGTTAGCTGTGAAGATCCTGGCCATTAATACCATCTTCTTTACCTTCTTGTTCCCGGCGCAAAGCAAAGAGCCATCACTTGCGACACTAACACTGTGTACGGCGACATCGTCTTCAGGAATCAGCTGATGAGTGCAGACACTCTCACCCAGGTCCCAGACCCGAACGATACCGGCGCGGTCTCCGCTAATAAGTTCGCCTTGGTTGGGATGGATGACAACATCGTTGACAGGAGCTTTATGCGCGTAGTTGCGCTGCAGACTGCCTGTGCGGGTATCCCAGACTTTGACCGTGCCGTCCTCCGAGCTGGTCACCATCCACTTTCCTTCACAGTGGAATGCGACACCAGTGATGTTGTTTGTATGACCATCAAAGGTCATGACTGGGTTGGGGTTGGTCGATTTAATGTCATACAGTTTGATATTACTGTGGCCCGCAGCTGCCAAATAACGTTTGTCGGGGGTGATGCATAAGCGATTAACTTGAGAGTCGGGGTGTTGGATAGTGCGCGAGCAGATTCCGGACAATGCTTCCCAGAATCTGGTGGGGGGTTAGCACTGCGAACTCTCTGGGCGCAAGTAACACAGTCTGACATACCGAATGGTGTGGTCGTAGCCGGCTGGGATCACCGAGTTATAGAACATTAGTCAGTCAATTCCCAATGGGACAGCCGCCAAAAAGCTTCCAGGGCCAAGTAGTGACAAGGAAGATGCATACCCGTGCAAAGAATCACGCTCATTTTGGGAGTGGGGATGAGCGCAAAGGTTGAGGAAGTTTAAGAGGCGAGGAAGGGCGGAGGACTTTGGGGGGTTTAATGGGCTTAATATGCTTAATATGCAGCGACGGTCAGGTTCCTGCCGGCCTTAACGCTGCTGGGGAGCGGCTTGGCGGGCGGACACCCGGTCGCGCACGTGAGCGGTGGCCGAGGCGGTGGCCAAGGCGGCAGACCGCGGCGCGATTAAATTTGGAAGAAAGGGAATCTTTTCGTCGGAGTTCAATTCAAAGTCCCTCCGGTTGATGATATGATATACTTGCTGCCCTCCTGTCTCTCTTGAATTATGCAATAAGGGCGCGTATCTCTGGCTAGCCTGAGTCTGCTGATGGGCTACCTCCGGAGGCGCCTGGTGCTCTTAACCCTATCTACTTCTTGTTTTTTTTGCCTTCCATCAATAAGGCTGCCGGCGTCAACTTATCTTGCAAGCTAGACGTTCGCTCTCAAGAGGTACGGTTCTTAGGCTCTAAGGGAACGGAACTTTGGTAGCCCCAAACCTCATTCTTACCGTGTGCAGAGCTGGGTCGGAAGTCGATGGAGCGCTTTCTTGTCTCCTAAAAGTCCCCGCTACACCGGCGTACGATTAAGATCAAATTTGCCAACACTATTCCGCTGCAAAACCACGAGCGGGATCGCGGAGCAATTTAGTCCTCGTCTCCTCTGGGTCTCGACCGGGGTCTGAATTCTTCGCTGCGAGCATGGATGAAGGTAATTCTACCTCTTTCCAGACCTGCCCTACAGACCCCCAAGGTCTTTTTGCCCTTGAGGGTCTTCCGTCTCCCCCACAACTCTCTCATTTGCATGTGAATGATCTGGGGCTTACACCTCCCCCTGGGTCCCAGCTGCACCACCCTGCCCACACCATTCAACATAAAGAACGCCTCTTGTCCGTCAGAGGTGTACATACTACACCCACACTCCATAATGACGCGCCAAACTGTACGGACCGGCTCGAAAATTTCGTGAAGAGCCATACCGGTGACGAGCCTCACACCAAAGTCGGTTGTACAACAGAAGAACAGCATTCTGTCTGCTCTCAAAGAGATGAATCGGCAGGGACTTCGACCGGAGCCACACCCCGTTCCCCATCTTTCGATATAAACCCTTCGGGATACGACGAGTCCAACAGCAATACTGAGGATTTATACGACCCTCTCTTTGATGACGATTTTGATCTCCAGGGATTCGATGCAGTCTTGCCTTCCCGGAAAAGGGATGGAGACGAGGCTTTTCCCGATGAATGTGCTTCTTGGGACCAACCGAGCAAGAGGCAGGTCACTGAGCCCAAACAAGATCTGACTACAGTGTCTCCGGACAATACACCCTCGTTATCATCTCTAGATTCTGTTCAGCCTGATCAGGGTGGCACGGGACCACATACGCCATCGGACATCGAAAAGCAACAGTCGCTAGCTACTCTCTTCGACCCTATAGACCTCCTGCTTGAAGACCCGACGTGCGACATTGCTTTGAATATTCCAGATGGCGAGATTCCTTTCAGCTTTGATTTTCAAGGCGCGTGCAATGGACAAGAATTGAAGGAGGATATCCGAACAATCTATGATATACCCGACCAAGCCCTCGAACTGCCCTCGATCAGCGAAATTACCAAGGAACGGTTCTCTCTCAATGATTCAAACATCATTGACAACACTCACCGCGAGGTCCTGCAGCAGGTCTACGTCGAGCCAGAGTATGCCTCGCCATATCCGGCTCATGGAGGGCCCTTGGGATATCTTCCATCAGCCCCAGGGCTCCACGTCAGGTGCATGGAAGTGTCCGAGGATCGGATAAACTATCGTCTCTCGAACCTGCGGACCAAGGTTCATCAGCTGACGCTTGAGCGCAACAAATACAAACAAGAGTTAGCACGGGTGTCGGACCTGACAGCCGTGGACCCGGAAACGGGTAAGACGAAAAGGCAGTTACTACTTGAGCAGAATGCTATGCTGCGGCGGGTGTGTTCGCGGCATCGACAACGTGTGGAAGAGTACAAGCAAGAGGCTGCTGATTGGAAGAATAAACTTCACCATCTTAGCGTGACCCACAATTGCCTTCTGTATGAGATCCAGACACAGAACCAAGTACCCAAGGTGAATCCAATGCCACCGGGATACAAACCGCCTCGGGTTCGCCATGTCAACCCAGATGCACAAGCCGTGGATTCCTCGGCACCGCCAAGTGCTTCTGCTGGGGGCCCTTCAGTGCCTGGAGCTAGAGCTGAACCACTGATGATAGACCTGACGGACGAGCCGGGCGATGATGTGCCCGCGGAAACTCCCGAAGAATTTCGACGACGCACGGAGATGTTCCAGTCGTTACGAGCGAAAAAATACCCTTGGCTTGCCGATGGTGAAGCGGAGGTCGGCAATCCTGCCTTGCGCATGACCTCTGGGTCTCCGGCGCAGGGTTCCCCAAGCTCTGCGGGTGGGCCTCAGGATTCCGGGCGGAGCCGGGACCACCGGCCAGCGAACCCCCCACGCGACATTGCGTCAGCCGATCCTGCCCATCATGACGCCGACTTGGCTCAAAACATGGAGCCAGAGTTGGGGCAGGTCTAGTTGACGTATGTGAAAATTATCTTGATACCCTTGTTTATTTATCGGTCGAATCACGACCTGGTGGGGCGTTGAGGATTGTGTAATCCATCCATCAATCAACATGAATTTTTTCAAAGTCTAAACAAGCTTTCCTGCCATTGTACCGAACCGAACCCCCTAAGATACGCACACTCGTAATATCATAACAGAGTCGTAAAGATCGTAACCTATCCACCTGGATGGCATGCGAGTCCCCCGCTGTCACACCCATCCAAGTTGGATATCCTCCAGTCTATATTGCCCGCATCTATACAGAACCAACCAGTCTCGAAACAAAAAAAACAACGTACAATATACATATCCAGATCAGTATATATTTGGGGAGCCCTGCGATGCTCACCCGTTTATGTTCTATTTAGTATCAAGGGCAGACAGGCGGATTTCTCTCCTGGTGTATAACCCGCCGGGATGGAGCGAGAAAACTCAGAGCCTGCATGAAGGGTTTGGGAGGGTAGCGACGGGATCATCGGCACCCGTAACGGCGAGACAGCTCACTCCGTCGTAGCGGGACTACGCGGATGTTCCTTCTCGCGCAGTTCGGGGGAAATCGAGCTGCTAGTGCCGGTGCTGACGCTGGTACCGTTGGCACTGTTCCGCTTGAGTTGCTTGCGGGCCTTGCGGCCACCGCAGCACGAGGCACAGCAAGACCCGAGCTGGAGGATGAAGGCGATCAGGTTGAAGCCGGAAGCGATCCACATAAAGACCATCATGCGAGTGCCGATCCAGGCGTCGATGTTGAGGTCTTCGCTGGCAGAGGTGAAGACATTGCGGAAGATGATGAACATGACTGTGGCGACGACCGAGGCAACGACGGTGAAGAGGGCGGTCAGGAAAGTGAGGATGAGGAAGGGGAATGAGCGAAGAAGCACAAAGGTGCGGCGACGGTGTTGCGGGTGCGCTTGGTTGACGGCCGGGTCGGAGGAAATGGTCTGGGGAGGCCGCGAGGAGACGGCGAGTGGGGAGAGGAAGATGAGGATGAAGGTTAGCACGGTGGCAGTGATGAACAGGCCGAACATCCAGTGAGAAGCTATGCGGGCAATTTTCAGAGCGGAGGTGATGTTGGCGGGCAGGGCAACTGGGAGGAATTGGTTAGTGATGGAGGATGGCTCTTCAGGATTGGAAGCATGCACGTACTGGTTGCGCCGGAAAGCAGCTCACTGAGGATGATCTCGACGGGATTGAACCAGTATAGGACCTTGGGCTTGGAGCAATGAGTGATGCCCTGCTCCAAGTAACCCTCGCAGTAGTTCCATAGTCCGACCTGGTAGAAGTCGTGCAGCCCAATGGTACGGGCAATGGTATCGATCAGCATGGCATTGGGGGTGGACAGCGGGATGATGTTGGCCAGGTTGATCTCCAGGAAGTACGTCTGCCGGATCACGGGCTTGTTGGCGACACTGCCAATGACCACCAGGATGAGGAAGATCCAGGCAATGAGGTAGCAGAAGGACCGAAGGATGCGGTGCCAGAGCACCTTCGACCGACTCCGCCCGACCTGCGGCCGTTCAGGAGCCTTTCTAAACAGGGGCAACTTTGCCATGGACCGCTGTCAAGCACGTGGCGGTGGAGGGGGGAGGGGGAAGTTAAGTTCGGAATGGGCGGAAAAGAGGGTCGAGTCGGAGAATAGATTAGGAGGGGAGGATGCAGGACAGATCCAAGTGCAAGTGGGAAGCAGTAGTAGTAGCAGTAGTAGTAGCAGTAGTAGTAGTGCTGGGATAGTATAAGAGGAAGAGCAATCCGGATGGCGGAGGGACATTCAACGAAATGACGTTACACCCCATGGACCACGTGCTGTGCTGCACAGACTACAGTACAATTGATCGGTTCAGGAGACACAGGGAGGAACGGAGCACTGACAAGACCAAAAGATGAAGAATGGACAGTAAGGGCGACGTCCACGTCCCGGATGTTGGAGCGATCCGCCGTGGATTTTGGGCTTTAAGGTTGAAAAAAGTTAGACGCCTTGGCAGCCACCCAAAGAATTTAAAATTCCCAAAATCAAATAAATTATTTCTGGGCCGTAACGCTGGCGGCTTCATTCTTACTCAGGGAGAGTCAGGGCGGCAGGATGGTATTCTTAGCAGCGCCGCGGGGGTCTAGACCCGGTGGCCAGTCATTCCTTTGGGCTGCCCGCCCCCTACACTGGTCCTGTTCCTCTTTCCCCCTTGGGCTGGTGGCGGAGGGCAGATCGTGAGCAGATTTAGCAGATTTAGTAGATTAGCAATTTAGCAGATTATCCTGGATGGCGCCGTTGATCGGGGGGAGGGGGGTACTCACGCCGTTACAACTCACCTACCAGGACCAGTAATCACGTCGGAACCACTTACCCAGTCGTGGCTGGTGACGGGGTACTGCAGAGGTGATTGGCGTGGTAGCCGCTGATGACTTTCCGATTGCCCAATGAAGTGGAGATCGTGGCTGATCTGGCAGCCCTCACCACTTCAGGAGACCGAAAAGAGACCAGAACTGAGACCCCCCATAGGGCCTGGAATTAAAGCCACTGCCTATTTTCTTGCAATGTTCTGGTGCGGGAGCTAGCGATTGGCCAAGTGTGAGTGGCGCGACGTCATCGATAGTGCGGGTCCACTTGGCGCCTCTTAGATTCTGGCTGCCTGGGCTTGGGAGGGGCTCTAATTGGAGGGTGGCGTCGAGGGGATTTTCCATGCGGCCGATCTGGCACTCCAAGCCCGGGCTAAGATCGGCTCCTGGCCAGCTTTACGGGCGGCGGGGCGGGCAGTCAGGGGCTTCCCAGCCAATGGTGGCCGAGGGCAGCCCCCTACTGTGTTACTGGCACTTGGCAGTAGTACCCTGACCGGGGGGTTGCCATGCGGCGTGCCCATGCGTGGTAACAATACCTTACCTACCTAAAAATACCTTAGCAGCCCAGCATCCATGGTTGACTTCATCGTGAGACATCCGCCCGACTTTCCTTCTTTCTCAGGGTTCACAGGGTTCTCAGGGTCCTGGCCGCATGATCCCGACACTTCTCGCTGTCCGTCCTTATATCCAAAATCTCCGAGCCTCGATAGATCAACTCATCTCCTCTATCGACCTCCGTCATGCGGTTGATCGCTCACCTGCTGCCACTCTTGGTGGTGGGCGTCCTGCCGTCTCTGGCTCGGGATGACTCTACCACCACCACCACCTCCTCCTCCTCCGCAACTGATGGCGGCGTCCTGACCCTCGAGGGGACCGTCACCTCGTCCATTAGTGAAGCAACTCTCCCCACCGGTCACTACCTCTCGTACACGACCACAGTCACCCTCGATAATGGACATACCGTCACGAGCACCGGCGCGCACACCGTCACCACCACCAGCTCCAACTCCACAACAACAACCGGGAATTCCACCACTACCACCTTATCCTCATCGTCGCAGTCCCTCACCCTGCTGGTCGGTGGGCAGACCGGCGCCGTCAATGGCACCAATGCTACCGCGACAGCGACGTCATCCGCCTCGTCGACCCCGGTTGTCAACACCCAGCCCTGCAATGGATACACGGAGTTTTGCGCTCGCAGGTACTCCAACATCACCATGGTTGCTGCTCATAACAGTCCTTTCGTCAAGCCCGGTAATGCCGCAGCCAACCAGGCGTTGCAGGTCACTGACCAGTTGGACGACGGGATTCGGATGCGTAAGTTGTTTGGAGCGGACAAAGCTTAGCTCTTCCGTGGATGGCTGCTGACTTAGTGGACAGTGCAATTTCAAACCCACCTGGTCAATAACACCCTTTACCTCTGTCACACCACCTGCGATCTCCTAAACATGGGCACCCTTGAAGACTATCTGACGACCGTCACGAAGTGGATCAAAACCCATCCATACGATGTGGTCACCATCCTTATCGGCAATTATGACTATGTGGATCCGGGTAACTTCACGGCACCCATCCAGAACTCTGGGCTTATGGACTATGTGTTCACGCCGTCGAAGATCCCAATGGCCCTGGACGATTGGCCCACGATGTCCAGCCTAATCCTGTCCAGCAAGCGGGCCATTGTCTTCATGGACTACCAGGCTAACCAGACGGCGTACCCGTGGCTCATGGACGAGTTCTCACAGATGTGGGAGACGCCGTTCTCGCCCACGGACGCCGACTTTCCCTGCACGGAGCAGCGACCGCCGGATTTGTCGACGCAAGACGCCAAGGACCGGATGTATATGGCCAACCACAACCTGAACATCGATGTGAACGTTGCCAGCATCAGTCTGCTGATCCCGAATACGGCGTCGCTCAACCGGACTAATGCGGTTTCTGGCTACGGGAGTCTGGGACGGATGGCCCAGAACTGCACGGGTAAGTAGCAAGCTGACTGTATCCTTGTGTAACCTGCTTACGTTGTCTCAGATATGTGGAATCGGCCGCCCAACTTTCTCTTGGTGGATTACTACAACTACGGCAACTTCAATGGGTCCGTGTTCGAGGTGGCTGCGGAGATGAACAACGTGACGTATAGCGGGACGTGCTGTGGCACGGCGTCTGCAGCGTCAAGCGTGATGCCTGGAGTGAGCGTGATGGGCACGCTGCTGATGATTGCAGGTGTGCAGTATATTGGGACCATCTTTTAGTGTTGTTGTTCTGGCGCGTATATAGTGGGAGTCTGGAGTTACGGAAGAACTTTGATACAATGATGCATGATGACTGTACAGATAGATTATGACAGACACTGTATCAATAGCAGACCAGCTGAGATACTACTACCTTATCCATGTATTTAGTTCTACAGTCTACCGTCTCCAGTCTATCTAGATACTATGAGACCAACGGCCCTAACCCAAACCAGCTAGCGCGGCACTCAGCTGACCCGAAGCGCCAAACCAACCAACTCTCCGCACTCAATATCATCCCTCGAAACAGCTCCTCTACTTACCACCTCTACATCCTCAATTCCTTATACTTCCGGGGCTATTCTCCTCCTCCTCCATCCCCCCCCTTCTACACTATCACCACCTCTCTCCCTTCCCCGAAGGAAAAACCAACCAACCCACCAAAATGGTCGACATCCTCCCCCTCTCCAGCTACCCCTCCTACATCGACCTCCTCCCGTCCGTCCAAACCTGCAACATCACCAACCTCCCCGAGAACTACTTCCTAAAATACTACCTGTACCACGCCTTGACCTGGCCGCAGTTATCGTTCGTGGCCGTGGTAAGGCCCAAAAACGGCTATTCGAAGACCACCACCGGCACGCCCAATGGCACCGGTAGTGCCGCGGAACAATACCCCAAGGTAGTGGGGTATGTGTTGGCGAAGATGGAGGAGGAGCCGACGGATGGAGTGCCGCATGGGCATATTACTTCGATTAGTGTGATGAGGACGCATAGACGGTTGGGTATTGCCGAGAGGTTGATGAGGATGAGTCGTATGTTCCCCTCCTCTTTTCTTTCCTTTCCTTCTCATTTCTGTCGTTGGTGCTTGGATTTCTTTTAGGGGAATTGAGTATTATGTTTGTGAAAAAGGATTAAGATGAGCTAATGGATATGAATTTGGGGGTTTAGAACGCGCAATGGCCGAATGTCACCGCGCACAATACGTTTCTCTGCACGTGCGTGTCTCCAACACCGCCGCTCTGCATTTGTATCGCGATACGCTCGGATTCCAGGTCGAGACGGTGGAGAGCAAGTACTATGCCGACGGGGAGGATGCGTATGCGATGCGCATGGATCTGTCGAATATGTTCATTGATTGGGCGGAGATTGAGCGCAAGGATCGGGAGCGGGCGGCGAGTGATGAGAAGGATGCGGATGAGGGGGATGAGGTTGGGGAGGCCGGGAAGAAGGAGTCGGAGAAGACCGTGCGGGTGAAGGTTGGTCGTGGGTTGGGTGTCGGTGATTTGGTGGAGAAGAATGAGGCGCAGACGGCGCAGTAGGAGGGAGGAGTTTAGTACTTCTCGGCTTATTTTCTAATTTCATTTTTGGAGGGAGGAGTTCTTTGTATAGATAGCATGGTTACAGGTAGAGGTAAGTAGATTCGGGTATATTGAACCGTGTGAGTGCTCTGGTTCGAAAAAAAGGGTGGCACGTTGCTCGTAAGATGAAAGAAAACATAGCACATGCTAATTACCACTGTATCACTAGTTCGCCTGTATAATGACAGATAATACATGAATGAAATCCCCAACCCCAATCTTCACTGAAATATAAACACCGCTGTGGTCATGCATCGTTCCGTGGATAAATAGTATAGCACTAGTTGCGCCGAGATGGCCCTCGATCACGTCGATCGGGATCCTTTTCTTTAAATGACTTCTCTGGGTCTTTGCTCTGCTTTTCTAGACCAGATTTCTCCCCTTTCTCGCTTTTCTCACCTTTGCCTGGCATCTTCTCGCCGTGGCCCCGCGAAGACTTGGTGCTCGGCGTGCTGATCGAGCTGATCTCACTGAATTCGGATTCCGCCAAGGATCGTGCTGGGGACGGGATGGACGTAAATGATTGCACCGTGGATTGGCTCTCGCGATGGGTGTCCAGCTCCAAACGCTGCATGTATTGCTCCAATGGAACCTCTGGGGGAACCCCTTGCGTCTGACGGGCTCGCTGCTCCTGGCGCCGGCGGTTGCGCTTGATCCGCCGCTTCTCACGCTGCTCCTCTCGGGCGCGGCGGAGCACATCCCGGAAGGCCTTCCGTGTGGCCCGCGTTTCTTCTTTGACTATCCGCTTGTCTGTCTGCTTCTGGTGCTGCTCCTGTGGCGATTCCCATCGTCTCCACCCGTGTCGCCAGTTACTCCGTCCAGATGCGCGGGTTTGACGCCGGGATTGCTGCACGAGATCAAGCTGACGTCGCAGACCCACAGCGGCTTTGTAGAGCTCACGATCATGGTGGTCATTCAGAGACAAGAGTTGTGCGCGGACAGTAGTCAGATCAGAGGCACTGAGATCAGATGTCGTCGACAAGGAATCAATCGATGAAAAAGACAGATCGGACGCCTCCGAGTCGATCGACGCCCTGCGAGGGCGTTCAGCTGGAACTGTCATGGCGCGTTGAGGTGTTGTCGCAGTCACAGGTGTCACAGGCGCAGGTGCATAAACAGAACTGGGCTGAACGTACCCCGGCTTGGGGGGTTGATTCGCTATCCAATCATCGCGAGACGGATTGGCGAAGCCCGTAAAGACATCCTCCACCTTCCGTCCTTGATAGCCAGCCTGCTCCTCAATCCACCGACTGTGACCAAAAGCCTGTTCCTCCACCTGCCTTCCATAGTGTTGTGCTTGCGCACTGATCTGGTCGCCGTATAACTGGGCTTGCTCCGTGAAGCGCTCTCCGTACTTTTGAGCCTGGGAGGCTAATGATGCGATCCAACCAAGTGGCCCACCCTTCGATGTGCTCGTATCCTGGTACGGAGCCCCATATGGGGGCGCGCTCCAACCCCAAGGAGGTGGTTGGGGATACGGTGCTGGCGGTGGCGGTGGCGGCTGTTGGGTAGGGTACGGATACACATGAGCCGGATAAACAGTTGGGTTGTATACTGCAGGAGGGCCATAGGGTACGTAAGGGGCAGGAGGTGTAGGATAGGTGGGGTAAACGTAGGGTACTGGAGTATGTGCGGGGTTTGCTGGAGGTGCAGCATGCTGCTCAGCAGCTGCTGGTGGCACGGTTGATGGTGACGGCTGTGAGCGACCTCGACCGGCGTCGGACGCTTGGGCGATTCGATTCTCCCGCGTCTCCCGTGTCTCCCGCGTGGCTTTTGTAGCGGCAGGGTAGCACCTGGGACAGAGGGATGATCGCGGCGCATTCTGCGGGTCCATCACATAAACATACATGACGCGAGCTGAGCGAGGTTCGAAAAAGTACTGGTTCCATTCCATAATGACCGCAGCAACTCGTCGCTTGCGCTCCTCATCTGTCTCCTGTGGCCGGTCTTTGCGGTCTCGCTGGATCTCGGCTCTCAGTTGGCGGGGCAGTTGTGTCGAGGTAGACGCTAGACCGAGATGTGGGGGGAATAGGTGTCTCAGGAAGACATCCCAGTCCTGCTGGGTGATGTCTTGAGTTCGAGAATTCCAACATCGAGGACGCCGCGGAAAGTCCTTCGACTGACTCCGTGGATAGATGGCAATGCAATGGTCGACAGTCTGTCCCTCTTGGGTCGAAGTAGGAGGCGGCCTCTCCACGAAGTATCCCGCACCGGATATGAAGTGGGCGGGCAAGCCCGCAGAAGACGTTAGAGGATCACCACCGACGGAACTGGATGCAGGACTCGATGGCGTGCCACCCAGAGCTGCTTCTCCCCCACGCAGACGTAGCAGGACACGGTTCACCTCCGCGGTGGCAGCGGCATTGCTATTTTCTTGGGCGATTAATGGGTCGACCCTCGAGTATGGCGGAGGAGGAACCTCATCGGAATCCATTGCAGCAAGGGCGAACGATCCGGTAGATGCGGGGATTTAAAACCAAGGGCCGAGTTGATCTTCACATTTAACGACCGCCATCCATCGCGCATGGGATAATATGCAACACCCACCAGCCGTCCCAGACACACGTAGGCACGGAAGACGCTGGAAGGCAGCAAGATTATCTAGATTCCGCGTACGCTCGTCAGCTTTGTACGACGCACACGAGGGGGGAGGCCGGGGCAGCGGGGGAGGGGAGGGACACTGGAACTTACGAGTAAGTCAGTCGACAGAAGGCGTGCTGGACGCAAGTGACAAGCGGGAGAGCAGGCGGGTGCAGCAGCAAGAGGGACGCTGACTTGGCCGGCAAGTCGGGCGGCGGAGGATCAGCGGCGGATGTGATCACGGGGCCGCCGGCGCCTGATTGGCTCCGCCGTCTGCCTTATCGAGTCGATCCTTTTTATCGCGCATCAAACTAACTAACCTTCGGTACCGGCGTTTCAGGTTGACTTGCAGTGGGCTGGCCTAGGTAGATACCGATCCTCGAACCGGTTGCATAGATTATGTCCGTTGTACTATTGGTTCTATCCTATCGCAGGGTCATATGCATAGTATGCAAACAGTAACGACCGATCTACCAAACTATATACTGCATGCGCCCAAACTCCCTGCCTTTAATGCCGTGGATATGTCGCAAAATATGATCAAAAGAGTAACAAACACATAGGTGGTGTATAATAGAAGAGCCGATGGTCATCTTGCGACTTAATCCCATGCGTCCCCCCAGCCATCCTCCTCTTCTTCTTTGGGTTTCGTGTCGATCTTCTTCACTGGTGCGACAACGGTCTTCGGCTTAACCGTGCTATTGCGACTAGATGTTCGCGGTACGGAGGTAGGACTGGACTTGTTCAGGCCCTTGGGTAATGGCTTCTTGGTCTTGGACTGTGCGGCGAGCCAGCCCGCAAAGTCTGGCTCTCCGCCATCATCATACGGGACCGGGGCGGGTTTGGGCGTGGGAGCAGAAATGTTCGGGCTAGCGGTTACTGCAGCACTGAATGGATCCTCCTCCTTGTGCTGGTTGTCTTCTTCGTCGTCATCCATTGCACCCCACGCATCGTAAACATCTTCTGCATCATCCTCTTCTTTAGACAGAGTTGGTGGTTGCTCCGATAAGGACCGGTTCAGAGACTGAGCCGCGGGCCGTAGCGTGTCTTTCTGCACCGAGGAAGCCGTCCTTGCTGGACGGGGAACAGAAGCCGGACGGGCAGGTTCCAGCTCGACAGGTTTGGCGCCGTTGGCAGTGGACTGGATATCCCCATTGGCCGCCGTAAGCTTGTTGGTGAACGAGGAGATTGCCCACCCCGCCCATGATTTATCATTAGATGTACCAATGCGGGCACTATCTTTGGTCGGATCTGCACTGACTGACGGGGAAATCACCGTATCTGCCATAGTATTGCCAAATTTGCGGATGCGCTGGAGATATAGGTCCAGAGTCTTATTTGCTTGGTCTCTTATCATCCTATTTTTGTCATTAGACCGGATCCACGAGACAGCAAGTAGGAAGCACTCACCTTTCTTTATCAAGAAGCGAGGGGCAAATAGCTGGAAGAACTTTGGTTGCACAGTCCTCCTCGGTGAAGAACTCCAGCGTCGCCCCGAGGGCCAGTAAACCGGCGTTCCGGGCGTGTACAAAGGGGTCCCGAAGAGACCGCGTGAATGCCGCAATGAGAACTTTCGATCTCGACTAGCAGATGATCAGCAACACGCAGCTTGTCTCGAGAAAGATCTACTCACTCCCTGTCCGAGGTTCTTCGCTATCTTGCCCAGGCAAATAGTGGTATTCGTGCGGATTCCCGGTTGCTCGTCGTTGGCAGTTCGCGCTAGGAACTTCAGCAGGTCACCGTTGATGACCCGATCACTGAGCTTGTTAATGATTGGCAAAATAGACTTGACGGTCTGCTCTCGAACGACGGGCGCGGCGTCGGTGAAGCCGGAGGTCTGCAAGACGTGAGCGTTGGCATTGAGTGCAGCTGGGTATCCCTTTTTTAACTAACAATCTGGGGGAAGATCTTGTCATTGACGATCTTCTGGGGCAGGTTGTCGATCATCACAGGGAGTTTATCGAGCAAGCAGACCCGGAGCGCTCGATCAGGATTTCCAAAGAGTCGGACAATAACTGGCGTAAGCCTCGAATTGAACTCTTCTTGAGATAGCTTTGACCCGATTTTCAGGATGGCCCCAAGGACCTTGGGACCACCTCCGCCAAACTCGACTGACTTCAATAGTTCTGGCAGCACTTTCATCTTGAAGAATTCCTCGGGAAAGTCGTCAGAAAGCTCATCAAGTTCACTGTTTCAATAAGCATTCAGACGCAGTAGCGTGTTTTAACGGGGATGGGACTCACTTGACAAATTCCTCTCGCTCGGCATCATTTTTAAGTCCCAGGCTCTCTATATCGTCCGTCAACCGGATAAGGGTTGTTTCAAAGAAACCACCGCTCTTCTTCCCTTGCTCAACAAAGTGCGCAGGGCTCAACCGGAGTTTAGGGTTGGCCGTGCACAGGCGTTTGTAGCTTTGATGCATGCTGGGTGGAATGTTCGTCGTCTTGCCCACCTGGTCTCCACTGGTGAAGTTGCCATTAAAGACCTCATAAACTAGTATTCCTAGCCCGTATGAATCAATTGCTGTCAGGGGGTTACGTTTGATCGTGTCCCAGCCGCCTTTGACGACCTCCGGAGGCGTGAATCGAGCCGCATCGGGTACGAGACTGCCGTATGTCTATTATATGCCGTTAGCAAAGCTGTATCCGTGGTCCACAAAAGGTGGCGAACAGACATAGATAACAGCGTTCTCATCGTTCATCGAACTCAGGACGTCGAACCCGCCCAGCTTCCACTCCCCGCTCTCACTCGTAAAGACCGAGGATGCTCTGACGACACCGTGTACGGAGGACGCATCTCCGTTAATAAATTTGAGTGTAGACTGTAAGGGCGCATATGTCAGACCAGCTCTAACCATATCCTCGGAGTCCCGAACATACCGCCACCGTGTATAAGCCCCATTTCGATGTCTCCTCGCTCAGACTCCTCCGCTTAACATGCCAGGAAAGGGGGACGACTCGCTCGGTCACGATGTAGATGTTGGCATCGGTCTATAGCTCGTAAGCTGGTTGTCCATCTATGAAAGCGCTCTGACTGTCGTGTGCTCCGGTACCTCTATCGTGTCCAAGACCTTGATCACCCCCGGATGTCTCAACGTCCGGCACTTTCGCACCGCATTCTTCGCTAAAGGGAGACGGGACTTGTTGGAAGCGATATCAAACGTAAAGACACTGCACGGCGAGCCGTCATCCTATATGTACCGATCAGCATCGCATTAGCTCCTTGGGGTCATTCCGCGGGCCCGACAGCCGCATGAAGCATGACAGTTCGTACCCGTTTCGTAGCATTGTGCAGCGTCCATATTGAATCGGAGAGGTCGACTCTGTCCCCAAGCGAGAAAGGAGATGAGCTACCTTTTGCGATCGCCGACGCGACGGCGGATTTGAGAAATTCCATGGCTGTGGCTAACAGACGTTCTGTCTCCGGGGCGGCTAACTACTAGGTACTAGCTGGTCTCAAGATACCGCGGCGCGATGGTGGGGAAACCTCGTCCACAGAGGAAAAGGGGGGGCGCGGAAAAGAAATGAAGCCCCGATGAGATGACACGTATGCGATGGTATCTCTAGTTCAAGGTAGAACAGTCACAGCCCCCAAGTTCACAAGCAACCCGCGGAGGGGAGATCTGAACAGCGAATAATACGCGGACGGTAAAGCGGCCGAATGTCCCCCTTGGCGCTGCTGTGGTACCCCGCCCCCAATCGGGTTTAGCCCGGCCCGGTGGGAGCTTCTCAAGTCTCCCGCCGAAGCTCTTCTTTTTCTCTCTCTCTCTCTCTCTCTCTTCCCCCCTCTCCCTCTTCCCTTTCACAAGTTCACAGTCAAAGCGCCTAAATGATGGCAACAATACCTGCGCTATGCGGCTCTCTACGCCCTTGATCTCAAACATCATCATGCAGCTACCCATTCATCCCGACTTGAGCTAACCCAAGGCACGTCCTATAACCTTTCTATGTCCCTGTCATCTCGCCCCTTCCCCTCCCTCCCCCCGAAGCAGAAAGCAGTCATTCTCCTATGATGTGACACTGGTAAAAGGTCCGACCGCGTGGACCAGATTACGCGTCACCTTAGTCTCCGATGTGTGCTTCCGTCACCCATCTCGACAATCGACCTTACCAATGGGCTCAGAATCCTTTCGTCGATTTCGTCGCGTCGTGGAATTTCCCCGTGTATATCTTTCGTTCTTAACCTGCCCTCTCTCCGTTCGCTATGCGGGCACATGCTTTTGTGAAAGGCACAAGGTCCTAGCCGCGAGGCCCACGGCGTTGGTTGGCTTGGAAAGACATGTGTACAGAGACACGCTCCCGAGCCGCAATTTGGGGTTTCTGGTCCGCTTTGCTCCTATGAGGAACTTCAGAAACTAATGGCTGCGGCAAACATGCAATACTATCATATGACACTGTTGAACGGGAGATGGGCGGGAGAGAAGGTTAGGTTGAAGCGGAGATTGAACATGAATTTGCCTCGACTTGTTGTTATGGAATCTGTCGTTCTTCTGGTGGTTGGTTTCGGTCTGGGGACTCAGTACCGCGGCGGTGACGTTATTCCTGGTTGAATGAAGACCAAAAATAAACTGAAAAGACCTGAGGAGAATGCTGTTCTTTCCAATGTGACTTGCCTCTTTTGTTTTACTTGTCCATTCTGCATCACCACCATACTGACAAAAAGTGCACAATTATTTGCTACTCTACAGCGATAGAAATTCTACTTGAGGCCTGGAGCTGGGTTTTATGAATGTCATTTATCTCCTTCAAGTTGCTAGCAACAAGCCACCCTGGACCACTTCTCATATGAACTCACATCGAAGGGCTCACCTCACAACCAAACCACCCTTGTACAACGCAACGTTTCTCACATCCACATTGATCCTGTCCCCTTTAACCGCTCGACTGTCCATTCGCGCTTTCCCTCCCTTGGCTCATATCCCCACAGCTAGAGATGGTAACACAAAAGACGTGAAAAGAAAAAAGAAAAATAAATCCCAGAACATCATTGGCAAATAGCAATGAGTACCCCAGTAACTTGGAAAGTAATGTTAGTTGAACTCCCTTTGTGAATTCTCGTAGATCACTCCCAAGAAGCCGTATAGTATAGGTCTGCACATGATGGCCAGAAGGCCATCGGATGCCGAACTATTTGTCGACGCACCAATCCCTAGAGTCACCTCTCAACTTATAGCCCCATGGCTTTATTCATATACACTCCGGATCAGACTGCGATACTTCACAAGAAGCTGGCACTTCACCCAGGTTGGTTAGCAGACGATTTTATGCAGGATCCCCCGAGCTGTCCGGGAGAAGCTCACCAGCAGTAAGTCGCAATTCGCCCACCGGAAACACTAGGTGTCCGGTACACGAAGCACAGCGCAAACGTACAAAGTACAGATAGCTTTGGTAAACATAGCGAGATATTGGACGATGCGAGAGAAATAAGTCACCAACGGTGAACTTTGGTTCACGTCCAAGTGGAGCCTAAAAGCCCAATGAGTTGGAATGGCGATATCGGTCATGTCGCTTAGCCAGCGATATGGCGTCTCACGCTGCTCAGGTGAGAATAATTCATTTCACTTCATCTGCAGCCTCTTGCGGTTGAGGACCAGATGCGCCAGCAGCTGCAGGTTGAGCAGCCATTTGAGGGGGGATCTGGGGCATCTGGTTATAACCACTGCTAGGTGTCCGATGCTGGTGAGGTGGGTAATGGTGCACTTGATGGGGACTTGACTGGAAGTGCGGTTGTTGCTGAGGATAGTTTCCGCGGACGGGAGGCACTGTTAAAGTCAGCAACGTGATGCCATTAACGTCTTCCAAATGGGTTGTAACATACTGTGTGCCGGCTGTTGAGCAGGATACACGGGCTGCCCATGCTGCCCAGGTGACATGAACATGACGGGTTGCGGGGGCTGACCTGGCTGAGAGTTCTGGTGCATCATCATAGGTGCACCTCGACTGGGACTCGGGTAGCCACTATGAGGCTGGGGCGGAGGCACATGCTGAGGATAAGCGTGGCTAGGATTGGGGGAATACATCTGCATCTGGGGCGTATAAGGGGCTACGCCCTGAGGAACACCCATGTAAGGTCCGCTAGACGGCTGCTGAACCATCATGGGAGCACCCATGGCCGTTTGTGGGTTCACGAATTGTGGGCCGCCTGGATAATGTCTCATGTGTGCAGGCTGTGGGGCACCCTGGTTAACGAAGAACTGTGGCATGCCCTGTCCAAACGCCAGCTGCGCATGTGGTGCCATAGGGGATGGGTAGCCATGCTGCAATCTCGGGGATGGGAACATCTGCGAGGTCGAGGCAGACATCTGCATACGGTGGGGATCGTCGAAGTGCGGTGGGCCGGAACTATGATGCTGCTGAGGGTGCAGATGAGGCCCATGCGGTGGGCCAGTAGTGGGAGGGATTCCCGGAGTCGTCTGAGGGAATTGAAATGGCATCTGTGGCGGATGGGGGAGTTGTGGATTCGACGCAGAGCGGCTCTGAGGGGAAATCGCTGGCACAGAGGCGGGGGATTTGAACATTTGCAAATAATCCTTCTCCTCGTTCCCAGCAGACACATCCCACGTAGGGGGGGTCTTATAAGCAGGAGGAATGCCTCCATTGAAGGTGTATCCCTTGTCACCCTGCTCCGTGCCTTCTTTCTTCATGCGTTTGATTGGGTTAAATTGGTTGTTGAGAGAAGGTCTTTCAGAGATCGGTCTTGGCTTTTTCGCACCGAAGAACAACGAGGGGCTGGTGGCCCGCGAGACAGAGCGTCCTCTAGTGAATGGCGACGAGGTGGATGAAGCACCGGGAGTGAAAGTGCTTGCGGCGGGGTTCGGCTTGAACTCCAGAGCTCTCACATTAAACTTGGTCGACAAGGCCGAGGTTGGTGTTTGTGACTTATTCGGGCTGGTAACAGCAGGCTGGTCCCCAGCTGGGCCGGCCGGGGGAATGCGAACATCATGGATAGGCAATGGAGCCGGAACAGCCCCAACGGCAGCTCCCTTCCGCTGCTGAATGTTATCTGCTAAACGATGACCGAGCATACCGGTAGCTTGACGACCCTGGTGCACAGCCTGCTGTGGAAGTCGCCCACCAGGCCCTGCATGCGGACCGGTTGGGGGAAACATTTGACGACCCCGAGGATAATTCGAGCGGTCAGACTGCGTGGCAGGCAGCACGGTTCCGCTTTCCTGGCGAGAAGCTCCAGATACACGAGCAGCGGGCTTCTGTTCAGTGCTCGCCGAAGCCTTGGGCACTATTTTCTCCTCGGCATGTTGCTGGGCTCTTTGAATAATCTCCTCTTGCTTGTGCGGATCTTTGGCTAAAATTGGCACTAGATCCTTAGGCACGGGCGTTGCCAGCTTGAAGCTCTTCGAGAACCTCATCAATTCATTCAACTTGATCGTTCGATCATACGTGGCCTGGTTGCGACGGCGTTCTTGTAATTTCGCCTTCTCACTGTGTGCGAACTGACGGAAGGAATCCAGCACCTCAGCCTCCACGTTTGAGGTGGCATTTCCAGGAGCCGATCCTGTGGCGCCAGTAGGGGTCTTGGACAATGCAGGTTTCTGCTCCGCATCAGCACTAGAGCTTGTAGCAACACTGGTGGGTGCGGTTTGAGCCTGGACCTGTCCGTTCTCCTTCGGCGGTCCTGCGGCGGCAGCCTCTTTGGGCGCAGCCGGAGCTTGTTTGATAGCGCTTGCAGTGGCGCCCGTGGCCATGGCGGCGGATTGAGCGGCATTTTGTCGACGCGCCGGTGGGGTGTACTTGTTCGGCTGGCCCGACACAAGCGGGGGGAAGTCCTTCTCATCGCGGCGGACACCGCTGTATTTGGCCTCCTCATCAACATCATCCATAGATACCAATCCTCTCTCCTCTCGGACATGTGCATTATCCGCCGTAGTGCCTTCGATCTCACGGGCAATGCGAGCAGCGTCGGCTTCTTTCTGCTTGTAGGTGGGATCAGATCGATCAATTCGAGTGGTGTATATGTTCTCATCGTAACTGCTAGTAGCACCGAAGAGTCTGGCATTCGCCTCGAACTGGTCCCATCCAGTCTGGTTGTTTGTCGTTTCGAGTGATAGGTCGACATCCGTGTCCGCCGCTGGTTCCCATCGCTTCAAAGTTCTTTCACGAATCGCAAGATTTCCGGAAATGTCAGTATCCGTTCTGAACCCTACAGGAGTCCCTGGAGCGTATGTTAGCACCCGAAGATGTCTTCCACGCTTTCCTAGGTCAAGACCGCCTACCATTCGAGCTTTTGGCCGTAACGTCGGCAGTGGTGACGTTCGGGACCGATATGTCGACCACATCCTTGACGTCAAAGGACATGCTATGGTCCGGGGCCGACCCCATGAATGGGCTCGAAGCCTCGCTCGCTCCGTTTGCTTTGTTCTGATCCGACTTAGGTGGTCGTTGCACCATTTTAAGTACGAATGAGGAGTCACTAGGTTCGAGCGACGAGGAAGAAAAGATTCCCGTGAATTTCTCCCCGTTTCTGGTCGTAATGGTAGCGTTTAAACCCTAGATGACGTGAGCCTTTCACGCCAACATATGCAGTGTGGAGCATCAAGCGTACAATAAAACTCGTAAGCAGGAAAACAAGGCGGTCGTGTGCGTGGTTGTCGGGAGTGTTTGACTCCTTGGACGTAGCCCGAGGAGAGGCAGATTGTTTGTGGGACATGTTGCCGTTCTGCTGTGCGTATGAGACCCGTTGAGTGATTGGGTTTGTGCCGTGAGACCAAGCCTTCTGGGAATTACTGCGCCTGTCATGTAAAGAGCCAAATTAGTCAATGCGCAACACAAGGCAATGTCTCCTTATACGAAAGCTATGAATAGACGGCTGCAGCCCTATCATGGGCAAGGAGCCTGATCATGGGGTACTGAGTTGGAGAACTGGGAAGCTGAGGAACAATGACCCAGAACGAGCGACAGACGAGGAACACACAGCTAGAGCGAAGGCATTGGAAAGAGGAAAGCGAGAGCACGGCAAGAGAACACACGACTATGCTCTCGTGAGGGGATAAGCGGTGAAGCAATGACAATGGGAGCAAATGGGTGGGATGGGCTGCGAGGAATGGAGCATAACAGATAGACAACGCAACGTACCTCTGCCCGCCCTCGAGAGGGCTGCCGGACTGGCGCCGGCCCCCCTCCGACGCTTTAGGATTGGCACTGGATCTCAAAGAAGGTCGAGCTCCGGGATTTTGCGCATTTGCGGCATTGCCAGACGCATTGTTGGCAGCCGGCATCGAATTGACGGTAGAAGCCATCTGGCTGGATCGTCACCAAACGAAGCTCTACGTCGTCGCACGACGCAAAGCCGTAAAAAGGACGGAGGGAAGGCACGAAGCCAAATCACACCGCCTGCGCTAACAGGGCCGGGAAGGACGGTGATGGAGTGGGAAGGAGGGTTGGAGGAAGGAAGAATGGCGGGGTGGAAGGGGAAAAAGAGAAGCTGTGGTACTGGGAGAGCAAGAGCCCCGACAAGTCACGGGACCGCCTCCAAACGATTTTCCACGGAATGGGAAAACGGGGAAAGGGGAGAAAAGAGGGGACACGCGGATCCGGGAGGAAAGACGGGAAGTGGAGAAGCGAGAAGGTGAAGGTGAAGGAGGAAGAGAATGAGGATGAGGAAGAGGAAGAGGAAGCAAGAAGGAAGGGAAAGACGGAGGAGGGAGGAGGGGGAGAGAAAGAAAGTAACAATAGGTCCAAATATCCAGGCCAAAAAGGAAAGTCGAAGGACGTTCCAGTTGGGTTAGGTTGCCCGGCCGGAGGAGGAGGAGTAGTAGTAGTAGTAGTAGTAGTAGTAGTAGTAGTAGTATGAGTAGATCGAATGATCGTTAGGTTGGCTGGATGAGGAGACCGCCTGCCAGAGAGCCAGAGAACCAGACAAGGCCTGTAACAAGTAACAACCACAGAACCACAGGCAAGGTTCGGTATGTACGTACGGAGTAGGTCAGTGGGCGGTTAGTGATGGGTCTGGCTGATGGGTTTAGCTTGTCAGAGGGCAGTTTAGGTGGGCAAATCCCATGGATTTCCAAGGGTCTCCTCTCCGTCTTGGTTGGCGGTGGGCAAGCAAGTGGGGAACCCAATGGCCATGGGAATGTGCTCGCCTTTATGATGTCTCTTTAGTAATTAGTTAGTTTCTTCTGCTCCGTTTCAACTTCTCAGCTTCCATGTCGATCTGCTGATGAGCTGGTGAAATTCTTCCATCCAGGCCGTGTAATTGGAGGGCTCCTGGCGGCTGCTGGTTCTCTGCTGGTTCTCCGTAATCTAAATTACAATAATTGGTCTTTCTCATTCCCTCCCTCCAGCTCCATGAATCGGGTTGCAGCTCTGTGTATCTATCTACCTATCTAGTGTGTGCGTGTGTGCGTGTTCCACCTCGCTACTGAGATGCACCATGTCGCCTCACTCCACTTGCCTCTGCTTCCATCAGTCGGGTTGCCAATCTCAATGGACTCTGCCCTTGCGGCCTGTCAGAACCCACTCTGGACAGGCCCACCACCGCGGTATGGTGAAATCCATGCATACTAGGCTAGCTTACTCTGTATCTATGATTTATCCAGGTCTGGAATGATCCCTTGCTGCATGGAAGCTCTCTTCCAGAGCCCCCGTCCACTCAATCCTCTCTGTATAATCTCTTTGCTGTTCCCGCAACAAGAAAGGCCACAGGGTACGTCCGGCCTCCGAGAGCGATCGGTAAGTGCAACGAAACCCAGCTTTGCGCGAGCAAGGGCTGCTGTCCTGCCAACACATATGGCAATCACCAAGAATGGATGTTCTCCAGGGAAATTGCTCTTCAAGCACTCCCCGCTGCGCTAGGCTAGATTTAAGGGCTATAGATCGAGTGCCTCGTCACAACCGTGTCTCCTTCAGCCGGGCCCTCCCCGAAAAGCAATACAGCGCCTCATCCAGCCCATTGGGAACTGCGCCGTTCTACTGCGGCTGTTAGGGAGATAAAAAGGCGACCTTTGTAAATAAGGGCTTGCTAGCTAGTTATAATCAGGCAGCAGACGGAACTGTTCCTGCAAGCCTCCTTATGTTCCTCAACGATTCGATGGGCAGTGGAAACCTGGCAAAGCAAACCACAACAACCCAGCAAACCAGCTTGCGCTAAGAGCCTTTCATCGACGCTTCAGCGCGCTACCCAATTGATGCTATAGATATCACATTACTACGGGGCTAGGCGCATACAGTAAGAACTAAGGCGAGCGGACGGGGCAGTCAACCGGGCCATGCTAAGCATTGTTTGGTTTAGTCCATTGAGTGTCAGCCCGGGCGGCCAGCGGCCATGCCTAATGCTGATGGGTCGGACTGGTTATTGTGATTGAATTGATTGAATCGAACCCATATGAGGCGATGTTGTTACGTAAGAGGGGCCAAGAAAAGATATGAGACGAGAAAGAGACACCACGAAACATTTGAGTCGCGCGTTGAGACAATCGACAATCGGTTGAGAGAGACCCTTGACCACGAGATATTGTATATCTGGGTTGAACCTGGTCCAAGGGGGGCGGGCCTTCGGTAGACTGCAGAACCCTAGTACCCATCATAGAGTGACACAGGATAGGATTCCCGGAAGATTGATAGGAAGTGACCCTCCGGCCTGGAAACTCTAAACCGAAGTGGTTCTGCAGTCTGACATGGGCGACCGATGAATCGGCGTCATCATGAGCGTGTCCGCACATTGGAGAAGTGGCCATCTGATCGGGTTCTTCTCCGAGCAGCGGCAGTACTCCCTGTTGCAGGAGCATATCCACTGGATGCCAGATGGGCGGGATGGGGCTGAGAATTGAGATACGAGATATCTCGAGTTTAACTACCTATCTATACGTTGTGGTGAATCGGGGCGCTGTTGAGGTGGATCCGCGAAACGAAAATCCGGGAGGCTGGTGGAGCAGGTGACCTGGCGTTCTACTTCATAATCATAGTACTTATGTAGGAAAAAAGACTTGGATGCCTCAGGCTGAAACAGGCTAGGCCGAAGAAAGCGAGCGAAGGGACTTGTGCCCAAATAGGCGTCTATCAGATCCCTAGTGGCAGTCCAACAGTCCAACAGTCCAAACTGTGTGTATCATCACCACCACCACTACCTACTACCTACTTCCTCCTCCACCGGAAGAGGCTGGTTCCTTGGCTATATCTCCCGCTGTCTCTCGCTACCTCTTTTCGTGCGGATCCTTCCCTTCCTACCTGCCTACCTGCCTGCCTTCTTTGTTTTTTTCCCTTCTCCTTCTTACTCCTGTTTGATCGCCCTCGTTTCCCTTTATCGGTTTTGTCCATTTCCATCCATCCCGCCGTCGCTTCTCCTTCTCCCTTACACATACCTCTAAAACAATACTCAAGTCCCAACCCTGTGTCATCCTTGCACCCTGCGTCTTCTTATCGCTCTTGATAGACCCCCGTGTCTAGGTCCTTCTTCTACTGTCGGACAGAGTAATCTCCCCCGGATCCTCAGTTGGCACATATGCAGTCCGGCTCCAGCATTTCCCGCGCCCAGCGAAGTCCCTCAGCCCAGCATTTCCCGTCCGGTTCAGGGAGCAGCGTTGAATCCGCCATGACCTCCGCCCCACGCAGCTCCTCGAGCTCGACAAGATCTCAATCTTCAAAGGGTATCGTCGTAAGTCTTCCTCCTTCATTTTGGCTGGCATGCAGTCATGGTTCCCCAGCCCTCTCAACTCCACAAATCTTCCGGCTGACCTCGTGGTGCATCTGATCCACAGCCCGAGAAACAGATCAACCAGATTGAGAAGAGTGTCACCCATCTCTTGGTCGCTACCAAACAACTGCTAGAAACACTAACACAATGGTCGCGCCGGCAAGCATCGGAGAATGAAGTGTCGGACGTCTATGTCCGGTTAGGCTATGAGTTCAACCTGGCCTGTCGCGCCTTCAATGCCATCGGAGTTGACACCTCAGATCTTGGCCCCGTACCGGATCTCCTTCGTACGATCCTCGAAGATACCCTTAGCCAAGATGCGTCCCCTCAAAGTCTCGAACGTTACCTTCCACGAGTGCGCGATATTATCATCAACCTTCTTCATGGTCTTAAGAAGAAGCAAGCTCGACTGCGTTCACGGCAACAGAAGGAGGAAAGCAGACCATTGCCCGGTCGGCATACAAGTGCAAGTAGTGCAACCTCGGCGCAGGCGGCATTAAACCAAGCGTACGAGGAGACTGCTTCCACGGTAAACTCGCCGAAGCGATCGACTCGTCGGTTTGGCAGCAATGGCTCTATGGAGGATCCGGCAGTGGCCCGGCCCTCTTCGACGACACCGGCGGATGCGCGGGGCGCGAGCTTTTCCGAACGAGAGGCGTCGAGGCGCGAGGCACAAAGCATCCTGTCCCAATCATCTCAACCAGAGACCGGGTCGGCTCCCAAAGGCTCCGCGTCTTTGACCAATGCGCCTCCCTATCCCACACCGCCCCCTCCGCCCGCCCCAAAACAGGATGATGCTCTCGGTGCTTTGCAGAGAAGCGGGGAACTTGAACGTCGGGCATCTCGAAGGTTTTCCGCCTATCAGATTCAGAAGCATCTAGGTGCTTCTTCCAGCGGGGTTCCTGTCCTTCCGACTCAGAATTCTCCGATTCCTAATCGAGGGCGCGATGTTCGTGAGTCCCTGAATGCTGTGCGTCTACGTGGGTCTGTCCATGGGCGACAGCGGTCGACAAACAGGCTACAAGACGTTAAGGTCGCTCCGCAGGCGCCCTCAAACGTTCCCAGTATCGAAGAGGAGCGCCCGAAATCCCGCGTTGAATCACCTGCAGAGCTACCAGCAGAGGGTCCCGCTGCTGCGAAGGACAAGCCCGTCGAACGCCCCGAAAGTGGACAGGCAGACACTTCCGCCATTGGACGGCCCCCTGATCTTCCTCGTCCTTCCGAAGAACCATCTCTTGCAGAGGCATTTGAGCCCATAAAGGATACTGCGCCTACTGCAGCTAACCCCCCAGGAACGCCAAAGTCTGAACGGCAACAGCCTACTGCCGTTACTTCAACCCCTCCGCGATCGTCTCAGTATTCCCCTGAGCAACAGTCTCCGGGCAAGGAGCTCACCCTGTTTCTGCAATACAGGAGCAAGATCAAGAAGTACGTTCTTCCAGAAGGCTGTGCTGGTCTAACTATCGGACGACTTCAACTGGCTTTTATTGAAAAATTCGCCTGGAACACACACAACAACGGGGTTGATCTGCCGGAAATTTACATCCAAGACCCGGTATCCGGGGTTCGGCATGAATTGGAGGATTTGAATGACGTTAAAGATCGAGCTGTATTGGTGCTCAATGTTGATATCCTCGATGAGGTCAAGAGGCATTTCGACGATGAATTTGGTGGAGTCCGTCGCATGATCGAAGGGGTCAAAGGTGCTCTCGAAGGCCAGGAAAGTATGATGCAGCGTGTCTCAGAACGTCAACTCGAAGCAGCGAAAGAGATGGCCCGTCTGGCTGCTGCGCCCCCTGCGCCCGTCACGGCTGCCTCCAAGACCGGGGAAAGCCCGAAGGCTCCGATCGCGGGAAGCCAAAGTCAGATCGCAGAGCTCCAGAGCTTGCGGCGTGACCTGGCAGTACTACGGCAGACGTATTCGAATTTCTCCGCGGATATTGCAAGCTCGATGAGCGCGATCCGCACCAAGGCGGGCGGACTGAAGACTGCGGCGGCAGATGTCGCCGTCCCGTCGATTGAAGGCGATGCGGGCCGTGTGCGCGTCAATTCCGGGAAGAAGGAGCTTGCTGAGGAATCCGAACGTCTTGTGGCGCGCGTCGATGACCTCCAGGATCTGGTTGAGGACCTCCGCAAAGACGTGGTAAGCCGCGGTGTTCGACCCCTGCCCCGGCAGCTGGAGACCGTGAGCAAGGATATCAGTGCCGTTACCAAGGAGATCAAGAAGATGCAGGACTTCCTCAAGCGAGAGAAACCCATTTGGACGAAGATTTGGGAGAAAGAACTTCAGCAGGTTTGCGAGGAGCGTGACCAGCTTACTATGCAAGAAGATCTCGCAGCCGATCTCCAGGATGATCTGGAGAAAGCTGCCCAGACCTTTGCCCTGGTCGAGCAAGCCACAAAGCAGCAGGCGATGCAGAACAACACCGGTGCTCCCGCGCTGCGTCACACCTCGCGCAACGTAGTGATTGATCCGGCCGTTGACCCTATGAAAGCTAAAGACAGCGTTCTCGGTGAGGTGCGCGCTTTGCAGCCCAACCATGAGTCTCGATTGGAGGCAATTGAGCGGGCCGAGAAAGCACGTCAGAAGGAGCTGGAGACTCGCCGGGTCGGGCTCTTCCAGAAGGAGCTCGGGGCTTTCGTCGAGGAGGGCAAGCTGAAGAAGAGTGGCGGCGTGGAAGAAGCCGAACGGCTCCGCCGGACCAAGGATGACCGCATTCGCAGGGAGGTCTGGGAGAGACAACAGGCTCGAGCTGCTGAGATGGAGAAGGAGGAGGCAGAAGCAGCAGCAGCGCAAGCGGAGCAGGCTGAGTCGACCGAAGATGCAGAGACCGCCGATGCCGAGCCCAGTGCAGACGCCAGTGAAGAGGCAGAGACCGAGAAGGATGAAGGGGGACAGGAAGAGGAGGTAATCATGGTCAAAGGGAAGTCTCCAGTCCCTGACGACCAGGATGAGGAGGAGACGGAGGAAGAGAAGAGAGAAACGTTTCTAGATGCGGAGAACGAGGAAAGTGGCAAAGAAGCCACCGAGGATGAACATAAACCGGGCCCTGAACGATAGGGATACGCACCCGTTGGCCATCCAGCGGTCAACATTGCCAGTGTGATGCTCCTTTTTTTCATCATCTACATCTTGTGTTCCGCCTGACTTTCGCCTGACCTTCAGGCTGCTTTCTTTTGGCTCTTCTCCTTTGTCATTGTCGTCATTTTGTCAACCCTCATTGATATTTCCTTGCTATTCGTGTCTGTTATTCCCGTGTCTTGTTCGCTCAGTTCCAACCGCAAGAGCTGGCCCTGTCCGAATTGATGACCAGTTTGAGGGGATGGAGCTGCAGCCTTGCCTGTTCGCATATCGACGATACCCTGCCAGCTTGTGGCCTGTTATGACTATTGATGATATACAGGAGGGTCAGGTTATCTTGGTCTATCCTGCTTTGCTGTTTCAGACGCGGTTGGTTGATAGAAGCGTTAGTCCGTTGGCATTATCACTAGAGCTGTAATTTAGTAGATAATGAGTGATTATGCGAAGAAACATTCTTTATTCCCTACTAATATGTTGTGCTATGTTTTCCCATTGTTTTTCCATTGGTTTTCATGATCCTTGCAGTTAATCCGAATCCCTGTCTAGATAGCCATTTCACCCTACTCATTCATTCCCTGAGCCCGGATTGCCCAGGTGCATAGTAGCATAGCAAATCCCATTCACGACATTCTTCACTCGTTCTTGTCCGCAATTCCCCCATCTCCCTGAAGAAGTATAAATAGGCCTCCTTCCACTCTCCAGCCCTCTCAAATCTATCCATCATCATATCATCGAGAATGATAGGACCATTCCACATAATCCTCCCATTACATACTCGTTACGAGCAAAACAACCCACTCTAGCATGAATATACTTTCCAAAGGAGCATCATAGCCAGACATGATTATGCTTAAGCGCACCCTAACTGACTACGAAAAAATTTGCCCCCACCCCTATTATTCTGCAGATGACATACCACGAGTACAGATAGCTTAGCAGCCAAGTTCTTAATCAAGACTCTACAAATACAAACATATATCAAACACTGATACACCCCCTCCCATTCTTCCCAAAAGCCAAGGAAAGAAGGCACAGACCCTGTGGCTGCAACACCAACCCGCCATACCAAAATGCGGTCAAGACATTACATAAAGCACAAGATTTCATATGCAGAGACTTCTGTGATACAAGGCTGTGGAATATATATGAGTTAGAACAAGGGTCTTGTTCGACTCTCGTTGGAATAACCCGTCTTGGGGTAACATGTGAATGTGCTTCAATTTCCTGGGGAAGATATAGTATCTATTTCTACTGTGGATGGTTGTGATTGTTGTGTAAAAAAAAAAGGGGGGGGGATAGATATGAAGCACTCAGTATGACGAGGGAGGATTGGCTTGCGTTTGGGAAGGTTATATGCTGTCTGTGTCGATTTGGCTGGGAGGGTGTCTTTCCAATGGAGGTATGGCAATAGGGCTTTCCGTTGAAGTCATATCACAGGGCTATATCTTATCTAGACGTCATACGATGTAGAGTATGTTGACTACTTCATGGAGGGTGGGCGATTCCATATTATCGATGGAGAGTGCTGATCGATGCGGGTGGATATGATTGGTTTCTGGTTGAAGTGGGTATAATCATCGATTGTGAATATTTGCAGCAACGTGGTTACACTTGACCATCCTCGGTCTTCGTAACTTTCGTCCTATTCCACCTTCTTTTTCTCCCAGGCACCAGGTCCTTCGTAATCAAGCCTGGCGCGCCCACTGCCAGATGGAATGGTGGCTCTAACCCTTCTTCCTTTGCTCTTTCATCCCTATCCTCGCCGCTCTTGTCACCATCGACGGAGACCCCCGAGTAAACCGTCTGAGACTCGTTGAAATCAATTTCTGTAGAAGCGGATTCTCCGACCAATTGATTGACCAGGGGTGGGTTCTCCTTGGCACCATGCCTTTCTTCTGGTTCCCGCTGTTCATGATTGTCCACAACGCCCACAAGTCCATCAATACGGGTGAGAGCCGCCAGATCCCGTTTATCTGTGTCTCTAATGCCAGCAAAGCGAACATGCTGGACACGCTGCAGTTCTGCGCCCATACGGAGCATAGCAAAAGCATCAAAGCTGCCCGTCCAGGTGGGGACCGAGTAACAGTAGGCTATGATCAGACAGAGGCCCAGAACCTGAAGGCCAATAAGGATGGAAACAGTAATCACACCCGCCAGAGTCCATCTTGGTCTGATAAGTACCGTGCCACTGTCAAAGTAGATCTCGCGAGAGTTGTGCGTATAGCCTTGCGCTGCCGTATTAGTTAAGACAGCCTCGTTGGCAAAGTAGGTTGCTATGTTTAGGGCGGTAGTAGCCGTCTGATTCTCGCTGAAGGAGGCGATCCATGTATACACAGTGTACATAAGTTGCAGATAGAAGACGTCGTTGTCCTCGTTGTCTAGCATCCACTGGAGCTCGCTGCAGGTGTCCAGGGCCGTGCTAAATCCCTCTGAATCAAGTCGGGTAAATGGAATCGCATCAAACAGGCAGATAGAAGATAGCGCAGACCGTGCGGTGCTGCTGTTGGTGGCGTTTCTGGCGACGCTGAAAAAGCTCTGGTTGCCAAACAGAGCCAGCGCACTGGTCATCAGCGGCCCAGCAGCATATAGCTCCTCAATGTTGAATGGATCAGCTGGTGCAGGCCCCAAGATGAACAGGTTCGAATCAGTATCATTATTACTATCACAACTCATCAGTTACTATCCAGCAGCATCGTGAAGGGTTGCAGGCATATAGAATAGAGAAACCTCTTACATAACGGACGGAATGGCAAAATCTCCACCTACCCCCAAGTAGTCATTGAAATCTTTCTCCAGCTCTTCCTGGCTCGGCCACTTCTCGAGGAGTGGTCCTGGGTTATCATTATTCCGGTAGTTGCTGATCTCAAAATACCCTCTGGTGGAATTTGTGGTACATCGCAACGTGAAGTTGTATTGATTGATATCGTACTCCCAGAGTTGTGGAACGACATCAATCCACATTTCCTCCGAGATATCCTGCCGGTCCCGACTCAGGGTCCAAGGAGTTTGTCCATACACCCCGGGCACACAGATTCGGATATCCAGAGTGTCAGGAGCAGTCAGGTTGGTCACAAAAGGTCGGTCACCGGGGCATGTCTGCGGAAATTCAGATGCTGGTACAGTCACACAAGCAGATGTTGAGTTCAGTCGAAGGGCATGTTCACGCAGAACACCGGTGTTGGTCCCATTCTGTAACGCAGAGACAAAATACTTCTCCGAAGGAAAAGCCTCATCGTACCAGAGGAATGTTCCCGTTTCAATGGCCTCGGCATCGGAAATGGATGTCCAATGTTCCGGCCACAGGTAAGGCTGCACATCCAGCTCGCTTACCAACTGCGTTTTCTTAGCCACCTGCTGGACAGCAAGGCTCTGGGGGAAATATTCTAGAGCGGCCGGTTCCGGGTCAAGGCCCACGACCGTAGCAATGTTCGCCGGATTGCATGACCAGACAGGCATTTCCCCACAGGTGGCGATGGTGAAGACCTCAAACTTGACTAGAAGCGATTGAATAGCAGGGGTAACCGCCACCAACAACACGAACAGGCCCCCGAAAACGGCAAGCCAGGACCCAGTCCCATTGTTGGAGGATAGGCACCGAAACCATGATATGACGTTGGCCCAGGGACGGTCGGCTAGAGCGATCAGCTGCTGCAGAGATAGCTTTTGATCAGGCGAGCGTCGCTGTGCATAGACAACGGCAGCCTGAGCCAGGAACCCAGAGACGATGGGAATAGCGAGAACGGCCTGGATCTTTTCGAGGACAGTGATAACATCCAGACTGGCGAGAATGTTCAGAAGTACAGACGCTGGCAGGCCAAAGCCCTGGCGCGTATAAGAAGTGGCGTCCAGGGGGCGTACCATCATGACACAAGTCATCACCCAGGGAATCAACAGAATAGCGACATAGAAGGCAAGGAGGTACAATGACTTTGTCCGATACCGTAGCGGCTCCTGAATGGGGCTTTTCTTTTGGGATATTTTCTGGCCATTTCCAGCCGGGTTCGAGGGGGTGTTCAAAGCAGCCATTCTGTATACCACAACGATGAGATGTAGGGGAGAACGGTGCATCGCATGTCAGAACCGCGGGGTCCACTCAGGGGTTATTTATATTTGTCCTTCGAACCCTGTATCCTTGTCCCTTTGCAGAGGTCTGTCCGCAAAGCTGACTGACTGAGGGTGTGATTGGGGAGGACTGTAAGTGTAAGCCCAATCTAATACCAAACAGGCCAAGCTCATGGGGCACAGGTCGTTTAGCGTTGAAGCAATTTCGCATAAGCAATAGTGGGTGCTTGGTCCCCCAACGCGAGGCTTGTTTTGGCCCTGGTCGGTCTTGCTGCGTCGTCTTGCTTCGGCATTTTGTGCCGAACGTTAGCGGACTTAGCCAGGGTGTTCAAGAAAGGGGTCAAAGGAAATCAATTATTTGACAGATTATAATGGCACCCATGGACAGGCAGATAAGTCGGGGAAGCCAGGATAAGAGAGTCGACAAAGGGAAGGGAGGAAAAGAAGGAAGAGAAGAGAGAAGAGAGAAGAGAGAAGAGAGGATGTGGAGGGGAGAAACAAGAAGACAAGAAGACGAGAAAACGAGGGAGGCTAAATGAATGAATTCCTCAGGCCATCCATCCACCGCGCCATCTCAACTTCAACTTCCACTTCAACTTCAACTTTCCCCTCATCACTCTCGCAACACTCTTACTTGTTGCAATATGTCGGCAGGGAGCAACCCGATAGGTTCCAATAGTCAAGTCGACTAAATCTTCGCACACATCCGCGAAATGAATCCTGCAGAGATAATCTCCGACCCCCAATCTCAAGCCGGTTTCACATTCTAGGGATAATGACACAACATGTGGCCCGGCAGGGGATACGCAGGTCTCAGATCACCTGGGTCCATCATGGCACCTCATCTCCATGTAGATCATGCAAGGGCCTCGGTAGATCCTGTTCCTGTCGCGGATGGCTTACGCAAGAGGCTCACTGGAATGTGTCTGCATAAACTGGGCAGGGCCACGCTCCATGGTATAAAAAGGGCTTTTCACATGCAGAAATGCCCTTGACATGACAATGATATCGACAGAATCCCCTCAGCATGGACGACAAAATCAGCCAGGCCATTCACGAAGAGAAAAATGATCTCCCCAACAACCAGATCGTCATCATCGACTTCGATCCTCATGAACACCCGCACCAATGGCCCAACTACCGAAAATACACTATCCTCCTGACCGTCACCCTGCCGATTTTCCTCATGCCGTTGACATCTACAATTATTGCTCCCGCTGTAGACGCCATCGAAGCGGATTTCCATGTCACCTCGACGGTTGAAGGCCCACTGACGGTGTCATTGTTTCTGCTCACCTACTGCCTAGGCCCATTGCTGCTAGGTCCTCTGAGCGAGCTGCTCGGTCGCGTACCCATCCTATTTGCAGGGAATCTCTTCTTCCTGGCCTTCAATCTGGCATGTGGCTTTTCAAAAAGCATCACGCAGCTGCTAGTATTCCGCTTACTGAGCGGATTAGGCGCGAGTGCCTCACTAGCTGTACGTCTCCCTACCTCACAGTCCTAAACCACATACTTATATGCGTCAGACCGGCGCCAGCACCATCGGCGACGTCTTTCCTAAGGAAGAGCGTGGCCTAGGCCTCGCACTCCTCAACATGGGTCCAGTCCTCGGTTCCTGTCTCGGTCCCATCGCTGGCGGATACATAACAGATTACTCAACCTGGCGGTGGGCGTTCCATGCAACCTCCATCTTCGGGGGCATCATCATCCTCACAGGTCTCTGCCTCTCGCGCGAAACTTACGCTCCGGTCCTCCTCCAGCGCAAGAAACAAACCCTTCAAGCCACCCCAGCGTACAAAGACCTCACCCTCCTCACCCAGTTCGAAAAGGACATCCCCATCCCCTCCACCTCCTCCCCCCAAACCAAAACCAGATCCATAATAACCCTCTACCGCCGCACACTCCTCCGCTCTCTATATCTTCTCTTCACCCAACCCATCGTGCAAGCCCTCTCCCTCTACTACGGCTACCTCTACGGGCTCGTCTACCTCGTACTCTCCACCTTCCCCACCCTGTGGAGAACCCAATACCACCTCAGCACCAGCACCGGCTCCCTCCACTACATCGCCCCCTGCATTGGCTACCTACTAGGAGCGCAAACCTGCGCCTTCATCTCCGACAAGATCTACTCGCACCTCAAATCCACCAACAACGGCATCGGCAAGCCCGAGTTCCGCCTCCCGCTCATGATCCCCGCCAGTCTCCTCGTCCCCATCGGCCTCTTCATCTACGGCTGGTCCGCGCAGTACAAGACCCACTGGATCGTCCCAGACATCGGCATCGCATTGCCATTAATGGGCGCCACAGTAATCTTCCAATGTACAAACGCATACCTCCTCGAGGCATACAGCGTATACGGAGCAAGTGCCAATGGCGGCGTATACATCCTTCGAGGCTTAACGGGATTCGGATTCCCTATGTTCAGTCCCATCATGTATCAAGTTTTGGGATACGGGTGGGGAAATAGTCTGTTAGGGTTTGTAGCGGTGGCAGTCGGGTGTCCGATTCCGTGGGTGTTGTGGTGGTTTGGTGAGAGGTTGAGAGGGAAGAGTAGCTTTGCTGATAAGGATTGATTTATTCACTTCCAGCTTTCTATTTTTTACCACTCTTTTTTTAGTTCTTCTTTTCCCCTTCTCGATATTTTATTGGGGTTGGGTTTTGTTTCTATACCCGGAGCTCTCGCCCCCGCAACCGGCCGCAGCTCCATGGGTGGTTTGAAGAGGTGTCTGGGATTAGTGGATAATCAATTTGATTCACATGTCTGTCTAGTTTATTGTTTAATCTTGTTCTATATATTTGTTGTGATTTTGGGTTTATCTCCATACTTTTTGGTTGCATTCCATTCTAGGTTCGGGTTAGGGCTAGCTGCCGATATATATTATCCAGAGAGACCCAATGACTGATTCGCCATTGCTGTCTGCAACTTGACGCAAATAAAGAGTAGGATAAGATATCATACAATAAGAAGACATTATAACGCTCACTAGAACTAGAACCCCCCCACCAACAGAGAGAGAGAGAGCATGTGCTAAGCGGACGGTACCGGAATAAACTTCCAGCCCCCCTCCCCATTCTCCTCTCTCCTTGAGAGAACCTGCATATCCCATCTTCCACAGAACCCATCCCCATTTGCAATTCTTTTTACCGTCGAGAATTTTCCACCACGTGGACTGGATTGATCAGCCACCCACATCTTATTTTGGACTTCCTCGCCTGCGACTTCCGTCCGACGTGGATTATATACAGGCAAAACGGCAATGCGACTCGTGATCCTGTGGACCAAAGAATAAAGTTTCTCGAACCGTCGAGTCACTCCGAGCCAGCTGAGAGATCGAGGGTGGTATGCGACGCGGATGAATGGGTTCATGTAGATTCCTGTGTCTGTAACCTCTTCGGGAGACGAGGACAGTGAGGGTGGGGTTTGGATATCGGCGTGGATGAGACAGCATTCAGACGATTCCCAGAATAAATCGGTTTCGGCACGGAATCGGACGGGGGAGGGGCGGTTCATGTATTCTTTTTGGTTGTTGGTTTTGTAAGTGGAGGTGATGGAAGGTGGATGTAGAGGTGGATGCTGGAAGAAACCGGCATCGAATGCGACCATTCCTCCCCAGCAACTGCGCACTCTCACGGCATCTTTCCCGTCGAGTACATCTTGTCGACTTTGAGCTTTTCCGGCGGTGGTGAACCATGGGTAGAAGGGGATGCCCATGCTGTAGCCTTCTAGATCGCGCGAGGCGAAGGTATCGTAGAACTTGAAGGGATTGATAAAGTCCACTGCACATACCGCGCGGTAGTCCGAAACACCGTTCTTCGTGTTGGTTGAGAAGAGGAGTTGCAGGGCGTCCAGTGGATGGAAGTAGACATCGTTCAGAAACAGGAGTCGGTCGAAACGGAGCTCGGGGTATTCATCTAGAGGGCGTAGGGCCCGGTTGCGCACTTCGGCCAGGAATTCGACGCGCCTGATGTGTTCTGATCCATCGGGGAGAGTGACGGTGGGAAAGCCGGTGAAGTTGAAGTGGTCTTCGTACACGATGGACTTGTTGCAGGGAACACGGTCGCTCAGCTGCTGAAGAGCCCCCTCCCCGGCCACGCCACTATCGTTCTCGTAGATGCTGAGAAAGACGTTGTCTGGTCCGATCATGTCGATCAGATCGAGGAGTGCCTGGCCCCATTGTCCGCCTGCCAGGGCCCCGTTCTTGTCATAGAGGCTGACGGCAATGAAGACGGTCGAGTTGCGTAGGTTCCCTCGGCCGGATTTCGTTGACTCTTGTACGACCTTGCGAAGCGCGGCATAATGTAGCGGTAGATGGGTATAGGATGGCACAAAGAGGAAGGTGAAACTGATGAGGGCCAGAAGAATCCAAGCGATGGTGGATAAAAGTCGACGCAGATTCCAGGCGATGGGAAGCCAGTGTCTTGTCCGTCTCCTCACACCTCTGGCTGCGCTGATCAAAGCCGAGAGGCAGTAATGGACCGGGAAGGCACGACGGTGAGGGTAAGAGGTGGATGATTTGAAGTCCTCGAGATCGATCTCTTCACCATCGAGAGATGAACGGGCAACAGGCTCATAACCATCTCTGGAAAGACGTGCCATGGGGACGAGCAGTCAATCAGACAGAGTGGTAGGATGGCAGGCTGGCAGTGGCGGGGAAGAACTGAACTGCAGGGACCCCGTCCAAGACCCTTTCCGAACGGGGCAATGCGCCTAGCCTGGTGGTAGGGCTATGAACGGTGAATCCTGGCCAGCACTACCGCTGAACTACTGGACACCAACTGACATGGATCCGAGACAATTCTCCCTCCACCCAATCATCGCATCTCCAGGCGCTTCTACCTAAAGTGGACCGTCTGGCGCCGGTCTAAATTGAACAAGCATTGAGTCGGATTGCCATGTTTGTGGCTCGGGGCACTGTTGGCCTTTTGCGCGATTTTAAGTGGTACCCAGTGGCCCCCTAAATCCTCTCTCAGGGTCTCTGCGAGAGTGCGAGGTTTGCTGGAAGTAAAAGCGTAGGAACATTCATGTTAAATAGGTTTTTGACACGCTGGACGAAATTTATCTTCGGAAGGATTGACACCATCGAGGCAAGTACTGGTGTTTATAACGCATATCCAAAAGATGTGTTGTTATGAATACAAACTTAGGTTCAAGTTTCCAACCAGCAGCATGTTAGCTCAGGGGAAGAGCGCCGGGCTCATAACCCGGAGGTCCCTGGATCGAAACCAGGACATGCTATCATACCTCATTCCTTTTTTGGAGGTCGCTGGATCGAATCCCGGGTATGCTACTTACTTTTCTTTCCTTTTTCCTTTTTCTTTTTCCGACTCCTTTCCTCAGTACCATCACGTGTTGGCGCCTTCATTTTTGTACCGTTTTATTTTGCGATAGCTCGAAAGCCGTTGGGGTGGCGGAAATAATGGGCGGGTGTACCTAGGTATGAGCTGCATGACATGACACTCATTGATTGTTATTGGTCAGGTGTGTGCCCGAAGGCCACAATCGCTGGTTCGATCATAGTACTGTGTTGCTGAAGTATTATAGTTCTGCAGCCTAGGTGAAGTTCTCAATCATTGTATCTAGTGTCATCATAGATATAGCGTCAATCGTTATTTTACTGAACTATGCATCATGAAATAAAGACATCGAAGGCAAATTATATCTACTCATTCACGCCTCCATCCGTACAATCTCCCGCATCAGGTCATAACGGATCTTCTCACCCACGTAGCTATCCCGCCGGTACTCCTCGTGTCCAGTTACAAATGAACGCATCCATTGGGCTGGTGTCGGAAGCTCTCCATTGGCTCGCTTGCTGACCACATCCAGGTACGGCATGATCTTCTTCTGCTCCATCAAGGACGTGTTCTTGTACTGCAGATATGCCCGCACAATGTTCACCAGCCCCGGAAAGCTGGACGGCACCTTGGGGTCCTCGCCATTGATGATCTCATCCATGGTAAGGAGAGCATACGGTGAGGTATGGCCACTGGACTTTCCACAGCAGTTGACACAACCCTTCCGCTGGCGCTGTGGTCGATCACACTGCTCCACCGACGATGACCATCCACTGCGACGGAACCAGATCCGCTCTTCGACCGCGGCATTCCGCTTTTGTGCGCGCTCCATCGACTCCCCCAACTTGTCCACCGGGACATAGAAGTTCAAGTGAAGGTCTGTAATGGCTCGAGAGAGAAGATACATAAAGATTGAGAAGGCAGCGTTGTCGAAGTCGGTTAGCTGCACTTCCATCGGCCGGAATTCAACCCGCCAGCCGGGTCCGTCATCGCTCAGTGGGATCTTGAGTCGGACGTGTTGCCACACACTGCTGTAGTACACATCAAACACGCCCGTACCATTGGGGTCGAAATTCTCCAGATCGGCTCGGTTGAGCATGATTGGATCCCGCGATAAGATTGTGGCAAAGTGCATCGCCAGCGGTTCGTCCATGCCTCCGTCTAGTAGGCGCTGTTTAACCGTCTCGTCCATAGGAGTCAGCGAGGACTTGCTGTTTATATCTGCAGGCTTTCCTCGGGAGACGTATGTGCGATTCCAGGAATAGCGTGGCGGCTGTATGGGATTAGTTATCGGGCCAAAAAAGCACTACGGGACGCTTAAACCTACTGTTGTAGCCAATTCTTCCGGCGTGCGGTCATCGAAGCATTCGGAGATGCGATCCCAGCGCACATCAGTGTCTACCAGATACCCCTTGTAGATGGGCGTGGCAGCAGTCAGCGCAAGCATGACTGGCCCCATCGCAATCATCTGGTCATGCAGCCATCGGGCTTCAAACTCATTAAAAGCCTGGAACGTAACCTGGATGCTGCAGCTCCCGAGCCCAAGACCGATTCCATCCAGATGGATATGGCCCTCTTTTGCGTCACCTGGGGGATGCTGTTCTGCTGGATACTCGAATGACCCAGCCTTGTCATAAAATGGAGCTTCTGTCTGCTCGTCTCGATAGACAGGGATATAGCTTTCAACACGCCGCTGTCGCCGGGCAGTTAAATTCTGGACCATCATTATGTAACGTGAAATGGGACAGTATATTTGGCCAGTCGAGTTTTCAAGAGATTCATCCGGTATCGTAAATTGGTTTCTGACTCCTAGGCCAGGGAAGACACAGAGTGATACGATATGCTGGTCGCGCGATAGGCATTGCCGGATCAACTTTCGTCTAACGAGATCAACAAACGGTCGGGTTGCAGAGAGGGTATAGCCTACCGTTGCTTCATGTTGCTTTCTACCCTTAGTAAGTCCGCAATATCCCCTCCGTATGGCTCTCGAGGGGTCGCCTCGATCATATATCTACCCCATTCCGGCTGTAATGCGATTTCGTTCCAGGGTTCACTACGACAAATCAGAAACCTTATCTTTCTAATTATGTGACGTATACTCACACATCTGCATTGGCGCACTCGTCCGTGCCTTTTCGGAGGACCTCTTCTTGGTTTAGGAGCAGTGTAGCTCGAGATGTGTTCGCGTCAAGGTTGATTAGGGTATATTCGATCTGACCGGTCAGCAACCTTCCTTCGTGAGCTGTAAGTGATCATACCTCGTCACCCCAGAGCGGCTCAGGATCAGTTCTATCTTTCTGTCTCTTCCAGAGAGATAACAATTGCTTTCTCTGTTAGCGCAATGAATCCAAATGATGCGATGTACAAACCTCCACAGCACATTGACGAGCAATAGGTGCGACACTTTGCAGTTCCTGCCACGGCATCGGCGCTCCTCTCACTCTGCTAGAATGTTAGCTTCATATCATAAAGATAGGGTAGGGGCTTGACATACGGTGGGCCCATTTTTGCTGAAAGTTCAAGGTTAGTCAAGACCAGGCTCTTGGATCAGATAGACATGGATAGACAGGTTTCGATATCTGGGCATTGCTTTATAGGTCTCTTGAGAAGGACGCAGAAGCATTGATTTAAGGACCCGATCACTCGCGCGGTTGTCGATCATAGTAACACGACAAACCATGGCTTGGCTGATGGCAATATGCGACCTCGTACGTAATCCTCGTGGAAGCAGAAAAGGTCATGGAAGATCAGTCGTGCATTCTCAGATAATACGCTTTTTCAGCCCCACGACTGGCGTAATGGATGGCTACAGCTTGCTCGTTGCTACCCCTTGCATCGTGGTTCGTCATGTCCGAAAAAATAAAAACTACGGGCGTAGGGTGTATTCGACAGGTATACCGAGGAAAAGAAAGCTTCGGCATCTCAGCCCAGACAGCACGGGAACAATAAGCTTTAGCTTCATATGTCTCAATCTTATTTGCGTCTGAATCAGTAATAAGACAGCGGCATCAATTAATAGTTTATAGGCGGGCGGGTTAAATCCCCTGCATCACTCGAAGCGGTATGGCTCACATATTTCTCGTCTGGGCAGGATCATCGAACCCCGAAGGCAACATCATTTCCAAGTGGCTCTGGCATTGATGGTGCCAATTCGAAATAGATCTTCAACCGAAACATTGTCTCGAAGACATGATTTCCGGGTCATGTACACGAATGCATTATCGCCAAGGCCTGCATAATGCAGATCGTCAACCACTCGGAGGGCGTACCTACAAGAAGTGAAATCCGTAAGGGGGGAGGAATAGAGCTGAAGTCGAATGAAAACCCCACCAGCGTCTGCAATTGTTGAGGTCCACTGTAACGGGGATCTTCCCTCTTAGCCACGGCTATCCGCTCTTCGTGCCAGCCTTGTGATTTGCGTTCACTCCTAGCTTGGAGCTCAGGTCTGCTCGTCGAGCGTACGTATGCCTTTGCGACTCACGGACCGTGATTTCTTCTTTTGCTGCAGGGAAAGGCTTCGTAAGTGAAAGATGAAAATCTCTTTGGCATGTGAAGTATCCGGGAGTCGGTAAGCTTCCAACCATGGTATTGTATCACCGGATGACTGGTATAGGCTGGGAAAGGTTTGTGATCAAGCTTGTCCTCCATGATTGGACTTTGAAGTGCGGGGATAATGCGCGGTCATGGACGTCATCATATGTTCCACGAGGCTAGCATGCGAGGTCAGCAATCTGGGGGATACAACACGGACTTGAGCATGCTTGCTACCGGATTTTTGCATGGCTGGTTGCTAATGAAGTCATTGGAGGCTGTCAGAAGGGTGGCGAGAGATGGGAAATAGAAAGAAGAGGAAGAGGAAGAGGAAGAGAAGGCACGTGCAGTTGATGTCACGGGCTGTCGGCTCACCCTTCACCCCTCCTTTACCTTTTACCTCCTTCACAATAAGTTATTATGATGGCTAGTTTTAGAATCAGTGGTTCTGATTCAGGCGTTGTGTAGAGTGGCAGAAGATCCTGATATAGTCCACTACTCTGGATAGATGAAACTGTTGCACTCTTGCTATAAGGTCAAAGACTTTTCCCCTATGAGTGGGCAGACTCTATGAGGTATCCAAGTCGCGCAAAGGCGTCATGAATCTGAGGGAAGACAGTGTCATCTAATAGGTTACTGAGTTATATTGATGGTTTACTATGTATTAAGCTTTGCTGATAAGACCAGCCTATGACTGGGCGCGGATAAGCGACCCCTCTCGAGGCTCTCCGTTCCGGCTTCTTTCTTTCTCCCCAAACATGGCAGCCTCGACCATTTCACGCACCCGCACGGGCTGCTGGGCCTGTAGAGCTCGAAGAGTCAAGTGTGACGGTATGATATATTCTTTCTGAAATCAATCCTGGTTCTGATCCCATCTATGAAGAGACACACCCCGTCTGTCGTCGCTGCGCGCGAAACAATCGGTCCTGCGGATACGGTCTGCGCTTGACATGGCTCGAGGAATCGATCGCCAAGGGCATTTGCCATGGACGCATGGGTGTGTGGTCAAAGAACGGCCAGAAAAAAGGGGAAACAGATCCGTTGGATCTCGTCAAGAGTGTATGGTGCTCCACGCCCAGTCCACACCGACGGTGGATGTTTCTCCATACGTCCGTCCACGATGTGGAACGGTTCTGTGTAGGTTACCAAGGGAGCAAGAATCACAGAATATGGCCAAAAGATCTATGGCAACTGTCAATCTCTCCAGCGATAAGTACAAAGCCCGTCACATGCCAGAGTCAATCCACCGACGACTCTACGCTGCTGGCCTTCTTTGAGACGGTCATCTGCAGCAGCTCGACCTTGGTGGACAATGCGCAGTCAAATCCATACCGGTATCTGATCTTACCCATGGCGTTCGACTCCGAGGGCATATACCATGCGGCGTTGGCCATCTCAGCCAATACTCTGCGGCTCTCCGAATCGCGGTATCATGTCCCTGCCCTGAAGCACCATCACCGAGCGCTACTCTATCTCCAGTCTCTCCTCGGCCGAGGTAGTTGGACAGATAGGGAGATGATCGAGATCCTGGGACTCGTCCTCATGATTTGCTGGTTCGAGGTAAGCATCTGTTCCTCGCGAATCTGAAGTGAATGCTGACACCGGCAGATTTCGGATAATAGCCGTCCATCGTGGGTGACTCATCTCGATGGATTACAAAATGTCATGTCTGCGCGAAAGAAACAGTGCCAACAAGCCTTGTCATGGCACAGTCAAGAGCTTCTGGGATTCTTCGACCGCTACTTCGCCTTCCACCTCGTGCTCGCCCGCACGGCGTTTCGATGGACGAACCCGCAAACCCAGCCGTGTCTTTCCTCCATCCCATTGTGTCCCTCCTCCCCGGATACTATCGACCCATACATGGGATTTAGCCACTCTCTGCTGCTCTTGATTAATCGTATTGCTGATGTAGCGTGGGCAGAGAGTGATGTGGATGCTCAGACTGTGTATGGACTCAAAGATTCACTGGAGATGCTCCACCAGACGCCTCCCGATGGTGATGTCGACTCGCATTCTAGCATGACCATTGCCGAAGCGAACCGCTTAGGGGCGATGCTCCTCTTGTATGAAATTTGCTCGTCCTCTAAATTTACCCCTTCGTTCCCGTCCTTTGCCCCTGAGGACAAAAACACTTGTGTACGTCAGATCCTTGATCTCATACAGGCGCACAAGAACAACATAATGCGCACCGCTGTGCTGCCTCTGTGGCCTCTTTTCTTAGCAGGCTGCTGCGCCCCGAGCGACGATGAGCGAGTTGCAGTCTTGCAGCTCTTCGATGAGCTGGAGGGCATTCGGCGTTTTGGAGTATGTTTATCCCTCTACATCAGTTGTTCTAAATAGTGACATGATAGAACATTACACCGGCGAGAGAAGTGATCGAAACAGTCTGGCGACACCGCGACCTGACAAAGACTGACCTAGCAAACGACATCAGGGTGGAAAAGGCCACCCGCTTTGAATGGGAACATGCCATGGTGACGCTGGGCGGGTGGAAGCTTGCGTTGACATAGATTCATTCTGGCATTTACCATCTAGCTATGGGGATGGCTACTACCTACTACAAGCGCGGGCCTCTCTCACGGATCTTCCGCCCCTTCCATCCCGTCAGCTCACTCAGCTCCAGTTCCGGGTCCAGATGAGCCAAATTCTTCGCCGTCACTGTCTGGCCCGGGCGCCACTGCCACTTGCAGGCGATCTCGGGCTCCAGCGTCCCCTCCAGCAGGTCAGCAATGTACTTACCCAGCACGGGCAGAAACTTAAACCCATGCGCGGAACCCCCGGCAGCCAGGTACAGCCCCTGGTGATCGGGATGCGGTGAGATCAGGAAATGGCGGTCGGCGGTATCGGCATCCCAGCAGAGGCGCGTATAGCAGAACGGCCGGTCGGCAAGCTCCGGCAGCACACGCCGCAGGTTGCGGCGCATCTGGGCTTCAATTTCCAGCGGAAGATCGTCTTGCGGGCTCTGCAAAAAGGTGTGAGGGACGGAGGTCGTAGTCCCAGACTCGGCGTCTGTCTGCATGTTGGTGATGAATTGACTGTGCGCCATCTTAAACACTCCGTCGGTCTGCGGCGGGAAAAAATAGCCCAGCTCCAAGTTATCCATGATGGGAAACGCCGAGTAGTGCGTCGTTTCCGTTGGGGAGAGCTGAATATGCGCCACGCTGTGCCCCTTGGCCGTCAATTGGCCTGCCACATCCAGCAATGAGGGCGTCCACGCCCCCGCGGCCACCACGACCAGGTCAGCAACTTGCGTGGACCCATCAGCTGTAACGACCCCAGTGCAGCGATCTTCCTCATTAAACACCAAGCGCTTGACCCAGCCTTTCTCCCCGGAGATATACTCCACCCCCTTCTCCTGCGCCGCAACCGCCATGCGACGTAGCGCCTCCCCTGCAGCCGCCCAGCCAGCCGTGGGGTTCCAGACATTCACATTCCACCCGTCCAGCTTGCCTGTAACCAGGGGAAACCGCTCCCGAATTTGCTGCGGCGACAGACGCTCCAGTCCCTTAACCCCAAGCTTGGTGCTCGTCTCAATCGACCCTTCAACAAACGCACAGGATAGCTTGTACGCGCTCAGAACCCAGCCTGGCACATGGTACAGGTCACGGAACATTTCCTCAGACTGCCAGGCAGCAATGGCCTCAATGCCCAGACGCGCATACAATGGCTCATTATAGTCGCTGCGAATGATCTTGCTGATGTCGGTTGATGCGGCCTCGCACGACGGTGCTGCATATCGATCCAGCACGCGGACGGAGGTGAAGCCACGCTGAGCGAGGTGATATGCAGTCGAGGTGCCGAAGCAGCCAGCCCCAACAATAAGGATGTTCTTATTCGGATCCATGGTGTGAATGACGTGTAGGTTTCTCTGATTGCTCCTACCCAGACAGAGTATTTATTTCGATACGTCGTGTCATCAGTCCTCGGACCAGTGAACAGCTAATCAGAACCTCAACCGATAATTAAACCCCTCATTTGTTGTGTACCTCGCACCGACCTGCCCTGCCCACCTTAGTTCTCTCCCCCTTATCCCCTCCTAGATCCCTCCTAGCAAACAAACAATTGGAAGTCGTTATCGGGCCCCGATAAGCGATAGGTAGATAACCCCGTACTCCGTAACGTAGAATCAGATAAGCCCTCGTTCCGACCTTCCCTTCCTCCTCTCAGTCACAGTGCCCAACCGATAGACAGATTAACAGATAGATGAGTACCAAGCTCTTCCCTCACAGTCAGTGTAAGTGGACGGCTTGCAAATGGCGAGTGCTAGTTGTTACACAGTATTCCGCTCCGGACGAAAATATGTAGTCTATCTATCTACCCCGCATTTGATTACCATTATGCCATGCAAATAGCAAATAAAAATGGCTGTGCTGGACTAACTTATTAGCTCATCCTGTGTGTTCATTCATTGGACTGCTGGGCTGTGTTATAATGTATAAGACACTAGGAGTACTATATTATTCTCTGGATTTGCAATGATATAAACAAATAAGAGTAGCTATTTACTACAACAATTATCCCACGTGCAACTATTCACTAAAATCTTTTCGCAAGATTGATATGAATGAAAGGGACAAGTTAATAAGTATACCGAAACGACGGCTTCTCCTTATCCGTCAAGTCCGAGAACGCCGCATCCTCGGACACGGGGACTACGTGGTCTGTAGCATCACGACGGCGATTCTCCCAGCGACAGAGGAAGCCGTAGGCAGAGATGGCGACAATAGCAACGACAAGACAGGCGAGTAGGCCCTCGTATCCGTGAGAGTAAGTGGGGGCGTCGGTGGAGCGGAAGACCTGGGGGCCGATGATGTTGCCGACGCAGTAGGCGAGGAAGAAGATGGCGTTGAGGGTGAGTTTCTTGGAGTGGCCGCTGGTGTTGGCCATGGGGAGGGAGGTGGAGAGGACGTAGGGAGCCCAGTAAGTGTAGAAGACGTAGTAGGAGGCGAGCAGGCCGTGTTTGTTGGAGCGGGGAAGCTTCCACATGAGGATGGCGCAGGCCATGGGGACGAGGTTGGAGACGGCGATGATCACGCAGCGGGAGTTGGGGATTCGGGAGGCTAGGAATGAGAGGAGGAGTTGCCAGATGGTGGCGAGGACGCCGGTGGGGATGCCCAGGACGGTGGTGATGAGGGATGAATAGCCTAGTCCGGTGACGATGAGGGCGGAGAAGGTGACGAGTCCGCCGTTGGGGATGTTCTGGGCGAGGGAGAAGAGGGCGAGGAGCCAGGTCTTGGGGTCGAGGAGACATTCTCGGACTTGGTACCATTTGATGGTTTTGTCTTCCATGCCGGTGTTGTTGTCCTTAACGCGCTCGAGGCAGACGAACTTTTCGCGGTCGGAGAAGTACCAGCATTGGACGGGGGAGTCGGGGAGAAAGACGTAGAGGATGATTGACCAGAGGATAGAGAAGGCGCCGAGAACGAGGAAGAGGAGCCGCCAAGGGTGGAGGGCTGTGTGGGTGTGTCCGATGCCGTAGCTGACGACGCCGGAGAAGACGGATGATAGTTGGTTGAACCAGAAGGCCACTCGGATGGGTTGCTCGCTGGTCTTCCACCACATCACAGTGAGGATGCTGGAGATGGGGAAGACCGACGCTTCCAGCATGCCCATGAGGAAGCGCACGGTGGCGAGGCCGGCGAAGTTGTGTGTCGCTGCGGTGCAGAGCATCAGGACGGCCCAGGCGAAGACCATGCCCGCGTAGAGCTTGGCCACTGGGAGGCGCTGGATGAGCAATGCGGCTGGGTATTCGAAGGCCAGGTAGCCAAAGTAGAAGATTGAGCCTACCCAGGAGTACTGGTTGCCCGTTAGGTGGGTGTCTGTTTCCATGCCATAGATGGCGGCGTTGGAGATGATGACTTTGTCGACGGCGGCCAGCACGACGGTGACCATGATCAATGGAATCATGATCAGATCGATCTTCCACAGCACACGGCGCGCTTCTGTATCGGCGATGGGAGCCGCCATGATGGCAGGATCCAGCTGGGCGAGAAAGCGCACTGCGACATCCTCCCCTTGGCCCGAGGGACGGCCGAGGACGTCGAGCTCGCCCTGCTTGAGGATGTCGTCGTGAGGGACATGGCTTTCGAGGCCGGGTTTCTTCTGGTCAGCAGTCATGGTGACCGGTGCAGGACCTGGATTGATGGGTTGGGGGAATCGACCCCGACCATGTCGCCGTTTGACAAGTTTTATATCATCATGTAGATGCACCTGATAACGAGTCAGTGTCTGTTATCTGGACTCCACCGTGCTAGGGACTAGGGCGCGGGGAAGGTCGGAGCGAGGCCGATAACAGAAGACCGCACGATAAGATAGCGCCGGCGTTAGTTAGGGCGAGACAGCATTGGCAATAATGACTGGAGCCAGTCTATAAAAGCCACGCCAGTCGTTCGGGGAACAAACGTCTCATGCATGGGTTCTGTCCGTATCGTAGCCAATCATCATGTCCTCATCAAAACTGAACATTAAGATCGCCATCGGTGAGATAGCTTGCCTGAGATGGACGACCGAAAGCTGACCTTTATAGATCGTGGTGGCACATTCACCGATTGTCTAGGCATTGTCGAAGGCCGCGAGGATGATATCGTCGTCAAGCTGCTTTCGCAAGACCCATCCAACTATTCAGATGCCCCCATCGAAGGAATCCGTCGAATCCTCGAGCAAGCAACAGGAAAGAGCTTCCCCCGGGACCAGAAACTCACCACATCAGATTTTGGCAGTGTCAGTATCCGCATGGGAACAACAGTAGCCACGAATGCCTTGCTGGAGAGAAAAGGAGAGCGCGTGGCGCTGCTGATCACAAAGGGCTTCAAAGATGCACTCCGCATCGGGACCCAATCGCGTCCCAAGCTCTTCGCCCTGAATATCCAACGACCTGATGTTCTCTACGAGGACGTGGTCGAGGTAGACGAGAGGGTCACCATCGAGGGATATCAACAAAATCCCCTTCAAGATATAGAAGGCCTTGAGGCAGCGTTGCAGACAGACCCGTGCCTAAAGAGGGGAGTCAGTGGAGAGGTCGTCCGCATTCTGGAGTCGTTGGATGAGATCAAGACGAGACAGAGCTTGCAGGCGCTCTACGACGAAGGATATCGCTCTATCGCCGTTTGCCTCGTGCACTCGTATACCTTCCAGGAGCATGAATTGGCGATCGAGCGAATTGCCAGTGAGATTGGTTTCACACAGATCTCGCTCTCCAGCCAGCTTCTCCCTATGATCAAAATGACATCGCGAGGCGCTTCAGCGACGGCAGACGCTTATCTGACCCCGGTTATCCAGCGATATATTCAAGGATTCCGATCCGGTTTCCAGGATGAGTTACGGTCAACAGACACACGCTGCGAGTTTATGCAAAGCGACGGAGGCTTGGTTAACTTCCAAAAGTATGCCCCCCCCCCCCCCTTCCCTTCTGCATTAGTATACAAAGCTCACTGGAATTAGATTCACCGGGTTACGGGCAATCTTGTCAGGCCCTGCAGGTGGTGTTGTAGGCTATGCAGGCACCTCCTTTGACCCAGAAAACCGGACACCAGTGATCGGGTACGTACTTACTTCCAGAAGTCCCGACGAGGAACTATAAACCGCTGACTGGATACAGTTTTGACATGGGTGGCACCAGCACCGACGTCTCGCGGTACGATGGCAAACTGGAACATACCTTCGAGAACACCATTTCAGGCGTAACCGTAATGGCTCCTCAGCTAGATATCAACACAGTTGCTGCAGGGGGCGGCAGCATTCTGTTCTGGCGCCATGGACTGTTTGTTGTAGGACCCGAATCTGCAGGCGCTCACCCTGGTCCAGCTTGTTACCGCAAAGGAGGCCCTTTGACTGTGACGGATGCCAACCTATTCCTTGGCCGTCTGCTGCCTGGATATTTCCCCAAGATCTTTGGACCTAATGAGGATGAACCGCTCGACATTGAGGTCACTCGTCGTAAATTCACGGAATTAGCGGACCAGATAAATGCAGAGACAGGACATCAGAAGACACCAGAGGAGATTGCCCTGGGCTTCATCCAGGTCGCAAACGAATCTATGGCGAAGCCCATCCGGGCCCTGACCGAGGCTCGCGGCTACGACACCTCTGCCCACAACCTGGCCTGCTTTGGAGGAGCGGGTGGACAGCATGCATGTGCTATTGCATCGTCCCTGTCCATCAAGACCGTCATTATCCATCGCTATTCGTCGATTCTATCAGCATACGGCATGGCTCTCGCCGATGTGGTGCATGAATCCCAGGAGCCTGCCTCCGGAGTCCTTACAGAAACCGCGATGGAATCAATTCAAGACCGTATCACGGCCCTCAAAGCCAAGGTCACCGAGGCCTTGACCACAGACGGCATTGAGGAGGCTCGGATCCAGTACGAGATCTACCTCAACCTTCGGTACCAGGGCACCGACAATACGCTCATGGTGCTCAGACCAGAGAATGGAGATTTCGAGGCGGCATTTATCCAGGAACATCAACGCGAGTTTTCATTTACCTTCCCGGGCCGTAATATTTTGGTTGAGGATATCCGGGTGCGTGGAGTGGGTAAAGCCATCTCCGTCCCTCCAGAGGCGCCGCAGCCCGAGCTTCGGTCCTTGATGAGCTCTGTCGTCAGCACCGAGAAGCAGGATGACTCTACAGAAGTGCACTTTGCTGGCGTTGGACGCGTCGCCACGCCAGTGTTCTTCCTGGACCACCTGGAACCGGGCAGCTTCATCCAAGGGCCGGCCATGATCATCGACAAGACGCAGACCATTGTCGTGGAGCCGAACGCAACAGCCACCATCCTGTCTCGTCATGTAATTCTAAACGTCCAATCGGTCAAGAAGCAGCATGACGATGCCACGGTGGTTGATCCCATCAAGCTCTCCATCTTTGGACATCGGTTCATGTCGGTTGCCGACCAGATGAGCCGGATGTTCCAGAAGACTTCCGTCTCAACCAACATCAAAGAGCGACTTGATTTCTCCTGCGCAGTGTTCTCACCTGATGGGAAACTTGTTGCGAATGCACCTAATGTTCCTGTACATCTGGGAAGTGAGTGATACTCTGTCCAATATTGAATGTTATCAGAGAGCTAATTGAACCTTAGGTATGGAGTACGCTGTCCGGTATCAGCATGAACAATATGGCAGTGATTTGAAACCAGGAGATCATATCCTAACCAACCATCCCCTTGCTGGAGGAACGCATCTCCCAGACATTACCATTATCACTCCAGTCTGGGATCAACATGGCAGCAAGATAATCTTTTACGTTGCCTCCCGAGGCCACCATGGTAAGAGAAGCCGCCTATGAACTGTCACCATTGTCTAACCATTGTTGCAGCGGAAATCGGAGGAATCGCCCCAGGATCTATGCCATCGGACAGCAAGATGCTATACGAGGAAGGCGCCATGACGATGGGATTCAAGGTAGTGTCAGAAGGCCGATTTGACGAGGACATGGTGCGGAAGTTCCTGTATGATGAGCCGGCTTCATACCCTGGCTGCAGCGGCACTCGCACATACAAAGACAACGTCTCCGACCTAAAAGCAGCCATTGCAGCCAACCATAAGGGTGCACAGTTGTTAGAAAGTCTGGTTCGCGAGAACACTCTCGAGGTAGTCCATTTCTACATGGACGCGATCAAAAAGAATGCCGAAACCGCGGTGCGCCAATTACTGAAGACCATCGGCAAAAAGGCAGCCGGCCAGCCCCTCCGATTCTCCGATTTTATGGATGACGGTACCGAAATTCGTCTGGAGATTCGCATCGACGCCGAGACCGGGTCAGCCGAGTTCGATTTCACCGGCACCGGACGCGAGACTTTCAACTGCCTGAACGCCCCCAAAGCGATTGCCCATTCGGCAATCATCTACAGCCTGCGGGCCCTGATCGATGTCGACATCCCCCTGAACCAAGGATGTCTAGCCCCGATCAACGTCATCATCCCCTCGGGCACCCTCATCAACCCCTCCGGATACGCAGCCGTCTGCGCCGGAAACCCCATCACCTCGCAACGCATCACGGATGTCGTTCTGGGAGCGTTCCAAGCCTGCGCGGCCTCTCAGGGATGCTGCAACATCATCTCGTTCGGCATGGGCGGGCTTGACGAGAACGGCAACGATATTCCGGGCTTTGGTGTTGGCGAGACCATCTGCGGTGGCTCCGGCGCTGGTTCAACCTGGCATGGGACTTCTGGAGTCCACGTCCACATGACCAATACTCGGATCACCGATGCTGAAGTATACGAGCTGCGGTATCCGGTTATCCTGCGGCAGTTCTCCATCCGCAAGGGGTCCGGCGGTAAGGGGCTCTACCGCGGCGGAGACGGGGTGATTCGGGAGCTGGAGTTCCGTATCCCCTTGTCGGCTTCCATGCTGAGTGAGCGCCGGGTGTATCGACCGTATGGATTGGCGGGTGGTGAGGCAGGCCAGGCGGGGCTGAATCTGTATGTGAAGAAGGAATTGGATGGGACTGAACGAGTGATCAATATTGGTGGGAAGATGGAGCTGAAGGTGCAGCCGGGGGAGAGAATCATTATTCACACGTAAGTCCAGGGTTCCTGGTTCTGGCCTTTTTATGCTTTGCTAACGACGTGTTCAGACCTGGTGGAGGTGGTTGGGGAGCGCCATCAGAAGAGGACTCTATACCTATTAGCAGTGGGAATAATCCGGAGTTGAACCGGGTGGGGTTTGAGCCACGGGGGAGCGTTCACAATTTCAGCGCTACTGCTGAAGCAGCTTTATAATCTTGGCCTTGGTGGAGAATGTATTGTAGTTTTGCCAGGTTATGATGAATTTTGAAATTCAAGGGATACGAGATTTCACAAGATCCTAGCGGTGAAATCGAAATCATGTGATAGTACAGTGTTTGGTCACGATCGATAGGGAATAGAACACCAACCTGTAAATAGGTTCCAAGTACGCCGAGTTCAATGGCTATATTAGACCTATGTAGACAGATCAACACATTAGAATAACTCGTAGATTAGGAGCTATAGCCAATGGCTGTGAGGATATACTGTATCAGAGTGTGGTGCTATACAGTGGTTTCTTCTACGGAGGATGTATTCACTGACCTCTTTACAGTGAATAGTGAGTGAGTCAATGATCTAGCTCCGCTCTATATATGTAGAGTGCTTAGGTCTGTCAAGCTCGAATTTTTATTTCTTTTACATCTATTCAGTGCCTTCATTATACTCACCCAGACTGTGTCAATCTCCTCGTCGATTATCTCTTACCTCTATAACATACAAATTATCAGCAGCATGCCTGACACAGACGATACAGACGCTGAAAAGCCACGCACACCCACCATGGAAGAGCGATTTGGCACCCTCCTTACCATCAGCCTTGACACTCTCACCACCTTGGCCAGTGAGGTCCGCCGAAAGCTCACAACAGACACATTCACCACCGCTACCGTGATCGACCGCCTCGTGGGCAGCAACAATCTCATCCATGTGGTCGAATTTGACGACAAGCTGCGCTGCATCATCCGTCTGCCTCGCAGCGGCAGACCCGGCCACTTCACCGAGACCGCCAGACGTGCCCTCATTGCCAAAGTAGAAATGATGCGATTCGTCCGCAAGCGAACCATGATCCCCATGCCCGAAATATACGACTTCAACGCCTCAGTGGAGAATATCCTCGGAGCGCCGTACATCGTGGAGAGTTTCATCCCCGGAACCTCAGTTGCGGACGCCTGGTTCGACGCCTCGGGTCCGATGTCATTGGACGAGAAACGGCTGCGGATCCTCGACAGCGTTGCAGAGGCGATGGCACAGCTTCACGGGTTCTACTTTGACAAGATCGGTACGGTGGGGGTTGATGACCAGGGTCGTCGGCGTATGTATCCCTGCTTCTATGTGGAAAAGTCGGAGACAGATATCCGGTATGTGGAGTACGGATCGTACGGGTCAACGGTGGAATTTCTGCGCGATCGTCTGGCGGTCACATCCGGCGAAGGTGTGGGAGACAATGCGTATGATACTGGATGTCGTATATTCTTGGACATGATGATCTCGTGTATGCCGTTGTCGACGAAACGGAGGACGGATGACCGCGAGACGTTCGTGCTGGCAGTGCCGCAATTTGAATCTAAGAATATCCGCATCGACGAGCAGTGCAATGTGATGGGCATCATTGATTGGGATGGGGCACACACGATGCCGCGGTTCCTAGGCTATGCTGTTTTCCCGGGCTGGATCACGAGAGATCTGGACCCAGTAGGGTATGGATGGCCTTATAACACGCGAGAGGATTCTCCGGAGCAGTTGAAACGGTACCGGCTGCTGTATAATCGGAAGATGCAGGGGCTGCTGCGGGGGGTTGGGGATGCGAGGTTCGTGAATAAGACGCATATCTTTGAGGCGATCTTGGCTGCCATTGAGAATCCAGCGGCACGGATGGAGATTGTGCGGACTCTGGTTGCGAAGTCATTTCCGGCGAGTTTGGATACGGCTGCGCGATTGATTGAGGACGCTGGTGATGGGAGTTCCCGCGGCGGGATAGTGAGCGGTTGAGGGGGGGTTTCGAGGCGCTGCTTTCGATTCCTCGTTAGTTTGATGAGGAAAGGACAACTTCGTGGCTTACCTTTTTTTCAATAGTTTGATGGTTTTCTGATGGGTCGCAGTGGTTTAAATGGTGTGGTGGAGTTGAGGCAATTCGGATGGTTAATCAGAGAAGACTCGGCGCAGCGGCATGTCAGATTATCAACTTGATAGTTCGGTTTCCTTCTCAATGTGCAGTGAAATTCAAGCATTACCAACACATTACAAAAAAGCATATCGTTGCAAGGGATGCCTTCTCCACAGCCATCTGGACTAGCGCTTACATGTGCGCCTTGTGATCAAAAAGGCACGGAATTAAGCTTGATCCTGGGCTTATCTCAAGCCCGCTTGCCATTTAGTCTGCCTGTTTTGGGAATGCTACTCGCTATAGATCCGTTTCGACGAATTCTTCGCGAGATGCTAATCCGCCATTCCATACATCCAACCCCCGAGCTAGCAATAATTCCCCAGCATTTATGCTATAAATACAGTAGACCCGTCCAACTCATCTTCCATGTCATCCTCTAATCCGTTCACCTCACCACTCAATATATTCATCATGGACTCTCGCATCCCCAACATGTCCGACCACGCCCTAATCGGGCTGGCCTCACAGCTCCCCCTCAACGCGCCGTCTCCCATCATCTCCATCAGCCCCATCATCCTGCCCATGCCCTCACGCATCACCGACCTCCACCTCAAACTCACCCTCCCGGTGCCCAACACCAACCCCAGCACCCCCCACCCCATCATCCTCCTCTCTCACGGCCACGGCGCATCCAACAACCTCTCCTCCATGCACGGCTACACCCCCCTGGCCAACTTCTGGGCCACCCACGGCTTCGCCGTCATCCAACCCACCCACCTCGCCAGCAAATCCCTCAACCTCCAATCCGAGAAATCCCCCACAGACCCCCTCTTCTGGCGCTCCCGCATCACCGACATGAGCACCATAATTGACCGTCTACCTGAGATCGAATCTTCATACCCGGCCCTCCTTCATGGCCGTCTCGACCACACCCGGATCGCCGTCGCCGGCCACTCTCTAGGCGGACACACAGCGGGGATGCTCCTGGGTGGAACGCTCCTCGACCCAGAGACCAACCACTCCCTCATAAACCTATCCGACCCCCTCATCAAAGCAGGGATATTACTCGCTGCTCCCGGGAACGGAAACAGCGGGGAGGGGTTATCGAAGATGGTTGTGGAGAGGTTTGGTTTTCTGAAGGATTATAGTCTCAGGGAGGTGGAGAGGGCGATGTTGGTGGTGGTGGGGGATTGTGATGATGCGCCGCATCTGACGAGTCGGGGGGCGGAGTGGTATGCGGATGGGTTTTGGGGGAGTAAAGGGGTACAGGAGGGTGGGGAGGAGAAGGTGCTTTTGACGTTGTTTGGGGGAAGGCATTGTTTGGGAGGTGTGTCGGGGTTTGATGCTGCGGAGGCGAGGGAGGAGGAGAGTCCGGAGAGGGTGGCGGTGGTGCAGAGGTTGAGTTGGGCGTGGCTGAGGGCGAGATTATGTGGGGAGGAGGAGGTTTGGGAGGAGGCGTGTAGAGTGTTTGGGGGTTGGAGAGGGTGGGCAGAGTGGAGAGGAAGTAGTTGTTATAGAGTATACATATAGATAAGGTACGGCGATGTGTATTTGATGTTATTATCAGATACTATTCGAATGAAGATTCTGTTGATGATGTATGGCCTTATGGGTCTACTTTGTAGTAGTAGTAGTATGCTTAAAAGAGATAAAGCTCTTTTAGCTTAACTCTATCAATAAAATCAACAATCGTAGTTCTTCCATTTTCAAATATCTATCCTCTGTAGTGGTGCATGTCACATTCCAATGACGTCAGGCATGTAACCAGACATCCACAAGCAGAGGAGTATTATTAGTAGCTTATCTCTCGACAGGATTAGGTGTGCTGTATACCATATCTTGATATTTAAACTAGTTCTGGGAAGGGCTCTGATATGAGAAACAGCAAACGGTATATTCCGCTAGATAGGGGTTTATTAAATGGAAAGAGGCAATGCACCCCTTCAAAGTAAATGACTGCTTCCCACGAGTACGGCAAGAGCCATGGAGAACTGGAACGCCAGCCACGGGACCACTGGAGGTCTCACAAAACAGGGAACACTTCCCCTCATATCATCATCCCGTACTTCAAACACCCATTTGGCGGATATGCGGCACAATGTTCACCCAAGCCATCCTCTTCATCCTCCTGTCTCTGCTACTCTCCTATCTCTTGAACCGGGCCCAGCACTTGCGCTTCAAGCAGTATGGCAACTGGCCACAGCTCACCCCGTCCTTCATTTGGGGGCATATGAAAGTGATCAACGAGTTTATTGTCCGGGGTGAGAGAAAGAGGCATATTGGTACGAGTCATCATTCCCTCTTTCCGTTTGGAGTGTGAGAGAGTTGACGATGCTCCCTAGACATCGTGTTTCGCGAGATCCAGGGATATCTGGACAACCCTCCTCTGGTTCTATATGATCTCCGCCCCTTGCAGTATCCGTTATGCGTGGTCGGAAACCATGAGGTTGCAGAACAAGTATCCCGGAGTACCAAGAGTTTCCCGTATGGCATGGGAAAGTCGCCGTGGATGAGAGCGCTAGAGCCTTTGTTGGGGCCCTATTCTATTATCACGTCTGAGGTATGTCAGTATTCGATTTAGTCTCTTAGATTAATGCTTAACGTCTTAGGGAGAGCAATGGAAGGCTCTGCGCAAGCGATTCAATCCGGGATTTGCGCCTCAGCACCTTTTGACTCTGCTACCATGCATCCTTGACAAAACAATGCGGTTCACCGAGATTCTTGATGGTTATGCTCGCAGTGGAGAGGAGTTCTCGCTCAACGACCGATGCATCGGCCTTGTCTTCGATATCATTGGTATGTCATATGATAACCCTGGCGTGTGCCAAATATTGAATTGCCCCAGGCGCAGTGATCATGGACAAAGACTTCCACGCTCAACATGATGTCAGCAAGCAGGATGAACTCGTCCGCCTCTACCGAGAGCTCACAGCCACATACCGCAGTGGTAGTAGCGTACAATATGTCTCGCTGAACCCGCGTGTGATCCGGCAGCGTCGAGCACTGACTCGGCGCATTGATGGTCTGGTAATAGATCACGTCAAAATCAAGTTCGCGGAGCTCAAAGCCCAGTCAAACGAGAAACCTTCTCGTAGTGTTCTCGCACTAAGCCTGCAAGACATCAACATCTTGAACGATCGGGTCCTCCAGGAGACGTGCCATCAGCTGAAGAGTTTCCTTTTCGCTGGACACGATACCAGCAGCATTCTGCTGGAGTGGGCTTTTTATGAGCTCAGTCGCACCCCGCGCGCGCTGGATACGCTTCGTCGCGAGTTAGACAATATTTTCGGACCGGATTCATCCCCCGCCGTCGTGCAGGAGAAGCTGCTCGCTCCGGGCGGGGATGGACTCCTCAAACGAATGTCATATACTTCTGCTGTCATCAAGGAAATCCTGCGGTTGTACCCGCCCTCGGGATCGGCGAGATATATGCCCCCTGGCACGGGGTTCAACGTTCAGTTGCCGGATGGAAAGACACTATGTCTGGATGGGGTTATCATCTACAACTGTACAACGCTTGTTCAACGAGACGAAGCGGTCTATGGACCAACGAAAGATGAGTTTCTGCCGGAGAGGTGGCTTGGATATATAGACACCGGGCTGGGCTTGCCGATGGATAATCTGGATGATACAGGGAACGGTCCGGTCGCAGCCGATCGAGTCCCTGCCACTGCGTGGAGGCCATTCGAGCGGGGTCCACGCAGCTGCATCGGACAAGAGTTAGCCAACCTCGAGGCACGAGTAATCCTGGCATGTACCGCAAGACGATTCGATTTTATGAAAGTGGGATTAGGGGCGGTTGCGCGGGACAGCACCGGTGCGTTTATTCTGGACGCTAAGGGGCAGTATGAGGTTGAATCGGAGTTGTTCAATGTGGGTTCTTTTCATATCTGTGGACGCAGACGGTCGCTAATATAGACTGTTAGACCATGCAGGTCACCGCTAAGCCGGTCGATGGGACGATGATGAAAGTCCGTGTTGCCGAGCTGTCGAACTGAGCTCGATGTTTAAAACAGGATCGTTATTACTAAGGGATGCTGCTAGAAATGCTTCTTTCTGACTCTTATATTCGTAACTAATATTCAAAACGCATATACTCTCACTCGTTGCAATAATGCAAAGCGACTAATTAAATTGATCCTCATCTTCAGATCCCAAAAGATCAAGTGCTTCCGACGCTGTGATGCGCTCAGAAGGCAGGAACCCCAGCAACCCTCTGATGACCGGCACGAGGGGAGCGAGGTCTGGCTCATTGATTTCCTTGTTGAACAGTCCCTCCAAATCCAGAATCTCATCGCCTGTCGGGAAATCAGTAAGACATTCTAGCATCTGCAGCAACCGAGTCGTGGGCAGGGTTCACTCCATCTCACTCACCCTGGAAGTCCATTCCCTCTTCAAAGGTCTCTTGCATATCATCCCATGTCGGCTGCCATTCCTCGGGCAAGTCCCCCAGGAGGTCAACCATCTCCGCAACCAGAACCTCATCATCGACCTCGGATTGAAATGGGTATGTCCCGAACACGAAAAAGAAAAGCTGGAACAATCTCCAATGAGTACATCTCAGCAAAGCATTTGGTGATTAACGTACCATGCAGCCAGTGCGCCATAGATCCGCCCTGTAATCCGACGTTTCCGTGAAAATTAGTTCAGGAACCCGGGCTGGCCCGGGTTGAGCTAGTTGGGGAGCGATTTCTTCCTGGAAGAAGCCTTCGCCAAGATCCAGAATCCGGATATCCTCATGGAACTCCTCTAGCCAGTCCTCCCAATTGACTGGTTTGATCAGAGAAGGTGGGAAGCCTTTGTGCAGCGGGGTGCCATCGAGACGTGTCACCGGTTCGTGCTCCGGAGAGCCAAAGACGGCAAAAATGATGCTTTCCGATACATAAGACAGACTCTTCCCAGCGAAGACAATGTTTCTGCCGCTGATATCTGATTCTACTTAGCAAAGGTGCTTGGGACGACCGTGAAGTTAAGCGCTTACCTAGCTGCCCCACTCCCGCGGCATGGGCAAACTCAACCGCCTTGAGAAGCTGCTTCGACAGTTTAAGGATGGTTTGCGGATCGAGGGAATCGGAAAGCTCGCGGTAGTCACTGATGATGCGATCGACGGTCGGACCGATCATCTCGAACACGAGACATTGGTGGATGCCGTTGGGGCCGTAGTGGATGAAGGCGTCGAGGAGGTGGCAGATGTACCTCGACCCCAGACCGTGTGGGGCGGCAAGTTTCTCCAGCTGCTCAAGGTTGGGGAGTTCTTGGGAACTCTGCGAGGTGTCGGCCGTTTTGATCTTCAGTGAGACCCATCGATTTTTCCTGGGGGTGTTAATATATATGGGGGCTGTGAAAGGAGGAGTTTCATGGCGCACTGGATGTCATGAGCCAGCCAGAGGGTGGAGTATCCTCCCCACCCGAGCTTATGGTGTATCGTGTAGCGGCCATCTTTAAATGTGTCGCCCAGATGGACTGGCAGGTAGCCCCCGAATTTGTATCCCGAGAGCGGCTCCTGAGTGTAGATAATGTCGCTGGGATAGTCACTCGGCGAGTCCTCCATGATTGAGCGTGAAGGGGATTGTGAGAGAAAGTGAGAGGGGAGGAGGGAGTCGAGGAGGGACACACGGCGTTTAACAGTTGACGGTTGACATGGGGGGGGGGGGGGGGGGGAGGGGGAGGGGAGGGAACAACCCTGTCACCCAGCAAGCGCCGTGCGACTCAGCCCCAGCACTAGCACGACGCGGTTCGTCCGGAGCGCCAGTTTATCTCGTTGGATTCGATCTACGGGATATTGTACGGCGTATATTCGTTCCTCCCCCTTCTCCTCCTGTATACTATTCTAAAAATAAGCTTTCCGGTGCGGAGTCACAAAGGCTATCCACTCTCGAGCCAGCATTCCAGCCCAGGACCCGCCCACCGCCATGACGCAAAGCGGTGAGGGGTACTGCCGGCACAATCAGGTATCCATGATCCATGGCCTTCCCGATCGGGACGGTGCCCACTCTGTTAGTTGTGCCCACTTTCGACTGCCCACTTCCCAGCCACGCATTTGTTGCCCCCCAACGTTGTTTAGTTGGCCTGGCATAAACCATTGTTGATCAGTGCGTCGGTTATTTAGTGCCGCTATGATCTGCAGTTGATCCTTGTCATTTCCTTTCTGTGAGTTCTGTCACCTTGATGGCCGACATACCACGGACATCACCATCGGGCAGTTGTGTTGCGTAGACCTGGTCTATTAGACGCAGTTATACTCTGTATGTTCGGGTTAAATCCCCCCTGTCAGGTCTGGAAGTTAATTTTGAATTAGTTCTAAGAACTGCATCATGCTGTTCGCATCCCTACTGGCCTGCGTGCTCGGGCCATCAATCGCAGGACAGGCCTCCGCAAGCAATATCTCGATACCCAGCGACCCCCAAGATGCAGACGCAATCCTCCAGCACAATGCCCTCATCGAGTCATATCTGTCTCAGAAGCCTGTCCGTGGTGTTCGAAAAATGACCGACGACGAAGGCGAAAAGTTCTTCCTCGACTACTGGCTGTTCGACGAAGCCTATACAGCAGGCAACACATCAGACATCGATCGCTCGTTGTCGCAAATACAGCCATCTAATCTTAACACCACCGAAAAGGTTGACTTTCAACCTCGCTCGTATCCCTTCCGACCCTCGTACCCGAGCGACCTTGAGGTCGACAGGCGCGGGTGGAGCGAGCATTTTTCACCGCTTCTTCGACGAGAATTCAAATGCCCTACCGGCACATACGGGTGCACGTCGATTGATCGAGCCGACAGCTGCTGTAGTACAGGTGACACATGCGTCCTGGTTACTGACACTGGATCTGGAGATGTGGGCTGCTGTCCGAAGGGAGACACTTGCTCGGGGACGATCGGATCATGTCAGGATGGATACGCCAGTTGTTCGTCATCTTTGGGCGGAGGATGCTGCATCCCGGGATATGAATGTGTTTCTGGAGGATGTAAGTGACCATACCTTTCCAGAAACAATCCCTGCTTCGCATCGAGACTAACTGCTCAGGTATGCGGGTCTACACGATCACGGTGACCATAAGCTCAACCGTCATGCTCTCGACATCTACCCACACAATCCCTGCAACCACGGCAACGCAATCGACGGGCGACTTGGTCCCTCCCGCTCGACCTACTACTGTCTCCACCGCCACGAACTCCGAGACCACCAAGACCACCAGTACAGCATCGGTCTGTCCGACCGGGTTCTACGCCTGCTCGGCCGTCTACCAGGGAGGATGCTGCCGAACGGGTCGCAATTGCGACACGACGGACTGCCCCGCAACGCCCTCGACGACTTTGACAAGCGATGGAGTAACAATCGTAGTCCCAGTGGCCACGGCCACAGCCACGGACACGATATCGGCATTGACAACCAGCAAGGCAGCACATTGTGCAAGTGGCTGGTTCAGCTGTGCCGCGACTGTCGGAGGAGGTTGCTGTCCGACAGGATACCAATGCGGAACCAGCTGTACCGCAGTGTCAACGGCGACGCAGACGGTGGCCAAGGAGCAGGCCACGAGCGGGGGTGAGAAACGGGGGTGGCGGTGGGGAATGGCGGGGATGGGCGTGCTGGTGGCCCTGGGGAATGGGATATGAGATTTGCACGATGAAACGTATGTTATGAGTCATGTATAGACACGATAATGAAGTAAGTGCGTGCGAGATGATGAAAGCGGCCACCGGTATAGCAACAGTCAGAGAGAGATTCCGAATGTCAAGCCCCGTGGGGCGGCACGTGGGGCGGGATTATACCCGATCGGGCGACATCCCGGTGAGTCCCCGACCCTCTCCGACTCCGGCTTCCTCCCTCGATAATCTCCATCGCTCGTCTCCTCTCTTCATCTTTCTCTTCCCTTCCCCTCCCCCGACTCGTCTTCTCCGCCTGTTGTTCGTCTGCACGCCTTCCCACGGCCAATTCAGCACCATGTCGAGCAACCCCAACCAGAAGCCCTTGCCCTTCGGCTACCAGTTTGTTGCTGGTGCCGTCGCCGGTGTGTCCGAGGTACGTATGGTATGATCCATTGACAGGCCGGGCACGCGACTAACTTCACCCTAGATTCTTGTGATGTGCGCAATTCCCCCCCAAAACACACCCTCACATCCCCACGACGCCAAACTGATCCCCGCTCCAGGTACCCCTTGGACGTCGTCAAGACCCGAGTGTAAGCGCCCCCTCTCTGTGTCACTCAATTGCTATCTCGTCCACTAACAACTCCCCTCAGTCAACTCCAGAAGGGAACCGCGGTCGCTGGTGAAGAATACTACAATGGCATGTTCGACTGCATGCGCAAGATTGTCAAGAACGAGGGGTTCGTCAATCCATTCTGCCTCCCTACCCCAACCCCTCCACTAACCATCTCACCTCCCACAGCTTCTCTCGTCTATACCGTGGTATCTCGGCCCCCATCCTGATGGAAGCGCCCAAGCGTGCGACCAAGTTCGCTGCCAACGACAGCTGGGGTGCGTTCTACCGTAACCTCTTCGGTGCCAAGGAGCAGACCCAATCCCTCGCCATCCTGACCGGTGCGACCGCCGGAGCGACCGAGTCTTTCGTCGTGGTTCCCTTCGAGCTGGTCAAGATCCGTCTGCAGGACCGCGCCTCTAAATACAACGGCATGCTGGACGTGGTGAAGAAGATCGTCGCCGCAGAGGGACCTCTGGCTCTGTACAACGGTCTGGAGTCCACACTCTGGCGTCACATTCTCTGGAACTCGGGTTACTTCGGTTGTATCTTCCAGGTGCGGGCGCAGCTGCCCACCCCCGAGCCCGGCAACAAGAGCCAGCAGACGAGAAACGACCTGATTGCGGGTTCGATTGGTGGAACGGCCGGTACGATCCTCAACACGCCCATGGATGTCGTCAAGTCGCGGATTCAGAACACCTCCAAGGTGGCGGGTCAGACCCCCAAGTATAACTGGGCCTGGCCGGCCGTGGGCACCGTGATGAAGGAGGAAGGATTCGGAGCCCTGTACAAGGGCTTCTTGCCCAAGGTGCTGCGTCTGGGACCGGGAGGTGGTATCCTCCTGGTCGTGTTCACCGGAGTGATGGACTTCTTCCGGAACATGCGCGGAGAGTAAACTCTTCCACTTATTGTTCTTCCCTTCCCTTCCCTTCCCTTCCCTTCCCTTCCATTCCCTTCAATTCTACCAATATATCTATCTCTTCATAGAAATAGAGGCACTCACGGCCCGGACTTGTGGGAGGTGATACTTTGAATAGAGATATCATGTTGTTTTTTCTGTTCATCACGATACGATTGTCAAATACCGAGTAAATTTCCTGCAAAAGCACTTATTTACATTTGGGGTCTCCCTACTAAGATACTATCTACTACTATTCCCTTAGACGCACGTGACCAACACATGATTGGTTGAGTGGTTGAGCGGTTCTCCTGCATAGTATTCAAGAACTGTGTGGATAAAGCTGGAGTGCATGTGACATGTCATATTGTTCTGCGGTCCATGGATCCATCCATCCCAGGGATTCCGGTACCTACAGTAGTAGTTCGGTTCGGTCAATCATGGTTGAGGAATTGGGGACTGCATGGCGCTACCCGTTCGGTTTGCTGGTGGGGGGTCTAGAACCCGGATGTGGTAGGGAACGTGCAGGACACGTGAGCAATCATTTATTCATGTAAATACCATCATTATGCAGAGGAAAAGAAACAGAGCATTGGTAGATAGAGGAGAAGGTACATGCACCGAATGCACCACTGTATCAATGAATCAGGCTATGTAAATCAACATGGAAATCTCAGCCGTAAATGACATCCGAAATGGGGTCAAAAGCCAATAAAAGCCAAAAAAAAAGATTAATGATGTGATATGAGAGAACGGGAAACGGGAAATGGGAAAGGGAAAAGGGTATCGATGTAAAACCAGATGACGCAAGCAAGGTCGTATCCGACCTTGGTTACCATGCGCAAAGAACCACAAGAAAAGTGCAACCCAAGACAGCGAGCTCGATGAGAAACAGACGACACGAAGAATAACTAGTTCGGACAAGAAACCCAGCAAAAGAAGTTAATCGAAATCAAGAACCAGGACCAAAATCAAACAAGAACCGAGACGGTCAATCCTAGACAAGCACAACTAGAACCACACGCGAGGAAATTAAAGCCAACGACGAAAGCAACGAAAGTTCGACTGGACCATTAGCCCCGATGAAGCGCAAAGACTTCCGCGTACGCCGGTCAACCACCTGTCCGTTTGACGCCTTGTATGCAACAGGTCATGTCATGCATTTAGAATAAATGGAAGACAGAGCTTCGACAGTGAGGGGGGGATGCATCTAATTCATTTCCATCGCATACTCATCCTCCTCTTTGAAGCTCATCCCGGCGTGACCCGAGCTGCTCCAGTACTGAGCCTGCCCGGAGCCTCCGCCGTTGCTGCTGCCGCCGCTGTTGAACGGCGGGCTCAGGCTCTGTGGACTCAAAGCTCCATTGCCCGCCACGGAGTCTCCGGCCATATTTGTGTGCTTTGGCACTCTGAGTCCGCTTCCTGGCGCCCTGCTGTAACTGAAAGAGGTAGGATCATTCTTCTCCAGCGCATCCAGAATTTCGGTCCGCATGCGCTTTTCCTCCTCCGTTTGCTCGAATGGCCAGGTGCCTCCAAGGCTGCTGATCAACTCTGCCAGCTCCGACTCCTGTTGGAGCTTGACATGCAGAGCCCACATCAGGTCTCGCATCCAGCCTACGGCGCCGTTGAGAATATCACCTTTGTTTGGGCCCTTCTCCTTCTCCTCAATTGGCAGACCCATGGTAATGTTACCAGCAGTTGCCCGACGGCCATTGCCCCCGGCCAGCAGAGAAGTGGCGGCATTCGAAGGGGCCCCGGTGGCAGACATTGCTGTGTTATTTACCAGCTGCTTTCGGACTTTGTCGTCCTCTAGGCGATGCTGGGGAACTAGATGGGAAAGATCTTGGATGCGTTCATTGATGTTGTCACGCCGGCGGCGCTCGACCAGATTGTGGGAAGCCCGACGACGACGTCGCTTCGCCTCCTGAGACTCCAGATCCTGGGCACTGCCCGGCATGTGCGCATCAACCTTGGCCGGCAAGGAAGCATGCTTACCAGATTTGAGAATTTCAGAGATGCCTGCATGGTGCGAGGGGTGGCCTGGAGAAGAAATCGGTGACTCCACGAAAGAATGTGCACTACCTGGCGTGCCGTCCCATTGGTTCGATAGGGTCTTCTGGTGGCGGTGCTGGAGGCCTGTCCGAATGGGCTGGGTAGGGAAACTTCCGGACTCCGGGGTTCCGAGGGTCAATCCACCAAGGGCAGGGGTCTTGGGGGTCATCGGGCTGCGTGCATCGAGCGATGCGCGGTCAACGGCCTGCAAACTAGGCCTGCCTTTGGAGCTGAGGTAGCTCTGTTCGAAATGGGATCCACTCTGGAGATGAGAGCCAGGTTGTCCGGGTTGGCTCATGTTCCGGAAGTGATCATAGTTGAAGCTATGCATGAAAGGGCTGTGCATGGGAGCCCCCTCCGGCGTGTTGGAAAACATCTGGGACATCTGACCCGGATGACTCATGGACATTCCAGCGCTCGAGTGTTGGTCTTGCATGTAGTTCTGCTGCATTCCATTCTGCCCGTTAATCTCCAGATCCAACAACTCGTCTGTGTCAATACCCGAATTTCCGAAGTTAAAATTCTGTTGTGAGGTAAAAGGGTAGGTCATGAATCCACTGCCCTGCATGCTAAGGTCCGACGGGTCAACCCCTTCATTGGGGTTCCCAAATTGGTTGGACACGGAGTAGCCGGATTGCGACATCATGAGGAAATGGCGTTCTCTGCTGCGTTCGTCAGGCTCGTTCTTGATGGAAATGCTCGTCTCCGTCATACTGCAGCTAGCTCGAGCAAGCTCCAAGCAGAGAGCCGACCGCTTCTTGTAGGGAAGTCTGACGGTCCAAGATCGAACTCACGGGTGATTGTAGTGATTGTAGATTAAGGGATCAAAGACGGCTAGACCCCAAGCTTGATTCGGAGCGAGATGTGCTCCAAGGGTAAGCGCTTCGCCTCTCCGCGGTATGGTAAAGAGGTCAGGGAGTGATCGAGGGTTGACAGGCGGTGAAGTAGACTCATCAACGAGATTCGACGAGAGTGGCGAAGAGAGAATCTGACAGATCGAACAAGACTTCGTTAGTCCTCCATCAACCAGGGGAAAATTGGTGCAGTAACGAGCCACGGTAATATTTAGGGAGGAGAAAACGGGGGGTGGCTCAGACCACCACAAATCAGGGAGGGTATCGGGTTACCAACCTGGAAGAAGGCTGCGAAGATCTATCCAGTAAACAGAAACAGCGCTGTAGACGCCTCCTAGATAAGTTGAAGATATGATTGGTTCTAAACCCGGGAGATGTTGGAAGTAATGCGAGGGGTGTTCGCGATCAGATTTGACTGGTCGCGGTGGGCAAAGTTGTGGTGAAGGTAAGAATTGAAAGCGGACGCCTCGGAAAATGCCAATGCCACTATCGTGGGCGGAGTCCGAGATCCAATAGGCGACCTCGTCGATCCTCAACCGCACAGAGAGGAAAATCCGACTGTGCAAAGAGTCCTGGTGTAAGCGACCGGAGTACGGGAAAAGAAGTAACTGGAGAGGAAAAAGAAAAGACAAGACAAGACAAGACAAGAGGAGAATCAAAGGAGGGGACGGAGTTGCGTGGCCATAAGCGAGGCAAAATAAAGGAGGGAAAAGGCGGCCAGATGGGGCCGCGGAGGCGATGGGCTGAAAGCCTGGAACAATGGGGGGGGGGGGGGGGGGGGGGAGAGAGTGGGAGAGGGAAGCAGAGGGAAAAGGAAAGCGATAAGAGCAGGCTGTGCCGGTGAGAGTGGAGGAAGCCGAGCTGAAGAAGAAGAAGAGAAGAAGATAGCCAGTCGGAGTGGGGGAGCACGTTGCTGGCGAGAGAAATCTTTTGATGCGGTTTTGTCTGGGGTAGATAGAGAAAGTGATGGGGAAGAAGTGGAGGGGCGAGCGATGGAGAGGAGACGGCGATTGATGATTGATTGATTGATGGGCTGAAACAGGCACCGTGGGGGGGGAAACGGAGGAGGCAACACAGCCTGGAGGCACCCTCCAGCGGGCGGTCGGCGGCGGCAGTATGGGGGGTGGAGAATAGGAGATCCCATCGTTCATTTGCCCCGGAATCTGCCACCCGCTGCGATCCAGTCGGCCTCCCCGTGGTTCCCCCCTTCCCCGGCCCTGGCAATGGCGAGCATGGTGTTACTGAGTGTGACGATAATGATGACGCTGATGGACTCCTCCATCCTCCCCGTTTCTCATTCTCCCCTCTTTTCTCGCCGAGTACCGCCCATCCCCCGCTTCTCTCCAACCGGGAAGATCTCTCCGGCTCGGGGTCCGTGAGACAAGAATGAGCCTTCCAAGGTTGCCCCGCGGTAACTCAACCACCCCTTGGGATGTCGGAGCAAATTGGAGCGTCCCATAGGCGCCCTCCCACTTACTTCCCGCGAACTGTTCGACCTTCGACCCGCGCCCAGTGGGTATCACCCTCCCCCCGCCGCGAAAGCATGCAGGGGTTGGAGCCCAACGGCGCTGTGCTGCAACTTTCGGTTGTTCTCCCCCAAAAACAACTCGGTTGAGGGCATGCCAACCCCGGCAGTCTCCTTGCCGGGCATCGCATCCTGGAGAAATGAGGAGTAACCCGTACCCCTCCTTTTCTCTCTCTCTGTTGCTCGAATGGAAAGGGTGGTGCTCAGGCTCACATCTCCCTCAGGCGGGCACCCACTCCCCAATGCGACAGGGCTTTAGATGATATGATGAAGGACAAAAACGGCCAAGAATAATGTGCGGGACAATAGAAAAGCTTGCTTACCAGATGTCGAGGTGTCCTGGTCTAAGTACGTTAAATCAATCTTTCTTCACGGACCTGCAACAAGAGGCATAAGTATATGTCAAACCCTTCGAGTTGTGGTGGTGAGAACAGGGCAGTTGATGGCGCAAAGTTCAGAGATAGAAAATACAAAAGGAATAAGTGTTCCTCCAATATAAGAGAGGAAGAAAGAGTCAACAGTGAGGCTCAAGCCTCGGGGCCAGGCAGAAGTGAAAAAGCAAAGAACTGGAGGAGTAACAATGAAAGTGCCCATGAGCAGCCTTATCTCAGCGGCCGGAGGGGCTTATATGCGAAAGTATCGATAGCCCGGGGCAAAGGAAACACAAGTATTTAGCTGTGATTACTTACCTGCGCCCTGTTCAAGGTGAGATGCCGCAACCGTGAGGGGTTCGTGCTCAGCAACAGACTGTACAGCAGGGTTACTACAGACCACCGTAAACAGGCAATTCGCGGGAGTCAATTCGGCGCCGCCGGCCGACGCGATGATTGAGCGGGGGAGGGTAGACTCACGGTGTAAAGTGGGATGAGAGTATGAGCAGCAATAGATCAAATCAGATCCAAGGGAAACGAACACCCAGGCTGGAGGGACGAGGGGAATGGGAGACTTTAAAGACTCCCGCGGCGTTCTTCACAGCCTCTCATTTGATATATCACAGTCAAGGTCATGCAGGGCGTCGATCCTCAAATCGACGAGGCTTAACAAGCCATCTACGGCGATTACGTGCGTAAACCTGTTCTGCAGCGGGAGTAGAATGCAAGTAAATTAAATCAATATTCATTTATTCCAGAGAAAGAATTAAAATAAAGTGGCTTAAAATAAAAAGGGAAAATTACAGAAGAGCGACTACTTAATCAATTACCGTAAAGGAGGGAGGGAAGGAAAGGGCACGATCCAGTGGCGAGGAAGCTAAGCAGAGGAAGCTAAGCAGAGGAAGCTAAGCAGAGGCAGCTACTGTAAGTATGTAAAGATGGAGGGGGTGTGGAAGTCGAGTAGGAAAGAAAACATACCAATACACGCAGAAGAAAGGGGGGCGTGTGGTTGGTGGAGAGGAGGGAGGGGGAGTACTCTACTAGAGACGGTCAGAGAGCATCGATCAAGGAGGGTAGCACCGTCCGGATGGAGGAGGATAACGACCATCCCGATCCCATGAGCAGCCAGGTACTACTATATTTGTCACCTGTCCCTTTTTGTCAGGAAAAGAACTCCATGACTCACCCGGGTCAGCCTCTAGGAGGGGATCCCCATCGCTATCCGGTTTATTATCACCCATCCCATCCCGAGTCGGGTGGGCTGCTACCTATTATCTCGTCGCGCCATCCTCCGTACTAGACTTCCGTCGTATCAGGTTGACGCTAAGAATCATTATCGTCGTCGGACTTACCACCCGACGCCTGCGATAGGATTAGGAGTACAGGGATATCTACTAGATAGATACTGTGTTCTACTATGGCTGTACTATACTTCCTACGGATAGGAACCCACCCGGGAATGTATCAGATGCCAGACTAGGCAAGCCCCAAGCATACCAGATCATTCACCCTGCTAGGCGGACTAGTGACCATGGAGCGTGAGATTAGAAAAATCATGGTTTTTTTCTTCTTAAAAAAAGAAACGATGACATCATTTCCAGCTGGTGGGGGACTCTAAATTGTAAGAAACGGTCGGGGTGAGAATTTAGAACCGCCCGTGTTGGTAAGTATACCGCGCCAACCTGCCGTAGCGCTCCAGGGCGGGTATCGGGGAAAGGAACGGATGATCGTGGCGTACCATGTGGAAAGCGAAGATAGAGGAACCAGATCCCCTTCCAACTACATCAATCACACTCACAACACCCTCGAACTTGTAAATGATCAAGGTCGGGATCGCTGGACGCTAATAGGATCGACGAGCGGGACAGAACACCGACTTACCATGGAACACCATACGATGTTATCGTGGGTTTAGTGCCAAACGGACACTCTACCGGTACAGAGTACTACTGCTATTACCCGTATCTCCTCCGTATCTTATAGCCTTTCAGAGATACGATACGGTCAGGCAAGCCTGGCTCGGCTTCGCCTGTCAAAGCGCCCGTCCACGTCAAGGAGTACGAGGAGGATGAGGATGGAGCCGCCTGGTTGGGAACTTCCAAGACTCCATCCGAAGCAGTCAGACTTCCAGAAGAGACCCCCCAGCGTCCGAGCGTCTCCAGGTTGGGGCTGACACAGACAGACACAGACACAGAAGGCGGTCCGTGACACCGTGCAGCCTGTCGCTTCCCGAGAAACAGTGTGCCGGTCTTCGCCGTCTGATAGGCCTCTTCTCCAACTATGGGGTGGGGTTGGCTCCAAGCGATGGCGTTCCAAACGCTGGCCTTGGTTTAATTTCCTATTGTTCCTCCCTCTCCCTCTCTCGGCGGCGCTCCATTCTCCGCCGTGATTCCGAGCAGTCTTGATCATGCAGCTCCTCGATCCTCGATTGACGCGCACCACGACAAGATTGCTACAACCATTCCATCATTTCCCTTTTCGATCTCCACGATTATTTGAAATGCAAGCCATCAGGAATGTGGAGGGGGACAAGAGAGCTTTCATCTAGCGAGTGGGAAAACAATTGAGCTGCTCTTGGAATGCTGTCAAAGTAGCTCACCAATCACTCCTCAGCATCAAACCAATCGGTGGCCTTGATAGACCGAAAGCGGCCACCAGCAGTGATTAGACTGTCGACTCTGGTACGGGGTGCCGCAGACCCGATGGGTGGTATGTCACGATCCAACCAGATACACCCAGTACAGCCGACTGACTCGAATTCCTGCACCGATCGTTATGTCGGCCTCCCCCAGCGGAAGATAATGTGGTATGCCACACCGCGTCTACATTGCCCACGATGATACCATCGTACATACAGCTGCTGGTGGAATGACGAGAATGGATGACCGGAGTCAGGCCATCCGGTCGAATCTGCCAAATGCGGCAGCCAGAGTGGAAAAGCGCGAGGAATGAACAGCATTGGTTCCCGCAAATCGTCCCCGTCCCGTCCCGTCAAGGTTCGGAGGGCATGGCCGATATCCACGGTTACTGCAAGGGAGTTGCGGTACGTATCTGATGGGGGGGGGGGGAGGCGATGGCAAGAGCTGTTTCGCCCCATGCTTCCCCGCCGTCCTTTTTACGTGCAGATGCTATAGGACCTAGTAGCTACTAGCTACTTCTAACCTGCAGGCTAGGAAGCTACACTTCTTCCGGGAACTTGTGACGTTAATCGTACCATAACGGGTTCTTGTTTATCTGCTTCAAAGTACAGGAGGCTTATTGAGCAAAATACCTACAACATTCAGGTCGAGCTGAGACATGGGCCCCCCCCTCGAACTTACTTAGCAGCAGAGGGCTAATTATCCGGCTGGCAACCCCCCTTCTCTTGAGACTAGCACTGGCCTAGTGCTTGGAGGAGATAAAGCTCGCAGCTGGAGTCTCTATCGGAATGACATGGTAAATCACTCACATATACTTTTGACTTTAGCCAGTCTTAGGCTGCCATGTACGTAATGTGTCTCTCCCTGGAGTTGCCTGATGCAACTTAACTAAGGATTTATCGGCTGGAACGAGTATCTTAGTGCAGATACACCATGGATAGGTAGACTGTACTGAGGTCCAAGTAGGCTTCTGCATCGACGGCTGCTCTAACCAGGGTTGACTGGCCTAGGAGACGAGCCAACCGGAATTGGGCTTCCAGAGCGCCACCGGTCCAACCAAGGCCTCCCCGCTTCTCATTCGACAGGCCGAAAAGATAGCACCGGAAGAGCAATGCACCTTCTCAATCCTAAGCAGGTTTTCCTTGGAGTCAGTCCCCTCCTAAGGAGGACTAGTAGTGGTCGTGTCTTGACCTGGACGAGCTGCTGTCGCTACTAGTGGTTAGGTATGGTTCCGCTGTTACCGTATGGTAAGAACAGGCCCTGGTCAGCGGAACAGGCGCTAAACGGGTTTAACCCCATGGGCGGTGTGGTCAAACTCTCCAATGGTCTCAAGCACGGAGGGCAATGCTCCCGCGGTCAGCCAATCAAATGCATCCAGGCTGCCCGCCATGGCGCGGTCTCAAACAGCCATTGGTGGAGCAACAGCTCAGCTGGGGTCACCAGCTCGGTTTAGGCTTAGTCCCATCACCCGGACACCGTCCCGGTAGATGAGAGCGATGATTGGCTGCCGAGGCAGTCCACCCCAGCTTGCAGGAAGGAACGAACTCCCATTCCAACCTGCGATCCCGATAATGGGCTGCTGCTCACCACCGATATTATCACGACATCCGTGGGGAACGACCACCACCGTTCAACGGCTTTCTTTTGTGAGAGATCAACTCCGACGCCAGCTTGGTATGTAACCCTACTTTGAGCCTGCCGCTGTCTCGCCGTGGTGATTTGGGGAGCTCGGTGCCTGCCTGCCTGCCTGTCTCCTACCTTCATCGCGACCACCTGCTCACTCACCAACGCCCACCCACACCCACACCCACACACACACACACCTTCCCCCCCTCCCCTCCCTTCTGCTTCCCCTCCCCCTCTCGTCTTTGCTCGACCTCCTCCTTCCCACCCCCTAAAGTCAGATGACGACTGGCTAATCTTGCAGCCTGTGTAGAGCCGATCTCTGTCTTGAAAATAGGGTGGCCCCAGCGTTACGCCATCCAGGATACTCTCAACCCCCATCAATCGTCATCGTCATCATCTTGCAGCGTCCTCCCCCTCCCTCCCATTCTCCGGTCGGCGCAGCTCCTCACCTTGCCGGGTAATTGGCCTATCGATCTCTACATTCCTTGCGCTTGGATGGGCGACTAACCCCGATTCCTTCTTGTGGGACTGCCTGGTCTATAGAACTGTTACATCGGTCCTCGGAGATACTGTTTCAGTCTGCGCTACTGCCGGGCGTACCTTCTCGCAGGTGTCTCTCTCTAAGAATAGGCCGGCAGCTTCAGACACGGATTCCTCTCGGGGGGGTGGTTACGATCGATAACACGACCTTTACGAATCGGGCAAGAGGGCGATCACAAGCTTATCAGCTTCACTCTGCGAGAGACCAGTGGACCACCACCAGCCTAGGATTCTATTAGCGGGCTCTAGGTTTGTCCCGTGCCCAAGCTCCTCGGGAGTCTAGTCCGGTTGCGCAACAGTCATCTGGCCCGCTCTAGTTCGGTCCTATCACCGCCTGTTTCGCTCTCCCCCGTCGTCTCCCCCCTCCTTCACTGATATCTGCAGATCATCTGCACGCACATATTGGTTTCCGTCGTGCATAGTCCCTGCAGAGCCTTCCTCACCTTGTCACCGCAGTGTTGCTCCCCCAGTGGTCGACTGGCTGTGCACACTAGCCCGGTAGCATCATTGTCTGCAGCCGAATCCTCTGCTTCCCTTTCATCCTCTCCCTCACAACCGGGGTGTAACTAGGCTCGACAGGGAAGCGAATAGCAGCCATGGCGTCTAATACATTCCGCGATTCAGTCAACTCCCTGGGCTGGTCTCGGAGAGACCCCGATCTCCCGGCCCGCACCAACTCATCGAACACCCCCATCCTATCACGGTTACAGTCTTGGAATCCATTTGGCCAAGGGGAGGGTTATCTGCAACTGCCCACTCACGAAGCTCCAGGAGCTCCTCTTCCCGCCGCAAGTCGCCGGGAGGAGGAAGATACTTTCTTTGCCTGTGAGTCCTCCGAACGCATGACCGATTTTCCGCAGAGATGCCCTCTTCCTTGATTTGCTGCACTGCCTGGTCCAGGTGACAGAGACTCAGTTCCTGCGTCTGGCTGGGTTTCACGGAAGCCCTAACAATAATGGATGATGTATTTCCCCGTCTATCTATCTACGAGGCTGTACCTTCTCGACCACTTCTGAATTTCCTTTTTTGTTTTTTTCTTTCTTCTAATTTCATTTATTGTTCCGCTTCTATGCATTTTCTATCTTTCCTGTCTCGCGTTAATTCCTCCGTCTTTAAACTTTTGCCTAATGCTAATCATACATTCCCTCTACAGTAAGTCGATGGGATCGGATGCTCATCTTCATTGCATGCAACCTTGGCGCCGCCGTCTGTTTCCTTCTTTGCTTTTTCCTATTCCCGGTGTTATCGCTCAAGCCCCGCAAGTTTGCCATCCTGTAAGTTGCTCTCTAGACCCCGGCTGATCCTCTGAAACCCCAAATACACCCCCTACTTGACAACCCGGGGAGGCACGAGGCGGTGGAGTGCTTGTCATGCCCTCCTGGCTCAGGAGGATGCACCATGCATGTCCGATCCGGCTACATTCCAACGTCGGTGCTGAAGCTCGTCACGCCTCGCCCACATTACTTGCCAAGAACTCTTGTTGTGAATCTGTGGCTGACCGAACCGGTTTTCTCTCTGGAATAGATGGTCGGTTGGTTCCCTGCTCTTTCTCCTATCATGGGCGGTCCTCATGGGACCCCTGGTCTACGCAAAACATCTGGTCTCGGGACCACGCCTGCCCTTTACGGCGGCCTATTTTGGCTCGATCGCCATGACCTTGTACTTTGCTATCGGAGTAAGCACCCCTGTTGTTTTGGCCCCTACCAAATTTCCCAGGCTCTCCCATACCACACCTTGTCGAGGATGCCTGCACTACTATCTGCGCGCGCACCCCCCTGCGATCGCGTCCCAACCTGTCGTTCGAGGATCTCGCATATGGGGTCGTGCGCGTACACTCGGAGCCTTCAGCCGACGATATGACATCATCATGCACCTCCACCCCGGTCGTGGATATGATCTCTCGTATCGTCCTGCAACAGTAGCAGGTTGAATGTGCATACGCTACTGTCGACCCCAGTCGGCCCGTGCACAAAATACAGTCGAGATAGCAGTCACTAACCTTTCTTGTGTCGTCCAGCTCCATTCAACCCTCTTGACACTCGTGTCGTCACTGTTTCAGCTCGCTGCCCTGCTCTGGTACCTTGTCAGCTACTTCCCCATGGGTAGCACTGGACTGCAATTCATGGGAAGATTCGGTGCTCAGCGTGTCACTGCGTGGATGACCAGCTGATGCTGTCGACATCTCCATACAACCGGAGACCGGACTATCTCGCCTTGCCCCTCTGACCGTGCATACAATGTATAATCAATTCCCTTTTGGTTGCATGGTCCATCATCATAGACGTGAGTTTGATGACAGGTATACGTTACTATTGTACAGTTCACTATCCTACTACATATAATACAAACAACTCATTACGATAGAATCATTATAGCAGGGATGTCCAGTGAGGACCTGAGAAGCTAAAGAGGCGGTCTTTGGATCGTAGGCTGGTCCATGGGTGCGTAGATCACTACATCCTGAGCAGTTCATCATCTGTTTCTCGACAGTTCTGAATAAGATATCTCTCATTAGACAGCCATGTAGCACCTATCCTTCCTATCACCGTAGTTGAACTGGACATGTATGGCTCCAGGACATCCCATGCTTAACGATAAGTGCTCCGTAGTGTCCTCAATTAACTTGCGACTTATGTCGCGGACCCAGTATAATATTCTTAAATTGTCTCTGAAAAGCAGGCGAACACTCAGTTCATTAAGTTATAAGCATGATAGTAAGGCCAAAGTTCTTTTCCGCTCAAATTGTATTCATATTTATGAAACACTAGTAATCTAGTACTTTTTTTCTTTCATATCATTAATCATGACCCGTCATCAGTTATTACTTATTTCCGGCTCATCACCACTCCCACATTTCCGTGCACCACCTTGACGCCTGGGATCTCGGCTTCCCAGAGACCTGTCTCGCCTCCTGAGCCGACTTCATGCCACCATTTCAGCAAGTCATTGCTCTCTTTGGGCTTGACGTCGGTTGAGACCGTGCCTACGGTGACATGCGGGGTTTCGTTGGAGCATGGCCACTCTGCCTGGTTCTGGTCTTCTGGGGGCATGATCCGCGCTACGAAGGCCATGAGGCGGCCGTCCCAGATGAGACGCTCCAAGCGCACGCGAGCCGGAGCCAGTGTGGGGGTGATGGTGGGATCAGACTCGGGTTTGCTCTTCATCTTGTCAATGTATTGGCGGGTATAGCTATCCCAGATGTCTGGGAAGTCTTTCTTCGATGCGCGGTGGATGAGGGTCACATGGAATGCGGGCTGAATGCGTCGGCTGTTGGCTAGCTGATGGTATAGGCGTGCTTTTTCGGGAGGCGTGGATGGAGGGAACAAAGACTGAAGGACCTGTTTCACCTCTGCTGTGGGCAGCGAGATGTTGAAATACTCGATCTTCTTGGCTAGGTCTTCGGGTTGAGGTGCGGCTGCGACTCCGGGACTGCCGGTCATTTTGTTCTTGTTCTTTGGTTTCTGGACCTGTTTCGCGGATCCGTACTGATGGCTCAGGTCCAACTGCACTTCGTAATCATTCATCGCCCAGTTGATCGCATCGTCTAGTTGCCCCGATGTTGGGACTTCGGTCACGAGATGAGGATAGAATGAATGCAAAGCCTTTACCACCGTCTCTAGGTTCTCTCGCGAAGAGGCCCCAACGTCGAGGTCAATCACTTGGTCGAAATGGCAATCTGGCTCACGGTCGGCGTTAACAGCCTCGAACCGGTTGAGGAAACCTTCCATGATTCCGATGATCTCCTCGGGATTCTTGCTTCCTGCGCGGATGGTTTGGTGGTTATCTCCGCGGTCGAGGACTCGTCGCCGCGTCACCTCGCGGATTCCTGGAAGCAGTTGCCCCTTAGGCTCGTGGACGTACTGAAGTGCGACAAAGCGAGCCCGGGAGATGACAGCGGATACATCCTCTACAAGTTGCTGTCTTTCGCGCCTCATGTGGTTGTTGCGGTCCGCGATCACCACTCGGTGTTGGCCAAGGAGATTGGTAATGTCCAAGGCGAATTTCTTGGGTTTGTTCTTCTGCTTTGGGATATTATCGTTCTGCACCTGGCCCCATCCAAACAACTTGGATAGAGCAAGAGCCAGCGTGGTCTTTCCACAGCCTAGCGAGGCGACGGGGACTATAATAACATCCCTCGTCACTTCGTCACCCTCGGCTTCCAGTTGAATGATTTCAGATCCGTTAAGACCTCTCTCCTTCAGGAAACCCTCTCGCATAGCGATGATTCCATGATTTTGCTGGTAAAGATGCCCAAGGTGAGGGTTTTGAGCGAGCTGCCTCCGAGCATAATGCAGATATTCTTCCGTGATTTTCTTGTGCTTTTTGATATTAGGATATTTGCCGGAAATGACTGCCTTTGTACATTCGCGCCACTGCCTGTACATCAAATAGGGCTCCTCGAACTTGTATTTGAAGAACCAGTCCTGGTATGGGGGGCGTCCCTGAATGCTCATGTGGCATCGGACCACAAAGCCTTCAGTCTCCCGGCCATCCCAGGTCCCTGTTTCAGCACATTCATCCAAAAACTTCTTCACCTGGTCAATGTCATCGTACACGACGAAATTGGCCTTTTTGAAGCCCCAGGCATCGGCGAACTTGTGTACCTCCGAGCTAGGTTGAGTTGCGAAATGCGGGACGTTGAAGTTGAGTCCATGTAGATAGAAACCCGAAGCGCTCTCATCGTAAGCAAGAACATGCTCCTCGAAGTTATCGTCACACAACTCGCCTACCGCCGTGACGTTCAGCCTGCGCAGCTCTTGTGCCAGCTCCTTGACGGTTCTTCCGACAGAGCTGACATGGCGCTCGACCCAGCGCTCACCAGCTTGAGCATGGCTGAGGTTCCTATCCTCCCGAACGCCCGTCGAATGTTTGCTACAGACCAACAGGGTGCCATCTTCCAGGCCAGAGAGGAAGATGATGCATCCATTTTCCTTCACACTCAGTTCATAAGGGCCCCGGGTATTCATTTCAACATTCCTCCATTTCGTTTCATTTACTTCATCCACATTGAAGAATTTGTCGTATCCGCGGACAGCAATTTCGTGAGTGCCATCCTTCCTTTGGGTGGTGAACAGTCCGCGGGCGTAGGTGGGGAGATCGCTGCGCTTGTAATCCCAGTCCATGAACTTCCACGAATGCACCTGGATCTTGTTTGCTTTTTCCACGTTGAAGGTACTCTTCTTGCACGTGAACGACTTCTTTCCCCCGGCTCTGCCTTTCTTGGTGGCAGCCTCCAGGCTGGCCACCAGCCGAGCGACTTCCTGCGCGTCCTGCTGCACCATTGCAATTTCTCAGGTTTGAGTATAGGGTATCTATCTCAGCCGGCTAATGGTGACCGCTCGTGCGTGGAGTCGTGGGAGGGGTCAAGAGGGGAGTAGGTAAGGAAAGGATGGGCGGCGGGCGGAAGGTGAAGAGAGAGTGACGGTGGAGGGGGATGAATTTCCACAAGGTTCGCTGAACCATTAAAGCAAGGAGACTTGCCCCAAGCTCCAATCCAGACTTGTCTGACGGAAGATGATTGGGGAGAAGTTGAGTCACGGTCAGCCTTGTGTTGCCTTGCCTCGCCTGGGCCCAAGAGTTGGAGGTTCTTATCGACCATGCGGGGCAGCCTTTACAGCCTTCCGCCATGCGCTTTTTTTCCCGCCCGCGCCACACTCCGACGGTCCCTCGATTTCTGGTCGGATTCTCCCCTGCTTTCCTTGGACCATTACCATCGCCTCTGCATCTTCCTGTGTGACTCAAGGTATGATGGAGCTATGTGCCTAAGCCACCGGTCACCGTCGGGACTGACTCATCTTTAGCCCCAAAGCTTTCGCGATGACTCAACCCAACCCGTACATTCTGGCCGCCGACAATCCCGGCGCGGTCCTGACTCTGTTGCAGTCTAACCCATCGATCGCATCCAACCAGGACGAGCATGGCTACTCGCTACTCCATGCCGCAGCTTCTTATGGACATATCGACCTCCTGCGCGCTCTGGTGAAAGATTTTCACGTTGACGTAAATCTGCTCGACGAGGATGGTGAAACCTGCCTGTTTGTGACGGAAAGTCTCGACATTGCGAAATGTCTAGTGGAGGAGCTGGCTGTGGACTACAACAAGAGAAACGACGAGGGATTTACCGCCTATGAGACTATCGAGAACGATGACTCGTTCCCCGAAATTGCTGCCTACCTGCGGCAAGTCGCAGGCGTGCCAGCCCCGGCGGCGCCGGCGGCGGGCGATGCCCTGAACCCGGCTCCGCCGCTGCCTCCGAACATCCACTTGAACCTGGGCACCATGTCGGAGCAAGAAGCAAACGCCGGAACTGACGAGGTTGACCCCGAGTTCAAACGGCGCATTGACGAGCTGGCCGCACGGGAGGATTTCCACAGCGAAGCTACGCAAAACGAACTGCGTCAGTTGGTCATGGATGCCATCTCAGGCTCCAACATTGAAACTCAAGATCGGGACGTGCGGCGCAGAACGGACTAAGTAACATAGCAGAAATCCCAGTGTTCTATGGCCCCTGACAGCAATGAATACCATCTTGCTTGCTTAAAGAAGTCGAAGCAGTTCCGGAAAGGCTGTGGGACTTCTCGCATCAAATCGAGGCTAGGGCGTTTGGCGGCTGCAGCACTTGCAGCTTGGGCATACCCACCGTACTGCGGTATCGTACATGATGTGGTCTCAAATAGCGACGACAGGAGGGTAGGCCTCCGATTGGCATGATGGTAGCAGTTTTGCACAATCAGGCGGCACTCGGAGCGAGGGCCCTACACATGCGCCAAGTTTCGGAAAGAACATGATGCGCAGGGGTAGAGGCATTACAAGGCGCAAACGTGCCAATAGTTGATGTCTGATACTATTGAACCCATTTACAATACCCTAAATATATTCCGACTACTTTGCTCCAGCTGCTGGCCATAGACTCGTAGACTCGTAGCTATACAGTAGAATAGCATGCCTCTCACGTGACGCGCATGCTTTCCCCGCATTTGGGACGTCACGTCAGGGGGCGTGGCTCTCGGCTTCGCCCATCCACCCAATTGCTGCCTCCTCCTCCGGTACCTTTCGCTGTCGCTTAAGCTTGCTTGGCTCTTCACCATGAACCCAGCACTCAACCCGGACACTCCTCCTCCCCCGCCTCCCAAACCCAGCAGCCACGAAGCCAGTCGTCGGGGCACCCCTCAAATCAACCCGTCACATCCGGGTACACCGCAGCAGTTCCAAGAAGGTCACCATGCACAAGATCGATTGAACATGCATCCGGGAAACAGGTACTCTTCTCCGGGAGCGCCCAACCCCGGCTCTCAAAATGCTCTACCTAAGCCTCCGACGGTCGAGGAGGGCTGGCTCCCCAGCGGGGTGAAAGAGAAATCGTACGGTTCCCTAATAACAATCCACTCTTTCCTCCTCTACAGAACACGGCTAATACGCACGTGTTTCTTTTACAGAACTGTGGATCTACAAACCATTCTTAAAGACCCTAGCCTCATCTCCGCGCTCTCTAGCCATCACCCATCTTACGCGGCGCATCAAGAGAACCTGCAGTCGCTCCTCAAATACAACAAGGACCTTACGAATTGCCTTCTAGAGCTCCAGTCTCATCTTACCGAGCTACGGTCCTCTTCCGAAACTCTTCTCCTGACACATCAGTCACTCGAGGTCTCCTGGCGGAAAAAGCAGTCTGAGATGGATGCTGCGCTGGCCCCGTGGTCGCCCAAGGCTCTGTACCAACGGCTTGCGGCTTCGATAGCCGAGCAGGAAGCTGTGTGTCAGGCGGTGGAAGAGAGCTTTCTGGAGGAAGAACACCATGGACGGGCTACTGAGAAAGAAGTTGGGGATTGGATAAGACGGGTCAGAGCGGAATCCGCCAAGTTGGCAGCGAGGAGAGAGGCCAAAGCTAGGTGGGATGAGGGGAGAGTTGGGGGGTGGAGGTGATCTTAGGTTAATTTGGGAGCTTTGTGCGAGCGGAGCATTGCTGATATTGACTAATAGGTACACTATCTTGGTTGCAGTATCATGGTTGCCCGTCCATTACATCTCTGCAATATTGCTGGAATCTCAGAGAAATGAGGAAGAAGACAAACTAACGTAGAGTCAAACGCCATCGCTCCAAAACGCCCTCTGTCAAAATCGAACCGAAAGCGGTGTCGTCGCTCTGATCATTCATTCGGGCCCCGTCGAGCACTTTCGAGGTCCGCATCTTGTGCTCGGTTCTCTGCAGCGTCAACTTTATCTCTCACGGTGGCCCAGTTGTCGGCGGCAACATGGCTTGGGAGTCCCACGCCCGTGAAGAATGCATGCTCGCGGCTCCGCGCCCCCCAAGCCCAGCCTGCACCGCGCATGATGGGAAGCTGATACAGTCGGAAGCCAACCCATGCAAAGACCATTCCCATGACGGAGCCGAATATAATATCGAATCCATGATGACGGTAGTCGAACCACCGCGATGCAGATATGAAGAAAGCCACTGCGATGGGCACAAAGGCAACTATGAGCATATAGACCGGAGGAGCTGCACCCTGGTTCCGGATGCTACCGCGTTCCTGCCTGCGCAGATCCGGACTAAACGGCGAGTATGCCAGGAACGGGAATCCGATAGAAAACTTAGCGCATAGCCAAAGAGCGAGATATGTCAATCCCGCAAATGACACTATCACCCTGTCAGACATCATCAAGTCCAAATCCCTCCCTCCTTAAAAATCCAAACCCACTCACTAGAAGAATGCCCACTCGGAAAACTCGCAAACCCATCCATCGTCAACTCCTCCGCCCTGTTCCGACAAATCTCCCACGTCACCATCACCGGCGCCCCATCAAGCCTCAACCCCAACCCCCCAACCGCAAACTCCTCCACCGCAGCGATATCCGGATCACACCTCTCCAACAAATCCGGCCTCGGCTTCCCATATAAATCCTTCAATCCCTGTGTAGCTATATATGTCCCCGCCACGGCAATCCCCAATCCCATCCATCCCACATTCCATTCCCATAATTTGCCCCTCCAGTTTATACCCCTGATACTGGTACCGGCATTGGTACTGATAGTCCGTGTAGTGAACACCACCGCCACAAAAGCAATAATCACGGCGGGTGCTATCAATGATACAACGACTAGGACGCCCGTCGACACAGTGTCTTTTTCTCTATGGGGGAGGGAGATGTTCGCGTCAGTGAGGGAAAAGGGGATGTGGTTTGGGGTCACAGTTGAGAAGGCGTAGCCGATTAGGGCGATTCCTCTGTTGGTTTTGTGGTTTTGTGGTTAGTTTGGGATATTGATTGAGGGTTTGGGGATTGGAATTGGGAATTGAGATAGGAAGACGTACATGATTAGGATCCAGTCGATGAGGTAGGAGATGAGTAGGCGTTTGGGGAGGTGTTTGTGTGTTGATTCTGGTGATGGGGTGGGATGTGAGGATTTGGTGGTGGGATGGGCCATTGGTGCTTTGCGGTGGGTGTGGTGAAGAATGGTTGGGAGAGTTGTTTGCTTTTAATTGTGGTGGAGGTTTTTGCTGGTATATGTATATAGTTCTTGGGGAGTATAAAGAGTCAAGGATGAAGGATGAAGTTGGACCGGGGGCAAGGGTCGTAGAGTAGGCATGTCTACAGTGGCTGCCTACCGTGTATGGTATTGTATATGGGCTGGGAGGTATGGCAGGTGACTGAGGAGGATAAAGACGGGCACTGATGCTGAGGGTGGTACGCCCATTGCAAAGTGAACTTTAACTCCGCCACGGCGTAAATCTATCTACGGGGATATAGGTAGACACCTTATAGGTGTATCATTGAATTTCGTTTCTCATTTAGGACTTATTATTATACATTTTAGAAGGCTTCAGCGTCATGGAAGCTGCAGCTTATTTCTTGCCATCCAGATCGGTGAACATTTCTCGACCAAAGTCAGCGCTGCTGTCATTGAATCGAAGCTTGCGGTCAATGCCCCGGATCTTCTTCACATCCTCTGCATCAAGCTTGAAGTCACCCTCGAGGTTGGCCTTGATGCGAGACGGGGTCTTCGACTTGGGAAGCACCGAATGACCTTCTGTGACACCCCAGGCTGTAGGGGGTTAGCTTGTTTCTTCTTCGTCATAAGGGTGGGTGGTCAGTAGGTCGACTTACCAAGTGCAACCTGGGCTGAAGACTTGTTGTACTTCTTTCCGATCTCGACCAGCACGGGATCATCGATCAGCTTGCCAATGGTGGTACCCTCCTTGGAGTAGAGCTCGTTCTGGTTTCCGAAGGGAGAGTAGTGGGTGACATGGATGCCCTTGGACTTGTGCCAGTCGGCAAACTCGCGCTGTTGCAGCCATGGGTGGCTTTCGAGCTGGTGGACTGCGGGGACGACGGAGGTTTCCTTGAGGAGACGTTCCATTTCCGCCTTGGAGAAGTTGGAAACGCCGATTGCCTTGACCTTGCCGGTGTCGAGGAGCTTCTCTAGGGCTTTGTATGTCTATTGGAGCCGTTGCATTAGTGATTGCAATCATACGGGATACATGAGACATACATCAACATAGTCAACGTCCTGTAGAGCCGGCTTGTCACCATCCTTCGGGAACAACTCGGTTCCTCTCTTGAAGGCCACAGGCCAATGGATCAGAAACAGATCAATGTAATCCAAGTCCAGATCATTGAGCGAGTCCTGAAGGGCCTGGGCCACGTCGTCAGGGTGGTGCTTGTTGTTCCAGAGCTTGGTGGTAATGAACAGCTGGTCGCGGGGCATGCCGGCCTTCTTGATCGCCTTTCCCACGGCGGGTTCAGTTCCATATCTGCAGTCGGATGTGAGCATGTCGGTTTGACGAAGGTGACTAGTCGAGTGGTGTGAACTCACACTCTGGCGGTGTCAATGTGACGATAGCCAGCCTTGATAGCTTCAATGACCGCCTGCTCCTGCGCCTCTGCGTCTTGCCAAGTTCCGAACCCAATGGCGGGGATCTCAGCACCGGTGTTGAGTTTGAATGTGGTCGGCATTGTGAATGGTTTGAGTCAATTGGAGTGGTGTTGATGGATGTCGTGTGCTGGAAGATGACTTTCACCTGGGACGAAGGCCCCATTTATAGCCAGCCATCTTCAGACGAAGGATGGTGTGATAGAAATTGGCAAACGCAGGATCCAAAACAGGAGTCGACGTCAAATTGACGCAGATCGAACCCTGGCTATGACGTTTCCAGCCAGACCCACTACAGCTCGGACCCAGGGCTGAAGGTCGACAAAGCTTGAGCTCTGGAGGTTACCTCATGGGTCCAACCCAAACAGGATCACCATCACAACTGTGGGGCTGCAACTATATGTAGCAGAACTAAACTCATCGTTAGAAATTACGCTGTTCAGAATCCAAAGTTCCCGATTGATTGTATTCACTAGTGATTAACTTGAAGCTCAAGTACTCAATCTTATCTATCGTAATGTTTTCAAATTCCCAATAGCCAGGTCCTGCCTTCGCTTATGTTTCACCACTGACATAAGTACCTCGTATTGGAATCCCTCAAATTGGTTCAACATTTTACGGAACTGCGGCCGTTCTATAAAATGATGTATATGGTCGGCCGTAAGTTTCACGAAGAGACTGCGAAGCTTGGATTGGGGGATGACACGTTCCAAGTACAGTACTTTCTCCAGGACATCGAGAAACGCGACACTTCTCCTATATTCTCCTGCCCAACGATGGAGCTTTCGGGCGGCCAAAGTCATCAACGAGGAGAGTTGGTATTTTTCGGCGGTTCTGTAGACCTCGATATTAATCCACGCAACTTGGAGGGCGATCGGGCAGTCCTGAAGACGCCTTTAACAGGCAAACTTCCCTTCTGTGGGACTAACATATTGCGCTATATACCCCTCCTCCGTGTAGTCTTCGGTATAGAGGTACTCAAGGACCCGATAGATTGCCACAGGCTCATCATCGGGTAAGTCAAGAACCCAATTGCCCGGCCCCTATATGATGAATTAGTATGGATTTAAAGCTTGCTTTGCAGTTGCACACAGCCTACCTTGAAAGCATCGCTCATGGGCGGGTTGAAATGATGCCACTGGGGGCAGATGATGGCACGATGTACTTTGAAAGAGTACTGCTTGCAGGTTATAGTCAGGTCTGAGTAATCTCCGGTCCCCAGCAAGTCTCTCATCCTATCCTGCAAGATCCTGGGATGTGAGACATGTGCGTCAGTGGACATCTTGAGTGGCTAACCCCAGAGATCTCTGCCTTGGCAATGTTGAAAAGTCAAGAATGCAGCGAATGCAGTAAGAACTTAAGAACCGATGACTCCCAGAAGAGACAGGGCTGTAGGACAAGAAGGAAGCACAGATCAGGGTGCATCTTATATAGCCATTCTTATTTACTTTATACAACAATAGGTCGGCGATTGCCTGAGGGCAGACATATTCCTTATGCAAGCGCCTGGTGCAGACTGTGCAGCTAGAGCTTTGTGGCGCTTTGATCTGACCTTTAAAAGTGATAAACGAGATATATCATCTTCATCGGCCTGAAAGCTCCAACAAAGAGTCCATTGTCTCTGGCCGTTCCCGTCGGCAGGTTCAGAGCAGAATGAAAGGCTGCGGCGGCTAATGCCAAAATATACGCAACTCAGCGGTCAGCTTTGTTCTCAGGTTCAAACTAAGAACTAAAGAACTAGATTTCGGGACATTGTGGAGAAATCCGGGGACTTGGAAGAGACCTGTAGAGAGAAGTAGAGAGAAGTAGAGAGAAGTAGAGAGAAGTAGAGAGAAGTAGAGAGAAGTAGAGAGAAGTAGAGAGATGCAGCAATTGTGCTGTGATGGAGGGGTGGGTCCAAGAGCTCCGGACAAAGCAGTGTTTGTCTCCGCGTCAAACAACCCTACGGAGATTTTCGCTTGCCGTGGTGCCAGCTTCCGACCTATAAAAGCTCGCCGCAACCCACAAGAACTTTTTTCTCAACTTGCCCAAGCTTGCAACCGCAACAACATGCATTCGCCGACACCCCCAACTTGAGAAAGTTGGTTTGCTGGGTGTGCTCAATACAATCAAGTGCCCTTGAATGTCTGAACATACCCAGTCTGATATCCTGATATCGTCTGATGATGACACAATATCCGGACGCGACAAGATACAATTGCTATAAAAGGTAGGCAAGCACCGATTCGCATTTCTTTGACACCCCTTTGTATGATGACCCTATGACACGCTTTAAGGCATTCCTCAAACTTAATCACCATGTGGAATTCGTGTTTTAACTCAAGTTTCAGCCTTGTCTGACAACTACAATTTCATCTAATTGCTTCAATCAGCTTGTGGTGACCAACGCTAACATGCTATTGATAGGTACATATCATCTCTCCCATCTCCTATGCCTTTGTTGGCCGCCTCGATGAAGATATTTTGAACGAACGGGCGGACAGAACGTGTACACCGACCCGCATCCATCAAAAGCAGAGCGTACAAACTTTGCGGGTGCTGGGGAAGTGTATAACTTGTTGAGAACTCGTCACCTGAGCTTTCATCAATCGTTCTGCGGTTTCCAGAAACCTTCGGTTGCAAGTCATACTAACAGGGTATGATAGGTACTGCCACTCTTGCTTCTCGTATTTTCCTTGCCCCAAGTCAACATCACATGATGAACTTGTTATTCACACTATTTGATCCATGCACTCTGTGTACGGGCGTGAACACTAAACACAAAAATCTGATTTAATGAGGTTGGTAACTTCCACTCCAGTTTGAGACCTCCATGCTAATTGCTTCTTAGCCTGACTTCGTTGACATATCAATGCTTGATTTACTCATCGCATGTCTTGGATATGTGGCTAATTCTGAATCAAGTTCTAGGAATGGATACAACTGTAGCCTCGATGTGACATTTATAGTGTGAGTGCTGTCTCTCCCAGTTTCCTGGATTTTGCATGATGAATTCTTAATTCGCTGTGTTCTTACCGAACCACTTTGACGAAACAAACAAGATTCACCTTGGAGAACTGAACTTTTCATTCTCGAATGTTTATGCATGAAAGTCTGCTGGTGCGGCTGCTAACTCTCATTCTGCAGGTTACCATCGCATAAATAATAATCAATATAATGAATCATGATCTGCAATTTTTACGTCCATATGTCTTCGAAGTGTAGTAGATATTTCGTAATGCTTCGTACCCTTGTCCAAGATTATAACTGCTACTCGACAAATAACTTGTGTTTCTTGTGCCAGTCTTCTAGACTATCCTCCGGATACACATCGTATACCTGCTTTTGCCCTTCAGGCCACCGCACCCAGGCCGGTTTCGAGTCCCCCATGAGGCAGACCATGTCATCCGGAACCGGCAGCTCGGTATCGATCGCCGAAGCAAAGGGATGGATCAGTTCTGGCCAATGGTGATCCCAGAGCCAGAGCATCGTGCTGCAATTGGAGCAAAAGTTCCGCTCCGACGAGCAGAGCTTCTCGTCTGGAGTGCCGCGAGCCTTGATAGCGGAATATTTCCTAAACCGGTCAGCTTCGATCTACCATGTTTCTAATACCTATAGTTTCTTCATGGTTCGAAGAGGGTATGAAAGAAGAAAACCACATCACCTACCTGATTAAATCCTTCCCTTTCTTGATCTGCAGGCTATCGGCAATACCGCCCAGATTGACACTGCCGCTATACCCACCCACCTTCCGGCAGATGCTGCAGGCGCAGAGCTGGTAGGGCACTGGGGTTGATGATTCGAGAGTGAACTCGATGCTGCCACATTGACAGCTACCTTCCAGTTTCCTGCGATGATTAGCATTAGCATTGCATGTTGGGTTTGGTTGATATAGTTCTGAATATGAGGATTAGATGAACATACATCGGCATGTTGATATGCTTATCGGAACGTCAGCACCTGAAAGGAGTCTTAATATGTTAAACACCCAACAGGACAAAGCGTGGTTTTATACCCTGTCCGGAGCTGGGTCGGATGCAACGTCATTGGTATATAAGAGGCATATCATGCAAACTCGGATCTTCTGGATCCATGAGGGGTTGACTCCGCCGATGCAAACTTGGATTCGCGGCTGGGCTCGGTTTACAGCTGGCATCCGTGCACCTATCGCAGCTTACCTAGACACCCTGTATCCTATTATTTCATCCCATACTTGTTTGCGCGGGTGATTGTGTCGCATTGCGGTTTCATACCCCGCACTATGCAACCACGGAACGGAACGATAATCAGTCCTGGCAGACATACGGGAAAGACTCATATAGTACGAAGCAGACCATGAGAACTCTAGCGATAAGCCAACAGACAAACTGACTCTATTTGTGAACCATCGCCGTGCTATCTCGCCCCATCCTCATAGATCAGTGGATGTTTGCTCTGTTTGTACCGTTTATCCCTTTTGTTCTGTTTGTCTTATCGGACCACTCGCCGTGTCGTTTTTCAGCAACTATCATTTCCCCGACTGTCAGATACAGAGCACGAATACCGGTCTAGTCGATCTTTATCTTCTTTCTTGATCAATTGATCTCCGTCGCAAACAGCAATCTTTCAATATGGGGTTCGGAGCTCCCGGTGGTGGCGCAGTTCCTGTCAAGCCTACGCCGTAAGTTACCCTTTCAATCTTGGAACATCAGGCACTGGACTATCCCAGAGGAATGAGTAGAGCTAACAACTGTCCGTTACCTTAGTCCCGAGCGTGGCAGCTTTCCTCTCGACCATGACGGTATTACTCCCTTGTACCTGGTCCGGTTCGCATCAGCAGCATCATGAGCCTTTGCGCGACCTATCCTATCAGCCCACTTCTCCGACACGAACAAGAACTAACATGACACTTCTCCATTGAAACAGGCGAATGCAAGCACATCATCAGCAGCTATCTGAAATGTCTGAAATCGCAACGAGGCGTGAATGACGAGGAGTGCCGGAAACTCGCCAAGTCGTATTTGTCGTGTCGGATGGATAAGTATGTTGACAAGACACCTTTCGGAATATATGATCAATTGGAATACGGCTAATATATGCTCGATCGTTAGCAACCTTATGGCGCCGGACGACTTCAAGAATCTCGGGCTGGTCTTCGCACAGGACAAGGGGACATCGAGTGGGCCTGCTGAGAATGCGGAGAAGAAGGCATAGTTGGGTTCGCTTGGAGGATATGGTTCTGGAAGCTGTATGATATGCTGGGATGTTCGTGTATAAATAGGGTGGTTTTTGTGTGATGATTGATGATAGATCTCCGTTTCTGGCGTTGGGTTGCTTGTTCTGTATATATTGTGTATCATACGTGACTAGATGTGCAATCTTTTTTGGTGCTTTTAGATCAGTAGAAGGAATCAATATATGTATCAAATCAATTTTAATCTACCCCTAAAATGTGTATGTCCTGGAACTGGAGTCTGGCAGACCTGCAGCATGCGGGGAAGCTGTCCCGCTAACGCCAACCCCGACCAGCGATCAGTCACTCCGCCCGTCCCAAATGCCAGTAGGTAGTCCCAGCTATCACTCTCCCATTCACTCAGCCCACGACCAATGTCATCCATCGCGCGGCCACCAGACCCATGCCTGGTGGCAATCATCCTAATAGTTCGCTCCCGAGCCGGTCCGCGCTTCGTCTTCCACTATCCTCCGAATCCACTCAGCGAGAACGGCCTTCGAGGCGCGCCCAAAGCGCGACGCCCCTCGCGCACGAAATCCAAAAGCAATGATTCCAGCTCCAGCGAAGACAGCAGCTCCTCCTCGTCTTCCGAAGAAGATGAGGCCCAACCACCGAATCCAGCCCCGAACCCACCGAATTCAATCCAGAACCAACCGCATATCGGAGGGTGTCACCCCATAACGGGCAGACGGTTGAGTAACTTCGGCCTCGACGATGGAACCATATCCGGTTCGCCGGGCGGGGAGTCCCAGCGTGCGGGCTCGGTAGGATCAGGAAGGGGATTGTTGATGATGCGGAAACGAGGGACGAATTCTGATGCCGAGGACGATGCCGGCGCTGCGTCGGATAGACAGGAGGATGAGGCGGGACCGTATCGCCCGCCGTGGGAGTCGCTGTTGGGGCTCCCTGCGGATGTCTGGGAGAAGCTGTTGAGTCCGTCGCGATCGTGGCATAAGCGGCGGTTTGAGGTTGGAATCAATGATTTGGCGTTTGTGGGGTGGCCGGTCTTTGTCCGGGAGGATGGGACGTGGAGGAAACAAAGGAGGAAGAAGAGGAAGCCTCGTGCGCATTGGGAGGGGGGAGAGCTGGGGCATAATGAGAATCCTGGGGATGATGCGGAGGATGATGCGCGTGAGGGGAGTGCGGAGCTTATTGCTGCTTCTACGGAGACTTTGAGTCCGAAGCAGATGGCACCTTATGAGTCTCAGAGGGCGTCGATGCAGAGTGTCAGGTCGTTTAGGACGCTAAGTGAGGCGTTGGATCCTGATGATAAGGATTGCATGACTATGTTCAATGTGGTGTTTGTGTTGGATCCTCCTTTGTTGGAGTATTCCATGCGACTAAGGGAGATTTACGACAACATCATCAAGAAGTTCTCGAAGGCACTGAAGTGGGAGCAGGCCCGGACGGATTATGTGTGGAAGGAGGCGCAGCATATCTCACATATTAAGGAGAAGGCCAAGGAGAAGCGTATGTTTTGGCCAGTGGTGTTTGACTAGAAGAGCGTTGCTTGCTGACCATTAATCAACAGGGATGTCTGTTAACAGCCTCTACTCGGAGCTGATCAACCAGTCCTCTCTCGCAAGAGCTATCTGCACGGTGTTCACCAGTATATCGGCGTCCAAGATTGCCTCCGTCACATTGAATGCAGACGTGTCCATCTCACTCCAGATACCACCTTTAACGTCAACGCCATGGCTTCCTGGTCCAACTGACAAGGCATATCCGGGACTCTGGCTTACGACTGCAGATAGTGTCACTCCAGTCGACGATCCCACCGCTGACGAGAACACCGCGCCCCACCAGGTGCTCGCCAAACACTTCGCCCTCTTATTGCTGGACAATGAAGCAGCGATCCTTAAAGATGTAGAAGCATCCGGGGGTGCTCTGGCTCCTGCACTTGCCCACTATATCCGATGCTCGAAGCCAACAAAGTCGTTTGCGCAGATATCTGTATCATCCGGCATACCGCTCTCCACGATCCAAATGCTGGCTAGTCATCTTGTGTACTGGAGAAGAGCGCGCGCCATTCCCCCACTCCATCAACGGGATACTTACGTCGTGTCACCAAACTGCGACCTAAGCAAGCTGGAGGTAGCCACGGTGGCTTATCAGGCAGCGTTCCCGACGCTTCCCAGCCTCCCCAAGATGCTATCAGCTATGAGCGGGACTCCCAGACCCTATGGAAGCTTTATCCCCAGCAAAGACCACAAGGACACATACTTCTCTATATTAGCGTGGCTATTGCGAGGTGGCTGGGTCACTCAATTGCGCGCCTTTGCGAGAATCAAGATAAGCCCCGAGATCAAGATGGCTGTGGAGACGGCCCTTCGGCAGGAAGAGGTGGACAAATATCTGATCAAGAGGGGGTCGATGCCAGACGCTGAGCAACAAGACAATATTGATGATGCCAGCTCGTCGTCATCGTCATCACTCGAAAGCCACGAGAGCGGCGAGGAAACCCCAATGCCAGGGCGATATAAACGGGACAACGAGCTCGACCTCTCCCATTCCTTACTGGATCGGAACACCTCTTTGAAGACATCGTCGCTGATTCTCTACCCACACCGCGCCTCACCATTGGAATCCCGATGGTTAGAGGAGATCATGTCGCGATTCCCCGAACTCAAGGGCGATGTTCCTGACGGGGACCTCGAATACGCGGGTCTTCAAACCTCGCTGAAGAAGTACTGGCCGACCTTCACCAAATACTTCAACGGGTATGATGCACTCGAGAAGATCCCCGTACGAGAGAACCTGAAGCGCAAGCTAGTCTGGCAAATCCTCATGCGCTTGGGTTTAGTAACAGGCCAGCAGTCATCCATCCCACTGGATCCAAGAGAGCAAGTCCTCGTCAGCGTCAGACATTGGTAACAACACGACCCATGCATGATTTATGTCCCATAACGCGATCAAATAATATATATGTATATATATACAAAGACAAGCACCTACCCAACAAACACGATAGACAATATCCCATCCAACGACTGGCACTGACTCGACTACATGCCCCAATCAAGCATAGCATCACCCACTCACCCACCCATTCACCACACGTGACCTTCCCTCCACCGACCCACCCTCTCCACGAATCATGAACATCCGACAACCCAAAAACCCCGTCGGCTGTACAGGAAATATCTCGGACCTAGGCACTGATCGAATCCAATCCAATCCAATCCACGGCAAATAATTGCGTCGGGTCGGATCCATCCATCCATCCACATCCCTCTCCTTCCGAGGAATTCCGAACGAAACGAACGATTCTTCCACGGACGAGTCGCGCGTCTCAGCCCTAATTGACGTGAACCACGCGGGACCTGCTAAGCGATCATCCATCACCCATAATCCATAATCCATAACTCATTTAATGTACTCCGTATCATTTTAGATAGGAATGGATAAATGTCCGGAGCGTGTCCGTCGGTGGGCGGATGTAGTTTGGTTTAGTTAGTGTGTTTTGCCGACGGGACCGGAGCTTTGGTCTGTATTTAGTATTCGGTGGTAGTGGTGGTTGTGCTTGGCGAAGAGGAATATAGGAATATTGTGATTGGTTGGTTTATTGTGATTGCTTTTGGGATGGAATTTATTCGATTTTGTGTAGGTAGAATCGGGGGATGGAATCGGATCCACGGGTTGGCTGGTTGGTTGCTGCGGGAGTATGCATGACAATTGGAATTATTGTATTCTGACTGATCTGACTGGTCGGGGTTGGTTGAGTTACCTACAAGGACAGGGGGACGGGTGGGTTGAAGGGGAATAAATCGATAGGTATACAGTACCTACCTTAGCCTACTCATATGTAACTATAGATATGCCAGAACTTACGTGTTATGGAATGACCCCTGCATTTTAACCCGCCTACGTACTATTAATGGCAGCAAGACAATCCACTTATATGCATGCATACATCAGTTATTTAGGTTGGGGGAGCCGGGATAACACATGTCATACGGTTGGAGTTGACTTCCAGGGTCCCTCGGTTTTCCTCCCGTCCGGTGATGGCGGTGGTGGTCAGTTTCTTCATAATTTATTCTTGATTAGGGCCGACAGCGCACTTGGCTGGATGCGGTTAGAGGTCTGTTTGATGTTGATACGGTATGAAGGATCTCGGAGATTTGCGGTTGTTGGTACTTATCTAGTATCTAGTGTACTATCTGAATGGTCTGCCTAGGGATATGGCTTGGGTGGAGTCAGAATAAGCGCAATGGATCATCATGCTTTGGAGGCATACGGGAAATGCCTGTGTCGAAGCAAATTCAGGGAATCTCATTAATATACCCTTGAGCATTCTTGGCGTAGCTCAAAGGCTGTTTTCTGTTTGCTTTTGTAGGTCACCTCTGATAGGTCATTGGTATCCAACCCTTGGCAGTTGGCGTAGTGTTTGACGCGATTGACATGGAATATACCCTTACTTAGATACTCGGACTCCGAAAATGTCGTTGATTTACATACCTGATCGCAGAGTACAGTAAGCACCTTAGTAACCGACATTCAGGTCGTCCTTTGTGACTGGTCTAGACTGGTGGGTCGGGCCAGTAGATCAGGCTCGATGTGAGATTGCAACTCAGTATCCTGGAAATAATCGACGATCAATCCCAACTGGTGCGTAGGATTGACTTAATAAGGAGGCAACCTTCTTGCATCTGGGTAGAGAGGTGGTGAGATTGGTAGCAAAGATCTGATAAAACTCGAAGTTGGCGTTGGGCAACCTGGGCGGTATGTTTGAGGTTGAAGTTATCTTTAAAGTGCCTTGGCGGTCTTGTAGATCGGGGTTGGATCAGTTGTGTAGTAAAGCTTTGATCCACTTCAATGGGTGCTACTGGCCTGGATTAGTTGGTCATTTTCGTCAGTCACTGTATAACTTTGATTAATATTTGACGACCATATTGCAGATGGATGTGGACCTTTCTGTTCTTTCTGCTTTTTCGACCATCATCATAAGCTCGACAGCTGCTTGACACCAATAGACAACGCAAATGGGGTTGTCCTGCAAGAGCTGTTGACAAGCCAGAAGTAGACGGCAGTAATCCGACGAGATTGTGTGATTAGTATGGAGAAAATCAGTTCGGTGGATACCCAATCGAGGATTACCGGGATGATACTATAGAGTATTCCGTAATGAGGCAAAATACAATAATGGCATTGTCAGCAGTGCTGAGATGCAAAGAAACCAAAGGCAGATTCAGGCACATAACTGACAGATCACCTGACCTGCCTGTAAGCACCTACACCGATACTCGTTTCGACAAACTTGAGATAGCATCCTTCTCTGCTCAGTTGTATGACTTAAGAAAATAACAGGATGCTCACTTGCTATGCATCGTGATTATAGATGTTGTGCTCTGTAGGACCTGAATATAGTATCATGTCCCACGTAGGTCGAGCGTGGTCTAAACGCATGGTGAGCGCCTCTTCGAATTAGAACCCAGCCTGATTGCCGATTTTCTGCTATCTTCATGTGCCCCTCAAGGCATTTGAATTGATCGACTGCAATCGAGGGGCCCGTAGACCCTGCAAGAACCAGTTAGGTACGAGGTCGAGCAGTGGCATCGGCCCCATCCATGCATTGATCACAGGAGTGCAGAACCCCTCCGTGCCCCGCCATCAGTGTGGTCGCGGGTCAGAATCGAGCACCTGCAGTCCATTGCATTTTCGGTAAGTGAGACGTTAAGTCAAATTGGTTAGCATCGGAGATGTACGGAGTCTGCGAGGTACTAGAATGGTTGTCGTGTCACTTTCCCCAGGCTGCGGAGAGTATTTGATGTCCTTACAGGATGAACTATAAGAATTAGACTTCTAGGTGTCAAACCATCACGAGTGACCTGGATGTTGGGTTGGTGTTCTGTAACAGCCCGGTCATTAAGACCAAGATCCGAATTGAGCTCGGAAACCATTACGGCTAGTGCCGCTGAACGTCCGAATTATCATGTCAGTAGCCAGTCAAACGTTTGGGCTTGGGCATAGAGGGGAAGTGAGGGGTTGCAGCTGAGAACTCTGGAAGAAGTAGTCACAGTGTACACAGTGGGATGTGGGATGGCTGGCTGGGCAGGGAAGGGAAGGGAAGCTGCCACCCACGACTCACTTCTTCGTTCTTGCCTACCTTAGATCCCAACCCGTACCTACCCCAAGAAGCCTGAAGGTGCCTCTGAATAATATCGGTTCTATACCCTCGGAGGTAATAATACGCCCGGCTGTTATGGGCGGCCCCATATCTAGGGATATTGATACCTCAGGAAGCTACGACGAGGCAGGAAAATATCGCATATCCCCTCTTCTTCTCCATCCAATTGCCGTAAATCCGACTCCAGATTCAATGGGGATCTTCATGCAAATCTATTAGCAATCCAAAATTGACGGCTGGTACATTATTACCACATACAGTTCCAGATCTTACCCGGAATATTTACAGTAGAAAGTGAAAGGATGGTTCATACCCACAGAAGCCCTGGTGTCGACAAACCATAGCGTCCGCGGTGTGGGGATATGGAAAGAATAACAATTTCTTACCTCTTTTTCTGCGCTTTTTGCATATTTTCACACCCTTACCTCTTTGCCCTTGGTTGAGCTGCGTGCTGTTGTCCGGTACAGTAGGAATTTTGATACAGATGCTGTACCACTAATACGGGTAGGAATCAGCAGAAAACCCCGTTTTTACCAGCGGGAAACTCTTTACTTTACTGTACCTTGAAGTAGGCCGGTTTCTGTTCAATTTTTTGATTTTCTAATTTTTTTTTTATTAACCCTCTGGGTTGGCGGATTCCACAATTCTGGCTAGTACTTACTTTTCTTGCCTGCCTTCTTCGGCTTTTCCACGTCCCTCCGGCCTGTAAGTGATTTATTATTATTATTTTTCGCTCTCTTACACACACAGTCTCTACCTTCTCTCTTCTTGTTTCCCCTTTACCCCCCTCTTCTCCTCCCCTCCCCTCTTCGCCGTCTCAACGTTCTGGGATTCTGTCCCTCTCTGTGGTTCACTCCATCGGCTGCCCGTGACCGTGTTGCTGTAGTGAGGTGGTGCTTCTTCTTCAGTGCACCTTTTCCGTTCTCCTTCACACACAGACAGAGGTATCCTTGTCTCCAGCGGGACCACCTCTTATCGTATTCTTTTTTTTCTATTTCAGTCCTCATTGGCAAGTTGATTTGATCGTTGATCACTTTCATCTTGCTCTGCTTATTTTTTGTTTTCTCCGCACGGGTCCTGCTTCGAACTTTTCCGTCGCAGCTCCTTACATTTTTTTTCCCTCTTGCCCTTCCGTACCTGGCAAATCTCCCAAACCACGAAGTTCAGTAGCGGTTGTCGCCACGTGCAAGTCGCGCCTTTCGTTCACGCTTCCAAAGGGGCAAGGTTAACGAGTTTTTCTGCAAACAACAGTGTTCATCGATTTCCATCGTGATCGCCTATACTACAAATAGCCAAGAGGCAGCACAGTTGGATTCTCCGACGGCCCGACTAGCATAACCGCACACCGCGAGTGCTTTTAGTAACCAGTCTTACAACAAGCACCCCGACGTGAAGTATCCCCGTGCCAGTCGATTAGATATCTGTTTTGGACGCCATCCTACCGTGATATCGTCTACACGAGTTCCACCTCGACTTACAGTTGATCCTCTCCTCGATCGCAATTTAGCGGACCTCGACACAACAATACCTTGTGACAGCACACCGATGCGATTCGCGTGCTAGGTTTAAATACAAGTTCAAGGATTCTCCGACTCCATTTGTCTCTACACCACACCTATACCAAGGAACTTTCACTGTGTCTTTGATCGATTGAACAAAAGCCAACCCAGCAATTCGCTGCCGAATAGGACCAATATTCAGTGACGGGAAGTTACAGCTTGGTGGGGTTGCCTAAAGGGTGGCATATACTTTTCATTGCCATCATTGTTGGAGTGATTCCAGCCAAACTTCGGTTGAGAGCTACTCACGAGGTATCTGTTCTCTGGTAGAACTGACTTCTTCGCTCTCCTCTCTTATTCACTAGAACGGGCTCGTTAGACCACTTTTTATCTCTCACGTAACGAAAATGGCCGCAACATTTTCCTACGCCCAAGCTGCCAAGGGCATTGCCCCAGCCTCGTCCCCGGACAAAACCTCACCAGAAGAACCAATCCAGGCGGCTTCGAACCCCGAGGACCAGAGTGTAAACTCGAGCTCGCAGACGAACACAGATGCCGAGTCTTCCCAGGCTGAAACCGCCCAGGAGACCCAAACGACCGACAAGGAAGTCGAATCTGCAACCACCACGAAGGCCAATGTTTCCGAAGCATCTTCTCCAAGTGATGGCAACTCCTCTACGTCCTCCGCCCCCAAGGATGATGAGGGAACGGATACCACCAACGGGACCTCGGAATCTACCTGGGATAAGCAGTCCCAGGCCTCGGGAGCTGAGAAGGTGAACACCGAGGAGGAGGATGTCAAGGAGAAGTCCGAGAAGGAAAAGAGCGTACCGGCTAAGGAGCTCAAGGTCGCCCCTCTTCCTGCCGTGAACATCTGGCAGCAGAGAAAGGAGGCACAGGAGGCCAAGGCGAAGGCCATTGCAGCATTGAAGCCTGCTGCTAAGACAGGAACTTCGAAGACTACGTCCGCCGCGTCCTCGATATCGGGAGATCAGCCGGAGTCGAAGCCGGCTCCCAAGAAGAAGGGTTCCGATATCTCTTCGGAAAGCGCCAAGGACCGGAAGAAGACTGACGGAGCTAAGGGACGTGACGACAGTGCCAACCTTCCCCCTGTTGGAGATGAGAGCCTGTGGCCTACCCCTCAAGTTGCGCAGGGTGAGGAGAAGAAGAAGGCCCAGGAGAAGTCTGAGAAGACCGAGAAGAGCCCTGTCATCCGTCCTCATGGCAAGGAGAAGTGGATGCCTGTTCCCTACGTTCCCACCGCTGTGTTCAACACGCCTCTTCCTTCTGCCCGCAGAGGCGGAAGAACTGCTCGCGGTGGACGCGAAAACTCTCGCAACGGAGCGCATGGCGCTGGAGCCGCTGCTGATAAGGCTGCCTCTGGTCAGGCTGCCGCGGCGAAGCAGGCTAATTCTACGGACAGGGGAAGGAACGAGCAGACCTCTGGTCGCGCTACCTCGCTCCCCGCACAGACGAGACGCTCTAACAGCGCTGATGCCGGCCTACCCGACTCGCGTAAGCACCAGGCAGCGCGTGGGTCTAAGGGGGCCGAGAATGCCAACGGCGCATCGGCTGGGAGAAACGTTAACGGCTCGGACAATTTCCCTCGTCATAAGCAGTTCGCTAGAGGCCATGATGCAGGCCACAAGGGTGGTGAGCATGGCTCTCGGAATCCCCAACTTTCCGTGGATGCACAGGCTGGTCCTCGCTCCGGCTCGAATAATGACCGTCGCTTCGAGAACGGTCCCAAGTCGGCGGATTTCGCTGGTTTCCACGCTGATCGCGAGCGCAAGGACAAGGACTTCCCTCGTGAGTCGCGTCCTGAAAGAGGTCGAGGTGGACATCGGGGCGGCCGGGGAGGCCATGCTGGTTTCAACGGTGCTCAGAACTCTCACTTCCCTAATAACCACGTGTCGCACCACAATTTCATGCATCCCAAGTTTGGCTTCAACGACCGCCAAAGGTCCCAACAACATGGCCCTGTCAATGGTTCGCAAGGGCACAGAATGAACATTAGGTCACCTTCCCTCCCGAACTCCACTACCATGTTCTATCCCTACCCTGGGGATATGAACACAATGTACGGCTACCAGGCAATGCATGCTGGGCCAATGACCGCCTATCCCTATCCCCAGCTCATTGAACCTTACTCCCATATGTCCATGATCTCCATGCAATTGTGAGTGCTTTTTCGAAACGCCACCAGCTTGATATGCACGACAAAACTAACTCGTGGACAGGGAATATTACTTCTCCGTGGATAACCTGTGCAAGGATATGTTCCTTCGGAAGCACATGGACTCTCAGGGCTACGTTACCCTCGCTTTCATTGCTAGCTTTAAGCGCATCAAGAGCTTGACTGAGGATTTCGAGCTTCTGCGTCATTGTTCTCGCCAGCTGAGGACCGTTGAGTACCTTCAAGGCGAGGATTGTCTAGATCGTCTGCGACCGAGAGAGAAGTGGGAGGATTGGGTCCTGTCTCGGGAGCTGCGCGATCCGTCTGCACAGAACGATGGCCCTTCTCCTAGCAGTGTTGCTAAGCCGGAAGAGACCTTCGTTGATGGACCAGTTAATGGACAGGTTCCCAACGGCACCGCTGAACCTCTTGGCCTGAAGACAGCATTGTCTTCCACTGCCCCGGAGTTTTCGCCTGCCAGCGCTCTGAATGGCCAAAGTGAAATCCCAACTGTATGGAACCCCGGTTTTGACTGTTTTTGATTGATGGATGTGGTGTATGCGACAATCTCCACACCAAGTGGTCACATACCGGCCCTAAATTTGTTTGTGACGTATCTGTTGACATCTTGAAATAGCAGGTAGACTAGCTCAGCCCACTGAGAACTCCTCCCTCGATACCCGGGATTTCGGAAATTATACTCTCAGGTGCGACATCAATGGGAACTCCCTACCCGACAATTGTCGCTAACCTCCCGACAGCCCAGTCATAGAATTTGCGAAACTCCAACCCATAGGCTGGTCAATCACAAGATTACGAAAACCCATGATTCGGCATCCCGGGTAAAGAGATTCTTCGTCAAATTGTTTCTTTCATTATTCCCCAACACTTCTACGCGCTTCGATTACGAGTACTCGACAAGCGAATTTTTAAACGGCAACCCAAGACGGTGACCGTGGAATGGATGTTCTGTACCAAATATGGTCACGTTTCTTGGTCCAAATTTCAATGCACAAATGTACAATGAATTTAAGAGTCTAGCGTTTGATGATCTCTTTGCACGAAACATCAGCAGCGGCCTCAGCAGACTTCACCTTTTACGGCGTCTTTCGATGAGCAACAGGGACTTTCTCGGAGGGGTTACTTGGACCTCATTGCACTGAGCGGGAAGTGATTCACTGGCAGCCAAGCTACGCGTAGGGTGATATTAGCCCTGTTCGCTATGGTGAAGTGCATTCTTCGAACCCCGGAGCCGCAAAGGACGACTGTACTAGGGATGCTAACCTGAGTGCCGAGCTGCAAAAGTAAATATGTCTTTTTCGTTTCCCTCACTCTTTTATCTTCCCTCGCCCTGTTTGATCGATTATTTATGTTTCTATCATCGCTTTCTGCTCATGACTTGCATCTATCTTCTCTCACGCCGACGACCTGTGTCCATCAAAATGGATTACCTATGCACATTGAAAGTCTCGGCCTCATATCACCTATTCTTTGCTTCACGTTTTCCTGTTTCCGTCATGGGAGGTTTCGAAAATTTCTGGAGTCCGGGCATGTTTTACTGGGCAGACTTCTCTGCTCTGATGCTTGCTTCTAAGGTGCACCGGGCTGAAATTCTTTCCACGACCATAGATTGTTCATCCGGGGTTTATTTTCTTTTAATACCGCGGTATTGTTTACCCCTGCTATCTCGATTTTAGTACGAATGGAACCAGAAAAAACCCCAAAAGGATTCATGATTCTTGCTTCTCTTTCTCAATGCCAGGCGGGGTGGAGTCAATATGATATTCCAGCAGATGAAATGATACTCGACATGCTGCAATGAAGGAATCTACGCACATGGCCATGCGAGCTTGATATGAGCGTCTTCGCCCACTTGGTCAGGTACTGGCTTGGGCGCCATCCTAATTTCCACTCTTCAGACTTTGCATACTGGCGGTCCACTGCGTGAGGGTATAGTCATGAGTAATTTGTTCCTTGGAAATGGGACGGGATAAAGAAAAGCTGGGTCAAATGCGTCTAACTTGGAGCTTTCCTTATTGTTGGCGTTTTCAGCGGTGTTTTAAAGTTTGGTTTTATGAACAATGTGCCAATATATAATTATCTGGGGAAGTCCAAGCTGTCTAGAACTCTAGATCTATACCAAGTAGCCGTGGCGCCGTAATGGTCTGGAGCCGCTGACTCAGCAACCATTTCTGCCTGAGGCAGAGACCGGAGCAGCCAGCTTCCGCCGAGAGGCTTGAGCTTCACTCCGGGCTTCTCCAGCATCTCCGATCAATCCAGTGCAACCCTTCCCTCCATCCGTCTCCCAGATCCCAGACTACCACAATGGATGTGGCCTCCCGGCACACAATGAGGGTGCTTCGGTCCTCAAATAACCGAAGCCTCATCTCCAACTCTCGCCTTCCCGGCTCTGCTATCACGACATACCCTCTGAATCGCATTCTACGAAGAAACGCTTCCAGCACCTCTCGGAGGCTTGCGCCAGAGTCTTCGTTTCTGCCCCTGGGGTCCGGCTCGTCATCCAGCGCACCGCCTACCTACTTTTCCAATCGCACTTCCCTTCCTGTCAACACTGTCGTCCGCTTTGTCCCCCAACAGACAGCATGGATTGTCGAGCGAATGGGCAAGTTCCATAGGATTCTAGAACCCGGTCTCGCGATTTTGATCCCCTTCCTTGACCGCATCGCCTACGTCAAGAGCTTGAAGGAGTCCGCTATTGAGATACCCAGCCAAAATGCCATCACGGCCGACAATGTCACCCTGGAATTGGATGGTGTGCTGTACACGAGGGTTTTCGATGCCTACAAAGCTAGGTGAGTCTGGAATGAAGCAATGGCTGCAGTGTTGCCCCGGGGAATGGGCTCTGTTCTTCCAGTTATCGGATATCCAAACTAACCACGCAGTTTTCTGTCTTCAGTTACGGAGTGGAGGACGCCGAATACGCCATCTCCCAGCTTGCGCAGACGACCATGCGTTCGGAAATCGGCCAGCTTACCCTGGACCACGTACTGAAGGAGCGCGCCACGCTAAATACCAACATCACACAGGCCATCAACGAGGCTGCGCGTGATTGGGGTGTCGTGTGTCTGCGGTACGAGATCAGGGACATCCATGCCCCCGAGGGAGTTGTTGCAGCCATGCACCGCCAGGTGACGGCAGAGCGATCGAAGCGGGCGGAGATTCTCGAATCCGAAGGTCAGCGACAGAGCGCGATCAACATTGCCGAAGGTCGGAAGCAGTCCGTCATTCTGGCTTCGGAGGCCATGCGGACCGAACAGATTAACCGCGCTTCTGGTGAGGCCGAGGCCATTCTGCTGAAGGCACAGGCTACCGCGAGAGGCATCGACGCCGTGGCGAAGTCCATCGAAGCTGGCCAGGAGAATGCTCATGGTGCTGTCAGCCTCAGCGTCGCCGAGAAATACGTTGATGCCTTCTCCAACCTTGCCAAGGAGGGTACTGCTGTGGTTGTTCCTGGCAACGTCGGGGATATGGGTGGTATGATTGCTAATGCCATGGCTGTTTACGGCAAAATCAGTGAGGGCCAGGCCAAGGCCGTCGCAGCGAAGACCCTGGGAGTGCAGGAGCCCGCTCAGACGGAGACCTCTTCTACGACCAAGTCTGAGGCCCCGGAGTATGACCAGGCTGAACTTGAGCAGGGCCAAAAGTCCCACGATCCTGTTCAGGATGTCCTTGAGGGGTTCGACCAGGTCAGCCAGCAGAAACACTAATGAACAAAGCGGCTCCTGTGTTCTTTTAGCTTCTCCCTAGCCTTGTTGTTCTATTATGATTGACCATTCTCCCTTCGCGGTTGCCACTCTAATCACCAACTCACGAATTATCTGGATAACTTGCTGATTATCCAACCCGTCTTGTATCTCTATTGCCCTATGTCTCCGTCAGGTACTGATGCATGATGCTTCGGGAGTCTCCTCGAATGAGGGCTATGGCTACCGGGTATCGGTGCGTGCATCAGTCACGGTAGTTGGTGAAGGGGTGTTGGTATTTGTCTGGATCATGTACAGTAGACAAAAGTGAATTCAGGGGTGCATTCTCTGCCTTGGAACGTAGACAGCAGTAGATAGCAGCTCACCAATCTATACTCTACTTCGAGCCTGGATCGGCGGCAGAAGCTCGGGCCACCGCCTCCCGCGCCGCCCATCCTGGGGATCGCGACTTTCATTGAAACCAGGCGCGGCCTCATCGCTTGTTTCCTTGCGCTGACCCTCCTGATCCTTTCTCGCCAGCCCGAACCGTCGCTCCCACGAGCCCCCTGCCTGCGTCTGACGGTTTCACTTGCGATCGGACGGGCCCGTCATCCGATCAACTGGGGACGAAGTTACTTTGCGATGGTACAAAGAAGTTGTCCCTCTACCATCACCACCAACACGACGTCTACTCGCCAGTGCAACGGAGCTCAAACACACCCACACGCAGATAAAGAGGAGGAACGATTCTAGAAAGGGCATCCACAGTGTCTCCGCAATGCATATCATCAAGCCAGTGTGGCTAACACATGGGGGTAATGTCTTCCCTCCCTTTCGGTTTCCGTCAGACGACAAAAATAATAATTACCACTATTATTATTATAACTATTGTCCTAGCTCACCCACGCAATAAATCATCTTCCGAACCCCCACTGACATCTTTCTCGTTTTTGATCTGCAGGTGAACGGAAAGATTTCGAGGTGTATAGTTGCGATGTTTCCCCCGATGGGAGTCGTCTAGTGACAGCGGCTGGAGGTCAGTGTCCCGTGTATACGAATCATACTTGCTGTTTACGGGGGAAGCTTCACGGAATGGTTTATTGACGGGGAGACATTGTGGAATACAGATGGATATGTTCGGATTTGGTCGACGGATGCTATTTGCAACACCGACGACCCGCAGTATGCCAGTAAGCCGAAACAGCTGGCGTCGATGAGCAACCATTCCGGAACGATTCACACGGTGCGATTCTCGCCAAATGGGAAATACCTGGCGTCGGGGGCCGATGACAAGATTGTGTGCATTTATACGCTGGACGCTAACCCGCCGTCTCATGCGTCGACGTTCGGTAGGTGCTGCCGGTGGCTGAGGGTGGGTTTGGTGATGTCGATGGTGCGGTGACTGATTGGTGTTGTTGTGTTTAGGATCAAACGAGGCACCTCCAGTTGAGAACTGGCGCACGATTCGGAGATTGATCGGTCACGATAACGATGTTCAGGATTTGGGTTGGTCGTACGATTCTTCGATTTTGGTGTCGGTTGGGTTGGACTCGAAGGTCGTGGTGTGGTCTGGAACGACATTCGAGAAGCTCAAGACTTTGTCTATCCACCAGAGTCATGTCAAGGGGATTACGTTCGATCCCGCAAATAAATACTTCGCTACGGCGAGCGATGATCGCACGGTTCGGATCTTCCGGTTCACATCTCCGGCTCCTAATTCCAGCGCACACGACCAAATGAACAACTTCATCCTTGAGCAGACCATTTCTGCGCCGTTCTCCAACTCTCCTCTGACGGCCTACTTCCGCCGATGCTCCTGGTCCCCAGATGGTATGCACATCGCCGCTGCCAACGCAGTAAACGGCCCCGTCAGCTCCGTTGCGATAATCAACCGGGGCTCGTGGGATGGCGATATCAATCTTATTGGGCACGAGGCGCCGGTTGAAGTTTGCTCGTTCTCTCCGCGGTTGTACTCGCCTCAACCGGCCACCAAGCCGGCAGTGGATAGTCAAGGGCATGCGGTGCAGAACGCCGTTACGGTCATTGCCTGTGCGGGCGGTGATAAATCGCTCAGTATCTGGATCACCAGTAACCCTAGACCGATTGTTGTTGCACAGGAGCTAGCCGCGAAGTCCATATCCGACCTTGCATGGAGCCCGGACGGCAAATGCCTCTATGCCACCGCTTTGGACGGAACCATTCTCGCAGTACGGTTCGAGGACGGGGATCTAGGCTATGCGATGGCGATGGAGGAAAATGAGAAGTCGCTCACCAAGTTTGGCACGAATAGGAAGGGCGCGGGCATCACAGAGACCACAGATGGACTGCTTCTTGAGGAGAAGAGCAAAGCTGGGGAGATCAAAGGGGTTGAGGGCCGCATGGGGGCTTTGATGGGTGACGATCATGCTGCGACAGACAACACAGTCAACGGCAAACCGGGCTCGGGGGCATCGAACGGTGTGACGCCGGCACGCGTAGCGTCTCCTCCACCAGATGCACCGAAAGCTCAACCGAACGGGACCGCAGCAACGCCTGCGGCGCCAGAACCAGAGAAGCCCGATCCGTACCAGGCCAAGCTTGAGCGGCTGAAGCAGCGTCCGACATATACCAAGGATGGAAAGAAGCGCATCCAACCTCTTCTGGTGTCTGGCGCAGGAGCTGCCGAGTCCTCTCTGCCACAAGCTCGACTAATGGCTTCGGTCAGTAGCCAAGTGAAGGCCGACACCCCACAATCGATTGTGGATCTCTCCAAGCCTTTCGATGGCTTGCCCAAGGGTGGTCTGCAAGCACTTCTTTTCGGAAACAAGCGGAAGCTTGCCCAGCTGGAAGGGGATGACGATGGGCATGTTGAGAAGCGCGTGGCGCTGGCCAGCCAGAACGGCGCCACCCCGATTCTGGCAAGCACGCCGGATGGCCTGCTTCCTGCTCAACCGCAGCCGGCTGCCGCTGGCCAGCAACAAACCCCGAGTTCATTCGACCCGCCGTGATGAATCCCTGCATGGCAATCAGCCAGCTTCGGTTGGCGGTTCCAAAGATCCGCAGTCAGATTCTGCGAGCGATCGATAACACGGGGAAACCGATGGAGCCCCCCAATGCATCAGGCGAGTCCAGCAAATCACGGGTCGATATTGTTTTCGAAGCACGCAATCCGTCTCCGGCCAGCTTGACAGGACGAGCGGTCGATCGAGAGCCGGTGCGCCTCACGCTCTTCCGTGGTGAGCAGCCGTTGTGGCAGGACTTTCTTCCCCGGACCGTCCTTCTGGTGACAGGTAACCACAGCCTGTGGGCTGCAGCCTGCGAAGACGGCTCGGTGTACATCTGGACGCCGGCTGGTCGTCGCCTGGTCAGCGCCCTTGTACTCGAAGCACAACCAACGATTCTCGAGTGCAATGGCCCATGGATTCTCTGCATCTCCGCCGTGGGCATGTGCTACGTCTGGAATGTGAAGCATCTTTCCTCTCCACACCCTCCCATCTCACTGCAGCCGGTGCTTGACGCAGCCGTCCACACGCTGGGCGCACATCCCACGGCCGCACCTGCCATCACCAACGCCCGGATCAACTCCGAAGGTCGAGTGGTGGTTGCCTTGTCAAATGGCGAGGGTTATTCTTACTCGCCGTCCATGTACACCTGGCAGCGAATCTCCGAAGTTTGGTGGGCCGTGGGCAGTCAGTATTGGAACACCACGGATGCACCCGTGGGCAATCTCCAATCGACTGACTCACAGCAGGATCAAGATGCTAAGGCAGCAGTGTCGGCTGGAATCGTTCCATTCCTGGAGCGTAATACCACCAACGAGACGCTGTTGCGTGGACGGGCCTACTTCCTTCAGCGGCTTATCAAGGTGCTTCTGTCGCGTGAGGGCTACGAGAGCTTCGAGTCCAGCGTCTCCATTGCTCATATGGAGAACCGACTCGCTGCCGCTTTGTCCTTGGGCGCCAAGGAAGAGTTCCGTCTGTATTTGTCGATGTACGCTAAGCGACTGGGAGCCGAAGGGCTGAAGATGAAGGTGGAAGAGCTCCTGAAGGGGTTGATCGGCGGGCTGTTTGAAGAGGACGACACAGGCACCGTCCGTCGTTTACAGGACAACGAGCAGGATGACCGAAATTGGCGCGAAAGCTCAGAGACTCTCTGTGGCTGGCCACGGGAGGTGTTATTGAAAGAGGTTATCCTTTCCCTTGGTATGTGTTTATTTCCCTTGCTCTTATTGTTGTCATGGCCCGTCTGTCTTACTAACCGAATCCAGGAAAACATCGCGATCTCCAACGCGTAACAGTTCCGTATGCCAAGCTTCTAGGAGTCGTAGACAACGAATCTGATGCCGGTGATGCTATGGAAACATAGGCCACGCGATCGCACGGCTTGTCTTCGTTTTTTGTTTGGCGTTATGCTGGCGTTGGCTCGGTGCTGCTTCTTACTGGTCCGGAATGGCCGGACGTATGGGCTGGATGGATGGGGAGGGAATCGTCTTCGTGACTTGCATTTCCTTACTTTGCATGCTATGTATGTACCATATTATTTATTGCTTTGGCGATGTCTCTATTTTGAGTGGTGCTTTCTTTGCCTTTCTGTCGTCATCGCTGCCAGCATGGATATTATTATTGCTCGTTGCCAGGAAGCGGTGCACAATGCGGATACCAGATGACCCTTATATCTAGCGCTACAACCATTAATTGTTTTTACGATGCTAAAGATGCTGACAGCATTTTTCTTCTTATCACTACTCCGTAGATGGCAGCTCACCATCGCCATTGGCCCAGGAGAAGCATATTCGAGGTTGCTATCCTCTATAAACTGTTTGAGTGTCCCGAGAATTGCGGTAGTATTGGCTCATTAGTGACATGGCCTGGAGGTCCCCTAGGATCCTGTGGCATCTTCCTGCATATACTGGAAGTTGCCCATGTTGAGATGGGATATTCCGGGTGAAGGTCATATAGAGGCCCCTTTACCCCGGCCTCTCACGGGTTTTCTTGTGCAACCCGACTTAGATATATTACTCGAACTATCGTTTCTGCTGCCTCTTTCATTCTTACCCATTTGTTCTCTTTGTGCATCGACATCGACATCTTCATCTTTCATCTCAATCCCTTCATTCGTGCTCCTTGTTACCCTCAAAATGCCAACCCCCACTGTGAATTCGACGGACATTCCACTGCTCACCGGAGCAGAAGGCTATAGAGACTGGTCAGCTGCGATAATCACTTCTCTACGCATCCACGGACTCTGGCGATACGTTACGGGAGATTACACCAAGCCGGAAACTCTTGTCACTGTGCAAAAGACCAGAACCCCTGCCGAGGAGACCGAAGACATCAATACTGCGATTGCGAAGGATAAATTCAAACGGTGGCAAGACGCTGATGACAAGGCATACGGCATGATCTGTCAGGCCTTATCGAACTCCATCAAGCACGAGGTGATGGATAAACCATCCTCCAAGGCCGTTTGGGACCACCTGGAAAGTAAATACAATGTCTCTTATAGGGTCCTGTCCTTTAAAGAGCTGCAAGACGTCACCAACACCCGATACGATGAGAGCACTGGAGCAGGAGAATATGTGACGAACATCACGGCAGCGCTGGACAAGCTCGATCAAAGCCTCGGGGATGAGCACACTCTTCCTGAGCCATTGAAGATCCAATACTTGCTTGCCAATCTGGGTGAACCTTGGAATGACTTCTTGACGGCGTACCTGAGTAATCGGTTTCAGAAGGGGAAGACCTCGTTCAATGACGTTGTTCATGACCTTATTCAGGAGGAGTTGGATAGTAAAATGGAGATTGTAATGGCTAAAGTCAGGGCCAACAAGGAGAGGATGGCCGGCAAGAGTGGGGATCAGAGTTGATCGATTTGCATAAGAGCTGGGGATGGCCCCTCCTGAGGTGTGACAGGAAAGCACGTGGTTGACGCCTTTTGTTGTCTGTCCGGGATTGTACCATCACGCTCAGTCTAGTATCATCGTCTTTCTCCATTTTTATCTAGGAAACAACAAGGAAACGCTCCTTAGCAGCGAGTTGCTGTTGAAGAAATCTTAATAATGACAGTGTCTTTCAGTTGAAATACTCACTCTGAGTCCTGTTTCGTGTGTCTCAAATATCTAACATGACTATCGCCATGCCATCTTGCAATACGGAATGGCTATGACTGGGTTGGTCTGATAGCCTCCCCACCTCACAGCCATATAGTTGAGAGCATCCAGAATCCGCATTATTTGGCCACATCGATCCGAACCGTCATGGAAGATCCAACTTTTCCGAGGCGACGGTGCTCCGGGGATGTGTTGATAAGACCCGAGACAATGCTGTGGGTAGTGGTCTATCCATGCAACGCTATGAGGCGCCGGTGCTTATAGCGCATTTGGTGCCACGCTTCTAGCGCATCTACAGCATGTGAAACAGGTCCTATCCAAGACTTGCCCCCACGTGTCCATTTGACATTCTTCGACGCAATTTATCTCGAATGCACCCTTATCAACCGCAGTTGTTGGAATCTTGGCTGCATCGTGAATCTGGCCAGATTTACCAGGCGCTATTTCGTCGTCTCTTGCTGGCATGATTAAAGTAGACACAAGCGGAGCACATGCTAGGCTTCTCTGTTTCTAACTCCCATTATTTACCTCTCTCCTTGCCTCTTCACGCTGCTTCCCATCGACCTCCTCACTGACAGTGCAACTGCTCGTAGGTGGTCTATCCTGACGGCTCAACATGCAGATTACTTTTACATTCAACAAACCCCCATCAGAAGACGCCATATCATTTCTTCTTCATGGGCTTCAAACGATCGACCCCGACGTTACGGAAACTTCGCGTACCACGGACAGCATCAAATTCCAAGCTTCCACGCCTGATGTCGACCCCTTTGGAGCACTCATCAAGTCATGGTGTGACTGGGAGAATCGCCCGTTTGTGGGTTACTACATGGTGTCAGATTTATGATGTCGCCTGGCGTTGGCCTTGACGCTTGCCTCTACCACTGCCTCCGTCATACCAACTGCTGAGCGAATTGGACGGTTTGCATACGGGGTGGATTTGTTTTATTGTATACATAAGGAGTTGGTGGTTCTGTGCGCACAGTGATGCTGGCACAGTAAATTGTGTGCTTGCTGCCTAAAGGGGTTATTATAAATTGTTTATGGGCCTCTAAAATATATGTCTCATTTATGAAAGCTGGTGTCTTGTAAAAAAGCTATAGCAGTAGCGGAATATATACTCCGCAGTAGTATGGTACCTTTCCTTTTCAGTCACCAAAGATATTATCTCTGAATTGAATCCTCAAATATAGGACGATACTACTCTAAGGTTACTGCTCAATTAGTAAGGATGATAATTTGTGGTCTACGGAAACTCAAGTCCATGAGTATAGTAGACTAAGCATATGCCTGGATGATAAGGCAGCGAGGGCTGGCTCCTCACGTGGGCGGTGAACGAAAAGCACAACGAAATTAGCGAACTGCCGGCGCATCATCGTCATGGGGCCCGGATGTATCCTTGGGCAGCGACACCTACACCAGCATACTACTACTGCCACTCACTCACTCACACGCTTTCATTATTGCGACTTGGTTGCACTGTAGAGAAAGCTTAACCCCCCCCCCCCCCAATTCCTCCAATTCCTGCAATTCGCTTCCCCCCTCTTCGTTTCCCCCCTGGTTCTTCGGTCCACGCCCAAGTGGACGCCGTCATCACGTCTTCCCCTCGGGTCCGCGGTTTTGTTTTGCTTTCGATCCCTCTCCGCTTTCATCGCTCCGCAGCTGGTCCTGCTTCCTGTTTGGCGTCGCGCATCAGCTGCTCCCCCTCCTCCTTGTCCTTCGCCTCGCTTGCTCCCTCGTCCCCGCCTCCCCTCTTCTTCCTCTCTCGCCGCGCCTACTCCAGCAAGAAGAAGAAATCCAAAATGCCTCCCAAGAAAGCCGTCGTTCAAGAAAAGGTCCTTCTGGGCCGTCCAGGAAATAACCTGAAGAGTGGTATCGTATGTGAGCATTGACCCCACCAACTATTTTTTTTTTTTTTTTTTTCTATTTTTTTTGGCCCTTCTGCCCCTCCCAACCTCCTGATTTTCCCTCGCTTGTCCTACCCTATTTAAGCCTCCCCCCTGCAGGATTTTTCTTTTTCTTCCTTTCTCTTCCTTCCTTCACACACATTCACACACACACAATGTGATTGTCCAGGAGAAAAAAATGTTTAACCTCCTGTCTCTAGGTTGGTCTCGCCAACGTCGGCAAGTCCACGCTCTTCCAGGCCATTACCAAGTCGTCGCTTGGTAACCCCGCCAACTTCCCCTATGCCACCATTGATCCCGAGGAGGCGCGTGTCGTTGTTCCCGACGACCGCTTCGACTGGTTCTGCGAGCACTACAAGCCCAAGTCCCAGGTCCCCGCCAACTTGACCGTCTATGATATCGCCGGTCTGACCCGTGGTGCCTCCACCGGTGCTGGTCTGGGTAACGCTTTCTTGTCCCACATCCGTGCCGTCGACGCCATCTTCCAGGTCGTTCGCTGCTTCGATGATGCCGAGATTATCCACGTCGAGGGCGATGTCGACCCTGTCCGTGATCTGACCATCATCAGCGAGGAGCTGCGCATCAAGGATATCGAGTTCGTCGAGAAGGCGCTCGAGAGCTTGGGTAAGCAGACCAAGCGTGGTGGTCAGACTCTGGAGATGAAGAAGCTCCGCGAGGAGGAGGCCACCGTTGCCAAGGTGCTCGAGTGGCTGAAGGATGGCAAGGATGTCCGCAAGGGCGACTGGGCTCCTAAGGAGGTACGTTTACTTTTTTTTACTCTTATTTTTTTTTTATCTTTCCCCCACATATGATGAATAAGAGCTATTGCTCGAAATAACCCAGCTCGTCGAATGTCTCAAATTAATTCCAACGGAGGCATCATGAGAGAACGTCCAATCTGATTTCATGTCTTATCTACATTTTGTTATTGCCATGCTCTAGGAAAACAGCTGCTGATTTGACTAGGTTGAAACCATCAACCCTCTCCAGCTGCTCACCGCCAAGCCGGTTGTCTACCTGGTGAACCTCAGTGAGAAGGACTACATCCGCCAGAAGAACAAGTACCTGCCCAAGGTGTTTGAGTGGATCAAGACCAACTCTACTGGCGACCCGCTGATCCCCATCTCCGTGTCGTTCGAGGAGCGCCTGACGCGCTTCGAGGACGAGGCGGCTGCTCTGGAGGAGTGCAAGTCCCTGAACACCAAGTCGGCTCTGCCCAAGGTGATCACCACCATGCGTCAGGTGCTGAACCTGGCCAGTTTCTTCACCACCGGTACCGATGAAGTGCGCCAGTGGACCATCCGTAAGGGCGTGAAGGCCCCGGGTGCTGCTGGTGTCATCCACACCGACTTCGAGAAGACCTTTATCCAGGCCGTTGTGTACAACTACACTACTCTGCGTGAGTACGGCGATGAAGCTGCCGTGAAGGCTGCTGGAAAGGTCATGACGAAGGGTAAGGACTACGTGGTTGAGGATGGTGATGTGTTGTTGATCAAGGCGGGTGCTGCCCGTGGTTAGAATGATGTAGTAAAAATGATATGAACTGCATTCTTCTATTTTGTCCCAGTCGTAATTGTAGCTTTTGCAGCAGTTCATTGCAGCAATCTCTGAAGTCCGTATAGCTATGAAATATGAAGAATCTACTCCGTATCATGAACAGTTCTACAAAGTCTGTCCCCACCATGTCAACCACGTGACCGAGGGATCCCCGCAGCTCTGCCGTGAAGATTCGCGATAGCAGCAAGCGACAGCATCAACACCATACATACATACCAGCCAGCACCATGTTCAAGAAAGAGTGAGTGATACCCTCTAACCGATTCAGCATCCCACATCACGACCCATGTCCACCTCCCACAACCTACTACTTCCCTGCCTCTCTCTCTCTCTATCAACCACATACCTACCCCGCCAACACCTCCAACAAACCTACCTACCCTCCATCTCAAACAAACCCAGACAGAGAAACAGAAAAACAGAACACCTCTCCCCATCACCCTCACCTCCAACCCAACAGAACCCAACATCCCACAATGAAACACCATACTAACCATAGAATAACTGAATGACAGTATCCCCCCGAGCAACCGCTCAAAAGTCAAATCCTCCGTGCAGCGCGGTCTCCGCCAACGGTTCCTAGAAACCTATCCTGGATTCGAACCCTACATTGAAGAAGTCCTACCCAAGAAAGCTCAGTTGGATGCCGTGAAGCTGTACGTCTACCCTATCCAATACTCCCCTCCCACCCAACCCCACCCAATTTAACATCCATGAAAAACAAAACCAGTCCCGAAAGAGCAACCCTCTACACCATCTCCAACACCAACACCCCCCTATTCTACCAACCCATGGACGGGCCCCCAATCCCGCACCTCAAGCTCATCCACGCCTACCCGGACGCACTACCAACCGTGCAGATCGACCGGGGCGCAATTCGCTTCGTGCTTTCGGGGGCGGCGCTCATGGCGCCTGGATTGACGAGTGCGGGGGGGAAGTTACCGGATGCTGAGAATGCGGTGGAGGCGGGACAGGTGGTTGCGGTGAAGGCTGAGGGGAAGGAGACGGTTTGTTTGGTGGGGGTGTTGAAGGTGGGTACCGAGGAGATTAAGGCCCAGGGGAAGGGGGTGGTTATGGATGAGGGGCATTATTTGGGGGATGGGTTGTGGAGGTTCAATCTTGATTGATTAGGTGAGTTATTGGGGTTGGGTTTGGGTTGGGGAGGAGGGGGAGGAGGAGTTGGGGTGGGATGGGATGGATGATACCAGGGCCTTGGTTTAGCTTGGCTGTATGTATGTATGTATGTGCTAGTTTTTTTACATGGGTGGTGATTGGGGAATAGGAAAAGTTAAAAGTTCATGTGTCTGTCTATGTTGGTCTGGTCTGGTCTGTCTGGTCTGGCTATATACAGTCGGTGGGAGGGTATAGGATGTTTCTTCTGGTTAGTGGTCGTCCGGAGGACGCGGTGATAATGGCGTCGTTGGGGACAGCGACGACCAGGACGGCGTGCGGATCGCCAGCCCCAGTCCCTTCACGCTCGTCCCCGAGCCCAGTCCCGGGCCTGGGAGACTGCCATCGCGCAGTCCCGCCCGCATTACCGCTCGCTGCAGCATGTCTCCCGACCCGTCAAGCGCAATCAGGAACCGTGCCAGCTCGCCACAGAGATCCCAGTCGCTCTTCCGCGACGCCAGGTACATCAGCCGCACCACGTAGTCTTCGATCGGCGAGTCGTGGTCGTCGTCTTCGTCCTCGAACGCCTGCAGCACAAGCAGGTAGCCCACCGCCGTCTTGAGCGAGTTGAGCTTCAGCGCTTGCTCGAAGAGATCCTTTGGCGGGGGGAGGTAGGTGAATAGTGTCCGCCATGACCGGAGTTCTGTCTTTCGTGTGCATTGGACTACAATGTCCAGGTAGACCGTGGCCGGTAGTGACGCCTGGAGGAATGATATGACGATCGGGAGGAGGGGATCAGCCTTGTTTTCCTTGCTGGCATTGTCGACCTCGTCGTCGAGAACGTGGTGTAGCAGGACTTCCAGCGCGTGCGGAAAGTAGGAGAGGTGTGAGAAATGCTGGCATAACGACAGCGCCGCTGGCATGTCGCCATGTGTCAGGCTATGTTGGAGGAAGTATGGGAGGAAGAGATGTGTCTGGACAGTCAGCAGTAGTCGCAAGGGCTGTAGGGTGAACTCACTCGGATAGCGAATTTTAGCACAGAAAAGGTGACATCGCGGCGCTGGGTCATCTCTGCTTCCACCCCCAGCACGATCCCCTTGTTCAGAAGGACTGACAGAGGGTAAAAGTCTAGAGGCACCTCCAGCGGCTTCGCAACGTCTTCCCGGCGCAAGACATCCTGCACATCACTCCAAGAAAGGAGCTCTTTCCCGCAAAATGTCCACAGCGAGTCCCGTAAAGAGAGGTTGCTGTGATACATGTTCAGAGCCATCTCTGCCGCCGGACTAGGCGGAATTGACTCATCCATGGACGGCGTGAAGTTGAAGGACAACTGGTCCCGCATTAAGATATAGTATTCAACTTCATGCGACACCACCCGCATGTCGTACTTTAGCTCCCCGGTCTCCGACATCGATGGCTGCAGCAGAACCAAATTGCCGTCAACCAACAAGAGTACTGATGCGACCTTGACGTCTTGAGATGGATCACCATTCCCTATTCCAGTCAGTATACATCATCCAAAGACGCGAGGCACGTACGCATCTGTTCTTCGGGCAAGATCCAGCTGATCGCCCGCACGCGGGTCGGTGCCCGCACGATTCCATGGAATGCAATCTGACCAACCGGGACCAGTGTGATTCGGGAATGGGCCGAGTTGATGATATAGTGATAGAGAATATTATCGTATGTATAGACAAGAAGGGAGTCTTCGCCCGATGGTCCGATGAAGACGACCGGCGAAGGAAGGTATTCTATGTGCAAAATGGTCTGGTTGTTCAAAGGCATCTCTCGCGAGTATAAACGCAGCTGGTACGGTTAGCCCTCTGCTACGGCCAGACACTGTGCTGGACTCACCTCATAAGATCCATCATTGTCGATGGCAGCAATCAAAATGTGTCCGTACCAACACATGCCGCCCCGGACTGCAAACGAGTTCTCAATCTTGGAGTCCTCAAACACCCGCCAGCGGCCGCTGTTAACGCTGTAGTGTGCAAGGCCACGCCGGCCCGCGATGGCTACGTACCTCCCGTCCTGCGAGACGACACTGGAGCGGATGGGCCACTGAGAGTGCAGGTAGGATGGCGGATATTGCGCATGGTGCCAGAGCGAATCCTTACCAGAAATGGTCATAATGTCGGGGAGATCGTGGCCGCGATAGAGAATGATCTCCGTTCCGGTCTGCAAGAGACCTCGAGCCAGGTTGGCAGAAGAGTAACAGCCCGTCAAGGCGCTCCGTGCGGTCTCCAGAATCCATAATCGACGGTCATCCTGGCTCGCAAGAATAATTTCTGCTCCCCCGCCTATCCAGCAGCCATTGGAGACCCCAGTCACCCAGTCCTCGTCGTTCGACTTGGCAAGCGTCCGGTCTGCCGTGAAGCTGTTCCCACCCGGCTTCCCAAAAACACTCCATGTCGTCCAGCCACGCTCGTAGCCGGCAAAGAGACAATATCCATCCGGCGAATAGGACATAAATGATAGATGGCCAGTCGTAGCAGGTGAAGCTGGCAGCTGCAAATTGTGTGAAAGGGGAACATTTCCCATATAGTCCTTGGCTGTGTAGACGAGGATATCACCGTTGGCGCAGTTGACAGTAAGAAGTGAGAACCGAGCGTTGACTGCAACTTTCATGGCTTTCTCGCCATCATTCTTCGGGTTGTGGAAGCAGTGTCCCTGGAAAAGCTTCTTCGGAGACTCCGAATCCGGTGCTCCGTCTGGGGTGCGCTGAACCGCATACGCCTGCCCTTCGTTGGTGATCCACACCAGCAGATTGATGGCCCGATCATACACCATATCCGTAATGGACGTGCGCTTGGACACGCCAAGGATACGGCTCAGAAGCTCCGACGTGGTCTGGGAGCCGTCCGCATCGGGCGTCCACCGAATGCACTGGATGGCTGCGGGCTTCACCGTGGCGACGACAAGTTCATTGTCCAATGCAAGGGCCTTAGCAATCCCAGACTCTATCTTGATAGCCATCCTAAAGCGAATGCTAACATCTCGGATCCCAGTGGCCTCCTCCTCCGCGGTCAAGCGAGCAAGCTGTTGCCGGCGGGTTGAGCTAGTCTGATCGAAATGTTGCTGATACACACGAGTATTAGGGCCGACAGCAATCGTATACGTCAAGAGATATCCATTCAGCGTTTGGACCACGAGGATCGTCGAATCTGGATGCATCAGGAGAGCTACATTAGGCCCATAGTTCTCCAGGGACGAGGCAGACCGAGCAACCGCAGCAACAACAGCGGTGGGCTAACCGCCAGTCAACACACATGCGCATCATCACGAAGGACACCAGGACGTACTCTAGTTTGCCAGATGGCGATCGACGAGCTGGTCATCGTCGCAAACATAAACCCACTCCGCGAGACGCAGAGACCGGCAATGGGCTCATCTGCCCAGGCCGAGTCCGTCCCCATCGGCTTCTCGGGTTCATTTTCTCTCAACGACAACTCCTGCTCCGTGGAGCTCTCATAATCTATTGAATCATCGTCATCGGAAGGTGTAACCGGGATGGCAGGGCCATTGATCGCATAGACCCGGGGAACTCCATTGGGCCAGTACATGGCTCGACAAAGGCGCGAGAGTCACGGAGTAGAGCGAGTTCACATCGAGTCATCTTCGTCAAACGCGGGAAATTCAGACCGTCGGAGCCGGGACAGATGCGATCCCACGAGTACCGACCATATCCACCCAAGCCTCTCTGACAGCGATGGATGGAAGATGACGGGGACTGGATATGGATGGGATCCAGGTCGGGAGCACGGGGTATCACGTGCTGGGGAGCTCCGAAGCAAACGTGCCAAACGCTATAAGTCCCCGCATCCAAAATCCCCCGCGACGCCATTTGCTTTGTCCGTGATAAGCCCTCCTTTTCTCAAATACCCATCTCCCTAGCACAATGGTAAGATTGTTCTATCGCGCAGACCCCGACCGGTTCAATGGTCGCAGATTCTAATGCATCCCACTCTCTAGGCCCCCACAGAGTCCAAGAAGCGCCTGGCGCTCGCCATCGTCGACTTCCTCGGTGCCAGCTTGAAGGATGGCACCCTGACCGCCGATGACGCCGAATCCATCGAGATCGCCCAGTCCTGCATTGCCGATACCTTCAAGGTCGACCCGTCGAACGAGGCTGCTATGAAGGATGCTCTGGGTGGACAGTCGCTGGCCAGCATCTACAGTGTCTACGAGAAGCTGCGGAACAAGCCCGCGGGCGACTCTGCCAAGACCGGTGAACAGAAGGCCCAGCCTGGTGCCCCTACGCCCGAGTCTGATAAGCTGAAGTCTGAGGGCAACGGTGCCATGGCTCGCAAGGACTATCCCGCTGCCATCGATCTGTACACCCAGGCCCTGGCCATTGCTCCCTCCAACCCGATCTACCTCTCCAACCGGGCTGCTGCCTATTCCGCAGCCGGACAGCACGAGAAGGCGGCGGAGGATGCCGAGCTTGCCACCGCCGTGGACCCCAAGTACTCCAAGGCCTGGAGCCGTCTGGGACTGGCTCGTTTCGACTTGGCCGATTACCACGGTGCCAAGGAGGCGTACGAGAAGGGTATCGAGGCCGAGGGCAACGGTGGTAGTGACGCTATGAAGAGGGGTCTTGAGACCACCAAGAAGAAGATCGAGGAGGCCCAGCGTAGCACCGAGCCTCCTGCCGATGAGGTCGATGATGCCGCTGGAGCATCCCGTGGTGCTGGCGGCATGCCCGATCTGTCTTCCCTTGCTAGCATGCTGGGCGGTGGTGGTGGCGGTGGCGGCGGTGGTATGCCCGATCTCGGATCCATCATGAGCAACCCCATGTTCTCGAGCATGGCTCAGAACCTGATGAGCAACCCCGACATGCTCAGCAACCTCATGAGCAACCCCCAGTTGAGACAAATGGCCGAGAACTTTGGCCGCGGCGGTGGTATGCCGGACATGTCTTCTTTGATGAGCGACCCCAACATTGCCGATATGTAAGTGACAGAACCTAGCTGTCCATTGTTTACAGACTAACCTAGTCTTTAGGGCCCGCAACATGATGGGTGGTGGCGGTGCCGGACGTGGAAGCCAGTGATGGGAAGATATCCCGAATTTCTAATGTCTGAGCTTTGATGAGACGTAAAAACATTATTGATCGCCGAGGGCACTCGGCCTCGTACCCGTGCAAGTATGATATTAATATTGAAAGCGAATAGACATCGCTATACTTGACGTCCATCTTGCGAGGGGACACGTTTCTTCGTTCACTTTGTATTTACAGAATCTCATAATGATCCACGACGTACCAAAAAGTTAGGTCACATAACGTAACTAGTCGCTTATCAACAACCGCCAGAGTTGGTGAAAATGTTACCAAACAGGCCACAACATAAAGGAACAGATAAACACGGAGTTAGATGCAAGACTTTCATCAGAAGAGTGGAGGGTGAGGTTGAAGATCGAAGAACACGACTCCCGAAACGCCCAGGGAAGCAAAATGCCCAGATGCACAGATTCCGCTAGCTGGCCTGGGGAGGAAGGCCACAGCAGAGGTAAGAATACCACGAAAGGTGGGAACGAAGAGGGCGTCCAGCGAGATTAATCAGTTACTATCACAGACATTCCATGGAGCGCCAGTTCCGCCTGGTCTCTATTTAAAAATCAATATTGTACAGTCGGATGATATCAAAACAATCGAGAAGAGAATAGAGGCATGTCATAGACCAAGAATCAAGCAGAGGTGTGATGATCGTTGAGCGTAGGGGTAATCGAAGAAGGAGGTGCGTTTGAGTAGCTTAGATGTAGTCGCGAGCAGCCTTCTGCAACTCGATCAATCTCCAGCCCCGGGTCTCGGGGTTGTTGACATCCTCGGGTATCCGCGTCAGACCGATGGCGTAGGTGACCAGTTGAACCTTGTCCTCCATGCCGGCGGCCAGCTCGCCAGTCTTCACATTCTTATAGACGTGAACCTCCTGCGAGCGGCAAGTCACCACGAACACGGGGATGTCACCGGGCTCCAACATGCGGGCGTGGGAGATGTCAACGCCACGGACATCGAGAATCCTACCGTCCGACTTGAGGCCAGCGGTAGTGTACTGCTGAGCAAGAGCAGCGTAGACATGGAATTGCGCATCGGACAGCCAGAGCTTCAGGGTCTCGACGTCTCCCTTGACATAGGCGTCAAGCACCTCGGGCAGGATGTATTCACGCATTTCCCTCAGGAACGCTTCCATCTGGAAGTTGGGATCCATTTCCCGGAACTTCTTGATAACCCGGGCAGTCTCGTTCTCGGCGAAAAATCCAGCGACACGGTCCGAAATGCTGCGTGCGGTGCTGATCAGGGGGTTTTCCGACTCGTTGTAATTCTCCTTCAGGGTGAAAAGCTTCTGCATCATAGGGTTAGAGTCCTTGAAGTCGCGCCACGACTCCTTCCAAGCAGAGTCCTTGTGAAGTGTAACGTTGGTTCCGGCACTGGAAGGAAAAAGGGATATTAGAGGACTTCACGACAAGATCTGTAAGAATGACTCACTCAGGATCTTCAACCATCGGCTCAAGACGGCGGCCAGACTTGAGCTCCTCCTCTTCACGCAATTTCCTCTGTCTCCGGCGCTCCTCCTTATCGATGTAACCACCGTAGCGAGAGCTGCTACCATCATCGATGGCATTCTTCACACCGCCCACGGCACTCTTGTAGGCCTCGGTCTCTCTCACGGGTCTGGTGGCCTTCTCGAGACCGGAGCCAGTCGCGTTGACACCCTTTCTCAGACCCTTCACGACGGGGGTATTCCAGGTCCAGGATGCTCCGGTGCCAATGGCCTTACCGGTCGACTTCAGGGCAGTGGCGGTCTTGGAAGTAGCGGCTCCCGAGGCCGCTTCATAAGCGGCACGAGCCCGCTTGATGTTCTCGTTCTCCGAGAACTGGTGAGCCGAGGAGGCAAGGGCCTTTGTCGACTCATTCCATTCCTTAGATGCCTTGAACTCTGTTTGAAGAGTCTCCGTGAAAACCTGCCAAGGGCTCTTGTCACCGTGGGGTGGCGGCGGAGGCGCATCCTTCTTCTCTTCCTTCTTTGATTCTTCCTCAGTCTTCTCCTCCTTCGATTCCTCGGACTTATTTTCCTGCTGCTCCTCCTTCTCCTGCTTATCCTTTTGCTGTTGTTGTTGTTGCCAGCGAGGGGTGGCAACGTGGAAGGACCTGGTCAGCGGAAGAGCAGCATACGGGGATACAAGCTGGGAGACGGGACGGTCCGCGCGCTGGTTGCTCAGAAGGGTGGGTCGTGATGTTGCGTAAGAGCAGGACTGAATCAGGGAGCGTTGGGAGATAGCAGCACTGCCGGATGCCGTCTTCAGAGTCGATATCTGGGACCGTAGGGTGGCCGCCCGCGCGGTAGCCGACATCCTGGTAGCCGAGATCATGCTATAGGCGTAAGACCAACAAAATCCAGTCAATGTAAAGAGAGAACCGAGTCGAAAAGGACCGAGTTCGCGCGTGTGTCAACCCCGAAGAGAGGGCGGGAGGTGAGGTTGAGATGGTGGAGGTGGAGGTTGAGGAAGAAGAAGAGGGAGGAAGCGATGTCGGCAGCTGGTTCGAACGAGAGAAGGAAGGGAAAAAAGTTGAGGTGCTGAACGCCAAGCATCCGTCGAAAATTCGGCCCTCTTCCGCCGCCCTTCGTCCCGGCCCAGACCTGCGCCGCATCCACGACTAGATCCAACCCCGGCTGTCTGCAATTGCGACGCTCTTTGATTTGCTCCGTCTTCTTCGCTCAGTCGCCTCGCCTCGTCTCTGTCCTGCGCCTCCTCGCGTTGGCCGGTATAACGGCCACGTCCGGTTCTTCCACCCGCTTTTTTTGCCGCATCTCCCCGACATCCTCCATTGACAGTTACCGCGAAGATGAACTCGAACTTCGTCACTGCCTTGACAAGGGCCCTGCCTACTGTTGGCCGCTCGTGTCAGCTTCGTGCCTCTGCCTTCCGTCTTACCAGGCCGTTCTCTTCGACCCCAACCATTCTCGAAAGTGCGAAGGAGAAGAACCGTCAGATCGAAAGGCAGATTCTGAACACCCCTGCGGAGCAACAACCTTCCTCTGACAATGCGTCGATCTCTGCAATCACTCAGATGATGCAGGGCGAGTCGGGTCGCACGAAGCAGAACGTGAGTCGCGACTACGTCAGAATGGCTGAGAGCTTAGAAGACGAGATGATCAAACAGCCTTATGCCGACCGGACTCCTCCCCACCACCTCCATGTCTACTGCCATAAGCACAACACTTTGTTGACGCTGACCCGGCCAAACGGAGACCCCATGATGGCCCTGAGCTGCGGTCATCTTGGTTTCCGGAAAGGAAAGCGTGCGGGTTACGAACCGGCCCATCAATTGTCGGCCCACGTCTTCGCCCAAATACAGGAGAGAGGATACCTGATGGATATCAAGCGCTTGGAGATTATCTTCCGTGACTTTGGACCCGGTCGTGAGGCTTTCACCAAGGTTTTGCTGGGCAACGAGGGACGGAACATCCGCGGCCTGGTTTGCCAGGTGACGGACGCATCCCGAGTGAAGTTTGGTGGTTCGAGAAGCCCCAGGGTCCGTCGTCTTTAAGAGGGCCGACTTGGTTGGCGGGGATTGTTTGTTGCTTTTGACAGAGGGATGTGCATTGCTAGAACATCTGGCACCAGAGCAAGGGATGGGATTGATCGGTGATGCCCCGCGATGGGCCCTACTAGTCCAGCCAGATGGTGACTCTGCATTCTACCGGCCCAAGCACCTTGATGTATGGTACCGCCGGGGGGTGGTTCAGGGTTCAGCTCATTTTCTCTATTTGTATACTAGCCAGCCTGTTCCCGGCATATATGGGATTGTTTTTGTTGATGCGAGTTTCTACGGGTGTCCAATGTATATCATGCCATGTTCTTCTACCACGTGTAGACTGGACGGTTGGATGTATAAGTTCTAGAAGTTGAAGTATAAGTTGAAACGCTGGGATCTAGGCCGACCCAAAACGGAATAGCGCGAGGAGCTTCCAGGTCGGCCAGTCCGCGAAAGCTGTTGGCTGAGTCCCTCTCAAGTCTCAACCCCCCCAACTTGCCCACTTTAGTTTCACCTTCTTCCCCCTCGTTCGGCTTGCGCTTCCAGCTTGTCCAGCTTGTGCATCGTGACGTCTATTTTCTCTTCTCTGCTTGGCCCATTGCGCTTTCTCCTTGTGCTCTTTGTTGGGATTGCACGGGCTCGGATTATCTGCGGGCGCATGCGCCGGAGCTGCTCCTCTGCGACGATCGAGCAGCGGATCCCCCCTTTCGAGACCGGTCTAGACGGCTTCATGAGTGCCGGTGATTTTGTGCTGGGCCGTCGTCCAAGACCGTTTGGATGCACCCTCTAAATCCCTTTCTCCGTGCCTTCTTCCGAAGCACCGTTCCGGGGCAGTGTATACCCACCGAGAATCATGTATGTCCCGCCGAACTCTATCGGTCCCCCTCCCTCCCCGGCCTGAAGCCGGCTTCTGACATTCGCCATCTAGGTCCTCTTAGTACCGGTCACAGAATCTCTGGTCGGTTCGCGCGACCGCGAGTCATCCCTTTACTACGCCGATCTCGTCGTGTCCGAAGAATTCTTGGGCAGCCATACCTTGCGAATACCAGTGTCCACCGGGGCCGGCGGGGGAAAGGATGACTCGAATATACGTGACAGTCGCGGCAAAGCCAAACAAGTAACGACTGTCAATGGGCGGACGGTGATCATCAAGGAGAATTCGGTGTACAGCAATAAAGGTGGGAAGGTATCTGGAAGGTCTTTCGGCTTGGCATGCACTGAACGTGGTTTTTAGGCTTCAAGTCCCTGAGTCAGGCCCAGCTATTATCCGATGCGTTGTATTACAGCAACAATAACGACTCGCAGCCATGGCTGATCTACTACATCTCTCGGCCGTTGATCGGCTCGTTCGACCCCGGAAAGATCGTCACCGCTGTTGTGCCGGGGATGCTACCAAAGAGGAATATCCTAGGCAACGGCACCAAGTCTGGAGAGCCTGTTTCGTCCCCACCAAAGAAGGAAATCAAGACATTCGGAGAACTGCTCGCGAACTTCCCAATGATTGCACGTCAGATGCAACCTGGCTTGGAGAGGCTCTTTAAAGAGTTTGGAAAAGAGTTGGGGAAACCGTTGCCTCCGCCCCCTTCCCGTTCTCCTCTGATGTTCGACGACTACGAGCGGAAACAGAACGGCGACGAGATCACCGCTGATGAATCCGCTTCCATCCGCAGCTCGTCATCCCGTAATAGGGATGGGCTTCCTTTCAACTCCGAGGAGTACTTTGAGGATGACGAGGACCTGATGCGTCGTAGTCTGGAGACGGCTGTTACTGCCGCGATCGACCTGTTTCGGCTAGTGGACAAGCAGCAGTTGTCTTTCCTCGGTGCCACCACCGATCTGACAGGCCCACTGGTTGAAAGGCTCATTGAGCGCTACGTCGCTGAACAGGTGCACGAATCCCTTCTCTTCCCTCGTCTCTGCAGCTTCCGTCAGCCAGAAGATGCAGAGCTGGATTCTAGGATTCGCTATATGGATAACATCGATATATCGCAGGTTGGGATAGCTGTTGAGGGTGGGCGAGAGGGCAAGCGGGAATTGCTGCGGCGCATTGGGAGAGCAGTGGAAGAGTTCCGCAAAACCCTGGACGCTAAATGCCCTCACGATATGCTGAACACTTTGCTTGAGACAATCAAGCTTCTGTCGTATCCGGGAACCTACGATAGGGTGGGCTCGCAGACGTCGGAAAAGCAGTACGCGCCGATGACCATCAATGCTGACATCCTGGTTTCATTGCTGTTGGTCGTAGTCATCAGATCTCAAGTGAAGAACCTGCAGGCGAGGCTGATGTACATGCAACACTTCATCTATATTGATGATGTCGACAGCGGTGAAATGGGATATGCGTTGAGCACGCTCGAAGCAGTCCTGACTTACCTAGTGACTGATTCTGCGGGCCTCCGACGAGCCAGTATCAGGAATAGGCGCTTATGGAATGCGACGAAAGGCGGACGTGTCATGGACATGAAGGCGATATTGGAACCGAATGGTGATCAGGAGTCGCTAGATGACGTTCCGAGCGAGTCTGAAGAAAGGACCGTTGCATTTCGAACCCACGACGATGATGTACTGTGTCAAACTCCACATGAGCCCTTGCCTATACCGGATGCACGGCTCGAGACAAATGCTTTCAGCGACATGGCACATGCTGAGACGCCCTCCGAACCGCCTCCTCTCTCCCACGTGTTTCCTTTCCAGACATGGGCGAGCGCCTCCCCTCCGAGAGAGATTCGACGTCCCATAAAGAAGGTATCCATGGACGTCCGCAGTCTATCCGAATCATCTGGCATATCATTAGCTTCTCGGACGACAGGCATGGGCTCCATCTCGAGTGCGATCGAAGGTGACAGCTCAATTGAGACGTTGACCAAGACACAGGATCCCGCAGGTGATTCGATTCCAATGATGGCCGTTGAAAGCCGCCAACCGGAGGCCCTAAAATATTTGCTCAGCCTACAAGACTACTATCCGCTGGCGGATATTCTCGAGGACACAAACACCAATGGGACGACGTTATTAAGTGCTGCTGTTCAGCTCGCTCATGTTGAGATGGTCGACTTGCTGTTGAGCTTCCTCTTCAGTTCAACCGACAAGCACACCATTTCCTCGTACCTGCAGAAGTCAGATATGCATGGACGCACGGCTGCTCACTATTTGTTCAGCACACCGTCGGTGATGCGTAAGCTCGAAGGGCTTCTGCCGTGGTGTCAACGTGACAAGCATGGTCAAACGCCGCTTTTCGCTCTGTGCAGATCCTATGACCACCCGGACTACAAGTCAATGGTAACTGAGGCACTCACGGCCGCGCAGATCGCTCAAGGCGATGGCAAACCCTTGCGGCTTGATAACCATGTCGATTCCAAGGGCAATACGCTGCTGCATATCGTCAGTGACCCAGAAATCACGATCCGAATCCTGCAGGAATGTGACTGTGATCCAAATGCGACAAACGACAAGAGATTTACGCCTCTTATGATGGCCAGCAAGTACGGCCGCATTGACCAAGTTCGGATCCTCTTCTTGGACCCTAGAGTCGATGTTCACCTCAAGGAAAGTCGTGGCTTGACTGCTGTCGAACTTGCCAAAGATGACGAAGTGCGGAATCGCATTGACGATCTCATCCTTCTCTCCAACCCCCCTTTAGCCTACGATGAACAGTCTGGTCGTGTGACGACCGTGGTGCGCTCGTACTTTGTTGAGGATGCGACAGTGCGTTTTGTTCTCAAGTCTGGTGCCCCGAACCCAGCAGCGAACTTGGCGGACTCGCGTCCAGCCTCTGGCACAACGTTTACTGTCACCACATGCCGTCGCACTTTTGCTGACTTCGAGAACCTTGCCACATGCCTGTCCGTCGAGCACCCGGCTTCCTATATGCCGTCTCTCTCCGACTTCCGCAGCCCGTTTCAAATCCATTCCAAACCGTCTCGCTCCGTCCTCCACGACATGCAAGAAAAGCTCGACAGGTTCCTCAAGGTCCTGCTTTCTCACCCTACGTTTGCCACGCACGAAATGCTCTGGGAGTTCTTCCTTGTCCCGGAATTGCAGCCCGAAATGATGGCAGACCGCTCCCATCGCAAAGCCCAGGTCCTCACGGAGTCCATCAATGATGACTACGAACCAGTTACGCCCGAAGGGATGCGCGAGACGGAGCAGTTTGTCTCGCACGCCCAAGATATGGTCCGCGCCGTTCACGTCAACACTCGCAGCCTCCTCCGCCGCGGCCACGCTCTGCAGAACGCCGCCTCTGATATCGCGGACGCCGTCGCCCTCTGCGCCTCCATTGTCTCAACCCTCAAGGAACCCACCAACGCCCTTCCACTTTCGCACGTGGATGCATTTACTCGCTACGCAACCCACCTGTCCACTTCATCCTCAGACTCCTCTCCTCTCCTCCAATTCCTCACGGCACTAACCTCAATCGACAACACCACAACGGCAATCCTATCCTCCCTCTCCCGCCCCGTATCGCTCATCTCCAGTCTGTCATCCACGAACAGAAGTCTTTCCCGCAACCGCTCATCTCTCGTGGCCTCCTCCCTTCCCCGCAAATTCAACCTCAATTTCCCAGGTCTCGAAGAATCCCGCCAAAAGTCCGCCCGCGACCTCGAAGCCAAGATCCAAGAGTCCGAAACCCAGATCGCGCGTCTCTCCCGCGAAATAACCTGGAACAAGGACGTCGTTGTCGGCGAGCTCGCAGGCTGGACGACCTGGCGCGAGAAAGTCGGTCGAGATGCCATCCGCTCCTTCGTCCGGGCCACCTTAGTCCGGGAACGAGAACGAGGAAAGCGACTAGAGCGGTGTTTAAGGGGTGTGCGAGAGATGAGCTGAGCCGAGACAATCTGTTTTATCTATCATGGTTTCTCTTTTTTTTTTTTCTAGTACTTTTACGTATGCATGTGAGGCGGTGTATTTGATTGAATCTTGTTTGTTTGCGTAACTTCCTATTTTTTTTTGTTTCTCTCCCTTTTATTTATTCATAAATGGCAAGATTGTAGACTTATTATTGACTGGTTTGCGGTGATTTGTTGGCCTCCTTTCATTTCAGGCACTCTCTTGCTTATTTTGTGTGTGTGTGTGTGTGTGTGTGTGTGCTGTTCTACTCTACTATAATCGTCGCTCTTTACTTTATGAGTCCCGAGGACTACCTAACTAAACCATATTATATTATATTTCTTAATATAACTTCGATGACGTGATGATATGGGGGTGTTCAATATGTGATACAAAGATGTTTTCATGTAGTGAGTGGAAGTGGGGATGGAATGAAGGTCGGGTGATATAGGTAGAGTCTTTGGTTAACCTACCAAGGAAGGGAACAGGTGCTGTCATCTCTGTCATGTTGATTGGGTTGGTCATTTCCTTGGTCGACATGATCGTGGGCACACGAGTAATGTCTACTTTTGCATAGGTTTGGAGCTAGAGAGGTCAGAAAGGGGTCAAAGCTGATATGTTTGGAGAGAAGAGATAGTAGTGGAATGCGTAGACTACTGTAATTTGAGACACGCCCTTGGAGAAGTCCCAAGTGGACTCAGGCAGGTAAAGAAACAAACTATGTTCATATACACGTCCGATGCACCGCCCATCAAGACAGAGAAGTAATCTATAGACGGAAGAGAAGGAAAAGAAAGTAAAGACACCTCACTACCGGTGCTTTGCATATAACATCCAAAGTCGTGTAGTGTGTGATTAGTCCAAACACGTATGCAATAGTCATTCCATCCCAGGGGTCTATGGAATCAAAATGAGAAAAGAGGCGACATTGTTCTTTGTATTGCTGGTAGCTTGAACAAACTATTCGCACCAAAGGACTCGCGCTTGTTGTTCGACGGGGTATCACCTGCCTCACTGTCGGGCCTCAAAGGTGTCCGCTCGAAGCTTTCAGCGGGCTCTGACCGATGTGTCATCGGTTTGACTGAGAATGATGCCACCGGCTTCAAGGGAGATGGTACAACAACAATCGACTTAGCCTTCGAGCCATGACGTTCATGCCGGGAGGGCCTGAGGGCGTTGACTGGACGTTCCGGTATGGAACTTAATTGGGGGGTGGAGCTTCCATCTCCCAGGTGAGAAGAGGGTAGATCCAGCGCAAGTGTAGAAACATTCTTGCTCGCGCGGTAAACCCTCGTCACAGAGGTACCTTCTTGTTCGACGACATAGGTCGAAGATGGCGAACGATTACGACTGAACATCAAGGACTCTCTACTCGATTGCTTGCTTCCTGTTGACTCCATCTTGTGACCGTCCTCGAGCAAGCAGAGGGTGGAGTATCTGGAGCTTGCGTAGTTCAACCTTTCGCGCTTATGTCGCTCCCAGCTTCTTTTGATCTTCCTTATGGATAAGATGGCCAAGAAAATGAAGGCCATGACTGTAATAGCCGTGAATATGCAGGCTGCAGCAATGGAGCTTTTCTTATAACTCCAATGGGGTATCCAGTTTCTGTTTGTGGTCCCTGCTTGTTGGGAGTCTGCACGTGGGCTTATCTGAGATCTCCCAACTCGTGTCCCACCATCCTGAATTGCGACCATGGCTTCTGACAGGTTGTTCAAGGGCGTTGCAGGCTGAGCTTCTTCTGTATATTCAGCTGCATTCAGGGTTCTCCCTGGGCCATGGTTGGCGTCTGCGCTGTGTTCGTCCCACAGCCGCTTATCCGCCAGATTGATGCCCAACAAGTTGTAAGCGCTTTCCAGTATCCCTTCAGGACTTAGCCACGGCCAGTTCTCAGCGATTGGTGTTGACGGGGCAATAGAAGTCGATTGCGTGGGAAAGGCGTATGGAGCCATGAGCACCTGTTGGCTTGCAGTTCACCGAAGATAGGCAGGGACAGCTCTAAGAATGGACTGTGAGGTTCAAGTAAAGATTGCAGATGCAGTACAGCTCTTAGATGACGGTACCCTGCGTACTGATAATTAACGCTCATCAGAGAAAAGAGCGGGGTTAGCAGCATGTAAAGAATATGATAGAGCATTTAAGGTGGAACAGGCATCGATACGGTTCGGATCAGGGATGCTGGCTGAACCCAGAGGAAGTTGCCGGGAGAAGCGCCGCTGGGTCGTGGTTTCCTAGCCACGTCCACTGAAGAGACGATAGAACTGGCATAGTGGACGGTTTAGTCCTCAGCATAGATGCCCCTTTCGACACTGATTGTCAATACAAATGACTCCTGATAAATTGGTGGAATATCCAGATGATGCTAAACTCAAGTGAATATATATATCGTCACTTTTCTTCGAGTTCAGTGTGGCGGGCACCATGAATCAACATGATAGAACTGCAACCTAGCATAGAACCTTCTAGAGAAATCCCAATCCATGAGATTGACAATGAAACAACCCATCCAACCGGCGACGACTACAACAGACAGTGAAGCCAGACGCGATCTTGCGTAACTCTCCCCGGCATGTGACAGCCAGCCTCACCCATTTCGATCCCACTAACCGCAAGCGGACAAACTTCCCGTGCACCGCCGCAATCAAGCCACATCAACAGCATGATGTCATATCCGTTCCTCGTTGCATATATAGGTAGAGGCCGTCCTGTCAACCTTATCTACCATTTGCAACCCCAGGAATCATCTCATTCTCTTTCCTCTCCTACAACCGAAAACCACATATTCAATATCGAAAATACTTGACAAAATCTCTCATCATGCCTCTCGTCGTCCCCGGAATCAACAGCGCCCCTGGTCCCAACCAAGAGGAATGGCTCCACAAGCTTGCGGGGAAGAAGATCACTGAGTCGGATAGCGATGTGACTGTACGTTGCCTTCTTTTCCTAGTCTACCTCATATCGCAGTCTATCACCTGTGGTTTACGTGATGCTAATGTACTTTGGGGCAGTCATTCGCGAAGAAGGATCTTCCCGAGGGCCATCGCGTCATCAAGCCCGGAGACGCTGTCACGATGGATTTCAGACCCGAACGGTGAGCATACATCTCTCGGCTTTTTGATCTCAATGGTACACATACTGATGGGGTTTTATTCTCAGGATGAATGTTCATGTGGACGATGAGGGTATCGTCCAGCATGTCTCTTTTGCTTAGACGATGATACATGGTCGATTTTCTATGATGACGTAACGTTGACTTGTTAAGATACACACTGGGATGATTTCCTATGCATTATGGATGGAGGGGATTCGGTTCTATGACAATAATATTATTTATTCTGGCTATAGCAGCATAAGTGGGATTGACACTTCTCTGGACCTATGCGTAGTGTAGTTGGCTGATAAGATATCGCGATATGTCTAGTAAAGATATGATAGGATGTGAGAGATTGTATTGTAGCCAGTCTAGCCCTCTCTATAGCAAAGCTCAAGTTTATCAGCTACTCTGCCTTCCATCTCAGCAACGTCAAAGAGTGCTTAGGGAATAGATATGATCCCGTGGCCTCCCACGTACTCTCCGTCACACCAACCTCCTGCTTGCCGTTCATGTTACACGCCCCCACACTGTCACCAGTAACAGTGAAGACAGAAATACTCCCCGACGGCCCCTCAATCTTACTCTGGATGCCCCTCTCAGCATCGATATTAACCACTGCAACGTTCACATACCCATCTTCACCCAGCGTAGCACTCACATCCAGCCAGGGCGTGTCCTTCACACCACGCACCCACTTCGGAGACGTCTCACCTTCATAGGCAGCACAAGAAAGATGCACACCGATGGTCCAGCCCCGCATGTACTTCGAAAACAGAGACAGAGGCCACCAGGTTGTCTGCTTAGTGATGCCATTCTTACTGGTCATAAGGGGGGAGATGACATTAACTGTCTGCGCAATGCAGGCCATGCCCACGTCTTTGCTTTTCCGGACAAACACGTTGAGGTAGACGGCTACGGCCAGTGCATCGGAAAGAGTGTAAGACTCTTCTGCGCCTTTACTACCCTCTGCGCGGATGGGATCCCAAACGTTCCATTCGTCGAAGCAAATGGTTGGTCGGAGTTGGTCCGGGGGAACCCCGTTTTCGATCCGGGCGAGGTCGATCAGGGAAGAGGTAATTTCAATGGCGCGCTCTGCGGCTAGGGGAGCGGTGACGTTTGGTAGATGGGAGGTGGAGGATGTGTAGAGGTGGATGCTGTGCATGTCGATGAGGGGGACAGTGCTGGTGGATAGGGGTGAGTGGGCTGGGAGCAGGCAGTGCTTTAGGGTATAGTAGTCCCATGAAGCTGTGCCGTCCTGACCACAAAGGACCAGGATCAGACTGGGATCAAGGAGCTTCAGGGCTTTGAGAGGTTAGCAGGTGTGTTTAAGAATAGCAGTGAGGATGTACCCTTGGCCCATTGATAGGCTTTGTGAGCATATGCTTCCTTGGTAATTTGTTCGACCTGCCAGGGGCCCCAGGTCTCGTTACCAAGGGCCCAGTATTTGACCTGCGAGTACTAGATGAGTATGGGGTAAACGTATGGCTTAGGGCCACATACGTTGTATGGCTCCTCGTGTCCATTCTTCCGTCGAAGGTTGGCATAGTAGGTGTCCTTGGTGCCGTTACAGTATTCCACCCACGCCAGCGCTGCAGGATAGTTCATCAGCACTGTACTATGTACGAAGTTCATCAAGATTAATACCTTCATCAAGAGTTCCTGTTCATATGTTAGTACCATTTCTTGTTGGTCAGACAAATGACATTACCTGTTCCAAAGTTCAGACAGAAATAAGGCTCAGTTCCAAGGACTTCGCACCATTTCAAGAACTCATCAGTTCCGAACTGGTTCGTCTCCGTTCCCAGCCATGCCAACTCGGGTCTATAACAATAATTAGATCAAGACTATGGCATCGGAAATCGGAACAAAACATGTCATATGGGAGGTATAATAGCAATGATGCTAGAGAAGGTACAAGTGAAAAGATAGTGGTGACAAGTGTTCAAGAATCATATGGACATACCTGGCAGGCCGTTTTTCCTTCGGTCCAACCCCATCAATCCAATGATATGTCGCCATGAAGTTCCCGCCGGGATATCGGACGACAGGTATGTTAAGCTCCTTCAGAGCTTCGAGGACATCCTTTCGGAAGCCATTCTCGTCCGACAATGGGTTACCCGGGTCATAGATTCCCCCGTAGATGCATCGACCCATATGTCTGCCCACACGTGAGCCCACTGTTCCGTTACCTATAGGAAGGATGAGTCATGGTCTTTGAACTTACTCCGTGAACCCCGCATAGATGTTTGGGTTAATCTTGGAAAGGCGTCTTGTTGGGTGGATGGAAATACTCGGTGCACCCTGGGCACCAAGCTTCGTGAACGTGGTCATGGCGGCAATAATGCTCAAAGTATCAACCAAGGGAAGTAATAAGCCTAGTACAAATTAGTATGGGAGAAAGTAAAGATGTCACACTACTAGAGGGGATCTGTCAAAAGTCGGATACGATGGCAGACTGGCAACGGATATTAATGTGCTGGAGATATTACCTTGACACCGCATAAATTGGGGAAATCCCCTGCGGGGGAAGTCCAGGCCGGGGGCTGATTCCTGTGCCCTACAAGCAACAATAGGCCCTCAGGCGGTTGGGCGCGGTCGAGATGCGAGGTGCTCTGACGCCGTTGGCTTGGGGTCAAGCCGAGGCAACGCCACAGCAAATTTCCATCAATCAGCACGCTTGTCTGACGGGCATTATTTCTTCTTCCAGAAACCATGCATACAGATGTCACTTCCCGCAGTGCCCAAGCGTTTCTTGGCTTGACCAGGATTACAATGGCGATAGGTCACGCATGGCATGTTGTTCGAGTGGCTTCGGCTGGGTTGAATCCTGAGAACTACTTACGACACGATCACAAATTATCCCTTTGACGACGCCTCGTTTAATTTCAAATTAACCGAGATGTCTGATTCGATACCGATGAGAGATGAGGTTAATATGATTTTGATGTGGTGCGCGGCTCAATCCCCGGATGTTCATAAAGGGTCCTGTACCCCAGATTTGATCTCCGCATTTCTCCATAACTCTGATTAAGTGCTTAGTGGTCCGAGGCACGGGAGCCGTGTGGGTACTTTTCTTCATCATGCGTCTCTCTCCAGCATGGTATCAGGTAAGTGATGTCTTTGAAAAGCCTTGTTGGATAATGTTGATTCAGATTGTGTTTCCAGTTTCTGGTGGGCGTGTTCGCCTCGCTAGGTTCATTCTTGTATGGATGTTAGTATACAGAGTCTCATGTTCCAGATACCTCAATTCTAACAGTGGATCTTGCAGACGATCTCGGCGTCATTGCTGAAGTCATTGCCTCCGGATCATTCATATCCAGGTTCAACCTAGATGATACGCAATCGTAAGCCTCTCCCACATGCAATAGGGGTGAAGCATTGGATATTCTCTGACAGTTGACAGCGGACTTGTGGTGTCCATGTTTACTGCAGGCGCTTTCTGTGGTGCAGCATTCGGAGGCCCCTCTGGCGACATGCTAGGTCGGCGATGGACTATCACCGTTGGTTGCATTATCTTCTGTCTTGGAGGTGGCCTTCAGACTGGAGCACAGACAACTGCCTATCTTTATAGCGGGAGATTCATTGCTGGTCTGGGGTATGTTCTATCGAGCCCGATTGCAACAGAGAACAAGCACTGATATACTTATAGGGTTGGCTTCCTCACCATGGTCATCCCCCTTTACCAGGCGGAAATCTGCCATCCTAACATTCGAGGCCGGGTCACAGCATTGCAACAATTTATGCTAGGCGTTGGCTCTCTATGTGCCGCTTGGATCTCCTACGGCACATATATTGGTTTCGCTAACACCAATGACGCCCAATGGCAGCTTCCTCTTGGTTTGCAGATTGCACCAGCTGTATTTCTTGGATTTTTGATTATGCTATTTCCCGAGGTGAGAAAAAATACGGCTCACCTAGATTCATGCTGATATGTGACAGTCACCACGTTGGCTCATTGACCACGGTCATCACGAGCAAGGCTTGAAGACTTTGGCAGAGCTTCACGCCCACGGAAATGAAGATGATCCCTGGGTACAGGCCGAATATAATCAGATTCAGGAGAGCATTGTGTACGAGCACGAAAATGAAGCCAAATCCTACAAAGAACTTTTCACATCGCGTTCATCCTTTCGTCGTCTGTTCCTGTGCTGCGCATTACAGGCATCTGTGCAGATGACTGGTGTATCTGCGATCCAGTAAGTACTCAATGACCATGAAGAGCAGGGGACCTTTAAGGCTCACCACTCCAACTTTTCAGATACTACTCCGTGACCATCTATGGGCAAATCGGCATCAGTGGTGATGAAACTCTAAGATACCAGGCCATCAACTCCATCATCGCTCTAGTCGCTCAGTTTCTCTGCATCCTCTTCATCGATCGACTTGGTCGCCGCTGGAGTTTGATCTGGGGCAATCTAGGTAACATGGTAACCTTTATCATCGCCTGCATACTGTTGGCACAGTTCCCGCCAGAGAGCAACAATACCGGAGCCCACTGGGGCTTTATCATCATGACTTGGTTATATAATTTCTCGTTCTCGTGCACCTGTGGTCCTCTCTCTTGGATCATTCCAGCAGAGGTGTTTGACACTCGGACTCGTTCCAAGGGCGTTTCACTGGCCACCATGACATCGTACGCATTCAACACGATGACTGGGCAGGTAACGCCCATTGCCATGGAGAGAGTACGCTATCGGTATTATTTCCTCTTTATCATTTGCAACTTCACCAATGCGGTGTTCTTCTGGCTATTGCTTCCTGAGACGAAGAAGTTGCCACTGGAAGAGATGAACTATCTGTTTTCGAACTCTCCGTGGATTGTGGCGGGACGTAGCAGGGAGGACTTTGTCCGTCATGATCTGGAACGAAGAGTTGAGGAGCAGCAGGAGAAGAGAGAGGCGTTTGCAACCCATAATGAGGTGAGTTAGTATTCTGTGAATGAATCAAATAGCAGGTTAGTCGACTAGGTAGAATTCGCTTTGGTTGGGAGGGTGCTTTTTCACTTGCATTAAATTAATCGCCTACCATCCTTGTCGTTGTGACTACCTAGCTCATCCTGATTCGGACTTAATGAGTAGTTTGATGTTGCATATCTGGTCGTACTTCAGAACATAGACGAGGAGCTTGTTAAGGCATAATGACTCTTATAGCTATCCGGTAAGTTCCTATCGAGTCACATGTTCAGCTGACAGCATGCCTTTCAAACAAATCAAACCAGTCAATCAAAGATCCAAACAAGCAGACGAAACCATCCGCTGGTCACTCTATTACCTTTCCACAGCCAGTACTCTTTGACCTTACCACCGTCTCTCTCCAAGTACAAGGTGGCTACTTTATCCCTCACATTATGTTTTCGGCCCATAAAGATAGGACAGGATAACAGGTTCTACAGCTTCTTGCTTGTTCAGACAGGGAAGAGAATCCCTCATTTGCGTCAGTTCCGCGGGGTCAATCCGTTCGGCGGCCACGACGAATCACAGCCCAGAATGGTAGCATATGCCGGTGATCCATCATCCATAGCATTGTATCATCTTCATTTCCCAGAGATAAAGCTCCTTGATGGTTACGAGTAAATTGATTTATCAGCTTTTTAGGCAGAAGCTTTCGCCGTGAGCCCACGCATAGAGATATATGTTTATCATCATGCTGCTCACAAGTCTTTTGCTCATCGCCCTCCTGAGCTGCCGATGACCCTGACTATGACTCGTACGGAAGGAAACACACTTCCCAACGCCTCTGAGAAGCCCAGCACATCATCAGAACTGACACCTACCGCATTGCAACCACCACTACCTCCAGATGGCGGCATCGAAGCATGGGCTCAGGTCGTGGCAGGTCACCTGGTTGTAGCCCTCACCTGGGGCTATGCTTCCAGCTTCGGCGTTTTCCAGAACTACTACGAGACTCAGCTCTCGGAATCCTCGTCGGATATATCCTGGATTGGGGGGTTTCAAGTCTTCTGCCTCCTGCTCGTCTCTACCTTCTCAGGCCGTGCTACCGATGCAGGCCTCGCAAGACCCGTTGTTCTAGCTGGAAGCATCTTGATTCTGCTCGGGACGTTCATGATCAGCCTGGCAAGCCAGTACTGGCAGATATTCCTTGCACAGGGTCTATGCATCGGACTGGGGCAAGGGCTTATGTGGCTCCCCAGTGTCACCGTGATATCAACATACTTCGCACGGAATCGCGTCTTTGCCGTAACTGCTGCAGCAACAGGTACGAGCACTGGAGGGATAATATTCCCTGCCATGATTCAATACCTGACTCCTCAGATAGGTAAGGTAACCCACCCTAAGCAGTTGATAAAGGTCTGATCCCACACGAGGTTTCCCCTGGGCCGTCCGCTGCATGGGCTTCCTAGCCCTGTTTATGGCTATCATTATCAATCTCCTCCTCCGAACACGTCTTCCACCTCGCAGATCCGGCCCCTTGGTCGAATGGTCCGCCTTCAAGGAACCTTCTTACATGCTGTTCACTTTCGGCATCTTCCTCCTATACTGGACTCTCTACTTCGCATTCTTCTACGTGAGCAACCCCCCGTCTCATGAACGGATCAGCGCTAACACACCCCCAGATCCAAGTCTACGCCACAGAGAAGCTAGGCCTGTCCCAAACAGCCGGCGTCAACCTCGTCATCGTAATCAACGCAGCCGGAATCCCAATCCGAGCACCCTGTGGCTATCTCGCAGATCGATACACCGGTCCCTTGAACTGCCTGATCCCTTGGGTAGCCATCTGTGGTGTTCTAATGTACTGCTGGATTGCTGTCCATACAGTGGCCGGACTATATCTCTTCGCGGTATTTTTTGGCCTCGCCTCTGCTGCCGCGATGGGATTGTTTGCGGGGACAGTTCCCTCTCTCACAAAGGATATAAGCAAGATAGGCACGCGGGTGGGTATGGTTCTCACGCTGATGAGCGTGGGACCCTTGACGGGGCCATCTGTGGCTGGCGTGCTGATCGCCAGAACTGGGGGGAAGTATCTTGCTGCCCAGATCTGGGCTGGTTCGGCTTTGCTTGTGGGCGCGGGGGCTCTGATAGGTGCTAGAGTGTTTGTATCTGGTTGGAGACTGATGCATAGAATCTAGCTGATATGATTGGCAGTATAGAGTGCAGATAGATATAGAACCGATCGTAGTGAGTATAGAGCCTTGTCGTAGGATGGGAAAAGATTTAAGAATTATGCTGTGGTGTACTCAAGTACAACCCTATAGAGACAGGGCCATGGAATTAAGTCTTGATATCTGACATTAAAATATCTATATTTTGATTAGAGAAGTATACGATATGGAGATCAATCACCTATCCATTTTTAGTGACCCAAAAGTCCCTCGATATTTCAGCTCGTGTGCAATCTAGAAATCCCCGGGGATTTGGCAGACTTGTTACCAGATATTGGGATGCTATGATACCACATCAGTAGACCGCAAATATGAAAGGGCAGGCAATGATGATCGTGGATGCCACCATGCGCAGTATTGTACAATCATGTTTAGACAATCATTCCGAATCGGAGCCGTAGTCTGCTAGACCAAGTGACAGCGAAGCGGGTTTTGCTGCTGGTTTCGATGCAGGCTGGTCCGGGCTCGTCTGCGGAGGGTTGATAGGCTTTTCTGCGACAGGCAAATTCGCTGGTTGTTTTGGCTCCTCAGGCTTCTTCTGTGTTGACTCTGATTTGCTCTTCTGGCCATTGCTATTGGAATCCTTGTCCGCGATCTGATCCGGAGTAAGATCACCGCCCAGAGACTTGCGCTTTTTGCCGGGGATAAGAAGATCCTTGCTCTTCTCTCGCCGTCTCTTGCGTGCAGGGATTTTCCAATCTTCTCCTTCAGCGGCCGGGGTAACATCTGCAGCTGTATCCTCAAGCAGGACTTTCTCCACCTCTTCACGGTGTCGACGAAACACCTCAAGCTGCTCGGCTGTCTCCTTCTTGACCGCGGCTTCCTTGGCCCGGGTGGATTCCATGATGGAGTCGAGAAAGTCGACCTCGTCTTCGTCCAGCGAACGGAATTGGTTCTTTAATTTCATCTTCTCTTCGAAAGCTTCCTGCTTGGCCACTTTTCGACACAAAACACATCACCCTAACATGTCAATCCAAGGCGTCTACTAGCATTCACACCCATGGCATCTCCGTACGATGTGGAGACTCACTTTTGTTCTGCTGGAGGACCTCATATAAGCTCTTGCCATCTTCCTGCCTTCCCAACTCGGCTTTGCGCCTTCGCTCCTCCTCGAGCTCCTGCTGGACGCGATGCCATTCATCGTCGCGCTGAACCGGCTCCTGGTCCGTTCCGGCGGACACAAACCCGGAAGACATGGTTATTCGCTTTGGTACCAGCACGACTGTTCGCGCCAGTAATGTGCGGTCGGCGGGCGGTTGTCAAAGTAGAGCTTGAGCCGGCCCGAGAACACCGATCGCAGTAGTTGTCTTGTTTTGCAATTGACTGGGCGCGGTGGGTTGAGAACAGCGGCACCACAACGTCACGGTGTCTTGCCGGGCGGCTTCACCACCGTTTCCAACCGACTGAGAGCCACGGTGGATGGCAGAAACAGGCGGTGAGAGTGCTGCGCCCCATGGTGATTGGGCCTGAGGCAGACCCGCACTGCGGCGGAGCCTTGGTGCATTCTGCCATTCAGGCAAAATGCCTCATTAGTCATTGAGGGCTGTTGAAGAACCACGCTGGCTGGATGAGACGCCTTCACTCTTGTGCCACTCAGTCTTTCCTATCTGGCATCTCCGGTGTACGACTTTGTATTGCCCTCGGGCCATTGTGTACATTGTGGCACTATTAGGTACAGTGGTCGGAATACAATGCTCCAATTCCTTGAAACTCGTGGACGGAGTAGAAACCGACAATGTAATTCAATTGATGATTCGATGGTATAATCCGATAGAGAGAATCTGGTATCAATCTTGCTGTCTCCGTATCATGTAGCTCTGGGCTCTGTGTACTAGATAGGAAATTGGTTTGCCTGATAAAGGGCAATTGGAAAGATATCGTGGATGCGCGGTAATTTCTTTGATAACAACAAAGCATGAGCTCCTGGTTGCAGATCGGGACTGATTGGACCCGTAGCTTCGTTGGCTGACCTTGCCAATTGCCATGCAGGAAATGCGACCCTTGGGTCCATCCGCTAGGAGAATTATTAGTCGGCGACCACTGGCCAGCGACATCTTCAGAGGCTCCCCACTGCGCGATGGAGGGGCAACCGTGCCCCTCCATCGTCATCGTCCCGCTCATGGTGTGCTGGATGGACCTGCCTCTCATGCGCGCGGTCCGCCCTCGAGCTCTTGCCCACCTTGCTATAAAGCCCACCTTTACCCTGACTGATCAATCTTTTCAATTGTTCAATCTTTCCCAATTATTAATCTTCCGCTTCCTTCTCCAATTCCTCACTACCGCGCCGATAACCACACAAAATGTCGACCCTCGAGCACACCAAGTAAGACACCTAATCCCATTTCGTTACACCATGGAATCAAGATGAGCAAAGTGTCTTAATAATCAGCAAGTTCGAATTGACTAACCACATTCTCTCCGCTTCATAGGAAGGTTTACACCCTCAACACCGGTGACAAGATTCCCGCCGTCGGTCTTGGTACCTGGCAATCCAAGCCCAACGAGGTTAGAGAGGCCGTCAAGAATGCTCTCTTGAAGGGTTACCGTCACATCGATACGTAAGTTGGAGCCGGCTACCAATTGCTTCGTTGTCTTTCGAAAACACCCACATTGACCGATGTATGTTGCAGTGCTCTTGCCTATGGCAACGAAGCCGAGGTTGGAGAGGGTATCAAGGAGTCGGGTGTTCCTCGCAGTGAGATCTGGGTTACCACCAAGCTCGACAACCCCTGGCACAAGCGTGTTGCTGAGGGAATTGACTCTTCCCTCAAGAGCCTTGGCCTCGACTATGTCGATCTCTACCTTGTCCACTGGCCCAGCTCGACTGACCCCAACGACCTGTCGAAGCACCTTCCCGACTGGGACTTCATCAAGACTTGGTACGAATTCCTTGTCTGTTGCGTAAACAATCTTCTTGCTGACCATGTTCTAGGCAAGAGATGCAGAAGCTTCCCGCCACCGGCAAGGTCCGTAACATTGGTGTCTCCAACTTCGGAATCAAGAACCTTGAGAAGCTCCTGAACGACCCTAGCTGCAAGATCGTTCCTGCTGTCAACCAGATCGAACTCCACCCCAACAACCCCTCCCCTAAGCTGGTTGCCTACAACACCTCGAAGGGCATCCACTCCACCGGCTACTCTTGCCTCGGCTCCACCAACTCTCCTCTCTACAAGGACGAGACCCTGCTGAAGCTGGCTGAGAAGAAGGGCAAGACTCCCCAGCAGGTTCTGCTCCTGTGGGGTGTGCAGAAGGGCTGGAGTGTCATCCCCAAGTCCGTCAGCAAGTCCCGCATCGACGCCAACTTCGAGCTTGATGGCTGGGACTTGACTGCCGAGGAGATCGACCAGCTGGACAACCTGAAGGACCGCTTCAAGGTCTGCAGCGATGACTGGCTCCCCGTTAAGGTTTTCTTCGGCGATGACGAGTAAACTGATTCTATGAGACGACGATGATATCCATGTGAACTAGAGTTATAGATTTCAAACCAATTGTACATACGTTTGGCCACCCACTGTAATCAGCCTATGTGACACGATGATCTCAAGCCCATAAACATGAACCATCAATGTAAATTGAAAACTACCCGAGGTCCAGATTTGGATTCTTCAGGAGATCTGCTGGTGGTTGAGAGATAAAGCCGCCCCTAGTGTCCAGGCTAAGGTTCCTTATCGGCCGATATCGTCATACATCACAATAGGTCAGGGACAGCTCTCTAATGCACATCTCCTGGCCAGCATATTGTAATGGTCATGGGATCAAGAAAGACCGCTCCCCTGGAAAACATTCCGGGATGACCCAAAGATCCGAGATGGCACGTGGCCCTGGATCACATGCTGCACCGCCACCCCGGATTGCTCCGTCATCAGATCAGTTCCTCCGTCATCCCCTTATCTTCTTCCATCTTCCATCATCCTAGGATGGTTCTTCCATCTAAGAAACTACTGTAACTCTTCTTTACAATTGCGGTCAGGATGCCGCCTTCGAACGGGCACCTGCTGCTCCCCAAGTTCTGGAGAGCAGCCAGGTGAGTCATTTGCCACTCGGATGTACTTCCGTCCGCTAACGTCTTTAGGTCTGCCTACGAGAAGGCCTACAAGACTATCAAGTCAAGGTTTCCGGAGCAATTCCAACAGAGCTCACTTCGTCTTCAACCCGAGTATGCGCGTATAGTCAACAGACAGCCCATCAATCGTGCCGCTGCTATCCGCCAAGCCCGCACTCGCCAGTACTCTACCCGTGCAGCAGGTTCCTTCGTCTCTTACCTTCGGAGTGGACTACAAGGCGAGCGTGCTGCCTACAAGACATCTCGCGTTGCATCGAATGTCAGCCGCTTGACTAGCCATGCTCCTTTTGCCTCAACCCTTCGTCCGAATTTGACCGGCGGCACCCTGGGTCGTACGGCGGGAGGCTATGCTATTGGTGCCGGCCGCATCGGTGGGGCACGATACTTCTCCCATGGCGCAGCTGCACCTGCACAGGTCCTCAACAATGTGTCGGTAGGTGTTCGGGCATTTTTCCTGTCCGGGAAGAAGGCTCGGTTCGATGGAGTCGATCCCATCACCGGCAACAAGCGATTCAAGGCTGTGAGCAAGCTCCAAGATGAGGCTGAGCGGAAGATGGCAGCCATCCCTCGCACGGCTCCCGGCTCCTTCATCGATTTCCAGATCTCCCCGACCATCACCGCTTTCGGGTTGCAGAAGAACCTGGCTGCGACCGGAGCTTATGACGTCCAGACCGTCAACTCGGAGGGTCTCATGGACTTTCTGTCTGCGGACTTCGCCCGTGCTCTCAAGGATCTCGCCGCTGTGCTCAACGACCTGAAGCGACTGGCCGCGCTGGGTGACTTGCCCATTGAGTTGCATGATAAGTCTACCATTCGGGTGCGGTTCCCTGGTTGCGATGCTGGTACTGTTGAACGTCTTTGTGATGAGGCCGGCGTTCGGAGGGGAAAGGTAATGCAGGATGAAGATTTCGACATCCGTATGGGTGCCGATCTTGCTCTTCTGTTTCCTTTCGCCCCCAGTGTGCCCGCATCTCCCGACATGGACGACTACTTTTATCGCCCTGGGACCCTGAAGTCACAGGCTCCCGAGGAGGTGGATTGGCATGCAATGATGTCGCCTGATGAGGCTACCGAAGCATCTCCCGTACTCTACAAACAGCCATCCAACCAACTCAGCTTTGAGGACGTGACTATGTTTGCAGAGAATCCCTGGGTGTCTTCTTCATCAGGATATTCCAGCATCAATGTCAGCGAGCTCGGTGATCGTGCCTTCTTTGCCGAGGTCCGAAGCATCGGTGTGCCCGAGAGTACCTCCGAATACGACGGATCGGATGGAATTCGCAAATTCATAGCAGAGTGCGATATCGCTAGGCGACATTATTGAGCGGGCTCTGGCATAATTACTTGAACATATACAGGCTTTGACAGTCGTTATTTCCTATTGCTGTGATTTAATTTGAAGCACTTAATTCTTGATTTGAACACCAGTACAAGAACAGAACAGAACTAATGAAATGTCAAAAATGGTTGATTAGTTCAGAGCTGTATTCCTGCTCCAAATGTGACCATTCTTGACAAACATGTCATCTCACCCTCCGAATGGGGAACCGGGCCGTCAAACCGTACGGTTATATCCTTCGTCGTAGGACAATTCCCCTCCGCATCTTGGCAACAGCTTTCCCAATTCTTCCCAGATTGCCCAGAGTACAGTGACATATAACGTTGAGCCATTTACAGGAGATCGACATGACCCCATTCTCTGCAAGATGAGATGACCCTGAACTAATGTACCTGAAACCGTTCTTACCACAACCATTAGTGCTTGGATTCGTCAATAGATCGGAACAAAGACAACCCCTCCATCTCATCGCAGATGAGGATCATCCGGCCCTGACCCGTTTAGATACGGAGAGTCCGTCTTGAGTCACGAAATATTACCACCACCGTTCCGATCCAGAAAAAAGTGATCTGTTTATTCAGGCGCCTTGGCCTGTCAGTGCATGGTCATGTTTAGCCGGGTATCTCCTTCTCTCCTTGTTGTTTTTGGTAATGGATAGACATAATGGGATTGAGTTGATATAAATGAGCCGTGAGACGAATGTATCGGTAGGTTGGTACATACCAGGCCAAAAACGAGTGAGGATCAAGTCTCTTTCAGATTCATCATTATCCGTGCTGCCAATATGCGAGGCCTTTGGACGCTGTCCCCTTTCCTTTTCTCCGCCGTCAAGGCATTCCCCGCCGCAAGCGCGACTGCTTCGGTGTCCGTTGCTGCGTCGAGCTCTCCGGCGCCTACAGCGAGTGCAACCGGCAATCCCTTCGAGGGGTACCAGCTCTATGTGAATCCCTACTACAAATCCGAAGTGGAAAGCGAGGCCATTCCGTCTTTGACTGGCTCGCTGGTGGCGCAAGCAAGTGCCGTGGCTGATGTGCCTTCATTTTACTGGCTGTGAGTATCGCATGGGTGTGTTTCTGCCTGGCTGCTTATATGCTGTTCGTTGAAGGGATACGGCGGACAAGGTGCCTGTAATGGGCGAATACTTGGAAGATATCCAGACACAGAATGCTGCGGGAGCGAATCCTCCTATCGCTGGGATCTTTGTTGTCTATGACCTTCCTGACCGGGACTGCGCTGCACTGGCCAGCAATGGCGAATACTCGATTAGTGATGGTGGTGTTGAGAAATATAAAGCGTACATTGACTCTATCCGGGAGCAGATTGAGACATACTCGGATGTGCAGACTATCTTGATCATTGGTGAGTTGCTGCATGGGTGAGAATGGATTAATATTGATCTTTGCAGAACCGGATAGCTTGGCCAACCTGGTGACGAATCTCAATGTGGCTAAATGCGCTAATGCTGAATCTGCTTATTTGGAATGTACCAACTATGCACTTGAGCAGCTGAATTTGGGAAACGTGGCTATGTATCTGGATGCTGGTGGGTCTTGTTACTGCATCTAGTTCGTCTATGCAGCTAACAATGTTCCAGGCCATGCGGGTTGGCTAGGATGGCCTGCTAACATCGGACCGGCAGCGCAGCTCTTCGCTTCTGTATATGCGAATGCATCATCGCCGGCTGCTGTTCGTGGACTAGCCACCAATGTTGCCAACTACAACGCCTGGAGCATCGACACATGCCCCTCTTATACATCAGGTGATGATGTCTGCGATGAGAAGAGTTACATTAATGCCATTGCGCCAGAACTGTCCAGCGCCGGATTTGACGCCCACTTTATTACTGATACGGGTGAGTGGTATTCATCGAGGATGTCCATTTAGCTTACTGGTTCAGGCCGCAACGGAAAGCAACCCACTGGCCAGAGCGCGTGGGGAGACTGGTGCAATGTAAAGGGCACAGGATTCGGTGCCCGGCCATCCACTGACACTGGAGACGATTTGACCGACGCCTTTGTCTGGGTCAAGCCAGGCGGAGAAAGTGACGGCACCTCGGACTCCTCTGCTGAGCGCTACGATGCGCACTGCGGATATAGTGATGCCTTGCAACCTGCTCCGGAGGCTGGGACTTGGTTCCAGGTGGGTATTGATGAAGATGTGACGATCATTATACTAACGTTGAGTTGTAGGCCTACTTCGAGCAGCTTTTGACAAACGCTAACCCTTCTCTGTGAATTGATTCTGAAGGTATTCTCAGCATCTTGAAGACGGGAGCTCCAGCTGTATATAGCAGTGATGTCGCAGACAGTGAGATTATAACAATCGGTGAAAATTAAGCAGAAAGACACAAGCTTTGGTCATCATCACGTATTCAATCTAAGATCATCTCCAATGAATATCTGTTGGAGTAGCTACTAAGGCGATTCAACCGTGTAGAATTAGATGGATGATGATCTAGCTAGGGGCCTCGTAGGCCATCTATATGGACTAACTAGCGGTGTAGGGAGGAGTGTCACGTGACCCTACGTTGCCTACCGGCGTGGGAGCCCATCGGGGATCCCAACAATATCTGCACAAGTAGACACCAGGCGGTGAGTATAGAACTGCGAAAACTCACCGCCAACCCCGCGCTAAACTGGAAGAGGGCGCTCCACTGATAACAGGCCGGCTGGATGGACAAGAAACACACACTGCCACCTGCTAGCCACGCTCCTCGTTATCGCCCGTGAACCCAGCCTGTGATTCTATCGGAGGTCGTCATCGTTGGATGCGCTAAAGACGAGTGTTCAACCATACAGTTCTGGGGGCTCTCCTGCACTGGAGTTGTCCGACCGGGTCTCAGCAACTGCCTCAGCCAAGCACAAATAATCTTTCCTGATCACATCCTCTTAGTGAAGTCTGCAAGTGGGAGCCATGGAGGACTTTAACAGTGAAACCGACAGTGACTACACTAGCTACTGGAGAGATTGGGTAAGTCCATCCTGCGCTGCCATGATTTTCTGTGCGAAATAGGGACCGCGGCTGGGGAGCAAGTGAAAGGAGAGGCGTGGCTTGCACCTGCGCTCAACGATGTCATCGCGGCTGGTGAGGGACCAGGAGAATCAAAACACACCATCTCGTCGCTCCCAATGTCTTCTTTCTCTTCTTCACCTGGAACACGTCCTTTACCTGCGATTCGGCTCTCTTTTCTATCAATACTGCCAACACGATGGAAGAGACCCGCCCCCTCCGATCCCCCCTCCGAGAGTGTGGGTTCAGACTCCACGATCTGCCCTCCGATCAAAGCTCAACCGCGTCCCCAGCCCGAGTTTCATATGCGCCCGTCGTCGTCGTATCCTTACGGCTTGCTGCTTTCGCAGAGCGTGGCTGACTATAGAACCCAGTTCATCTCCTCCCGTGGAAACGAGTACTTCTGCGAAATTGACGAGGACTACTTGACCGACCGCTTCAATTTGACCGGCCTTAACACCGAGGTTGCCTACTACCAGTATGCCTTGGACCTCGTGACGGACGTGTTCGATCTCGACGCGGATGACGACCTGCGCGAGCAAATTGAGAAGTCGGCGCGCCACCTCTACGGCTTAGTTCATGCCAGATACATTGTGACTACCCGTGGTCTCGCCAAGATGGTAGGTCGTGCGCCCAAATACTGGAGGAACGGTTCTGACTATGGTCTAGGTTGAGAAATACAAGCGCGGTGATTTCGGCAAATGCCCTCGTGTTATGTGCGACGGACACCCCCTCCTGCCCATGGGCCAGCACGACGTTCCCAACCAGAGTACCGTCCGCCTCTATTGCCCCAAGTGCGAGGATGTCTATAACCCCAAGTCGTCCCGCCATGCCTCGATCGACGGCGCTTACTTCGGCACCTCGTTCCACAGTATGCTGTTTCAGGTTTACCCCGCCTTGCTCCCGGAGAAGAGCATCCGCCGCTACGAGCCCCGTATCTTCGGGTTCAAGGTGCACGCGAGTGCTGCTCTTGCCCGTTGGCAGGATCAGTTCCGGGAAGACATGAAGGCGTCTCTTCGCGAGGCGGGCGTGGAGGCCAAATTCGTGGAGGATGCCAGCGAGGATGACGAACTGGAGGATGACGACGACGACAACGAACCGGTGGCTGAGACCAAGGTCGAGAAGGTCGCTGGGGATGCCGCTTCGGGCCGGATGGATCTCGGCAACTGATAGGCGTTCCCTGGTCTCATCTTCTTCATTGGAGTTCATCTTCCTCATTCCTCATATCCACTTGCATAGGGGCATGCATGGTCTGCACGTGTGGATTCATCGCCGGTTCTGCGTTTCTTTGATCACGTCCTCCGGCTAACGGCTTGTGCAACCCCGGGCGTATGACAGGTTCTTACCATTTCCTCTCTGATGTGCACTGCAATAATGATAACGAACACTGGTGGCGTTGGAAGTTTGAAGATGGCGGGTCTGTTTTCGTTGCTTCTAATGTACTAGTTTCTGGGTCTTGTTCCTAACCACGGACCTCCTCCTCGCATGGCTGGTTTAGGTTTATGTTGATACTCTTTCCGTCCGTGACGACGAGGACACATAATGAACTGCTTGTCAACCCAACCAAATCAAAACACATCTATTCCGACCCCTCCCTCAACAACCCAATCGCAAACTCAATCCCCCTCGCCAACTCCCTCCCCTCCATCCACGCATCATCATGCTGGCCCCTAATATCCAACCCCTCAACCCTCTTCCCCCCAACGCCACCCACTCCCCCAACGCCCTCCTCATCACCTCCCTCTGACCAGCATCCACCAACCCATCCTCAGCCGAATACGCCAAAACCACCACCCTCCCACCCTCCCACCCCCCACTCACCCCATCCACCCCACGCACCACCGCCGGCGAAACCCCATCCCAAACCACCTCATCCTTCCCAAACGCCCCCTCCGTAAACTCCTGATACGCAGACACATCCCTATGGGTATCCCTCAACAACCGCAAATCATATATCCCCGCCATCCCCAGAATGCCCACCGGCGCAGGCCCAGACGACAGGGTCCGAAACTTGCCCATAACAGACTGAAACGCCAACGTGGCACCGCAACTATGACCCACCAGGAGGTAGTTTTCTCCAAACCCGTACTTGGATTGCAGGAAGGAGAGAGCGGAGAGGATATCGGAGATGTGGTCTGGGTGGGTTGCGGTGCGGAGGTGGGAGGGGGGTGTAGAGGTGGGGTCTTGCGGGTGGGAGGGGTGGGCGCTGAGTCGGTAGGAGATTGAGGCGATGGAGTGGATATAGGGCGTTGTGGTTTTGGGGTAGGGTTCGTGAGGATTGAGGAAGGTGGTGGTTGTGGGGTGGAGGTAGGTGGTTGAGGTTTGGGTTGGGTCGCGCCAGGCGCCGCCGTGGATTAGTCTGGAGATGAGGGGGTTAGTTGAGTGTGTAGGTGTGTAGGTGTGTAGGGGGAATTAGGGGGAGGAGGGGAGGTGTACATCACCCAGTAGCCGGTGGTGGTGGTGGTGGTGGTGTTGAGGGTGGTGACGGTCACGGTTTGGAGGTCGTGATCGGTGCCGTATTGGAAGGTTTCGGTGGACATTTTGGGTTTCTGGGATTGGTGAGATGGTTGTCTATGGTATACAAGGTCTTTTGTGTATATGGGTATATTTTTATGTGAGTGTCTATTGTTAGTGAGGGGAAATGACCTGGTTAGTCAGTGCTCATGATTTATAACTAGTAGTTTTAGTGAACTGTTCTTGTGCCGTTAGTTGCCTGTAGGTAGCCGGTAGTACTGATCAATGATGGAATAAGACAAATGTCGTGTCGACATGGGCATGCACAGTGAAGACAGTCATCATTACAATCCATCTGCATAAGAAATGGATAAAACATATCTCCTGGGAATGTAGTGACAGTCATTTTACTCCAGTCTTTGATATTATTGACGCTCCAAGTTCTTCAAATTCTGGGGGGTTGACTTCAGTGACCTCCATGATGAGTCAGCACTTTCGGTTGGTTGCCTAGTAGCCACGGTCACTGCCATTGACTTTGAATGGCATGATAGTTGCCTGCTAAGGGGGGGCCGAGGAGCCGAATCCTTGGGTATGTTATTGATGTGAGTGGCAAGGACAAAATAGTCGCGAAATCATGAGGAGACTTGAGAGGCTCTTCTCTCATCCGTGATGTGACAGAGCTGAGATCTTGCAGGCGGCGCTTATTATCCATGATTTTTTGATACACCAATCAAAGGGTTATACCTGGGCCCACTAACCAACGTTTCATTGGTCTATCGATGTTCGGGCTTCATGTGGGTGGGTCACCGACTCGATTAACGCCTGGGGAACCAAGTACATTTCCGATATCAACGTCCAAATACTCATTAAACGCCCACCGGATATATTTATATTCTCAGTGGGTCTTTGACCAAATAAGTGGCTCATTGCCTTGCATACGCGCCCTCATCAAATCCATCCTGATTCACGCTACTAGCTGGGGCTGTCTAAACCATTGGCTGCCATGCTGCGTAGTACTGAGCTGACCTTGTGTTATGACGCAGAGAAGCATCACATTCCTGCAAACTTCTATCCAATGAGTGGTTCTCTCTAGTTTCAGCTGGAGTCCTGAGTATCATGAGGCTAAATCGCAGAATGAGTTGGACACAAGGCAGTCTTGGGATTGTGGATGGACAGGGTGAACGAGTTAAGCGCCAGCCTCGCAGCCTCGCAGCCTCGCAGCCTCGCAGCCTCGCAGCCTCGGAGCAAGGGAACAGAATGTCTATTCCCTCGTTCAACATATATAAGAACCTAAATCATCTTTCTTGAATCACAATTCTTTCATCATCTCATCCCCAAGCCATTACCATCTTTGTCCAGAGTCTGATCATTGGTCTGCGAATGGGATGACCTATACCCCCAGAAAAGACGCTCCCCCGAGTATTCGCAGACTTTCAACTAGCTTGAGAAACTGGGCGTTACACCAGTGTCCAAGCATCCTGCGGATTGGGAAAGGGTCCGTGGGAGTGTCCCGGCGCCGCCCTAGCAGAAAGCGTTCAACATCAAGACAATGAAAACCGAGCCATTCAAGACCCAGAGTCCACTGACCTTCTACGAGCCAGGCGAGCCCCGAAAGCCCTTGGTGAAGTGCACTGAGTGGACTTTGGAGCGAGCCCTACCTGCTCTCAAGGCCAACGGGCTTATCATCCAACAATAGACCAGACTGTGGGTTGGTGCTTCGGATTTTTGGCTGCTGTTTTGAAGGACATGATTCTTTTCTTTTTTTGGTTTTGCGTACTGGTATATAAAGTATATAAATTGCTGTTATGGTGGAAGCAATGATAGCATGAGAAGGCTGATATGAGGTTCTGCTTTCTGGGTTTCGTTTAGGCTGCTTTTTCTTCCATTGTATCCTCCGCTATCCTGCTTTCATGTGCTGCTCGTTGAATGTTCGTCGTTGTTGTTGCTATTTATGTTTCGAGTGTGGTAGATCATAAATGAACAATCGTTCACCCTGTATCTTTTTCGGCCTTTGTTTGGAGGTATTAAGTTTTGAGAGCCTTTCGAAGATAAGTGCAAAGTAAGTAGACTTGAACTGTACCTCGTAGGAATGGACGTAGATATAGATACCTGTACGTACTGGCACACGAGTCACAGACCAGCCAGATGGATCCCAAAAGGTTATCTACATGGTTGCCAATACTGCAGTAGTCACAACTGTCTACCTCTACAGTAAGCTCCGCACCTAGAGTGGGGCTGAATCACGAGTATACTACCTGAGAATATAGTCCAACCTGCCTTCGATGAGCTTTTGCGAGAACTCAAGAAGGCCAATCATGGTTCGTCAACAGTGATCGTCAAGATACTTCTAAACAAATGTATAGGAAACCCTTTTAAAGTAACATTTAAGACTTAGAACTAGACTCCTAGTGAGTCTGGTCCCTGCCAGCGCTAATTTGTAGAGGGATAGAAGGGTGATTCTTAACTAACAGTCCACCTTTCCTGTTCATTATTATTACCTTCATAGTCAACCCGCACTGGTTACTGCCCGGGATCTTCATGGCGCTAATTCATAATGCGGATCCAGAAGGGGTGGGACTGAAAATGGAGAAGATGCACTGTTTTAATCTGGATTATCATTATGATATCGAGTGTTCAGGCTTCTTAAAATGTTCCTGAGGGGCGAACTATTAAATTGACGAGGCTTGATCAAGGCTGGGGGAATCTTCGAAATGGAAACCACTCATCTGAAACAAATGGAGCATAATCAAGACTTCGACTATTGAGCTCTGAGTCCGAGTATGATGGACATCAAATCACCCATTAGACCATTCATTAGGACCAAACAAAGACATCCGGGTTAATGTGATATCATCTCACGTTAGAACTCCAGGTCATTAAAGACCAGCCGCATAATGACGCCCTCCATTGGCAAGGGATCAAGAATCTTCTCAACATACGCCGGCCAGTCATCAGTCCACTGCAATAAGGGGAAAATATGGGCGTATTCCCAGTAGGAAGGATACCAGCCAGCCGCTTCCCAGTCCACAAGAGCAGCTACTTCATACGCTTCTTCATTCGTGACAGAATCAACGGTCTTTCTGACAAGAACATTCTCTCTATAGAGATCTCCGTGGGTGAACATAGGCGGGTGATTGCGAAGTGCTGATGGAAGGTGACGAGCAAGATAGTCGGAGAAAAAGCTATGAATATTTGATTCAATCCACATAGTTTGTGAGCGAAGCGTGATGGCTTTTCCGAATTCTTCTTCTGTCTGAAAAGGGCCGGTCACAGCAGGGTCTCTTTCACCCGAAAAGAAATACCTATGGGGAACGGGTCCTCGGTTGACACTGCCGTAAAATCCAGGCGATGGCAGCGCTCTCATTTGATCAAAAATGCATCGCAGTTGTTCAACAATCGAAGATTTATTTGCTTCGGTGATTGAGGGCCACGCCGTCCCTAGAGACATGGCGGGGATGTATTTCATCACGATATATAGGGTGTCTTGATCGCGATACATGGCATAGAGTCGGGGGGCTGGAATATTGAGTCATTCTTCGACAAAAGAGCAGAGCATATCCCTCATTCTCCGTCACCAGTGGGCCGTATTTCACCACATACTGGTCTCTGATTACGACTAGGCGCCCACCATAATCTGATTTCTTGGGGAGGGTTCGTGTTGCCTGTTCAATCTCATTTTGATCATGAAGAGGCCCTGGCAGTTGACCAGCGTCACGATAATAGGGAAGAGAGTATGGCACAATTGGGGTGGCGACGTCTCACTGAATGGAACCATTAATAGCACGCACGTTGAGGATGTTCCTTCTGTTGCCTGCACTATCAGGCAGGCGGTTGCGTGGCTGACTAAGAAACAGCCATGATAGACGTGAGGCACGTGAGTTGCTCCGGAATTAATTGATTCCGAATTTCTGACGATGATTGGGATGGGGCTTGGCGCGCTAACCGCATCTGGCATTGGCGGTGGGAAATGCTGAATTCCATCCACACAAACCTCGCCGCCGACTGTCACCATCAAAGCCGTCTGTATACACATTCCCTGACACACATCCAACATGGCCGAGTAGGTGTCTATCCCTTGGTGGTCATATCATCATGCTAATTCCTGTACAGAAAAGATGTCCCCCTTACGGCCGTCAAGGTCGAGGCCTTGGTATGCTCGCCTTGAAAATCTTCCCCCGCCTTTTCACCCGGCGTGATGCTTACAACTTGCCTACAGGTGGTCATGAAGATCATCAAGCACGGCTCCCAGGCCTTCCCGACGACTGCGACCGGTTCGATCGTTGGTATGGACGTGAACGGCACCCTGGAGATCACCAACTCCTTCCCTTTCCCCGTCGTCGAGATGCCCGCCGAATCGCACTTTGACAACACCGCTCCCAACCCGGCTGCTGCTGCTCCTCGCGCAAAGGCCAACGCTGCCTACGAGGCCGAGATGATCCGCATGCTGCGCGAGGTCAACGTCGACGCCAACAGCGTCGGTTGGTACACCAGCGCCAACATGGGCAACTTTGTCAACATGAACGTGATTGAGAACCAGTTCTTTTACCAGAAGGAGATGAACGAGCGCACGGTCGCTCTGGTCCACGACGTCAGCCGCAGTGCACAGGGAAGTCTGAGCCTGCGCGCTTTCCGCCTGTCCCCGAAGTTCATGGCGGCTTTCAAGGAGAACAAGTTCACCTCTGAGGAGTATGTCTGATACATATGTTTTTTGACGCATGCTAATGCTACTCTGGCAGACTGCAAAAGTCCAACCTCAGATACCAGGACATCCTGGTTGAGCTCCCCGTTGAGATCCACAACTCCCACCTGATCACCTCCTTCGTTCACCAGCTTCAGTGCCCCAGCCAGGCTGCTCCCACGGATCTGCCCGCGTCTCTGGCCGCTCTGGAGTCGGCTCCTTTCGCCCAGTCGTCGGTCCTGGCCCCGAACTACGACAACCTCTCCCTCAGCATCGACCCGTTCTTGGAGAAGAACTGCGACCTCCTTCTCGACAGCATCGAGGTGCACCACACCGAGACCAACAACTTCCAGTACTACCAGCGGTCGCTCGCACGTGAGCAGGCCAAGATCACCGCGTGGCAGAACAAGCGCAAGACGGAGAACGCCAGCCGTGCGACACTCAAGCAGCCCCTGCTGCCCGAGGACGAGTGGCAGCGGCTGTTCAAGCTGCCCCAGGAGCCCAGCCGCCTGGACAGCATGCTCAACAGCCGCCAGGTGGAGCAGTACGCGCGCCAGGTGGACAGCTTTGTGTCGGCGACGACGGGCAAGATGTTTGCGGTCAAGGGCAACCTGCTGCCTGGCGAGGTTGCCAAATAAGCGGGAAGTGATGATTTGTGGGGATTTGGGAATTGCATGACCTTACGGCGTAGGGAGGGAAAATTCTGTATCTGACGGCTGTTAATACATATCTCTTTGCTTATTCCCGTGCATTTTACTTGTTCGAGTTCGCAGCCCTATTTACGTTTAGGGCACGTGGTATGACCTCATCGACGCATTCCAGCATAGCTGCTCTGCTCTGCTTTTTGCTGTCCTGCTGTAGACTAGACATTCAAGCATTGTAACATGTCCACCAACACAGACATTTGGATTGTAAGAATACCATCACCATCACCATCACCTCACTTAATATCCCACCCACTAACAAGAACACCACCCAGTCCGGCGCCTTCGCCGTCGTGGTCGTCGACTTTCTCGTGTACCCTTTCGACACCTTGAAAACCCGCATCCAGTCCCCCAATTACACCAAGATATACAAGAACCCACAGACCGGAGCCGTGAACCGCTCTCTCCTCTTCAGGGGTCTTTACCAGGGCGTAGGAAGCGTTGTTTTGGCTACTATCCCTGCTTGTATGTTTCCCCCATCCCTCCCACGTATATCAACATCACCCTAACCCAAACCACCAAACTAACAATAAATAAATGAAAAAAAAAAGCAGGAGCATTCTTCACCACCTACGAAGCCCTAAAACACACCCTACACAATCTCCCCTCCCAATCCCAATCAATCCCACAACTCCAACTCCAACTCCCCACCCCCATAATCCACTCCCTCTCCTCCTGCACCGCAGAAGCAATCTCCTGCTTCATCATCACTCCCGCAGAAGTCCTTAAGCAAAATGCACAGGTGGTTACCACCACCCCCACTAACCCCACTAGCAATCCCCAAGGTAAAGGTAAAGGTAAAGGTGGGAAAGTAGGTAGTGGCGCCCTCCTCCAAACCATGGCTAGATTCCGCTCCCAACCATACAAACTCTGGAGTGGATATACAGCTCTCTTGGGGAGGAATTTACCGTTTACGGGGTTGAATTGGCCGGTTTTTGAGTATTTGAGGTCGTGTTTTTCGGGGGTGGTTGTTGAGAGAAGGAGGAAGAAGGAGAACAAGAAAGGTACTACTGATTTAAATGGTGGTGGGAGTCTCGGTGGTGTGGAACACGCTCTTATTACGGGGGTGTCGGCTGCTATGGCGGGGACGGTCTCGTCTGTTGTTACGACGCCGGTGGATGTGGTTAAGACGAGGATGATGTTAGGGGCTAGTTCTACCGGTTCTGCTGATTCTGCTTCTGGGGATGGAAAGGGGAGTAGGAATGCGTGGGGGATGGGGAAGAAGGTGGTTAGAGAAGAGGGTGTTAGAGGGCTCTTTAAAGGAGGGGCCATTCGGTCGTTGTGGACGGCGGTGTCGTTTGGGATTTATCTATGTATGTATGAGGGGGGAAGGGGGTTTTTGGAGAGAAGGAGGGAGGGAGAATCGGATTAGGGGTTTGTGGCTGGTTGGGCAGTTCTGGTATATGCCAACTACACCGACCCTGTTGAGCTGGTTTAGTCTTGGTCTGTTTACTTGTAGACAAGGGTGCTGGTATAATCAGAGGTATTCCACTGAGAAGAGTCATTCTAATCGTACATCATGGCTGCAAATCGCTCAATCCAACATCATAGCAATCGTTCATCATCATCATAGTCTCATCCCAATCACCCCATATTGGTCAGTCTCTTAAACCAATTCGGCATCTTTCCTCCTGACGGCGCATATCGATCGTCGTACGACCGCTGGCCGCGGCCCCGTTCATAATCGGCACTGCCAGAACTCCGCTCAGACTGTCGGGCCTCGCGCTTGCGTGTCCGCAGCTCGTCAATCTCCTGATCCGTCAGTCCAGGGTACCTGGCTCGTCTCCGGGCTCGACGTCGCAGCTCACGTCGGGCCTCCTCATCCGACGACACCGAGTGCGTTTGCATCGGTTCGTCGGGGCCTGGTGGCACATCCAGAACAGTGGCTACAACCGGTGGTGGCTCAGGCGGATTGCTCTCTTGAGAGTGCACCCAGGACGAAGTTTTATCCTTGCGTCCCCCGGACATCATCGGTGGTCCCCGCTCCACTTCGGGGGCTCTGGATTTCCGACGTTTAGGCCTCTCCCCGTCGTCCGCAGAACGCTCTGGACGATACGCCCTGTCACCCTCGTACCCGCCGAGATAGAATTCTCGGGCAGCTCGGTCATCGACCGGGTGACGAGAGGATCGTCGTTTGGACCGGGGTTCGTACGCGGCGGCTTCTTGCATCTCTGCTTCCCTCCGCCTTCTGCGTTCGCGTCGCTCTGCAGCCCTGGCCTCGGCCTCTGCTTGGGCCGCTGCCTGGGCCTCTGCCTCGCGGGCCTCTTGCTCCTCTCGGGCACGACGCTCTTCACGAGCAGCCCGTCGAGCTCTTCTTTCCTCTCGGCGCCTTTCTTCTCTCTCCTCCTCCTCTCGGGCTATTCTTTCTTGCATCTCACGCTCCTGCATCTCACGCTCGCGGGCTTTCTCTCTTTCCCTCCGTCGAGCTCGCCTTTCTTCAGCCTCGCGCCATTCGCTCTCACGAAGCTGATCAGATGCTGCCTGTCGTGCTCGCCGTGCTCTACGCGCTGCCCTCCTGGCCTCGGCTTCTTCCACATCTGTATCCGGAAAACCACCTACCGGACCGCCTTCGACGAATTCTTCACCATCAGCATCTTGTCTTTCATAACGTCTCCTTCTTTCTTCACGCCTCGCCCGGCGTGCCTCATCCCGCTCCGGCTCAGTCATGTACCTGGCATCATCATCGCGATAAGACCGGGACTTGCGACGTTCTGGCGGGTCCGGACGAGCGGATTTCCGCAAAGAACCAATGAAGCCCATAAGGCCTGTGGACTCTGGTTTCCTGGGAACACTCGACAGCCTTACACGTCGTTCCCTTGGTGCTTCCACGAAGGCAACATCGTCGGGTCCCGAGAAGACTTCGGGCCCCTGATGGGGCTGGTCTGCGTCGAGCATAACAGCATCATCAGGGAATTCACCATGTCTGGACCGAGACTGAGGAGCCACATTAGCATCGTTACATTATATGTCTGGGACTTTTGCTTACCTTTCTTCTTGACCGTCTCTCGGAATGTCTCGATCCCCTCGAGCCGTCCTTTGGAGCAGAGAAATCATCCCTGTCTACCATGACCATGTCCTCATCTTCAATAGCATATGAATCGCGGTTGCCTAAGAACTGTTAGCAGTGTCGCAATGAGATTAGAGGTGAGAATTTACGAGATCTTCTGCGAGATCCATGTGGTCTTTCCCTCCTGGACAAGCCATTCACACCCATCATCCGGGCTGCCTTATCCGGCATATCCCGACTGTCATCTGGCGGTGGAGTTGGAAATCCAGCATCCTCCATGCCCATGGATGCACGTCTGGATGCATGTGCTCCGGTCCTTCGACTCGACTTTGTCCTGGTGGGCGGCGGCGCCCCCAGCACAAAGTCCGCGAAAGTCATACCTCGGCTGTGTCGATCCTCCCGTCGCCTATCCTTGTCAGTGATAGGATTCTCTCCCTCAATCTCCTCTCTAGACCTCGGCTGTCTGGTCGACTTTGACCTAACCATGGGTGGCGGTGACGGTTCCCGTCTTTGCCTACGCTCTCTATGGGAAGGCTGCTTTTGTGGCGTGGCACTCCAGAATCCCCAAGAGGTAGAACCGGGAGCACGCTCAACCCTAACGCGCTCCTTCTTTACTGGCTTTTCAGGTACAGGCTCAGGCTCAGCAGGTTCTGGTTCAGCAGGCTCTGGTGGAGGTGTAGGAGGGCTGCCCGTGTCTACATCAAATGCTTCACCTGTCTCAGCATCGGCAGGCGTTGGCTCCATGACTGGTGCTGTCTGTTCTAGACTAGTGACTTTTTTGCTCCTCTTCTTCCGCTTTTCAAGCTTTGGAGCGGGTGCTTCGTCGAACTCTGGCTGGAATCCCCGTTCTTGTTCGAGAGGTGGCTCAGGAGCAGGGGCAGGAACAAACACTGGTTCAGGTTCAGGCTCCGGCTCGGGTTCGGGCTCGCGCTCTGGCTCTGGCTCTGGCTCAAGCTCGGGAACAGGCTCAGGAACGGGCACAGGTTCAGTCTCAAGGGCAGGAGCCGGCTCCGGTTCCGGTTCAGGTACAACGGCTTTCTTCTTCTTTTTCTTCTTTTCGGTCTTTGAGACGGGAGCAGGTGCCGGAACAAATTCGGGTTCGAGCTCAGGCACAGGTTCAGGCTGTGGCTCTGGTTCCGCAACTGGCTCTGGTACCGGCTCTGGTATCGGCTCTGGCTCTGGTTCCACAACTGGCTCAGGTATCGGCTCAGGTACCGGCTCAGGCACAGGTTCCAGCACAATAGCCTTTGCCTTCTTTTTATCCTTCTTCTTCGCCTTCTTTGACAAGGACACCGGAACAGGCGCAGGCGCGGGCTCGGGCTCGGGCTCAGGTTCAGGTTCAAGGACGGGCTCAAGGACGGGTTCGGGTTCTAGCGCTGGTTCTGGCTCAAGGTCAAGGTATTGCTCCGGATTTAGAGCAGGCGGCTCTGGGGCAGGTGGCGGTGGTACGTCGTAGAATTCCTCGTAGTCGTCGTCAAATGCATCCGGAAAGCTCCCGGGGACTACATCCCTATAGGGCTTCTTAAACGGAGCCGGTTCAGTGTCGAAAAACTCCACAGGTTCGGGCTGAGGTTCAGGTTCTTCTGGGGGCGGGGTAGGCTCTGCCTTTGCTGCCTTGTCCTTCTTTGCTAGCTCCAAAACGTTGATTCGCTCTCCGGGTGACAATTTGGCCGGTGACTTGGTCTTAGAGGTGACAGCAGGAGTCTTCGCTGGCGGCGCGGCTGGCGCGGGTGGTTCCTCGACAACTGGCGGGATTGGCGCTTCGGGCGCTTCGGGCATCTTTGGATCATCGCCAACGTCAATAAGAAAGTCATCATCGGCAGGTTGACTTGGTACTGGCTCAGGCTCAAGCCATGGCGCTGCCTCGATTGCTTTGGTCTTTTCTGCCGACTTCTTTTTGGTAGACTTGGATTTGCCCATGGTTGGAACGCCGAAGCTGGCCCAGAATCCCTTGTTGGGTTTGGGTGCCTCTTCCGTCGCGTAATCATCCTGAAAACCCTTCGAAGGCTTGCTGTCATAATCATCCCAGAGAGGCTCGTGGGGCACATGTTCGGTAGGCACGAAACCCTCTGGCTCGGCAGTAAAGCCCAGAGAAGGAGGAGTAGGTGCGGGCGGTGGAGGTTCCAAGGCGATCTTGTTCTTCTTCTTCTTCTTTTTCTCCTTCGAAGGGTTCAAGATTCCCCAACTATCGTCCGGATAGGTCTGCTCTGGAACAACTTCAGGAACTGGCTCGGGGACCGGCTCAGGGACTGGTTCTTCTTGGGGCTCCGGGGCGGGCTCTGGTTCTAACTCTGGCACCGGTTCTGGCTCTGGCTCTGGTACTGGGTCTAGCTCGGTCTCGGGCTCGGGCTCTGCTGCCGGCTCTGGTACTACCTCTGGCTCCGGTTCAGGTTCTGGAGCTGGCTCTGGTTCTGGCACTGGTTCTGGCACTGGTTCTGGCACTGGTTCTGGCACTGGTTCTGGCACTGGTTCTGGCACTGGTTCTGGCACTGGTTCTGGCACTGGTTCTGGCACTGGTTCTGGCACTGGTTCTGGCGCCGGCTCTGGCTCCTTAGGCTCAGCTCCTGGCAGTGGTAGGTCGAAATCTTTGCCAGGGATAGGCAGCCCTTTCTTTACCAGCTGTTTCTCTCGTTTCTTCCGATCTTTTGACGACAGAGTATGCCAGTTGTTATAGAGAGGGTTATCTGGGATCTCAGGAGCTTTGACTTCAGGTTCAGGTTCAGGTTCCGGCGCAGGCTCAGGTTCTGTTGGCTCTGGAGCGGCAACTGGTTCAGGCCCAGGCTCAGGTTCGGCGGGAGCTGGTTCCGGCTCGGGCTCGGGTTCAAGGACTGGTTCCGGCTCCGGCACTACCTCTGGCTCAGGCTCGGGCTCCGGTTCTTGAACTGGTTCAGGAACTGGTTCGGGCTCTGGCTCAGGAGGTTCAGCTCCGGGCACTGGAAGCTCAAAGTCTTTACCAGGAATAGGAAGTCCTTTCTTGATAAGTTGTTTCTCTCGTTTCTTCCGGTCTTTGGATGAGAGAGAATGCCAGTTGTTATAAAGAGGGTTTTCAGGTATCTCAGGTGCCGTCTTCTCCGGCTCCGGCTCAGGCTCCGGCTCAGGCTCAGGCTCAGGTTGAGGTTCAGGTTCAGGCTCAAGGACTGGTTCCGGTTCCGGTTCTGGCGCTGGCTCAGGCTCAGGCTCCGGCACGACTTCAGGCTCCGGCTCAGGTTCTGGAACAGGCTCGGGTTCTTGAACTGGTTCAGGCACTGGCTCAGGCCCAGGAGGCTCGGCTCCAGGCACTGGTAGTTCAAAGTCTTTACCAGGGATAGGAAGTCCTTTCTTCACAAGTTGCTTTTCCCGTTTCTTCCGGTCTTTGGAGGAAAGAGTGTGCCAGTTATTATAAAGAGGGTTGTCTGGTACCTCGGGGGCCTTCTCAGGCTCAGGCTCAGGCTCTGGCTCCGGCATAAGCTCCGGCTCAGGTTCAGCTTCAAGGACTGGTTCCGCTTCTGGTGCTGGTTCTGGTTCTGGCTCTGGTACTACCTCAGGCTCTGGCTCCACAGGAGGCTGTGGTTCCGGCTCCGGCTCAACGGCTTTGCCCTTCTTCTTCTTCTTCTCCTTCTTGGGGACATTCCAAGCTGACCAGTCATCCTCGTCTTTCTTCTCCTCAACGGGTTCGGGTTCGGGTTCCGCTGGTGGCTCCGGAGCAGGTGACGGCTCTTCAATAACCGGCTCCTCAATGACCGGCGCCTCAAAAACATTCTTTTTCGCCTTTTTGTCTTTCTTCTTCGAGCCAGAAGTCCAAGCAGGCCAATCATCCTCAGGTGGTGGTTCAGCTGCAGCTGGTGGCTCAGGTGCAGGAGGCTCTTCTGCAGCAGGCTCCTCTGCAACGGGCTCTTCTACAGGAACGACTTCAACCACAGCACCCTTCTTTTTTTTCTTGTCGTTCTTGGAGACAGGCGCGCCCCAGCCCCAATCGTCATCGGCAACCTCCAGCGGCTTCTCTGGCTCTTGCTTCTCCCCAACAGCTGTCCAGGCGTTGTCTGATTTTGGCTCTTCAACCTCGTCTCCCTTCTTCTTTTTCTTCTTGTCCTTCGGAGTCGAGTCCAGGTTGGCCCAGATGTCGTCCTCGGTCTTCTCTTCTGTAGCAGCACCGACATCATTAGCACCTGGTATATCAATATCAGCACCAAAGCCGAATCCGACCGAGGCACCTGCTAGGCCGTTATTTCCTGGGAAATTCCAGGGGTTGTCTGCTTTCCCTTTGTTGTCGTCCGCGCCATTCAAAGTGTTGAGGCCCCATTTATCACCAGAGCCCCAGCCTTGGCCCCAACCGAAGTTGAAACTGTTTCCAGGGGCTTGGGGAGGGAGACTCAGATCTAGCTGCGGCGCGTTGTCATTTAAGCTAACATCCAGAAACCCGTTCGACGCCGGTTCAGTTGGGACCGGCTCAGCCTGCTAGTAGGTTAGGAAATCGATTGTCGAGATATCTTGGCGAGCATGCATAACGCACCTTGCCTTTCTTCTTCTTTTTCTTGCTACTAGTAGTAGTAAATCCCCAGGTATCGTCACCATTGCCAGCACCCTCGTCAGCCCAGCTAAGGTTGTTGGATGCAGCTGTGGCCTGTTCAGCAGCCTTTTTCTCTTCTTCCTCTTTGGCTATTCTCTCCTCCTCTTCCTTGGCCAATCGTCCTTCCTCTTCTTTGGCTAGTCTTTCCCCCTCTTCTTTAGCCTTCCATTCCTGCTCTTCTTTGGCCAGTCTCTCCTCTTCTTCCCTGGCTTGCTTCTCCTCCTCTTCTTTCTTCAGTCGTTCCTCTTCCTCCTGTTTTCTCTTCTTCTTATTCTTCTTGTTTGAGGTTGGATTCCATGCGTTCCAATCATCATCTCCGTCATCGCCGTCACCGCCGTCACCCCCATCACCACCTCCGTCGCCGCCATTACCATCTCCACCATTACCATCGCCTCCATTGTTGTCACCTCCAGCATCACCGCTATCTCCGGCACCGTTCTGTTCATCTCCGGCGCCTTCGTCAGCCTTGTCACCACCACCCTCCTCAGCTGGCGGTGAATTTTGCCGCTGGGGTTGGGCTGCTGGCTTCTTCTTTTTCTTCCCCGCCCTATGTCCCCGGATGCCAGAGGTCGATTCGAAGTCAATCAGTCGAGACGCACTCCTGAACTTGGAATCTTCTGTAGCCTGTGCTGGCGCGGAATCTTGGATCAGGTTCTTCTGTTGAGCCAAGGGAGCAAGGGCGGAGTATTCTGGAGGCAGATCCGTTATTGCGTCCTCATAGGTTGGGGGTGGTGCGTCATAAACCTCAGGCTCAACGAGACGAATGTCAGCCTCGAGGGCCAGAGAGGTTTTGTAGCATGACTTTAGCCGGATATTCGCATCCTAATGACAAGCCACAGCCATTAGCCCAGGCACAAGATTTCACATGACTAACACTATTAATAATTTATCGGCAACGTACCTGGTTCTGGTGTTCCACCGCCTGAGTAGTCTTGCTGTCGTGCACATAACCGCATCTGGCGTTTGCTCGGGAGTCCAAGCGCAACCAACCTTTCGACTGGTCGTATGGTCCCTTGCAATGTTTGTTCAATCCAACTCGGGAATGAGCGTGACCACTTGATGGAAATGCGAGTTCGTCACGAAGGAACATTCGCACAACATCCATACTGGAAATGCGTGACACTCGTATGACGGCCAGCGGCTGCTCTATGCCAGGCGCATGGATATCAATTGCTACCAGCCCCAATTGAGGCAGAACTCTCTTCTCGCAGATATTTCCAACGCAGGTTCAAGAAACCGATAAACACAGAAGCAGATCGATGAGACTGACGTGAGAGTATGCAGAAGTATAAGAGCAGCGATTAAAAGAAGGCCTCGCCCGAAAGTCCGACTGAGACCGCTGGTAGTTACACCACGCGAAACGTCACGTCAGATGGCGGGTTGACCGAAACTTGCGATAAGGCCTGGAAAGAAAGGAGTGGATCGACCACGGAAGGAATGTAGGAATAAGTGAGGAGATCTGTAGTAATTAAAAAGTTTAGCAGGGACAGGCAGGGATAGAAGGACAGGCCATGTAATTCATGACCCCGAAGCGGTGGCAGAGGTAAAAAGGAAGGAGAGCGCAAAGCTGCGGAAGATCCCTTCAGGAGTGAATGGGATTGGATGAGTTGGTATGCGATAGACAGGTAGGAATGTGAACTAGTTGCGTACATACAGAGGGAAGTCAGCGGTCGCTCGAGGGTCGGAAAGACAAGTCGAGGACGAGTCGCGGGAGTTTCATAAAAAGTAAAGGAAAAATGAAAAAAAGGTTCGTAGGCTCACGTTATTTTTTTTCCTGGCGACGCTTTAATCCGATTGATCGACGTATACGGAGTAAAAACCGTCTGATTTGATTCTCCGAAGCCAGTAAGGTAACCCGGTGGCTGGGGAGGTGGTCGGCCAACGAGGCGGCGGGATCGCTGGGAGGCTGCCGCTATAGTCGCACGCCGCGGTAGGATAGTAATGGTAGTATTCACCGGGGGGAATCTGGGTGGAAGAGGTTATTGGCGCATCCGATCGGCCATCCAGCGATTGCTTGCGAGGTGAGAAGTACCTACCTAGTAGTCAAAGCAATCAGTAATGGGAAATGGGGACAAAGTCACGCAGGCACAAGCCAGTCACACACCCGGTTGGGTTGCGCGCAAGGACGGGGGCGGTGGGCCGATGCTCCTATCGATAAAGAAAGCGCCCCTCCTTCGGTGGAACAGACACAACGAGGACTCCGTAGTGGTCGGACAATGATGATGCAGATGCAGCACACACAGAGAGGGACAATGCCTTCCGACGGGTAAGTAACTGGTCCATGTATAGTATATGTAGGTCAACCACATCTGGGATCCATTCCCAGATCCAGTCATTCCATTGCCCGGTCATGCCTCTGTGCATCGGTGCATCAGTGCATACAGAGTAGGTACATAGGAGGGGTCCGACAAAGGCGATTATGGGCATTACCCAGACAGGCTTAACAGCAGTTATTCGTTGGCATGTCCTTCCCGGCCTCAAGTGGGGGGACTCGCTGAAGGAAACCGTGCCAAAGGGAGCTAAGGAACACCGGTTCCTTGGTACTCTCCGCGGGAATCACGATTATCTACTATGTGAACCAGTAAACAAATCAATGGCTGGTCAGTGGGAGTGAAAGAATAGAGCATCGGCAGAATGAAAGAAAAGCCCCAAAGACCTGAAACTGATGTGGTAGATAGATGATTCTGTATACTGTATACTGTAGGCTGTGGCACTGACTCAACCAGAGCCTCCCACCCTTCGATCCACCACCGCACGTGCCGCCAGATCTATGCAAAACAACAGAACAAATCCCAACAGTGGTTCGGCATGCACTCATCATCATGCAGATTCCAAGCCCGTCCATTAGGCCGCCAACGCCCGCGTCGGAAATTCAGCGAGAAACTCGGGTGTCAGAAAAATCCCAGAATGGGAATGAAGCTTGTGCTGGGGGGGTCCTTTCTTCACCGCATCGAAGGCAAGACCCCGCCACCGGCCTATGGCATGGCGCCCTGCACAATGGAGACCCAACCACTGGCCATTTCAGGCTCCCCTCGTCGGGGCTCTAGGACACCGTCTCAGTCAGTCCGGTCAGGCTAGTCCGGATGCACCACCATGTACATCGTACATCAGCTCCGCCTGGACGTCCTCTCGTCCGGTGATTGACAGTTGTCCATCCTGTGGAATTTCCGACGTCCGTAATCGCTGCATCGCATGCTTTTCTGGACCCTGGGGGTTCCGAAACCCCGCCGCGGAGCATCTGCGACCCCGTTCTACGACCGCCTGCTGCTGGGGGATTGGGATCAGAACAGGTCAATGTCATTTGCACTCCATCCGGTCTCTGCATGCATCCAGATTGGGATGTTTTGGCTCAACGCGCTAGATCGCCCATTAGAATGAAACGCCCGGCAGGAACGGGTCAGCCCGTGTGCGGTGCGGATAAGCTACTTCGCCTTTAGCTACAGCTTACACAGCAGGTGTTCTGGGACCTGAGCAAGTCAGGCACAGTCGGTTGACAATGACTCATACTTCAGTCCAGATTACTGCACCCTCCAGGGAATCCCAGGAAACGCGTACCCACCACATAAACGCGGTCCTGCATGCCCAACATCACCATGCTGGGCCTCGTCTGTCATATGTTCTTACTCTACTAATGAGCAGCATGCGGTGTCCTACGGCGGCTGTGGACTGCCCTGGCAAGACTCTTCACCGGTCATCATTTCGAACACGGCGTTGGTCTAGATTTCGATGATCCTAGGCGGCGCACGAGCAATCTGCAGTTTGACCAGGCAGATACCCGTCTGAAAAGACTCATCAGACTCGTTCAGTCTCCCAGAAATATCTCACGCCTCGAGCTACGCGACTAACAATCTGAGACGGACGGGCTGAGATCGCTCCCGCGCACGTGGTTTGGATACGTCACTATATCGCAACTATGAGGCTTTTGTTGAGCCAATCGCCCGTTCTTCCTATGGCGGTCATATTGATGGAAGTATCTTCATAGCGTACAATTCCTCCTTGGTAGAGATCAAGTTCCTTGGAGGATACAGGAGCTAATGGCACATGGTAGGCAAGCAGCTGAGACCGAGTTTACAGTAGACTCCATTACCACTAGAACCCGCCCAATATTCATCTTTAAACACCATTAGCCTTCCCGGTAATAAAACAAATGCCTAACACCATTGCTTGACAGACATGTTACATTGTTCATTTAGACAGGTTTTTTCCGACATTGGGGGCATCCTCGCCATAGACTTCCTTGTATTCACGGAAGTAACGTTCGGTATCGGCTTCTTGTAGACGCACATATTTCTGTTCACGGAATGAGCACTTCTTCTGGTCCAATGTTTCAGGATACATACCTGCTTCTCGGCATCGGTCATGCCCCGCCATTCCTCAGCAATCCTCACACCACGCTCAGGGACAGTCATGTGCTTCAGATCACCGGCCTGATGGCGTTCCTCGGCGTAGAACAGATAGCCGACCTTGGCGCGCTTGACCAAGCGAGGGTCGTGGATAGGGAAGAACTTCTTGTTCTGGATCTGCGCAAGTCTCCGCCGAGCCATGTTGGCCTGCTTGATTTCCAGGGGGGTGTGTGAGTTGAGCCACTTCTCGTATTCTTCCTGGTGAGCCTCTTTGTTGGCAGCGGCAGCATCGGTAAATTTCTGTACCATCACATTATTAACCCAGAAACAACCCTCGTTCCAAGAACAGAAGACGAACCTTGCGCTCCGCGTCACTCATGGCCTTAGCACGCTCGGCTGCCTCCTTGAAAGCATCTGTGGCCGCCAATTCCTTTCCTTCCTTCTTGACCTCTTCAAGCTTGGCGAACATGGCCAAGGTGAAGTAGTTTGTGAGCCTCTTGGGCGGCGAGAGGACGGCTGCTTTCAGTTCCTTCACCAGCTTTCTCTGGTCGCTTGCGATCTTCGCCTCCTTCTTGGCCTCCTTCTGCTCCTCGGTCAAAACCTTCTTCGCGCGAGGTTTCTTGGTAGCCTTTTTGCTCTTGGTGGTCTTGGCCTTCTTAGCTTTGCTGGCTACCTTCTTAGCCTTGGGGGCCTCGGGGGACTCAGGGTCCGCCTTTTTGGTGGTGCGTTTCTTGGGGGTAGCTGCAGTCGCATAGCCGTTGGTCAGGCGTCCGGAAAGCGCAACGGAGACAGGCGCGTATCTGACATTGGGGGTCGAGAAGCGGCCGAGAGTGGCCAGGGACATGCACCTAACATGGCTCTGGGAGATGGCCTGGCGAATGGGACGAGAAAAGGCGCTGCTAAGCTGGAGGTGTTGGAGAACGCCCCCTCCGCACCGAGCTAGATTCAAAGGCATGGTCCGAACAATGACAGTGGTGTAGGTGCAGGGCCAAGGTGAGATGTAGGAAAGGGATAGCTTAAGTTGCAGAAAGCACCGGCTGGGGGGATTAGCGCTTGTTGCGAGTTCCACTTGACAGGAGCTCAGTGACGAAAGCGGGAGGTTGGGGTCGCTTCGCTTGTCGTTTGGGTAATGCCGAATCGGGCAACGGAGCTCTCACGTGAACCCGCTGATATCGGTATCTATCACGTGATGGGGAGGTGGCCCATGTCCGCCTGAGGCGTGGAATCCTCTGGTCGGACACCAACATCTACACCTGAAGCTAGAACTCGCCACCAGGGATTATCGGCACTGACTGGTTTTAAACCAAACCGTTCTCAAATTGTATGGAAGGGTAAAACTCACTTTAGTATCCCGTCCACGTGCTCGAGCTTTCTTGAGTCTCAGTAATACTCACTCATCGTTGGCCTGCAACAATGGCTCGCCACGGGGATACTCGCTCACCATCACCTGTAGGCAGCACGTATTCCTCATCCAGACGGAGTCGCAGAGATGATGATCGCTATGAGAGGAGCCGGCGCGACGATGGCAGGGGCTACCGCAGATCTCGCAGTCCTGAGGTGCGTCTAATAATCCAACCCGGACATTTCATACGGTTCTAACAATTTCTTACCCGGCTTAGAGACGATACCGTGATCGCGACGCTTACCGGAGACGTGACCGCTCACTAGACAGACGCGATGATCACCGCGATGAAGATTCCTACCGTCCCAGTCGGAGAGAACGCTCTCGCGATCGACGACGGTCTCGAGATCGAGATGACCACCGTCGACGAAGCCGCGAAAGAGACTATCGAAGCAGGCGAGAAGATTCCCGCGACAGGGCTCGGAGGCGGGCGGATGATTCTGCTGACTTGAAGTACAAGTCTAGACGGGACGATAGCCGCGACCGGGCTAAAGATGCAACCTCCAGATCTCGTGAGGTATGTTCACTCGGGTATCTGCACGATTGGTTGAGCTCACTAACACAGCTTAGACGTCGAAGCCGTCAACTCCAGCAGCAACCGCCGCCCCGACGGAAGACGAAAAGAGGGCCGAGAGACTCGCCAAGCTAGAAGCCTGGAAGCAAAAGCAAGCCGCTGAGAAGGAACGTAAACAGCGAGAAGCTGCCGCGGCAGGCGGTGCGAGAAGTATTTTGGAAGAGATCGATCGGAAGTCTGGTCTGTCACCAGCTGTCAGTTCTCCCCAGTCTCCTGCAACTGCAACACCAGGCGTTGATGCTACCCCCGGTACATATACTGGGAAGTTTGATCCAAAGGCGATTGCAAAAAGTGCGTCTTCTACACCAGCGACGCCAGCGGTGCTGGGCAATGATGTTGCCGTTCCACCATCCGTCAAACCAGCCACAACCGTTTCTACTACCCAGGTAAAGTTGAGCAAAGCTCCTACAAGCAGTTCAGGTATGTCGTCTGCCTTGTTCTTCATTGTGACTGAAACTAAACTCTTGTTCATAGCTACCCTGAAAGCGAAAGGCAACGTGGGCAGGTTTGGTTTAGGAACCAAGCAGGCCGCAGATACCGAAAAATCGACCGCCACAAAGACATTGGGATTCGGAGAGGAAGAGTCGACGCGGAGGAAACTCGAAAAACTGCCTACGCCCCCATTAGAAGACTCGGAGACAAATGGATCTGCAGATGTCCCTGCTGAGGGAGAGGAAGAGGACGATGCCGACATTCACGATGGAGGGACCGAGGAAGAGAATGCTGCTGCTGCACGTGCGAGACGGGAAGAGCGCTTGCAGAGCGAAGCTCTCAAAGCCCAGTCCACTGCTACGGAAGAAGCCAATGACGACACTGTGATGGACGATGCTCCAATCGAAGAACCCGACAAGATGGAGGTTGATGTCCAGGAGGAAGAGGAGGAAGTCGATCCTTTGGATGCGTTCATGTCCGAGTTAGCCGAGTCGGCGCCCCCAAAAAAGATGGTTGGCGCCAAATTCTCGCGGACCAAGCAGCAGCAGCCTGAGGCCTTATTCGGTGACGAGCACGATATTGGCATGACCGCCGTCGGCGATGGAGATGCGGATGATTTCCTTGCCATTGCGAACAAGGCCAAGAAGAAGAAGGACATTCCGGCCGTCAACCATCAGAAGGTCGAATATGAAACCTTTCGGAAGAAATTTTATACTGAACCCTCGGATCTGGCACAAATGTCGGATGAAGAGGCGGCTAGTCTGCGCCTGGAACTTGACGGAATCAAAGTTCGTGGTGTTGACGTTCCGAAACCAGTACAAAAATGGTCTCAATGCGGATTGGGAGTGCAGACTTTGGACGTGATTGACAAACTGGGCTATGAGAAGACTACGTCGATCCAAGCACAGGCGATTCCTGCCATTATGTCTGGGCGTGATGTGATCGGTGTGGCCAAGACTGGGTCTGGTAAGACCATTGCCTTCCTTATCCCCATGTTTCGGCACATCAAGGACCAGAGGCCTCTAGACAATATGGAAGGGCCTGTTGGCTTGATCATGACGCCCACTCGTGAATTGGCTACGCAGATCCACAAAGACTGCAAGCCATTCCTCAAGGCTCTGAACCTTCGGGCCGTTTGTGCTTATGGCGGAGCCCCGATCAAGGACCAGATTGCTGATCTGAAACGTGGTGCTGAGATCGTTGTCTGCACACCGGGCCGAATGATCGACCTTCTGGCAGCCAATGCTGGCAGAGTTACCAACCTCCGCCGGGTGACTTATGTGGTCCTCGACGAGGCTGATCGCATGTTCGACATGGGCTTCGAGCCTCAGGTGATGAAGATCATGGGCAACATCCGACCCGACCGGCAGACGGTGCTCTTCTCAGCTACTTTTCCCCGGAATATGGAAGCGCTGGCCCGCAAGACCCTGACAAAACCGATTGAGATTGTGGTTGGTGGCAAGAGTGTTGTCGCTCCCGAGATTACGCAGATTGTTGAAGTGCGCAACGATGATCAGAAGTTTGTGCGATTGCTGGAGCTCTTGGGTAACCTATATTCAAGTGACGAGAACGAGGATGCGCGGTCGCTTATTTTCGTTGATCGTCAGGAGGCTGCCGATACCCTCCTGCGTGAGCTCATGCGCAAAGGCTACCCATGCATGTCCATCCACGGAGGTAAGGATCAGATTGACCGCGACTCGACGATTGAGGATTTCAAAGCCGGTATCTTCCCGGTTCTGATAGCCACATCCGTTGCCGCCCGTGGTCTCGACGTCAAGCAGCTGAAGCTCGTTGTGAACTACGATGCACCAAACCATCTGGAGGACTATGTTCATCGTGCTGGCCGTACTGGACGTGCCGGTAATACCGGAACGGCGGTCACTTTCCTCACTGAAGATCAGGAGCGGTACTCGGTTGATATCGCCAAGGCATTGAAGCAGAGTGGACAAAAGGTGCCAGAGCCGGTGCAGAAGCTGGTCGATGCATTCCTGGAGAAGGTGAAGGCCGGCAAGGAGAAGGCCGGTGCCTCCGGATTCGGCGGCAAGGGTCTGGAGCGTCTGGATCAGGAACGTGATGCCGCTCGGATGCGTGAACGACGGACATACAAGACTGGAGAAGAGGGCGAGGATGACGAGGAGAAGGAGGAGAAGAACGAGCAGGCAGAAGAACGGTTCAACAAGGCCATTTCGTCTGTGCAATCTGCAGCAACAACAACCAGTGCATCGCTGCCTGGTGTTCCGAAGGGCATTGATCTTGATGGTAAGATCACTGTACACAAGACTGAGAAGGATCCGAATAGCACGTCCAAGAATCCTCTGGACAAGGTGGGTTCGGCCGTTGCGGATATCCACGCGCGCTTGAGTCGGGCTGGTGTGATGAGATCTGGCGTGCCTATCGATAATCGCGGGCCGGACGCGGGAGCTTTCCATGCTACACTGGAGATCAACGACTTTCCCCGTAAGTTTCTTCCATATGCCTTATCTTCAGTCCGTCCCGTCGGATACTAACGTCTGCTATAGAAAAAGCTCGGTGGGCCGTCACCAACCGCACCAACGTGGCGAAGATTCTGGAAGCCACAGGCACCTCCATTACTACGAAAGGCAGTTTCTATGCTACGGGCAAGGAGCCTGGACCCGGCGAGAACCCGAAGTTATATATTCTTGTTGAGGGCGAGACAGAATTGGCTGTGACGAATGCGATGCGCGAGCTGATGCGACTGCTGAAGGAGGGCACCATCGCGGCAGCCGACAGCGACGCCAGGGCACCAGTGGGAGGACGATACAATGTTGTTTAACTTTAGACTATATTCGCTGTACCATATGGCTTATGACCTGTTTGAGACATTACCTCCGAATAACACATGTAAAGATAGTCAGCTATGGTATCAACAGCATACAAACCGGCCAACGATTCTAGATAAACACGCTAAACTGGATACTCCATGCTAACTCCGTAGACCTAAACCATACCCAGTAAACACCTGATAGATCCACCACTGTCCATTACTGCCACCTCCTCGCCTCGGCCGCTCCATCCGCATCTCTCGCAGCCACTTCATCCCGACTGACCTCATTCAACGTCTGCGTCTGTGTCTGAGCCTTTTGCGCCGCCAACTTACTCCCCAGCTTCCCTTTGTTTGCCGTCGACGCGGACTCTGCTCGTTTCTATCCAAACCTATTAGCTCAATCCTACACAACCCAACAACCAACCAACCACACAAGGAATCAAACACACACACACACACACACACACACACACACACACACACACACACACACATGCACACACATGCACATGCACATAAAGATAGAAAGAAAGAAATAAAGAGAGAGAAACATACCTGCGCCGCCAACGCCGCATTCATTCTCGCATCTGGATTCGCACCTCCCTCCGCACCCCCCGAAGCAGCAGGACCGACTGGTCGACCCGGACCCGGACCGGTTGCAGCTCGATTGGCTTTGGCGTTTGAGGGGAGCGGGGCGCGCGGGGCGGGATCGTCTGGTGGGTGGGAGCCGAGGACACGGCCGGGGGTGGAGAAGGCTTCGGAGTCGGAGGGGTTGGAGGATCGGGAGCAGATGTTGCCCATTGTGTTGGTTTTGCGTTCGCGATTGTTTTGGTTGGGTGGGTTGGATGTGGTTTTGGGGATGAGGAGGGTGGAGGTGGGACGTGCGGGGTGGGCGTCGTTGGATTGGGTTGGTGTACTGTGTTGAAGATGGGGGTGGTGTGGGTGTGAAGGGCGTGGTGAATGTGGATGAAGTGAATGTGGAAGGGGTTTGGGTGAGGACTGGCTGGGTTGCGATAGAGCTAGAAGATACCTAGAGATAGATAGTAGCTAAGATAGAGGGTGATAGTGATAGGAGTGACGCGGAGGTACATCTCACCGCGGAGGAGAGCCGGAGACGGCGGCGGTGGGCACGTGGGGAGCCGCTAGCACATGGGGTTGGGTGCCACAGTCGAGGGGCACGGCATTTTTATCTTCCTGGGGATTTTATTGGCGTGCCTCGAGTTATATTTTGTCTATTTCGAAGGGGTTCTGGTTGGTTATAGATTTCTACTTGATTTACCTGGTTTATGTGATACTGAGTGTGTGGTAGGTTTCGTGGTAAGTTTGGCCTCGTCAACACTTCTGAACCAGTCAGGTGACGTTGCAATTTACAGGGATCTTGCCGGGTTTAATAGGGCAATTAATGATGTGCCGGAGTCCGGTCCAGCATTTGCTGGCGCAGTCCACACACATTAGAATCAAATCAACCTCTTACGAACCCTATGCAGAGGGACCACTGTTGTCCATGGTACTCCGTACGGCAGAACCAAACAAGGCGGCACTGTTTTGCAGGCAGAATTCGGCCACAGAATTTTTCCGCCTCGACCCGAGTTTCACCTCGGGGGATGCAACCAAGCAGAATAATTGCCAGAAACACGGGGCAAAGATTCTTGAGGATAATTTCCGGTAGAATCCAACCTGGCAACGCCGCAGTCGAAAAGGAGGGTCGCGAGTGACATTTGGGGGCGTGTCATTCGCTCTGGGGCCAACGGGCTAATGACGCCATCCCCCAAGGTCCTCGTCCGCAAGGTCCCCAGCGCCGATTAGATCTGCGCTTGTGGCCGTACGACGACGGTAACCTTACCGAAAAAGACTGCTGTAGACTGCCCTATTCCTCTCTCCTCCAGCAATCATCGCCTCCAGCCAACTCCACCACCGAGTCTCACTACCAACCTGCTGCTCCATACTGTTGCTCTCGACGCTCTCCAGCAACGCGCCCTCATGCTAGCTCCCAAGGTCCTCAACCCCTCGCTCTTAGGCGGTCTGTCTTTTCTCTCTCCGATTATTGCATCGGCCATTCTTCACTCCTGATCACTGTGCATGGTCCAGTCGCACCACCGCCTCTAACCTTGTTGGACGATCTTTTGCATGACCTGACCTTTCCCTCCTTTTCATTGGTAAGGGCGACTTCCCGCTCGCGTGGTGTGGAGGGCACGACTAACTTGCCACTTGCGTGCTCTGTGACAGACAAAGACAGGCATTCTTCCCCGCCTGGTCTTTAGACGGACGTACCCATCCCTCAGTGTGACTTTCATTCTTTGTCGGGGCATTTGGGGGCATCCTCTTGTTTATCAAGTGCTGAAGCCGGCGATCGTGCTCAATCGGCACCATGGCTTCTCACACGAAGAAGGACGATTTCTGTCTCGAATGCCACTGGGAGGCTTTCCACCTGGATGGAAAAGAGACTGAAGATCCCTCCGAGGCTCAGCCGGATCAATGGAACTGTCCCGACCAGGTACACACCCCGCTACCTCATTGTGAGGTAGATGAGCAGTGCCACGTTGACGAGGACTGCTGTGATGTAGACGATTGTTCCGTCAACTGTTCATCTGTCTGCGACGGCTTCGTTGATTGTGATGAAGCTCTAGTGTGTTCTGAATCCCACTGCGACGAGGATCATTGCAAGAACGTCGACCCGGTTTGCTTTGATGAACACTGCTTTGATGACAGCAATGTAGACGGCGAGCACAGTCTGGAGTCCTTGTTAGGGCTGGGGTCTCCTCTCAACCTCGAAACGAACGACCTACTATCACCGACCACGATCCCACCGTCACAGGTCGAGCAGCCCAAGACAGTGACACAACCTGCCGCAGGCCTTGTGGCCCCGGCTTCGTCGAATGATACGTTCCTCAATTCCTATGCCGTGCCCGTGTCCCACTGCCACTCTCACAGCCATCAGCATTTCCACTGTCACGACTTTTCCAAGGATGCTCACCATGCAGCGAATTCATGGCTACCGTTACAGAACGCGGTAAACCCGGCGGACGTGTTTCACATGATGGCATGCCCTGACCTGTCTGGATGCCATCAGTTCCACGTCCACGAGGCGCAGGCCTGTCCTGTTCCGGACAAACCCGCTGATGACAGTGCTTCGAACCCGTTTGCCTGCTTTCATATCCCTCATATTCCCCACCACCATCACCCTCCGACCGAAATGAAGAGCCCGGCTCTCCCGCACAAGCCGACCAACAACTGGAAGCCATGTCGCACGCATGTGCACCGGTGTCGCACGCACGGACATGCTCATGTCCACCCCTATGGCCCGTACTCGCCATACTCCCGTCATTCGCGGTCCAGCGTGAGCTCGCAACTGAGTCCGGGCGAGACCCCGCCCCCGCTGGATGGGGGCACCTCGTCTGTCCTGACCAGTCCGGAATACGCCCCCGACACCGAGTTATTCATGTGCCAGTGGGCCACAACAACCGACGGGGTCAAGATGCGCTGCGGCGCCACCTTCGCCGACGCATGCGCTCTGCAGGAACATCTGGTGGGATGCCACATGGCGACCGTGGAGGGCGCCAAGGGCACGGGATATTACTGCTGCTGGGAGGGGTGTCATCGACCGGACGAGCCATTTTCGCAAAAGTCGAAACTGCAGGGCCATTTCTTGACACACAGCAACTGTAAGTGCTACTCAACCATGGTTGAAACATAGCTGACGGCGCAGATAAAAACTTCAAATGCTCCGTCTGTGGAAAGATGTTTGCGCGACAGGCGACATTGGAGCGACATGAGCGGAGCCATCGGGGGGAGAAACCGTACAAGTGTAGTGAGTGCGGCAAGTCATTCACCGATAGTAGCGAGCTGAGTATGTTCACCGGTATTTTGTGTATCAAGCTGACTGGATAGAAACACATTCACGGACGCATACAGGAGAGAAGCCGTTCAAGTGTACACACCCAGGGTGTGACTTTCAGACTGGCGATGTAAGTGGTGTCCAAGATCCAAGTCATCGAGCTAGACTAACCGATTATCAGTCATCCAACATGTCTAGCCACCGCTTAAGTATGCATTTCTTCCAGTTTCTGCTTCAAGATACTAACAAGCGCAGCACACGGCGAACGCAGACACAAATGCCACCACCTCGGGTGCACCAAGAGCTTCACGCGACACGGTACGTCCACTACCATAATCCAGGAGCCCTCCTAATAAGCCACAGACCAACTCAAACGACATTTAAAAACCACCCACAAAGAAAACATCACGATGCCGTCGCCAGTGGCGGAGCAATTCGGCCTCGCCTTTTCCGAAGTGGCGTGAGATGCCAGGATACAGAGAAAACCAGGAGTTTTGGAATGGAGTACAGCGATGAACCGACGGCGCAGGTAACGAGTGAAGAGTTGTTTTGATAAAAGATCAGTCATGAGTGGACGACATCATAATCTTACTATCTATCCATCACAACACATAATATGTTATGTGTATACTACAGTACAGCTAATGAACATACATTACCTTCATATTACCCCATCCCATCCACATCCACAAATACCTCTAGTATACACCCCCACCCAGGATGAAAAACAGAAGTAAACTTAATCATGAGCATTCGCCCTCTCTTCCAAAGCCTCCACAGCCCCCACCAACTCCCTAACCCTTGTACCCACCCTCCTCTTCACCTCCGATCTAACCCCCTCCTCCACCTCCTCGGGATTCAACCCCGTATCCACATTTACCAGCCCCTGTCCCTGCCCAATCCCCATCCCCTGTTGACTCACAAACGACCCATCCCGGGTATAGACCGTATACACAGCCACGAGTTCATCCAGTGCATCGCGGGCCGATTCCCGATCCGAAGCCGCGTAGATAGTCGCCGAATCGGTGCTTTCGGTGGCGATTTCGAATTCGTCTTTGGCGACTTCGTACCTGCATAGATTATTACTATTATTAGCATTGGATTCCCGGGGGGGTGTAGATCGAGGGTTAGGGAATGGGTGCTGAGGGACGAACAGTTCCTGCAACTCATCGACGATGAGATCGGCGGTTGGTTTCCCGGTTGAGTTTGAGGTTGAGTAGGTTCGGTGCGTGGGGGTGGTGATTCTGGGGGTTGATGTGGTTGGGGTTGGGGTTGTGTATCCGGGGTGACCGGGAACGATAGGTCGAGGTCGAGGGAGAACCAGACGGGGGGAGGCGGTGGTTAGGGAGCGGATTGCGGGGATTTGGCGCCGGGGTATGGCGCGAGAGAGATGGATTCGGCGGAGAGGTGCGCGGAGGGACATTTTGATAGACCGGATGGTGATGGTGATGGTGGTGAATTGAGGATGTGGTGTTGGTTGGAGAAACGGGGATCGGGGATGACGTCGGGTCGGGGGTGGTCTGTGCTGACTAACCGATGTCCAACTATTGTACAAGATTGTTGTGGTCAACAATGGCTTTGTCTGCGATATCAGATCATTGAGCGACTTGATCTCCTCAGTATTGAATATTTGTGTAAATTGTAGTTTTGGGCATGAGCTGGAGGCTTATTTTCGAAGCACGCAGCGCTGAGAAAACACTAGGCAGCAGTAATCATAGCTTTCTATTGGTTGCTGCTTTTATTTCAACATAACTAGAAGGTTGCTTTATATTGCTACTGTTCTCCGCTTTGTCTCTCTAAAGGGTAGTAGGGCCTCCAGAATACATTCAGACCTGCGGTCTGGACCAGGTCTTTATGTAGATTCAGGCTGTAGATCTGAATCAAGCACTTGCCTTTAACTACATGCTTTTAGAGATGTGCCGCGTGGTGCTTATTAAGGTGATTCGAAACGCCTTGGAGCTGCGAACTCCCCGCAGGCCAGGAACTACCTAGTATGGATAGCATATGCTGATAACACACTGCATCAGGTTGAAATTGTTGAAAACACCATGGAGTATGGGATCCATCAAGCTTCCAGCGGACTGGCCGAGTTGCAGGATCTCTTCATAAACTGAACGCCCACTCCATACTTCGTGACTTCAAGTACGCGCCCGCTTTAGCTGAACCCCGCCTTGTGCAACAGCATATAGTGTCACTGCACACACACACGTGCATTGCTACGATTGGCCGAGGACCGTCTCTGACTGGAAAAAGTGGTTGCCTTGAATGATGACCTCACGGCGCTTACGGAGGGCTTCTTCCCTCTTGCAACCGACTTCCAGAAGTCAAAGCCCTCCTCTACAGACATCTCGCCATCATGGATATCTTTGGAACGGTGGTGACCTCCGTGGACATTATCATCAAGTTTCTCCGCGCGAGTGCCGCCTACTCCGACGATGCAGAATCACTTCTGCACCGCTTTAACTGGGACCTGCGTGTCATGAAAAGGATCATCGAGTATTTCGAAGGTGTTGGATCCATTGGAAGAAATGGCCACTGTGCTGGCTTAGGGCGGAACCCCATAAGACCTGCGGCGGCTATCTTTCTCGTTAATACGGCGTGTTTAGTTAAAAGAAATCTACTCGTACATATACTGGGACTAGCCAGGGCCCGATTCTTACTCGTTGAATAATCTGACGGGAACCGCGGCGTTCCCGAACAATAGCTCGACACTGATTATGTGTTCTGACACACGACACAACTCACAGACATTGTCGAGATACTCTTCAACCTCAAAATGGCTGACCGAGTTGACTTTAAGTGTGTGAAACCTGCATCCTTGGTCTGCTGGTCTGCATCTAACGAACATTCCATAAACCTGAAAAGGGAGAAACTATATGCGGAGGATGATTCCATTCCCCAATCTCAGCAGAAGTGCTAAATATGAGCCACTCAATTGATCATCGAGGGGAACCATACCTTTTGTTGGTCTTTGCAAACAGGTGGGTGTTGGCTGGCCCACACAGGTTCCTGACAACTTACGCACCGATGATTTCTATCTCGGTGACTATGGTCTGGCGCAGAAGCTTGACCACATGCAGTGTTGCTCTCCCCAGAACGCCTTCATGGGCAAGACCCAAGCTTTGCCTGTGATATGTGGAGTTATATGGTCCTCGTCTCCGAATTTTACCTTCGTCATGTGCCGTTTCTCGACTGCTATGATGGTGGAGTAATGACTACCATCACCGGATCTTTGGGACCACTGCCTGACCAGTGGAAACGTCTATACATTTTCTCAAATGATCGTGATTCCTGGTATGACCAATTACAACCCCCGACCCCAACCAGAGCCTGACATCAACAATTGCATACTATCGCCCTGATGCCGATCCAATTGAGCGACAACATGTACTCTCCCTGATGAAGAGAGTATTCACCTACTGTCCCGAGAAACGTCTGACCGCCACCCAGCTTCTGCAGGACCCTTCATTCAGAGCTATTATGAACAATCATGGATGTTGAAGCATGGCTGGATTGCTCCTACGCAGCTCCGAGGGTTCTGGGTGGAGCCGAGATCGGCCAAGGATTCCGATCCGGATCAGCCTGAATGAAGAGCCAAGGACCATGATGGACAAGGGATAGATGTTGTTGGCGTATTTAACCTTGTTTAGCCTAAACCAGGTGCCCGTCGTCATACCCGGTTGGGACCGCTACGAAGGACGCAATGTACATACTTCATGTCTAGCCAGGGCTAGATATATATCCTAGCCGCGAATAACCCTTTAAAATGGGTGGGTCCTTGACTGCAGTCACTAGTCGAGACGGGTGTTTCAATATAAAAGCCCTACAACTATATCCATGTTGGTCCCGTCCCGGTATGATAATTGCCCTACTATTCACTTCACCATGTGGCTCTCCATTGCCTCGGCCCTCCTCCTGGCAGCCCCTATATGTTCTCATCCGACGAGTCTCAACCACAGCTACTACACCAACCCCATCCTGCCTGGCTGGCACTCCGACCCAACCTGTGCCCACGTCCCGGAGCAGGACACCTTCTTCTGCGCCACCTCCACCTTTATCGCCTACCCAGGACTCCCTGTCTATGCCAGTAAGGATCTACAGAACTGGAAGCTCGCCAGCAACGTCTTCAACCGCCCTACTCAGATCCCCGATCTTTGGAACACCACCGGTCAACAAGGCGGCATCTACGCCCCGACCCTCCGCTACCGCAATGGAACCTTCTACCTGATTGTCTCCTATCTCGGCCCCGAAACCAAAGGTCTGCTCTTCACAACCACGGACCCATACACTGATTCTGCATGGAGCGATCCCCTCGTCTTCGATGTCCAAGGCATCGACCCGGATATCTTCTGGGATGACGACGGCACCGTCTATGTCACTTCTGCGAATAGCGGCGCAACATCCGGGAACCACATTGAGCAGTACTCACTTGATCTCAACACGGGAGAAACCGGCCCGATTCACTACCTCTGGAATGGCACCGGCGGGGCCAGTCCGGAAGGCCCTCACATGTTCCGCAAAGACGGATACTATTATCTCATGATCGCCGAGGGAGGGACAGAACTCGGCCACTCGGAGATGATAGCCCGATCGAGGAATCGGACCGGGCCGTGGGAGCCCTATCCCCAGAACCCGCTGTTGACGAACAGGAACACCACCCAGTATTTCCAGACCGTTGGCCATGCAGATCTATTTCAAGATGGCAGTGGGAACTGGTGGGCTGTCGCTCTAAGTACCCGGTCTGGCCCAGCGTGGAAGAATTATCCCATGGGTAGAGAGACCGTTCTGGCTCCGGCAGTCTGGGATGAGGGTGAGTGGCCGGCTGTGCATCCTGTTCGGGGAGAGATGCGCGGGCCTCTGCCTCCAAGAAGCAGGAATATTTCGTTGGGCGAAGGGGACTGGATAGACCAGCCCGACATGGTCGATTTCACCCCGGGCTCCTCAATTCCAGAACACTTTGTGTACTGGCGGTATCCGAATCCCGATGACTTTGCCATCTCGCCGCAGGGCCATCCAAACACCCTCGAACTGACCCCATCGTTTCACAATCTAACAGGAAATGCAGCGTTCCAGCCAAATGATAGCTTGACACTGATCATGCGTCGACAGACAGACACACTGTTCACGTACGGCGTTGACATATCTTTCGATCCCACGGTGATTGATGAAGAAGCCGGAGTAACAGTTTTCCTAACCCAGGATCAGCACATCGACCTGGGTATCGTCCTGCTGTCATCTGATGACCTGGCAGTTAGATTCCGAGTCCAAGGCCGTGGTAACTACAACGGTACTCTTCCTGGACGTACTGTCTCCGTCCCCAAGACATGGCAAGGAGAGTCTATTCGGCTGGAAATTCAGGCTGTCAACGACACGACGTATACCTTTGCGGCTGCACCATTGAACAACCCGAGTCAGCGAAATATTATCGGGTACGCAGATACACGGATTGTGAGTGGCGGTACTGGGCCATTTACTGGTAAGTTTGCACTGTGGTTATACTTGTTATGAGTACTGATCAGCATAGGCTCTCTTGTGGGTGCCTACGCGACGAAGAATGGCGGTTCTGGCTCTACACCGGCTTATGTCAGTCGGTGGAGATATCAAGGACACGGCCAGAAGATTGACTATGATCTTATAGTGCCGAGCTATGAGGTTGCGGAGGGTGGATGGGCTTTATAGATTGATTGATTGATTGATTCGTTCTTTAACCTAATGGAGTTGCTTTTATGCGTTAGTAGTTATGTAGGTAGTGTGTCTTGCCTGGCACCAAGGCCTCTTATTAAACGCTTAAATTCAGACTTAAATGAGTGGTAGTTGATAGATACCAAAGAGGCCTACACAGATAGATATACATATTTTTTTTCATATTAATAATACTATATATAGACTAGATGCCTCTAGAACCTAGATCCATGTTTATTGTCTCTATTTTACAGTTACTCACATATAACTTACTATACAGGAGTTAATCTTAAAGCTTTGCTTGGGTCTACTAACTATACAGGATATATTAGAATTATATTAAGACTGTGTTTCCCTCCTACCTTCTATAGTAAATATACTCTATCCTGGATCCAACATCCAGGTTTTAGAGAAGTTAACTTTCTCTAGATTTTCTTCATTGGGTGCCTCCAGGTAGAGTAGATGTCTGTAACAGGAATCAAACCCATAGCCCTTAGCTGCTAGGAAGAGATCTCCCTACCTCTTCTTTACAATTAAGGCCTTTCCTCATGGTGTTCTACCATTACACCACTGCAGGCGGATGGGCTTTATAGCATTGCATAGTTGTTTCACAAAGACTGCATTGAGATCTGGTTCGAGTGAAACTGAAGGTACCTCCTTCTCGTCTGGATAACCTAAACTACTACATTATACTATTGGCCCAATGGCCCTTGTGCCTAGATGCTCTTCACACATCCACCAGAGGATAGGACCGAACAAGTAGCATATCAGCAACATCCTTCCTCAGTTTCTACATAGTGGAGCCTAGAATCGTTCCGTTAGTTTTCTATAATAAACCCGAGCTATTACCATACCGACACGACATTGATTTCCAACATCTAAATAGATAACCTATGTCCAACATCTTCCCAGCCTTGTGACATATTCCTACCTCGATCAACCCAGTGCTACATGTGTTGACATGTCCAGCTAGGCTGCGGGACATCAACACCGATACAACTATGGGAGCTGTCATTGATCTTGACAATTTCAGTACAGCGGAACCCGTCTTATCTTCGATGTGTACAGCCCCAATCATAGACACAGTCAGATCCTTCCCACGTGGAAGGAAGCTGACCGGAACAGATAGATCATCATGATCAACACATCGCCATCTTCGAAGCACCAACAATCTTGGATCTTAGCCAAGTGTAAACGTGTACGTCTCAGTCTTTTACTATCAACCTCTGGACTGACTCAACAGACCCCAACATGGAATACTCTCAATACCATATGCATAAAAACCCCATCCACAACCAACCCACTACCAAACCTCACTATCCCGGGGCGAAGCCCAACACTCAACACTGTCAGTAATATTCACCAAGCCATCTCCTAACACCACTAACCTATCCACCATACTCCGCACCATCTTCTCGGAAACCCCACCGGCACAAACCTCTTTAATCGGCGGTGCATTCAGAACCCTATACCTCGGTTCATCCATCCTGACGGACGACCTATCTCAATGGAAGCGAGCCCATTGTCATTTGGACTATTTATGCTAGGTCTGAGGAAGTAAGACATATTCGAAACGATAAAGGAAACTCAATGAGAGCGTTGTCGCTTGATATGAGCAGCTATGTGAATGAATTGGATGGGGATAGTTCTTTGTAAAAGGGGGTTTTGGGGACTGGATTGTGAGAAGGATTGGGTGTTTATGTTATTGTTGGTAGTGTGTGATTAGAATACTTTAATGTTCTGGAAGGGTGTGATTAGTTAGATTATTTGCGTTTGTGTTGGTGTTTGATAGGGGGTTGAGATTTCTCTTTCTAGGTCTTTCTCTCTCTCTCTTTCTCTATCTGTGGGTATATGTGTGGATGAGTGATATAGTCTCACCAGATGCAATATCCCAAACCCAGACGAATAATAAAATAAATGTTAATAAAAGGACTAATAAAACAGTAATCAAACTGTAGACCAGTATTTAATATGAAAATAACACACTCATGTGCTAGATTATCCAGTTTAAATACAAAGTAATTTTTATATAAATCAAAAAAAGAATTTCCATCTACAGAAGTCATCTCAATATCTGTATAGCAATAGTAGAAAATTCAAGATTGACTGGTCAATTATTTAGTGAGATTTATCTGCGTCTTTTTTGTTGATGAGGTAGGAATCACACCGCAGAATGAATGAATGAATGGGTGAGTGTGGTGTTCTCACTCTCCATTCTCTAATCAGGCTATAGTAATGCATGCATGCTAAACAAGAAAAATATGTAGTATATTTATATACAATGAACATGACAACACATAGAAACAAGTAATTACTCTGGATTGAAGTAGTGGTCTCATCCATCCTTTGTCCTCGCTAACACCTGTCTCGCCAACGAGATTAACAATTCCAGAAACTCGTGCATGATATACGCTGGTGGAAAAAACTGTTCATCCGAGGTATGAGTATGTCCGTTCATATTCCCCTGAAATGAAGCAAAGAGGTCCTTTGTATCTTGCAAGATGCGGAGATCTCTGCTAAAGGTTGATGCGGTGGGAACGTCAATGAGACACCAGAAGAGGGAAAGGATAGAGGAGAGGATGAATTGAGCGTGGATCCTATTACCACATCATTAGCTTCTGTCCTGTTTATTTTTTCAGAGGGGCAAGGGTCATATGAAGGAAAGAGGGGGGGGTACCAAAAACTAAACCTATCAACTAGGCCACTCGCACGAAGATAATACAACAGTGTCGACCTCGATGCCTGATAGTACAGTTCCAAACTCGATGGCAACGGCATTGACAAGCTGCCGGTGAAGCTTGCCTCGTGCAGTTTACGCAAACAATAATAATACTCCAGGTGGATGTTAATCCCCCGAAGACCGAGGTTATGAACGTTGACAGGGCTGTGGCTCCTTTCTGTACCGCCCGGACTGTACGAGTCCGGACGGAATCCCACCGGAAAGCTGGCTTTCAAGTCGCTGAGTTCCTGGTCCAATTGGCGGATGTGTTCGAGGCGACGAGCCTCGGGAAATTTCTGAGCTTGGCAAGAATAAAGGCCGTGGTAGACTTTGGATTTGAGCATGGCGACCCGGATATCAGTGGGGAGGAGAAGGTGGGGAGTGGATGGCGTGGTAGGAAGGAACTGAAGGTCGAAGGATTCAACATAGGTTGGGGGGAAGTTGAGGTCGCAATCGACATCTTGAAGCAGAGGAGGCAGACAGGAGCGGATGGACATTTCTTTGTCCATGGTGTAGCAGAGCCAGAACATGGCGCGGAGGTGAGTGTGGGATTCGTCATTGGGGATGAGGGGCGATTTGCGGTGGGCGCCGAGGTGGTAAAGGATGCGGATGGCCATGGAGAGAAACAGTTGGGATTGTTCGGGTTTGCCGGCCGGGGCAATGTGGAGGGCTATGATGAGGAATGCTTCGAGTTTGCGCACGTCGTTTGGCTCGAGCATGAGCTTGGGCACAAGGGTCAATACCGCCTGCACGTAGCCATCCGAGTCGGTGTCGGCGAACATGGGCTGGTGATGATGGAGTTTGGTGACAAAAGCCGTCAAGGCAAAGAGACAGGCCTTTTCGGCAAGGGGACGGGCATCGGCGCGGCCAGAGACATGATCGGTGATGATGGCTTGAGCGGCGGCGACATCAATGATGGGAAAGACGGCGTATAGACCATTGGCCGAGTAGTAGTTGAGACACTGCTGAACGAGCTGGTAGCTGGGCCACTTGGGGGAGGTAGTTTTCGGCTGAGTGGCGGGATACTGCGACTTGTACGAGTCGCTCACGCGTGCCCAGAAGCCGGACATGTCAAGGATGGTGCCCGTCTGTCGATAGATGGTGGCGTAAAAGGAGGACCGCTGAGGGGAATGGGCCACACCAGGCCACGACCATTCCAAATGCTGCTGGAAGATCTCCAGGGCCGTGTCAAAGACGGACGAATCCTGAGGGTGGGAAGGCGCCGAGCTGAGTGACAGCGGCGGACATGGCGAGGAAGAGACGTGCGACTGCAGCTCGTCGCGGAGGGGAGAGCTCGATAGCGAGAGGTCTCGAGCAGCAATGAATTCTTCTAACTCACGCACGCGAGCCTTGGCCTCGGAGAGCTGCCTGGGAGGGGTTAGCATGGTCTGGGCTGGAATCAAGGGACGTACTCTCGAATGGTCTTCCGGGGTTGCCCCGTAAAGGTAAAGGTGCAGACGACACCTGCAAAATGGCAATTCTCACACGCAGGTTTCTCTCCATCACAGCGGATCTATGCATGGTTAGAGTTGTAGTAGATGGATGGCGGGGCCTGGAGATGCCGTACCTTTTTATGGCGGCACAGGTCACATGCACTCCGCGCCCTCCCGCCGCGTGGGGCCAATGCATCTGCATCATCCATCCTGGCTGCAATGGAGTGAACCCGCAGGCTAGGGCCGGGAATTAAATGTCCGCATGTTGGGGCATGGAGAATCGTGGGATCAGGAGAAAATGAAAGATCGCTGCCTGGCCACTGTTGATGACTCAGCGGTCGTCGTCATCGGCGGAGCCCCACTCGGGGCTTGGCGGCGGGATTCTCGGCCTCTTTTTGAGTCTGCGTTTCAGGGTCCAGACACATTTATGGACAGGATGATTGAAAGGAGGTGAATGGAGGGGAACTTAATTTTAGATGAAATCATTACAGAGTAAATGTATTGAATTGGAGAGGAAGTGGATGACTGGTATGTGAATACAAGCATGTGATCATCAGCCCTAATTGTTCCTTAGCCCTAAAGCTTATCTTTCACAATACCAATCTAATTACTGGGTGAATCTACACCAATCACCCCGTAGTAATCGGCACATACCTTCACCATCCCAATTCCCTACCTACTAATGACAGAGAACTATAAATCTCCTCCCCCTACACTCCATCCACTCCACAGTTCCATTATCATACGGCCTACTAAGCATATCATGAACCAACTACATAAAACACCTTAGCATTTCCCAATACACTTCAACATCTTATGACATTCCACAATAAAGCGAAACATGATCAAAAGGAAACTGCGCCAATATGACAACACGTCAATCCAAGCATATCCCTTTCTTGCCTGCCTATGAAATCCGCTCTCTCAATACCACCAATTATAACCAATGCAATAGAGCAGCTCATCCTTATGGACATTCACTTTCTGTTGCAATATGTCTCCCATTTCACAGTTCAAGTGACCAAATTATATTGGTATCAATACCAAAGCTGCAAATGCCGTCCCCTATCTGTGCCTCAGGTAGGCACATCCAGCCTTGTCCGGTGTGTATACTCAATTCAATCCAACCACGGGGCTCGAACAAACAATGGATTTATTTGGATCGGAGACTCCACGAATATATCGAGAAAAAGGACTACGATACGTCTACGACATGTATAAACCATATTCATGCAATATTACCTCAAAACGACCATCAATCTCTCTAACGCGGCATTGTTAGATTGTCACTACGCGCTGATAAAATCTACCTCGACTAACATATACAACTAGATCATGCCTGAATAAACAGAGCCAGCAGAATAACAACACGAGAGTGCTTTCCATCGATAAGAAACATATTCTAGTGGGCTAATCTCGTAGCTATTCTATATCATCCCTGACATATGTGCAAAGCGCACATAAATATGGAATTTTATCAAACTATGAGTGGATAATATTCATATGGCAAGAACTTGTGCATGAAGGATGGGAATAGAGTACATTCCATTATCTCTGAAGTCTAGTTGCTCTTCATGTCTTGTCCACTGGTCTTATTACGGTAGATTGCAGCTTTGGGGAGGGTGGTTATGACATGCAGAGCTTCTTACTCAAGTAGGTAACTCAACTGGACTTGTTATAAGAGAAAAGGCTTGATAATATACTGGTTTCCTATCCAAGATAATTAATACTTGGTTTTTTTCACAGCTAGGGATGGTCAATGGAGACATCGTGCGTATTCTCATTGAGCTGACTCGTGAAAACTAGGAGAACTTAAAGAGATGTCTTCTATAACCAAGAATAAGAAGTTGATGGAAGGTAAATACCAAAAAAGACGGTCACGATCGACATAATACAAGAGACACAGAAACATCACTATGTGACTGACGTCAGCCGGTAATCCGATCAGTTAACGACAGATACTAATAACGTGGGACAGCAATCAAGTTGCTGTCGTCTGTAAGAGCAATGTTACTATCCTCGTTATGCCCAGGATAATACCAGCCATGACTACACCACAGCAATACTTGACGCATCTCTAGCAGCGACGAATATATAGCTTGATGACTTCTGCTCGTTTGATAACGATATATTTGCTGTCTGGGTTGCTACAATTATGGCCACCGTCTTGGTCCCATTCTAGAATATGTCCATATGAACTATTAGTCTTTTCCATCATATTTTCGTCGAATAACACTCTTACTACATAGAATTGTATACGGCACACATAAACCCTTTAAATTCTACTACGAACAGAACCATACAAGATGTCGACCTGGGAAACTAGCCCAGGCGTTAGGTGATCCAGTACTAAAATATTCTCCTCCAGTTAACCTGTCCTACCAGCTTCCCCAAACCCCGCAATGTTGTCGGACTAGTCTCATGCTATCACTACCCTGCTACAAGAGTTGATTAAACAGTTTGAAGATCCACAAGCGTAGCATCGCCAAGTTGACGCTTGAGGCCTACACTCACCGCCTCGAGAAAAAATTGTAAATTACACGATACCTCGTTGCACAAGGGACTTTACCCTCAGAGGGGAGATCATTCTTGTCGGGTGCTAGATCCATCACCCAACACAATTCTGCCCCTGCCTTCAAGTATCATGTACATAGAAGAACCACCGCAGAGTCATCAACCAAGTAGTCGCCAATTAGCCAAGTTTTTATTTATTTCTCGTTTATTGGCCATGCAAAACCTGATGTTGGTAGATGCCAGTCCCAGCGCGACCATGATTCCAGACATGTCTCCATCATATAGCAATAGACTAACTACCCCGTCTATCTCATGATGCCTACTCTCCTTACTACTAACTTCTTCCCTCTCCCACAGCATAATCTTCTATTCACGCACATCACTTATCCCAATCCTATAATTATGTATCATGGCAGGTGATAAACTATCCAGAATGGGAATTCAAATTATGTGATATGATATATCGCATTAATAAATCCTTACTATGCACTCCACATAGTACAATCAATGGTATATTGAACGGTATCATCAGGTAGGTATGTTTTGGGGTGAATTAGGGCTAGGGCAGTCACGCACGGGAACGTGCATATAGAAGCCCTAAGTACAGGGATAAGATAGTTCTTTCAGGGAAAGTATCTAGACATCTTTTCTTATTCTTCCTTATTGGAATGAAATACATATATATGTTTTTCTATGTAGATTTACTTATACTAGTCTTAGAGTATGATTTGGTTAGTTATGTAGTGAGTATGTGAGTCAACATTCTATTTAATATATCGCAAAAGATACAACACCAACACCAACCCATCAATCAAGTCGTAAACTTCAACCCCCCATTCGCACAAACCACACTCCCCGTACACCACCCCCCATCCTGCGTACACAACATGCCCACGACCCCCGCCACCTCCGCCGTAAACCCGGGCCTCCTCCCCCCCATCTTCTCCCTAATCAACCTCTTCTCCTCCTCCCCCAACCCCTCCTCCACGCCCTTATCCCCCTCCACCAATTTACTCAACGGCGTATTATCCTGAAACCCCTGCATCTGCTGCCAAAACGCCTCCCCTGTAGCAAAATACATATCACCGACCACCGGCCCCGGATTGACGGCATTCACCGTCGCCACGTCAGCCAACTCCCTCGCCCACGTCCTCGTCATGGCTTCCAATGCCGCCTTGGTGCCCCCGTACACCGACTGGCCGGTGAATCCCAACGAGGAGGAAATACTGGAGATGTTGACGATGCGGCCCGCGTGGGGTGGGGACGTGGGCAGATAGGGCGCCACAGCCTGGGTGAGGAGCAATGGGGCCAGGACGTTGATAGTGTAGTGCCAGTGGAAGTAGGGGGCGTCGATGGGGCCTTTGGTTGGGGAGGGGTCGTTGAGGAAACGGTCTTTGCTGACGCCGGCGTTGTTGATGAGGATGTCGATTGTTAGGGTGCCTGTGGTGGGGGATGTGAAGTGGGTTTTGGCCGCCGTGAGGATGGTGCTGATGGCGGGGGCGGGGTCGGAGAGGTCGGCTTGGATGGGGATGCAGGTTATGGAGTGGGTGGTGGAGAGGGTGGTGCAGAGGGTGGTGATGCGGGGGGAGGAGCTGGTGGAGGTGTAGTTGAGGAGGAGGGAACAGCCTTTGCTGGCGAGGTTGTGGGCGATGGCTTCGCCGATTCCTTTGGGGGAGTTAGTGGGGGATGTGGGGGTGGGGAGAGAGGGTTTGGATGGGGATGGGGAGGTACCTCGGGAGCCGCCGGTGATGAGGGCGAGTTTGCCTTCGAGGGGACGAGACATGGTGAATATAGAGGCTGTACTATGAGTATAGTATATGAATATATGATCTGGAATGTGGGAGTGATGTAGGAAGACACATTATATAAATACTCAACGACATGCTCGGGAAAACACACTCGGTTAATTACATTCATGATTGCACCCCGGGAAATTACCCGATTGGGTTCCGGCGGCACCCACCCAACCCTATACAGTATACCATCATGGATATGATCAATTCTCACCCACCTTAATCCCCTTAAACAACCTCGCATTCTCCTCAATCGCCTTCTCCACCGGCAACCTCTCCATACTACTCGCCCCAAAGAACCCATGCACCCCCTTAGTCCTCTTCAACACAAACGCCGCATCCTCGGGCCCCGCCACCGGTCCCCCATGACACAACACAATCACCTCGGGATTAATCTTCACCACCGCATCCCGAACCTTCTGAACCACATCCACACTCTCCTCCAACCCCAACGCCGTCTGCGCCCCAATCGTCCCCGACGTCGTCAATCCCAAATGCACGACAATCACGTCCGCGCCCGCCCGCGCCATCTTCTCCCCTTCCTCCACCGTAAACACATACGGCGTCGTCACTAGATCCATCTCCCGCGCGATCCGAATCATCTCTACTTCCTTGTCATATCCCATCCCAGTCTCCTCTAGATTCGCCCGGAAATTCCCATCAATGAGTCCGACCGTGGGGAAGTTTTGCACGCCCACGAACCCCGTGTTGCGGAGCTGTTGCAGAAATGCCCGCATGTCTCGGAAGGGGTCGGTGCCGCACACTCCAGCTAGGACAGGGGTTTCTTGGATGATAGGGAGGACTTCGTTGGCCTGGTTCCCGGTTTTTGTTAATTAGGTTCTGGGTGATGGGTTGGGGGGGGGAGGAGGGTACCATTTCCAATACTACGGCATTGGCATCCGAGTAGGGCATCATGCCGGCGAGAGATCCCCGACCGGCCATTCGGAATCGGCCCGAGTTGTAGACGAGGATTAGATCGGCACCGCCTTTTTCGATGAATTTGGCTGATAGTCCGATTCCTGGGATTGTTAGTGTTGGTGTGTGTTGAACTAGGGAGGTGGGTTGCATACCGGCACCTGCGCCAACGATGATGGAACCATCGGCGATGGTTTTGCGGAGACGCGCGAGGACTTCTTTTCTGGTGGTGGGGCGGGGCATTTTGTTTATATCTGTGTGTGAACTTTGGTTTGGTTTGGTTGAGAGAAGGGGGTAAATATTGTCGGTGATGAGTAAATAGATAGGGTCAAATCAATAGGGAGCGAGCGGGATGGGCAGATGTAATTAAGTTCACGGGAGGGGAAATATCGATGAGGTATCTATGAGGGGCAAAGAGGGGGCGACAGTTCGTCAGTGGAGCCTTGCTCAATGCCTGGTCTTCAGCTATGATTTCATCGTGAGTCTGACCCGTCGACTAACTATCTCCGAGCCATCACTAGCCCTAACTAAGCTCTTCAGGTGCATTAGCTGCAGAACCACATCCACTGCTGTACGACTCTGTATGCGTGATTAATTTATTGGGGATGATCCCGAGTGCAGATCGTGTAACGGGTGCTTTGCCACCTGCTGTACTACCATTATCATCTTTAATATCACTACCACTACCACTACCACTACCACTATTACCATTAAAAAGATCAAAACATCCCACCCACCCACTTTCCACAGCAATCCCAACCCACCACAATGTCATCCCAACCAACAATCCTCCTCCTCGGCACCTTCGACACCAAATGGTCCGAATGCATGTATCTCCATTCCCAACTCACCTCCCAAAACATCACCACGCTCCTCATGGACGTGGGCCGCACCCCGCACCCCTCGCCCCTAATCGACATCCACCACCCCAGCCTATCCCAATCCCAAGAGAAAAAAGAACCCGACTACAGCCACCTCCCCCGAAACACCTACATCCAAACCATCACGCAGACACGCACCCCCACCATATCCTCTCTTTACCAAGAAGGCAAAATCCACGCCATAATCTCCCTCGGCGGCAGCTGCGGCACATCTATCGCGACGGCGCTCATGCGCGATGCCCTTCCCATCGGCTTCCCCAAACTGATGGTCTCGACCATGGCCGCGGGGGATGTCTCGCCTTATGTCCAGGAAACCGATATCACCATGATGTATAGTGTAGTGGATGTTGCGGGGATGAATGGGATTTTGAATCGGGTGTTGAGGAATGCGGCGGGGGCGGGGGCGGGCATGGCGAAGACTTATTATTATTCTAATTATCATCAGAAGGACGGGATTGACGGGAGTGAGGCAAAGGGGAAAGTGGAAGTGAAGAGGATCGGAATTACCATGTTTGGAGTAACTACACCGGGGGTTACCGCCGTGCGAGAATATCTCGAAGCCCACTACAACAACACCAACGGAAACGAAAAAGAGGCAGGCTGTGAAATCTACATCTTTCATGCCACCGGTGCAGGCGGAAAAGCCATGGAACGACTCATCCGCGAAGGCCATCTGGATGCCGTGGTTGACCTTACTACCTCGGAGATTGTCGACGAAATCGTGGGCGGAGTGTTGAGTGCGGGTCCGACCCGACTGTCGGCCGCGGCGGAAAAAGGGATCCCGCAGGTGGTCAGTCTGGGTGCTTGTGACATGGTGAATTTTGGGACCCCCGACACGGTGCCCGAGCGGTTGGCGGGACGGAGGATCTACGAGCATAATCCGACGGTGACGATTGTGAGGACGGATGAGGAAGAAAGTCGACAGGTGGCCAGGTTTATTGCCGGGAAATTGAGGGATGCCGCACGGCCGGAGAAGGTGGTGGTGTTGCTGCCCCAGGGCGGGGTGAGTTTGTTGGATGTGCCGGGCCAGCAGTTTCAGGATCCCGGGGCCGATGAGGCCTTGTTTGAGACGCTGGAGAAGGAGCTGGAGGGGTCTCGGGTCACCGTGACCAGGCACCCTCGCCATGTCAATCATCCCGACTTTGCGCAGGCCATCGGGACGACGTTGGTCCGCCTGTTGGATGGTCCCAATTAATCTACCGGTCCAATCTAGCATCTACAGCACAAGTGGAAAGGCAGAACACGAACAAGTTACGATTATTTCCTACAATGTAGGACTATTTCAAGTGGTATCATCCGCACTGTTGAATGCAATACTCCACACCATGTATCCATAAACCCAGCCACTTTTAGTTGCCGTTGAAGACAATGCTTTTGAGCCCCATGTTGATAAAGAACCCTGTATATGTCGTTCGTAACATCGTAAATGTTGAAATCTAGCGTCCAGGTATGCCGAATGCGACTGGCTTAGTAGCGGTAGCTGGTATGCCTGTTAGTTGCGTCCCACCAAACCAAGCATGGATTCAACTTACTGGTCGGCCTTGAAAGGTCCGGTGACCTCCAGACCCAGGTACTCGGCCTGGACGGGGGTGAGCTTGGACAGCTTGCCGTTGACGTGCTCCAGGTGGAGCAGGGCAACCTGCTCATCGAGCACCTTGGGCAGAACGTAGACACCGACGGGCTTCTTGCCCGAGGTGCCGAATTCAACGTACTTCTTGCCAAAGGCAACGTCCTCGGCCTTGAACAGAGCAATCTGGGCAAGGACCTGGTTGGAGAAAGAGCAGGACATGACGAAGGAAGAGTGGCCGGTGGCACAGCCAAGGTTGACGAGACGGCCCTCAGCCAACAGAATGATGTTGCGGCCGTTGGCCATGGTGTAGCGGTCGACCTGGGGCTTGATGTTCTGGACCGACTTGGCGTTGGCCTTGAGCCAGGCAACGTCGATCTCAATGTCGAAGTGACCGATGTCTATTTGGTCAGTACGTCATTGAAATCACGACATAATGGTAGGGAACATACTGCAAACAATGGCGTCGTTGCGCATCACCTCAAAGTGCTTGCCAACGAGAATGTCACGGCAACCGGTGGTGGTGACGAAGATCTGACCCTGGGGAGCAGCCTCCTCCATGGTGGTGACCTCGTAGCCCTGGACGGCAGCCTGGAGGGCATTGATGGGGTCGATCTCGGTGACCAGGACGCGGGCACCCATGCTGCGGAGGGCGTCGGAGCAACCCTTACCGACATCACCGTAACCGGCAACGACGGCAACCTTACCGGCGATCATGACATCGGTGGCGCGCTTGATACCATCGATAAGGGACTCACGGCAACCGTACAGGTTGTCGAACTTGGACTTGGTGACCGAGTCGTTGACGTTGATGGCGGGGACGAGGAGCTTGCCCTCCTTGAGCATGCGGTACAGGTGGTGGACACCGGTGGTGGTCTCCTCAGACAGACCGTAGCAACCCTTGAGCTGCTCGGGGTACTTCTGGTGGACGAGGGAGGTCAAGTCACCACCGTCGTCGAGGATGAGGTTGAGCTTCTGGCCATCCTTGAAAGAGTTGAGCTGCTGCTCCAAGCACCAGTTGTACTCCTCCTCGGTCTCACCCTTCCAGGCGAAGCTATGCCAATTAGCGTGGTGGCAGTGGTCGATACACGGTGGAACTTACACAGGGACACCGGCGGCGGCAATGGCGGCAGCGGCGTGGTCCTGGGTGGAGAAGATGTTGCAGCTGGTCCAGGTGACCTCAGCACCGAGGGCAACGAGGGTCTCGATGAGGACGGCAGTCTGGATGGCTGGAAGGAATTAGAATGAGGTGTGGTGGTATCGAGCAGGAGACATACTCATGTGCAGGCAACCGGCAATGCGGGCACCGTTCAGAGGCTGGTCGGCAGCGTATCTGCGGCGGATGGCCATGAGACCGGGCATCTCAATCTCGGCGAGCTCGATCTCGCGGCGACCGAAGGCGGCCAGGGACTGTGATGGTCAATGGAATCCGATAGAGGAGGATGGATGAACATACGATGTCGGCGACCTTGAACTTCTGAGCGGGGGCAGCCATGGTTGCTATGTTGTGAAGGATGCTGGAGGGGTCAGTCTAGCCAGACAAACGGGAAGAAGAGAAAAGGTGGGGGGGAATAGCTTACGAGGAAAAGGGGATAAGCAGAGAAAGAGGATGGAGAAGAGGAGAGGGGGAAGAAGAGAGAATAAATAAAAAGGGCAGAGGGGGCGAAGAAGAGAAGAGAGGGGACGAAGGATTCAGCAGACTTGGCCAAGCCTGCGGGGCGGCTGCCGTCGGACTTTCTGTCGCTCCGACATGCGTGCTGACGGCGCCCCTCCTGATTGCTCTACCACCAACCTATCCATCTACCTAGGTATGGCTCGGTCCCCGAACTCTCTCCGAATCACCCTGCTGAAAAAAACTTGAAAATGATGTTCCGACTTGATCAACAACGGTCGGCGGATCCCTGTCTGAACTCAACTGGTCGTGCCGACCTTCGGCTGGTCGGGTTGGGCGCGTGGTGACCCAACTCGCTATGACCTCTTACATAAGAAAGTCCGCGGCGCATAAGCAAGGGATGGGGGCCACGTTCACGCCAACGGCCACCTGGATAAATAGATCCGGGAATCAGAGAGACACGGTCCGATCAAGTGCGAGAGATCGTCGGTCGAGTGAAATCTTCCGGATAATACCCTCATGTTATCTCGTAGCGCTGTCCAGACAGTCCAGTCCACGTAGTCTGCAATCTGCATAGCCAACCTCGAGTTGAGCTCCCTTCATGCAGATCAACACCCCTACAGAATGCAGCCAGTCCAGTGACATCAATCCGACTTTGCAAGGGGTCGCTCACCTTCTCTCTGGCTTTCACCCCTCGAATCATTCCCAGACCACCATATCACCCAAAATGAAGTCCGTCCTCTATTGTCTAGCTTTATGTTTGCCGGTCCTGGCTACGCCCCTGATGGAAGTCACCCTGAGTAATTCAACCTCGTGCCAGACCTACGGAGGGGATAGCATCGCGAATCTGGCTTGTCGCAATACGGTAGGTGGTTCGGGTCAATTCCAGACGCCAGACTGATCTTTTAGTGCATTGAGCAGGGTGAAGGATGGACCGGGGGGTTCTGTGACAGCCAGCAGTAAGTTGTGTCCTGTGTTGACTCATGGATGCTGACGATATTAGAATATGCCATTGCACGTTCAATGTTTAAGATGGGTGATAGCGTCGGTGGATGAGCAATCAATTGAGGACGCAGCTGTCATAACAATACATTCGATTAAATAAACTAAATTGTCTTCATATCCACTGTATCAAACGCCATCATTGAATCGGTAAAAGTTCATCCATCTCTGCAAAACGTCAGCTCATATCCAAGGTGTCAAGACAATTAGACACCCACCTTATCATACGGCCGGGACGAGTCTGCAAACCGCAGATCGGTCGCCAGCCGAATCACATTGTCCGGGTCGTTGTTCACCGTCGACGCGTGGATCTACCTCATCAGCATCAAAACCCATCCCGCAGAGGATAACATACCATGTGAGGCTTGTGCAGAACCACATCCCCCGCTTCGTAGGCCGACACCAGCCATCGACGCCCGTGCTGCTTAGCAAACTCCGCCGGATTCTCCGACAGCATTCCCGTGGACATCATATTCGAGTTGAACGCATACTTGGCCTCTTCCTCCGTCAAGCCCGCCGCCATGGCCTTGGCCGTAAAGTCGTCCTCCATTTTCATGCCCGCCGAGGCACCTAGCACAGCCAGTCAGTCTCATCCAGCTTAATGTCTCATATCCACCTACTGTCTTCAAGATAGATCAACCCTCCTCCAGTCAACTTGATATCCCCGATAGGAACCCACGCCGTCACACTGGTCGGCTCGCCATGTCGGATGAAAATCTGATCGTAGTGCACCCCGATCGGCTTCGTAGCAGGGATGTTGTTCCGCAGGAGGGTGCGCTTGAACGTCAAGGTGTTCTGGCCCCACCCAGTAAACTTGGCGATAAAGTCGTAGAGGGCGGGATGCTGGCACAGCTTCTCGGCATACCAGTCCTTGTAGTGTGCTTCGATGGCGCGATCGACGAACTGGGCAGCACTCTCTCCACCCGGTCGGCCGTTGCCGCCTGCAGCGCCCGCCCCGATGCCCGGGAAGTCATCGGGGGTCTTCTCGGGGTTGAAAATACCCTCGACGGGGTCGGAACCGTCCTTCAGGACCCCCGTGGGAGCCAGGTAGTTGAAGTATTGTCTGCGGGCTTCGAGGACATCTTCACGGGGAAGCACCTGTTTGAGGAAGAGGTAGCCGTCTTCGTTGTAGCGCTGGCGGAGTTCGTCGAGGGGGAGGTTGGGGTCGGAGGGGCGCAGGAGCGCCGCGTTCTCGGCGGTCAGTAGACCGTCGCTGACGGATAAGGTCTGAGATAGGACACCGGGCATTGTGAGGAGGAGATGACAGACTGATTGATGATGGTTAGATTGGACAGGAATCAGACCAGGTGCTCTGGATTATATATTCCATTGCATGCACCCTTTGTGACGTATGAAAGATCCGGGGGATGGCCTGTGCCCCGCATTGAGGACAGATGCTCCATCCCGTAGGGTGACATTACTCAGGAGTCAGTGTACTATTGTGTAGACTGTAGACGCGAAGGCATCGTGAAAATGGAGTAACCGACCCCACCTCCGCGTGGAAAGATACTCCTTTCGAACTTCTCGAAGGGCGGGACCGTCCCCACTGAGCGGGCAATGCTGCCCCTTCGGGCCTGGCCAGCCCCAGGGATCCGACTGGCCGGTGCCTCACTGCCTCCCCGTCCAGGCATCCAATGGCTTCATGAGTAAGTAACAATGAATTGATCACGGGGTATAAACTCTATACAATCTAGTCATCAAAGAAGTCGCCAACCACGGTTACGCCTCCTCCCACTCGGCAATCGACCACGTCCCAGCATCCTCCCCCACCACCAATTTCAGCGTGGTGAATTCAATCCGTTCATACAATTCGCGCGCTGCTCCACGTGCTCGCTTATGCCACGGGCCCGTTCCTCCCAGGCGCGCATCCTCCCGACTGCGCCAGATGCCTACACCAGTCAGCATACATACAACATTTGCCCAGGGGGCTCCAGATCACTCACAAGTAGCCAGATTGCGTCGCTCTTCATCCTTCGTCCCAAACCAGTACTTCAACAACCCCCCGCTGGCCGTGGCCTCCTGATGCGAATGTGCGTCCAGCGCGTGCAACCGCTCCGGGTCGGCGTCCGCATTCAGGACCGATCGAAACACCACCACATAGAAGTCCTGCTGGGTCCATCGATACCCTTCGACCTGGGACAATGTGCGCAGAAAGTCGAACACGGCCGTCCAATTGAATGACTCCGTGTAGGGGGCTGTGGCATAATCTGGCCGGATGGGTTGGAGGATCGTCAGCGCCTTGGCGAGCAACTGATTCGGGCGGTCGAGCCGGCGCAGGTCCAGCAGGTGGGCTTGGTCGTTGTACGGTGATACGATGAGCCGGTCATCTGATAATGCCGGCGTATGAGGCCCGAATCGCAACTGCAGCGACGCGGAAGCGTGAAATTTGAAGGCATCCGGGTCGGGCGTGATGAGAGTATGGTGAAAGAGTGAGTGGGATGGATAGGTCTTTGCTGGGATGGTTTCTAATTCCGCCGTTGGGAGAGGTTCGACGATGCCGGGGGCCATGGTCTGCTTCGTCTATGTGGAATCACAACGCTAAGGAAACGACAATAACGACTGGTATGGCAGATGTAGAAAGGGAGAAATGAAACAGAACCCAAGCCTGGCCAGAGGCTGGCATTTAAAAAAAAGGTGAAAACCAAGTCTACCACGGATTATAGAGCACGACAGGCCCACCCGAATTCACGCCCATGGGAGAAGATTCCTCAAAAAGCACGCCATATGCCGACGGTCGAGTCGGTCAGCCGGAATGTTCCACAGCCCGGTGGATGATTGAATTTTGAGTCTGACCGGTGCCTAGATGATCATCGGCTAGTTTTATGCTTATCATCGCGTCCCCAGTTTCGACCTTTCACGATGTTTCATCCCTCAGAATGATTAGGGTTATGATGTCCCGGTGACAGTCACCTGGCTGGTCAGTCAGCTGGCATGCCGGATGGAGGATAAAGAACCGGTGCCACACGATGAGATGGCAACCCAGCATTGTTCTTGCCACATTTTCCATCCTCTGTCTCGGCTTTGCCTTTCGGAATGATTGCACGACATCCTCCCAGACTTACGCCATCTGTGGGCGCACTGCTTCACAACCCTATCGCCCAGCCAAGAAATTTCACCATCCGCCTGAACCATGGCAATCGAACCTGTGGTTCACGCGGAACCAAGCACCCCCTGCACCGGGCGCCGTTGCAGCAGGAGGAATTCATAAATTAGACACTGGTATTTTTGATTTATTCCTATCATACAGTTCTTGATGGTATCATGCAAAATCCGGTTATAACGCCTTGTGAATGCTCGTAACCCTGAAAACAGACAGCCGCCCCGTTACTGCTTCATCGGCGGCGGTGGCGGCGCCATCTTGCCATCGCCTGTATCAACCTTTTTCTTCGGAGGCAAAGCCGGAACCTTAAAGCCTCCACTTCCCCCCTGGGGCGCGGTGCTGCTCTGGCCACCGACTTGAGTGAAAGTGCCGGACTTGAACCATCGGTCTTCTTCCGCCTTGCGCTTCCGACTCAATTCCGCTTGCACCTTGGGGTCAACAAGCTCCAGGCCTTGCACAGGCGTGAAAGCGATAGTACTGGCAGTGCCCGCAGACCCTCCCAGGGAAGTGCCAATGCCCGAAGTCCGCAGACCTTTGGCGTGAAGCACACTCGCCGTCCCACTGGCACCAGAGCCGAATGCGCGGAGAGAGGTAGAAGTGCCACTGACGGGAGTTGCGTTGCCCCAGCCCTTGTTGTTCTTGCTGAGCTTCGCCCGGGTTCTCTGGTCAATCTGGGTCGCACGAATGCGCCCATCGTCCTGTTGACCAAGCATTCCCAGTCCGACTGTTCCCTCTCCAGCACCATAACCAACTTCTGCCTCCTCCCTACCAAAAGCAACCCGATTCTGCGCCTTGCGGAGCTCCGTCATAGCGACTGCTTCCTTGGCCTTTCTAGCCCGTCTTCCACCGCGCTTGCGGGACGGCTTGTCATCCGGGGCCGGAAGTGCCTTCGCGCCCGAGTTCGGCGCGGGTTCCGTGAGCTTCTCTAGTCGCTGGAAACACTGCTGTTTCAAGTCTTCACCCAACGAACCATCGGGACTGTATTTAGAGACATCCGCTCGAGTAGCAAGGACCATTTTAGCGGAGACGATACGAATGGCCTGACGCTTGAGATCATTCGGGACGCCCTGGATGATCGGTGAATTGTAGAGGAAGCCCTGAGACCGGATACCGATATTCGTAGCAAAGCCCAATCCCTCCGATCTCTTCGAGCCCTGTGCAGCCAGATTGCACGCGGGTATTTTCGCCAGTTCGAGCAGACCTCCTGTCTGGTTCAAGAACTGCGCGGCCGTCTCCGGCCCAATCAAGGCCGCCAAGTTGGGAGCGATCTGGCTCATCCGTGACTGAATGCTCTCCGTAAGCGCCGTCCGTTCGCGATCCAGCGTCAAAATCCGCTCGCAGGTATCGAGGACCATCTTCAATTCGGAGTCCGCCATCTCCCGACCGCGGGTAGTCGTACCCTCCACCGCAACAACCATCAAGGATGGGCCATCCAGTATCGATCTCAGCGGCACGCCAACCATGTTGTCCGGCGAGGTCGACAGGGCCTTGATATCGTTGAGCGGGCCATTCTTCAAAATAGCAACGGTTTTCGCGTAGTCGATAGGAGTGGTCACGAGGGTTTCTAATTCAGGAAATCGGATCGAATAGTGGTCGCGCAGCACTTTGTGTAGGCGGGTCAGTTCGTCGGCGGTCGACAAAGCGACATCAAACTCATTGGTGACCTCGGGGCCCTGTGCCAGCTGCTCCTCATCCACCCCCTCGCCCTCCCCCTCGAGGCCATCGTCCATCTGAAGATCCTCATCGTCGTCTTCAAAATCTCTCAGCAGCTCCTCGGCATTCGACATGATGGGCAAGCGGTGACGTGACCAGCAAGCGAGCTGACAAGGACCGCAGGTTGAGATGGAGATGGAATTGAGGTTTCCGCGAACTGCTTGCTTTTGCCGCCTGACCACCATGCTGAGTCAGCGATGAGAAGCTCGGGGTGGCGCAACGGACCACTCCCGCAGCTTGTCCGACTTTGGGTCGCAGCGCCGATTCCAGAATCTCATCTGCGCCAACCTCGACTACCGTGACGGTAGCCAGCACAACGCCATTGATTTGGTCTATTTGTACTGTGTCTCCATTTGGACCCGATTTGGTTTATTCTGCACCAGCAGGGGCCCTCTTGATACCCGTGGCCGGGTCGATTCTTTCTTCACCTACCGATAGATCATCGTCGACACGCACAAGCCACGATGGAGTCGTCTCGAGGCCCTCCCCGGGTCAAGAACAAGGCCGCGGCGCCTGTCCAGATCTCAGCGGAGCAGCTGCTTCGTGAGGCTGTGGACCGCCAGGAGCCCGCATTGCAGGCCCCGACGCAGCGCTTCGCCGACTTGGAAGAACTGCACGAATACCAGGGTCGCAAGCGAAAGGAGTTTGAGGACTATGTGCGTCGGAATCGGATCAACATGAACAACTGGATGCGGTATGCCGCATGGGAGCTGGAGCAGAAGGAATTCCGACGGGCACGATCGATCTTCGAACGGGCGCTGGACGTCAGCCCGACCTCCGTGGTGCTGTGGATTCGATACATCGAGTCGGAGATGCGAAATCGCAACATCAACCATGCCCGGAACTTGCTCGACCGCGCCGTAACGATCCTACCCCGGGTAGATAAGCTCTGGTACAAATATGTCTACATGGAGGAGACTCTGGGCAATGTCCCGGGCACGCGGCAGGTCTTTGAGCGGTGGATGTCGTGGGAGCCGGAGGAGGGCGCCTGGAGCGCATACATCAAGCTAGAGAAGCGGTACAATGAGTTTGAGAGAGCGCGGGCCATTTTCCAACGGTTCACGATTGTTCACCCCGAACCGAGGAACTGGATCAAATGGGCTCGGTTTGAAGAGGAGTATGGGACGAGTGATCTGGTGCGGGAAGTGTACGGTGTGGCAATTGAGACGCTGGGCGAGGATTTTATGGACGAGAAGCTTTTCATCGCCTACGCCAAGTTTGAGGCGAAGCTCAAGGAATATGAGCGTGCTCGGGCAATTTACAAGTATGCCCTGGACCGACTTCCGCGCTCCAAGTCCATGACGCTGCACAAGGCCTACACGACCTTTGAGAAACAGTTCGGTGACCGAGAAGGCGTTGAGGACGTGATCCTTTCGAAACGCAGGGTCCAGTATGAGGAGCAACTGAAAGAGAACCTGCGGAACTACGACATATGGTTCGACTTTGCCCGGCTCGAGGAGACCTCGGGTGATCCCGACAGGGTACGTGACATCTACGAGCGAGCAATCGCGCAGATACCACCGTCGCAGGAGAAGCGGCACTGGAGACGGTATATTTACCTCTGGATCTTCTACGCCATTTGGGAGGAGCTGGAGGCCAAGGACATTGAACGGGCACGCCAGATCTACAATGAGTGTCTCAAGCTCATTCCCCACAAAAAGTTCACATTCGCCAAGATATGGCTCATGAAGGCGCAGTTTGAAATCCGCCAGATGAATCTCCAAGCAGCCCGGAAGACGCTCGGCCAGGCCATCGGCATGTGCCCCAAGGATAAGCTTTTCCGGGGCTACATTGATCTAGAACGCCAGCTGTTCGAGTTCGTACGGTGCCGGACGCTGTTCGAGAAGCAGATTGAGTGGAATCCCTCCAACAGCCAGTCGTGGATCAAGTACGCCGAGTTGGAGCGCGGTCTGGATGATACCGACCGGGCGAGGGCCATATATGAGCTTGGCATTGACCAGTCGACCCTCGACATGCCCGAGTTGGTATGGAAATCATACATCGACTTTGAGGAGTACGAGGGCGAATACGACCGGGTGCGACAACTCTACGAGCGTCTCCTGGAGAAGACGGACCACGTCAAGGTTTGGATCAACTACGCGCGCTTCGAGATCAATGTCCCCGACGAGGAGGAAGAGGAAGAGGAGGAGGAGGAGGAGGAGGAACGGCCGATCAGCGAGGATGCCAAGCGACGTGCTCGCGCCGTCTTCGAGCGGGCCCACAAGGTATTCAAGGACAAGGATCTCAAGGAAGAGGTAAGCCACCACCATCCGTTTCTGATGTCGCGCCATGCAGGTCTAACCGTTCTGCAGCGCGTGGAACTCCTCAATGCCTGGCGGTCATTCGAGCACACACACGGCTCGCCGGAGGACATTGACAAGATCGAGAAACAGATGCCGCGGCGGGTCAAGAAGCGGCGCAAGCTGGACGACGACCGGTACGAGGAGTACATGGACTACGTATTCCCGGCGGACGACCAGTCGGCAGCGAATCTGTCGAAGCTGCTACAGAGAGCACACCAGTGGAAGCAGCAGCAACAGGGGGGTGGAGCATAGATGGAGGTGCAAAGGGGGGGGATTTGTAGTAAACAGAGCTGGGGTAATAGCCTGACAGATAATGCTAAATTCATCTGCTGCATGATTATCAGTCACAGTGATTTTCATCTTCAATACCCATACTACTAATTAACACTCATAATCCTCCATCATCTTCCCAAGACCCATCAACCTTCACCACCTACATGCACCTCGTATGCTATTCATATGCACTTAACCAACCCACACTATACTCAGCCCAACCCCTCCGTCTCTCTACCTACGTAAACTACCCTACTAGGTACAGAGAGAGTACTATGATCCACCTACCCAACCAATCAGGTGCCCACCCTTCTTCTCTCTTCTTCTTTGTACATCACGCCCTCTCATATATTCAATCCCCGGCTACATCCCATCACCCGGGACGATGGCGCATCTGGGAGCGCGTCAGACTGAAGATCTGGAGGTGGCCGGTTCAAGCCCGGCTCGTCCCAATCGTTCTTTATCTTTTTTTTTCCCTTCGTTCCCTTGTTTTTGTTTTCCATCTTTTATTTCTCGGGACGGTTGTTCTTTGTCATCTTCCCCCGCGGGCAAACGTAAAAATCATTGGGACATCTTTTCGTCGCCATTACCCATCAGGGATATATTGTTTTTGGTCTACGTGGCTGACATAGGACTGTAGTATGATGGTGTGGTAATTCATGTAAGCTTTATCTCATTTCATTCTCCTGAAGTAGATATATGAGGAGAAGGGGGGTATGATCTCCATGGTTGAGATTCGTACGTACATAAAGGGGTTGGGGATATGGAATTGATGGAGGTCGGGGTGAAGAGGTACTACTTTGTACGGAGTATGTTGGAGTTAAAGGGGTGGTCTTGGGTTGATCGTACGCGGTGGGTTCATATTTTGTACGTATGTACATGTTTGGAGAACTGAAAGAGAGGTTTGACAGTCTGTAGAAGGAAGAGACGAAGAAAGCAATAACAGAAAGCAAGGAAACAAAACAACCGAACTATGCCCGAGCCTTTTTTTTTCAATACACTTCTCGTTGAACTCCTGAAGGGATCTCTTAGAATCCTCTTCTGTCCACCCCGCGTACTCCACCAATATCTCTGCCTTGATGTTTATAGCCTCTTTTCCCGGGGATTCATCACTACAACGTATCAATATAGCCGGCCAAGTCATGCCTATGATCTGACGCCCGGACAATTTGGGCTTATCGACCGCGTCATCAACTCGATGCCCAGGGCGGACTGTTGTCAATTCAGAGTCGCAAGCGAAAGTGGATTCCACACTTGCAAGTTTCCTATACTCGCAGTGTCCGTGGTTCCACCCAAGATTGAATGCCACTTGATCAGCAGACATGTAGCAAGAAAAAGCGGGGAGGGGCGTCAGTGTGCAGAGTGACAGGCTTACTTTCGACGAACGGAAGGTACAGGCGCTGCAGATGCCATGCAAAGCAATCAGAGCGTTGGCTTTTCTCCTGCTGGTCGCTCGCTTCCAAATACCAGAATGGATTCTCGAAGACCTTTTCTATGATGTCCTTTGTCAACATGGTTTGGGCGACCAGCTGAAGCACATTCTGAGAGATTGGAAAAGGAAAAGATCTCATCAGTGTATCCCAGTCGAGATCCTGTACCCAGTAGCCCTCCAGGCTACGAATGATACTTTGCTTCTCACAGGGGGACAGGTGTGCAACCTCGGTCGGACCTCCTAGGGCATATTGCCGGCACCAATTTCCCACGTCTTGCAGAACGGACTTGACTTCGGCTTCCAATTCCCTGTTATAAACCGGGAGCCAACCTTCCCCCCCGGAGAATAGTATGAGGCTTTGTTCATTGCAAAGGGATGATTTCTCTCCTGCTTCGCCCTTAAGAATTGCAACTTTCCATTTGAGGTGGTCAATCTCGGCCATGAGGGCCTCGACGTCCTGGGTGTGGGGTAAAGTCTCTTTGTCTGAGGGAGGAGGATCAGTACTGCCATGGGTGGACTTGATCGGGGATTTTGTGGGGGATGCATCCTAAAGTCAGCCAGTCAGCCAGTCAGCCAGTCAGTCAGTCCATTTACTCTTTAAGGGGCCTATCCGTACCCCGGTTGGATTCTTGTCCATGGGGGCGTTTAGTGATGTGTAAGAAAAATAAAAACTAGTGATCGATAGCTGACAACAGAGGAGAAAGTAGGATGTGGGAGATGGGAGATGATGGATGATGGATGATGGATGATGGATGATGGATGATGGATGATGGATGATGGATGAGGGATGAGGAATGTTTCGTTGGGGGGGATGGGGGGGTTCCTTTGTCCTCTTTACCCTGACCGAGCTAGGATTTGGCCTGCTATGCTGTTGTGAATGCCACCGGGTCAAAATTGTCTCTACACGAGCTATGCAGCGCCGCAGGTAAATTGTTCCGGTGTGTTGTTTGATACAAGCCAACATTTGATGATCCATCGATAGGCCCCCGGTCCGGCACTACGGCGATCGATCGAGAATTTTTGAAGTTAATGCGGGATCGCTTTGATTTTGCATTTACCTTGCCTTTCACTACGTCTGCTGTGTGTAGGGGACAGCTGATGGATGAATTTGAAGGCATCAAACGTAGATTCGATGGCACAGGTAGAGTATACCGCTTACCCTTCCCGATGTTTTGCAGGGGTTCGCAATTCTATGATGCCATTAGCCGAGAAATTATCATATCAGACACGGACATGCGAGAGCTTTTTGGCAGCCTTATCCGCCAAGTCATCGAAACTATCTACAAACAAGTCAGTAGAGCCAAGGACACCCCAGGGGCCTTCCGAATTCAGGTACGTTTGACTTGCCCTGGACTATTGCGAGCATCAATAGACTGACTATACAGAAAATTTTTGTGGCGGGAGGCATCACAAATTCGAGATTCGCACGAGGCCAACTATCGGAGAACTTGCATGGTTTTTCAAAGGTTCAATTCTTGCCTCGACCGTAGGTTCCGTATCTTTACCCGTCGCAATACAGGGGCATACTGACATCAGACAAGCCAAACTTCTGCATCCGCTGGAGCTGCATACAAGGCACTGCGTGGACTCAACATTAATTCAGTTTGCCACCAGAGTTACTCCATCTCCTGTAGGGGACTCTGCAGACATCCAGGCCCGTCCCTGCGCGATTTCATGGAGGCGGTCGAGGAGGACACCCCTGCACAGCCACATCGAGTACTGGCGAAGGCAAGTGACCTGCCCCAGACCTTCGCTGTCTAGATAACTAACGAATCATTAGGAACACCGCTACGAGGAAAATCATCCGTACGAGCATGTTTTCGACCTGTATTCCCGCCCCACGGAACTCTCCTACAAAGTCTTCGAATTTTCCTCGGATAATGGACGAGGTAAGCTTACGCTGATTGTGCTACGCGATGAGACTGGAACTAACCGCACGGGACTCTAGTTTTGGAATACTTCACTTGTAACCTGGCCAAGTTGCCAGTAGGGTCATATACCATCCACCCTGTTCCCCAGGGTGGTGAATATGGCCATTATCGTGTGGTCGTAGCCACGACTTTTCTCGCCAACGGGTACTTGGAAGTGGAGGTTAGCTCCGCGAACACGACCTTGGGCACAACAAAGGCCCTAAGAGTGTGGTCAGCGAATCCTGGATGTTAGAGGGGTAAGTTGTAGACTGGAAGCTTGGGGGGGGGTCTCTTTTTTGTTTTGTTGTTATTTTTTGGGAGGAAGTAATGCTGCAGTGGTTACCTAGATTGACGCAATCTCCTTGTTTGCTATGTCTGAAAATCTCTTATTCGTACTCAGACTGACACCAATAATTTCCTTTTTTTTTCGGCACCTACAGTTAGGATACGTACCTAGATTGACACCAGAAAAAACCACCTATTTTTCCCCTTCACTGACTCCATACCTACAGAGTATATCTCCACCAAGTTCATCTCCTCTTCCCCGGATTCCTGTTCAAACGACAACAATCCACCCCTCCATCACAAACCAAGCGCCGAGCTGTCATGGCTCGATCGACAGGGATTCTCCACCCGGAAGCTTCCTTCCGCTTCCCCGACCGTCGGAGTTGCGATTGCAGAGAGTGATCTAGACTCTGATTTTTTCTTTTTCCTCACCTCCTTTCCTTTCCTCTCTCCCTCTTCTTTTTCTCTGGCTATTGGGTAGGATTACATCGTGGCTGGCTGACAAACAAAATCTACTTTCTAATCTACGGAGTTATATTACTCCGTACTCACTGGGCCGAATTTTACGTGGAGGGGTTTTCTTGGCGTGTAGATAGGTCAAATTCCGTCTGGGGAACGGAGGGAGGGGGCAAGTCAGATTAACAGATAATGCCTGTATTAATACCTCATATCAATGAATAGTTCCCAAGCATGGTACCAAGTTACCTGTATCTCCCTCCCTACCTCTCTCTCTATATACTTATTTGGGGATGAGAGTATGCGGTCACATAATCCATCTCATCATCCTATTCTGCTCAAATCTGTTTGGGGTGGGGGGGGGAGGGGAGGACGGGGACGGGGACGGGAACGTTTGAGTTGGGTAGGTAGTACAGTGTGTAATCAGATTAGGGTTTCTTCAGGGATGATGGGATCCGACTTCCCCGGGAAAAAAAGTTTATTTGGATTACATACGTACGTATGTGCATACCTGCATAGTGCATATATGTGTGGTGGGGGCTGGGTCGGGTTAGATGTGTCTATTTTTTTTGTATTTAACTTTGGTGTTTGTTAGTGTCTATGGTCTGAGGGATTGGAGTTGGGATGGGGGTGGCCCGGGGTGAGGGTTGGTTTCTCTGTCTATCTCTATCTTTCTCTCCTCCTTTTTTTTTTTTTTTTTTTTTTGTTACTGCGTTTGAGTGAGCAGGTGAGTGGGTCGGTATACGTATGTATATGTGCGTGCATAAATTTCGGTAAATAAATAAACATCTAGGAAATAGGTAACCTCCAATCCCAATCCATGTCTCAAATTCGGGTAGTAGGTTGGTAGTAGTGAATATTGAGTTTCGCTGTTTGTTGTTCCCGGGGGTATAGTAGCCGGAGCCGGAGCCGAGCCATAGCATGCACATACTTTTGTTGCACTCCCTCTCTTGTCTCCCGTACCATACCGTACCGTATAGAACATCAAGTATTGAGAGTTGCCATCCAGAACCGTCATTGGGGATTATTGTAATTGTAATCATCCATTGTACCTTTCAAACGGTAACAGTATTACTTTCCATCATGGTCTGAGACAACCTATACTTTCATGTAACCACACCGTTTGATCTCTCTGGTTAGAAACCAGATCCAGCGGTGAAGAAGAGTTTAGAATTGGTGAGTTACATACTGGAGAGGGAAAACCGATTGCCTAATTCTGTGCTGTGTCAAATAGGGAGGGGTGTATGAATAGGCGGGATGTGTAATGGTGGTGTTTTGTTGGTTTGTTTGGTCTGGTCTGGGCTGGGCTGGGCTGGGCGAGTGGTATTGGATACGTATTGTGTGCTTTGTAGGTGGAAGATGAAGTGAAGATAATGTACGGAGTAGTAGTGATTATTGGGGTATTGGGATGTTGTATAGGAGGATTGTACTCGATTTTTCTTAGGGTGAAGACCGGGATAGATAGGTGGGTGATTAGTGTGTCCTTTTTTCTTCCCATTCTTTTTTTTTAAATGAGATGGGGCTAAGCATTGGGATTACCGAAAGAGGATTTGACGGTCCGTAGAGTGGAGAAAAGCAGCAAAGCAGAAAAGATAAAGAACACAATGAAATGAATATAGAACAGACTCAAACAAGCCAGAGTAAGTTATATCACGAAGTCTCTCTGTTTGCCACTCGCTTGCCTTTTCTTACTGGGCGCCCTCTTCTTTTTGTTTCTTTCACTTTCACCTCCTTGGTCACTCTCTTTGGTCGTTTCCCCTCGTTGTCATCATCCTTATCATCTTGCTCTTTTTTTTGGTCTTCCTCATTCTCCTTATTCCCCCTCTTTTTGGTGCTTACCCCTTTCTCAGTCTCCTCTTCCCCTTCGTCGTCGTCTCTAGCTTCCAATTTCGCCCACTCTGCCTGCTGCCTCGAGTTTTCCTCCGCTATCCTCCTTCCCCGTTCATGATTTCGTGTAGTTTGCTCCTCGCTCATTTTCTCGTATTCCTCCTTGATCATCTTGCCATCCTCGACCACTGCTTCTATTATGGCCCATCGTTCCTCGATGCTGATTGAAGCGGCACCCCGCAGGCGCGATACGACCGGCTGAGTAATGAACAGAATCTGATGCCCATCTAACCGGTCGTCTTTGTCGGCAGGCATTATATGATGGTTATAGTGAGCCTTCATATTTTCCGACCGATGAGAGAATACGGACGGGCTCAACCGCTTGAGATCCGTACACTCGCAGGTCTCCCCCCATTGGTCGAGGCAGATAGCCAATTCCTGGGCTTTCTGGTAATAACCAACGAGATCCGCCTTACGCTTGGGGTCTTCACATTCACGCAGTAGTATTAGGAACGGAGGGTAAGTTAGCATGGAGGAAGCAAAGGACCGAGCTGCTTCCTCGCGCCGCTTTTTGGTACGCATGCCCAGTTCGGTGTTGGGAGCTTGGTTATCTTCAGCCGAGTTGGCAAGACGAACGGTCTCGGTTTTCCAGTTCATGGCAGACGCAGGGCTTGCTGTATACTTCGTCAGTACATAACGAGTAATGGAAATGTGGTGATATGGTCCCACCCGTCAAAAACTGCTGGAACAGATGCTGGAGGTGTTGAGGGAAAGATGGAGACTTTTCAGTCTGTTTCTCTTCATGATATGTCATTTCGTCCAAGTAATAGAAAGGGTTTATGAAGAATTTGTCTATGACATCCTTCACTAACATGGATTGGGCAAGTTTTCGGGGCGCAGTGTCACAGATCGGATAAGGAAGAGACCCTATGAATGTATCCCAGTCTAAGTCCTGTACACAGTAGCCCTCGAGAGCACGGAGAATGCTTTGCTTCTCATTGGTGGAGGATTTTGCCAGAACGGCTGTATCTTCCTCGACGTAGCACTCGGCCCATGATTTTGCTGCAAAGAAGAGATCTCGAAATCCCATTGGAGGATATGTGGGATCTGGTGCGGGCCAGCTACTTTCTCCGGGGAATTTCGACCACCCTTGCTTCGAGCCCTCCCTTCTCTCCCCATGCAGCGCGGCCTTGAGGCGAACAATATCGGTCTTAAGGGCCCCGACATCGTCGGTTTGTTCCTGCGTCTCACTCCTCGAAGCAGGCTGGGGTTCTTCGTGGATGGGCTTCGGCGAAGGGCCCTGGGGGGATGCGTCCTATAAGGATGGGTAGGATTTAGCAAGGGGCCTATAAGTCAGTTATAAGTACGAGATCAGGATTAATGCTTACCCTGACTTGATTATCTCCCATTATGTTACAGCGGTGATGGTGATACTGGGGTGGGAAGAAGGAATTGAAGACAAAAGGATAGGAGGGAAGGGAGGGGGGTTGGGTAACTCGGTTTCTTTGTCCTCTCTGCTTCTTCCGTCTCTCTCCCCGCTCCTCTCTCTCTTCTCCGTCTTCCTCCTCCTCCTTCTTCTTCTTCTTATTCTCCTGCCTTCCTCCTCCCTCCAGTCAGCCCGGTTTCGACTAGTGCTCTCCAAACGAGCCAGTGCGAGGGTACCAGCCTATGATTTCCCATGGTCTTCCGGAGAAGACCTATCAGGTCACCGGGTGGCAAGCCGCCAAGCATGGAACTGGCTGTATGAGCGACATCTTCGGAGGGTTCGGAGGAATTGGCAAACGGAAGGTTACTAACTAGCTCATCGACCTGTCTCTTCGTTTCTTCCTTTCTTCCTGTTCCCTCCCCCCCACCTTCATTTATCCATCCGCGTTTCTATTCTTTCCCCAACTTTCCCTGCAAATACCCTGCAACCCCTGTATACAGTCTGTAGACCCGTCACAATGCCCCAGACAGTGTCCGTCGGTATCGATTTGGGGTTCACATTTACCGGTGAGTACCAGCTTTTTGTCTGGGCTTCATCCAGGCGCTGATCACTTTCAGGGGTTGTTGTGGCTCTTGTCAACCCGCAAGGACACCATGAATTTAAAGTGCTGCGGTGGCCGGGCGCACAGGGGCCACAGACATCGAAGACGCCTACTTGCATCAGTTACCCACCGGGCTCTGAGCAGCCTAAGTGGGGTTTCCAAGCACGCAGCAACCCTCCTACGTACAGTTGGTTCAAAATCTTGCTTGGTGATGATACGAAACCCGATGACATCCGAGACACTGAGCTAGAGAAGTACACGCGTCAAAGATTAGCAAGACGACCGTTGAACAAGACTGCCTCGCAGATGGTCTCCGACTTCCTCCGACAAATCCGGCTCTTTGTGTGCAAGGAATTGCAATCTAGTATCGATTCTTACCAGCCTGACACGCATATGAACTTCTGATTTTCTACGCCTGTCCTTTGGAAGGAAAATGCTCAAGATGCCATGCGTCAAGCAATCAGGAATGCAGGCTTCGGCACGGAAACCCCGGGAGATGTGCATCTCTCATCCGAATCAGATGCGGCTGCAGTGTATGTCTTGCAACAGGAGAAGGAGAATATAAAGGTGAGTGGAGAATCTGCAAGATGTTAGAAAATATACTTGACTGACGGGCGGGACCTTTGAAACAACAGACTGGTCATACGTTTGTCCTCTGTGATATAGGAGGCTGTACTATCGTGAGCTTCCAGGTGCTCACATTTGGGCTCTCAACACTAACCATGCGTTAGGATTTGGCATGCTACAAAGTTATCTCCAAAGAACCAACTTTGAATCTGCAACAGATTACTAATCTCACGGTAAGAGTCTTCCATCCTGTGCGTTAACCGCTGCAATTCAACATCTAACACACTCATAGGGAAGATAGGCGGGTCGATGACAATCGACACAAACTTTTTGCGCTTGATGAACGAGTGGTTCATGGGATTTGAATATGTGTTTGAAGGGGCTGGTGGCCTACAGAGTGAGTTCATGCAGCGTCTCGAAGATCTCAAAAGGTCCTTCGACGGATCGACAGGCAGATATGTTTTGCCATTCGATCTAGGAACAATTAATTCAGCTCATTACGGCTCAAGGGGTAGGTGTATTATTATAAGCCATGAAGAGCTGCAAGGTTTGTTTATGCAAACCGTCACTACATCAATCGAAGCCATCCACGAAATCGTTAGTAAAGCCCAGAGCGAGCTTCGCAAATTCGAAGAGGCAGTGAATCATTTGTGCATCACCGGCGGCTTCGCGGATTCTGCCTATGCCAAAAGTTTGTATGGGAATGTATTCCACGATAGTGGATTGCGACTGGTGTACCCTGAAAGCCCGTAAGTTTTCAATGTGCTCAAGTCGAGCTATATGGAACGGCAGTCTAACACCGTGCCAGGGAGCTTGCAACTTCGTATGGCTCAGCTCTTAAAGGCATTAGCGATGTGATTCATACAAGAACAAAGAGTGCTCGCAGTTATGGAATCTATCATCCCACTCTCCTTTCTTCACCCAAGAGCCCGATGAGGGACATCCGTAAACAGTTCGAGTGGCACAAAAGGCCAGCAAAGAAAGGTATCTTGGATCATTAAAAAGGCAAGTAGCCTTGGCTCAAAACCTAACATGTTTGAGGCTCATTGATATTCAGAACCTTGTCTACGAGGGAGACTACCACGACTCGATGATCTTTAATCTCTTTTATATCCCCGCTGCCATGCCACAAATTCAAGAGGTCCAGGTGCTGTCGATTGACAATCCGAATCCCCGCCCAAGCTATGAGACTACAAGTGAGCTGCATCAGATCTGACTATACCAGTCATTCACTAATCCCAGAATTGCGTGTTCTTAGTGGACGTTGGGGAGAAGGTAGAATTCATATCACTCGACCTCAGGGATGTTGACCTTGATAAACACATCTCAATAACCTTAGAGGAGCAAAAGTGTTATCAAATCCATCTCATAGTGAATTTTTCCATCAACCTCAACCGAGGGGAGGAGAAAATTGAGATATCAGAGGCCAGAGAGGGGGGGAATCGTTGTGGAGGCTGCACGGCTTATCCGGCATGGGCTTAAGCGACACAACCGTAAGGCGAGTCAGCGAGACACCTTCCTGAGTTGTGAACTCCATGGTATGTTTCTTTCCTTCCATTACCTTCCATTCTTTTCCGCGGGGGAACTCGATTATCCCTCTTCCTTCTCCCATTCCTGGAGTTATCGCCCATTGATGACTCCCAACGTCGCACAGGGCAAACGCCACACCCTGTCATAGGGCAATCGGGAAGGATCCCTTACCTACCCTGACCCATAGGAGCCTCGTTTGCAGTCAGCTATTGTTTGTTTTCTTTTTTCTTCGCCTTGCCTTGGAAGCTTGGATGGATGCGCCTGTTTGGTGGTGTTGGCACCTTTACCTGGTAATCTTACCGGTGGTTATGTGTGAACGTTGGAAGAAGCTATGAAGCGGCTCTTTCTTTCTTTTTTTGGGTGGTGGGGGGAACATGGATTGATGGAACCGGGAGACTGATGAGAAGTGGGTGGATTGCTAATGTATTGATGACCCAATGGATAGCTTACTGGGAGATGGATGAATGTAATGATGTCATGACACTCGAAAGCAAAGACCGTGAGTACTACATGAGAACAGGGATGCGGGCCCATCTCCTCGTATTCATCTCTTACCTAGTGTTTGTTGTACTACCTACCTACCTCCTACTGACTACTCCGGTAGTAAGTAGTACTAAGTAGTGACGTGTCCGCCAGCCACTCTCCTCCTCAACCTCAGCTCTACCCATCTACTCGACAGGTCAATCACTGCCATGAGATGCAGTCGTAGTCAACCGTCCCAGCCCTCACGAGCTAGAATGTCCCCCTACTGGGGTAATCCTCTAAGATCTAACCTTCCGGGCATACCTCTACATCCCCACCCCCCACTTCCACTCGATTAACCTGGTAGAGTAAATAGCAAGCTGGCCTGACCTAGGCAGAGTTTGTTTTCCGGGTAGAGGTAGGAGGGGGGGGGAGAGGTTAGGGGTGGTACTTTTTGCACGTCGCTACTCCTGACGCTTTCTTTTTAAAAGTGACGTAGGTGAATGGCCCGTGTCACCATTCATATGCTGGCTATAGGTTGGAATGGAGCGGTGTAGAAGACTTCGCATGCGGATAGGAAAGGGATGGTGTCATTCGTTGGGTTATTCGGGTAGGTTTGTTGATACCTCTCGTTTGGTTTGGTTTGGTTTGGTTTGGTATCAGGCGGGCTTGGGCTTGGGGTTTTGGTGTGGTAGGGTGCTGTGTTGTGTTGTGTTGGGCTTGATCTCGGTCTCGGTCTTGGTCCTCGTCTTGGTCTTCATCTTGGGTCTTGGGGTGGCTGGTTTAGAACTATACGGTTTAATTATTTAATTTGCTGTTGGTCTTGGGTTTGGTTTTGGTTTTGTTCTCAAAGAGTCTAAATGGTTCAGTGATGGGTGATGGGTGATGGGTGACGGGTGGGTGTACTTTGATCAGGGATCATGGATTTGTCTTGTGCTGGTGTTGATGCTTCTATCTAATCTCTATGATTATGATTTGTTAAGTTTAGGGGAGTAGAGTCATTAGGATCTATTAGATTATGAGTATTGTGATTTTATATTTCATTAAAGGGGCTGGGATTATGTTTAGACTGGTAGAGAGTATTAATTGACAGTAGGAGTTATATATAATATATAGATCTATACTAGGTTTTGTTTCACTGACTTGGTAACCCATCGCAGTAGTTCAGATACTGTTCATTGATTGGGGGAAGATAGTCAGTCGTTGCTTGTTCTTATTATTTCGAGAGTATGGAGTAGATACATAGGTATCAATGATCATTCATGGTCAAGGGGAGGAGAGATTACGTCAGGGCTTCCCGTCACCCAATCAACAGCGCCGTCAACCGGAGTGGGGCGGATGAAACGACTTGGCCGTGAACCCACCCGTGACCCGTAGGTACCGCTCCCCCGGCCACGAGTCAGTTTCGCTTCAGGTACCGTTATCGAACACGACTACGACGCAGTACGGAGCAGATATTGAGATGGTGGCCGTCGGACCTATAAATAGACGGGACTGCAAGTGTGAGAGATCCCGAAATATCAATATTGCCAATTGCCACAGACATATCTCCGCTGCAGTGGCCACTACTAGTAGTAGTATTTGATTGTACCTGCGTCATCCAGTCAGGCCGCGGCTGTTCCTGACTAGTCGCGTAGGCCAATAATCGGGCTGCAACTGGCACCATCCGGTCGGCGCACGAGGACCCCCCAACGGTCATGTACTTACCTCCGTACCTATCTAGCTATCTATCATTTTATCTCTTCACCACGCCGTCCGTTGCAGGGATTCGGTCAATTTAATACTCTGTATATTAATTCAGCAGGGTTGTTGCTGACTGATAAGACCCAGGATGATGGCGCAATCAGAGCACCATCCAGTGGCCGCCGTTAGGCATTTCCACGGTGGGGACTCTGTGAATTCCTTTCCTTTTCTTTCACACTCTCTCGACGTTGCTTGAACTTGCTTCGGATAAAGGCAGCACCATTTTTGGTCCGATGCGATCGCATGGTTTTCAGCTCGATCGGAGAGCCTGGGTTGAGCAAGAATCCGGGATCATTCCCCCTCCGATCTTCAGCTGCGTTCCAAGGGTGCGAGACCCGTGGGTGTCCAACTAAAGGATGACATTGGGGGCCCAAGGGGTCGGGGGGGTCGGACCTATGCCTAAATGAGTTCACAGCAAGGCCATCCATTCATTCATTATTATTGTTGGCCCTTCCACGGGCTGACTTCCACTATGACTGAGTCCATGACACCCTGGGGGAGAGGATGTTGGATCATCCCACATGCGATGCGGCACCACCTTGCAGCAGCATCATGCAGGTACACTTCCACTGTGAGGTAAGGACCTACCCGGTTTCCCTGGTCGCGACCAAAATAAACCACCCTTTGGACCGGGGACGGGCGCAGGTCATGGATGTAGCTTAAGTAGGTGACTTGTAGATTAACTAGATCCTCGATAGTAGTACTTGCATGGAGGTACCAGCAAATACATAGTAAGTATGTAGCAGTACTACTCGGTAGGTATCTAGGCAGTCCAGGATTGGTCGCTCCTTCCCATCGCCGCCTCCTCCTTTTTCGCTCCTTCCCTCGTGTCTCTCTCCCTCTCTTTCTCCCACTTCACTTTCACATCCACTCCACTCCACTCTCTCTCTCTCCTTCTCCTTCTTCTTCTTCTTCTCTCTCCACCAAGCACTGTGCTGTGCACACCTATTATATTTCTCTCTCTCTTTCTTGTTTTTGCTTTTCAATTCAGTCTCATTTACTCCGTATCTCCTCCCCCCCTTTCACTGATCGCCGATGCCGTGCCCGTGCTAGCCGAAAGGGTGAGTTTCTCTCGGCTGCGTCTGTTAGTTAGTGCTGGTCTAAGCTGCCCGCCGGCGTTTCACCCTCCATCGTTCACCCATACAATCCTCCCTCGTCTCTACCCTCTCCTGACACTCTCCTTCTCATCCCCTCCGCCCGCTGGCTTTTCGTCCTCTGCCTGGCTCTGCCTGGCTTCCTGTCTCCTTCTTTGCTGCCTCGCTTCCCCTTCGTTCTTTCACGTTTGCTGCCGATTTGATATCGTGCACTCCGTCCATCGTTTCTGTCTCTCTTCCCCCCCCTGAATTTACCCCAATTGACACCCACATTGCCAGGCCGCCATTCGTTTCTCACCCAAAGCACATCCCTCTTGCAACATTTCGGTCGTTCGGGTCTCTGTATACCCCAACTCATCAGCACACTACGCACCCTCGCTTGCTATAGAACCATACGTTTTCCAATCCCAGCTCCGACTCGCGATCAACCCCGGTTGCGCCCCTCGTGCGACAATACGACCCTCTACCGCGTCGACCATGCGATAGTGCTCCGGCTGTCATCTTCCATTCCTTTTCCGTCCTTGCGCCTGCGTGTGACCTCGGGCGGCTGGTTGTTTCCTGATCGTCTTCGGCTGGTACACTCGAAGAATCTCTCGTTTCTCCCCCGCTCGGAATCATTCGATATGCTCGTTCCGAAGCCCCCTGTGGATTTGGAAGGCCACTGCTCTGCTCTATACGACAACACTCTTTACACCTACTCCGCCAACGGCTTCGCATCGATACCTCTCGAGCGCAATGGAACATGGACCGAACTGACCATGGGTGAGGCCGTCTCGGATGCGGCGTGTGTGATAGGTGGCACCGATGGCGATGAAACCAAGCAAGCTCTCTACATAGTCGGCGGAACCGCCTCGTCGAATCAACCGGGCTTGCAGCGATATTCGTTTCAAGACAAGAAATGGACCACTATTCAACCCCCGCAATCAGTTATGGGAAATCGCACTCACCACAGGGCCGTCTACCTGTCGAATTCCTCATCAATCTTGGTCTACGGCGGTCACCAAACCGACGAAGATGTCGCATCGTCCGATACATACGTTTTAAGCACGGCCTCGCCATACTCGGTTGCGGCTCACAATGCGACAGAAGCGTCACCGGCCGTCGCGCCCGTTCTCCTACCCTGGAATGGTCGCCAGGCAGCTTTGGTGGGTGGTACGACAACTCCCAAAAAGGTCCACCTATTCGACCCCACCCTGGGCTGGTATAGCTCCAACGTGACACTTGCCCAATCGCTGTCCACTGGTGTGCAGTGTGCAATCCTGGACGGATCCGATGGGAGCAAGGTGCTAGAATCATTCGATATGGACGTTGCACCCAACACGGTCACGAGCGTGGTGTTGGTGAATTCATCCGGAGAGGATGCGAATCCCGCTACCGCCTTGAGTTCCCAATCCTCGTCGCGTAAACGAAAGAGGGAGATCACCCTCAGCAATTACCCGACGTACGATAGTAGCTTGGCGGGATCCACCACACGGCAAAATTACTCATTGGCCCAAGGAGAGGATGGATTAGTGGTGATCTCGAGTGGCAGTGGTACTGACTCTCTGGCCATATTCAACCAGACCGCCAACAGCTGGGTCAACGCCACCAAACTGTTTTACGGTGACGAGAGCCAACAGCAGATTCTCGGATCGACAACGACGACCGCGTCCTCATCAACGACAAGTTCAACCACCTCTTCTAGCGCCGCAGCCGGCGGTAACACGTCCGATAGCGATGTTGGCACCATCGTCGGCGCCACCCTGGGAGCTATCCTGGGCGTCGCGGCCATTCTGGTGATCATTCTTCTCCTCATAAAACGCAAGAAGCAGAACATGAAGAGGGCGAGAGGCGACAACGATAAAGATCGGCTAAGTTTCCAGGATCAGGGCGTGGAGCCTTTGGCCCAGTCAGCATATCCCATGGCAAAGAGCCCGGTGCCTCTTGCAGCTTCCTCGGTGGATTCGCTCGCAATCTTCTCGGGCGGTTTGGGTGATGAGAAGACACCGAGGGTGGCTGGCGCCCGCCCGCCTTTGCACAGAACTTGACTCCGCTGAAGTCAAGTCCGCTGACGACCATCCACTCCACTGAGGAGTCCTCTTCACCCAGCATCTACTCAAGCGCTGCCTTGGACAAAGAACTCGAAATCCAAGACTCCAACTCCGGAAGCCGAGCAGGTGACCGGAGGACCAATGAAGGGTGGAGTCGGTATTTTCAGGACAATAGCGCGACAAGTCTGGTTGGGACGCAGTCGCAGTCTCTCCAACCCCCTCAGCGGCCGCCAAGCCGCAGCCGAAAGGCTGGGCCATGAAGACGCTCACGCCACTGGATTTTGGGTTCTTGGAAGAGCCCAAGCCGCTGGGACAGGTGATAAGCGGTAGCCCCACAACTGAGCATGCCTCGTCTATCATCTCCTCCGAGGGCCGCCATGTTGCCATCCAAGAAAGCCAGTCTGCTCGTATCTCTAGCGCCTCCTCGATGAGTGCAGACTTGGAGGGTGACCCACAATGGAAGCAGCGCAGCTGGGCAGGCCGGCCTCCAAGTAGCACCTACAGCAGAAGCTTCTACAACCCCAGCACCCATGTTCCCTCAATAGCAGCGCCGTCCGACAGTGACTACCGACTGTTTGACCCTTCTCGCACCAACACACGGGGGTCTAGCATCCTCATACCCGAAGTCACGGAACCCATGCCAACACACAAGGCCGCCAACGTCAACGAGGACATGAGCTGGTTGAACCTCAATGCTGATCGATGATCGCCCACGGCATCTCTCGGACGTGAAACGCGACCAACACCTTCCTTGCAATGTCGCGTCTATTTACCCTCATTTCCCCACCCATCGCCGTCAGCTCCGACCTGATACCTTCATTGCATTGGCCTGGCTCCTTCATGGTACCCAGTCTGGGAAATGCCATCTGCAAAAGTTCCTTTCCCTTCGCCCTGTTGGGATGTACAGCTAGCTGCGCTTGACCTTTCCTTTATGTTCTTCTACACATGTTCCCTGCCAGGTTTTCTCCTGTCTAATGGTGCCCGCATCCTGTTGCATCTGCTTCCACTGCTGGCAAAAGAATCGAGCGTTCCGTTCTCTCCCTTGCTGCGTCCGTCCACCCGTTTCTGTTCGTGTTTGGCCACATTCCCCTACTCCCTGCCCGAGTTCTGTTGCATTTAGTTGTTTGGTTTCTCCCGATCGACGATCTGATTCCTAGTTGTTCCGTTGATGATTCTGCCCATCTATTCAGCAGGGGTGTGGCTGCCTGTTGAGATATCATACCCGGTGTTGTGTTGCCCTGTCTTTTACCCATATGTCTGTATTGTAAATATTCCGTCGGATGCTACGTGGATGGGATGGTCTACGGCCCCCCTTGATAGATTCTACAGGCATGCTTATATGTCTGCATGCCGGGAATGGATTATGCTGTTCATTCATATCTTTGCCGTAGCGCTTGGTACACAATATGATGGCAGCAATCTCTACTTTTGATATCGACTGCCATGTACTATACAACCCGTAGGCTCGCACAGTCAAATGGGTAGATGTGAACCAATCAACAAACACAACAAACTCATTATAAGAGGCCAGCGATATACGTATACAACAAGAAGTCATAAATCAAATCAATATTGGTGCAAGGAACGTCATCAATCATCAATCATTATCGTGGCACATGTCTGGATAAGCAATTTTCCTCACGGTTATTCACGCATACGGTACAACGGGGGTCCTCGACGATCTACCCACGGACCGAGACCGGATATCCGAAGTTGACCCATACTCGGAAGGATGGTGTTCCTCAATCTCATCTGGATACACCGTCTGCGGCGGTCGAGACGCGGGACCCTGGCTCTGGACACGGCGGTGTCGTCGCTCTCGTCGTTCATCGCATCCTCTCGCAAACTCATGTCGCTCGCGGCGAGCTTCCTCGGCATGTTTCCATTCCCCAATTGCACCTTTGATTCCCAGAGCAGCGAGGCCGACGCTGGCTACATCCCCAATCTGACCCTTAAGACGACGGCGGCGAGCTTCTTCTGGCGTGATCTCACCCTCTCGAAGCAATTCGGCTCGTTTTTTGTGTTTTTCCATGCTCTCATGTAGACTGTGTGCGGCGTGAATGGTAGCCACTGCGGCCAGGCCCGTTTTCACAAGTGTTTTCCGGGTAAGTTTCTTTTGTTGGTTCTCCTCATCGGTACTACTTCCCAGGTCAGAATCAGAATCCTCGGAGTGACGATCCCCATGCGGGTTGACACGACCATGACCAGCTTCGCCGATTCCTTTGGATGTGGTGCGTGCGGAAGGTCGTGTCGAGGTGGTGGCAGTGGATAAAGGTCGACTCACATCTCTAGAGTGCCTGGAGCGCCGTGGGCTTCGATGGCGTCGCGACTCGTACTCGCTGGATGGCTCGTCGTCTGAATAATCATCACGACGAGACGAGCGGCCGCCATGGCCTCTCCTGTCACGGCTATCCTTGTTTCCTAGGCCTAGAGCTTCCATTCCTTGGTTAATGTAGTCGGACACGCTCTTGCTCCGTCTCCGAGGGCGACGGTCATCATAGCTATCCTGAGAGCTGGATCGGCCCCGACTCCAGCTCCGAGGGCGAGACTTGGACCGGAACCGATCATAGGCCTCCTTACCCGCTGCGGCCAGGGCACCTGTGGCGACCAGATTCTTTAGCCCGCCCTGGCTTTGAGAGCGCCCCCGGCCATGAGACCTCGACCGGGACCTCGATCCGTTAATGAAGTGGTTGGCAGCCAGGCCAGCCAGTGTAGACTCAAGGATATGGCGCCTGGAATGTTTGTCCGGATTCCGATCCACCAGTCCGTCGGTACCGCCGGCCGTGATCGCCGCTGTAAGGATGCGCTTGCCTTTCTCACCGGTCCACTCGCCAGGCTCTTTCCGGACCCGGAAAGCCTCCACCGCGCCGGCGGCTAGGGCCGCTCGAACGGCCTGAGCGATCCGCTGCTCACTTTTGTCCCGACGGTGACGGCTTCTGTCCCGAGTGGGCGAGGGCGAGTAGGAGTAAGACCGGCGATCCCGGGTATGCGAGCGACCGCGATCACGATGCCTAGAGTTCGACGACGCAACCGATCCTAAACCTAGGGCGCCTAGGGCTTGCTCTGAGATGGACTTGCGACGGCGCCTGGGAGGAGAGCGACTATCCGATGGCGAACGGGAGTACCTGTGACGATCATCTGCGGGAGTCAGCATGGGAGTGATTGTCCAGAATTTTGTAGTCATGCATACATCGGTCATCATGTCGTCTGGAACGGCGGTGGGAACGACGATAATGGTCTGAGTCATCATGGTTGGGATCGCGATGGCCCATGGAGTGGGATCTGCGCACGCGCTCCGAGACGGTGGAGACACGGGATGGTCTGGACTGAGGGGGATAGCCGTAGCCGTATTCGTAACCATAGTCGCCAGGAGGGGCATCATAGGAGTCGACGCTGCCATCGCGGCGACGGACGACGTCCATCTGGTGACGACTAGAGGGGTGGGGAGCAGGTGCGTAGTAGTAGTCGGGATTGTAGCCAGCGGGCGGCCGAGGGTACTGGCGGCCTTCGTAGTAGGCCATGGTCTGGGCGAAGGGAGCTGTCCCAGGGGAGAGCCTAGATGGGGAAGGACGAGGAGAGTACTAATGTGATGGATGAGATTGATGAAAGACGATGGGAAAGAAGAGTTGGTAGGATGGTGGATGGAGAGGAGGAGGAGGAAGAGGGAGAGGAAGGAAGAAGTGAAGGGGAAGTAAAGAAAAGAAAAGAAAAGAGTGGCGACGGGGCGGGGCAGGACGACCCGTGACGTAGGAGGAGGAAGAATAAGAAAAAGGAAAGAACGAAGGAAGAAGAGGGAAGGCAGGCAGAGAGAGAGTACCAAGGTAGTGACAGGTTAAGGCAGGTACGACGGCGGACGGCGAGCTGAATGGGATTGATTGGCTGCCCCGTGGCGGCCAGTGTTTCGGACAGCCCCGGCTGAAACCCGGACGGTCGCATTGCATTGAAGACGGACTGAACGCATCATGATGAATTGGTGTAGCCTACGAGTGTGACAAGTACCTCCCCAAGACTCCGAGCAGATACTCCTCGTCGTATGCAGGATGTAGTCAATCAGATGTAGTCCCATGAAATCAAGGGTCCGGTCGCTGACATCATCCCTCCCCCACTCCCCTGCAACCCTCACTTCATACTACATACCATGTACTAGATACTAGATATGTAGTTACCTATGGAATTCTCCAGAATCCATGTCAGATCGGGGAATTTCCCCATGTTTTTGACACGTCCCTCATCCGGTTCCTGATCCAGTCCTCCACGCCGGTTCCGCCCCGCCCGATCCGTGGTTCGGAGGTCGGTCAATCTACAGAGACAAAAATAGACAAGGTTGCGTCGTGAGGGGTTTCCTCCCATTGATATTCATTGGATCCCACTTGGACCCAATCTCGTAGATGATCTATTGTACATTCCAGAAAACAGGTTCGGCCGTCGCTCCCAAAAGAACCGGTAACAGAGGTATTCGTGGCAGACAAAGGAAACAGGACAAACACATACACGCTGACAAGCCATTTCAACAAGTACAAGAGAAAGAAGAAGAACAATGATAATAATGCAAACAGCAGAGAGAATTGAAACCACCGGGACCCCGCGAGAGCGCCGCACAGCAGCCACCCCCGGCGCCTTTTTTTCCGTATAACGCCGTTGCTCCGACGGGACCTGCTGGGCCCGCCATGGGAAAGATAAAATGTAAAGATTAAGGATGTCCAGAGAATGGAAAGGTCATGCTCTTCTCACATATCCGCTCACTCATCATACTCGTGACGCCATCGGTTCATAGGCCCGATGACTGCCACTGGCGGGCATCGGCCCTTCGTACGGGCTTCCGTCCATCTGCGTCCCACTGATGGAGCGTTGATGGTTGTATACCGAAGGGTTGCTCCTCCGAGTCGACCAGCTACCGCTGCCATCGCTATCCCGATCCGTCGCGATACCGGCGGGCATCTCTTCCGAGTGTGTGCGGTGTGTGCGGATGTGTTGCTTCATATTGTCCTTCCGCGTGAAGGCCTTGTTGCAGATGGGGCAGTGGACGCTCTTCTCCCCCGTGTGCTTCTTCCCGTGACGGGCGGCATGCCCAGAGGTCGTGAACGTCGCCGAGCAGCCGTGGCTGGCAGCAAATGGGCAGGGATACTTGTTCTTGCGGACCCCGGATTTGGCCGCCATGGACTCTTTGGTGCTGCTGATCGAGGGTTGCGGCGACGGAGGCTCGGCGACGGAGCTGCCGCTAATGCGCTTTTCGGATAGCGGACGGTAAGCACTCGGATCCTGGCGGGTGAGGTGGTAGTGCGAGCGAGCGCTGGTGCTGCTCATGTAGTCGTAGGAGCAATCCGAGGAACCAGGAGACGTGGGCTGCGTGGTCTCGGACACCGGGTCGAATGGGTGTCGGATCAACCCCGGTGATACCGACGGGGAGTTCACATATGCGTGGTGGTAACGGAACTCTGGCGCCGGGATGGGCTGTTGAGGTTCGTAGTGGTAAGGATAAGGCGAAACAGTCTGGTGTCTGGATAGCCTCGGGGCTGAGCGGACTGTGAAGGCCGGGTTGTCGTCGTTGTTCAGGATCGACACAAAACTGGCTTTGCAGCTCGCCATGTTCAAGACTGATGATGAGATCGCCTGCAGGGGGCTCGTTAGTTGATAGTCTCTTATTTTTCTTTTTCCTGCTCAGCCTATTCCACACAATCCTTCACACAGACGGAGGAGCTGGAAAGGGCGCCATCGATCCGGATGGACGGTAGGGGGAAGAAACCAGAGCGAGAAAAAACTCGAGGGAACTTGAGTACGCACCAGGACTTTTCGAGAATGTTTGCCTGCTCGCTGTCGTGTAACAGACCGCTGGACTTGTAGACAGCCTCCCGGATAGGAAGGACTGGGGTGAGAAGTCGAAAGGGGACCCCTGACTTCTCTGGTCACAATGGAGAAAGTATCCAACAATTTTCCCCGCCGATCTGGCAAAGAGGAGCCGATAATCCAATTCCAACCCACTACAAGGTCGTCACAGAAGGACCCGCCGATAATGGGAACAGGCGAATCAGATGGCAATTGCAAACTGGCCCAGTGGAATTGCAGGGACCAGCAAAAAGCAAGCACGCTTTTTCTTTTCTCTTCTTTTTCTTTTTTGCTCTTTTTGACGCTCGAATCAATCAAGACTCAGAGCAGTAGTCTTCCACAGAAGTGCCGAGTCTCGAGAGAAGACCGAAATAGGATTGAGTCGAATGACACTTTTTAAATCCACTGAGAAGAGAAGTAGCGTAAAAGTTGACAGATAGATAGATGTTGGTGATAGTAGTAGTGGTAGTAATGGTAATGGTAGTGGTGGTGGTGGTAAATGTGGAGATAGAGGAGGGAGAGAAGGTGGTTGATCGGGAGGAGATAAGTAAGATGATGGATGGATGGATGGATGGAGGAGATAGGGTAGATCGGGGATCGAGGAGAGGCCCCAAGAAAACGATAGACCAAGCTTTTTCGGCTGGCAAGGGGAGGAAAAGGGAAGGATTGGAGGATTGGGGAAGAAAGAGGTCGAATGGGAAGGGCAGGACGCGAAGATTAAAAAGCGACAGGAGAGGCAAAGAACGTCGCCAGGCCAGGCGACTAAGAAAGAAGCATCTTGAAACCCGTCCAGGGTCCCTCCCGAAGCTCTGGCCATCTGGAAAGTCCGTTGAGTTAGTTCGCTAGTGGGTAAGTTCACGGTGGATTGGGAGCGAAGTCCACGACGCTAGTTCGCCGGAGTGGAGCAGAAAATAGGCATCATCATTCATGGTATTATTGTTGCTCTGGCCGAGTATCAGCTTGTTCCTCGCTAGTCGCTACAAGACGCAAGACCCTAACTGGCGGGAACCAAGGGTCTATGCAGTCTGCAGTCGACAGTATACTTCAGGTTCAATCGTATTCTTCACTCATGGATAGATATCTTCCATTTACTACTACTATCTACAACCTAATCCTTCTACCGCCATCATCATTATTGCTGTCATTATTATCAAAATTCCTTCCCAACCCAATCCAAGCCCCAAAAAAAAAATAAAAAGAATCCATCCTTCGGCACTACTAGTCAGTGGCCTTAGACAGGCTGGATGGAACCCTCCCGTACCAAAGGTTCCTCAGGCTCCGAGCCACGAGTAGCCACGCGGATCAACCAAACTGTATGCGAAGAGAGACCCAGTGGCTTTTGCCCTGTCACTAGAAATTCTCTTACCACGGAGTATATTATCATTATTTGATTCTAGAATTTACAGACCAAGTAACTGAGGATGAATAATAAAAGTAACCCCTTTCAGGGCCCAATTCAGCCCCTCCACCTTTTTCCCTCTACTTCCCACTGGACTTCAATCTAACTGATTAGATCCCTGACTGGTACGTGTTCCCTGTCGTCAGCTGAATGGGCGAGAGAGAGAGAAAAGGCTGCATAAGTAAGAATAACGATTAATTATTTGGTTTGGTTTGATTATTATTCCAAAAAAGAATAATAATAATAAAACCACTTGTACTAATAAATAATTTTTTAATAAAAAGAGACAAAAAAAAAGACATTTTGACTAATCGGAATTAGTCTCGTCCGGTCGCAGCCCGGAAGTATCTAGTCCCTTGGACCGGGGAGAGAGAAGGGGGGTCATCCAATGAGAATCCATCACCGACTCCGACTCCGTGTATTATATCATTCAAGACGCTAATCATCAAAGATGCATACATAGACTTTCCAGGGTTCCCGAATCATCACATCATTTGCTTGACAGGTAGGTAGATATGTACTTGAAGAAAACAAGAGTAAACACATCGCTACGAAAAAAAAAAAAAAAAAAAAAAAAAAAAAACTGAAATCCAAAACCCTACCTATCGCCGAGCCGCCACAAAAAAAAAACTCCCCCCATGACAGAAATCCTACTGGATCTATCAAGCCAGTGCCGCGCGCGCGCCAGGACGCCTCGCTCGTGCGGCCATGCAAAGGATGTCGATCCCTGCCAGCCAGGGTAAAGTGGCCCCTGATTACATCCCCAGAAGAGGCTTACGGACAAGCTTTTAGCCACGGAGGGATGGAATCCATGGATGGGGTGGATTGAGCCATGATTGGGTCCTTTTCCTCACGGTGTAATCTTGCACTAGTCATGATACCGACCGGTTGCTTTGGTCAGGTCAGGGTTGCAGACTTGCAGTGAAGGGGGGGGCCAGCCAGTCGAAGGCCGGAACCGTTGGAGACTGACTGGCTTCATAACATAACACGTAAGTAAGTTCGTTCCGTGGTGGCGATGATACATGACATGATGATCGGATTCCTCAGATCGTCCCCCGTTTTGGGTATTCTTGTCCGATTGTTGGTCGGAGGTAGAGGTTTCGTGCGACTCGGGGCTTGTTCGATGGTCGAGGGGGGGCCGCCAGTAGGTCGGAGGTAAGTTACAGAGTAGGAAATGTATGGACTGTGGGGAGGGGCCGGTCGTGGTAGTAGACCTTTTTTTACTCCTGGAGGAGTATACGTCGATTTATTGGTCTGTCCTTTTTTTTAATTTTTTTATCTGTTAAATTCTGCTTGATTGTTTTATTCAGGTTGATTGATTTTCACCCGCCCGCCAAAATACTGAACCCGACGTTCTGGAAAACAGCAGCGCAGTCCCACTCGGACCCGAAATAGCTTCGATTTCAATAGCGGAGGGGGGCACAGTTCAATCCCCCCCTCCTCCCCCCAGTCCTGCCAATAATAGCCCGTTAGGAATTGAGATAAAATTATTGTCAAACAGTCATTCATCATCCACGACCCCGTGGTTGTTGCAGATTTGGCTATGAATAGATGTTAGATGCAATACGGAGAACCCTGCAGAAATATCCTCCATGACTTATCTAAGCCACAATGTACACTTACTACATACATGGTACATAGATCGATCGCTACACAATAAGAAAGTATGTCCCATTGCTCCGTGCTCCGTAGAAGATACTAAAATCCCTTAGACCCAAAGACAGGACAACAAGGGTGTCTACCTAGGTAGGTAGGGAACAGGGATAAAAATTTACCAATAAGAACGGAGATAGTAGTTCGTTCCAGGTCTTTACTTCGATGCCTAGTATCTAGTACACAGTAACCTCCTACCAACAGTTTCCATCCGGACCCCTCTTCCCCATCTGACGATGATCCATAACACTAAGCAAGTCTTAGCTTTTTGCAATCTAGATAGGTACGGAGTAGATACCAAGAAAACTGTCAATCAATTTAATCTACGAATGCATACGTGGACGCATCTCCCCCATTCTCATCCGATGCAATCTATTTCTTGGCAATAAGTAGACATGTACTTACTTACTTGTTTGCTTGGCTGGTGGTCTCACACCATATCTACGTACATACGTAGTCTACATACAGCAAGCAGGTAGTAGGTGAGTAAAGAAAGCTTGGCGAACCCTGATTCTCCTTCCCCCTACCCTACCCTATCCTCCCTCATCTCAACACCCTACCTACCTATACTTTGCAACCTCGTATACATACAGTACAATAACCTGAATATACTTACTCCGGCTCCCACCCACCACCGGGGCAGTACAGTCATCCAAGCCTCACCATTGAGGACTAGTCTCCTCACCCCGAGGGATGAAAAAAAAAGGCACGGATGTAATAATAATAACAATGAATGTGGACCGACCACCAACTTGATCCATCATACGCGTCAGGGCCCCCCTCCCGGGGATAACGTCAGGCCCCGATTCCAAGCGCTTGACGTTGCCGAGGAGAGGGCCCTGAACCGGTGTTTTCCACCCTGCATGGGAGATCATTATTGGCCGGATACGAAATGTTGATGCCTACAGCACTGGTAGCTACGTACTAGGAGGGGAAGCAGAAAGCTTGCGCATCAGGGCAGGGCAGGGCAAGGCGCGGCATCGGAGATCGGGGCTAATATGTGATGGAGGGCCGGTTGGGTGGGTGGGTAATACAACCAAAAGGTTGTTGGATTGAGGGGATGTTTTTTGTTTCATTTTTCTTTTTATTTTTGGTGCAGATGGTTGTTTGTGTCGGGTTAAGGGGGAGTGGACTTGAAGGAGGGGCATCATTCTTCTGACTGTTGGTGGTGATGGTGGTGGTTCATTCAATCCATGCACTGCGGTATAGAGTCGACAACCCTGACAGCAGCGGCTAAGCTATCCGAAAATTAGCAGTGGGAAAGAAGAAAAAGCCAAGATTGGGGTCAATGACGCGGATCACACCTAAACAATAGACAGATACTACTGTGTAGGTACATAGTAGGTAATAATGTTGGAGCAATAATAACATGGGACAAATATTTCGATTGATCTAAGACATGATGGGGGGTGTGACTGGTGGCGGCCTGATGGTGATTGTGCCATGCACATTGACGGGGTCCGTTTCCGTAGGGACTCCGTGTTCCGAATTCCCGACGGGATTCCCTCCAGACGCGGTGTTGGCTGAGACAATAATGAGAGATAAGAGCGATTTTCACACACACACCGAACAGAGCATGAAATCACCGCCATCTCAAATAGCCCCAGGACAGGTACCATGGTGCATGCACAATTGCACATATGACATGAGAGGTAGTAGTTTGTCCTGCAGTGGGAATAAGGCACGATTGATCGGATGATTGAGCTGGCGTGGCTGGGCTAAAGCAGACTATACGAGTCCCTACAGGAACCGAGAACGAGTCAGGTGGTTCGGATTGGATATGGGACGCCACCGTGGCTCTTGGAGAGAGGGAGGGAGAGAGCCTGGAGAGACTAAGATCAGGGTCGTGGCCTACTATCTAGAGTACTCGTATCATGTATCTACGCATACGACGACGATACGAGCAACGCCATGACTAAGCTGCCGAGTCAACCGAAGCAGCCCTCAAATCGGCGGCAGATCATCTGGCAGATTACGGGACGCGTATCGTATCTACGTAGAATTGCTTTGTAAGCGGCATCTCCACCGCCCGATGAGCTTGGCTATAGTCCACCTTTACCTTCAAGTCTCTGGGCCAGATCTTGAAAAGAGGGGACTACCAAGCATGAACGTACGTATACTACCGTGGCACAGCATACTCTTCTCCATCTATCCTCGGCTAGATACCTAGGTCAAGTCTGCAGACATTTTCAACCCCTGGAAAAGTGGACAGTGGACGCATCAAAGAATCGAGTCTTGAAGATCGCAGCGCCAGAGCCAGGGAACGACGCTGTCAATGCACCCGGACCCTCTTCCTCCCTTCCCTACCCTGAGTGTCCTCACTCACTCACACCCAGAACAGAACCCCATCTGAAACAACCAATGTTTAATATTCTGATTCTCGAACCGGTCGGTCGGTCTCTTTCTCAACCACAATAATTACAATTGAACAATGATAGAATACTTGTGTCAACTCGGACACCCTCCGTAAATAAACTTTTCCATCTTCTTAATTATTTACCCGGGATACCACCAAACCCACCAAACACAAAACCACGATCAAACCCACAAAACAAAAAACAAAAAAGAAAGAAAGACAGACAGAAAGGAATGGACCTGAAAAAAACCCTTATTTTGCCAAGTGTCAGTACCTTACTGTGGCTTGAGCCCTATGGACCCTGACCCGGCTGCACTAGACCGGCTTGGGTACTGCTCGGCGGAGAGTCGAACAACCGGTGCCAGACCAATGCAGGGATTTCACTTGTACTAGTAACTAGTAGTTCTAGTTTGTCTAGCTTCCTGAAATTTTCCAGGGGAGACAGAGGGGGGGTTTCTATTTCGTGTCTTTTTGCTGTTTTAGGGATGATCTACGATCTGTTACTATCTATTACTACTACCTACACTACTATCTAGGTGTTAGTATTATTCCTGCTTTATTCAATTTAAGAAGCATACAATAAATAATATCCATCCATGTCTTGGATAATTTATCATCATTTGGTTGGGTGCGAGAAACTACCTACTAGGTAAGCTTCTCTTTGCTTTTCCCGTCTGTCACTTTTTGTTTTTCATTTTTCATTTTTCCACGATAAGCGTTCAGTTCGTATGGACCAATACACACACACATACATAAGCCGGATATTCCGGCATTCCCGAATCCCTTTATCTAACCTAACCTAACCTAACTATGAGTAGTTGGGTTAATCCCGAGCCGATGTTGAGGCAAGCGTACGTACTACTAGGACATACTTATCTACGTAGGGCGGGTAGCCATGCGCCCCGACACGAGACTACGTAGATAGGTAGGGTAGGTAGGTGGCTGCTGTCGCGAATCGCGATGGTGGGTTCTATCTTTAGGATTGTCTCGTGAGTTGAGACAACAGTCCACTTCTCCGGATACGGGATTGATGAAATACGGAGGACTGTGTAGATCATCGTAGCAGATCTGATCTACCAAGCAAGCGAGCAGACAAGGGGAGTAGTAGTAGTGAGTGAGCAACTAGGTACCTAACAGGAGGGGAGGGGGCTCTGAAACCGCCATTGAGCGGGAATCTCGACGGGATCTCAGGGCCTGGGACTGGAGGAGGGGTTGGTTGGTTGGTAGGTAGATAGGGGGTGAGTATCTCATCTCATCATTTCATGGTTGAATGAGCAGTAGGGGAGTAGCTAAAGTAAGATGGAAAGGGTAGTAGTAATTGGCTGGGTCTTTTGCATCCATCGTATGGTCGGTTCCATTCATTGCTGAATGGGATCAAGATTATGAACGGATCAAATCAGCCCGCTGAGTCACAGGGGCAGAGGAAGAGAGCTGAGAAGCACCCGCAACCTCGTTCTCTATTGATGGCTTGCGCCGACCCTGCGATCTTCAGGGTCCGAAAAGAAAGTTCGGAACCGTAGCTGGGCAGGTCGGACCAAGGTAGCACCGAACCCGACTAAGCTGTCTACGGTAGTTGATATCCGAACGTGACCCATCATCCGGGCCTCATCCAAGGGACGGGAGCCGAGCAACGGAGCAAGAAGAGGGCAAGTCAGGGCAACTGAGGGTAACTGAGGGGGGGGAAGATACCGTATTGTATACCACAACGGGTAATTTACCCTTTCCGAAGCGGGAGAGACAGTAAGATTACTCCGGCCCCGCATATACTTTCTTCCAGGGAGTGGGGCGGCACTAGTGTCTTCTTAGCTACGCGCTAGTGAGGGTTGGTTCACTTGGTTGGGTTATCGTGCAGAACTCCGGTGGAGAGAGAGACATCTTTCTTTCGGTCTTGTCTGGTGGTGATGGATTATTGGGTGACATGAATGAGGATGTTGGGGTTGTGTTGATATTGTTGTTGTTCTCGTCGGAAGGACATTGACGATGGTGCAGTAGTTAACTCGTAGTTAAGTACTAGTAGTAGTACCTGTCTGGATATCAACCATGCAAAGACGCCTTGTCTCCTCCGTCCACTATCTACCCACCATCATCCATAACCCACACTTTCACATCCACCACCACCACTAGCAACGCCAGCTGCGTAAGCAGAGACGTCACTCAGTGGGGTCCGAGATTTGACATGCCGCGCGTAGAATTAGTTTAGTCCTCAGATACGCATGGGTTACCCGGAGACTAGTCTGCTTGGGGGCTAACTCGCTGCCCGCCGTTCTAGACTGTCGCCCGTGGCGGTTGGCTAAGGCCTGTTAGTCGCTTCAATCTTTTCAGGGCTCGACTCCATGCCCCTACCTGGCCCCGAATGAGGGTCAACACGAAGTAACTACCTGGCCCAACATACGTAAGCCACAAACTACGGGGTAGGGACCGCCGCCCATACATCAGGTGTCGAACCACCTGCCCACGGGGCGCATGCCCTCATCCAGCCATCCATCTATACTGTCCTCCCGCCTCCCTGCGACAACCACGGTTCATAGGATGCCCGCCGGCAATCATGGTATCCTCATGTCTCCGGATCGCCGATGGGAGGCATCCCTCTTGTCACCTACGTTACCTACGTAGGTGCATACGAATGCCTCCGGCGCCCGGTGGGGCCGGTCTAGCGCCGCCTGGCGATGATTAGGGCTCGCGACTAGTATAAAGAACATGACTCCAAGATTGGGCGGGGATGCCATTGGGGCGGACCTCATTTAAGGGTTCCCTTGTTTTCTTTTTCGCCTCATACTGTCTGCGCCGAGGCATCGAAATTTTTCTGCCTGCTCCTGCTAGTCTCGGGTTTAGCAGAATAGGCGCAAGGCACCGAAGATGCCTACGTAGCGGGTTCTCATTCATCCCATCAGAGATAATGGGATGTCGTGATGAGCAAGTTCCGACAAAGACCGCGGACGGACGTTTCGGATTCCGACTCGTTTCCTGTTGAGTACGTATGTGTATGGAGTACGCGCCTTCGGATCGATGTACGCATGACTACTTGTGTCCCAGTGCTTCTTTCTGTACCGCGTACGGAGTACCTCGCGACCAGATGGTGGCGGCTCGCTTGACTGATCTCGATCATCTCTAGCGAGTTCGGAGGTCTCGTGCGCTGTGCTGTACCAGACACAGCGCGGAGGATTAACCCAATATCATTCATCCGGAATAATCTCGACGGCGCAGCCTGCAGAGAAGATCATTCCTTCTCTGTCGTAGTGACGACTGTCGCCGTCAGTGATAGGATCAGACTACCGTCTAGCAAAGTATAATGGCCCCGTGAGTCGTGATGGTAGGCTAGTAAGCAGCCACGGAGAGGACCCTGGATTGGGGTGCCTTGGGCTCCTGCTTAAGACTGATCACGTATGCCAAAACGCAGGCGTTATTCATGGGCCTTGGTTGGTTCGTGCGTCGGTGTGGTACGTTTCCAAGGGAAAAATGGCTTGATTGCATGCGTACTATGGTCTTGGCTCGGTTGGCCTCTTGCAGGTCCCAGGCAGGGACGACGTCTTGCTCTGCTGTGAGCGTTAGTTACGCTGGACCCTTGGTGGATGGCTTCGGACTACCCGTTATTGGGAACTAGTTTGCTTACCTCTGCTTTTATTGTGCTTGACAATGGTGTAGAGCCTAAGGACGGCCTTACGTGTCTTATCAAGGTGGGTGTCAAGGCTGCCTGCCCAATAAACGCACCGTGTTATGCGCTCAGCCAGCCAAAGCCATTTTAACACTGCATATGCTGTGGCCTTGACAACTGCATGTTTCACCTATCGTCAGACAGAGCCATGGACTTGTGATATCAAGTTCAATATCACTGATTACTCGTCGTTATTTGATACCTGTTCATAATTAACAGCTGACGTTGGCCCTTGGTGACCCATACTCCAGTGGAACATGATGAATCCACCGGATAACATCTTCCTTGGACTCAGCCTCGCCCAAGCCCCTCAACTCACGCTTCGCTCCCATCCACCCCAAATTATCTTGTTGCGAAGTTCGCCCCTATTTCCGCCGGCCCACCTCGGTCATGCACAATTGGGTCGGATATGCAGCTCGGCGCCCCAATGCCCACGAGGCTTTGTCGCTTGCCGCTTACGTCTGAAAGGGGCAGGTGAGATGTAGTGCTCATGTGGTGGTGATGCCCAGGCCGGGGTTGATGCTATTCAGGCCTTCGCTGCAAAGTGTCTCTGTGATAGAGCCAAAGTATTGGCTGCGATCCTGCACCAATAGGGCAAACAAAGGATGGATTAGTGCTAAGTACTCCGTACAAGAGAATCCAAGTTGATTGTGGGACCGTTATTGATAAATGTAGGCGTGGCAAGTCCATCCTACGGACAGAAGCCATCGAGTATAGGCTACAGATATTGGTATCACCCGCGTCGCGGCTGTGAGTGTTTGCCATTTCATCTCGTGTACATCGTTTGATAGCCGCGACGGGTGCATGTTGCAGTGTTGTTTAGCATGAACGTTCCGCTAATATCTCCCAACCAGCAGGTACACAGGTCACTGGCACGGAGATAGAATGCATTTCTATGTGTGTATGATTCAAATGCCCTTGAATCATCTCATAATGCTGTGTGGCGAAGGTATCCCTGCCAGTCACAGAATTTTGACTGGAATGCTTGAGGACCCTGGAATGTAAGGTGGATAACCCCTGCCAGTCAAGGCTCGTTGTGTCTCATAATGTCCGGACGTGAATGACTGGATAAAACAAAGGACACGCTATATGCTTTGGAAGGAGTGATGCAATTTGGAAATGCTTTACTCCCATGTTCTCACCCGATGGTGGTACCAGCTTGGACGGAAGGGCTTTTTCATAGGGAGAGCGTTCGAGATTCCGGAGCAGACGTGGGTAGCATAGCATGTAAAGGCCATTCAATGGCTGAACCTCTTCGCCAGGCGCGATCTTCCAAACGTGTGGTATTCTCTCGCGACGCTCCTCCGACCTTTTCCATTCCACACGGCGGCAAAATGATCGCGCAGGAGTCCAGGGCAACAATGAGCGCTATATCTAGCAGCGGATGTCTCTTCAGACATGATGACCAGACATCTTTCCAAACTTACTTTTCATCGAACTCCCTTATTAGCCTCTCCTTTTCAGACGGTTACTCTTAATTTCACATGCCACGTCACGCTGCGATCTTATCATCATGCTGTCTTTAACCAAAGCTTCGTCAGTGGCCTGCGTCCTTCTGGCATGCCTTACCTTTTCGTCAATTGTCCAAGCATACCCTGTTTCCACATCAGACAAGGAGACATTATCCAGATCGTTGGATTCGCGATCGCCGGATCCGGTATGTGTCGCATCTTATTCGGCACAGATCGAAGTTAGCTAACTGGCTCCCAGAGAATGATCCCCGACAGCGAAAACCGTGATCTCGTCAACTCCCTCTTCAACTCGCTGGGGTTTAGCGCTCTGGCCAATCTCAACCACTGGAAATCCGACAATGAGCCCGATGTCATCGATGACAGCAACGTCCCCACGAGGACGGAGACCACCAAAGACAACACTGTTGATGACAATGGCGATATCCACACGGATAACAGCCGCGAGGATAAGACAGACAGCGATGATGACAAGGACAGTGATGATAGCAAGGACAAGGAGGATGACAAGGACTCGAGTGACAAGGACAGCAAGAACGACACCCAGCTTCCGAACCCTGCCACGGATCCGGCCGGCTTCGTGACGGCCTTGATGCAGCAAATCCAGCACACTTTTAACGAGGCTCTGGATAGCAGCGATGAGCACACGCTCAACTGAGTGATGCTGTGGAAGACTCAAGTGTTGTGATTCTCTTGGGGCTGAGTTGGCAAGTGGTTCACTACACTCTTATTGATAGCTTGAAATTCTGTTTGTGAAAAGTATTCAGCGGCGTGTGACGATTGACGAAGACCAATGGCAAGGAATCTGTATGATTAGTTAGTCCCTTAGTTAACATGATTGACTGGTTACCTGGAACGAACACGAGTACTTCGTAAATAGATCGGTCTCCGTCTCTTCGCTTCCATGGACCTTGGAATTCCGCCTCGATCGGACGGACCAAAAACTTAACTCCACCTAACCCCGAGTCATCCGCTCGGCCTTGGGATTATCACCGCCAAAGATCCCGTGAATGCTGAGAAAGTCACCGAGTTTGAGATGTGATCGCTGGGTCTTGGCCAATCCACGAGTCATGGGGCTTTTTGGCTCGTCATTCAAAGACATGTGTGGATGTTAGAAGAAGAAAGTTCAGGATGGATCCACGAGGGAGACGGAAAGCAAGAGCAGATGCGGGCAGAGATAAAAAGCCCCTCATGGACCACACTTGCTCTTCCCTTTGACCCCTCGATAGAACACCACCCGTGAATTTCTACACCACAGCCAACAGCATGCCTTCCCTCAACGGACGAGAAGTCGGTCCCACCGGCTATGGAACCATGAGTATGTTTCTACGGCCACCACCAATCCTGCAGTAGCTGACGATGATGTCAACCCAGGAATGACCTGGGTCCCCCAGCCTCCCCCACAAGAGCAATGCTTCGAAACCTTAAACACCACTCTCAATCTGGGTGCCAACTTCTGGAACGCAGGCGAGCTCTACGGTACGCCCGAGTACAACTCGCTCCACCTGCTGAACAAGTACTTCACCGAATACCCCGAGAACGCCAGCAAGGTCGTTCTAAGCATCAAGGGCGGGACGAAGCGTGGCGAACTCACCCCCGATAGCTCCGAGGTCAACATCCGTCGGAGTGTGGATGAATGCCTGCGCGTGTTAGACGGAAAGAAGACAATCGACATCTTCGAATGCGCCAGGCAAGATCCCAACGTGCCGGTGGAGCAGCAAGTGACTGTTCTGGCGCAGTTGGTCAAGGAGGGCAAAATTGGAGGCATTGGCCTGAGCGAAGTAAATGCTGAGACCATTCAAAGAGCGTACGTTCCCTCAAACCCTCCCTTACAAAAGCGGGATACGCAGAACGGCAGCTGACTAGACGCAGTCACAAGGTCCACCCAATCGCGGCTGTAGAGGTTGAGATGTCCCTTTGGGACACCACAATCCTTCACAATGACGTCGCCAAGGTCTGCGCTGAGCTCAACATCCCGGTTGTGGCCTACTCGCCTCTGGGTCGAGGTGTGTTGGCGGGCGCCTTCACCAGCGCGTCTGAGATCCCAGATGGCGATTTCCGAAAGACGTTGCCTAAGTACCAGGACGAAGCCATGAAGGAAAACATCAAGCTGGTCAACGAGGTCAAGGATCTGGCCACGCGCAAGGGCGTGGCTCCTGTACAGATTGCACTGGCTTGGATTCTCACTCTGAGCGGCAAGCCTGGCATGCCGACTATTATTCCGATCCCTGGTGGCACGACCGTCGACAAGGTTACACAGAACCTGGAAGGAGTCCCCCGCCTAAGCGATAGCGAGATGGACGAGCTCAAGAGCATCCTGGAGCGGATTCCGGTGGTTGGGGCTCGCTACTAAAGCTACGGTGATGCAATGCTGGATCGCGCTCACTAGGGAGGCCCAGAAGGTAATTATATGTGGATAGACAGCTATTGAGGTTGAACGTATTTCCATTGCTATGTATATGAGATAAAATGGTCCTGAATGGTCCGAGACTGTCAGCGGATGTTGATCATGCAGATGCAAGAAGCTTCATGAACATAATAATAAACAAAGAAATGATTGATCAGATCAAGTGTAGAAGAGTCAACATGCAATCTCACAGAAAGTAGGAGATTGTCCGAATTGCAGAATTCTTGATTCATTCATCACGGAAAATACAGTGGGAACAACAGACAGACACGCGTCGGTAGGAAATGACAGCAACTTACCCTGCGCCAGATGGGCAGGATCTGTTGGGACAGATCACTAAAACGGTAGTAAAGATAATCCAAGCAGGTCAATAATGCCTGCGAGAGGAAGTGAGATGCACATCGGATCTCATTGCGAGGTGTGGGACGGAAAGAAGGAAAGAAGAAAGCAAAGCGGGAAAGCGGCGGGAGAAAATTGGCGGCGCAATAGCCTCATCACGTGCCGGGGTTCAGCCCAGTGTATACTCCGGCGCCGGATTCACCTCCAAACACCCTAAATGTTGCTCACCTCTCCAGGCATTGCCAGTAACACTTTCAGAGGTCCACCGTTGTCGCTCAAACCCCCGCCATTCACCTCCAATCTCTGAAGCGGGTCCCTCTGGTCTACCACAATGACGGAATCCCCGGGCTCCCCCCTCTCCTCCATTGCTTCCGACGACATGTCGGATCGCGAGGACCTGAAGCAAGGCTTCTCCCCCTCTGGCTCCAACATGCCTCCCTCAAAGCGTCGTCGTACTGGCGTCGCCTCCTGGGATCGCAATACCCCCGTCTCCACCACTTTCCAGGATGACATCCCTCCACCTTCGCCCTCGACCTCCGTTTCGTCCGATACCTCCGGCGACATTCCCAACTCCCCAAACACCCTCGCCCTCATCGGCGGCAGCCAGGATGACGACTACAGCGGCCAGGGCAACGACCAAGTCACCATCTGTCGCTGGGATGGATGCGACGCCGGCGATTTAGGCAACATGGACGGTCTGGTGAAACACATACATGAAGAACATGTCGGGAGCCGACAGAAGAAATACTCCTGTGAATGGTCTGATTGTAGTCGAAAGGGCCAAACACATGCCAGTGGTTACGCGCTGCGCGCACACATGAGGAGCCATACACGCGAAAAACCATTCTATTGCGCTCTCCCAGGTGAGATCACGCTCACAATCACGTCATATTATCCCTTCCGTTCTGTGCAACGACTAACATGTTTCATCTTATCTCGCAATTAGAATGTGATCGCAGTTTCACTCGATCAGATGCACTCGCAAAGCATATGAGAACCGTTCACGAAACTGAGGCGCTGCGGCCATCGGACCCCGTGCCTAAACATCATAATATCGCTGCCTCGGCAGCGGGAACTCCGACCGCGACACCAGCTGGCAAGGTCCGAATCAAGCTGAAGCTGTCATACCCGTCTAAAGACGATGCAGGAGATCACAGTGAAAGCGCCAATGACGACCCTGCGGGAACGGAAGAGGATCTCCTGGTCGCGCCCGGTGGCTTGGAGAAAGAATTCGACACCTACGAGATGCTACTTGAAGGACCACAACTGTACCGGTTGCTTCTTCGGCAAATCCATTGGGCACAGCAGGAGGGTGTGGAGCTACGTGATGCCTGGGACAAGGTTTGCATCAAACGCAAGGAGTCGTGGATGGAGAAAGAAGCTATCTTCGATGATTTGGTAGAGGCTGAGCTGCGACTGTTCCGAGCCATTGTAGGCCCGGATGGCGGATACGGCGTTCCAAATCCTGTCCCTGCCAATGGGAAGGCCACTTCACACCAGCCGGAGCAACGGCAGTCAGAAGCAGAGATGGATCTTGGACAGGATCCTGAGTCCGGGTCTGTCCCGCTATGACGCGATTATTATCATTTAGCCTATCGCGGTCTTGTTCCCTTCCTCTGTACCACCTTCTCCTTTGGGTTTGGTAATGACTTTGACACTTTTATCGAGCAATGTCTCTGCTGCAACAGACATGCCGTCTAACGCGTCCACTTTGGCACCCATCATTCTTCTCCTTGGCCCTTCCTTTCTAAAAATCTCTTCCTCTCCCTGTTCCCCTACTCGAACTCTTTATTCATCACATCATGGGCCATGGATCCACTTCCGGTTAATTCGTCTGCTTTCGTCTCGCAAAATATCCTGGACTTTGTTATACTAGTGTGTACCTTATGAAATGGGATTGGCGCTACATCGTTTCCTTCAGCTGTCCATACCAATTATGCAGGGTCCCTGCCTTTTTTAAAAAATAGCTTATAGCCATAGAAGCTTTGGCAGTAAAGTCTCAACAATATGCATTTCACTCCTCTTTTCATGTGAATTCCGACACGGTCGAAAGACATGGTAGCCCATCAAAATAAGTAGGGGGAAATAATGGAAACCTAGAAACACCAGCCAGCCATTCCCGTTGGCAGGGATGAAGAAAGAAGCAATAACAAGAGCAATCGAGGTCTAAGGACACTTCGATATGACACCCAGAATAGATGAATGTTCCCAAGCTAAAAAAGAATCAAACTCCTGGGAATATAAGCCCGATGTGAAAAAAGATACATGAATTCGAAGGATATAAAGGAGCTGCCCAATCGGAGGGCCCAATAGACACGCAGCTGGGGTCATCAGCAACAACAACAAACTCATCACTTCAGGTATATGGAAGAAGGGAGCGATGAGAGGGAACAGAGATGAGGAGAAATGATATATGTGAACACATCACAAAGCCCGATGCTCCAAATACGCGGACGCAGATAAGACATAAGAGCCAAGAAAGCTGCCATGCAAACATCATATGAAGGCCACTCATGGGTCAACAACACTCCTTCGTAGATCATACCAGACGCCGTCGCCATGCTTTCCCAAATGATGCATATGTACCTTTAACATGAATAAAAGCAAAGAACTCCACAAAAACAGGACCGTCGACGTCTTTTGCTGTATGTCGGACTCGACCAGATTCTACTCGCCGTTGGAAGCGGGCTAGCTGGTAGCCGCCTCCTTACGGGCAGCGATCAGTTTATGATACATTTCTTGAAGTTTAGCTCCCCCGGCATCTTTGTTAGGCCAGTAGTTCACCGAAACATATTGCCTGTTGTTGGAGTTAGACGTATTCGACTCAGTCTTGGAAATTTTGTGCGTTGACATACCATAAACGAGTCTCCAAAGAAGCCATGGAGCCCTCGCCTTTCAGATTCTGACCGATGAATTCACCGATCTTACCCAGTAGACGCCTCAATTCCGTGGCCCGTTCCGCCTTGTTCGGAAAGTTCTCCTTGGTCACGGCGGATACCTTCTTGAGATTCTCACGAATGGGCTTGAAGAACAAGCGAGCCATGTCCTCCTTACCCGCAGAATAGCCATTCTCATTAGGCTTACGACGCCGGACATCCTCGCTAGAAGCGTCGGAGGTCCGATGACGGCTCCGTTCTCCATCATGCATCGACCTGGGGCGAGAGTCGTGGCTCGGCGTGTGGTGTCTCTCGACACTATCCCTAGCCCCGTGGGTGTGGGACCGATGCCTGGGCCGGTCTAATTCTCGATGACCTCTTCGAGAGAGTGACGGTGCTGGGGAGGCCGACACGCTGTTGCTCGCATGCGCGCGGGAGCCTTTCCGGTTATTCCGGTGATGATTTTCGACGGCTCTCTTCGCGCTGACACTGGAACCGTTGGTGACTTTGTCGCGGAGGACAGACAACAGATAATCCGCGCGACGCACGAGATGAACGGCTCCCGGGGACTTTGTGGTTTTATCCTCTGCATTCATACGCTCGTTTTTCCTCTCAACACGGTGTTCTTCAAGGAAGAATTTATCACCAAGGGCGAGGTCGGGATCGTCTCGGATTTGGGTCCAGGCACCATATCCGTGACGCGCAATACCGACACACAGCATCCCATCTTCTCGTGCACCCCATGGGCAGGTATAATCCGCCGCTTTGGTGGCTTCCGGAACACGGAAATTCTTGAAATCAGGCACCGAAGCCGTCGCCTCCTTCAAGATACGCATCTCTGTCGGACGTTCCACGATAGTGTACGCATTGAGGCGCTTGACGCCATGAAGGTCGAACAAGACAGCCTTCTTTTCTTTTTTCGTCGGCACTTTACCGGCGTGTTCAAGAGCCTCAAGCTTTTCAACATCTTCCCGCACAAGGGCGGCAGCCTTGTCGGTGATTTCACGGAGGGCAACCTTGACGGTCTCCCTATCACGGTCGAGGAGGCGTGCCTCGCGAATGACGTCTTCCTCACGTTCTCCAATATCACCATAGCGAAGATATGATCGCAAAAGGTGACGGTATTCTTTCTCTACAAGTGGTCGCTTCGGGTCTGACTGGGAGTTGGAATCAGAATCGTCGAAGCCCTCCATGCTGACCTGCGCTCTCGCTTGTCTCTTGGCTTTGCGTTCCTCACGGGTATCCCGTGCGTCCCCAGGAGCGTTGCGTTTGCGAGGTCGGTTTTGCTCGATGACTTCCGCAAGATAACGTTCATCAGCCTTCTTCTTCTCCTCCGCCTTAATCTCCTCCAACTGTTCCTTAGGGATAATGTCGTCCCAGCTAAGGTCATCGACCTTGATGTCGACGTAGTCAAAAGCTCGGAGGAACTCTTCACCACCATCGGCTTGAATTTCCTCCGCTTGTTCAGTCTGATGCAGTTCAGCGTTTGCGAGAACTGAGTCGATGTCCAGTTGTTCAAGCTTCTCCTGATTGCCCGTCTGCTCAAACATCTTCTGGCCACGACGCTTAAGAATACGCGAAATATCCTCTGTCGAGTTCGGCTCGCTGACGGAAATTCCACTGCGAGCCATTTTGCTCTGGATCTCCGACGCCTCCTTGTCGGTAACACCACGTTGGATCGTGATGAATTCAAGCAGAAGCTTGTTCCGCGCTCTCTCAATCACTTCTTCCTCGACTGTATCCTTTGAGACTAGACGATACACACTGACTGGTCTGGTTTGTCCGATACGATGCGCTCGAGCCATGGCCTGAAGATCAGCCTGGGGGTTCCAGTCTGAATCGAATAGGACCACGGTATCCGCGGTCATGAGGTTGATACCGAGACCACCAGCTCGGGTCGACAAAATGAACGCGAAGTCGCTGCTTCCGGATGCGTTGTAATGTTCAATAGCCAAACGACGAGCGGCCGCCGGAATTGTTCCATCCAGACGCTGATAGGAGTAGCCACGGAATTCCATGTAATCGCCAAGGATATCCAGCATTTTCACCATCTGACTAAAGATCAAGACGCGGTGACCGTCACGTTTCAGCTTAGCCAGAAGCTGATCAAGAAGCATCATTTTACCACTACTCGTGATCATGGCTCTTAAAACATCCTCTCGGCGAGCACTGCCTTCCAAGATTCGAGCTTCAGCATTTGGGAACATGAACGGATGATTACTTGCTTTCTTCAGCTCCATCATAATGTTCAAAAGGGATTGCTTTTGACCCCTGGCCCCATCATTGAGCGCAGCGTAATTCTTGGTGAGGATATTCTTATAATACTCCAACTGGATATCGGAAAGCTCGACGCGGATAATCTTCTCTGTCTTAGGTGGCAGATCAGACTCCACCTTAGACTTGGTCCGGCGTAGCATAAATGGTTGAATGGCTTTCGTCAGCTCTGCAAGCTTGTGGGAGGCTATTTCTGCGTTGAGGTCCATGTCGGCATCGATATGAACCAAGCCCGGATTCAAGAAGTCCAGCAGGGCTGAAAGCTCGGCGAGGTTATTTTGGATTGGTGTACCTGTAATGAGAAGGCGAGCCGGCGACCTGAACTCGAGCAACTTCAGATACAGCTGGGATTCGCGGTTCTTTAACCGGTGTGCCTCATCAACGGCCATGAACTGCCATTTGAATTGGCTCAAGAAGGTTGAGTCTAACAAAACATACTCATACGTCGTAAGGAGCACGTTAAACTTGGGTCGTTTGGGGTTTCCGTCGACCATGAGTTCATGTTCTCGCAGAGCTGTGCGCGCGGCCTCGTTGCCATTGTAGACAACATAGTTGAGATCAGGCGTCCAGTAGTCGAAAGTCTCGGCCCAGGATGGCATGGTCGAGAGGGGCACAACCACCACGAAGGGCCCTTGTTGACGCCGCACATGGCGTAGCCAGTTGATGAAGGCAACCGTCTGAACGGTTTTCCCCAGCCCCATCTCGTCCGCCAGCACAACATTGCGGTTCTTCACCCAGTTGAAGGCCATAAAGTTGACACCTTTCACTTGGAATTCCTTCAGTTGGCCGTTCTGCAAGAAGCTCGGGGTACCCTTGATCGCCTCGAACGGCTTTCGCGTGGCTGGGTTTGTTTCGGACTTGTCTGAAACCGGGGGGCGAGAGGAACGATCTAGAAAGCGGTCTATCTCGCGCTGAGCAATATTACTAACGAGCTCTTCACTCTCCCATGTACAAGAGTCGTAAAATAGGCGTTTCCATTTGACGAAGTACTCAGTTCCTTCGTCGCCTTCGCGCATTCCGATGACTCGCTCAACTTGTTTGTAATCCTCAATAGCGTCTACATCCCTTTCCCGATCGAGGTTCCATTTTTCCCGATCCTCGGGAGCGACGTCCTCGTCATTCTTGAGGCGGATGTCTTCAGACAGGACCTTGCGAATGTAATTGTCAAGACGGCGTGTACTACGACAGTTTGCAAGGCTCTCGACCGTTTCCCATGTGGCATGGTAGTGGGATTTGCCCTGCCATTTGATGTAGAACTCAAAGTCGTGCCGACCGAGGTCGATGCTACTTGGGTCCGCGCCATCCTTGATGCGATGATTGAGCACGATGTCGACAGCTGGGCGATCATCCTCTATGGTATTCGCCCAATAGTTCTGCGTCATCTCGTCAGGGTCATCCTCGAACATGGAATCGTCATCGTCTTCATTGTAATTTGAGATCCGTGAGGCGTTCCTCGTCGAGAAACGAACCTCGGGATGCGAAGGTACATCGTTTGAGGAGGATTGAAGGAGTCGCCGGCGTCTCGCCTTGCTTGTACGAGCGCGTGGCCCGCCGTATTCATCACTCTCCGAGTCTTCAGAGTACGACGACTGGGTTGCGGAACGGGATGGACGTTTCGAGGATGGCTGTGAGGCTGCGGGGCGCCGGCGCTTGGAACGGGGAGCCACAGCATCAGAGTCCGAGTCGGAGTCGGACTGGACCACTTGACGCGTCGTGCGGGCTCTTGCGCTTCGACGAAGCCCATACAAATCTGGGTTCTGTCGGATATAGTCTGATTCATTGACCGACGACGATTTACGTTTCGTGCCTCGCCTGGTTTCTGATGATGAAGAGTTTTCAGAGCTAGAGGCACTACTCTCGTTGTCATGGTTTTCTGTGCCAGAGCCATCCTCATCTCCCTCCGGTTCAGGGGAGCCGGCATTGTAGGACTCGTCCGCGGCGTCTTCGTCGGGGGAGGATGATGATTCGCGTGCGGCGTGGTTTGCAGATGTGTCGGAGAGGTGGCTTCCACTCTCACTAGCTGCTAGCTCATCTCTGCTGCTGGCAGCATCGGAGGCAGGTGAGGCGGAGTACCCATTCATCAGTGCCATTGTGGCCGATGGTTCGGAGGTAGATGGGATCACCATGCTAGTAGCTATCGATGATGAGAGGCATCAGCATTGAAGCCCAACATGAGCCCGGAGAGGGATGGAAGGCACGGCATGGTGTAAAACAGAAATACGCGACTCAGTTTTCACTAAGACCGAACAGAATAGGTAGGTGAACAAGGTAGGAGATGAAGGTATGATGGATGGGCATGTTTTTGATGGCGGGCTGGATGAAACGCGACGGAGAGTGTTCAGGGAGAGATGGAGATGGTAGGGACAAATCCAATGGCAAAATCAGGTGCAGGAGAAGAAAACCAGCCAGACCTTAACCAGTAGGAACTCGAGAACCCCTCGACACTCCAGATGTAGGGGATATCTGGAGTCGTTCGGTGGGTCGAGACCGTGGAGAAGTACCCCAGCCGACAGTGCCAGGACACGTCTGAAAAAGCTAGGAAAGGCGAATAAAATACTTACAATCCATAGCTTGGTGACCCCGGATCAGGGGAAAATGGAGAAGAGAATGGTGAAAAAGTTGAAGGGAAAATGTGGGGGGGAAGGGGAAGATGGAATGGTGGAGGCAGCAAAGGAACGATGGGAGACCGCTGAGAATATGATGAGGGAGAGGAAGAGAGTTGTAACGTCGGCTGGAGGTGGACGAGTCGCCGTGAAGGGATTGGCCCCAGCCTGATCCCTCAGGCTGCCACCGCCCGCCATGCCCGCTGGGGTTTAGCGCACCTCAAGCGAGGCTCCAACCGGCCTAGCGGGGTTCTCTTATCACGTGCTTAAAAGTCCCGGATCAACTCTTACTCCGGGCAGACTCGACCGCGGTGACCGGTGGGCCAATCAGCAGGGCGGGAAATAATGCAGACCAGTGTTTTAGCCTGAGGCATCCGTAATTGCCCACAATGCCCGGCATAGTTTTCTTTCGAGAGCCCCTCCTCATCGGGGTTCTCCAGCAACGTTTCTCCTCGCTCTCTATTCGGTGCTGCCTGTGCAGATATCTGGCGCGTTCGCATTCTGCCAGTACAACCCGTCGCGGTGTGATCGGTCTCATACACTCGAGAATCCGCCCTCATCAACGCTGCTGCTTCTTTGCTGCTGCTCTTTATCCCCACTATCTGTTTCGCGCGTTCGACGTGATCTGAACATCAGGCATCATGTCTGACAAGCTTACCCGGTATGGCCCGCCAGCTCCGCCTCGTTCGTGTCTTTTGGGCACCTGAACTAACAGATCTTGGTGTCCAGTGTTGCTATTGTCAACAGTGACAAGGTAAGATCCTTGTACCCCGCGGCATACTCTGCCAACCCCGTCGATGCATCAACGTTTACTGACACCTCGCTTCGCGGATTATAGTGCAAACCCAAGGTACGCGAGCACCCCAAATATATGTTGCCTCGCGCCGCAACGCTTTTCTAACTCGGACGTCCGATCGTCTTCTAGAAATGTCGCCAGGAATGTAAAAAATCTTGCCCCGTCGTCCGCACGGGTAAGCTTTGTATTGAGGTCACCCCCGAGTCCAAGATCGCCTTCATCTCCGAGCGCCTCTGTATCGGTTGTGGTATCTGCCCCAAGAAATGTCCTTTCGGCGCCATCCACATCATCAACCTGCCCACCAACCTGGAAACCCAGGTGACCCACCGTTACTCTGCCAACAGCTTCAAGCTTCACCGTCTTCCTATGCCCCGTCCTGGACAGGTTCTTGGTCTTGTCGGTACCAACGGTATTGGAAAGAGTACCGCCCTCAAGATTCTCAGCGGCAAGCTGAAGCCCAACCTTGGACGTTATGACAACCCTCCCGATTGGGAAGAGATCCTCAAGTACTTCCGTGGTTCCGAACTGCAGAGTACGTATAGACAATGCACCAGGGAAAAGTACGCGGACTTCTAACTTCGTGCAGACTACTTCACCAAGGTTCTGGAGGACGATCTCAAGGCTGTCGTGAAGCCTCAGTATGTCGACCAGATCCCCAGGGCCGTCAAGGGCCCTGTCAAGAACGTGGGATCTCTCATCAAGGCCCGCACTCAGTTGGACAACCTCGACCACATCTTGGACACCCTCGGTATGAGAGTCGACTGATGGACATTGTAACTGTCGTGCTAATGATGAGTACAGAGTTGAGACAGGTCCAGGACCGTGATATCGACCACCTCTCTGGAGGAGAGCTCCAGCGTTTCGCCATTGGTCTGGTTTGCGTCCAGAAAGCCGATGTGTAAGGACAACCTCTAGGACCGTTGACCTGTCACTAAACAGACGCTGACGTTATGCATTAGCTACATGTTTGATGAGCCTTCTTCCTATCTCGATGTTAAACAGCGTCTCGCCGCCGCCCGCTCCATCCGAGAGCTTCTCCGCCCCGACGACTATGTCATTGTTGTCGAGCACGATTTGTCCGTGCTTGACTACCTTTCTGACTTCGTCTGTGTGCTGTACGGAAGGCCCGCCGCTTATGGTGTGGTCACTCTCCCTTCTTCCGTCCGTGAAGGTATCAACATCTTCTTGGATGGCCACATCCCAACTGAGAACTTGCGATTCCGTGACGAATCTCTCACCTTCCGCCTTGCTGAAGCCGGTGACGATTTCTTGGTTGACAAGAACCGCGGTTACACCTACCCTAGCATGGAGAAGACTCTTGGCAATTTCCACCTGAAGATCGATGCTGGAAGTTTCACCGATTCGGAGATCGTTGTCATGATGGGTGAGAACGGAACTGGCAAGACCACCTTCTGTAAGATGCTTGCTGGTGCTGAGAAGCCCGACAACGGCGTCAGCATTCCTCGCCTGAACATCAGCATGAAGCCCCAGAAGATCACCCCCAAGTTCCAGGGAACCGTCCGTCAATTGTTCTTCAAGCGTATCAAGGCCGCGTTCTTGTCGCCTCAGTTCCAGACTGATGTCTACAAGCCCCTCAAGATCGATGACTTCATCGACCAGGAAGTCCAGAACCTGTCTGGTGGTGAATTGCAGCGTGTTGCCATCGTTCTCGCTCTGGGAATGCCCGCTGATATCTACCTCATTGACGAGCCTAGTGCTTACCTTGACTCCGAGCAGCGTATTGTGGCCTCCAGGGTCATCAAGCGTTTCATCATGCACACCAAGAAGACTGCTTTCATCGTCGAGCACGATTTCATCATGGCCACTTATCTCGCCGATCGTGTCATTGTGTTCGATGGTAAGCCCTCCGTTGATGCCCACGCCAACACCCCCGAGTCTCTGGTCACCGGTTGCAACACCTTCTTGAAGAACCTGGATGTTACCTTCCGCCGTGACCCCAACAGCTACCGCCCTCGTATCAACAAGTACCAGAGTCAAATGGACCAGGAGCAGAAGTTGAGCGGCAACTACGTAAGTCTACTAACCCCCTGTCTCGGCCCGCGTTGGTGTTGTTGTCTGGATTTTACTAACTTACGGTCATAGTTCTTCTTGGAAGAAGAGAAATGAAGAGGTTGTTCCTGGCAAGTATGACCGCGTGCCTCACAAACGTGATGGCCGCGACTCGGGCCAGCGACGTCGGTATCGTCGCTGGAGGCACCTTCGGGTAGTGGCGTTTTTCGGCGTTACCAAGGCCTCTGCAGCCCAGATTAGACGCCGCCGCTGCCGTGGCGCGCGCCTCCCTGGTGATGTGGATGGTGCTTTGGATGAGGAGGACGAAGAGGAAATGGACGACGTGTTTGGCTAGGAGCAGCGGTTTACCTGATCCAGTTAATCCTCTCTGGCCCCCATGTCGTCATCCCATGGTCGTCCCTTCCAAGCCCATCTACGCCTGCATAGTTCGATATTGTCATATTCACGATCTTATGGAGTGAAGACACGAGACTTGTCTCTAGATTATGTTTGGGTAACGGTTTTTGGATGGCGCAGTCATGTCGGAGTTAAAGTTTCCCCAAGAGTTCCAAGGTTATTTACGACATGGATGGTCCACCGACAACGGGTTCGGTGAGAAAAAATTAGCTGGTAAGGTCAAGCTAGGTGACCACTGTCCAAAAGATCTGAACACATTGTATTACGTGCTATTGTTAGTCATTCAATCGTATATATCACTTATTTTTGTCCATGTATGTCGTCTGACCGGTGTTTGCGTAATGTCTCGAGTATTCCACCGGGTAACCCCGCTATATATCGTGTCAACGCATACCACTAGTCCAGGACTTAGATATTAGCTGCTAGCGAGATCCATGTTTTGTTGAATCACACTGACTACAAAGTACATCTTACGAAGATGACACAGAACTCCGACACACCTGAACAAAGACGATGTTGACATGGCTGGATGAAGCATCACCTGACTTCAGAGGAATCTCGTCGGCTCTGAAGCCTTCCATTTGCCACCGAAACAACAATAAATACTCAAATTATTATTCATATAAAACAAAACTACGATGGATATTAGAAAAGAAAATAAAGAAACAGGTCTATTTTGTTCTTTCGATAAGGTGTTTGGGTGCCACTGATATGGGGGAATGGACACCGTGAAGATTATATATTTTTGATAAATGCGCTGAATAGTAGGGAACATAAGGGATGTAGTGCCAGTCGTTATTTACCTGTATTGAAATTCCGCATGTTACTATACTTCTATACACAGGAGAGAGGACGGATAAAAAAAAAAAAAAAAAGTTGTCAACGCGATAGGTATATAAAACTAGATATGTTCATAGTATAGGGTGTGGAGTACGGCGTAGAGTTGGCGTTCATTGGCATCTACCTATGTGATGTCTGCCAATACTGGTATCACTATGCACCTAATCTTCTTCAATCTCTCCCTCCTCGCTGCCGGAGTGGACAGCCTTCTCTTCTTTCTTGGACTCATCCGCTGCTGCTGGAGTGCGTTCGCGACGCTCCCGGTCTCGCCTGGCACCCCTGCTGCGCTCCCGCTCCCGACTATCGCGTCGGTATCGCTTCGCAGAGCGACTGGCAACGCTTTCCGTGTCGCTGTCGCGCCTACGCCTACGATCGTTGCTTGTGGTGCTGCGGGTGTCAGCACCATAATCCAGCTCATCCCGACCTCCACGGGGATCACCACGAGTACGGTAGAGACGTTCACGCTCTTCCTCACGCTCCCGACGCTCGCGTTCGTAATGGCTGAGAGGACGGGCACTGCGATCTCGGTCCCAGTCGCGATCGCGGTCCCGATCCCGTTCACGCTCACGGTAACGGTCCCGGTCACGATCACGCTCCTCCCGCCTTTCTCGGACAGGCGATAGGCCACTGGCCTTCCGATAGGATCTTTCACGGTCCGCCTGGGCTTTGCGACGGTCTGCCTCGTAGGCATCCGGCTCTGGCGTACGGCTCTGGCGGCTTGACGTTCCTCTTCTTTCGCCTCTGTAGGACAGCCCGCTGCGATGATCACGGTCACGATCGTGGTGATCCCGACGGTTCCCGCGATCTCTGTCACGGGCCTCGCGGTCCTTCTCCGCGTCCTCCTCTTTCTCCTTCAGGCGTCGAAGGACCTTGTCAAAGGCGGCCTGTCGGAGCTCATCGGTCTCTAGAGACTTGTACTCGTCGAATCTTTCAATTCTGGGCCGCACCTGTTCCCAAGTATCAGTTGGATGGACAGGAGGATCGAGGCGTTTGATCCGGGAACGCAAGGCATCTATAGCGCGTCGTTGATGGCGATCCGCGGCATGCTTCTCTTCCTCACTTCGTCGGAGCGCCTTCTCCTGGATACGCTGGAAGATTAGCTGGAGAATCTCTGGATCAATATTGGTTGTGCGGCGATCACCAGACACAACTTCGTTGAATTCTTCGAAGGTGGTCTTGGTTGTAACCTCGAAGCGTTTGTCCTAGTTGAAGAGCGGTTAGTGAAAGGAGTAACACATTCATCGCAGCCCAGACACTTACATCAAGCACATCCAAGATATCGTTACGCGGACCACGCAACGCCCGTTCTTCTTCCTCAACTACATCCCAGAACAGATCCAGAGGAGATGATCCGGAGTTACCCAGGATGCCGATGTATCGGGGATCTTCGTGGATCAACGGGTAGATGTTCATCCATTTGCTTCCGGCTTTAATCTTGCCCTGTGATCTCAATTCCTTCAGAAGCTCGGTGAAATGCTCGCGAGCATGGCGCTCCTTTCTCGCCTTTGCTGCTTTTTGCTGTTGACGGGCATCGTTGAATGCCCTCTCAAGGGTCTTGATGTGGTTCTCAAAGGCAGTCAAAATGTCAGACTTGCTAAGGGTTCTGAACTTATCATCGCTCTGGACCTTGTCATTCGACTGAATGATCGCCTGTGCTTCAGACCAGCGTGTGTAAGGTTCCAGGTTCAGGGATTTTAAGATAGTCACTAGCTCATCCATGGCGGCTTTACGCTTGACCGCTTCCACCTCGACGTGCTCCTTCTTGAGCTCGACAATATATTCCTCGAAGAGCTGGCGCCTCTCACTCTCATCGTCCGTAGACCTGAAGATGGTTTCGCCCTCGATGATCGGTCGGATGGTCTTCCAGCGACTGTAATGCTTAATCTCAGGATGGCGCTTCAGCATGGTATTGAAATCTGCTCGGAGCTTAGCGAATCTTTCTTTCGCCCGATCCTTTTCCTGCATGCGAACCTCGACCGCAAATTTCTCAAATGCTGCCTTGCGGTCTCTGGGGTCTTTCAGGGCACGATACTGAGGGTCTTTGATGGTTTCACGCATGGTTTGCTCCCAGCTCCAGTCGGGCTGAACGTTGTGGCGCTTCAGCATCTTCATGAACGCGTTTTCTGCCTCTTCGAGAGAGCCGTATTCGGGCTCGGCTTGCTGGGTGCCTAAGAGAGAAGCCGCCGCGATACCATTGGAATCCATCGAATTATACCCACCGCGTCGGTCGCCATAGCCTCGATCAAAGTCATCGCGGTCCCGCTGCTGTGGGTAAGAGGAAAGCGAGCTAACACCTCCTGCAACGAAAGTTGGAGCCCTGTAGTCACAAAAGTCAGTTTCATGTTGATAGTTGAAGCGGATTCCAGATGGCTTACGCTGCCGGAGGGGGCTGAGGGGCCTGAGCCTGTGCCAGAGCATTCTTGTAAACATCTGGCATCTCCCAAGTGCTTTGCTTGCTTTCGGTGTTGTACCAGTATTTCCGACCACCCTCAGCAGTATATTCCTTCCATGGCTGGTTTGCCAAAGCGCGCTATAAACAAAATCCAAGAAATTAGCTTCCGAAGGCCCAAAGATGGCGAAAATATACATACCTCAACCGGCGTCATCAGCTCGATGGGCTTTGCCCATTGCGTCGCCTTCGTTTGAACATTGTAGTAATAAACTCTTCCGTCGGAGTTGCGCGCCTCCTGCCAAATGGAGGACGCGCCAGCTGGACCGTTCATTGGATTCATCTCGTCGATGCAGAAGGTGCCAGGGACAGACACTACTGCAGTTGCGATGAGAGAAGGATGGAAAAAGCCGCGTTCGAAGAAGCTGGCCGGGGTTCCTGCGCTAAGGGTGTTTGCCGTGTTTGCAAGCCCCCGGCTCGTCATATCGATCACCTCCACCGGGCGCGCTTGGTCCCTGGCTGCTCTTAATTAGATTGCGCACCGAGGGGCTTCGGTCTGTGGTCTTCCTTTAGTTTACCCCGGTCGCTTACCTGCGCACGCCATAAATTCCACCCGCATCACAGGAAGAGGAGCATGCGGCTGTTGGTCTCGCCATGCCGAGTCTCGACATCCCCGGGGAATTCCTCAGACATGCTCTTCTAGCCACAGTTGTCCCGCATGCTTCAGATGTCGACTTGGAAGCAGCTCTGACGTCTGCTCTAGAAAAGGGCGCCGAGGATGTAACATCTGTCCTCTCGCTTATACCACAGCGCTCCCTCCTGTTCTTTGGTACGCTACGGCCCGTTGTCCTGGCCGAGCTCTATCTCTTACTCATATGCAGCGCCATATAGATGAGTTCTGTACCGTTCGCGTTGTCCTACGACTCTCCAATTGCTCGCCGTCCAGCTTGAAACAGCACCTTCCACACCTCGAGGTCCGACTTGATGCCTTTGCTATTGACCCCGCTGAGACGGTCGCGGAGAATCCGACCCCAACCCGAGACCTTATCTTCTCAGGGGTTGTAGATTCACAGGAGCCATTAGTGGTGGTGAACGAGTTTGAGGGAGAGACCGGTGGCGGAAACCACGTATATGTGATTTGGAGTGTCAAAGCGTTCCTCAGTAAGGACTTCATCCTTTCTTTTTGCATCTACCTGTGCTGATTGGCTTCAGAGCGGCCTCGTATACGCATCCAGCACCCTTCCCTCGTCTTCATCGCCGCCGCCAGTCTCAACCCCGCAGAAACCCGACAGCATGAGTCTCGTGGAGATGACTACCTCCCCCCCCTGATCCCTGCATCGGCAAACATTCTACAGCCACTATCGACCGACAAGTCCTTGGACCAAAAAGATCCCTTCCTCCCAGCGTCTAGGCTTCTACGAGTTGTACCGGCGAAATATAGTGAAGACCCCATATATCATATCCAGCAACACTCCGGGCACCCCATACGGATAGTCCCTGCTGCCAGTGCCAGGATACGTTATTCTCGGTTGAATGCCTATAGCGGACGGCCTACCACTGTCGCCAGTCTTGATTTCGAGGTGACACCTTTCCTCAATTGCGACGTCACATTCGACAAGGCAAAACTTCACATGTCAGACGGGACAATCGAAACGCTTTCGGACGCGCCCGGGCTTGTTCCGCCCATCCGTTGTCTACCTAGAGATGATGTTACCCTTATATACAAGTTGACGCCTGACTATGCACCAGACCCAAATCCATCTACAACTGTGATGGTCAGTGTTTTGGATATCTCATTGGAAGCAATCATCCATCTGTCGGACAACTGCAACCCGCGGATCTTGATGCAATGGAGGACCAATGTCGATTTCTCGATGGTCCTTAACCCAACCTTCGGCGGACCTAGCCAGGCTTTACAACGAAATAACCGCCCTGCAAGTTTGCCTATGACGCCTAGCCAGAGCAACTCCATAGCGGGAAATGCCACACCCAATCGAAGCTCCTTGAGAGAGAGGGCATATTCAACAGCGGACCTCGGTGTATCTGTCTCATTTAGTGGGCCCCCACACGTGGAAGTAGGAAAGCCGTTTGCGTGGAATGTCTTCATCGTGAATCGGTCGGCCGCCTCCCGCAAGTTCTCCATGGTTGCTATCCCTCGCAGGAAGAAGCCGGACCCAAGGGGGCATGTAGTGCGACCGTCTTCTTCATCGGCAACGAGCCGTAAGGACGGCCATGTTGCGGAAGCTGTGATGGATGACAACATTGTTCATGCTCTGCAGAAGAGTGTAGCCGGCCAGGAAGCAGAGCTCGTCTCTTTGAGTACAGATGTTCGGGCTGGGTGAGTAACTTCTGATATTGTGCCGTTCGTATTCGTATTCCTTTGGCTAATATGACTATATCATAGTCCCCTTTTACCTGGAACCTGCTTTGCGACGGAATTGAAACTGCTTCCCTTGGCGGTGGGGGCACTCCGTCTGGAAGCCGTGCGCCTGGTGGATGTGAACACGAACGAAATGATCGATATCAAAGATCTTCCGGATATCCATTCCTTTGATAGGAAGGGTGTACCGATTGAGGCAACCGGTTCAGGATAGAGGGTGTTATGATAGCTTAAACGCCGCCTACGATGCATATTCCATAGAACTTGGCTATTTCTGCGGCTGGAAAAGCCGTGACAGCATGATTAGGACGCGATGCCGAGTAATCGATGTTCGAAAATAGGAACGACTAGTTGTATATCAGATATCATAGAATATCATGGAATGTTTCGAATCTGCACGCTGCAAGCATGCACGCATGCAAGCTATAATAACCACCCGCTACCAAGACCCTGCCGGGACCTCCGGCAGTACTATGGAGTAAAGCGGCAAAAAGGAGGGAACCCCCGCCCTAGTAAAAGCGGCGGAAGGGCGGAGAAGGGTACGGCGGGTGATCACGCGAGTGGATTGGTTCAAGGGGCGGGGGACGTTCGACCGGCAGATGACTGGAGGTCGAACAACCTGAATCTTGCGTCTACTCTTCACAGCCTCAGGGTGCTGCCTGTTGACTTCTGGGGACTTGAATCGCTGGTTGACCTTACCCAATACCCATATTTAACCCACTTCCATCCGCCCCGTTGCTTCATCGAGACCCACCGAGACTACCCGCCTCGGCGCCTACAAGTCCAGGAGTTGTTGGGGGCTGCGGCCAGGTTGCTCTTATTTCGCCTGTGCGCCCTTTCTGACAGTCCTTTGCGTCATACACTCGCCGATACCGCCAACCGGGATTTACGTGCCCTCGCCTTCGATCCCCTTCCATTCCGTCAATCACTCCTTTCTATTTATCGCCTTCGTCATGTTCTCCGCTGGACGTCGAAGAATCCTGGATGGACTTAATCGGAGGTACATATACGGCCGTCTGGTATGTGGAAAAAAGATAAACCCTTAAGGACCCTTACATACTGTAAACCGGCATTTAATCTAGATTCGTTCAATGCTGAGAACAACTACTGACTTCTCCCTTTCCCTTCTCTTTAATTATAGCCATTGCTTCACGCCATAATCTTCCTCATCGAAATGGCGGCGACAATGCGCCTCGCGGCCAAGTTCAACTCCTACTATGCGGAGAAGCCTGGTAAGGTCCACGCTCACTTTATAAGCGCCTCAAGGGGTTGGTTGACTGACATCTGTCTCGTCTTTAGTCCTGACTACTATGGTGACCAATGCGGTGAGTGTTTCTCTAAACCCAGCATTTGAAGATGCCTGGTGACATGGTTGACTGATTGTGGACGACATGATAGATTCTTGGTGGAGTTGCAGATACGGTTGCACAGTTGATCACGGCTTTCAAGGCTCGTGCAGGACACAGGCCCTCTGACAGCGATCTCATCTCGATTGAGATCCATGAGCTTGACAAAGAGAAGCCACCGGCTCTTGGGGAGTTGGGTCATGCGAGACATTCGCCGCCGCCCTTTGACTTTGAGCGCCTGACTCGCTTCATGTCGTATGGTTTCTTTATGGCCCCCATTCAATTCCACTGGTTCGGTTTCTTGTCCAGGGCATTCCCTCTCACTAAGAGAAACCCCTCCATTCCGGCGCTGAAGAGAGTTGTCGTGGATCAGCTCATGTTCGCTCCTTTTGGTATGCGAATTTCCTTGAAGGAATAAAAGGGTGCTTTTGTGGCTAACAGACTCTGTAGGATTGGCGTGTTTCTTTTCGTTCATGACCGTTGCCGAGGGAGGGGGAAGGAGAGCATTGACGCGCAAGTTCCAAGACGTTTATCTTCCGACTCTTAAGGCCAATTTCGTTCTTTGGCCGGCCGTTCAAATTCTGAACTTCCGGGTTGTTCCTATTCAGTTCCAGATTGTGAGTCCCTGAAAGATGAATCTTCCGTGCTCTCCTGCTAACATTTTATCTAGCCCTTCGTTTCTTCCGTCGGTATTGCCTGGACTGCGTATCTGTCGTTGACCAACTCCTCGGAGGACGAGTAAGGATAGAATAGGGCCCATATACTGGTTCTCGCAAGGTTTTCAGACGCTTTCGTTCTTATTTGTCTGTCGTTTTTCTTTTGCTGCGTCATTGTATGCTTACTGGGCGTTGTAAATGAGCTTCTGGGGGGTTGTATTATTCTTCCTCTCATGGGTGGTGTATAGGTCGTCTTCGTCCAGCAACATGGTTACACCGGAGTCAATGATTGATGATGTCTCCCGTAGGCGGGGTTCTCCACGAGCGGGCCGGCAGTCCTAGACGAGAAGATTCGGAACGGTATTTGATAGATCCACCCCCGGACGCAGCCAAAGCGACCAAGAAGATCCCATCGCAGCACTTGATCCGAGGCTATGAGGGTTAAGAGGTACAATGTTCACCCCTGAGGGCCCGGACCCTTCCGTCATCGACCACGACGACTGACATCAGTCCCGCATCAGCCCGATGCGTGGGCGAAACTCTCACCGGCTGCCCCACCACCGACCAAACCACTTACCCCGCCGCCGAGCCGAAGAGTAGCTTCCATGCGAGTCTGACCACTACCAGACTCGCTCACCGCGGTCCTATTAAGTAGGCATTTTTCCAATTCCCTCGTCCCTGTGGCGGTCCTACTAATACCACCACCTCCCCCCCCTTTCGAATTCCCCTTCCCCTTCTCGTTCCCCCACTCCCCTATTCTCTCTGACAAAGTTCGACTACCCCCAGAACCGTCGTTCACTATGTCTCTCTCCAACAAGCTTGCCATCACCGATGTCGACCTCAAGGACAAGCGTGTCCTGATCCGGGTATGTCGTTGTTGCTCCGGAAACCCCGCCATCAGTGCCCCTCGCGGGGTTACACGGATAAGCTATCCATACTAATTAGCCCTCTCAATGGACAGGTCGACTTCAACGTCCCCCTCAATGCTGAGAAGCAGATCACCAACAACCAGCGTATCGTCGGTGCTCTGCCCACCATCAAGTACGCCATTGAGAATGGTGCCAAGGCCGTTGTGCTCATGTCCCACCTGGGTCGTCCTGACGGCAAGAAGAACCCCAAGTACAGCCTGAAGCCCGTTGCTTCCGAGCTCGAGAAGCTGCTCGGCAAGAGCGTCGTCTTCACCGAAGACTGCGTTGGCCCCGAGGCCGAGGAGGCCGTCAACAAGGCCACTGGTGGCCAGATTGTTCTCCTTGAGAACCTGCGTTTCCACGCCGAGGAGGAGGGCAGCTACAAGGATGAGGAAGGCAAGAAGGTCAAGGCCGACAAGGAGAAGGTTGCCGAGTTCCGTAAGGGACTGACTGCTCTTGGTGACATCTACATCAGTAAGATACCTTCCCAATTTCCCTATGGAATATTCAATCTCGAGCGATGTGCTGATATGCTATATAGACGACGCTTTCGGAACTGCCCACCGTGCTCACTCTTCCATGGTCGGTGTTGACCTTCCCCAGAAGGCTTCCGGTTTCCTCGTCAAGAAGGAGCTCGAATACTTCGCCAAGGCTCTCGAGAGCCCCCAGCGCCCCTTCCTTGCCATCCTGGGTGGTGCCAAGGTCTCTGACAAGATCCAGCTCATTGACAACCTGCTCCCCAAGGTCAACAGCCTGATCATCACTGGTGCCATGGCCTTCACTTTCAAGAAGACCCTGGAGGGTGTTAAGATCGGAAACAGTCTGTTCGACGAGGCTGGCAGCAAGATCGTCGGTGAGGTCGTTGAGAAGGCCAAGAAGCACGACGTCAAGATCGTCCTGCCTGTCGACTACGTCACTGCCGACAAGTTCTCTGCCGATGCCACGACCGGCACTGCTACTGACGCTGAGGGTATCCCCGATGGTTATATGGGTCTGGATGTGGGCGAGAAGAGTGTTGAGCTCTACAAGCAGACCATTGCCGAGGCCAAGACCATCCTCTGGAACGGTCCCCCTGGTGTCTTCGAGCTGGAGCCCTTCGCCAACGGCACCAAGAAGACCCTCGATGCTGCCGTCGCGGCCGCTCAGTCCGGTTCCATTGTCATCATCGGTGGTGGTGACACTGCCACCGTCGCCGCCAAGTACGGCGTCGAGGACAAGCTCAGCCACGTCTCCACAGGTGGCGGTGCCTCGTTGGAGCTCCTGGAAGGCAAGGAGCTGCCCGGTGTTGCTGCCCTGTCAAGTAAGTAAATATTAAAAGACATACCATCACACTGGATATGCGGAGATGCTGCCTGAGGCATACGCCCATGATTCTTGAAGGAGGGCGGGCTGTGGTTGAGCTTCCATGTTGTGGACGAGTGGACAGGCGCCTTGTGTAGTACCTGTCGGCCTTCCCGGCCCCCCTTCAAGGCGGGGAACAATTCTACGTCTGGACGAATGTAATGTACAAGGATGATAATTAATCAAACAAGATACGTTTTTCTTATTCCAAGAGAGGTTCTGATGATGCAATTGTGACTAGTGACGGGCCCCAAGCTGTGATGGAAGGGATATGAGGGCAGAAACGGTCGGTCGGTGGGCTTGGATTTTCATTAACAGCTTTGTAAATACTCGTAGGAGGTATATAATGTGGTGTGCGACACACCCCGCTTCAATCGAAGCGCGAGCCTGCCATCATATCTTTCATCGTGGCCGACTAGATCCTTAAGGCTGGGTGTGCATCCTCTACAACCGCTCCCGCCACTGGTCCGAAACCACCGAGGCGGGCACATCAATCAGGCAAACTCTTATTCGAACAAGGAGATCTAGTCCCGATTTTGTCCATTTTCTCTCTACCGAGCCCCGTCAGGGCAAGCTGCATGCGTAATCAAGCGATGATTGCTTCGTGGGTTTGCGTGTTCATCTCATAAAACCGACAGCCCGCCAATGAACGTGATATATTAATGGGAGGCCTCGACCTTTTTCAGCTCCTCTCTGTAGGAAGAAAGATACACAGGTTAATTAAGGTGGTCAGATGTCTAAGCGCTGTAGGTGCGGGTCGGTGTGGACGGGGAGGAAACGTACTTCAGCTGCTTGGAGAAGTCCTCAGCCGCATCGTCATCATCCCAGCTCTCTTCCCACAAATGAGCGCTCGTGCCGTTGGCGGCAGATCCTTGTTCAGTTTCCTCCTGAGGCCAGTCTGGAAGTTCCGTCGGTCAGCGCAACCCGTCATCACGTAACTGCTAGCTCGATGGCTGCGGGGGCAGCTCTCTTCTGCGTGGAAGAAGAGAGGAATGGCGGTCGGTCTAACCTTCAACGGGGAAATCCTCAAACTCGTCGTCTTCTTCCAGTACGGGGGGCTTCTGTTGCTGTGGCTGCTGGGTAGGCTCGGCCTTGGTGTCCTGGGACTGGGTGGGATTCGACATGATGGGCGGGGTGGGAGAGGGGGTGAGCGGACAGGTGGCTTCAAGGAGTGGAAGGGGGGGTAAGCGTGGTATAATGGGAGGAGGTAATAGGGGACGCGAGGGATGAGAATTGACAGGTCAGAGGATTGGAGGTGGCGGTGGTAGTGGTGGTGGTTGATAGTGAGTGACTGCAGGCGCGGCGGCGGCGGAGAGGAACTAGCTCGGCGGCTCTCACGCACTAGGCCACAGTCGGGCAATCCAACTGACGACATCTCCCCCAATCTTTCTTTTCCCCCCTCTGGTCGTGCCGGACATACCGGACATTGCCGTTCCCTCCTCTCCAGTTTCCAGGCTAACCCAGGGCCCTCTTCCAACCCCCCCCCCCGATGCGCTAATTAATGACCGTCCGGACGGTTCGTGAACGTTGACTGCCTTGTTCGCGACGACTCCCGGCACTTCCTTCGCTGGCCGGTGCTCCGCCTCGCCGCCGCAAGTGGACCGCGGGCTCGACGCTATTATTGTTCTGGTCCATTGCTTATAATCGCTGGCCCATCAGCCTAGCCCGGACTCTTTCCTCCACTCTCAACTATCATTATCTCACCCCTTCTTCTCTCTCTTTCCTTGGGGTATGTTCCTGGAATCTCGCGACGTTCTCGGTGCGTCTCTGATGGGAGATTCGATCCTCTCCCCATTTCGTCTACGTCTTCCTTTGGGCTTCGGGCCCCTTCGGCTCGTGGTGGGAATTTGATCCCGATTCATCTCGTGCACAACTTCTTTTCTAGCCTATTATTCTCTCTCTAGCTCGATTCTTACCCGGCCCCTTTTGGTGAACATGTTTCGCGTAGGCTCGTGGCTCTATGGCAAAAAGCCGGGTGCCAATGCCTCCACTCAGTCTCTGGACTCTTTGTCCGAACTGCGAGATCGTGAGTGACTACGGAGGCCCTCTTCGCGCTGCCGACGATGTAAATGATGCTGACCATGGATATTTTGGGCCCAACAGTTGAGGATGCTATGAGGGGTATGTCCATATTCTCATCCGTGATCGAATCCCCGCTCTTCCGGGGTCAGTGCTGAGGCGTTATGCTGACTGTTGGGCACCAGCCGCCACTTTGATTCTCAATGACGACGTCGATGGCGCCGAAGATGGCCTTTCTGAAGGCATATCTTCGTTTCATAATGTGTGTATGCCTTTTTTAGACAACTGCCGGTGTTTCGAAACACTCTTTGAGCCTCTGCTGACCTATGCCGTTTGCCTTGTGTGTAGCTTGGTAGAGGCGTTGTTGCGTTCATTCGGGCCACTCTGGGATTTGAACAGGAAATCATGCGCCAGGGTGTGTAACTATCGTCTTATTGGGTCGACTCGCCACTGATGTTCTATAGCCTCGGAGCGACTCAATGCCGCGGAGACTAGTGCTTCCAACGACCAGCATCGCGCGCAGCATAATTCCAATGCGCCCAACTCATATCACTCACAGATATATGCTCCCGGCACGGAGTTCGCGCTTTGCCAGGCAATGGCGCAGCTCATGAGCGCAGTCGTCGGCGTTCTGAATGAAAGCCTGACGGAAAGTATCAAAGGGTTCTATAAGCTGAGAAAGGCCTACATTGCCCTAGACGCCATTCTCAAGATGGAGCAAAAGTTCATCATGCAGGCACGGAACTCGGGGAACAGTACTTCTACAGAGAGTCTGACCCGGGCCTCGGGGCAAGGAGCGGGATCCAAGTCAATTCCCGCATCGCCCGTCGAAGTTACTGGCCTCAAAAAAGAGCTTTCGGACCTGTCTCTCTCCACAGATTCCGAGGCATCGACGCCGAGCCCTTCTGATATGCTGAGCCATGATCCTGACTCGGACATCTTCAAGAACCAGATTGATGTTTTCATCCACTCCGGTGCCAACTTCTGCTTCGGAATCCTATTGCTCCTGATCTCTATGGTCCCACCCGCGTTCAGCAAACTTTTGGGAATTATTGGCTTTCACGGGGATAAGGATCGCGGGCTGAGGATGCTTTGGCAAGCCAGCAAGTTTAACAACTTGATTGGAGCCCTCTCCGCGTTCGCCATTCTCGGATATTCCAATGGATTTGTTCGCTACTGCGACATCATGCCCGACCCCGTCTCGGGCGACGATGTACAGGGGTATCCCCAGGAGCGGCTCGAAGCGTTGCTGGCGCTCATGAGGAAGCGGTTCCCGAAGAGTCAGCTGTGGCTGTTAGAGGAGTCGCGGATGAACGGTGCGAACAAGAAACTTGATGTGGCTTTGGAGCTGCTGTGTGGTAAAGACCGCAGTCCCCTCAAGCAGGTCGAAGCGCTGCGGGTTTTTGAACGGAGTCTAAATGCTATGTATCTCCACAAGTACGAGCTCTGTGCCGAGTCATTCCTCGAGGTAAGCGGTATTGGGTTCACTTAGGGGTCTACACCGACTGACTGTTGCTAGTGCGTGGACCTCAACTCGTGGTCTCGATCACTTTACTATTACATTGCGGGATCCTCCCATCTCAGCTTATATCGAAGCGTTGCCGAGACAGATGCCACCGCGGCAGCCGAGCACGCTGAAAAGGCTACGGAGTACTTCCGAAAGGCGCCACCGTTGGCTGGCAAGAAAAAGTTCATGGCCCGGCAGTTACCCTTCGACGTCTTTGTCTCGCGCAAGATCGCCAAGTGGGAGGCCCGCGCCAAGGAGTGGAAGGTGCCCTTGGTGGACGCTATCGGGGTGGATCCGATCGAGGAGATGATCTTCTTCTGGAACGGACACAGCCGGATGACGCAGGACCAGCTGGAGGAATCCATGACGAAGTTGGCGTGGTCTGAAAGCAATGCCAACAAGACGTGGTCGCGGGAGGGACCGGAGGAGAAGGCCATCCTACAGATTCTGCGAGCGGCCGTCCTGCGTGCGATGCGCCGGCATGGCGAGGCGAAGGAGATGATTCGCACGAGCATTTTCAGCCAGGACAAGTCTCAGTTCACGGGGCACTTGAAGGATGACTGGATCTACCCGGTGGCGCACTTTGAGATGGCGGCTAACCTGTGGATGGAGCGTGCGACCTATTGTGCCGTCCACGGAGGGCCAGACTCGTCTGAAAAGTCGGTCACGGGCAGCAATGAGAGTGACACGCAGCTGGAGCGGCGCCAAGTGCGGGAGTGCAAGGAGCACTTGGAGAAGGCGGCCAAATGGGAGAGCTACGAACTAGACGCGCGGGTTGGGCTCAAGGTGACGGCGGCGATGGAGGCGGTGGAAAAATGGGAGAGCGCGCACGCGACGACCTCTGGTTGATGATGATTGATGTATCATGACGCTGTACATTTACTGCCGAGCATTTGACATAACGATAAGACTATGGATAGACGGAGCAATGGATGATTGTTTGCTGGGGTCGAGCCCACGTAGGAGCGCGTAGAGACGGTAGAGGAGGTGGGTGACCTGTGTCGATCTCTTATCGAGCTTGATGCCTTGAGTTTGACCGACTGTTAGCGGTGACGATCGCAGCGGGGCGGATAAGTATCCGGGCTGTCACGTTCCTCCGTCGGATGCATCCGTCCATGACAACCTTTGTGCTTCTCGCCCTGTCGCGGTCCAGGCCCCCGTGTGTGCAGCAGCAGATGTGACTCATGATGTGCCTGGGCAATCAAGGCATGATGTATCCAGCGATGCAGCGATTGACGTCGCTCCGGCGGAACAGTCCACCGAATAGTCGAATCAGCGTGGATGGTGGCCATGGTCGGACGTCCGATGCTATGACGCTGGGCTCGGATAACACGGCTTCGGGCTTCGGATCAACGCGAAACAGTGCCTTAAAGGTACTGGCACATCCTGTTTGGCACAGTCTTTGACCTGAGCCTGCTCTCTCTTGACTGCTTCTGACCTGAAGCACTTAGTCGTGTCGTGCTTCAAGTAGTATTGCTCGGACCATTGTTCGGGCGGCAATATTCTTTCCCACATCGCTTCGGAGATAGGAGATTTTTTACCGGCTTTGGACTTTTTTGGGACCTGCCGTGTGATATCATTCTTGCACGCTGGGTGTGGATTGGCTTTTTGCAGGCAAAATTTACGGAAATTGTTCCTGAAGATGTCGCGACACGATTCTACTCGCTCGTCCTTCTCGTCCGACGATGTGGACTCGTCCGACGCCCACGGCGCATCATCGATGCACCCCGACGATCCCGCCGCATTGGAGAAGCAGACCACGGCGGCCTCAGGATTGTCGGCATTCGAGAACCGCGCGCACTCGGTGATTTCGCGCATTCGCAGTCGCGATCCCGGCCAAACCGCCCGCTTCACGCATCCGTTGTCGCATACCAAAACCTCCGAGGATGTGATTGTCGACTTTGAAGGGCCCGACGATCCGTATCGGCCGATGAATTGGAGTTTCCGCAAGAAGGCCATCACAACGCTGCTGTATGGGTTGACTACAATGGGTATGTGCGAGACCCCTCGTGACTGGGCGATTGACTGACCGTTTGTTTGCTAGGTGCGACTTGGGCTAGTTCGATGTATGCTTGTTCCTCTTTCGCCGATTGACCTACGAACAGTTATTGACGAAGCGCAGTTTCTCTACGGGCACCAAGCAGGTCGATGCGGAGTTTCATGTTGGCGAGGAGGTCGGCACACTGGGTACCACGCTGCTGTTGTTCGGATTCGGTAGGTCGCGCGACATCCTTTGCTCTCTATGCAGACGCTGACATGGTCAGGACTGGGCCCTCTTGTATGGGCTCCGCTATCGGAGGTGTACGGACGCAAACCGGCCGTGCTGGCGCCCTACTTCATCGCAGCCATCTTCTCCTTCGCGACAGCTACATCCAAGGACCTCCAAACCGTCATGCTGACCCGCTTCTTCTGCGGCTTCTTTGGCTCCGCCCCCGTCACCAACACCGGCGGCGTGCTCAGCGACATCTGGACCGCCGAACAGCGAGGCGCCGCCATCGTCGGCTACGCCATGGCCGTCGTAGGAGGACCAGTCCTGGGTCCCATCGTCGGCGGCGCCATCTGCCAGAGCTACCTCGGCTGGCGCTGGACTGAGTACATCACGGGAATCATGATGATGCTCTTCCTCACGCTCGACCTCACCTTCCTCGACGAAAGCTACCCGCCTGTCCTCCTCGTCTACAAGGCACAACGCCTCCGCTTCGAAACCGGCAACTGGGCCCTCCACGCACGCCACGAAGAATGGGACGTGACCCTCAAAGAACTCGGCAACAAGTACCTCATCCGCCCCTTCGCCCTCCTCAGCACCCCCATCTGTTTCCTCGTCGCCATCTACGCCTCCTTCGTCTACGGCATCCTCTACCTCAGTCTGGCCGCCTTCCCCATCGAATTCCAAGAAGTCCGCGGCTGGAACCAAGTCGTCGGCGCGCTGCCTTTCCTCGCCTACCTCGTCGGCATCCTTTTCGGCGCCTGCATCAACCTCCTCAACCAGAAATTCTACATCGCCCGCTTCAAAGCAAACAATAACTTCCCCGTCCCCGAGGCCCGTCTCCCCCCAATGATGCTGGGATCTATTTTCTTCGCCGCCGGCCTCTTCATCTTCGGCTGGACCAGCCCGCCTCACATCCCATGGATCGCCCCCGTCATCGGAGCCGTATGCATCGGCTTCGGCTTCTTCACCATCTTCCAAGCAGCCCTGAACTACCTCATCGACACTTTTCAAAAAGTATCCGCTAGTGCCGTCGCTGCAAACACCTTCCTCCGGAGTCTGTTTGCAGGTTGCTTCCCCTTGTTCGCGAACATCATGTTCCATCGTCTGGGCGTGGACTGGGCATCCAGTGTATTGGGATTCGTGGCCGTCGCGTTGATTCCAATCCCGTACTTGTTTTACATTTTCGGGAAGCGCATCCGCGCGAGAGGCAAGTGGTCCCGGGCTTCGGTTTATGGCTACTGATCCATACACTTACCTTTACCTTCCTTTACCCTTGAGACATTGTCTCTTCGGAAGTAATAACGAGTGCGCAACGCGCATATACCCACCTACCCACCCTGGAAAACCCCCCCCCCCCACCAAAAGGGGAAGGATAACCCTCACCAGGCCGAAAAAGTTTCTTCATTTCATTTCGCTATTTCGTTCGAGATACCTCTGATCTAATTGTTGGGTTTCACGCATACGCCTGCAACGGCCGGGATGGATAGACAGCATGATTTACTTTACTTTACATAGCTTACGATTAATGTCTAGGAACTTAACATATAGATGGGTTTGATTAGGTAATAGATAAATAGACTTTATTTGATTATTCAGTATAGATAGAGAGTTCGGAATGATATGGACTATGGAGTGTAAGGAAGGAAAAGAAGGAAAGGCCGCACCGCGGCGTCCCAGGCTCGATATGATTGGTTGAGCTAGGATATACCTAGTAGATAGGGCAAGGGTGACCCACAGCAGATGCCGCGTTTGGTTCCAAGTGTGACATACCTACATACGAGTAACAGTATGTAAGGAAGAAAGAAAGTACGGAGGAGATTTGATTGGTATATGGTTCAATTTCCTTACCGTATGCTATACTAATTAATGAGTTGATTTTAATACATTCCCAAAGTGATATGCCCCCCCCTCTTCTTACCCAAAATCAATACTAAAACAAAGTTGATACAATGTCATATCCATCTTAACATCCCAGACAAGGACATCGCAGTATTTAGTAGTTGTATATCACGTAAAGCAATCAGAACAAAAACAGATGACAGTACTAGACCAACGCCTCACACGCCCGCCTCACATCCCCCTTCAAATCCTCCACGTCCTCTAACCCACAACTCACCCTCAATAGACAAGGATCACACCTCGAATCACTCATCGCTCTCCACTCAATCAAACTCTCCACATCCCCTAGGCTAGTCGCATGTTGAAAGATGACCATCTTGCTGGGTAATCGCTTCGCTAGGTCTGCGCTTTTCGTTTACATCGCAAATACCGGGCCATATCCCCCGGGCATTTGTTTCTGTAACCACGCGGCATCTTCCTTCTGTAGGGAGGCATGTCGCACGTGGCTAATGACTCGTCCCACCGCTGATTCTGAACTCTGCAGTTCCGCGTCCAGCCACGCTACCAGCTTCTCCGCCGTGCTTGACTGTCGCTTGACTCTCAATTCCAACGTGCGTAGTGACCGTAATCCCAACCACCCCTCTAAGCTCCCCATTACGCTGCCGAGGACCATTCGTTCGGAGTAGAGTGTATCGAGCCACCCTTGTGCGACGCGATCTGGGTGTACGACCAGAATCCCACACATCATGTCCGAGTGGCCCCCGATATACTTCGTTCCGCTGTGCAGGACCACGTCGGCGCCGAAGTGCAGTGGGTCTTGAAGGGGTGGTGGTGCGAGCGTAGAGTCCACTGTGAGGTATGCGCCTGCTGCGTGTGCTTTGGCACTGTAGTAGGCTAGATCCCGTGCCTCGCCGGTGGGGTTGAGTGGCGTTTCGATGTGGATGATGTCGCCGGGACGGAGGTGTTCGTCGAGTTGGTCGAGAGTAAGCTTTTGGACGCCTGTCAACTTGTTCATTACTTCGATGATGGCGTGGACTCCGTGGTAGCCGTCGGCGAGGAAGACGCGCTTGGGGTTCAGGAGGACCATGATGGCGTGGAAGGCGGCGAGACCAGTGGCGTAGGTGAGGATACCGCCGCCGAGGTGTTGTTGGAGGACGGTCTCGAAGCGGCTGGAGTTGGGGGCGTCGTAGCGTGCGTAGACGTGGGAGTCGAAGGGGGCGTTGGGCTGGTTAGAGTTAGAAGAGCTGAGGGGTGAGGGAGGGGGAGGGGAAGGGGGAGGGACATCTTTGTTCTCCAGTGGGATGAGGTTATTCGGGGAGCGCGCATAGCGGTATGTGACTGCCACATGCATTGCTGGAGCGATGGCGCGGTGCGCGCTGAAGCAATCGTCTGCGTGGATGGATTTGGTGGCTAGAGCCATGGTGGGAAGGGCTTCTGCTAGGGTTTCGGCGGCTGCCATGTCGGGGGGTTGAGATGTCATGGAGCCGGTTAGGCTATGGAGGCTTGAGTTTGATTTAATTGATGCAAAAGAGAGTAGATGATTGCAATTAAGAGACTGGATTAGATTGACTTTGAGGACGATTCACGTAGTATATGTGCATAGATCCTGAGAGTCAGTGGACGCGGTGATTGCTGTGCCAAACGCCGCTCGAGTAGTAATTCAGCTTTCTCATTGGCTGACAGCATATAGACCCACATCAAAGGCCGCCCTGATGCCGCGAATTCTTACAAAATGACCGTTGAAAAGGCAGCTTGATATGCAGCCTGGATCTCATGACTCATCCCACCGACTCCTTCAAACATGGTCGTCAATCTCACGGACCCAAGTATTGACTCAATTCCCTGGCGCAGCTCCCGCAACAATCTCTCCGCATCTTGGATCTCCGATGCCGGTTCTGGCTGGTGAAGAAGGTGGTGATAAATCGAGACCTGATCGGAGAGCAGTGCTGCACGGAGTCGGTAGTGTGTCATGAGCAGGACGTAAGAGCCTTGCATGGCTCCGCACATAAAGAACGGTAAGATAAGTGCATCTGCCACAGGCGTTCCGCCAATCGGACATCGTGACTGATCCGGAGACGCCAAATCTTCAAAGGCGCGCACTACAGAAAGTGATGATTTGAGGCAAATTACAGATGATTGCTGCTCAGTGAAAGGAAAGGCGGATTCAAATCTCTGTTTAGAAAGCGGATTGGCTGCGTCTCTCCTTTGGATGGCGGCGATATCACAATGCTTGTTCAGAAACAGAGGGATATCCATGAATGCACGGAATCGATGAAGTCTCAAACGGGCTCTAGAGATAATTAGCGGTGTATCTGATTATGGAAACAGCACATACGAATGGGTCAATACTCGTGCAACTATCCGCATAACCTGCATCGCACGTGCATCGGCGCCCGTCCTGAGTTCCAGCTGTAGCGAACAATCCAAGTCCCTTAGCAAAGCTGAAATCTGTGAGTCTAGTTGCAGAATCTTCTCCGACACAGACGCCACAGCCATCGTTGACTGGGCCCCGCAGTCGTTTATGGCTTCCGAGACACAGATAATCGCCTGTTCGGCCTGTAAGATTAATGGCCATGGCTGAGAGGTTAGTTAAACTTCAATAGGGCTTTCATGGGCCTATAACATACCTCTGAAGAGACGCGGAATGAAGGATAAGGGGTTGTTATTTTCTGATCATCGAGTGTAATAATGGGCGACTAGAGCTTTATGAGTTGCAAGGCACAAGGGGGAGATGTACTAAAAGGCTTACTACTTGTTGATCAGCAGATGACAGATAGAGCACAAACATCTGGAGAACCTGTTAGCACCTAACAAATAATAAGACAGGACACTCACGGCACTCCACCATGCCCGGCGCTGAGACTCTGTCGCCGTAGGCCCTGAATTGTGCAGACCCAAATCCATAGCCGCAGTGATGGCCTGGTTGGCGCGACTCCGCATACGAGACATGTTCCCTCTCTGACAGTACTCATAGATACTGAGCATGACAAGAGCTAGGACGGGAGATAAAGTCGAAAGGCTACTGGCATCAAAGCCCTGTCTCATCGGGCCGTTTGCATGCGAGAGTTCTTGAGAAATACGATCAATCTCCTTCTCCACTTCGCCGAATGCTGTTTCTGCAAGTAGCTGTGCGAATGAGCGTCTTAAGCGAATACTGGAGTCACTGGATGGATATGGGTCCTGAGGGAGTGGTATTAATGCCAGAATAGCAGACAGTGCCAGTGTGAGTGCAGAATTCGGCCAGTGTGGCAGGAAGGATCTTTCGATATGTTCAAGGTTGGTGTGCGGAAATTCCACCGGCGCCGATCGATCGCTGATTTGATCTGACAGCGGAGACTGAAGTATCGAAAGAAACGGATGAATATGGATATAGTAGGCATTGAATCTAAGCCAGAGTCAGTCACGTACACCGCAACTTGAGCCTGATACTCACATGTCTTCATCAGAAATATAAGCGCGCAGATACAAAGGTCCTGGACCATAGCTATCGTTCTCATGATAACCACATCTCGAATCCACATCCAAATTCCGAATGCCGCTGAAAGGACTAAGAAGGTTGAGGATATTCGTTAAATCACAATGTTCCTCTAATTGACCTTGTATGGGCAATCTCTGCGTGGGAATTGGCAAACTTTGCTGGGCCACAGCAGGATACAGAATAGGATTCGGAGGCGAAGGCTGAGGGGCGACAGGACGATAGGGGGCCGACTCGGCACCACGCCGCAAGCCGCCGCGACGACTTGGACGGTAGACACAGTTCAATCCTTTGTGGGAGCACTGAGACAGAGTCAACCATCACACCCCATACACCTCGGGATACAGACCCAAGCCTTACCCTGCTACAAGGATTCCGCCCATCGCATCGGATTTTGCGGGCGCGACTGAGCAGCGGTTAGTCTTCTGTGCAGGAATTGTAGGATAAGAGAGCTAACCAAGCAAGACAGGCTGCTCGACTTGGAGTTTTCCGGATGGGGTGCATGGTTGATGGAGAAGATTGATGGAGGAGAGAAGCTCAAGTTGCCTTTCGACATCCGGCCTGGGCTTGGCTCCGCCAATCATAGAGAGCCTGGGTCGCCGAAGGGGCGGCCTTCAGTATGGTATTGTTACCGCATATTACCGTGCCATGGAAATGAATTTGGAAGGTGGAAAATGTATAAATTCTGAATTATTAAGAGAACAATCTAACTTTATACTCGGTTTAAACCAGTCAACATCAAAGGACAGGAGAAAAAAATGGTGGGATCCAGATAGGATCACAGGGAATGTATGTGCTTGACAAACCATATGCAAGTTGAACAAAGGGTAATAATGGATACATGACAGAAAGACAAAAAGTGTATCAAAGAGTGTGATCTTTATCTTTTGATAGAATGAAGGAATGGAGGGATGCTTGCATTGCATGCATCACTTTCGCGAAGTTACACTCCCCCACTTGGTGAATCTCTTAGCCAGCGTCATCGCTTTGCCTAGAGAGCTCCAGCTGTTGGACTTTGCCATGGTCATAGACATGTCCTTGGCAGGTTCTTCAGTCGTTGTTGTAGCATCGGCTATGTTTGTTTCCACCTTCTGGTGGTGCATGGCCATCACGGCCATCTGACCGAGGAAGGTATGATGCTCCAGAAGATCCTCCAGGCGTACCTGGAAGCCTTCTTCTTCCAAGATCCAGACTAGCTGGGCGACATTCATGATGTCTCCACCGAGGCCGAAGAAGGACGCGTCGAGTTGGTAGGGTACGTTGTGAGTCCGGCGGGGCAGCACCTGCTGCCAGGCCCGGGTGAGGATGTCCGAGTGGATGACGATCTCCGACATCTTCTGGCTGTTGAGGTTGGATGAGAGGAAGGGTGCGTCGGATGTGCTGGGTGCTTCGTGAATCACCTGGCTAGGGAGGGAACGAATGGTGGCTGGGGAGGCCAGTGGGACGCTAGGGTTGGCGATTAGACTTTGGACGGTCTCGCAAACCATGTTCAGGGCTTTGGTAATGAAGGCGGGTGGAATAGGCCCCTTGAGCGAGTAACCGATGGAGACATCTAGCTTCTCCTGACCGCAGGACTTGGAGGCCAGTGTTAGGTCGGTGAAGTTGTCAAGGACGCCAACGCCTCCCATCCGGTATGGGTTGCCGTCCAGATGCATCTGTCCCTCGTACTCGACGTTCTGGTGGAAGACAGACGTGGTAAAGTACGTCGAGTCGGGCCAATCGGTGCAGTTTCGGATAATCTCCCGGAACCCTAGCGACTCGTATGGCATGTTGGCAATCTGTTGGTCCTGAAGGTAACGGAACAGATCCAGGCCACTCCAGTGTTCCCGGAATTTGACCCGGATGGGAAGGATGTTGAGACAGGGCCCAACGGTCGTCTCGATACCAGGCACACTGGCATTCCGGCCATTGACAGTAAGCCCGAAGACCACGTCAGACTGGGCAGTCAGCTTCGCCAACGTCACAGCCCACGCAGATTGCATGACGGTTGCGAGGGTGACATTTCCAATCGCTGTCGACGGGATCACAATAGTCTTCTTCTGCTCTGCAAAAGCACCGATGTGCATGAAGGTGTTGGGCTTAGTGCGGCGGATGATCTCGGTCATCTTGGAGCCCTTGAGGATAGTGGACCAGTGGTGGTAATGGACTGGCGTGATGTTTCCAGGGAGCATCCGCATGTAGTTGGAGAACGAGAAGACTGGAGGCAGAGTACTGCCCTCATATCCCAGCTTGATGGCGTTCATGATCTTTGGCAGACAAACTCCATCGAACTGAGCGTGTGACATCCTAATCAGAATGCGGTGCTGGTCGGTCTGCTTCTTCTTGACAATGTAGAATTGCACATACTGCTCGCCTTGCCGGGGATCTTGTTCGCGGTCCCGCTTTTGCAAGCTGTTGGTGAATTCATCCAGACTCTGCTCCGTCTCATGCACAAAAATGTCTGGTCGGATCTTTCGCAGCACCACCTGGAAGAACTGCCCGCGATGGCAGACAAAGACGGTCCGAAGGATGTCAAAAGCATCAACAACCCGCAAGAAGCTTTCTCGGAGTCGCCTGATGTCCAATGGACCATTCCCATCGAGAAAGAAGTAGTTCAACATCCATCTCGACCCAAAGAGAGTGGCGGCGATTGACATGGATTGGAAATCCGTGACGGGAAGAACATCGGCGATTCCTCCTTTGAACACACCAATCTTGGGGCAGATCACATCCAGCAGAGACATAGCGTCGAGCTGCATCGGTCTTAACACGGAGATGTCCTGTGGCGGAGTAGGGTCTGAAAGAGCATCGTCAGCCTCCAGGAGCTCCTCGATGTTGTTTCCGCATTGGGTTTCGGCATTCGACGTCGGACTGCTTCTGGGAGCAACGACAGCCAGCATGTCCTCGAACACTGGGTTGTTGAACACATCTGCCACCGTCATCTGCAGGCCCTCCTCTCGCGCAGCGCTGACAATCTTCATGGCGGTGATACTGTCACCGCCTAGCTTGAAAAAGCTGCTCCGGTATTGAATACTGTCGGAAGACAGCTCCAACGTCGACTTCCACAGGTCCCAGAGGCGTCTATCGTTGTCAGTCGAGCTTCTGCCATCATCAGTCAGGGATGGCGTCGAGTTTGCAAGATCCTTTTCGTCGGATATTTCGTTCTCCTGGAATGAAGCCTCGACCATCTTGAGATGGAGAGAGCCATGCGAATACCTGGTTTCTTGGCTCTGAGCACGAGGTATGGCGAGCTTGCCTTTCTTCAGCATCTGGCCGATGATCTCGTTAACACGGTCGTCGATCATCTTCTGCAAGGCATAGCTGTCAATCAATTGATCCACAATGATAGGCTCCTTGGGGCGGGAGATCTGATTCTGCGATAGCTTGTTACGAAGATTCAAGCTCGAAACAAGTTTCGACGGCTCCTCAACGAAGCATGTAAAGACCTTGGTAATAGCATCTGCTAGGTCCTTCGCTTGAGTGCCAGTCACGGTATTGCTCCAGTACCTGAGCAACACTCCCTCCCTGCCCTTGGTAGTCTCAACATTCACCGTCACGGGATACTAGTTCTGGATGTTAGCTTGTGTCTGTGCATTTAACTTCGGAGTTACCCACCTCAGTCGGATCATGAGCCTTTTGGACTTCGAACTCGAGTATTTGTTTCCCAGCGCCTTCATGGGCCGAGCGATTCTGGATGGAAAGGGTTGTGTTGAAAAGTGTCTCACCGTGCCATCCAAGCTCATGCTGTATCTGAGCTAGAGAGCAGTGTTGATGCGGCACATTCTTGATAAAATCATCTTGCACCTTTCTTGCAATATCAAGAAGGGTCTGACCCGGAGCAAACTTGACCCTGCAGCACAACATGTTGATAAAAATACCAACTGCGTCCTGGATTCCGGGAACAGGGGAATCACGGCCAGCAGAGGGGTATCCAAAGCAGACATCATCTGACCCCGTGCAGTTCTGAAGCACAATAGCCCAGGCACAAAGGGTCAAGTTAGCAAGTGTAACGGAGTTCTCTTCGCAGAATTTCTGCAGCTCAGGGAAGCGCTTGAAATTGATCATGCGCTCACCGAGCTGGTGACTACCACCTGTTGCAGAAGAGAACGACAGATGGCAGGGTTGAACGCCAGAGAGATACTGTACCCAATGTGCGGCAGTCTCTTCCTGGGCTTGCCCCTTGATGTATTTGACATAGTCGCTGAAAAGTGGCCCGGTTCCAGCAGGAAGCTGATCGTTGTATGCAAGCGCAAGATCTCGCAGGAGCAGGTCAACCGATCCGCCATCAATAACAGCGTGGTTCATCTCAATCTTGAAAAGAACCCGCCCCGACGACGTCTTGCAGAGCGTCACCTGGTGAGGAAGTTTTGTCGATCTCTCAGCATTGATATCGCGAAGCTGAATTTCTCCGAGCGTTCCCAGTGCATCCGAATCGGGACACTGAAACTCAATAACCGCATCATCGAGTGCCTTAACCACCACCTGGTCGAAAGACCCGCCTTTGTAATTGCTATCGATGAAAACAGACCTCAAGACAGGATGCCGGCTGACAACCATGGCCCATGCCTTTCGGAGTTTGTTGGTGTCCACCGCGTTGCCTTTGGAGTGGCGCACATCAAAAATGACATGGAACAGGTAGCCCTTCGGATCTCGGAGCTGACTGAGAAGAATCCCTTCTTGCACCGGAGAACAAGGATAAATGTCTTCAACCTGACTCCAACTCTCGAGTCCAACCTTGGGGAAGGTATTCTTGACCATACTGTTCAGTCCGTCGTATGTGATTGGAAGCAAGGGGTAGTCGCTGAGCGTCGGTTCAGGCGCGAAATCTCCGAGGCGAAGCATATCCTCCTCCAGCACTCGTTTGCATTCAGATATCCAGCCATGGATTTTTTGTTGATGTCCCATATGCTGGTTATAAGTGAAAGAGACCTGAATCTTGTCCTTGATGATAAGGGCCGAAATCTCGAAGAGAGCAAATCGGGAGGTCTTGGAACCCATGTCTCCTGCCAGCTCGAAGGTTTCGGCATTGAATGCATCGCCGTAATGTTGGAAGAGAGAGTCATCACGCTCCAGTTGTTGAAGTTGTCCAAGATAATTGAACAGAATCTCAAGCGGAACAGGAAAGCTACCAGCCTGTTTACCTTCCGGGTCAAGCAGGCTTTCCGCAAAGTATGGCCGACTCTTACTAGCGAGATGACGCCTCATATCCTTGACACGCTTCAGGGTGTCCAGTAGGTCTACTAAATGTCAGATACATCTTCAATCATTGGTTCGAATGTAGACTCACCTGATCCATCACCGACATGCAGAGGACACATGGTCGTGAACCAACCCACTGTTCTTGAAAGATCAATAGAACTATCCCAGGCCTCGCGACCATGACCCTCGTTGTATATTGTCGGCACCGCTCTATCGGTGAAGGTTCGACGGAAGGAGTGGACAACAGCCGAGAGTATAACTTCAATGGCCTCGGTGCGAAGAACTCCATGGCACGCCCCAAGAATCTGTGTCGAGGTCGTAGCATCCAGAGCAAATCCTTCCATTTTGACATGGCCATAGAGATTTGGTGATTGTTCCATTCCCCAGTAGCTCAGATCGGGAGGCTGAATAGAGAAAGGAAGCTGATTTCTGCCCTTGAGCTTTTTGCTCTCTTCAAGTTGAAGGTTGCACCAAGCCTGGAATGACAAGGGCTTCTCGACCGACAACGATCCAGTGTCGAGGAAATCTTGAATATCTTGCAGGACAATGCGCCAGGACACCATGTCGACACATATGTGACTGGCTACTAGGAACAGAACCTGCATGCCGCCGCGGACCTCAAACAAATCCGCGGCAACAATAGGTCCATGTTGGACATCCACAGAACGTTGGCTTTCAGCGATCTTGGGCATAATCGCATTTTCCATGTCAACAGCATGATGATGGAAGCTGTAAGAGGCATCAACCTCCTAAAACAATAGATCAGCCCCTGCTTTGGTAAACGGTAAATATAAGTAAGGGATTGGACATACATCAGTTATCTTCTGCTGCCATTTTCCATCACGAGACTTGAATAGCCGTGCTCTGAACATAGAGTGTTGCTTGACAACAGCTTTGATGGCGTTTTCCAAGTCCTTTGGCTCAATCTTGCGAGTAACGCGCACTGTCATGCTTTGGTTAAAGCGGGTTGAATCCCGGAAGCCAGTTGCGGAGTGCACAAACAATCCCTGAATGGGCGATAGTTCAAAGGACTCATGGGACTTCTCCTCCCTTCGGACGGTCTGGACTTTTGTTTCGGTAGCCAGAGCAAGCTCCTTTATCGACTTTGTCTGAAGCACACCGTGAAGGGTCACTGCGAGCCCATGTTTACGGGCGCGAGAAATGACAGCCATTCCAGTTATGCTATCGCCTCCTGCACCACACAGTCAGATGTCTTCCAATGTCAAGTTTTGAGTTTAAAATTGCTTACCTAGGCTCACAAATGACCGGTCCGAGTCAACCTTGTGGGCTGGCAGGTTGAGAACCTGGGAGACGATGTCCTTGATTAGCTTGACTGATGTTTCTTTGTCATCTTCTTCCTCTTCTTGCTCAACCTCTCCCCTTTTGATGCTATCGTAATCCTCCATTATGCGATCGTAGGAGGCGTCGTCAATGCGTTCCAGCCAAGCGGTGATCCGCTTCCGGTCCAGCTTTCCGGACACAAGCATAGGGAGCTGCTTGATAAGAGCCCAGGCCTGCGGGACCATGTAGATAGGAAGCTGGGTCTCCAGGCTCTTTTGAATGGTGACAAGCTCCTGGTATGCCGACTGCGCGGATCCATCTCGACCGATGAGCTCACACGCATTGTCCGAAATGATGCTTTTCTCCGCGGTGACAGAGTTTAGCGACAGGACCGTGACCAGCCGTTGCTTAAGAGGTCCAGTCGTTGGCAATATGACCACAGCGTGACGGACTCGCGGATCCTCGTATAGCCGGTGCTCAATCTCTCCAAGCTCCATGCGTTGACCATGGAGTTTAACCTGATGGTCTTTGCGGCCGATGTATTCCACAGAGCCGTCAGAGTTGTACTTAACAAGGTCTCCCGTCTTGTATATCCTTCGTGGGGAAGGAAGGTCACTTGGGAAGCTCTTTATCCACTCCGGCTCATCCACGAAAGCTTCGGCAGTTTTCTTGGGGTTCTTGAGATATTCCCTCGCGAGTGCGGGGCCTTCCAGTGCCAGTTCACCAACAGCACCCAAGGGGGTCAATTTATTGTGATCGTCGGGGTCGACGACCCAAGTCAGAGTGCATGGAATGCCATGGCCGATACACGCAGGATCCGGATTGGCAGCAACATTTGTGTTGATGACCGCGAAAATGGTGGTCTCAGTCGGTCCATAGCCATTCATCAGGTTTACCCGATGCGCCCATTTAGTGATCACTTCGCGCGACATCTTCTCTCCACCGCACACGAGATCCTTTAGGGATGGCACAGATGATGGCTCAATGATGCTGGCTATGGATGGAGTCAGGAATGACCAAGAGACATCCATCCGCCGGATGGCACCCGCCACATCATTCAAGCGTTCGTCCTCGCTTGGAATACACACACATCCTCCATGCATCAATGTGACAAGGACTTCCATGACTGCCGCATCAAAGGTCAGGGAAGCAAACTGGAAGGCTCGGGAATTTTCATTAAGGTGTACCATGGGCCCGAATGCCATGCCACTGCTGGCAAGCGCCCGATGGTTGATGATGATACCCTTGGCACGTCCTGTGCTGCCAGAGGTAAAAATAGCGAATGCCATGTTTGTGGGCGTAGCGCTGTCGGATCCCCTGGTACTTGTCGCTATAAGAGCACAGTATGCCTTGATTGTCTCCTTACTGACAGGGATAATTGCCTTGACAGCACCAGCGTACCGATTGTGATACTTGGGAGAGCAGAGAACAACACGAGCTTCGACCTCGGCCAGGATCTCCCTATGCCTTGAAGTTGGATGGGCAGGGTCAAGGGGAACAAATGCTCCACCGGCAATGAGAACACCCAGGATGGTGACCACTGCCCATAGGGATTTGTCCATGCAAATCGGAACCAGGGTCTCCGGGCCAATTCCGCGAGTTCTCAAGTAGGCTGCGAATGAAGAAGAAAGATGGTATAGCTCCTGATATGAAAGCTGTCCATCCCAAGAGCAAATGGCCGGGGCTTGCGGTCGGAGGGATACTTTCTCTTCAATGATATGGTGAACGCATCTGTCTATGCAAGTCAGGTCTCTCTGATTCCAGGAGGTAATCTCTTCCTTATCCCGAGGACTAGAAACCTCTAGGTCTCCAACCTTCCTAGTTTCATCATTAGAGATTGAAAATAGCTGGCCTAGAACATGGGTAAACTGTCCTATGAGCATCTGAGCTTGCCAGCTGTCGAAGACAAGCTCATCGTGGTGAAGTGTGACGGCCACTTGTGATTCGCCGATCTTGCACTCAACAACAATTGGGTGAGTGAAAAAATCCCCTTCGGTCAAGTTGTGCCCTTGCTCCCAAATTTTGGTGTCGGGCTGACCCTCTTCAGATTGGATAACTAACAAATTCTGGGACTCGCAAGCAAGGGCGGTATCACTGCTGAGCTTGCGTATTCTTTGAAGTCCGGCGTGCAGATGTGGCATCATAACTGTAGTCAATTGACGAACACTCTGCAAGTATTGAATGACCGAGAGCTCATTGTCAACAGCAATGCGTGTGGGGACTGTTGTAAGGACGGGTCCTGCGATATCCATGGCGCCAGGCATATCGATATTTCTACCCATGAGTGTTTCAGCGAAGCAAACATCACCCGATCCGGTATGGACAGAGACCACCATTGCCCACGCAGCTCGAATCATCTCAGGTACTGTCAAATTGGGACCATTTGGTGCGCGCGAGACTTCAACTGAGCTGTAATGCCGGTTGCCTACACGGATAGCATCAGGCGACGGCTTGTTCTGAGGAAAAGGCGAGGAGGAGATGCCTGCGAGGTGGGTCCTCCAGAATTCGTCCGAAGATGGCGCATCTTGTTCAACCAAGTGCTTGATGAACAACTTGTAAGGAAGCGCTGGACTGGGATTAGAGGAGCCACCATAAACCTCCTCTACTCTCCGTAGAATCTGTGCCACACTCCATCCATCATAGAGAGCGTGATGGATAGTCCAGACAAAATAACGTTTAGAAAACGCTTCAGGCTCCACAATACCATATCCAGTAAGCAGGCCTCCGTTGTCTCTTGCCAAGTCAATGCTCTCATTTGATAGAGAATCAAAGTCTGTTGCCGAGTCCCAGGAAATAGGGGCATCAGTAAGCACGGCCTGGACGAAGTTGGCGGTCTCTGTGTGTACAATCCGAGTCCGCAGAATATCCATCTCGTCAACCACCTTTTGCCATGCCACCTTGAACTTCTTAAGGTCAGCTCCCTCTGCAAGTTGAAATACAGGTCGAGCGACATAAGCCCCAGATTGCTTGATAGAGAGTGTGAGCAGGCCCTCTTGCACTGGACTGCAAGGGTAAAGGTCTGCAATTTGTTCCTTAGGCACGCCACATTGGCTGGAAACCTCCTCTAGGATATCCTCGAGTGACAGTGATTGAGGCAGGATAGCGAATGGTTCCACTGTCGATACCCCAGCTTGTGTTTCTAGAGCGCCGCAGTTATTTGCCATGTCCCTGAAAATAGGGGTCTTGTATATGTCGGCCACTGTAAGTGAAATTCCTAGGGAGGCCGCTGATACGACGAGTTTCATGGCAGAAAATGAGTCACCACCCAGACCGAAGAAGTTATCTTCAGCACTGATAGACCCTGGGGCAAGGTTGAGAGCTTCCTCCCATAGCTCCCTAAGAGCGCCCTCCATTCCTTCCGTTCCCACATTCGAGAAGTGTTCTGCGCCAATATTGAAGATAACATAAGGTTTCAAGCGCTCCTTGCTCAATGTATCGACCATGGCTCGAAGTGCCTTCCGATCAGTCTTGCCAGTGCTACCAAAGAGCAGGCGCCGCATAGGGAAGTAAAGCTTGGGGACCATAGCGAGCGGCAAGGATTCAACGAGGGATTCGTGCAGCTTCTGGACAACGTCCACCATGGAGGCTGTCATTGGAAGTATCAATTGCTCATCCATATCTTCTTGGTTTTCATGCTCGTCAACGATGAAAAATGCCGCCAGACACTTGGCGACTGTCTTCGCCTCTGGAGCAACGACCTCAACAGCCACCTGAGTGTCCGCTGAGAGAATACGAATGCACTGTTGCTCAACTTCTTCCAGTTCGATGCGCACGCCGTTCAATTTGACTTGCGTATCTATGCGCGAGATGAAGCCAAGCGAACCGTCGGAGTTGTAGCGCACTAAATCTCCTGTGCGGTACATCCGTTCTTTGCGACCAAGAACGTGTTGTAGTCCATCACGCTGGGTCCATTCCGGATTGCGGACGAAGACCGCCCTGGTTTTCTCGTCATTATTGAGGTAACCACGCGCAACAGTGCAACCCTCTAGAACAAGCTCTCCCACAGCACCGACGGGTACAAGGCGATTGTGGTTGCGAGAATCGACGACCCATGTTCTGCCGCAAATGGCAGTGCCAATAGAACCGTAGTCATCATTAAGCTGTGCTCCTGTGTGATCAAACTTGGCACTGGCAGTAAACGCGATAGTGGCCTCAGACGGACCGTAAGCGTTGAAGATACACCGATCAGCCCATCGCTCAAAATGGCTTGCTGTCATCTTCTCTCCTCCCAAAATCAAGGTTCTCAGAGACGGGACGGCCTTGGGATCCATGGTGTTCACTATGGAGGGTGTGGCGCTCATGAAGCTGACATCCATTCTTCTGATGGCTCCAGACAGATTGTTCAAGCGCTCATCCTCGCTAGGAACACAAACACAGCCACCGGCCGCGAGGACGATGATAATCTCCAGTATGCTGACGTCGAAAGTATAGCTTGAGAACTGCAGGGCGCGGGTATTTGAGTCTATATGCAAGGCCCTGGCGAGATCGGTACAAGCTAAGGTGAGCCCAACATGTTCAAGGACCGTCACCTTGGGTTTTCCTGTGGTCCCCGATGTAAATATGGCGTAGGCTGCATTGTCCGCGGTTACCCTTTGGGTTGGTGCGGCAGAAGGCGCATGGGGAAGCCGATGGATTGCGCTATTGCTAACGATAACTGCAGAATGGCAGATTGCGGAAGCTTTCTCATAGTGTGTTTCAGAGCAGAGAATGACCTGGGCATCGAGGTCTTCTACCATGCCTTTCAGACGACTTTCTGGGTGAGTAGGATCCAAGGAAGCAAAGGCTCCCCCGGCTTTTAGAACAGCAACCTGTGCAACAACAGCCCACGCTGACTTCTCAAAGCACAACGCCACAAAGACGTCTGGCTTGACGCCCATACGCACCAGATGGTGCGCTAATCGCGTCGACAATTGATCGAGTTGTTCATGTGTAAAGTCACCATCCCACGAACATATCGCAGGAGCTGATGAAGCAAGGTTGAGCGCTTGCTGCTGGATGAGTTCATGTGCGCATAGCATAGGTCGATCTGGCAACATTGAATTCCACTCACTTATCTTTCGACAAGAAAGTTCGCTCACGAAGTCAATATCGCCTATCATGGTGCCCACGCTAAGAGAATTGACTATAGAGTCCAAGATATGTTTGAAACAATCGAGTATACCGTTGATGTCAGCATCTGAGAAATTCCTCGTGGAGTATTCAAAGGAGATCTCTCCAGATGATCCTGAGAGGACGGCGTTGACAGCAATCATGCATGTGATTGTATCAAGACCAGTGGACCAATCCACATCTTGCGAAATGCAAGCATCAACTGATTTCTCTGAGTAACTGAAGACGGTGTTGAAGATGGCGCCATCACCATACCCAACCTCTTGCTGGACCTCAGGGAAAGGCAACTGATGCTGCAGCATTTGGTCTAGTCCGTCTAGACGCTTCTTCAAAACCTCCTCAATCTGGATTTCGTCTTCCAAGAGCATCCTGCAAGCAAAAATGCCCGCGATAACCTGGGAATCTGCAAAGCCGGACACTCCGTTTCTGTGGCTTGTACCCGATACTTGGTAGCCGAAGCAGACTTCTCGCAAACCTGTATAGCATCGCAAAACCAACCCCCAAACAAGCTGGAGAAGCGAGTTCGTGCTAACATTGGCACTTTCACAGAAAGCTTGCAATTTTTCTGCATCACTGAGTACCAGCTTTGCCTCGGCATAAGTCGTCTGCTCTGCGCTTGCACGTAGAGATGGGAAAAGACAAGCTTCGACGTCGTCCAGATAATTCTTCCAGTAAGCAACATCGTGGCGGAAAGAGCAGAAGTCTTTGTTGTCCCTGGATAAGTCACTGATTGTTTTTTCCATACTGGCATCGGAAATGAGAAGCTCGACACAGGCAAGGAATTGAGCAGTCAAGCGTTCAAGCTGGGTATCAGATAGCGTGCTTCCATCGTAACGAACCACAAGTTCAAATCCACTGTCGTCAACGATGCAACTGACCACCAAGGGGTAACGTTTGGCACATTCAATGCTCAGGATATCCTGTTGCTCGCGTGTGAAGCCTGATCGCTGGTTACGCATGTCCAGTATTGTAATTGAGTTCTTGAATTTGCAGGCCCGTGCCGTATCGGCGTTCAAGTTCTGGATCTGACGAACTCCAGCCCACTGGTAAGGTTCGGTTGCGGTCAGATGATTCTTTACTCTGTTCAGTAACTCAGTAACAGTCCACCCATTGTCGATCTTAAAGTGTCTGGGAACGATGGCTGCGCTCTGCGTGTGGCTATCACGGCTGTCGGTCAAGACTATCTCCGCGTTCAGCAGCGACTCCCCGAAAACGACATTATCAGAGCCGGTGTAGCCATGGATGGTCAGAGCCCATGCAGAAAGAAGAGCGCATCTTAGACCTATGGTCGTTGACTTGAGTGCATCACACCAAGACACCTGCACGGTTTTTGTTGCTTGCTTGGTGATGGATGCACTTTGCAAAGACGGGGAGCGAGGTGGTGAAGGAAACTCATGTGAAGCTGTTGAGTCAGCCAAATGAGCTCGCCAAAAGTCATTGAAGCTCTTGATATCATATCTAAGTAGTGCTGCTCCTGGCAAGCGTTGAGCTGCATCTCTCAAGAGCTGGCGGTTCAGCTTGCCAAACGAGCTCAGCGGCATGCTAAGCATCGGGAAGTAAAGACTTGGAATCATGTTTTCTGGTAAAGCGCCAGACAACTTAGCATGCAGCTTCATTGTCAAATCATGCAGTTCAGGGGTCATTTGTGCGATGAGTTGCTGCTCCTCAGTATTCTTCGAATCGGAAGTCTCATCGAAAATGAAGACGGCCAGTGATGAGGCGGGAACTGCCTCACTGATTTGGTCGACTATTTCGACGGCGTATTGGGTACTAAGGTTTGAAAGCGATGCGATCTGTTGTTCAAGGTGCATGGCAGCTGTTTGTTGCTGCCAATGGAACCCTCTTCCCTTCTTCCCCACGTAAACCAAAGTGCCGTCAGGATTGTAGCGGGCCAGATCCCCAGTCTTGAACAAACGATGTCTGGCATTATGTGACTCCGAACTTTCAAAATCTCTACCGGTTGCTGACTGGGACTCGTAAGCCAGTCTCCACGCAGGGTTTTCAACAAACTTGCGGCGTGTCAGCTCCTCATTGTGAAGGTAACCACGAGAAAGGCCAGGGCCCTCTATCATCAGTTCACCAACACACCCTATCGGAACCAAGATGTCGTGATTGCAAGGATCGACAAGCCATGAGATACATCCGGCATTTGATCCAATAAGTGGCAGTCCGTTCCACTCATCGGACTTCGAATACTGAATGCAAGTGGAGGAGCACTCTGGCGTACCATAGAGTGCATGCAATTGAACTTTCTTGGACCAGGTGGCAAGAAGCATTTCAGATGAGCGTTCACCCCATAAGGCAAGTACTTCAAGCCCTGGAACATCTGCTGGTTGTAGAGCCATGGCTGTTGATGGAGTGATGCTGACGCAGTTTGCCTGTGCCATGTTGATCGCCTTTGGCAGATCGCCCAAGCCATCGTCAGAAGGGATGCAAACACATCCACCGCATACCAAGGTTCCGAACACTTCCTGGAGAAACATGTCAGAAGTAAAAGGAGCATATTGAAGCATTCTCGTTTTGGCACTAAGCCCAAGGGCTGAAGCGAAGGCCCTCGCCCGAGTTGTCACCGCACGGTGTTCAAGTGTGATGGCTTTGGAGATCGCGGCGCTGAACACAACATATCCGTCGTTCCATGGCTGAGCAGGTGATTTGAAGGTTGTCTCAGTGTCTGGAAGGTATTCGAAAAGAGACCTACCCACAGGGATAACATATGGAACGGCATTTTCAAGCAGCTGCGCTCGGGTTGGGGACGCAAGAGCAATTTGGATCTCGTTATCGGTGAGCCAAGTCTCAAAAGGCTGCGGCATACAATTCAGATCGACGGGAATGCATATCCCACCAGCCTGCAAAACCGCCAAAATGGCTACAATCTGCCACGAGGACCTAGCGAAATCAATTGGCACCAGAGTTCCAGGGCCCACACCGAGCTTTGTCAGGTAAGTTGCAAGAAGGGAGGACAGTCCGCTGAGCTTGGAATAAGTAAGACTTTCGTCCCAAGCAGCAATTGCCACAGCATTGGGTTCAGACTTCGAATATTCGTCGAGTACCTCATGTATGCATTTGTCGACAGCTTCTGGCACCTTGGCGTTCCAAAGTGTTAATTGTTGCTTATTCGCTTCGCTTAAATTATCAATCCGGTGGATCTCATCCTCAAAATGCTCCGCAATGTTCTCAAGTGACTTAAGGAACGTGCTGGCAACATTAGCTGCTTGTCCTTCGGAGAGGTGATCCGTCCAGTAGTTCAGGTCAATATGCGCCTCATCATCTGTGGCCTCAACGTTTATGAAAATGGGGGACTCTGCAGGGTCGTGGATTGTCCCAACTTCCGAGAGTTGTATTTCTTCCCGCGACGAGATGGCCTGATTTGGAAGCTTCCGGTACGAAATGCCGCTGTTGGCCAATGAGTCCGATAGATTCAGAGCTTGCTGGATAGTAACGAGAGACACATGTCTGTGTGGCAGATTATCCAAGTTGTCCTCTTGCACCTTTCCAAGAATGTCCTTTAGCAAAGCTCCTTCAGGGAATTTTATGCGGCAGGTCAATGTGTTGATGACAGGTCCGACAACAGACTCAATGCCTTCCACTGGAACGTCCCTTAGCGATGCCAGATATGTAAAGGAAACGTCGTCAGTTTCGCAGAAAGAGCGAAGTGTTAGTCCCCATGCAGCGCTGAAAGCGGTTGGCAGAGTCAGGCCGTTCTTTTCGCAAATGCTTTGAAGCGCTTTAAATGGCCCACATTCCAATCTTTTGGTCCGAAGTCGCCTCACAGAACCGTGTCCATCGTTGAGAACAGGGAAACTGCAGGGTTCGACATCTGACAAGTATGTGCGCCAGTAGTCAATACTGGCCTCCTGAGGAACTTCACGAAGATAGCGCACATACTCCTTAAACTTTGGTTTGGGGTCTTCGAGTTTTCCTTGGTAGGCCAATTGCAGGTCCCGGACGATGATGGAAATCGACGCACCATCCATGGCGACATGATTCAGTTCCAGTCGGCAGAATAATTTGCCAGAAGTCGTTTGGCAAATTGTGAGCCGATGAGGTGGTTGTTTGTCATTGTACATCATTGGTTGTTGCTTGTCAAATGTTGACAGCACCTCGGTTTCATCTGCACATATCACAAAAGTTGGTTGGGAATCGAAGGCTTTGAGTACCACCTGGCAGTATAAGTCGCGGCTGTTCAAGCCCTCCGGGAAGATAGTCCGCAGCATTGCATGATGATCCACGACTTTTTGCCAGGCGAGCGTCAACCGACCAATGTCGGGCTTGTGTCCTGACCCCTTAACTTCGAATGTGTCATGTACGGCATAGAGTGAGCTATCGCGAGAACGACTGAGTAAGATACCCTGCTGCATGCTTGAACAAGGATAAATGTCCTCTACATCATCCATAGCATTCACACCAGCACTTGGTAGCTTTTTGGATACCAGAGTTTCCAACTCCTCATATGTCAATGTTAACATGGGGAAACTGCTCAGCGTTGGCCTCGGCGGAAGGAACTGTAGCTGTTCACCCAAGGATTGCAATAGGGTTTGGCAGCATGTAACCCAACCACGAATGGCTTTTTGATGCTGCATGTTCCTATTGAAGGAAAAGATGAATCGAAGTTTTCCCTGCACGACCATCGCAGATATTTCGAATAGCGCAAAGCGAGGAGTATCCTCGCCAAAGTCAGCCGCCCCGCCACCTCGGCCGGTTTCTCCAGCCATCTGGTCCATGAGCTGAAAGAGACCGTCCTTTCTTTGTAGATCACGATGCTGGCCAACATAGTTGAAAGATACTTCCATGGGACTATGATGTAGACAAGAGCCATCTTCACGCAAAGATAGCATGCGACGTGCAAAATCCTGCCGACCATTATCTGAAACTCGTCGGCGTAGGTCCTTGACACGTATAACCGTTTCAGTCGGATCTTCTGCAGGAAGGCTAGAAAGAAGTATGGGATATAGGATGGTAAACCAGCCGACGGTACGCGAGATGTCAATTGATGAATCCCAGACTTCTCTTCCGTGTCCCTCATTGTATATGATTGGCAGCGATCGGTCTTTGAATGTCTGTCCAAATGAATGCAGTAATGCTGCCAGAAACACGTCAATTGGCTCGGTCTCGAGACTTCGATGGCATCCCATCAGTATGTGGTGAGTAACATCGCTGTCAAGCTCGAATGTTTCGCAGTCAACATCTCCGTAGGTAGTCCGGTGGGTGTCCAATCCCCAATAAGCAAAGTCCGGTGCTGGAACGATAGGTAAATCCATTGCCCACTCAGCTGTCGATGTTTGGCAACGGTCCGCTTGGATTTGGCACCAGCTTTGGAACGGAAGAGAGCCGCCTTGTGATGTCGTTTGATTGGGATTGATCAGTAGATCCTCCAGGTCTTCTAGAATTATCCTCCAAGAAACAATGTCGACTACCAAATGATGCGCTACCAACGATAGCAGACAGGAATTGTTGTCTTTGTAGAAGACATCGATAGCAAGTACGGGGCCAACAAATGCATCGATGCATGACTGGCTATTTGAAATGGCTGCGTCGGTCTCGCTTTGATCGCTATCACTGTGGGACTGCAAACGGTATGACCCTGCTACATCGTGAGTGATGCGTTGCTGCAGGCCCCCTTCGACTTCTGACTGGATCAGTCGAGAACGGAGCATCGAGTGGCGATTAACAATGGCCTCAATGGCGCGCCGTATATCGTGCTCCTCAATGTGTTTGTTTAGACGGGTGACAATACTTTGATTGAAATGACCTTGGCCCTCATTCCGGACCATAAAGTGAAGTTTCTGTATTGGCGAAAGGTCGAACGGCTCGTCCAGCTGTTCTTTGTACACAATTGACTGGTCAACCCGTTTAACGCGAGTCGCTAACTCGCTGATAGACTTGCTGTGAAGCACTTCTTGTACTGTCAGGCCCATTCCTTGCTTCTTACAGTATCCCAGACACGTTATAGCGGCAATCGAGTCACCACCAAGACTCAGAAAGCCTTCGTCAAGACCAATCTGGTTTCGGGGGATATTGAGAACGCGACTCCATATCAAAGCGAGCTGCTCCTCTGTAGCGCTGAATGGGTACATTGCTTTCTCCATAGACAGGGAGTTACTCTTGATGGGTTGAGCATCCGGGTCTTCTTCCATGTTTCCAATCCAGTTTGCGGTTGCTTTCCTGTCTAGTTTGCCGGACGCAAGCAACGGTAGTGCTTCCACACATAACCAAACAGAAGGAATCATGTAGGTTGGTAGCTGACTCGATAGCCTCTCGCGAACTTCTGCGACAATTGGGGCCTTCTTGGAAGGCTCGAGGAGCTTCAGTGGTGCTGCGTTTGGGTCTGACTGGCTTTCGAAATGAACAGACAGAGGTATGACCGCTACTATTTTGCCTGCAGAGAAACCGGACTTTGAAAGAAAAGCTAGACAATGCTTGACAATTGGGTCGGCAGCGAGGGTGTTCTCAATCTCTCCCAGTTCAAGTCTTTGTCCATGGAACTTAACCTGGGTGTCTTTTCTTCCTATATACGTCAATGAGCCACAGTCAGAGTTGTATCTTACCAAATCACCCGTCTTATACATCCTCCGGTCGCTGCCCTCCACGTCATCATTCTTTATCCAGGCTGGATTGTGGATGAATGCTTCATTCGTCTTTTGCGGATTGTTGAGATAGCATCGAGCAAGTGTCGGTCCCTCAAGCACTAATTCACCCGGACAACCAACTGGAACAAGTTGATCATGGTTGCTTGGGTCCACAAGCCAACAACGCACCCCCACCGGGAGTCCAATATCCCGACAATCGGAAGATGGTGTGACTTTCGAATTAACGACGGCAGCAACAGAGCTTTCTGTAGGGCCGTATGCATTGATAAGATGGAGCGCGGATGACCATGTCACTAGCTGACCTTGTGACATAGCCTCCCCGGCAAGAATTAAGGTTTCAAGCCCCGGAACTTGCGAGGAGTCAACAAACTCGACAAAAGAGGGTGTTAAGATGGCATGGTTCACGTTCATCTCGTTGATGACCTTGACTATGTCGCTCAATCGTTCTTCTTCACTTGGAACACAGACACAACCACCTATCAACAGGGTAGTCAATATCTCCACCAGGCTCGCGTCAAAGGTGTGTGCCGCGAACTGTAAGACACGTGAAGTCGAGAACATATGATGCGGTGTTGCATGGGCAAAAGCACCGGATACATAGGCTCTATGCTCCAACATAGTACCCTATAAGTGGACCGTCAATATGAAATAGAAGAGATAAAATGAGTCAAAATGTCAGGGGAACATACTTTTGGCTCTCCTGTGGACCCTGAAGTGAATATCACGTAGGCTGCATTGTAACCTTTTACTTCCGGCAACTGAGGTACTTCTTCAGCTGGAAGAGAAAATTCGTCTATGGCGATCTGATCTAATGGGACCAGGGTCTCTGCAATCCCGGTCAAAGCTCCCACATGGCCTCTAGAGCAAAGCAAAACCTTAGCCTTTACGGCACGCACCAGTGACTGTAAGCGAGAGGTTGGATGCGTCGGGTCAAGGGGGACGAAAGCACCACCAGCTTTCAGAACACCTAGCATTGCCACGATGTTCCATTTCTATGGAATACAGTCAGCTCCATACAATTATCCAAGCATATCGGCATGAAGTGTTTACTTACTGATTTATTGAAACAGAGCGCGACACATGTTTCAGGGCCGACTCCGTGTGCATAGAGGCGATAGGCAACTTGAGATGAGAGAAGGTCCAGGTCTCGATAGGTCAAACTTCCATCCCATGCGCAAACCGCTTCACTTTCCGGGCGAATGAGGACTTGCTCATGAATGACTTCATGTATACAGCGATCGTGAGCCGTCGGAATGGCTGAATTAAACTTGCAGACTCGGGACCAGTCTCTATCCGAGAAATGGTTCAAGTCTTTTGCGAGGGTATCTTGTGCCGAGAGGACGCGTGCAAGAATCTGCTCGAAGTAGTCGGCAATGCTCTTCATATGCTCGGTGGACATGTCATTGTTCCACCACTCCAAGAAGATGCCAACATCTTCTTGCAGGACCTTGACGTGAAGTCTAACGCGACACTAAGGAGAGGGGTCAGCCAGTCAAGTTTAGAAGGTCCAGGCTGCAGGTAGCCTGGACCTGTGAGACACAGGGGGAGAGGTGAGGGGAAGGAAAGGGAAAAGAAAGTGAAAAACGGACCTGGGAGGGGAGGGGAATTGCCAAGGCCGGTTGCACAAGAGGGGCTCGCGCATCTTTGGCGGGACTGCGACAGTTGCGCAGCATCAGAATGGTATTGCATAGCGTATAACTGTGGCCACTCGAGCTCGAACATCGGCATCTCTCAGCATTGTTCGTCCCCTCCAAGTGGCGCAGAATGCTATGGACGGAGTCGTCCTCGGTGATGGTAAAATTAAAAGTTAAGAGATTATGATTATGTATATCTGACGAGAGGGCGGTATTGTGCTCATCAACCCCAATTGGTTGATAGCCAAAGCAGATGTCTTCCAGACCAGTATAGCGATGGAGAAGCAAAGCCCATGAGGCCTTGAGTAAGGAATCTAATTGGCCTCGATCCCAAGCGGCCAGCAACTGGAGAGTGTGGGACGGACTTGTCCTGGCTCTCAACGAGGCAGGCCGTTTTGGCCCGTGAAGGCTTGTGCCAAACCTAGGCAAACAGCAAGACACAGGTTGAGCCATGGTGGAGGGGATGTATCTGGAGGTATCACTCAGAGTATCCGGGACAGGCCACCGAGAGGGAAAAGGAGTGGGAGTCGATGGGAGGTCTACAAACTCCCAACCCCGTACACCATTCTACCTTTAAATTGGAGCCGAATCCATGCCCATCGAGCCACCTCCATGATGGGGCCCCGACCCTCACGGCCCAAAATAGATCGGTAGCCCTAGTCAGGGAATTCCCTTAGCAGCATTTTCAATTGCTTACGGGCATTAGAATACGAAATCGACGGCAACCAATAACCAGTCTGAAATCAGCCGGTCTGGATGAATGGCGTCAACATTGGCCACCACGCTAACATAGCATACTCCAGATGCCCTTGCTTAGGGCGAAGCTGAAGAGGCCGCAGGGAATTGATTCCATGGCTTGCAAGCCTCTGCAGGGCGCTTGAACCCAAAAGTCGATGGCTTGAAACTGTTCGACTTGGTTTGCTCGCCAGGTGGAGCATGTTCAGGGGTGGAAAGAAAGGAAGAGGAAAGGTGACGATACAAGGAACCTAAAAGGGAAAAAAAAATTGAATCAACATAAATAAATAAATAAATAAATAACAGGAAGATAAAAATCGGGACACGATTCTGGGTACTCGGTAGTCAAGATGGAAATCAAGGAAACCAGGCTTGACATGCTGAACAGTACAGTACACGCGAGGGCATGACATGACGTTAGTGCACAGAGTCGGGACGCATAACGGGGGGCGTATCTGGCCCTGGAGGTGCATTGTGCCGGCCGGCCATGAGCCATGCCGGAAGTTCGAGGTCGGTCTCGAACAAGATTCGATCAAAACTTTGCCTGTCAAAGAGGCGCCGCATTGGCATCGAGCCCCACTATATGCCGGAAAAGAAAGTACAGGAATGACCAGCTGCATGCTGACCGGTAGTGAGGGCTGCGGGAAAAAACTCGGCGAAGTGGAGGGACTTGGCTATCCTAGTCCCCGAGATTTGGCCAGGTCATCAGGAGTGTTACCTGCACCTAGCAATTAATACCGCGCTTAGTACAGAGTACAGAGTACTAGTAGGTTATCAGGACTCAGGGCAGTGTCGGGATGTAATTAGCAAATAGGAGGAGTAAGAACTGGGCAAGCTCCAGGTGTACTATGGACATGGCGGGGCGTAGATGGTCGAGTCACTTCTACTTACTGAATCCAGTAAGTACGTAGCTACAAAAGTCCGGTTCCTGATCGGGAAGCCATGGCTTGGATTTGATTGGGGCTTCCGCAGTTCCGTACCCTAACACGCTTGAAGCCGATAATAATGTGCCTTGTTATGATTATGAATCTCATGTCCAACGGAATCCCGAGTCTAATGGGTCTCTAGTTTTCCCCACACACCCGCACAAACAGGGGCTAACATTCCTCCAAGGTGAAAAGCTGAATCCTTGGAGAGAGAAAAAAGAGAATTAATAAACACCTCGGAGAGGGGCTCTCAGTATTACACATAAGGTTCTACTTCTCCCGGATGTTGATATGTATCTTTCTCCTACATAAGACCTAACCTGAAAAAGTGTGAATTCCGATCCGATGTGCTCCGTAACGAGAATAGACTCTCTACTCCAGATGGAGTACCGTCGCCCAGAGGTTAGGGCGGGTAGACTATCCTAACGGGAAGATTATATTAAAGTTATTAACAGCGGAGTTTACCTTTTCCCTTTTCGGGTAGCTGAGACGGTCAGACCGTCGGAGGCTCGGAGCAAAAATTAATAACAAGATGGATACGCGTAGTAGGATAGGGTAGATGAAGGCGATGGGTGACAATAATCGTATAAGATGAACTATTCACGGACGAGAATGAAACAGACAGATCACCTAACGTGAGGGGAGAGAGGGATTTTCTAAAACAAGATGACGAATTCCTCTACGCCCGCAACCAAGCCGGATGGAAACTGAAAAGCCCTCAAAGCTGAAAGCTAGTTGCTATCACAACCTTCCTCCGAGGCTGATTATGTACTCCGTACTAGACGGGTAATACTATCATCAACGGCATTGCATCGATTCTGCACCTGACACGAGAATCCAGCCCTTGCCTTGCTACATGGTGGCTACTTGGCGTGTACATATACCTACAGTATACGGAGTAACTGTGAATCTACAGTCGATCTCCGATAGAGGCACCAACCTCGCTTACCTAGGGATCGTGAATTGAGTTTCATAAATCCGCCCTGTCGTCAATCTGCACTTGGGTTGCAAAACCTTCGCACCAAGCCCTCTCTCATTGGTTGCCTAGAGTGACTTTTTCAGGCTGGCTCCGTCAGTTTGTTGCCCGGGCGGTACGAACTTCTGGATTCTGGATGGTTCCCGGTCGCGCCGCTTGATTATCGCAACGGGAGATCGAAAATCGAAACTCTCTTAAATTAGCAGACACCACTAAGGCAGTCTATGTGAGCTAAAAATCAATAAGCCTGCAAGGACTACAAGGGCTTGCGAGTGAATTATACCATACCAAAGGACTCGACCATGGACTTGATGAGTATGTATGTAGGTACTCCGTAGTTGCCAGCAGCCTAACAAACTGTTAGGTGGATTAGCTGCATATCACATCTGTCACGACAATCACCGCTCGTAAAATTTTCTTTGCTTCTGGTCGGAGGCCGATCCTTCGTCATCGATGGAGTACCTCCATCGTACGGAGTAGAATATGGAGGTGCAAACATGGAGATCAATAGGGGAAAAGCAAGGAAAACGGGGTCAGGAACGGGCGGATAAATCTCCAGGAGTCGATCCTTACCTGGTCCGGACAAGATCGAACCATCGCACTCAGGGAGTGAACGAGTGCCAAAGATTCCGGAGAATAAGTGCAGCAGGTTTCATTTGAACGGTGGAAGTGCAGGCAGGTATCATCTCGATCTTGCCGTGGTGGGTTGTATCACGCGTAGTATCAAGTTATAGGTAGTCCTTGGTGGTTGTCAGTTGACAGGATGCTTCGGTATTGCCGCGGGCAGGACAATACCGGTACCTACAACGTACAGTAAAGTAGGTAACGGAAAGGAAAAGCATTTGTGTTGTGCGTCGATGTCTTGGTTGACAGTTCACTACTGCAGGCTAGAGAAAAAAGTAAGCATAAACATGTTGGCCCCGGCTTTAGGCCGTCTGGACTGTCCAGTCACCTGTGACTGCCAGAGTGTCAGTGCCCAGGCTCGGAGCTAAAAACTGTCGATTGGGGGGAGGATTTTTCTTTGAACGGATACGGGATAGGGGCTCATCAACCAGGTACTACCACCGGACCATTAGTAAGGCACTGGGAAGTGGAACGCTCCCAAGGCGGGTCACGGCAGCCGGAAGTCTTCCGCAGCACTAGATCCACCGCTGCCGCTGCTAACCAAGTCTCCTCTCTCAAGTCTCAAGTCTCTCCCCCAAGCCGCCGCGTCTAGCAACTAGCAACTAGGTAGCAACAAGCAGCACGCTCCATCATGGTGGTGGCTGCCCAGCTAACTCCAGCCACTAAATCCTTCTTCAAGATGCAAGGAATTCCTGCTCGATTGATTGCCTACTAGTCATCTACCCACTAACCTACTTGTGTCCTAGTTCTCGAGAGCTCCTTCTCATTTCGGTCCTAGTCCCTGGACACCTGCCTGTAGTATCGAGTAGTGTCTACTTTCTCCAGCATTCACAGACACCGACAAAGCAGGTACCAGAATCCCGCCCCTTGAGATCCTGGACCTGGCCGATGTCTCAATTGCTATCATTTCAACTTGTGGCGACCGGCCCCTCCGTCCTACCTTAGGTCTTCAGCCACTAGGTACTACGCTGAGTGCTTCTACATACGTACGGAGGCGACGTTACACCTCTTGCATTTAGCTTGAGTGGGCTGCGCCTTTCGCCTTCGGACTATGGTCGTATTCATCCCACTTGAGTACAATAAGGCGCCTTGCCACCAGGATACCACTACAGTACTTTGTACCGTGGGGCTGTACATCCTCAATTGACTACTGCACGTACCTACTTATGTATATCCTGTCAGATGGCAGATTACTAGTGGGTGAGCGCCAGTCCACCATAATCTGGCCCGGAAATGAGCGCTGTGGGAGCGATCGCTCTGACTCGATAAGAATCCTCCTCGTAATCATCATCGAGTGGAGTGGAGGATACTAGCCGAGATGTCAAGTTCAGCTACTCTTCTCTTGCTTTTCTTGGGGGATTTAAAACTGCCTTACCGTGATGACGCCATCTTGTATGTACACAGTCGGCGGGGGTAACGCGAAGTGCTCACAGGGAGAACTCTATCTGGTGTTATCCGTTGTACTCCGTATCTAATTGTCAATTCTCACTGCGGAGGGCACGGCTTGGAAGCCTTGTAAGGAATAAGATTCAATACTTAGAGGTTGGCGACCAGTGGCGGCATTTGGCGCCAGTCGGGATTTGAAGTATGCAACTATGTGCACAGCACAAGAGGGAGCGCCGAGTCACTGGTTAACAGCTCACCTACTCCCTCAGTGGACAAGTTTCGGGGTAGAAGCAGAAGTGTGCTTTAGACATGTTCCTATTTTCGATCCGACCCGCTTGTGGCTTTCTACCCACGTCGGACTGAGGGGACAAAGATTTGAAAACAATGGCCAGGAAGGTATACTACTATTCTAGCGAGCTTGACTGTCTATTGGGCCCCGCCAGTCTTCGGGCAGATGGGATTGTTAGTAGCCCTGGGGGCGGTGGGGCAAACTACGGGCTGTGCTCAAATCGCACGGGGTTTGCATGTGCCTGGCGAACTCCAGGAGTTCAAGTCGTCATCCCGATGGCTTTGTAGGCTTGAACCAAACTCGTGTTGACCGGTCACAGCCCCATTCACCCAAGTCATCATTACGTTACATGCGAGGGGAAGGAGAATTAATAGCCTATAACGTTGCCCCGGGGCAAGAGGAAACGCTGCGAAGAAGACCAGGGGAAAAGCAAACATGCATTTTAGTACGAATTGGATGGAACGGGCCGAATCATCTGGCTCAGAAGCTCGCTTTCCTTGACTATCCATGGATACGCTGATGCAGAGTCCATGGTGGATCTCAGCCGAGAGCCCTGGCAACCTGCAACGTAGCTAATCGCCATCGTCGGAAAGTTTTTTTTAGAGAGGGGGAAGGCTAAAACGAGAAAAAGAAAAGGAAAAAAAAAAAAAAAAAAAGGAAAAAAAGGAAAACATTAAAATGGAGAGTAAACAAATTATCAGATGACGGCAAAATAAACAGGGAGAAATCAAAATGGCGAGTGGGAAAATAAAAATAGCAGGGTTACTAATTTCATGCGAGGTCGAATCTAATAGTCCTCCCCCTGACGATGAGGTATACCCATTAGGTACGAACAATCGTCACGAACTAAAAAAACGCAGCCCTGGAAACTTGGTAGTCTAGGCTTCACATGCGACCCAGAAAAAAGAAAGGGTTGCAAATCAACAGCAGTAAGGCTTTGGACATAAAATCTAGCGATCCACAGTGATTGCTTGTCGCTCTAGAACGATTTCATTGCATCCCATCCAGGATACCTACCTCTGCGGTTGTAAATGGAATGCCGAGTGTAGTAGGCATGGCGGCACTTCCATCATGCCAGCAGGTGGACAACACTCTACATATCCCTCCTTCCTCTTGTCGGAGTGGTTTTGACTTCTCGCTGCTCTTTGAAGAGTTGATTCTGGGGATCCTACCACTGGGCATTGTACTCGCTTTGGCACCTTTTCGACTTGGACATCTGTTTGGAAGACCGCGCAAAGTTGTAGCGTCCTGGCTGGCATGGGCGAAGACAGTGCGTACCTACCCCGTCCATTCCCTCCCACCTGCCTAGGTAGGCAGGCACGACGCGGTTAGGTTGGGGATGGATTGAACCACCTCCGTGACATTTACTCCCTTACTACTACTCAATACCCCACGAGTCGGCGGGTGGCTGACCATTGCACACCATTCACAGGCCGCATGGATCGCTTTAGCGATCGTGCACTTGGTTCTGACGGTCCTATGGGCCCTTCCGTCTGCGACGCGAACGGATGCCTCAATCGCTGCGAACGCAGTGATGACGGTAGGAATCCTACTTCTCTGTCTGTTTTCTTACGCAGAACACAACCTCTCCGCCCAACCGTCCTTCCTCCTCAACGTTTACCTCGGCGCAACTGTGCTATTCGATATAGCAAAGACGCGAACGCTCTGGCTGCGACATCTAGAAGAGATCAATAAAGCTATTGCGATCATCACTTCAGTAAACGTCGGGGTTAAAGTCCTCCTCCTTCTCCTCGAGGCTACAGAGAAGCGACGCATCCTCAGACAGGAATACAAAAGCTACCCACCCGAGGCTCTCGCGGGGATCTACAATAAGTCATTCTTCTGGTGGTTGAATTCACTGTTCTATCGCGGATTTTCCAAGGTTCTGAGGGTCGATGATCTATTTGTCCTCGACAAGCAATTAGAATCCAGGAGACTGTATCGTATTTTAAAGGGCGTCTGGGACGGGGGTAAAACTTACCTTATACACCATTTGTTCACAAAGTCTATCGACGCTAACAATTGGCAGGCAAAAAGGAAGGCGAGAATGCATTGTTTTTCGCCTGCTTGAAGGCATTCAAATGGCAGATCTCATCCGTTATTCCACCCCGAGTCATGTTGGCCGCCCTTAATATTTGCCAACCTCTATTGCTGGAAAGGTCTCTATCATTCTCCGAGCAGGCTGTGAACAAAAACACCGATAACATCGGCTATGGATTGATTGGGGCTTATATTCTTGTTTACACTGGCTTGGGAGTAAGTCGAAAGGGATATTCTTCACCCTTCAATCGCTGACACGGCGTGAAATCAGGTAACCATGGGTCAATACCAACATCGGACGTATCGTTCCATCACGATGGTCAGGGGTGGGGTTGTTTCCATGATCTACGAAAAGGCGTGCACCCTAAGTACCAAAGATGCAGACCCTGCGTCTTCTGTCACATTGATGAGTGCAGATATTGAGAGAATTGTGCAAGGATGGCAAACTATGCATGATATCTGGGGCAACGCCCTCGAGATTGGTCTAGCGATTTACCTTCTCGAAAGACAGTTGGGATTATCTTGTGTAGTCCCTGTCGTTGTCGCTGTTGGTAAGTATTCCCTTACCCACCTCACGAAGCAGCATAAAGTTGACACTCTGTTCACCCTCTTCAGTGGCCCTAGTAGGTTCGCTTATAGGAATGTCTTTCGTGATGTCAAGACAAGCTATGTGGCTCGAGGCCATTGAGAGGCGCATCTCGTCGACTTCTTCAATGCTTGCTTCTATGAAAGGTATCAAGATGCTTGGCCTTCAATCAGCACTTATGAAATGTGTCCACAATTTACGACTCGATGAAATGAGCATTTCCAGGAATTTCCGGAAGCTTTTGGTCTGGAATATGGCTTTAGGTAGGCCAAGAGATCTCGAGCTAGCGTCTGGAGAGTATATTCTGACATGGTCGTCGCAGCTTGGCTCACGCGCATATTTGCGCCAGTTTGTGCATTTGGCGCTTTCGTCGGGATCTCTCACGATCAAGGAAATGATGCTGCCTTGAACACATCCGTCGTCTACACGTCACTATCACTGTTCTCACTTTTGTCAGATCCTCTCCTTTCCCTTGTCATGGCTTTGATGACGTTCGCTGGGTCAGTCGGGTCTTTCAAGAGAATCCAGGAATTTCTCCAGCAGGAAGGTCACACTGATTTTAGAAATAAGGCTTCCGCGCCTCCCCAATATACCCTCGATGAAAAGACACAGATGACCGTGGTTAACGACACGGAGACCAGCACCGATGAATCAAAATCATTCTCTTCCCACTCATTGAAAGAAAGCCTTCCGTCTTCGAACCAAAACGTTGTTGCTATTCACAATGGTGCTTTTGGGTGGGATACGACGGAAGAACCGTTACTGAAGAACCTGACGATTACGATACCGCAAGGTGGCTTCACGATACTGATTGGGCCTTCCGGCTGTGGAAAGTCAACATTGCTGAAAGCTCTTCTTGGAGAAGTCCCTTGTTTGAATGGAGACATCGAGATTTCTCTGGACAGCCTCAGCTTCTGCGAACAGACACCTTGGCACATGAATGGGACAATTCGTGATTGCATTATCGCGATGTCTGACTTCGACAGCCAGTGGTATAACTCCGTCATATATGCCTGTGCTTTGGCAGAGGATTTTGAGCAATTACCACGTGGTGATCAGACCGTGATCGGGAGTAAGGGTGTCGCTCTTAGTGGTGGTCAAAGCCAGCGCATTGTAAGTATTCAACAATGTTGTCGCACCATGACATTGCGGTAGAAGTTCTAACGTTTTTAGGCACTTGCAAGGGCAGTCTATGCCCGGAAAGAGGTTATCATTCTTGATGATGTTTTTAGCAGCCTCGATGCAACAACCGAGGATCACATTTTCCATCACCTAATTGGGAACCAGGGTCTTCTACGTTCAATAGACTCAACGATTATATTCGCATCTTCCTCTGGTAAGTCACACCTCATTTCCTAGTTTTATCTCCATAGTGGTGCTGACTTACTGAACAGTGAAGCGCGCCCCTTATGCCGATCATATTGTCGTACTTGACAACAAGGGCCACCTCATTGAGCAAGGAAGCTTCAAGGCTCTTGATTCAGCTGGCGGTTATGTCTCGAGCTTCGCTCTGGGTCTTCCCGAGTGGGGTTACAAGGCAGACTTATTCCCTGCATCGGGCATGCAAGTAGAAGTGATGAAAAAGCCGGACAAACCTGAGACTGAGATCGACGCTGACACTCGTGGGAAAGGCGGAGACTTATCGATCTACTTATACTATGTCCAGGCCATTGGCTGGATTCCTACCATTGTCTTTATCGTGGCGATTGCCGGCTTTGCTTTTTGCATCTCCTTTCCAAGTACGATCTTACAGGCACTTTCTGCCCCTAAGGCTAAAACTGACCTGACGCAGGCATCTGGGTAAAATGGTGGGCCAGCTCAAATGAAGCGGAACCCGGCAAGCACACAGGATATTATCTTGGGATATATGCCATGCTTGGTGTGATTGGCATGCTTTGTCTCATGATTGGCTGCTGGTCAGTATTTGCAGTCAGACAGCCGCCCAGTCCAAAGCTTTAGCTAACTCATGTCCAGGCAAATGGTCATTACCATGGTTCCAAAATCTGGTGAGGTCTTTCACCGAAAACTTCTGTCCACAGTCCTTAGGTATATCTCACGCTGGCATCTATGAAATACACTCTAACTCATTGATAGTGCCCCGATGTTGTTCTTTTCCAAAACCGATAGCGGGGCTATCCTCAATAGATTCAGTCAAGATTTGCAGCTCATTGACATGGAGCTCCCCATCGCCGCTATAAACACTTTTGCGAGTATGTTCCATGGCCACCCTGATTAAGTCTTCGGTATACTCACATTTATTTCATACTAGCCTTCACCCTCTGCATAGCTCAGATGATCCTAATGGCAATTGCTTCGAAATACGCCGCTATCTCCTTTCCCCTAGTCATTCTCATCGTCTACCTGATCCAGAAGATGTATCTGCGTACATCTCGGCAATTACGGTTCTTGGATCTGGAAGAGAAAGCACCACTTTTTTCACACTTCGCCGATTGCCTCAGTGGTCTGGTAACCCTAAGGGCCTTCGGGTGGCAGCGCGCCTTACAAGAAAAGAATGATAGATTGCTCGATCATTCTCAAAGACCGTTTTATCTCCTATATGCAATTCAGCGCTGGCTTACTCTCAGCCTCGATATGGTAGTCGCGGGTATTGCAGTTTTGCTAATCGTGCTCGTCGTGGCGCTGAGAGGGTCCATCAGTGCAGGATATGTTGGAGTAGCACTCCTGAATGTCATTCAGTTCAGCCAGAGCATCAAACTCCTGATAACTTTCTGGACGAATCTCGAAACGCACATTGGCTCAATACAACGAGTCAGATCGTTCACAGAGGATGTGCCCTCGGAGGATTTGCCTACAGAGAATCATGAGACACCACCAGATTGGCCATCGCAAGGAGGCATAGAGTTTAAGTCTCTGTCTGCAGAGTATAGGTGAGAAGGAGACTGGCAACCCACCCACATCACGCTGCCGAAACTAACCCTAGGTCGCATATAGGTCCTCTGAGCCAGTTCTTAGTGACGTGTCTCTGTCCATCCGGAGTGGTGAAAAGGTGGGAATTTGCGGGAGAACCGGAAGGTAAGATACCTGATTGATGGATAGGTTCTCGGTCGGCTTAGCCGCTAACTTCATTTAGTGGTAAAACATCACTCATAATGAGCATGTTCCGGATGGTCGACATCAGCTCCGGTCAGATTGTGATTGATGGGCTCGACATATCCAAGCTGCCACGTCGGGAGATCCGCTCGCGGATCAACGGAGTCTCTCAAAGCCCCCTTCTCATGAAGGGCGATGTAAGAACAAATGCTGATCCAACCGGCTGTTTCTCCGACGAAGCTATTGAGAATGCTCTCAGGAGCGTCGGCTTGTACTCCAAGGTCCAAGAAAAAGGCGGCCTAGAGGTCGACATAGACGACCTCTTCCTATCTCATGGACAGCAACAACTCTTCTGCCTCGCACGAGCAATCCTCCGGCCAGGGAACATTCTTGTTCTTGACGAAGCTACAAGCAGGTACGTACATGGCATTTCATTCAAGCAACAGTGGATAATGCTGACCATGCTATCCTACCTAGCGTCGACACCAAAACCGATGAAATAATGCAAAGGATTATCCGCGAAAAGTTCAGCTCCCACACCATTCTCACTGTTGCCCACAAACTTAACACTATCCTGGACTACGACAAAGTCGTCGTCCTCGATGCGGGTCGGATAGTGGAGTGCGGAAACCCGCATACCCTGCTCACCTCGGACAAGTCACATTTCAACAAGCTTTATGCGAGCTTGACGATGGATGAACAGGAGGAGTCGCCCTAGGCTAGCGCGATTGGCTAGCTTGATGGCGCGGAGCGCAAAGCAAGGGTAACAGTACATAGTATGGTTCATTTTTTATTATTACGTAAATTTAGGGACAATTAATAGTAGTTTAATCTTGGTTCATGCAATAGGTACTCGGTAATCTAATTGAGTTTCGTTCATGCGAACATGGACAAAAGTGAGATTTTAGTGTTCGGAGAATGGTTGATATGAGGTGTCACCTTTCGCGATTTCCCTGAACGGAGGACGGAAGGGCCCGACCAGCCCGACGCGCTAGCGCTACCACCAAGCATGGCAGGGATAAAATCAAGGCAAACAGACCCCATCCACCCCCATCTAACCCGTGCGAACTCCACCGGTATAAACACCCGGCATCCAAGAACGAACACAATCAAGTAGATCTTCCTCCTCGGTTGCATATACGTGGATCCAGATGCAGAATCAAGGAACAGGAACTTGAGCACAGTATCTAGTCCAGAAAAGGACCCTCTTCGCTTAAAATCTCCAAAAATAACTAAACAGAACAAAAAAAAAAATGAAACATTTCCCTAAAAAAAAAAAAGAGAGAAAGAGAAAAGAACGGTAGGGTCCAACGCAGACATGCAACTAACCAGGTAGCTACACATATTACACAGTAGTTAGTCCGGCCACTTTCGTCATTTTGCAGCCCACTCACTCACTTCTTGTAGATGGATATTCAAGATGAATTGCTGAATTGATCCTAGTAGGAATTGGATAGATCTGGAAGAATAATGATGATGATGATGGAATGAGTGAGACATTCCCAGATCTAGACCTACCTACCTAGAGGAGGATAGTACACATGTATGTATCTATCAATACAGGGAATAATAGTGTATCCTTGGTTCCTGGGGTTCAGCTGACCTGACCTGACCTGACCTGATCTAAACTTGATTTGGATCTGCAAGAATCGATCGAATGGGATGAATGAGATCGAGATCGTGATCGTGAATACCTCCGTACGGAGTATTTACATAGTAGGAGATCTTGTGTATTTTGGTTACATGGTACGTACTTGTTGTATGTATGTATGTAATGGGAGAGGGAAAAAAAAAAAAACAGGGATGGATGTGGTTGAATGACTTAAGTAGACTAAGTGGTAAGGTAACTAAGCTAGGACTCCGCTCCGTAGGTGCATGTAGATATGTAGTATTGGGTGTAGGGTGTGGATGGATGGATGGATGTAGCAACTCTAGGCGAGGAGCATCGTATCGTCATTATCCGGGTCTCCGGCGGGGTTGTGGTGGTCATCGAGAATTCCAAATTCCCAGTCGCCACGCTCGATCCGGCTGACACGGTCGAGTTCGGATTGGAATTCGCGACGTAGGTGGTCCAGGGTCACGATGACTCGGCGTTGGGGGATGGAGGTGGCGGGGATGGAGGATTTGCTGTCCCGACGACTGGAGGGGCGGATGGCGGTTGGGCTGGCGCTGAGGCTGAGGCGGCGGTGGGAGCTGTAGGGGTTCGGGGTGGGAGAGCCCGTGGCGGCGGCGGCGGTGCTGCCTTCGGCGTCGTCCATGAAGACGTTGCCGTCGTCGTCGGGTTGCAGGCTGCGGCGTCGGTCAAAAGAGGGCTGTTGTTGGCCGTCTTTCTCGACGAGGATGTAGGATTCACTCTTGTCAACGCAGGCGAGGAGGTTGATTAGGGAGAGGAGCTCGTGGCGGATCTCCTTGCTCTCTGGGTCGTCCTCCTCGGTGGGCCGGGTGTCATCGGTTTCTCGAGATTTGGTGAGGACCAGATGTGACGAGTGGTCTCTGGCGTGGCGTAGGCGCTGGACGTTTCGGTAGGCCACTTCGGCGGCGCCGCGGTAATCGCCCCGTGCGATGCGGTAGGCCTGTAGGATGCGCTGGTAGTCAGGAGTGCTGTCGGCCCATTTGCTCTCCGTGTCGAGGTAGGAGCTGAACGAGGTCTGTCTGCGAGCAAGCGACGCCAGGATATCATCCACGTGGGAGGCGATGTTTGGAACGAGCGTCGTCGGGAAATGGAGAATCTTCTGTAGCCCAGCGGTGCCTGGTCCTGAGGCGGCCAGGATGCCTGTGATGAGAGAGCTCAGAGCGGACCTCTGCAGGGCGCGATCCTTGTATCTGGCGAGCGCCGAATAGGCCTGGTCGAACTGACAGTTCTGCAGAGAAGCATAGAACAAGCGTGAAAGAAGGTCGGACCGTAAGCTGGCGGTTTCCGCATCCTTCTCGCTTCCATGTTCACTCGCCAATGCCTGTAGTGCCAGGCTGGCAAAGTCGGCAACGTGAGAAAATGAGCGTGCATGTTCGAATATCGTCAGAATGTGCTGGAAGTATTTGGGGAGACCGTTGTGGAAGCAGTCCACAGAGACGATATCTAGCAAGGTCGACGACATTTCGTGCAAGTTGCCAAGGGGCTTGCCGCACGCTGGGTAAGGTTAGACAGACACTATGCGATAGGATAAACACGCGGACTTACAAAGGAGATACGCAGCTTTGCGGAAATACAAAGCCGCAGTATCGAATTCGGACATAGCAACGTAGAGGCGACCCTTGACATAAGTCGCCCAGGATGTGCTTGCCTGGAAACGGAGAAAGTCCCAGGCCAGGTCGATATTATTCTTGGCGATTAGGTCGCATTGTATGTAGACAAGAGCATTGGGGTAGGCAACCTCGCCCTGACGAGTCACCCAGGAGAGAATATCGCGGATCCCAAGAGATATCGTGTAGCTTTGAGACAGGCCGATAGCTTGACGTGGTTTGATATCACTGGCAAACAGATCCTCGAGGATAGTTGCCATTCTCTCCCCCTTCTTCCTCGCCGACGATTCCTTGGCAGAGATAGGGGTGGCAGACGGGTCGTCGGTGGCCTTAATCGGTTTGTCAGAGGACTTTCGAGAGTGCGAGCTGAGCCAAGACATCATCTCGTATTCCCTCAGCAGAGTAATGATAGTGACAAACAAGTCTGCGGCATCGAACGTCGAGTCTTCCTCCTGCTGAACCTCGCCATCGACGAAGAGAATGAGGTATAGAAGGTCCGTCAGGGTCTTGTGCGTAAATGAAATCGTTTCCTGTACACCGTTCACAATGACCTTCACACCGAAGTGAGTGTTAACAAGGTCCGAGTCCTTGGCAGGGAAGCCCAGTGGAATAGTGTCCACAAGGGTGTAGAAGACTTCATTTTGCAAGCTGAAGATATTCAAGTGCTCGTTGATGGCAGCAACCAAGCCATCGTATGTCTTGTTGGAGATCTGCTCCCCAAAGTCACATCGTTCGCGGAAAGCATCCATTCTATCCTGCACGGATGAGGAGGGCTCGGTGAAGAGCTCTGCTTCAAGCGCACCCTGGCATGCCACTTCGAGCTCAGCATTGAAGTTCCTCCGGAAGCCAGAAGCAACTGTCATGAGGTGAGACGCCTGCTCAAACAGGCTGCCGATCTCCGAATCCAAGTTCCTATGCCTCCAGCGATCAACAATCTTAGGTCCTTCCGAGCGGAGCTCAGGGCCCGAGTTGTGTAGAATTAGTTCGGTGGAGCTGCATTCGCGGATCACTGCACAGCTGTCGGAAAGGACCATCCACGGGGTTTCATGGTAGACGTCGTATGCAAGGGAGACCGGCTCGAATCTTCTCTTATTGACATCGTCCGCAATTTGCCAGAATTGGCGCCACTTGGAGTCTGTATCCGTTCGATACCGTGTGAAGTCCATCCCATCCTCGGCATACTTACGGAGAGACACGGTAGCGGCAATGGTAGAGCAAAGTCTTTCCGCAAGAGGGGCATTCCTTTTCACTACAACAGACGAAGACAACGGTCTGAGTGCCTCTTGATAGATAAAAAGGGCAGTCTCAAGAACCTCCGTCGAGAGCCTGTTGGGCTGCAAGAGGAATTTGAGCCATTTCTCAGTCGGGTCCACCACATCAGACAAAGCTATAACAGGCGGGGGCTCCTGTCCGCGAGAGTCCATGACTGTGGATACCCAATTTGAGCTCCAGTCCGTCGCCAGAGTCTCAAAGTTGAAATGCAGCGTGTACAGCTGGTACAGGCTACTGTTCCTCCACAAAACCCATAGCTCCATGCGCTTGCCTTCCTCTGCCGGTTTGATCTGGAAGTCGGCAATGCTCCAGAACATACTTCCGGTCGAGTCTGGGTCCAGTGGTTTCAGTGCAACACCCGGGTACAGATCCTCGACAATCAGCGGCGACGTCAGACCTCCCTTGACAGCCCAGAACTTGAAAAGTCCATCCTCAAACGGCGAGTAGGTAACGACGTAATAACGATATTCACCATCAAGCGCACGTTCCATATTGAAGACCCTGATGAAAGATGATTCGGATGGATTCAACGAGTATGATGATTCATCCGATTCCGGCACCTCACGATCCAATAGGTCCTTCGTAGCGGCCAGCTTGTTGGTCGCAAGGTTCCAGATCTTCAGGGTATGGTTCAAGCAGACAGCAAAGACATAAGTTTGATCGGTCGTAGTGGCGATAGCATTTGCTGTGCTCAGTTCGAGATTGCGTCCCTTGAATTTGATCGACGGCTGCGCATGCCACTTTACCAAGCCGCGGAACGACGCACCCCAGGTTCTCTCGTCGAACGTGAGGGGAGACCAGTGTGAGCCTGAAGCATATCAAATAAGTCAGCATCGCGATCCTATTTCATTAGGGACCAGAACTGGAAAAAATGTAGAATTACCATCATCGCCGGACTTCCGAGTCAAGCGCAGAAGAGCGCCATTATCTAGGGAGATGAACAGCTCCAACGGACTGCTCGCATGCAGACGGTGAGGGTGGGAGAACGTAAGCGGTGCCGGAATACACATCTTGCACCAATCTGAGATGTTATCATCGATCGATTCTGTCCTCCGGAAGAATTCAGGGCGTAGGGTCAAGGTGTGTAGATGCTTAGAGGCGGTGATCACGAACACGCTCAACGCTTCGTGTTCTTCCAAATCCGAAAATTCGACACCTGAAGGAACAATCTCTTCTCCGAACTCCAAGCGCAAGGTCACATTGTATTCGTGATGCTCAATGCCGGCCTTAGTCAAATCCACGCACTGGACTTCCAGGACTTTGCTGTCATCGACCACCCTCCACAGGAACGTTCGGGGGTAGACATTGCGTTTGCGGAAATAGATTGAACCCTGGGTCGCTAAGTATCGTCTTGAGAACTCGTCTTCGTCTTTTGCGACCGGCTCATCGCGACTGGGGGTAGTGGAGATGGAGAATCGGGCGCGGCTTTGCGTATTCGCTTGGGTTGGGATCGGGATGTTGACGACGGTGTTCGGCGAGTACGGCCGGAGGTCGACCCGGGTATCTTTATAGATTTTTGCCATGTCGTAACGAAGAAAGACCACCTTTCACGATCATTAGATAATGGTCAATTCAGGTCTCCATGGCCAGTGGTTGTACCTGGAGGGAGGGTCGCAACACGGCGGAGTTGAAGGGCAGAAGCTGAAGCTCTTTCGGCGCTCCAGAAAAAACAGGTCTTGGCAATTGCATCCATCCACCGCCTTGCCGCATCTCCGCAAACTGAAGGACAAGGTTATTTTAGAAGATTCGAGCGAATCACCCATTTGATTGGGTCCGAAAGGATACAGGTTTAGGCTCGAAACTTGACCGTCTCATCTACGGCCATTACAGGTTTAAAATTGTACACCATGTCGAGATGTACTCAGAAACTGAGAACTCTTATTATGTATGCAACCCAGTCATGCAAGCAAATACAAGTACAATCATAATATCGTGGTCTGAGAATATCCCTCCACTCTTTCAGTCATTCTCCAAGTCCTTGGGGCTCGGGTCACCAATGCCATCCTCATTGATAGCGAAGAGGCAATCGGATTCGGGGAGACAGGGACTGTCATAGATCTTGCAGACCCTAGTCTCACCTCTTCCCTTCTTCAGACTCAACCGCGTTGTGCTGGCATGTGCAATAATGTTACCACCAATTGGTTTCTTCGGATCCGGGTTGAACATTGCACTCGGGCCACCATCCACCTGGGCAACGACTTGGTTCGTAATGACGACCGCAATACCAAACTCATCGGCCAGGCGCTGCAGAGTACGCATGAACTTCGCCAGATGTGTTTGTCTTGAAGACAGTTCGCCACGACCGTTGAAGTCAGTCCGATACAGAGACGTGGCAGAATCGACGATCAGGAGCGAGAACCGAGTCTCGCACATCATCTGAGAAGCTTGGTTGAGTAGCTGAAGCTGGTGGTCTGAGTTGTATGCACGGGCATATGCCACATTGTCCAACACCTCTTCTCCCACGAGACCATATCGCTGCGCAACTGCCAACAGGCGCACTGGGCGGAAAGTGCCCTCGGTGTCGATGTACAGGCATTTGCCCTCTCCTCCACCCATGTCAAAAGGCAACTGGCAGGTTACTGCGAGCGTATGACATATTTGACTCTTGCCTGTTCTGAACTCTCCGAATATCTCCGTGATAGAGCCCGTCTCAAACCCACCTCCGAGGAGTGTGTCCAACTGTTTGGAGCCTGTCGTGATCGATATAAGTTCGCTTCGTCTTGCATGCATTTCCGTCGCTGTGGTAAAACCCATAGGCACAAGCTTGCCAGCTATCGAATATCATAGTCAGATCAAATCTTCGCGCAGAAATCACCCGTGTTATAAGACCACTCACCCTCACTCAGGACCTTCTGGGCTTTTTGTTCCGAGATGCCCTTGATTTGTTCTAATAGACGTCTTGGCCTGTATCACACCCAATGATGCACCCATAAGCAAAGCTGTAGGAGACAGACTGGTATTGCACCAAGCCGGCAGAGAAGAACAGAGGACGTACGTATATGCGATCGACTCGACGGTGTTATAACCGGCATCAACAAACAGTTTGATATCCCTACCTGTCAAACCCGCAAGCCCCTGTCGCAGAGATCGTTAGTATGACACTTTACTTCATCGTGTTTTCGCGTAAGATCGCATCAGATCTCTTTATCAATTGGCAATGCTCACCTCCAGGGCTGAAAGTGGGGTGGGTGCCCCAGGACCTGGAAGCCCATCATCGTATTCGTTCTGGGTATCGTTGTCGGCCGTCATCTTCCTCGCAAGATTTCAACCTTCTGCAAGTTTTTGGATCAGTGATTTTATGGCCTCGCTGACAAGCAGTTCCAGATGAATGCCAGTGGGATCAAGCCTGTTGGACGCGAACACACGCGTTTGGGTCAGTTGCAGTTTCCTAGTCTAGTTCAAGTCTCTCCACTGGATGGACCTCGAGGTATGATTCAGCTTCCGGGGGCAGGAATTCATTTAAGTGCCGAGAACCAGTGATTTTTAATGTTAGTGTGGCAAATTGCCGTGGTCGCAATCCCATTGACTGTCATGTTGCGATTGTGGACGCGTCCAGGCAGTCACGACATCACGTGATTACCTATCGGATTGCTGCCTCAGGGGCCCAGCGTACTATTCCAGGATAAGTTTGGCTTGCAACTACGCTCTTTTGCGTCCCCAATGAAATGTCAATCAAAGCCACACCAGCATATGAAAGGCATAGTTCGCTCTGTATCACAAAAAGGAAGTACATTATGTTTGCATTGGCTGTATTTGTACTCCCAGAAAGGCGTAATCTCGCACAATAGTCTGTCGCCATAGTCGCGGCAGGTCAATGGCTAAGTAATATCCAACAACCGAGCATTGAAAGACCCTGGAGAATGTCACTGTTTTCTGCATGTATCGAACTTGAAAAGAAACGCGTAAAACGGCCACAATAAAAGATAACAAAGCAATCTCTAGTTCCAATCGGTCACGGCACAGCATAAGTAGGGCCTGGCGATCTTGTCAATGACGCCGTCCTACGACCTTCAGCGGCCTCCTGGTTGATTGCCCTTAGCTGATATATCTCGTCCGGGTTTGTTCGAATATTTTCATCAATAAGTTTGCTGATCCTCCGTCTGAAGCTTTCCGATGAAGTCCGCCGGTGCCCTGGTCAATACTTAGCTTTCGCGACAAGTCCAACAATACTTTGTGGCTTACCCTCGTGTGCCGATCTTCTCTTGTAGCTTTCGAAGGGTTTCTTAACCCATGAGCTTCGCGTACCAAACCACCCTCTTGAGCGGTGCTTCTCCAATTCGGGAAAATCCTCTCCTCCAGCGTTCCCTCGGGCATCCAGCTGAGGAGACTGCGTTATCTGTGAGGCGTATATGTCTCCGGGTCGTCCATGTTCAATATCCAAGACCTTGGAGGGACTGCGTGGGTCAAAGAGGTTGGGAATGGATACCGGTTGATATGTTCGCTCTGGTCCCTGGATGCTATCTCCCGGTGGCATCATCGACAGCTGCTTTGGTGCTGAAGCGATACTTATGGGTCTACTTTCCGAATGAGTAGTGGATTCTCTCGCAGAGTGACAGTCCGGTGTCCATATGCCTTCCACTTGGATTCCCTTCTCAAGAGCTCTAGCGCCAAACGGTATCTCGCTCGGCTCGGCCAGCATGGGCTGCGTCTCGGCTCTTTGGCGTGCTTCGGCGGTGGCATACTTCTTCGTCTTCCGCCTATTGTGGGCCAGGACACCAAATGAGTAGAGCAGTACCAATGCCTTGACATATTAGCGCCATTAATAACATCCAGGTGGATTTATTACCAGAAGCCCTGCAAGCACCTAGTCCATTGATCAGCGATGCTTTGCTCCCTCCGAATGTGGTTGATGGGACTTACGAAGCTCAACTTCTGCCAAAGTGCCCAACCAACCCAGAACTGCATGGTGTGTATTCGGAGGTATCTCTCGCGTGCTTCGTTGGTCGAGTGGCGGTATAGATGGTCGTAGGAACACAATCTCGTGAGCAGTGGACAAGCAGCTTATGGTGAGCGCCTGTGCAACGAAGGAGAGCAGCTGTCCCTGCACTTTCATGAAAAGGGAGATGTCAAGACCAGCTCGGTTGCTCCGGGTCTGCAACGAGAGAATCTCAGAGCATTGCATAATATACGTGATTAAGGCAGGCAGGGGCATAGAAGAGGAAACTGAACATTGGGATCCCTCATCCCAGGGCGTCGACTGAGGGAAGGTGCGATAAAGAGCTATCAAAGAGGGAAGGAAATTATTTGGGCAGGAGCGACATGGGAATCTATGTTGCGTCTCTTTCTTCACGGCATCCAATATTGAGATATTGTGTTGGTAAACAGAAAATATATCACATCTTGATCAACAATATGCAGGCTTCCATAGTCGCTTTTGGATGGCTTCGACATCTACAACAGGAGCGGTCGGTCTGATATATAAACTAGAACGCGAACCATAACATTGAAGTCACTCGAACGCGATGAAACAGAAAAAAGACGCGGGTTTTCACAGATGAGCTCTCGTTAACTGCTTGATTGAAAGGAGAAGGAAAAGAACAACCCTGGTAAGCGGATTTTTTTTTAAAAAAAATAAAAAAAAAGGCAAAAAGAAGAGAATAGTAGTTGTCCAGCCAAACTGCCAACTTCCCTGTAACGGGACGGTGTAATCTGGCGACGCCATCCCGGGGTGGAAATGTCTCTGCAGAATTTCTTCCCTCAAGGGTCACTTCCATTGCTTAGCGCCTTGTAGCATCGTGGATTACTCGCACGAGTACAACGACGACCCCGGGATTCGTACCAGGCACCGGTCCCGCTGGCAATTACCTAAGCAAGGTTATCGACTTAACGGCTGACCTCCCACTGGACTATCCGTGACAGATTTGAGAAAATTGCTTTATATGTAGCCCATAACCCATCCAAATTAACCATTCACTCTATATACTCCATATGACACGCAACCCCTAGGGTTATATCCCCCACGTTAAATGTAGGTCCATAACAACATATTGTTATCTGAGTCCTATATGGCGCTTTTTCCGCACTACTATCCGTTCAATGAATCAAATAGCAATGGTGCCTAAGAATGCCATCTTTCATTACTCCCCTCTTTCTAGTACTAATACAGGATCAAAGCAGAAAACACAGGTAATGGACGTTTGTATAAATAAACGAGTAGACACCCCCAATTGACCCAAAGTCAGGCTTACGGCTCAATAAACACCCTCGAAGGCGCTATTCTGTCCACAAACTTCGCTGAAGCAGCTAAGACGAGACAACCCACTACTTTCTAGAACCCCTGCACTTCTTCCTTCCGATGAGACCGCCCCAGCGCTTGCATCGACCAGAACAACAGTCGGCATGAAAAGAACATGTGTTCTTGTTTGGAGAGCATAGGCCGCCACGGCCGTCTTGACATGTGCCATTAAAGCAGGTATGAAAGCGAGAGCAGTCCACATTGGTTCCGCAGCCAGCGACACAATTACCCTTTTTGCAAACCTGACCCAGGTTGCAATGAAAATTTGTGTTGCAGGGGGGAGCTGCTAGGTCTTCCTGAGTGGAATCACCGACATCTTCGCGGCCGGCATCGCTGTTGCCATCATGATCGTCACGGCGCAGATTGGTGATCAAATTCTCGGGGGTATCTTCGCAGTAGGGCACAGAAATTTCGCGTCTGAGTCCTTGGGGAAGGACAGTGGCGAAGATTCCTCCGGTGAGCATAAGTATGGAGAGGACAGAGACAATCAGGATTGGGAGTTTAGGCATGGTGATTGTTGATACGACTATAGACTGGAGAAAGCCACGTCAGTTTAATCTTCTCGACATAGGCTGGACTGCTCTGCTATAGCCTGACAGCAAACATGCTGTAGCTAGTAGCCGAGCATGGGAAGACCGACCGATGGTTTCTCGGTTTGTAAGATGCGGATATCTTGAAGGGGTATCAAAGAAGTAAACGATGATAATCACGTTTGGCTGTTCACGGACAGCATGATGAAGCCAGATAATACATACTGATGGAAGTAAATAGGGCAGGCACTCCCGTTACTTTCTCTCATTCGGCAAGAACTCGGTTGGTAGGTACTATCAAGGATCTTAGGCCGAGAATGACAGCCTCAAAGGCCTTTAATGATATCAGATAGACCAACTGGAACAAACGTCATAGTAGATTCTCGGATTGGATATATGTGTCAACTGTTAGTATCGATAGCTTCACAGTTTGATGAGCTGCTCATCTCCGAGCCGAAATACAATCGACTCAAATCAATATTATCGACTTTTTTTTTCGCAGGTCCTCCCAAGTGGTGCTTGTTTTGTTTCATTTATTGGATCCAAATTTTCAGAGAGTCCAATATAATCACACCAGGGCAACGACTACAAATCATTCTGGTGTTGACTCGAGGAATCATTTTTGGTGGTGCTTGGATGTACTGGCATTGGGGATAGCGTATCAACCGGGGTGGGTTTCAGCAAGTCACATAAGTCTGACTCCCAGGAGATATATCTCGTGGGGTACAATCTGCAGCAAGCCATGTCACCCTGCTCTATGTAGCCTAAAGAATCGAACGCATTCCGATGGGGAGCCTTTCAAACGGTCACAGCAAGGGCAACAGCAAGGCAAGACAGTGGGAAATAGCCATTGCGGATCAGTGACCACAACCCATTTCATAAAAGTCGAAAGCCGTTTAGGTATAAAATGGCAATGAAAACCAGGATAGTAATACTGGTACCTACAGTACTGTTACTACTAGTAGTAAGTAGTTATAGAAAGCATTGAGACGATGGATTGGTTGCCTTCTCAGGCACCAATTGAATTGAGAGCCAAGCTTAGTCATGTAGTGTATAACTGCCCTCATAACAAGGGATGAATGGAGCCCAATGACGCTATATTTCGGGGACTACGGCGCATGGGATAAAGATGATGATGATATGTGCAAGTTCCCCGACCTTGTTTTCGACTAGTGAGAATTTGGAATGCCTGGCCAGTCTGGAGTCGATTGTTGCAGCCAACGCAGTGGCAAATTGGCGGCGTCCAGCCAATGTTACTCGCAAAAGTCGGAACGTCTCCGTCCAACAAGTGATTGTGATTCCCACCCCAGCGGATGAACCACCCTTTCATAAATTGAACCGATGCCCGAAACCGCCGATCATGTGAGGTTTGAGCGTTGTACATCCTGGCAAGCACCTCGCCCAGTCAAGGTCTCGCCATTGTCGCTTGACCACTTCATCCTATTTATTCTCCTGCCAGGGGCTTTTTGTTGTCTTGCGCCTGCGCGATTGGATTTGCCCGCCTGCCTTTTTGTCCCAACATGGCGCCGTTCCGCAACTTCTTGTCGAGAAAGTCCGCTGCCCCCAATGGCGGGGAAGTCAGTGCCGCTTCCAACGACAGCACGCTTAGCCATGTCTCACTTGAAACTCATGGTTCGACTTCCGTGAGCTTCAGGAAAAGTTCCGAAAATGAGCCACCCGAATATAAACTAAGTGGTATGGTTTTGGCTCTCCAATGGACCCTTACTCCGCTAACTCTCCTCTTGCCGCCAGTCGTCGACGCCAATGGAATCTACCATCCCGTATGTGAACCGGTTGCCTTGTTCAATCACATGGCAGCGTTAATTCGCATCCAGCCCAAATAGCTCACATGTCAATAGCCATCCCCTCCGGAGAAACCGGGCTTTTGGCGCAAGTACCCCGGCTCTCCTAGGTCTTCGCACCATCGCGACCTCGTAGATGAGAATGAACCCTTCTCGATATCTCGAGAATCATTCGATTCATATCGCCGGTCATTTGTGGGTACCCTTCCAGGACTTTTTCCGCATTCCCATCGCATAAAGTGACTTACATTGGCCCGCTAGGATATCTCCGCCCGGTCCCCCGTATGCTACTCCGATGCGATGCCGTCTCGGACATCGCTTGACTCTCGAGTTTCTCGCATGACATCACCACCATCTACGCTGTACACAGGCTTGGGCAAACAACCAGAAACCATGGAGGAAGAGCAATTCGAGGAGGTCGGGCTCGACGACGAAGAGGTCAAACCGAAGCGGAAGAGCATCTTCTCTCGATTCGGCGACTTTACGAGCGATTCCCAGAACTCCGGCACTTCCAAAACATCATCTCTCGGCTTTCACATCCCGGGCCGTAAGAGGGGACCAAGCACTGTGGGTTCAGAACTAGGCACTTTCAAAGCACCGCCGGCCAATGCGGAATCGGAGATGCAGGATGCGTGATACGAGTACGGGTGTGTAACTATATACTGGGTAATTCAATAATCTGTAGGCGTCTGGGGGGCACCATTGTGGGTTTTCATCCAATCACCCTCGACAACTGGTTGCTTGCGTGTTCGTGGCATGGTTTTGGCTTAATCGCATTGCGCGCTGTCAAAGGTAGTTTGTGATGCTTTTTCTTGATTCTCTTTTGATAAATCGATAGAGATTATTGCATGCTTTTTTTTGTATAAAATCAGAAGCAATAAATCAACAATGCGCCTGCTTTCAGTCCATCCCACCCACTTTATCTACTAACTACCGACGGAGTAAGGCCTTGTCAGACGTATCCCGCCTCCCCTTATCAGCATGCAAACCATGCAAACCCCACCCCGACCGCCCCAGGACGGGCCCGAAAAAAGAAAAAAGTTAAGAAAAAAAGTCCATTCTCCGGGACTGGCTGTTAGAAAGATCAAGCTAACCCGCGGGCGGCGTATTATCTTTTTTCATTTTTTCCCTCCGCCAGAGAAATTTGCACGATATCGCTTTCTTCGATCATCTACCCCCAGGGACAACAAACTCACCATGGTCGGGGTAAAGCGTCCAGTGGACGCCGGTGACGAGCGCAAGGGAAAGCGGACGAAGACGAAGACGCCAGTGTCCGTGCCCTCGAAGAAGTCCAAGTCGGCCCCCGTGAAGTCATCCAAGTCTGTGTCGAAGAAGAGCGACAAGTCCGCCAAGAAGGATAAGAAGTCTTCGAAGAAGAAGGTCCAGGAAGAGTCGGAGGATGATGAGGATGACTTTGATTTGGATGATGTTGAGGATTCGGAGATCGATGCCTTGGATAACGAGGAGGAGGATATCGCTATGGATGATGTCGAGGAGGATGCTGGTGAGGATGAGGAGGAGGAAGACACTGAGAAGCAGATCAAGTCTGCAGAGGCGTCGAGTATGATTGATCCTATCTTGTGGATGCTCTGAGAGGTTCTGGACTAACGTGGTTTTTTTTATCTGTTTAGATAAGTCGCGCGAATCACATGCGAAGCAAAAGGCCCTCCTGCTAGAGCGTAGGGCCGCCAAACCGAACGCTGACATGATCGGTCGCTCGAAGAAGCTGTGGGAGCAGCTGCGTCGCAAGTCACACGTTCCCCTCGAGGAGCGGAAGAAGCTCATCAAGGAGCTTTTCGAAATCATCACTGGACGTGTCAAGGACTTTGTTTTCAAGCACGACTCGGTCCGCGTTATCCAAACCGCCTTGAAATACGCCAACATGGAGCAACGGAAGATGATCGCCACGGAACTGAAGGGTAGCTACAACGAACTTGCGCAGAGCCGATATGCCAAGTTCCTGGTCGGAAAGTTGATCGTCCACGGTGATGCTGAGGTCCGCGATCTGATCGTTCCCGAGTTCTACGGACATGTCAAGAGACTCATCCGCCACCCTGAAGGATCCTGGATCCTTGATGATATCTACCGGACGGTGGCAACGAAGGAACAAAAAGCGAACCTTCTCCGCGAGTGGTACGGTCCGGAATTCGTCATCTTCAGGGATGACAAGAATGGACCCCCCTCCGCAGACCTTTCCAAGATCCTCGAGGAGCACCCGGAGAAGAGGGGCCCCATCATGCACTTCCTCCACGAACTCATCAACCAGCTGGTGCAGAAGAAGTCGTCCGGTTTCACTATCTTGCATGACGCCATGCTGCAGTACTACCTTAACACGAAGCCGGGCAGCTCCGAGGCCAACGAGTTCGTCGAGCTGCTCAAGGGCGATGAAGAGGGAGACTTGGTCAAGAACTTGGCTTTCACCAAGTCCGGCGCACGGGTGATTGCGTTGAGTCTGGCATACTCCAACGCCAAGGACCGCAAGCTCCTCACCCGTTTCTACAGAGATACCATCAAGATGATGGCTGGCGATCTTCACGGGCACATGGTTCTGTTGGCGGCATACGAAGTTATTGATGACACCAAGCTCACATCCAAGTTGGTTTTCCCGGAACTCTTCAACCAAGGAATGGACGCCGAGGCTCGGAACGAAGAGCTGCTCTACCAGGTCACCGACCTGACCGCACGTATCCCCATCCTGTACCCATTCGCCGGAGACCGGGTCAAGTGGCTTCTGCCCGACGGTGACCACGAGCTTTTGAAGGAGATCCGTGAAATCCGGAAGGAAACCTCGAAGAAAGAGCCGGAGCTTCGCCGACAGGAGCTGGTCAAGGCTGCTTCGCCGACTCTGCTCGAGTTCATTGCCGCCCGTGCGGATTCTCTCCTCGAGACAAGTTTCGGGTGCCAGTTCATCTCGGAGGTGCTGTTCGACGCCGACGGAGACAAGAGCGCCGCCTTGGCCGCTGTGGCCGTTGCCGCCAAATCCAAGGCTGACACTAAGGACGCCCCGTTCGTGGGCCGGTTGCTCAAGTCTCTCGTTCAGGGTGGACGATTCAACCCTGCGGAGAAGAAGGTCGAGAAGGTGCAGCCACCGCTCGACTTCCACGGTCTCTTGTACGAGCAGATCCAGGAAGAGACCATGTCGTGGGCCACGGGATCCAACGTGTTCGTTGTGGTGGCCCTTGCGGAGTCGGACGACTTCGCGAAGAAGGCCGAGCTGCTGAAGACGCTGAAGAAGGGCAAGAAGGCCCTGGAGAAGGCGTCGTCGGAGGCCGGTAAGGATGGCAAGAAGGGCAGCCCGGTCAGCAGCGGCGCGAAATTGCTACTGGAGAAGATCCGGTAGAAGAAGTTGACATCGAATCCTACAACGGACAGGACATTGTAATATTGGCTGGGGGTTTCTGCAAAAGCATCCATTACTCGACGAAGGTGTTCATTGGATTTTTCTTTTCTTTAATCATTTTTCCATATGTGATATCTCCATCTGTACAGGGTCTGTGATAGACATGGGGCCAATGAGTCAGAAAAAGCATTTGAGAGTTACTCATGACTACTACCTATCTACTATCTACTATCTACCTATCTATTTTGGTGGTGACGAAACACCCGTAGTGGGGACGTAGCCTATTTCTATTATTATTATAGGGTCATCATATAGACAGAGAAGAGATAGTGTAGACTGTAGCTCCAAAAATCGTGACACCGAGCAGACACCGAATCCCTCCCTCCCTTCCTCCCCCTGAGTGCCAGCAGGAAGGCCCCAAGATCCTGAAACTGCATATCGATAATTAACTTTTTGCCTCGTTGTCAAGAAGGCCGCCTGCAGAGAACCTGTCAGTTTCTATCTACTCTCCAGTGTTCCCCGATGCAGGTCGGGCAACCAGCCCACGGGGGAGGCTGTTTCAAGTTTCAGATATCACTTTCAGGGGGGGGAGAAAACACTGAAGAGAAAGCTCGGGACATGGTTTATGCTAGGTGCAAGGACTTAAATTAGTCTGGTTGGATGGGGACTGGGGGGGTTTGTTCCATGGTGCAGTTATATTAGGTTGGTCCGATCGTTAAATGACGATCTCCGGCCACAGCTTGAGTTTTTGGGGCGCTCGGCTGTGAAATGATGGTTCAGGAACCGGACTGGACTGGACTGGACTGGACTGGACTGGGCCTGTTGATGATAATGCGAATGAAAAGATGAAAGATGAGAGGATGTTCATACCTGATTTCATACAGGGTATCTAGTGGAATGTAGGGAATGGGGAAAATCTGTCGGTAGCCGGGAGAACAATGTTACTTGTTGTTCCTGGTGGTGCCCCTGGACGTGGTGGTGTTCTTAGTTGTCTTGTTTCACATTGCACCCCCCCCCCCCCCCGTTTTGCTCCATTCCGATCAATCTAATGGATTTGGACCAATAACCCGCCCCTCTCTTCTGACTTTGGAGGTTCTTATCGTCCACATCAACGGTTGGGGATCTCCAGTGACGGCACTGATCCCTGCCTGTTTGGGGCTGGTAGAGGAGGTTACTTAGACGAAAGGATTGACAATGAAGAAAGAAAAGAAAAAAAAAAATAAAATAAAGGAAAAGAAAAAAAAAGGGACCAGAATGGCAGCCCGACGGACTGGAATCTCGCAAGCCCAGATTTGGCCCCCCCGAACAAGTCAGTCAGCTCAGCTGCAACTCGACTTGTTGCATCGGATCAAGTGAGGATTATTATTCCTTCTCGTTCTGCTTTCCTCTCCAATCCCATTTTTCCTTTCCTTTTTTTTTGCTTCTTCTTCCTTCCTTCGATGCTTTTAATAGTTAATGCTTAATCCTAATCTCTTAATTTCTAATCCCCTGGCCTTTGTTGCACGCCCTGCACATCTTCTGATTTGATTAGGGTGCAGCTCTCTGTCTCAGATTGGCTTTGCGACTGCATCGCCATAGCAGATCCCCTCTTGTGCAGCCACCACACTGACCTTCATCCCTTCCATCCTGGCTGAACCTGCAGGCCCAGACCTCTCAAGCGGAACCGGACAAGTCTTCCCCTGGTTGCAGATGGCCTGGGTCTGAGCGGCGGTGCCTGTCGTGTACTGGAGATCATTGACTGCGGGCCTCAACAGCTAGATAGAGCCCGTATAAGCATGCTGGCCACCGCGTCCGCCACGGAGGATGCTGGACATTCCCATCGTCCACCTCCTCCTCCGCTTCCCCCGTCGCCGACCTTATCCAATCCCGATATGATCCTACCGTTCGACCGTAACGAGCGCGATTCCTCCACTCCGTCCCCGCCGTTCAACCTCCCTCCCTTGTCCAGCCTCCAGTCCTTTTACGAGAACCGGACAGCGTCAGATGATGTCGGGGACCAGGCTCGAGGAATTGCCCTCTCATATGGCACTCGACCCCAGAAGATAGGCTTCTCGCGTCGCACGTGGCTGACCGAGAGTCAGGATGCTAGTCGTCGGCTGTCGGACATCGGGGAGGAAGACAGTATCTCATCGTCACCTGCGCACTCCAGGACATTACAGTTCATGTCGCAGGCGGGTCGGATGACCGGCTCGCCTGTTTCGCAACGCGAGACGGCTGACGCGGAGGCTAGGGAAATGGCGGCGTGGAGCAGCTCGTCTAGTTCGACAATTAGTGGTGCTAGCGATTTGTCGCAAGACGCCACTAAAGGCCGCCAGGAGAGTCGTGGTGTTGCGCAAAATCCTTACCAGGTCACTGAAGGGGTGCGGTCTGCGATTGAGAATTTGGAGGGGAATGGTTCGACGTCGAGTCTAATGGCGACTACGGAGGAAGGCGGATCCGGTGTGGAGCTGTCATCGGCTGTTTTGAGCACGGAGGCTGAAAGGATTCTAGAAAATGCGAAAAAGCGCCTTACGGTATGTTGACACGATGAATCGCGCGTTTTCAGATACAACAAGTGACTGACTACTGACGTTGTAGCTCATGGAGGGCAATCTGAGTCGGGCCCGTACATCAATGCGCTCATCCCCGTCGCTTTCGGCATCGCCAACGCCATCTGTTGGTCACCAAACGCTGGGACTTGGCCAGCCAGTCGGTGGCTTGTACCAATCCATCTCTCGTGCTGACCGCAGAGGCCCGAACCAGCGTCCACGTGCAACCTATACATCCTCGCAGGATGCGATCAATAACGGACACTCTCGGGTGTACAGTGAAACCCAACTACCGTCCACAGCGCAGTCGAGTCTTCCCGCCGTTGAGCCCGACCTATCCCGGTCGGTCAGCGCTCTAGGCTCGACTACTGCGCCGAGCCTGAATCATGATGAACGAAGCTTTCGTTACGACCCGACCCGCGCATATCTTACCCATCGTGCGTCCGTATCGTCGATGCAAAGGCCTCAGACCCGTGCCTCACCTCCAGCCTTGAATAAGCGAGCCGCTTCCGAGTCGCCCAAAGGCTTAGGCATTTCCCGGGAAGAACACGAAAATGAATACTATGGGGTGAACGGACATGGTGCGGCCTATCCCACTTACGACCCTCCTTCCCGATCTCAGTCGCAACTGCAGGTGCGGGATCTCCAGGATCAGATGAAGGGCCTGCACATCAAGATATCTAGCCTGAAGGTCAAAGCCCAGGAGGATAATCTGCGTCGACGTAGCCTGCAAAGCCTACGGACCCCGAGCCCTCTCGCCGCAGCGGATCTGACCACAGCGGACCAGTGGTTTCCCAGTGCGGTGGACCTGAAAGAGCGTCGGAGCAACACCAATATCAGTGCTGGGAATGGGCGGGCTGCTGGGTATACTCAAGACAATCGGTACAGCGGCGACTATGGCGGCGCGAGGTATGAGTCTGAGGCGGGGGCTGGCCGTTACACAAAGCGAGAGCCGGCTTATCAACCGGCGTCGCATGCTGACCCGGCCCATCGGGCCTACGAATCTAGAGACCATGATGATGGGCAATCGGAGGCTGGAACTCTCTATGAGGACGCAGAGGAGGGTGAATACGAGCTTGACAGTCCCTCGAATCCCGAGTTTGACCGCCAGGCCTTGAATGAAATGTTGCGCGAGCCCGTGGACGAGGAGTTTGATGATTCGTTGGAGTCTTTCCCAGCGGTGCCTCAAAGCCTTGAGGATACGCCTCATGAGGAACGGGAGGATGCTTTTGACTATGAGAATTTTATTTTGCATAGTGCTCTGGGTAACTACACGCAGGCTCGACTGCGACGGGAGAGCAATGTTTCGACCTCGTCGGTGGAAACCACGCGGCCAATTGACCACCACGCCGCCCGCCACTCACGGGCCAACAGTACAACTTCCCTGTCCACCGTGGCGACATTTGCAACGGCTACTGAAGGCGATCGCGATGATCTTGAGAGTGTCCTTTACTGGGACCGGAAGTTCAATGATGGTAAGACCTCCGAAGGAATCCTACCAGGCGCAGATGACTAACACGCGATAGAACTGCGCAACAACCATCCTTCCGATGTGGACATGAGAGAGTCGAATGGCACTGATCCAGACGCCCAAGGAACTCCCCGCGCCATGCGCCGGCAACCCAGTCGCCGGAATCAAGGTAGCCTCTTTCCCGACGCCGGACTGGCTCCGCGGCGATCCGATTCTGCAACCACCGGGTCTACCACGCCAACTTCTCTGGTGTCCTCTCTTGTGTCTACTGTGCGCGCAGCATCTAGCCCTCACCCGAGTGCGACAGCGAAGGGAAACATGGGATTAAACGATGACGATACACGTCTCTTGGAGCAGCTGTTCCAGAGTCTGGGGAATGTTTGTTTGGATTTGCAGAACATCACCACCTCGGAGAATCCGGATTTCAAAGAGGTGCGATTGCTGAGGCGGCGGTTGGATGCGGCGCGACGCGTGCTTGATGGGGAGCTGGATACGTAGATGTAAATAACTGTGCTTGTGGCGTTTGTTGATGAGGCAGTCTGGGCGAAAGCCTTTGCTATGATACCCCGACTTTCGATTTAGCCATTGCATGGACTTGTTTATGTGTGTATATAGTTCATTGAACTGCATTGATACCAACAACATAACAACAAAATGGAGCAAAGAAGAGGGAGTAAAAGAACACTGATAAGGCTACCCGATAAGGACCCCCGCCCCCGCGCACGTGTTGGCGACGCGCCGCGTGAAGCCAATCGCATTGCCAGTCGCATCGCCAGCATGACCCTGTCATACCTCCGTGTTAATTCAGGTTGATTCAATCCAGTCTAGTGAGTCGCCTGCTCCGTTGGGTGCATCTACACTGCATGACCCAGTGCCTAGACTAACACTTAGCCCAGATCCAGTCCCAGAACCAGACCTTCCATCATTTACCTCATTTCGATTTCTCAGCGACCTGGATAGACAGCAAATCCATAGCCACACCGTGTTGTGAATAGCAAGCCGCTCCTGGGGATTGTATCCCCCGTATCGAAAGCAACCCAACAAGTCAATAGCGAAGAAGTCGCCGACTGCGACGCAGCAACCTTGCGCCAAGGCGGGGTGTTAATTTCCACGCCAGAATCTTCGCGAATAAGAGAAACGAGATCAGAGAAGGCATCAAAGTGGCCATGCCTCCTCCCTCGAGACGTCTTCTGATCTTCCAGGAGGCGCGCAATCCCCAAAATTCAGCCGAGCTGGTGTACGTGCCTGTCAACAAACTGGGTCTGCCTATTTGCGGCAGTGGACCGGAGTTGCCGTCCATCTTGGAGCTGCCGTTGCGGATCTTGAGGGCGTTTACGGATATCTTCAATCAGCCGAAGTATAAGGGATGGTGAGTGATGGTCTTTGTCGTGTATGTTTGTTCACGTATCGTGGATGCTGACAGTGATATGGGTGTAGGGCGTTGGTAGGAGCCGGGCCATATCATGACACTTCAGAGGAAGGGAAGTATTATGCGGTGGTGCTGGAGCAGGTGCAGGATTTGGCGGTGGTTTAGCTAGTGATGATGCCGATGATGATGTATGGATGGTATGCTTTTTTCGTGTTGTATGATCATGATGATGTGATGCCTTTCACCCCCCCCTTCCTTTTTATTTTTTTTTCTTTCGCTTCTTCCCTCTTGTTTTTTTTTTGATGAACGTTACTCTATACCCTGGTTTTGGATGTGGGTGGCCTTTGTGTTACATCATTTTACATTTCACTTGTAATCAAGGAGGTCGTATCGGAGGTCTCATCCATTTACTTTGATTGTTACCTGTCCACTGGATGGTTTTTCATGGTGAGTTCCGTGGCCAGTCAGTCAATAAATCTACAAGCTGCGAGAAACTCGGTGTCAGTACTTCCTTCGGGATTTCACATCCAGACATTCACTTGTTATTGTTCCCTCAACTGTCTAGTTGATTACTGACCTTATAAGGGTGCCCATCTCCCATCTCCCATCTCCCATCTCCCATCTCCCCCCCCCCCCCCCCCTCTTCATCCCTCATCTCTCTCCCGCCTGGTTTCCTCCTCATCCTCGCTTTTTGTCCTCAACCTCTTCTTTTTCTGGATAGCTGTTCTCGAAACTCTTCCTGCCACATCGTACTTGACTTGAAGCAGTCATCATCATGGTCAGATCTTTCTTTCAACTTTCTGGTGGCCAAGTATATACTGACGACTGATTAGGCGCCCAAGATCCTCCTTCTTTATGAGAGAGATGATAACCGTTACTGGTTCGCCAACGCCCCGGGCCTGGCCATAGCAGAAGGATCTCCTCTCGCAGATCTGTCCGATAAATATCTCATCTATGAGTCCGACTTGCTCCTCGCCGTCTCAAACACCATGGACGGGGACTTGGTACCCAAGCACCAGTAAGTTGTGGTTTCTTTATCTCTCATTCCAGACTGAAATCGCTTGTCACCGCATGAGACCAACACTGACGGGTCATAGCAACTATCTGGCTAGTTACAAGATAGATGAAACCTATTACGTCCTCCTTGAGAGGATGCCACACCAAGACATCCTGACTCCCCTGACCCCCCTCTCCTCATGCGTCTCGGAAACTCTTGGGGTGAGATCTGTGCACTCGATTGGGGATAACAGACGCGGCCGTCCTTTGGACTCCATCACCGTTGGTGACAATGGCCATGGTGCTGAGCCCATGCGTTCAGGCTGGTCAACCCCGTCTGTGCCCGCCCGCAGCGATGGAAACGCTTCTGTGGGCCAGAGCCATTGGACCAACAAGGACGAGCCTACACTCCATGGCTGGGAGACTCCCCCTCAGACAGCTAAAAGCGACAGAGGATTTCCTTCGATCGCATACTCGGATTGTTCCGCCCCCACACAAACCGCCCGCAGCAATGATAACGCCTCTGCGGATGGTTGGGATATTAAGGACACATCCGCGCATGCTGGCTGGGACTTCGAGCTCGCTAATAGCGACGACGGGCGTGCCTCTACCTCCAACTCTGGATGGATTACTTACCCACAGACAGCGAACAGCGAGAACAACGCCCCTGTATCTCACTATGATGCCAACGAAGACGTCGAGCTCAGAAATGAACAATCAACTAATGAGCGCGGAACCATGGCCCCCTCTCCTCTCATCACCGACCAGGCCATTGGCAACGACAACCAGAGTGGCAAGAACGACGCCAAAGACGATACCAACGTCAATGCCACCATGGCACACAAGGACTCCGTCCGCTCCGCGACCAGCTTCGCTGCAAAGGTCGCTCGTGCCGGCGACGGCCTAAAAGGGAAGATGCCAAATTTTGCCAAAAGCCCCTGCTATGGCTACCCTAAGTCCCCTTACCCCCACCAGCCCGCTCCATACTGGTCCTATCCCCAGAATGACACCTACTCTTTCTCCATCCATGAGGGATTGTCATTTCCTCGTTCCAATGCTGTCCCATGTTACTACGAACCTTTGCACCCATACGACTGCTATGTCAGTGGCGAGGTCATTCCCCCCTGGCAGGATCCTCGCCGTCACACACTTATGGCATTCGACCAGCTTCCCAGACACCCTGCCTACTTGCCTTCCATGGCTGTCGCGCCCCCGAAATGCCCCCTTTCCCCTCTCACTATCCCCCGTACTGGTCGTCCAGTGAGTCCCACCTTTACTAGGACTACCGTTCCCCCCGTGGATCCTGTGCCTCCCTATGATGGCCACTGGTGAACATTGACACAATGTACCACTACTCTTCCTTGTATCTGTTCTATTTTCTACACAGGGAGGTCATCTCACGAACCAATTTACTTGACATCGGAAGTTTTGCTATGATCCTGTTCTTTCATCTTTGACACATCTGCTTAATTACTTATTTGATTTATTGGTACTGCACACACTCGTCATACTATGTTCTACTCTTTCGTTACTACTTTGATCTTTTGACTCTACTCTGCGTTATCTCACTTGACCTCGTCATTAATTTAGTTGGTTCCCCACCCCCCCCCCTCGATTGAAATGCTTAAGAATACCAAGGTTTAGTTATTATCTTCTAGCCAATTCCGTTATCACACTTCTCTTTAGAATCCACCCTACCCTACCCTACCATACACTACTTATGAATAAATTGTTCTGAGGAATGTGAGAGGTTCTATCATACTAAGAAATGTAGCCAGACTCCAGTGACATCTTTGCCTACTTGGTTTTGTTAATTAGGAAGTTAGCGACTTGAATAGTCAATAATAGCAGGAGTGAGTATTCTTGATTCTGTCTTTCACGTATATGTATGTATGTATGTATGTATGTATGTATGATGTAGTCACGGGGGGGGAGGCAGGGCAGAACATGGTAGAATTACTATTAGTTATCATATCGGGGGGGTGGGGATAGATGTTGAAATCCTATTCCTAACTCCCCTAGTACTACCTACCCACCTACCTAACAGAGAAGCGAAGTAAAGTACATTTCTCATTTCTCATTTCCAGTTCCAGTTCCAGTTCCAGTCCCCTTTCCATATTCCGTGCTCCGTCCATTTGAAATAAAGGAAAGGAAGGGATGGAAAAGAAAGAAAGAAAGAAGCAGAATGATGAATATGAATTTAGCCACATTACTACAGGGTGTGATTTGAAGATAAAACGCTGCGTCATATTCCATCCATCCCCCAATCCATGCCATCCCTTTCTTTCTTGGTTCCACCACTAACAAGAGCGAGGCTTGTCAGACAGATCGACAGCGCAGAGAAAAAGCCCGCTTAAGTCAAGGTTATTCGGTTTATTGCTGTTGTCATCATCAATATCGTGTGCTTTTCGTCAACAAGGAACCGCGGCAAGGCGGTATCATGTGTAGACGTTGGTAGGGGGCAGGAGCTTGGCTCCGTAGCGGAGGTCGAGAGAGCGAGAATCGGACGGGTCAAAGATGGTAGCTTGGCGCTGTTCGAGGAAGAGAGCTATTCAAAATTAGTTGATGATCGGATACCTTTTCCGAGGTGGGGAACGTACGTGTCACCTTGATCATGTCGAACCAGCGAGCGGCGTTTTCGTCGCTGCCGTCGACGGCCTTCAAAATGCCGGTATCGGGTCGGGGGTTGGCCTTGGGTGGGAGGCTGCGCATCTTCAGCAGCATGTGTAGGATGTCGGAGAAGCGATCGCCCTGGTTGGAGTAGTAAGGCGGACGCTTGTCCAAGGGCCACTGTAAGGTGCGTTAGTCCATGGACCGATTTAGAAGCATGGCGGTGAACTTACTCGCTGCGCAAAGTTCTCGTCGTCCCACGAACGGAACAGCCAGCACGTTCTCTCCACGCAGTTCAGCAGGATAAGCGCCACCAAGAAGGTCTCGAACCAGCCACTCTGCTGGCGCTGGAGCAGTCGCCGCTCGAGATCGTTCATCACCGACTTGCTCAACTGGGACGCGCGTTTCTCAGTGGCCGCACGCAGCTGACTGCATAGGAGTTCATAGGACTCGCTGTTGGTGACACTATCGATTGGCGTGCGTCCGTCGTCTGAAGGCTGCGCGAGAGAGTGCATCGAGGTGGGAGGGAGAGTCGGGTTGCAGTACGTCTTCCACTGCAATTCCCCATCGGCCAGGATATGAGTGGCAATCCAGAGTTCCAGCACCCGTTCGAGCAATGAATCCTAGACGAGTCAACACCACCGTTTTGGCAGCAGAGCAATAGGGATGCATACCTTTTTCTGCTGGCTCAGCTCCGCTGCAAGCATTAGAGTAGGTCTCATGAAGTCTGACGTCTCCCGCTCATAGAAGAATGGCGCCGTCTTCTTAATGTACATCTCGATCTTTCCAGGAAGATCATCTGCATCACTGTCGAGCAGGTACAGCTCATGAAGAGGTCCCTGGAACTGCGCATCATCTCCGAGAGCCTGGAGCTGAGGATCAAGCGTCGACGCGGAGGCCTTATGACCTTGAAGCCCACTGAAGGTAACGTAGACCATGCTCTCCTCGAAGTGAGTAACCTCAATACGTCCAGCGTAGTGTTCGAATTTGATTTGGTTTCGGATACCGCTCACGTCGTGGTAGGCGAGCGTAGCGTGCAAATCTGCAGACGTCAGATCGTGCCAAAGACCAACGGTGGTTAAATACATACTTGCGCTATAGAGCTCGAATTCTTCTGCAATGCGAGTACGAATGCATGGGTGTTTCCACAAGCGGGCGCTCTCAACGCTGGCGCAGGTGGTGCAAGGGCTGTCACCGGAGCACTAAACCAAGACTCGTTAGAGGCACTTCGAGAACGAAAGGGTATTCCGACATACAGGCTTCTTAAGCATGCGACAACGAATGCACGCGCCCCGTTTGCGCACTTCCTGGACCTCTCTGCGTCTGGCGGCGGAGAACCGACCGCGCACCTTGGGCTTGGAGGGCTTGGTGGAGTTGCCAAACTCGTTCACGAAGCCCTTGGCCTGGGAATTGGGATTCATCGCGATCGGACGGGGGAAGGAAGCCGCGCGTTGTGTGGCAGCAGTCAGTGTCGGGTCGTGCTCCTGAAGGCTGTCGAAGAGGAGCTGCTCCTGAGTGGACAGTTGTTGATTCCAAGTGGGACTCATTTTGGGTAGGCCGTCGGCAAGGCCAGCGCCAGTATCGTGATCCATCGGAAGACCATGAGGTACCATCTCACTCGCGGAGGCGGCGATCATGGACAGTTGCGACTGGCGCGCGTTGGAGGTGGCATCGGGGGTCACCGAGGCCTCGAGCAACTGAGGAGATGCGGCTTGCGGCGGTTCTTGAGAAGAGCTGGGCAGGGATGGTATAGAAGAGGTGTGGGAGCCTTGGGGAGTGCCTATAGAATGGGATATCATTAGCGCGCCGCAAGTGAACAAAGGAAGCGCAGTGACTGTAGCTGCTGGGCAGTGACGAGACGATCCGGCATTAATCGAACAGGCTTACCTGGGGGGTTCGCATCTTCCTCTACCTGCTCAGGCTGTGTAGGATGACCCTGGAAGCCCTCGGCCTCGAGCGCTGGATCGACGACGACCGTCTTCCCCCCGACAGTCACGGACTGGGTATATGCGGGACCCCGTTTGGTCTGGTCGGAGGCACCGACTTGTCTCGACGCCTCGGCCAAGACATTGAGGCCATCGAAATTCTGACGAGTCGCGAACGGCAGATCGACCGACTTTCCCTTGTTTTGTCCGGTGACATCCTTGTTCTGGTCCCCGTCGGCCAAGTCGGGGAGTTCGTGAAGTCGCAACAAGACGCGTTGTCGATCGCGCAGCGGAATGGCTTGACACTTCTTGACGAGATGGTTGGTCAGGCTGTCGATGCGACCCTTGGGGAACTTTTCGCCGCAGGCCTTGCACGTGTGTTGGTAACGGTTACTGGCGTCCTCGAGTTTCTGGCCGCGAATAAAGAACTCGAGGATGAGTTGATTCGGTTTGCGACCCATTGCGGTGAGAGAGTGTTTGGCACCAAGTGAAAGCACTCGGCAAGGAGTAATAGGGATTTAGCTTCACGAGGCAGAGAGATCGGCAAGAACCGCACCCTGAAAGGAGAGTTAGGAGGGCTTGGAGAGCGTCCTCAAGCTGTCAAGACGAGGGGAGAGGGACAGCCCGCGACTGAACTGGAGCTTTGACAGTGACGCACACAGGGGAGCGACGAGGGGTGAGAACGGATGGCAAAATAGCAGCTTGGCCACAACACCGACCGGCAGAACCCACCACCCGTTCAGAAGCCACTCACCAAGGGGTCAACGGGATGATCTGAGGAGGGCTCGGTGCAGGCGAGGGGATTGGGGGCACAACAAGGCACGCAATGATGGGGCAGCGATGAGGCAGAAGGCAGGAGGGAGTGGGATGAAGAGGAATTTGGGAGCAAGCAACGGCAAAACCACGACTTTTCTACGGGCGGTCTGCCACTGGCCGCCCTCGCTGTCACGGGTTCGGTTGGGATGCGCCTCACCGCATGAAAGGCGGTGATGAGATCGGTGACTGCTGGCGATTCATTCAATTCTATCCTCCGCAATGGTGAAGAGACCAGGCCGATCCCGCGGGTGATTCACCGGGTAGCCTCTACGCAGTGTTTTCCCCCCATCCTGGAGGGCGTCGTTTGGATGGCTTCTTTCCTGGGATAGGAATTCGCTAAGTTTCTGTGCTACCCTTGGCTAACAGACTAGATCCCCCCCCGGAATTCCACTTTCCCCCCTCCCCTCTCATTCCGTTCCTCTTCCATGCTTCCAGGTCACTGATACATGAATCGCGCGCCTAGTTGTGACCGCCTTTTCACCCCCGGCCCCTCTCCGATAAGCAGCAGCAGTCCGATACACCTGCAATGCGTGCCACAGTAGTTGCATTCTCCGTCACCTGTCTGACACACCCACTCCCAAACCCTCTGGTTGCGGGAATTTCAGGCCTCCTCGCGGCTGCCGCCATACCTACAGCCGTCTGACGCATGGAGAGAAGTCGGTCTGGCAACCCACAAAAGCAAAATGCAAAGCCACCAGACCCTCCCGGCAGTCCGAATATTATCTGTCACCCGTCAGCCCGTTCTGCTCGACGTGTCCCCCGCGACACGAAAACTTCGGGCACATCAGCAGATGCGATGCTCGGGAGGCCGCCAGGGAACTCCCAGGATCGAGAAGATTCGCCGCTCGTCGCGTCCTTCGAGTAGCCGGCCCTCCGTCAGCTTGACCCGTTGTGGTCCGCGTAGCACGTCCGTATAGAGGCCTCGTTGATTGAGCCGCATGCCCTTCTTACTCGCCAGGAGCCTCATACTACGATTGAAGATGTCATTCCCGGTAAAGTAAATCAATGCAGCCCCGATCTCCGAGTCCGGCACGAACAGCAGATCGATACGTCGCCAAAGGCGACCGCCTGGGAGCATAGACGCCCCATGCCATTTGGACCCGTCCCGCGACGTGCTGGCTAAGCTGGCCTGCAGGAAGCCCTGTTTATAGAGTCGTGGGACTACAAGAGCCAGCATTATGGTTCTGATCTGCTCGATATTCGTATCGGGCTTGGTGATGAGTAGGTCGATATCACCGCAGTCGGCTGCCCCACGCCGAGAGGAGCCCGCGATGATGACCTGCATCTTAGAATCCACTCGCTGCACCGCCTTCCGTACGATCTCTCCATGCGTTTCGACCTCCTTTCTTGGGATCCGCTGGGAGAAATCGTAGTGGTGGTCCACGCCGACGCGTTGTTGTTTGGTGAGGGACGCTTTGGTCTTCAGGTCCTCTAACGTTCTGTACCCTTGGGCCATCCATCTTGATGCCTGTGTAATTCCAGCCCCATAGACACCCAGGAACAGTTGGAGTACACGGTCTTCAGGCGTTGAGTTTATATTTTCCAGGCGGCGGAGTCTGTTTGTGCACACGATCTCCTCGATTTTATCGGCCAGACGCTCTCCAATCCCCGTGATAGCCAGGGCCTGCGACTTGATGGTGATCTTCTTGGGCTGTCTGCGCAGAGCACTAATGGCCTTGCGATAGGCCAATATACGCCAGTGATCATCGGTCCTGGTGTAGTAGTCCAGCATTTGCTGAAGGACGGCAATGGTCCTGCTGTTCGGGTTTTCCACGGCCGATTGCGAATCGTGCTTCTGCATGCATGCAAACTTCTGTTGCCAGGCGTCTACTACTTCATCTTCTTTCCCGACCGCTTTTCTTTTCTTCTTGACTGGCCGGGGGCCTGATGAGTCGTAGGCCTCGCTATCGGATGCCTCGGCTGCATTTTCCTCATCCGAATCCATTTCCAGGGGCTAGATCACCATGTTAATCAATAAATTTGCAGATTCATCCTGTGGAGTAACCTACCAAATTCTTCAAGGCCTTGGCCTCCTCCACCAGGTCATCCAAAGCATCGCGTTCCCGATTCCGTGCGGGAGCAACTGGGGAGTCTTCTCTGAGTTCGTTGATCGGCGGCTCAGACAGATAATCGGTGTCCTCATCTTCCGAACGTTGCGTCTCAATTTCACGAAATTTCCCTTTCCCAGTTGCCTTTATCGGCAGTGATCCGATCGACGGGGTATCGTTCGCAGGCGGCGCTTCTTTGGCCTCGGAGGGAACAGGGATACCTTTCACACGAAATCGCGACCGAGTCGGGTCCAAGACTTCGCGGAAGCCGAGACATTCGGGAATGTATGTGTCGTTAACAATAGCGACCTTGGCCTTGGTAGAAGTCAGTATAGCACTGGATGTCATGGTTATATGAACTCACCAAAAGACTTTCTGGACCCAGGTGTTTCAGAACATCCTGATACGTCAAGTCGCTGTCAGCAATAATGTGGGTAACAATGTCATCCAACTTCTCTGCCCAGATAGCGCCATAATCCTGCGCTCGATGAATGCGCAGGCGTCGAAGCGGCGATATGTCACTGTTAGGGAAGAAGACTATACCCACACGTCAGCCAGATTACACGTATAAGCACACAGTAAGAAGAAAGTGAGGCCAAGATACTGACAGAAGACAAGACCCTTAAAGATGTGCCGTTCTACGGGCACCGATACATGGAAAGACTTACGCTTCCTTTTACCGGAAGCAGCTTCCGCATTCCCTTTGGCAGGCATCACGGTTGAAGAAGTCGATTTCGTCACGACTTTCTGTTGTTTCTTTTCGGGTATCTTTTCAGGTATAGCTAGATCAGTTCCTTTTTCGATAATAATCTCAGGCACCTTCGCAGAAGCAGGAAGAGGCTCCGTAGAAGCCCTCGACGGCGCCGTAAGACCCTTTATATCCGACACTGAGCTCGATCCAGCCACAGCACATGCGTCGCGATTTTCCAACAAGTTCACCAGACGACGAAATTCCTCGTCTTCGCCATCAGTCACACAATCCAGCAGCTCCAACCCCTTGAAAAAGGCGTCTTTATCCGCTCGCGACGGCGCCATGGTATGGTGAGACTGAGAATCCAGTGAGCCATTTAGGCTTGGCGTCACTGCTGCCTAGCAGGTGACGATACAACTATGTTCATCTGAACCGGCAGAAATAATCCCTCATCAGAAAGATAGAATCCGACGTCGGTGACACACGCCCAGGCAGCAACGCGTAAAAACTGTGTCACGAAAACGCCGCCAAGTCACGGGATCGGGGAATCCCAATTAAACTCGGGGTGGATCTCGAGCAAATAATCCAATTCCGTAGAACAACCACCGCCTTACAGTTACTTCCCCACAAACCAACAATGTGGAAGCCCACGGCGCTTTTGGCTTCACTTTCCGAGCCATCCCTCTTGAAGGGTGGTCGTTGCCTCGGCTGCCAATTGCGCAATGCAACCGCAATCCGCCCCCGTCCTGCGCTGCGTTACTATGCCACCAACAGCAACAGCAACAGCAACAGCAAAAACAGCGAAACCAAACCCACGACATCCTCCCCCTCCCCCCTCCCAACCAAGTCGAACAACAAAGTCGCCCACTTCCAGGCAAACTACTCCGCAACAGCATCAAGAGTCCCCTCCCCGACCAGCCAACCGGGCGATGACGACTTCATACCTCCGACTCTGGACCGGCCCATTGGGTCCGCAATCTCACCCCAAGAAGGCCAGAACACGGGAATCGATGACCGGTCTTTCCGGCAAAGAAGAGACGATTTTGTGAACTACGAAAGACATCTTGAACGTCGGAAGGAATTGTACAACACATTAACCCTCCCCCCCAACCTACCCATCATGTACTATACTAACCCAGACCAACGTACCCCAGAACCCGACAAGTCGCAAAGCCCTACTTCCGAGAATGGTCCAACATGCGGTACCACGAAGGCAAGACCTTCCAATCGAACCCACGACTCTTCAAACGTGACAAAGCGCTCTACTTCCCCAACATGCACGGCATCACGCTCGCATCCCCGAAAGAACCCCAAGACACGACGCCCCTGTTCCGTGGAAAAGTCACAATCGTGAATTTGTTCTCTAGCGTGTGGGCCGAGTCTCAGGTCGTGACGTTTACGGGCAAGGAGCAGAATCCTGGGCTTTGGGAGGCGGTTCGGGATGGGGAGGGATTGGTGCAGAAGGTGGATATTAATTTGGAGGAGAATGCGTTGAAGGCTGGCCTGATTCGGATGTTTATGTGGAGGATGAGGGCGAAGTTGCCGGTGGAGCAGCATGAGAGGTACTTTTTGGTTAGGAGGGGGTTGGATGATGGGTTGAAGGAGAGTATTGGGATGTTGAATGGAAAGGTGGGATATGTTTATTTGTTGGATGAGAATTGTCGGATTCGCTGGGCGGGGAGTGGTCCGGCGGAAGGGGAGGAGTTGGAGGCGTTGAATAATGGGGTGAGGAAGTTGGTGCAGGAGAGGAAGATTAGTAGGGAGTCGGAGATGCCGGTTCAGGAGTGGAGTCAGGAGGCTGCTGCTGCTGCTGCTGCGAAGAAACCTAGGGTTGTTGTGCGGTAGACCCGGGGTAGGATGGTCTACTGGTTGATCTTGTGTGCGTGTATGTACATACTGGGATTGAGGTGTATGTGTGAGTGAGTGTAAGATATGCTCCAGACACCAACACCAGGACAGAATCCCCACTATTAGTCTCTGTATAGTAGTAAGAAGAAAAACGAATCGAACAAGACAAATCTCCCAACGCCAAACCCATACCCACAAACAACAACAACAACATCATCATCATCTCCATTCTGAGAGCAACAAAGAACACAGCACCAGCTCACCTAACCCAAACCAACACCAAAAAGCAAACCCCAATAAAAGCCCCCAAAATCAACGCATCCCTTCTCCTCTTCGACCCAATCTTCCCAATCAACGCATTCATGCCCGGCACCGAGCTCGCCGCACCCACAATCTTCCGATTAATACTCGCCAGGGTCTCCCTCTGCAGCCCAAAGTTCTCATTAATCGCATACGCCTGACTCAACACCCCATCCATCATATTATGGCTTTCATCAATCCGACCCCGCTCTTCAAGCATGTAGTCTGCCTCTGCCTGGGCGGGGTTCGAGGCGCGGTAGGCATCGATATCGGAGCGAACGTTGGAAAGGAGATTGGCGCGGTCGCGGGATTCACTGATGGCGGATTTCAGCCGTTGGAGTTCGCGACGGTGGTCGTGGAGGACTTCGCGGTGGCGGGAGAGGTTGTTTTGTTTGAGGGCCGAGGAGGTGAGGGTTGCTTCGGAATCGAGGAGGCGGGACAGTTGTGAGATAAGAGTGTCGCGCTGTTGAGGAGTGTTAGTGATAAGGTGGATGGGGGATGGGGGGAGGTTGCGTACTCGTTCTAGTAGGTCTTGGAGTTGGGATTCGATTCGTTGCTCCTCTTCCGAGGGGGTCGGAGGGAGCTTAGTTATCGAGGCGTATTGGGAGTAGGTGTGGAAGAGGTTCTCTGTCTGGGTGGTGTCAGTCGGGAGGTCTATATCGTGGAGAACGAGGGAGATATGATAACCGTACTTGAGTCTCAAGTGAGCGGGCTTGCTGCCGGAGCTGAGCCCAGCCGGTACCGGTTGAAGTGGCCATGAAGGAGGACTCTGAAAGGGAGGGGAGGATTATATCAAGAAAAACACACAGATAGCACCTCAACGCCAGGTATCAGATCGGGAAGATGAGGTTGAATTAGCACAGCGAACTGCGGGCTGGACATCACAGCAATCCAGCGAGCCGCGGCGGGTGGTGGAAAGGCACCCACATTTACTACTAGTAGTTAGTTAGATACTACTACGGCCAACGCAGGCCGGGGCGGAGGCGGCGTCATCCATCAACCATCAAAGGCACTCTGGGGCCCGAAACACGCGCCACACCTAGCCACAATCACGTGCCCGCTTAAGCCGCCGCACACCCAGAAAAAATCAAACCCTAGTCCCACAACGAACATCCCAAATTGACCCGGTCCATCTTCAATCCTCACGTCGACAACCGTACGATACGACACGAAGCCGCCCACCATGGTATGTGAAGCGCCATGCTGTTCTGCGCGATGTCTGTTGAATGTGGGAAAAATGCTGACCGCGCGTGTGTTTTTTCTGTGTCTAGTCGTCCAAGGTCAAGGCTGGTCAGCTCTGGGGAAAGAGCAAGGATGACCTCACTAAGCAGCTGGAGGAATTGAAGACCGAGCTCAGCCAGCTCCGTGTCCAAAAGATCACTGGCGGTGCCTCGTCGAAGACCCTCAGAATGTGCGTTTGAACAAGACTTCTCCGAGCCCCTCATTTTTGAAACTATAAGAATTGCACCTGTCGGATTGTGGACTACGGCGAAGGGGAGGGAAGAACGAGTGGGCAAGAGGGAAGGAAGGCACAACAACAACAGTGAAGAGATTTTCGACCATAAGGAATCGACAGGGAATATCAAATGCACGACGACCGATCCAAAAGCCGAAAGGCACATTCCGACAGGGCGCAATTTCCACCACAACTCGAAGGCAAGAATCAGGATACTGATATGAAATATGATTTTTAAACAGCCACGACGTTCGCAAGTCGATCGCTCGCGTTCTGACCGTCATCAACGCCAACCAGCGCGCTCAGCTCCGCTTGTTCTACAAGAACAAGAAGTACACTCCTCTTGACCTCCGCCCCAAGCTCACCCGTGCTCTCCGCCGCCGTCTCACCAAGCACGAGGCCACCCTGAAGACCGAGCGCAAGCGCAAGCAGGAGATTCACTTCCCCCAGCGCAAGTACGCTGTTAAGGTATGAGAGCCGCTCTGGATTGTCTCGGTTCGGTTCTGGAGGAAAATATGTCCGAGGAACCAACACCACCACCCCCCGACCATTCGCTAACTGCGGTCTTGATGTGATTAGGCTTAAATGTGTTGTCTCGGGATCTGGATGGAGTTACGGGAACGTCGTTTAATGATGACGGGTTGACCTAACCTTGCGTGGGGGGTCGGTTTCATCAAACGTTTCTTTTTAAAAAGAAATTGGTTATGTATCTTAGAAAAAAGATGCAGATCGATGTTAAACGAAGGCCTTGCTTGACATGACATAAACGAGACAAGATTTATTGCCAGCTTGGATGTGTGTAGACCGGAGGTTGTTCTGGTCTAGTGTACCAGACCTTCTGCGTCTCCTTTTTGGAACCGAATGGCACCGATGCCCGACGCAACACTTCCTGACGATTCTTGAGGGCAGATTTGGTCGGTTGTTTCCAGTGGACCTTAAACAATTACCGATTACAAGGCTTCTGTCCGCACAGTAGGTGTAGTAGGTTCGTAATATCCGTTCATTGTAATTCTACGCTATCCAAAACATGCCGGAACCATATCTATCTACCATCTGGTATCAACACAACTCAAACCAACGACCACCAGGGCCGAAGTTCTCGAACCCTACCCTCATTTTGTCCCCTCGTTCGAGCCCGACTCCACCGTCCACATCCCCCCACAGATGCACGATCGCAAATGTCCCAATTTGAATATCATGCGGAATGCAAGCACTGAGCGTGGCGGGTACGTACCCTCGGACACGTCGCAGCAGCGGACACACCGCCGTCGAAGTAGCCCCTGATTGTTTGATTTTCCGACCTGGGGCCCATTCGAGCCCTGGGTGACTGTCATCCTGATCGGAGTTTTCTTGATGATATCCACTTCTCGTGTCCTCCGGTACCACTCCGAGCGTCGGTCGGTCCCGAACCCAAGCCATCCGTAGTCACCCATGTAGATGGCCATGCGGTCAACGTCCGATTTAATACCCGGTACAGTCTGCCGCAGGATGGTGGATACTGCTGTGACAAGAACAGGCGGAATGCGGGCGTTGACCAGCAGCTCTTTCTCGGGCCCAGGGCGTTCGGCGTCACCGAACCCGGCGCCATGGTATGCGTGTCGTACGGCAGAATCCACTCCAGCAAGAAACTTTTCGTACACGTCGATCCGCATAGGACATGTATCCAGGGCTTGGCAGATCTCTGCATACTGTAAACGAGAGTCTCCTGTCAGAGGTGCGTTGTATCCTGCGTAAATACCTCGCAAGCCACGGCAAATGAAGCGCAAGAATGCACGGGACATGCTTGACAGGAGGATTATAAGAGCCACCGAGTTCGTGGTTTTTACTATCGTAAGCGACATGTTAGCGCGGCAATACTCCCGGACTGTGGTATCAACAAACATTTCTGGCTAAAAGCTTCTTGGTCGGCGGATAGATTTTCGAATTCATCGGCAAGATCAAAAAGCTCATTCAATATATAGAGCGAAAAGTCAAGTGCCCACTTGGTGTTTCCGAGCACCATGCGAAGGACATCTAAGTGACCCCTGCTGTTAGCGAGACCTCGCAGTGGTCATGTCGGCTTGGGCTTACCAGGGTCATGTGGCTCTGCCTGAATCCCTTTGTTGTACTGGAAGAAGAATGGGTATAGTATTGAAGCATGGCGCAGCTGAAGGATCGACCAGGAGACGGAAGAAGCAAAGCTTCGTGGTTTATACTTGTTGTTAAAGCCCAACGCAGCTTGTATACTGAGACACTTGGGTATGTAGGGGTGGTTCATCAGCTTATCCTGCTCGACTGTGAAGTTGCAGTTGATAGGCAGCGCGCGGTAAACTTCGTTGATGAACGTGATTTGGGCATCTGGTAGCGAGTTAGAGTCAAGGATTCAATAAGAGGGTAGGATGGGGACTGACCCGGCGTGAGTTGCTGTATTAGAATTAATAATATATCATCTGTATTGACCTCGCTGCCACATCCGCGACAAAACGCCAATGTAAGTGATGCAATGGCCGCAGAAAATTTATCTTCAATGACATCAGCATGCAACTCAATTGACAGGGATAGGGAGACACACTTTCATCGTAGAGACCATTTTCAGCTCCGTAAGAATGCTCCATAACCCTGAGGTGCGTCTGGCCGTCACTATCCAGCATGACCGCAGCACATGCACTCGGTGAGAAACTAATGTGTTGGCCTGTCAGGCAATAATTAGCCAGGTGACAACTCAGAAACTTTCGGGCACAACAACCTGAGGTATCGGGGGCATAGTGAAACCCTGCTTGAGCTAGGCTGGTCACCGTGTTTGCATCATCAACTCCATTGAACACCGCCATAGCTTTCGGGTCATAGAAGGAAACGGAGCTATCATCATATGTAACAGCAAGCACATTGCCGTACTCAATCTGGTCCACCGAGATGACATATCGATCGGAAGTGATGTCTTCCAGTCGACGCAGCACAGGTCTAGGCTGTTCCAACAGTCAGCACGGTTTGTCAACCGAACTTGTAGATTCTCACCTTGGTCTGGATACTGTTCCTTTTAGATGTTATTTCATCGAACTTCGGGTGAAGAGTGAAGGGGGCAGTGTCGAGTTGCCATCGGACAATAACACTTGCTGGTCCTTGTTGACCAGGATGATCTGGAGTAACCTGGGGTGGGGTTGAGAAAACAGCAACAATCCACGGGTTCGCCGTGGATCCTACGGAGTTGTCTGAGGCTGGGAGAATGATGTCCAGGCAGCTGAGACTATATAAAGGGTTCGAGGCCGATTGCAGGTCTGTCATCTCCCCGTCATTGCGTTGCGTGCCTGGGACAGTAAAAGACGTCTCGACCTTGGAGTGTGTGAAACGGAAGCTAGGAACCGGAAAGTGATTCGGCATCTGCTTTGGCTGCTGCGCAGGATCCCACTGGGGAGGGTTCCAGTTGATTTGTACCCGATAGAAGCGAATCTTTTGACACAGCGAATAAGTAGCGACAAGAATTCCGTTCTGGGTCGCAACTAGAGCCGCATGTGACAGCAACCGATCTGAGTAACTCGTGCTTTTCAGATCGGTAGATATGTCGTCCCATCTGCCGTCCGGGTTCTGGTACAAAAGCCTCATGGATCCGGACCGTGTGATACAGAGTAAAGCTGCCTTGTTTACTGGGTGAAACGGGCCTATTGGCCGGCGTCGAAATGGCGAATACGCCCAGCGACCTTGTACTTTGGCTGCCTGGTAGAAAGCATGTACCTAACGACGTTCAGCATGGAGACCAATGTGTCCAGGAAAGATTTCCTACAGAGCGTTGGGTATTGAGCCACATCATGCCAACAACTTGAGACCCATCATCAGGGACAAAAGCGGGCTGTCGGAGCCCGTTGATACTGTTAAGGGCGAATGGAATGTGATATATTGAGATGCGACCAGACAGATCAACCACTGCCAGGTCGGAGCCAGCTTCATTCCAGCTCAAATGAGCTAGGCCATGCCCACCATGAGCTTCGGCAACTGGCATCAATGGAGTCTCATCGCTGAGTACCCATTTGCCATCCGAAGGTCGACATTGCAGATGGCGCACATTCACTCTCATGGTGTCTTGCGATATGTAAGCAATACACCCCAGCTTTGACCATGCGATCTTTCTGAGACCAAATTAGTATACCGAGCTAGTATAAGTTTCCAGACACTAGCAGCAACAGTAACTCACTGGCAACATCCCAGCAGTCTCATTTCATCCAGACGCTGAGCAAGGCCCTTGGTGGTGGAAGCAGATGGTGGCAGGTCCAACTCCAAGGAGGAGGGCTCACCGAACAGATCGTCGACATTGATACTATCGTCCATCATTAAGGGCATGTTGGAGTGCAAGGGTCTTGATTATATGGAGATAGTAGATAGTAGTCTCGGGGGCAAGCGGTCGCACGACTCAGATATCATAGTTCGGTACAATGCACCCCGGAAGGCAATTGCAATGGAAATGGAATGGATGGAGGGCTAGCTGCAGAGAGACACCAAAAGAAAACCAAAAGCCTCAGTTACTGGCAGACAAAACCCTCATGGCCATTAAACCCCAGAACCAAACGCTACCCTTTGCCGGGGGAAGGATGATCATGGACTAAGTTGACTCCCAAGATGATAGTTTCATTATTCGGGACTAGTGGTCAGGTGGAGCTCTCCGCGCCTCTTAGTCAGCGTCATGTGAGGTCATGTGCGCCCGTAGCCGGGACAACCAATCACCTCCGCCCCACCCGCGATTCCCCCGATAGCAACGACATCAGCCGTCATCGGAGGTCTACTTACAGCATACAATAATCCCAGGAACCAGATTCTACTACGTACAGTAAGCAATATCTAATCTGCCATGATCCCATGAACTTGGAACCTTGAAAGTGGTTCCAACACAACAATCAACGATAGTGGTGGAATCGTTGGAATACACGATGAACCATGCCGAATACAAAGGAAAAGCTTGATGCTTGGACTCAGGATTGCATATTGGACCCAACTTATTATCTCCAGCCTTCCAGGTTGAGGCCCTATCACTCAAGCAAGTGCTTACTGTGCACACACCTGCTGTCGAGATGGAGGGACTAAAACGTCTAGAGAGCGGGGCTCAACCCGCCCTCATTTGTTAAATCCTCTTCCGCGGACTGCATCCAATCTGCTCGCATGGATTCCAGCTTTGAACACCAAACGGGTTCATCGCATGCTCTCCCAGGACCGGGCACTACTTCCTGGCATTGTAATGGACTAACCAGCAACGCTATCGGCGCTTGGTCTGAGAGAAGCACAAGGCCAGACAGATGATGTGGAAGGCCTTGAGAAACTCACCTCGTATGTAGAACTGGCTCATGCTCCACAAAGCTTCTTTTCCTTTCCATAAAAAATCTGCGTGCGATGTTGGATTCAGTTTCCAGATGTAAGCAGCTGTACGGCGAAACAAGTGCGGGGAACGAAAACCCGTGGAAAATCCGGCTCCCTGGAGAACCGGATCATGCCAGTTCTTGCCAGAACTCCGTGCTCTCCAATGAATTCCTCCAACTGCTTTGGCCGATCCTGAGCTGGTGTTTCTCAATGTACCGTGTCTTGACCGGTCGCATAAAGGGAAGCGCGAGTGTCGACGGGATAGTCAAAGCAGCGTTCAATCTAGCATAGATTCAGTCCTTATACGACTGGTAGAACATCAGCGAAAAGCTCTCGGCGCCGTAAGGAGATGACATACGCACCCCTGTGATTTTGGAAACTGATGACATTATCACTCAGCGGCTGTCGTCGGTCGCTGCTGCGAAATTGTCGGGTTGGCTGCACGAAATTGCGATTCACTTGGACGCACGATGAGTGTGAGACTCACCCTTCTGGCGAAGGATTCTCTCTATTGTTGTGAAATCATCCGGGGTGGATGTGAGCAAAGTTGCTGGCGCCATTAATCTTGCCGTAGAATCACAACGCTGGCTGGACAAGTTCGGGGAGACAATCGGAGATCGATTGTCTGATAGAATAGTGGAGGCTGCGATGCTCGATTATGATTCTCTGCAGCCAAAGAAACTGGAGATTCGATCGGAAAGCTTTAGCAGATAAAGAGACAGTCATTCAGCAAACCCGGTGAGGATGTAGATGATCACGGCCGGAGCTCTGGCCGACGCGTGAATGATTGCAATGATTGCCTCGCACGGGCAAGTATATGTTTGGGCTGTGGTTGGCCGGAGAATTGGGAGAAGCTTCCACGGCCAATGAGAGGCGGGTTCTAAGCCGAAGCCCCTTTAGCGCCGTACGGGCCCGGTAACGCGAGGATGCCAACACACTCGACTTTGCGCCAGTTGTGGACAGGGCCAGCCCCCACCGGGACTGGCCATACGCGGGCGATACCAAAATTTCGCATTGTTCGCATCCTCAGCTGTAGGTACAGTACGGAGTACAGTATCATCCATCCGCATCATCACCATCTCCATCAACAGCCAAACAACTGACGGAGTGTGCTGCTTCCCCTCGACCCCTCGTAGCCAGACACATTCCTGGGAGCATACCATCGGGTTGCCAGAGTCTGGCACCGAACGAGCCTGTGCCTCAACCCCCGACCCCTCTCAGCCCTCTTTGATGCAGAGCCCTGATCGTTTGTTCCCGAGCGATTCCCGTGGGTCAAAATAAACACACTGCAAGCGAGAGGATCTGACCGGACTGCTGCAACCTCCCAAGCAGAGTGTTGTCGTGCTGGCCGGTGCTCTGGGCTTTTTCTCGCATGATTCTTTGGTTTCCCACTTGACCTCACCACTTGCTGCCCTTCACTCCAGCCCAGTCACGGGGCTGATCCTCTGTCCTCCTCCATTGTCTGGTCTTCTCTTTCCTCCTGCAACTCCCTCTTCTCTTTGCCTGTTCCCCGACTCAGGGAGAAAAACGAAAAACAGGGGAACAAAGAAGCCATCCTCTGGTCGGGATATCCCCCTTGCCGTCAATCCCACTTGTCAATTGATGTTTCCGTACTCTTCCCGGTCCTCCATGGTTTTCTCTCGGGACGATATCTAGCTTTGATTCCCCCCCTCTCTCTCTCCCCCAACATTCCGTGAACAGCTAGCTCCTCTTGAGTCCTTTTTTTCCCCCCAATTCAATTTTCTCGGGTTTTCCTCTGCCTCCTCGCCGTGTGCCTCGTCATTGCGACGGCTCGACCTAATGGCGCCCCCTCGTTCGGCCACCACGACGATGACCACCAAGTCGTCCAGCTCGTCTCCCAACAGCCTTCTGGCCAACCTGGGCATGGACGACGACTCGGACTGTTCCAGCCTCAGCTCTGCGCCAGCATCACCGCTGGCACCGCCAGGGTTCTATCCGTCGCCGCCTCCGTCGCAGGACGCGGATGAGCCTAGCGCCGCCCGCAGCCAAGACGACTTGCCGCCCGCCAGGAAGAAGCGTCGGGTCGCCCCCCCAAAGGAACGCCGAACCCAGCATCTCGATCTCTCGCCCTCCGCGGATCTCTCCTACGCCCAGCAGCAGTCGCAAATCGATTACCTGGTCAAGACCCTTACCCGCCATCGCAAAATTGTCGTCATTGCCGGCGCGGGTATCTCCACCTCCGCAGGAAGTATGCTTTTCCATCCCCACTCCTGAGCCACATCCAACGTCGGCCTTCGTGCCCTGCCCTCGTTCATTCTAATCCCATCATAGTCCCCGATTTCCGCTCCACCGATGGTCTCTTCAAGACTTTGCAGAAGAAGCACAACCTCAAAGCTTCCGGCAAGCTTCTGTTCGATGCTGCCGTCTACCAGGATGAGACGTTGACCGCCTCTTTCCAGGACATGGTACGGTCGCTGTCCGAAGAGGCGGCCAATACCTCTCCCACCGCGTTCCACCACATGCTGGCTCGACTTGGCCAGGAGAACCGTCTTACTCGATTGTACACGCAAAATATCGATGGCATTGAGACCTCAATGCCTCCTTTGGCTACGCAGATCCCGTTGAACGTCAAAGCGCCTTGGCCGCGGACCATTCAACTACATGGGAGTCTCGACAAAATGGTCTGCCAAAAGTGTCGTCATTTGAGTGACTTTGACCGGGTCTTGTTTGATCGTCCCGACGCCCCCGAGTGTCCAGAATGCTCGCGTAACAACCAGTTTCGCATCGAGACTGGTCAGCGTAGCCACGGCATCGGTAAAATGAGGCCGCGGATAGTCCTCTACAACGAACACAATCCTGATGAGGATGCTATCACGTCCGTCATGAATGCTGACATCCGCTCCCGGCCGGATGCCTTGATCGTGGTCGGCACGAGCTTGAAGATTCCGGGCGTGCGTCGCCTGGTGAAGAGCCTCTGCTCCGTCATCCGCAGCCGTCGCAATGGCGTGACCATGTGGATCAACAACGAGTACCCTGTCGGCAAAGAATTCGAAGACTGTTGGGATCTGATGGTCAAGGGCGATTGTGAAGAAGTTGCGCGATTAGCCAATTTGAAGCGGTGGGATGCCAAGGACGACGTATTCGCCGAGTGCAATTCTTCAGAGGTGGAACGGGTGAAGAAAGAACAAGGCGAGGTTTCGGTTGTCGTCACGCCCAGCAAGAAGCGACCCACCCCGACGGGATTCCTTACTCCTTCTTCCAGCTATGATGAAGCCCTGCCATTGCCGAAGAGAGGCTATTCCAACCCCGCCAGCCGCGGACGCAGCCTTCAAGACGTTCTTCAGGCTTCCAAGACGCCCGGGCCAAAGAAGGCAGCTCCAAAGAAGAGTGCGCCAAGAGGGCGGGCCAAGAAGGCTGAACCCGCGAAGAATACCAAGATCAACAGCTTCGGCAGAGTCACCAAGGCTCAAAAAGCGGCGGCAAGTGATAAATCCTCCAAGCTGGACAAAGATGATACCAAACCGATGCATCCACTGGCTCCAGGCGCTGCTCGCAACAACGGTCCGAATGTAGTGGCCAACTCGGCAGGCAAAGGGGAAGCAACACCTCCACGAGTCGGCCAGTGGGGACGGGATGACACGATCTCACCGGGTTCGATTCCACGGGGGATGAACCGATTGCTGAATGAGCCGACCGCATGACTGGGCTCGGGTCTGCTGCGTCGGTGTCTCTCCGCCCCGTCCTCCTTCTTTTATTTCTCTTTTATTACCTTACCTTCAAGACCTTCCTGGGGAATCTTTTCGACTACGGTTAATGGCGATACCAATGATAGACTATCTGGGGCGTTGGCGTTTGGGTGTGGGATAATGAAGTCACCTGGATTCTCGCCACTTCCTTCTTGCTCTGGCTTGAGAATCCTCTGGTCCTCTTCATAGACTTGGGGGCATGGACTGCACCAACTGATTGTACAACATGGTCAGCTCTTTGTGGCGTTGGGTGTGGAGTTATGGTTCTTTTGAGTCACCACGGGTGATTCGTGGGGTATTAATCAATATGAGAGGTTGTGACATGATCTGTGAAGCGAAGTTGAGTTGGGTATCAACACATTGTACATTGGATATGATCAAGAGTGATAGTCATGCAACATCATTCATTGCCTAGAGTAACCATATACCATCAAATTACGTTCTTTTAGCCCAGCCCCAAATCCCCTCGAAGCTGACTCCCCGGTCCATCCTCATCCTCACTATCCGACTCATCCCCTTCAACATCCGGATTCATCAGCCGTTTGGCTCGCGCATCGCGATCCAAATCCTCCACCCGATCAATATCATTCTCCTCCTCATCCTTATGTTCTTCCTCTTCCTCCTCATCCTCCTCCTCTTCTTCCTCTTCCTCTTCCTCCTCCGTCTCATTGCCGACAACTTCCTGCTCCTCCTGCGTCTCATCCCCATCCTCCTGCTTCTCCTCCCCCTTCTTCTCAACCCCACGCTTCACCCTCTTCGCACCCCGATCCTTCTCTTCCTCTTCTTCTTCCTCCTCTCCGACCTCCTTCCCAGGCTCCTCCTCCCCCTTCTTCGCCCGTCTCTTCCCCGCCTTCAACTCCGTAAACGCCTCCAACTCTTTCTCCAACCGCGCCCGAAACCCATCAAACTCCAGCTCTGAAATCGCACTGAAGACGTCGGATGGCGCCACGGTTCGTTTTAGGGTTGCTTCGTTGGCACTGCATGCGTATCGGTATTAGCATCTTTCTTGCTCTCATAGGTTGATATGTAGATAGATAGATAGATGTAGTGAATGGTAGATCTATCCAATCCCAATCCCAAAAACAACATCCCCAAAACGAAACCAACATAAACAGGGAAAGGCTAAAGAAGCAGGAGGGAAGTAAACATACTGCGACGACAAATACGACACAAACACCGTCGCGGCCTTTTGTATCGCCAGGACAGCATCCTTCTGTATGGAGGTATTCGGTGGCAAGACGGATTTTGCCAGACGGAGGGTGAGGGAGCGAGGGAGGAGGTAATCCTACACCATACCATTATCCGGTTCATTAGTTCAGCCTTTTTCTTCATTCATCCATCCATTCATTCCTTTGTTAATGGATATCATATCAATCCATTGATTTTCACCCCAACTCAACAGAAAGATATAACCAAGGGGAAAGGAAGGAATACCTCTATACTCGCCCTCGCCTTAATCTGCTGTTCCGTAGCCTCCACCATCTGACCTTGGGATTCGGGCAATTGGACTGGATTTGGAGGTTGATGTGGATGTGGTGAAGGGGATTGTGTCGTCGGGGGGTGTTCGTCACCGGGCGTGCTGCTGGTGGATTTTCGGGGCATGGTTTCTGTTTTTTTTTTTTTCTTTCTTCTCTCTCTAGATCTCTTTCTCGGTGGTTTGGATGGAATGAAAAGGTGGTGTTGGTGGTGTATAGGGTGATGGGTGGGTGGGGAAAAAGTGTAATGGGTTAAGGTCTGGTTGATAGGGACGCGACGCGGAGGGCGCGTGTGGATCGGATCGATCGAGCGAGCGACTGAGCGGTTGGGTATCGGCGATAAGGAGGGTTTTCGCGATTGGGGGGGTGGTTCGCTAGGCTGGTTGGTTTGTTTGGGATCTGGATTGTTTATTAGGGTGGTGGAGTTAGTTGTTATTCATGATGAGTGGTGATGGTGGTGAAGGGTTTGGTGGTTATTGGATGAAGGTGCAGTGGTGGAGGTGATGGTGACGGAGATATATATCTGCTGGTGGTACGGAGTATGTTATGGCTATATCTTCTGGTTCAGATTAACCACCACCCTGATTAATTCAGATGTCTACAGAGTATGTTTGAAGGTGATGTACTCTGGAATACAGCTACAGTCTACTTATTCCGTCGATAACCATTTATAAAGCAAATCAGGTCATATGTTCATCTCGCAATTGTTCATGCTCGCAATTGACTATCTACCTTTTAAGAACCAGAACGCCTTGGTATCCATGAGAAAAACATCTACTCGGCCATCTCATCGTCTTCACCGTTACCCCACAGCCCCTCGATCTTGAACTCCGCCGCCCACTCGGTCACGATCTGCTTCGTGTCCACGCCAGCCGCCGGCTCAGTCGCTCCCTCCGCCGCAACCACCGGCAGCACCGGCGCGTTGACCCATCCCTGGATCCGACCGTCTCTCCAGTCGTTGATCACCGTCATCGCCGCGGCATCCAGGTTGGGCACACCGCCCTTACCCAGACGACCGCGCTTGCGGGCGACGTGGATCAGGAAGTCGTGTGTCTGGTCGCCACCCGATGGGATGAGAGGCGGGATGTTGTAGAGCTGCAGTAGCTTCGTGATGAGATCGTCCGAAGTCGACAAGCGCTTGAGCAGCAGAGACACGGCGGGAACGGGGTCCTCGATCTGCTTGGGGGGCACCGCATTTAGCAGGATCAGACGCGCGTGCTCCTCCTGCTTCTTCTTCTTCTTGTCACCCTTGTTGCCTGCGTTCGGGAAGACAATACCGGGAGAGTCGATCAACTTGAGCTTGCTGTCCAGCTTCACCGATCTCAGGCTGGTGGTCACACCGGCTTCGGCGCCAGTCGGGCAAGCGTTGCTGGATCCCTTGTTGAGACGGGCCGTCAGGGCATTGATGACGGAGGATTTGCCAACGTTGGGGTAACCGATCACACCGACGGAAATGGACCGCTTCATCTGCTTGTTGTGTGCGTACGACTTGAGGGCGCGGAAGAGCGTCTCGGAGGTGCCCTTGACGGTCAGCTGCTTGTGGTCGAAGCTGTGTGCGTTGGCGGTGCCGTTGGAAGCCTTGAGGGGCAGGGTGGGGAAGTAACGGCGCAGGTGCACCAGCCAGGCCTTGAGGACCGGGGGAGGCACCAGGTCGATCTTGTTGAGGATCAGGATCAATCGCTTGTTGCCGCCATCGGCAGACATGATCTCCCGCTCCACCTCCTTGGACCGAGTTCCCTCCGGATCACGAGCGTCAAGGACGTACAGAATGACATCTGCAGCATCGACCACCTGCTTGAAGACCTTGTCGAAGGCCCGTCGTGAGCTCTCCTTCGACGCAATCTGGGAGGCCAAGGAGGGAGCGGTGACGTTCAGAGTGGCTCCGCCTTCCTCGACGTCCTCGTCCATTTCATCCATGTCCTCGTCATCGTCCTCATCCATCTCATCGTCATCCTCATCAGACTGCTCTTCCTCGTACTCCGCGGCTCTCGCGCGGGCGGAAGCAAGCAGTGCCGCCATAGGGTTCGAGGAATCACCGACATCCTCATCCATATCATCGTCGATCAGGTCGTCCTCGTCAATCATGACATTGGCATTGGCCTGGACGGGCTCCTCGTCCGATCCTTCCTTCTGGGCCAGCTTGCGGGCACGGGCTTCATCGCGGATGCGCTGTTGTTCCTCCGCCTTCAGGCGCTTTCTCTCTTCGATCTCGTGGAGGATCTTGTCCTTGTGGGGGAAAAGGTTCGGGATACCGGGGTCCTTCTTGATCTTGGAGCGCCACTCGGGGTTCTATAGACGGCGTAAGCATCGATCTGTTCAGATGCACGAGACTGCAGGTAAGAGGATGGAAGTACCTGCTTCGCAAGCTTTCTCTGCTTGCGTTGCTTGGCCGCGGAGGCCTTTTCGATCTTGTGTCGTAGGCGGACGGGAACCCGCTTCGAATTTTTGCCTGGGACAGTTAGCAATGGCCCGGTATCAGGTCGAAAGAAAGCCACATACCTAGCTTGACCATCTTGACTGATCTCCAATGTCCGTCTCTGAGCAAAGGCGAATCAGCACGATCGAGGGCGGAGCGTCCGCCCGAATAATTTTGTGCCGCCAAGAAGATTTCGGCGGCAAGGCGCTAAGATAACCGGAGACATGTTGGGCCGATCTCCGAGGGGTATTTATGCCTTGGTGCCTTGGTGCCTTGCTGTTTGAAGGCCTGAGTGCCTGACCGGGGGACGAGGCACCGATGATGCTCATCGCGTGCTGCCATTCGTCTTAATCGCTCGCCGTGAACACTTCCCCTCCTTCGCCTGTCCCTCCTTTGCTGCCTGCGTTTGCTGACTGTGTCCACTCCTTACATCTAACTACTGCCGCTACCCCCTCCTCTCTGACCCGGTTTTTGCCTCGCGTTTACACTTCCCCCACTTTGGCTATAATTCTGTCCTACACCCCGCCGTTATCATGTCTAGACCAGCCGGCTCCTTTTCTGCCCCTCCCCAAGTCCACACCTTTGATGGGCTCCTCTCCGACTTCGACGGCACCATCGTCGACTCGACCGATGGTCAGTCCCCCCCTCCACTCTTCCCCTCCTGCAACCATGCCAAAAATAGGTCCACTGACATCTGATCTTTAGCCATCGTGAAACATTGGCACAAGTGTGTCCCCACCATCACCACACCACCCGTGTAACGAAGCACCCTCAGTCCTAATCCTGAATCGCAGAATCGGCGCAGAGCTGGGTGTGGACCCCAAGACTATCCTGGCCACCTCTCATGGCCGCCGAAGCATTGACACGATTCAGCTGTACGACCCGAAGAAGGCCAATTGGGAGTGTAAGTGATCCCCCTCCTCCCACACGGACACACCAGCCTGCAGTTCGATTGCGAAAGTTCAACCTGAAACCCACATCATCGTCATCGTCATCATAAACAACACACTGACGGGTTGCTTTCCCAACTGCCAGATGTCAGCTACATCGAGGGTCGCATTCCCAAGGAATACGGGTCAGACGCCGTCGAAATCCCTGGTGCTAGGTATTTCATGTCAGCGTTGGACGACGCCGGTGCTCGTTGGGGCGTGGTGACATCTGGGACGCGCGCGCTGGTGGATGGCTGGCTGGGCGTGCTGAACCTCGCCCACCCCAAGGTCTTGGTGGTGGCCGAGGACGTCGAGCTGGGCAAGCCTGACCCCCGCTGCTATCTGCTGGGTCGGACGCGCCTGGGTCTGGAGCATTCCTCGTCTTTGGTAGTTCTAGAGGATGCGCCGTCGGGCATCAGGGCTGGCAAGGCGGCCGGGTTCAAGGTCATTGCGCTCACGACCACCCACTCGCTCGCGCAGCTCCAGGAAGCCGGAGCGGACTGGATCGTGGAAGATCTGAGAAGCATCAGCATCAAGGGCGTAGTGGACGGCCAGATCCAGCTGGAGATCCGCAACGCCTTCCAATAAACACGGAGCGCGCGATGCGAGTCGGGTATCTACAAGGGGTGACCTACTAGGTTCCTGGAAACCGACGAAAGCTTGGACCGCAATAGATTGCGGGCAGCTTTTGCTTTCCATCTTTTTGACTATTCCATTTCTTGCTTTCTTTTACATCTTGCCCTTTCCTTATTTTCATTTCCATCTGGTCTGATCCCTTTATTGTGTGCAGGTCACAGTAATGGGATCAGAGTTCATGACGTCCCTAGATAGAGAGACAGACAGACATACACTCAGTTGTACATAGACAGATACCTCCAACCATACCTACCCTACTTGCCTCTAAGATAGATAGATAGAATAGCGCAACCTTCACCTCCACATTCACCTCCATCTCCATTTCCCCGTCAACATGATCATAACCTACCCACAACCAAGAACGAAGTAATCAAGGAAGTAAGAAAGAATATGACACACCAGCAACACCCAAACCTACCTACACTCACATCCACATCCACACCCACCAATCCTTGCATGCCACTAATGCCACCCACTCCCCACCTACGCAAACACAAAATGAAGATCTAAGATGTGTGAGAGATTTTCATTACTTATTTACTTAGTTTAAGTGGATTGGGGTAATTGACTTAGACTGAAAGTTATCTGTCGAGTACCGAGACTCTTCATTGTGGGTGAGTGGGAGGCGATGAGTACTTGGTTGCTCGGATATATAGGAAGAAGTCTGGTATAGCTATAGGTTGTGGGGAGGAAGGGGGTATGATGTAGTTATTTCCTGTATTTCTATAACTATGGATGTGGGTATTTGTCTAGGTGGGAAGGTACGTAGTAGGTAGGTACTAAGGTGGTGATCGAGATAGATAGATGTGGAGGAGATATGAGGTAGGTGATTAGTAGATACCACACCGGTCACTGGAACGGTAAACCCGGGGTGAAAGTGATAGACTACGATTTGCCCATGGAGTACTCCATACTCCATACTCCGTAGTCCGTATAGCGTGGAGAACTGGATGCTCTCTGCAGGTAGTCCCCATCCAGAGGTACATAGTTCCTGTAAGTATGAGACAGAAAGTAGGTAGGAAGCGTACCTACAGTGCGGACTTCCGGACCAAACGCAAAGGCCCATGCTAGCGGTGAAGCAGAGCAGATCATTGGAGTTGCTTTTTAGGCCATGGAGAAACAACCCGGTAGGTACGGAGACTGGGGAGATAGTTAGAGCTCGAATGCAAGTTGGTTGCTAGTAGGTAGGTACGATAGACCGGGTCGGGGCAGCCCTAGGAAAGTATCCTACACCGGCCGATCTCCAAACAAACTCAACCAATACCGCTCTCTCGCCCTGTCGTGACAGATCGCATCCGCTGAGGCATTTTCGGAAAGCCGAGCACAATATATCAGACGATTAAGTTAAACGGCTGGCTGTTGAGGTCACCGACGGGCGCTCACCGACAACTCGGAGGTGCGCAAATCGTCAGTCCCAGCCGATTGGGGTGATGGAGGTAGGAGTGCTTTCTCCGGGGGCCTGGTCCCGGGGCGGAACGGAGGAATGGTAGCGAGAAGGGTCATGGCAGCGCTGGACTTATTGCATAGTGGCGGCTGCAGTGGGTATACTTAGACTCTGGACGCTACTCCGTACGTCTGCACATCAGGACGTACGTAGGTGGCCGAAACACACGGTCCAAATGACGGGGCGAGCGACGAGGCGAAACAACAACGAAACAAACGGATTGTGCCAGATTGATGGAGTACCTACAGTATGTGTGCATAGGGAGGGACGGCCCATCCATCGGCCGCCGTTCGGAGGACACGAGCGAGCACAATTGCAGATTCCAGGGGGAAGGGAACGAAAAAGAAAACCCGCAATAGTGGAGGGAATCCTTTGCGCATCGCAGACCCGAGAGAATCGCCTCGTTGAGGGAAGGGGGCGATCAGGTTCTGGAAAAGAGACGTGTCGACTTGACGGCGAAGGCGAACTTCGATCGGCGCGATCCCTGCTACTTTGGCGCCGGAGATCGAGTCGAGCTCGTCCGTGGCCCAGCGCGGCGCATCTGGGCCCCCCTCAAGCTGCGTCTGACGCCCTATGCAAGGGATGAAGCAGGCCTTCCGGGCGTGAGTGGTGGTGGGTTCGCCTCTTTTCTTTCCCTGTCGTCTCCGTGCCTTTTTTTTCCCCTTCCATGGAAGCGAAACTTGTGGCTCCGGATGCTTATGGGGTATTACGCTGTATCACTAGGCAATCAGAGACGGACGATGTGATTATCAGACGATGACGAGAGGAGGTGGGGAGTGGACTGGCCATCGCTGCAGCAGAGGCGTTCAGGCAGCAACGATGTGATCTCTTGTACAGCAACCGAAGTCGTCACACCCCTTCAGCCCTGGTTCGAGCTGGAAGATGGAATACGACGAAGGACTCGTCAGGGAAGTTAGCCGCCCTGAGCGTTGAGCACCGTCGCACAGTCACGGAGTTAAAAAGGGTTAGAAACTTGGAATAGGGAGGCAGATCACGGTGCTGCGAGCCTATCAATCCGGGACCCTATTGTTGCGGCGTGACAAATCGCGGTGAAGCATCCTGGTTCCGACCACACAGAGGCATTCATCTGGAGTCACGTCTCTCCAAGTCCTGCAAGTCCGGTGGTGATGCTCAGACTGCACTGGCAGACTTTCCCTGGCCATCCGGCGGCGGGCCTGAGGCCATCACAAGTCAGGTGAAGATCGACATGTGGCTGAAGTCCAAGAAGGCACCGCCACATCCTCCCCCCATTCCTGTGGCGTGGCGCGACCCAGCTGAATGTCGGCCGGAGTAAGTCTGTTTAATTGATAGGTAGGTAGGTAGGTAGTTAGGAGTGAGTGTAACTACGGAGCAAAAGAGCCATGACAATCTCGCCAAGGTAGATCCACATATGCATGGCGCGGCTGGGTTGCACCCCTAAGCTCGAGCCCATGACATGGCGATGGTTGGCAGCAGCCCATCGCGCCCACTGGACAACATCCCGACCAGAGGTGACAACCGGAGGGCTGATGGACGGGATGGACGGGAATGATCAGACCCAGGGGGATGGGCGGATGGAGTCGGATGGTATGTAAGCAGGGAAGTTTACGAGCAGTAGAGGAGGATCCCCCAGTGCCAAGTCAACCTTATACCCAGACAGGGATCCCATGCCATGGCGGATCGGGGCCCCGGTCCAGCAGCTCGGCTCCCACTGGTGAGGCTTTCAGGGGGGGCCTCTGGCGGCCTCTTCCTGGTGCACCCTCCATCTGCTGCCCAGGTATCACAAACCATCACTCCCATGCACCGAGGATCATCGGGGATTTTTCTTGCTTTTTCCCTTTCCTTTGCGTTCTGTGCCTTTCTTTGCTTGTTTCCTTTCCCAGGGTCCAATATTTGAGATCCCCATCACTCGGGCGACAACGGCCTCGCTGAGATCCAATCAGCCTATGCGGATCGCTATCGAGGCGATCCGTGCGGGTGCCAGTGGATCCTCACAGGGGGCCAGCGTAGGCAGTCAGATCCCTCTACGTCGTGTTGCTTTTAGAAACCATCCATGTCGATAACTGGGTATTGGGGAGGGGGGGGATTTGTGCTTGGACTATGGATGCACACCTGCTCTCTAGCCCTGAGATGTGATCCATGATGGAATACCTGTGCTGATTGGTCTGAGCTTGGTTGAGGGCCTGTCAGGTTACTCGACATGAACCCATCACTTGCAACGCCATTCCTGCTAGGTGGACAATTGTGGCAGGGTGCTCCCGGCTCCCTGTGCTTTAAGCTGTTTTTAAGGTGTTGCATACATACACGTGAACCAGAGGCACCCGGTGCATTTTCGTGTCTGGTAGGGTGGGAATCCCTTTTACCCTGGCAGGTCCTCGAAGGAGGGCTAGGAAGATAGCTGGTCGATGACCATCAGGATGGAGTACTTTGTCCACAAGGGCCAGTATTACTCCGTGTACGGAGTCGTCGACGTAGTACTTTAGCACTGCCCGAAACTCCGTACGGCATACCCCATTGTTTGGCCCCCTCCCCCTTTCCGGTTCCACTCAGTCCTCAGATAACCATCGTTCCCCACGGCACGTAGTCAGGCGGTAAATCCTCTGGAACTTAGGCTGTGGACCTGCCAGACTGAAGCACCTACCTGAGGCATTGTTGCCGAACGTCCGCCGACTGTCAATGGATTCAGGGCAGGTGCATGGTGGTAGCGAAAACGAAGGAAATAGACTCACAGAAGAGCCAGAGGCATACCCATGCATGCGTGCATGCAAATGTATATCGGCTTAACAGCTCTCGTTGCCCGTCCAGACCTGTAGGAAACGCATATGATAGCGTCAGACCCGGACCCCCCTAACATGGCGTTAATGACCCCGGTCCTTTGCCTGCTGCATGGGAGAAGATTGCAGATCGCTGCTGCGTCATCTCGTGACTTGGCGCGAGAGCTTGTGACTGCATCATGGTTAGCGCCGATTGCGGCCTGAGTTGACAGAAGCCAGAAACCCATTAGGACGAATGGCGGGTATTGCTGAGCGTTCCTAAGCGTGTAGGGCGTCGCGAGTGGGGTTGCTTGAAGGAGTCCTCATCGTCGGATCCCGAGAGCATTGGAAGAAAAAGGAAAGGTAGGAAATGTTCGACAATCGACAGATCCCTGAGGCGGATCGACGAGGATCTGTCGACTATTGGATTTTGTGGGCCTTGGCTGAGCTGCTGCCACGCTTTTGCATCCGTCGCGGTTTAGAATCGCCTGTTCCCCCCACTCCATTCTTATTTGATTTTTATTGCTTTCTTTTTTTCTGGTTTGGCTCTTGTCTTTTCACTGGTCTTGTTCTTTTTCTTTCTCATTTTTTTTTCGAAGAAAAAAAATCTATCGAGGATTCGCAGATCCAGGAATCCCAAGAACCTGGCGGAAAAAGGATGACAGGCATTTTCAGAGATCCGTGCCAATTGAGTTACCGGTACGGCGTACGCTCATACGGGAATTAAAGGCCAGTGCACCTGGTATGTCTGGTATGGAGGAAGTTGAGGCAGAACTGACTTTGCTCGGCTGGCCGGAGCGCGTTCCCCGCTTCACCTCTCTTTGTCTCGCGTATCTTGAGGAGCAAAGTACGATTGTGATGGTATTCGCGCTAATTGCCAGGCGGTGGGGGTGTGACCTGATCACGTCATGGTCATGACCATGCCCCAGTTCCCCAGGACGTGCCACGCTGCGACTGCGAGATTAAGATAGGAGAGACTAGAGACTAAAGAGGGAGAAAGAGAGATACCGATGGACCAGGAGTCCCGTGGGACTGGGAGTGGTGAAGAGTCGTTGGAACCGGCGGGTAAGAAGGACGGACTATCAATCGGAAGCTGGGGATCTTCGGACCGCTGGCGCTAACCGGATCCAGAATATGTACGGTGAATCTTCTTCCCAACCTTCATTGGATGGTTCGCGACCCTCCTCCAGTCCCCGTGATCGCTGGCAAGTGGATGGCCCAGTAGGATGTGGCCATGCGCTCCCCGGTCTGGCACCGACACCGTGTGAGACATGGTTACTGGCCACTGCGATCCATACTGACCCAGCTTTTCCTCAACCTTCTCTCCAGGCGCAACCCGAGCTTCCACCGTCACCGCAGCCCCACCGATAGCGCGGTCCCCGTCGACCGTGATGAGCGATGGAGGATGAGAGCTGGAGGGAGCTTTCACAGCCAGACAAGATGCTAGATATGCTGCAGAGCTTAGATACTCCGTCCGCGTGGGAGAACCCGCTCCCCTGGGCCTCCCCCAGGAAAGAGCGCGGACTGCGAAGAAGAAACAACAACAACAACAACACCACTATTGCCGACGGCGTGTCTTGGGCCATACTCGGGGCCGTCGACTGCCCGGATCCTCCCAAACGGAACCTTCCCCCTGGGAAGAGCTAAAATCGGCTCTCTGGAAGTTGGTGGCGCTAATGCAGGAACTGACGAAGTCCGTAGCAGGGACCGGGTCGACCCAAGTCGCAGCTTCAGTCTCGTTTGGAATCATGGTTCATGAAAGTATGCGAGACTGTCAACTGAGTTGTCAGTCGAGCTTAATTGCCCCCGTTCAAGCCATTGCCGGGGTCCAGTCCTCGCTTGGCTGGGAAGCGCTGGCATTCGGACGAACGACGAAGTCTTTTGTGCGGGAGGGGGGAGGCTGACCCGCATCGACCAATGGTATCCATCCATTTCTCCAGGGCGGTCCTTCAGGGCAAACTGCGGTGGACCTTTCATTACATATTAGTACGGAGTATGTATCTGTAGGTATACACATGGATTATGGAACATTGTTGGAAGGTTGAGCTGCAGAAGAACGGAAAAAACAAACCTGATGGGCATAAAGCACAAGAGAGAGAATGAATGGGTAGAACCGAAAAACAAAGTTTGATCAGAAAAACAAAAGCGCTACACTGTCCTGGACGAAAAGAGGAAAACGTAAACAGAGTGTTTCCACAACCCAGAATAAACATAAAACGAACTTTTGGCCAGCAGTACCACCCTGACGGGTCTGACGACAATGAGGAAAAAGCAATTGAGCTCACTCTGAGGCACAGGATGCATTGCGGACCCGTCGGACGTACATACGATCATATGGAGTACATACAGGCATGCCTCCAAGCCAAAGAGGAGAATCAGTCACCGCCGCGCCACCGCACCACTGCACCATCAAGCGCCCCCCCCCCCCCCCAATCGAAAGGATCTGGGATTTATCTTGGTACGAAGATAAGGTATGGCGTAAGTAGTACGCCTGGCCTGACACTACACGCTCCTTAGTAAGTCGGTACTACCATACAGTACTGCTAGGTACCTAGTAGCTATCCATAACTCAACCTCTAGGTAGGAATAGGTATACACCCACATCACCCCCTCTTCAGCTCCAAAGCCCACTAGCCACACAAGTATTTCAGTTTGGGGTTATTTTAAGTCCGTAGTCCCAAGTTAGTAGTACGTACTCAGTGCCCGCCCGCCAGCCGACTGACTGTGTGAGCCCAGGCCGCCACCCCCTAGAACCGCTCGGGCGGAAGCACCAGAAAGCCCACTTCGTCGGCCAATATTTTTGGGTGGTCGATGCCTTGGGTGCTCAATACGGTACCTGGTAACGGTTTGGTTCCCCGAAACTGGTCTAGGACCGAAAGGGTAGGTACCTACTGAGTTCTGTACTATGTGTCTCCCGCGAGGGTGACGAGGGGAACATGGAGGTCACTTCGGAAGAGGGGTCAACGAGAGAAGGGGAAAAAAAAAGAGCGACCAACACAGAGGACCCGTCTCAAGGGCTGATGGAACCAATCCGAAGGATCATATCTACCGCGCCGAAGGACAGTGTGAAGGGCACTTGTCCAAACGAAAAGCCGAAGCGCCGACGACGACACGGGGAGTCGCCCAACCTGACGGGACTGTCCGTAACGAAAGACTGGGCCATGGATACGGCCCTGATACCAAACCGTCCAGGCCAAATCCTCCTCCAGCCAGTTCCGGGCGGCGATCACCAATCAGCGCGGCGCCCTCCACACCTTCTTGCCGGGCAGGCTGCCGCCGCCAATCTCTCTCCATCCGGCAGCAGCCAATGGGCGAGCAGCGAGCCCCCCCGAAATCCAGTCCCTCAACCCTCACACTGTCTGTTACTGACTGTCAATCCTTCAGGTTCTGGGTCCTCTCTTCTTTTTTTGTTTTTTTCCCTTTTGTCCTTTCCCTCTTTCTCACTCAGTCACTCTCTCTGTCTGTCTGTTTTTCCTCATCCTCTCCTTCACCTCCTACTCTCCTTTTCCCTTTTCGTCCACTCTCTACTATTTTCCCTTTTTCTTGCTTTTTCCCTGTCAGCTTAGTCCAGTCGTTCCTTCTTTTTCCTTTTCTGTGTTGTCCTATTCGGCCTTGTTGTCGGACTTATACCTTCCTTGATCCTGCCTTTCGTTCCCCTCCTCTTTCTTTCCTCTCACTCTCATTGCTACATCGCATTTCCTTTTTTCCCTGTGAACTCCACTTGGCTGCAAGTATACCTACTTCAGTCCCATCATTCCCTACCGCCGCCTTAATCCCTTCCCTCCTCCTCCTGCTTTAAGTCCTTATCTTCCCGCCCCTCCTCCTGGCTTTGAGTCCAAGCAACCCTCAGCGATCCAATCGTTCAATGGTCTAGAGTTGCCTCATCACTGCTGCGGCTTGTTGGCAGCAACTTGTCCAGTACCTCGAATCCCCTATCACTACATCTCACCGCACCTCACCGCACCGCACCGCATCGACAGTTCCTACTCTCTCCTCCCCCTTCTCTCTCTCCTCTCTCTGTGACACCTCTGAATCTCCGACCATCACCATGAATTACCTCCACCATCCTTACGCATTCACCGGCCATGCGGCCGTCCCGATGGAACAACCGGTTGCCTTTGACCCGACAATGGCCCATCCTTCTATGATACATCCAATGGATGGCTACCTTTACCCTCACCCGCCGTTTGACATGGTCGACTTCTACCACCAACCCATCATGGACTACGAAGAATATGCAGAGAACCTTTCCCGGCCAAGATTGACGAAAGAACAAGTCGAGACCTTGGAGGCCCAATTTCAGGCTCACCCCAAACCCAGTAGCAACGTCAAGCGCCAATTGGCCGCTCAGACCAACCTGAGTCTGCCACGAGTTGCTGTGAGTTACACTCTGACCCACACGGGATACCCTGTGTACAGTCCACTAATGATGTCTGCAGAACTGGTTCCAGAATCGCCGAGCAAAGGCCAAGCAACAGAAAAGGCAAGAGGAGTTCGAGAGGATGCAGAAGGCCAAGGCTGAGGCTGAAGAAGCCGCTCGAGGCAAGTCAGAGTCCTCGGAGAGCCCAGAAACGAAGGAGGACGCCAAAGATTCGAAAGATGAGACCGATAAAGATACCCCCAAACAATCAGTGGAGAACGCTGGTGAGCGGACAAAAACTCCGGCCCCTTCATCCTCCCGCTCTAAGCACCAGAAGACGAGAAGCGAGTCCGCACGCGAGGCGACCTTTGCTTCCCTGCAAAGAGCGTTGAATGCTGCTGTTGCTGCCCGTGATCGATATGGCCAGGATGGTGAAAACAGCCAGTCACCCAGTGTGGATGGATCAGTATCTCCGACGACAACATTCTCAGGCAACAACCGATGCAGCAGCCACGATAGTAGCAGACATGGGCAGGGAGACCTCAGTACTTCCTTCTCTCAAAATACTATCTCCTGGACGTCGTCGCAAAGCCCCCACGATGCCCTTGGGTATGTGACCGCGGGGGAGTCGATGACTATACCTGGTCTGGACGGCACTCAGCACGATAATGCCGCCCACGACTCCATGCACAGTGTGCAGTTTCACCACTCACAGAGCGAGGATTGGACGCACCATATTCATGCATCGACAAAGCCCCTCTCTGACTACCGTTCGGCCAGCGATGCTGAGGTTTCTTATAATGCTGTGCAATATCCTCTGCAGCAAGAGCTGTCACTGTCTAGGCGAGGCTCGTCTGATGAACTGGCTGATACGCTTGAAGGAATTGGCATTAATACCCCTCACAGCATCTCGCAGCTTGTGAATGGAAGCGACCAGTCCTCCTGGAAAGAGCATGGCAAGGAACTTGACCTCGCAGCCCGCAGAAAGCGCCCGAGGCCGGCTGCCATCGGCACCTCGAGATCGTCTTCCATGCTAGCGGGTTCATCCACCATGTCGCCTACTACAAGGCTTCCGAGTTACAGCGCCGGCCATGGCGTGAGACAATCCAAGTCTGCACAGGGCCTCAACTCCCGCTACGCGGGTGTGAGAAAGGCGTCGGCGGCTCAACGTTCACCTCTCAATTTGTCTACTTTCGCTGAAGCCGGGGCTCTGGGCTCCAAAGCTGACATAACATCCATGCTACAACCCGCTGTTACGACAGGGGGTTTGGCGCCGCCAACACCCTTGACCCCGGAGGATCTGCACCACCTGCTCCCGACTACTCCTAGCGATGGTGGGTACTGTCTGTCGGCACAACCATCCAGCCAATTGTTTCCTACCACACAGCCGATGCAGATAAATATCGCATCACCTCCGGCTACTCCCTTGGCCGTGGATGTCCTCTCTTCCTACCCCTACCAGGGTGTCGCTCCTCCGATGTCTGCGCCTGCTCATTACACGTCATTTGCTGATTACGCTGCATGTGATGGTCCCCTGACGGGCAGGAGTTGGACTGATGCCACGTCAATGCCATCTCCGGAAGCATCCTTCCAGAGCCCCTGCCAACTTCCACAGGCGGATTTGTCGGCTATGTCGTATGAGCAGGCTATGGAACATGGGGCCGACCATGTGCCTGTGACCGGGTCTCCCTCCCTGGTCTACCCAACCAGTGACGTTGATATGTCGACTTCGGCCGCCTTCAGCGGCGATTCGAAGCATACCGAGTTCCACATCTATGAGTTTCCGGAGCAGCAGGAAGCTCACCGATTTGTTGCACAGCAGCTTCCGTCACAGAAGCCTAAAGCTTATACCTTCACCAACAACCAAACCCCGAACGACTTTTGAAAACCACGCAGGAACGCCACAAAAATCTGGTTTGCGCACGTAACATTCCTTTCGCCAGTCAAATGTTTCTCGGTGGGCCTGTAATTTAACCACTCTGCCTTCTTATCCATCCACGGCTTCTCAACCGCGGTCTAATATTCTGTGTGGACATTGCTCTTCTTGGCATTATCTGTGTTGCTTCACGTGGGACTCCGATATATATCCCCAGGGCTCGTGTTGTTTTCATGCATTCGTGTCGGTGTCTCTTTCTTGGCGTCTGCCCCCGGTCTGCGATTCGGTTCCCCCCAGGTTTGGGCTTGATTTGTTGAATACTTCTTTTTGGATATAGCATGTGGGCTTTGGGAAGCGGCTGCTTGGATTTTTTCTTGTCTTGGACTTACTGGAGGCACTGTTTTTGGACACATACCTACTACTACTACTACCACCACCATCACCACCACCACATACTTACTGTAATACATATAATAGGGGGCGATGGGCGATGACTGAGGAAAGCATCACCACGTCTCCCGTTTTTATCCACTGGAGATTTTTGGAACCTGAAAGGATTAATTACCTGCTAATCAATTTGGTTGTCCGTCGGCTGGCTAGGCCGGCTAGCTTCTCCGCCGACCGTTGCACGTGCAGCGCTGGTAGGCCTCCGGAGGGTCTGCAGATGCCCTGCTCTTCCACTGCCAAGATGGCGTCCGAGTCCACCGTCGGGCTATATAACGTGGCCATTCAGCCATGTTCTCCTGATGTCACGCCCAGTTGGAAGCATCCTCAATCCTTGCCAGGTCCGGTGACTGCTTGCCCACCATGAAGCTCTCCAGTGTTGCGCCTCTTGCGCTGGCTCTTGCAGCTACCACGCAGGCGTCCTACATCAACTATACCACCGTCACCGGCTATTTCCTGCAGGATGAGGAGTCCACCGATGCGTCCACCTTTGATTTCGTAAGTCACCACCCATTCCCTGCACGCCAACGGATCCATACATGTGACCGCTAATCATCGACGACCATCCTACCATCCAGACGGCCACCAACTTCGGACTCATCAACCGGACCTATCCTGCAGACAAGAAGCACCACCACCATGACCTCACCCAATGGGAACGCTTTTACCGCCAAGTCGTCGAGCTGAATCACCAAGCCCCATCCAATGTAGATTACAAAGTTCTCTTCTTAGGCCGCCACGGTGAAGGCTGGCACAATGCCGCCGAAGATTACTACGGCACACCTGCATGGAACGTAAGTTTACAACTCCCCCCCTCTCCTTCCCCCTCACCTGTACCCAACCCACATCACTCACCCATCTCCCAGTGCTACTGGTCCCTCCTAGACGGCAACGGTACTGCCACCTGGTGTGATGCCGACCTGACCACCGCAGGCGTCGAGCAAGCTGAAGTAGCCCATAATTTCTGGCAAACAGAGATCGACTCCCAGCGCATCCACACACCAGACAGCTATTTTGTCAGCCCGTTGACCCGCGCCCTGCGCACCGCAAACATCACCTTCACTGGCCTGCGGTACCCCACTGACAGCGCTCCCTTCCAGCCTCTCATCAAGGAATTCTTCCGCGAGGGCATAAGCATCCACACCTGCGACAATCGTGGAAATCGCACCTACATCCATGATTTGTTCCCCAGCTGGCCCATCGAACAGGGCTTCACCGAGGAGGATGAGCTCTGGAACGGTGTGACGGGAGAGACCAGCGCTGCGCAGGATGTTCGGAGCAAGGATGCGCTGGACTCTGTTTTCAAGGATTCGAAGAAGTCGGGTCGCTTTGTCTCCGTGACGAGTCACTCGGGTGAGATTTCGTCCATTCTGCGAGTCATCGGCCACCGGACGTTTAGCCTGTCGACGGGTGCTGTTATTCCGGTTCTGGTCCGCGCGGAGACTATCCGTGAGCCCGAACCCATTCCTACTTCCACTGCGTGGAGCACGAGTGCCCATTGCACGGCGCCCCCAGTCACGTCTGTCGCTTCCTGCGTGTGTGCGTCCTCGGCGGCGCCGGTCACTACTCCGCTCGTGACCAACGCGTACTAAGGGGATGACGTGGGGGCATCTCCAATGCACGGGAGATTGTATAATCCGATAATTCCAAAGTGTATATAGATATTCATTGTTACAACCGGCCCAATCCGGTCCCGTATTCTTAGAGGGCATTCTGGTATATCCGAGTGGGAACGCCGGCAGCAAAAGCCGTAGCCGAAAGGAGTTTTGAAGCAGACCAACAGGAGACAGAACGCTTCGACTACTGTAGTGGGGATGCGACTCACGCGTGAAGGGGTAAAAGAGCAAGGTGGCTGGCGAGGGGATTGGTCAAATTAGGAGCCCCCGGGGTGTGCAACCGTGTTTGATCTGCATATTGTAGACACAAAGACAACATCGAGAGTATCACAATAGAAACTGGACAAGATCTGTGTGCAAAGCCAGGAGTAATAGTGATGGTACCCAGAAATAAACGGCAAAGGGTCATAAGAGAGTAGAGTGTGCAGCTAACAGCAATGCTCGAAGTGCTTGGAAGACACGGAAGAATGAGAACTTTAAAGGGGCTGAAGACGCCGGCCCAGACAGAACGAAACATTCACCGCCATACCATCTGACCGTCCCTCTATCATGGACATATGAAAAATGCACAATCTCAACACTCGTAACTGCAGATTCGGTCCCAGAAATTCTTCAGGACCGCGCAAAACAAAGACGTCAAGAAATAGACAAGAGAAACATCAATGGATAAGGCATGCATAACTGACCGGGTATAACAGAGGGTATAAGAAGAAAACGCGTGCAGATTATCATTAGCCATCATCCTTGGACCAAGGATAATATACAGCATCAATGAAAAGGGTATGACGGGAAAATGCGAAAGATAGCCGATCGCAAAACAAAAACAGTTAAGATCCACAGTATAAGAACGAAGATCAAGATAACGTTGAGCGGGCGCGTCTCTTTTCCATAGATCAACAGCATCATCATCAGTTCGACTCCCATTCCCGAAAACGCCGAATTTTGACAACGCCGCCACCAAGGATTTCGTCTCGTTCACTTCATGTTCAATAGCCTGACCACCCTAGTGGGGTTCCAGACTGACCAGGCTGCGGATGACCGGGCTGCATTGGACCAGCGGGCGGCCATCCTGGCATGGCACCGCCGGCGCTCATCCCCATGGCCATACCTGGCTGCTGGGGAGTGCCTGCCATGAACTGTTGCCCCCCCGGGCCTTGCGTCGAAGGGTACATGCCTCTGGCGGCAGGCACAGCTGGATACGGTGCCGCCGTGACACCGGGATACCCCATCGTCGCCATGGGTTGTTGTTGGGGAGCCTGTTGGGGGTGCATCGGAAAAGGCTGCGGCATCGGGGGTGCTGAAGGGCGAGGCTGATTCCGAGGTGACTGAGAATGTTGCTGCTGCGGCATGGAGTGAGCGAGCGGAGAGGGTGACTGTTGCGCATGCAACTGTGGTGCGAACTGCGGCATTCCGACACCCTGAGGGCCAGCGGCAGATAGTGGAGATGGTTGGGGTTGAGGTGGTGGTTGACCCCACATTTGTTGCGACTGAGGTGGATATCCATAGGGACCAGGCGGCTGTGGTGTCCCTGCAGCCAAGGCAGGGTTCGACCTCTGATGCATCAGTTCAGGGCGAACTGGGGGCACCCCCCGAACGGGCGATGGCGCAACAGGTGGTTGTTGGTGGGCCGCCGGTGGCTGGAACCCGGACTGGCCGGGCATGATCGGCGCTTGATGGGGAAGCATCGCCTGCTGCGACTGGGCCGAGTTCATCATCCCAGTTGGAGGTATCTGCGGAGACTGCAAGGGCTGAGACACAGACGGCGTCGAATCGAGCTGGCCCGGCTGTGATTGCGCTGCGGAGACGGGGATCTCCCGCTGTTTCGCATAAAATTCTTCCAGCCCTTTCTGGCGATAACTACGTTGTGACGTTAGGATTTTATTGAAGTCAGCCGTATGCGAAGCCTGATTTAGGATTTCAGCGGCAGAGCTCGGTTGCGAGCGGTCCTGATAAGGCTGGCCTGTTAATTCCTGACGAGGGCGAGGCATGCTGTTATACTCCCGGAGTCGAGGATCGTCGGTAGTAGTGGCCATGTGAATCATGGGGAGGGGCGGCGCGAGAGAAACCGATGACGGGGGGCCAAGAGGCAAGCTATTTGGTACGGCCTCCAGTGCGTTGCTGTAGATGACATCGCCATGAGCCAGGGCAGGCAGAAAGCTCGCTGCGCCGGCAGCTTCTGCTGCCGCTGCATCCCGGGCCTTGGAGCCACCTGGTCGTTTCTCGCCAGCCAGATCTTCCTCTGTAAACCCCTGTTTACGTGCTTTGCTCTCCCAGTAATCGTCGCGCACGCGCCGCCCATTCACAATCACCCGGCTACCGAATTGACGAAACATTGACTTGGCGGTCACGATGGCGATCTGACGAGAACGATAGGAGTACGGAAGGATGTCTTGCTGAATGAGGTCGTCCTTCTCAATCTGAGTGGCGATTATCTTGTGTAAAGACCGGTTCTTGTTAAACAAAAGGTACGAATCGCGATACCCCAATACCCTCGCGCATTCGGTCGCAAGCATGAACAGTTTCGTGCCACGGAGGGGAACACGAAACGTGCGACATTTATACTCTCGGCCCCCTTGAAGGTAGCCCATGGCATCGACCTTCTTCTCGCCGGCCTCGTCGAATTCCTTGGGGATGTATTCATCACCCTCTTCATTTAGCTGATCCGTCGTATGATCCCTGACGGTGGGGAGGGCCTTGACGAGAGTGGACTTGGTAGGTGTGGTTTTATCCGGCGGAGAGGCCTGCGGCGGTGACACGTTAACTGTAGCTGGCGACGGAAGAGGCTGGGTCTGCAAACGGGGCGTATGAAGGTGAATATTGGACGAGGGAGTTTGATCGCTAGTGTTCGTTGTTGATGGTCGCGGAGTCTTTGGGGGACGGCCTCGTTTCCGACGGCCCTGTTCATCTGCTGTTTTCACCGGAAAGGTCCACGCGTCAGCCATAATAATCCTTTGGTAGAATTCAAATGCACGTGTAAGAAAAAGCAACAAGGACAAAGCGCGCAAGCCAAAAACAGCAACAAGAACGCGCGAGGAACGCGACTGCAAAGAACCCCCATAGCTTCCGGAATTCCACGAAGCGAATCGTTAAGAGGACTCCGACGCACACATACCGTCGTCATGGTCTCCATCCGCGCGTGCATTCCCGCGCTGGTCTGGGGTTCGACTTCGCTTGACACCACGAGGAGCTATACTCGTTGGGGTTGCAATTCCACCATAAAGAGGGGCTGGAAGTACAACGGCGACTAATAGAAGGCCGTCAGTTTGGAGGCTGTCGCGATGGACAAGCAGGAGAGTAGAAGAAGTTTGTTATGACCTCCATAGGCGGCGACGGACAAGCCCCATCGCTACCGAGCGCGACGATAGAAAAAATCGAGAGTTGAGAAACCAAAAAAATATAAAATAGAAAAGAAGAAGAAGAAGACAAGGGGGAGGGGTGATGTCGGCAGAAGAGAAGTGAAAAACTAAACAAGCGAGCGGTGACGCAAAGGCGGACAAAGAAGTGAGGGAGGGAGGGGAATCAATTACATACCATTGTTCAAGGCAGCGGGATTGATTGTCCCAGACCCATCGACCAGTTCCCCTCCGATGCCATTCATCGGGGCGGGAACGGAGGATTGGGAGGTGCTATACATGGCGGGCCAAGGCAGGACGGGGAAAGGTTGAGGGCACCGTCGCAAGGCCGCGGGCGCGTCAGAGGAACGCGAAGGGGATCAGAATGCCAAAACGGGGGAAGGATGGCGACCTGGTTGGCTACTGCAGCAAGACAGGAGGGCGAAGCAGCGACGATGCGACGATGCAAGTGATCCTCGGACAGTTGAACGCGGACGGACCACGGCTCGCCTGCAGTGGTAGTTGGACTGGTAGGTGGCAGGAAGCGGATCAGCGGAAAGGTTTGAGCAAATCGGTGCTTTGCAGACTGGGGTGGTGATGGTTGGGGACGGCGAAGTCAGCTTCCCCAGGGCGGTGAGGAGGCTACCAGGCCACTGATGGGTGGGCAGAATCCAGACAGGATTGACGATTGACGACCAGGGAGGAGAGGGGAAAAAATCCAATCAAGTAAAATCAAAATTCACAAGAAGTACTAGTAGCGATAGGTAGAAAGAGGTAGCAAGGGAAGTGCAGACCACCAGTGTGGCTGGTGAGGAAGTGAATGGCCAGGACGGTCGCCGCCACATGAGGCAGTACCCTGCCCAAGATCGATCGCTTTCCCAAGGTTCCCTGTCTGCAGAAGCAGAGTCACCCAGTGATAGCCCGAGCAGCACAGCCGGTACTATGCTGAAGACAGGGAGACGGGCAGTGGATGATTCACAGCGTGCCGCCGAGGGAACCGATCAGTGGGGACCGTTGACGGGGGGTTAGGCTATGTGTGACCGGCCGCCTGTGTGTCGGCCTGTCTGGGGGGAGGGGGGGGAAGGTGTATGTGACTATGTGTATGTGTGCGTGCGTGTGCAAGGTAAGATCGATGGATTATTGGGTTAGAACCACGACGGAGGACAGGCAGTGGGGTGGGGACGAAAGTTGGAGACAGGACTGGAAGGGAAGGGGGGGAGGGGGGCGCACCAGGAAATGGAAACACAGGGTGACAGGAGAGAGATGGAGAGGATGGATGATGAAAGGAAAAGCGAAAGAAGGATTTAGTTCGAGCAGAGGGGGGGTGTGAAAGGGAGTTGGTCGATTCGACGGAGGAGCGCGAGGAGGAGGGGGGAAGGCAAGGACGGGCGATAGGAGGGGAAGGCGGGAGGCGCCGCCACACGCCTGCTGATTGGCTGTGTCTGCTCGGGTCACGATCTTCACAGCAATACAGCGAAACACAACAGCTGCAGCTGGGGAGGGAGGTGAGGACGATGACTGGAAAGGGGGTAACAACACCACCACCCCAAAATAGAAAAGTAAAAACAAAAACAGAACCTGGACTTACGTCGCGTTTTAGAACCTTCACGAAACTTCGAGACTACGACGATCGATGCGTCGTCGTCGTCTTCAAACCAACTTCCGTTCTCCCAGACTCAGGCTCAATCTCGTTAGCTGATCACAGATACTACTTATTCGTGATGCGTCCGGCATGTGGATGGCCGGGTAGCGCGGACGCACGTCCGAAGGACCAAGCAACTTAGTCGGAAGATAGTCCAGGCGACAGTGGATTGGACCCCTGCACGCCTACTCCAGGAGCCCTGGCCCCGATCCTCCGAATTTGTGGCAGCTGCAGCGGCCTGTTTCGCAAAATGAAGACTACCTAGGAATCTTCAGACTCACCCAAAATACTCGCGACGCAGACGAATCGGAGTTGGCTTGGGCGGATCGAGTACGCAATGGAATAATGAAAGGGGAGCAGCTATTAATGACTACTGATCCCGTCTGCCGCCGGTGATAACGGTAGCGTCAGCAGCAGATCGCGATCGATGGCGCGGACCAGCCCTCGATGGTGGAATCGCGACCGGGGAATGTCCTATAAGAGCTTGAGGGTATATGATCCTCCAATTAGAGATGGCCTCCGAAACCACCCTGCTGAAGGTGAAACGGGAGAAGGGATGCAGGACGCCTGAGCAGATGAGAGGAATCCTGCTGCTGCTGCTGTCTAACAGCCTAGAGCAAAAAGGCAATCAATGTCAAGGGGACCAGAACCACAGCGGGGCAATCCTTGGATCGAGAGCCGGAGAGAGCCGCCGTTGGGGCCGAGAGCGAGGAGCAAAATGGGGCGTCGGTGATGGCGTTCCGCAGCCCGGGCCTCAGTGCTTCTGGGGTTGATTTTCCCAGTTTTGCACGGCAACGGTTTCTGACTATTCTGGACTGGATGTGGTGCACGGAGCAGAGCACACGAGGCAAGATAGCACGGTAGCAGGCCAGTGCAGTGAATTAACTATCAAGCTGCTTTCCGGGGATGGCGGGAGTGGCTTGCCCTGGACTGATTGGCCGGACTCTAGAAAGCACATGAAAATTATCCGAACAGGCCGGCCCCTAGTGTCGAGAAGAGATGCCGTGGACGAATGATCGAGGAGTTATTCTCTGCTATCATCCGGGCTGCCAATCGTCAGCAGCAGCCGTCGTTGAAGGATTCGGGCCTGCTCCTGGGTTAGTTCCAGGCCGACTAGCTTCGATGCTGCAGGTTTTTCCCGAGGTTAGACGAAGAAGGGGTCAAGCCTTCTGGGTGTCTGCAAACCAAACCCCGACCATGGCTCATTACTCTGGACTTACTAGTAGATCAGAACCCTGCGTGCACGCCTGTCCTGGGCGGGAATTTGGAGGGTTGCTTCGTAGAATGGGGGCGAGGGTGCTTGAGCGCGACAACAGAAGGGTGGGAGAGGGGCAGAAGAGAGGAGAGGAGAAGCAAAAGGAATATGTTGTGTATATGTATACAGCGACTTGGGTCGGTACCTCACCTTCTGGATGATGGACGATGAAGATCCACCAGGCCAGTAGTGATTAGTGAGTAGTGAGTAGTAGTCCGTAGTCAGTCAGACCTCAGGACAAGCAGTACCCATTCCAGTCCTGATGATGATTGTACTTCGCATACGGGGAGCTCCAGACTGGACCTCTTGTTGTCTTGTCGTCTTGTCGAGCTGTATACCAGATCTACGAGGGAGAATGAGTTTCCTGTTTGGGCGTCGGTCTCTGGGAAGAATCCGGCGCCATTCCCGATTGAGGGCCATCAGCAGACAGGCGTTTCTCCTCGCTTTTGATTGACTCTCGCCAGCCCTGTACCGTCCCGTCCGGTATTGTCACTGCCTGGTATCTCGCCTCATGACTCCTCCGATGAATGAAAGAGGGGTCCTTTCTCGTGGCGATCAACCGTGGATGGCTCTAAGCCCCATTCGAATGTCCTCACATTTACAATGCAGACAGACGTACACAGTACGGAGCACTAGATAGATAGATATCCGGATAAACCTCTCCAACGAGGCAGCCAGGCCAGCAGCCCCCAACGAAAGGGGGGAAACCCTGCCTGCAACAAGTTTATATTTAGGCTTGTGCGACCGGGACGAAAGCTTTTTAAGCTCCATGCTGAGGGCGATGGCAAGGACGAGGGCCAGTAGATAGTGCTGGTGCTGCTGTTGGTGCTGCTGCTGTGTCCATGAACTCCTGCGTGATCAGGAAAAAGGCAACGAACGGGTGCGCCGGCCATGCAGAATGCAATCGGAAGCATCCCAGGCGGATGATGATGACCAGTCATCTCCGACCACAACGGTTACATCTGAAAAATACCCCATTGAGAGAACGGATCGACCCCAGGAATCCAGTCCTTCCGTGCTGAGACAGAGGGATCATTCCTAGGGATTCATTCATCATTTGATGGGGGACCAGAAGTTGAACGGAGTCACCGGGGCAGATGACAGCGGGCTTTGGGGAACGAGAGAGGTCACGAGCGCGGGCACTAGCGTCGATCAGGGACCGTGCGTCGGGTATTTCATTACCTTTGTTACGTACCAGTGGATACATACTTTGCAGGTCAACCTAGGTATCTTCTTCATGGCATGATAGTCAATGAATGAATGGCCTTATCGCCAAAGCAGAGATCCTATCAGTTGTTTTTGCTACTACTAACCAACCCCTCCACCACCACATCTGATCCATCCCAATCCAGAAACCCACCACCACAACCATACCAAATAACCCCAATTCATTCCATTCTATCATTGATCCATCCATTCAGTAAGTAAACAATGAAACCACTGACTCAAAAGAAAATCAGCCATAAAACCAGCCATCACATCATATCACCACACAATATGTTAGGACATGAAGCCGAAGAAAACGAGTGATACTGGTATGACTTGTCACGACTGCTAGCGTGGCATCTGATGAAAAAGGCTGAAAGGTGAGTTTGGTATAGTGTGATTGTAAGGTTAATGGGTTCTGCCAGTACACCTGCAATACCGCTTTCTTTCTTAGGACTAGTGTTGCCAGGAGGACTTTATTTTACAGTGTGTTAGTATAGTTAGCTCTCCTCTCTACGCTTAGTTTTTTATGAAATAACCGCCAGCAAGTTCAGTTCTTGATTGTCTGCGAGGCGATAGTAACATGACTAGCTAGAAGGCTTCTGCCTACGCGGGATAAAAAGAATAACAACACAATGGCCAATATGATGAGATATAACGTATCCGGTAAGCGAGCGCCGCACCTCTACCCGATTTTTATATACAGGTGAAATTCTAGGGCCATTATCAACAAAATAATTGCATTTCTATCTAAAAATTAATTAGGAACTCGTTTAGGACATTATAATCGCCTATGTTCTAGAATATGGTAATCGCTGCAGCGCGGGGGCGCTCGTACGCGTGGCCTATCTGCAGGAAGTACAGGATCTAGGGGAAGCGTATTTTGAGCTTCATTAACCTCGTTCTCATGCTGGAACTGCTCTAGGCCTTCCTGAATAGCTGGTCCCTCTGTAAGAGCTAGCTTTCTAGTAGAGCATTTCCTTTTTTGAAGCTTCTTTACATTAGAAGTACGTAATTCGTGGATTTCTTCGCGTGCAAGAATAAGCTTATTAAGATATAATTCATGATCTTTAATAAGCTTATCAAACTGTGTTTCTAGTGAAGATGAAGGACTCTACGTACATGCTCTAAGTAGCTGCTTCACAGTAGATGCCTGCTTTTCAAGCTGCCTAGTTGTATAAGACGTTTTTGGAGCTGTA